AGTAACTACTCTAAGGTTTAACCTTTTAGTAGGTTAGTAACTTAGGTTAAATACGAACTACCTATATAAGAAAGCGCTCTTCTATATATATAGGAAACTCGTATACTTAACTATCTATCCGACTAGCCGACCGGTTAGTTAGTATATTAGTAAGTTACGTATCTAACTAAAGTCTATCGTCTCTAGTTAGTTACGTATTCTTAAAGCGCGTACTTCCGCGTACTTCCTTCTTAAGGCTAAAGTAACTAGTCCTCGTTCTCTTATTTATATATAATATATTATATATTCGTAATACGTATAGATCGATCTTTATATACTAAATTACTCTATTAGTTCTATTCTTTATCTCTTCTATATTTAGTAGTAAGTATCTATTCTTAATAGTTATAGCGTTAAATTATTTATAGTCGATAATATATCGTAATTTTCCTTCTTTCTTTAGAACGAATATTACTAGTAAAGTAGCTAGAGATTTAGATCTTTTTTTCTATCCTTTAGTAAGTATTTAATTAATTTATTCTTTTTAGATAATTAGTTCTTATTATAATAATATATATAGTAGTCTAAAGGGTAGTTCTTATCCTTCCTATAGAACTATCTTATAATCTTACTCTCTTCTTTTAGATAAGGCCTCTAGCTCTATCTCTTCCTAAAAGAGGCGTCTCTATTCTTAGAACTCTTTAAGGATATCTAAAGGTACGTTCTTATTCTTCTTTACTCTAACTTATTAATCTAGTAGTACTATATTAGTATCTATTAAGTTTAGGCTACTATATAGCTCCTAGTTTGGTTATTAACTAGCTATATATATATACTATTATTTCTTATCTACCGCTAAACTCTACTAGCGTATAGGTTCGATATCGATAACGTATATATATTACTTAAATATAAATACTCTCGTTTTCTACTTTATATATAGGTTATAATATTCTAACTAAGGCGTACTTAATATAATATTATATTTAGCTATAAGTACAACGTCTAGAACTATCGTCTTATAGTATTATTATATTATTAGAGATAGTAGTATCGTTTTACTATCTACGTTAGGTAGAGATAAGCTATTAATAGCTATTAGCTTATACCTACTATCTCTCTTCCTCTAGATTACGATCCTATATTATTTTATACTCTAGACTAATATAAATGTTCTACTAGCTCTAGAGTCGATTATTACTATTATTTTATATTCTTATATAATATACTTAGTACGTAGGACTATTACTAAAGTCTGTTAAATATTCGTATTATTAAGTTCCTATAATCTATTCTTATTAATAAGCTCTTCTAGTTTTTTATTTCTTAAGCTAATAAAAGCTTCGTTAATTTAGTATAGTTATAAATAAACTTACGCTCTTAAACTATTTACTTCTAGTAGTCCTTATAGAGCTAGTAAATAGTATCGTCTAATAGCCTATATAACCTCTAACCTTTATTTTAATACTATCTATTAGAGGTATAAGTATTGCTTAAAACCTTATAGCCCTAAAGGCGCGACTAATCTATCTTCTTATATCTAGGTATAATAGGTATTAGCGCGTTTATTAGCGTATTTATAGTAGTACTATTAAAGTTATAGAATTACTACTAAATTATTAGAATATAGAGTTCTAATATAGAAGAAGTATTAGAAAGGTCGCTACTAATAGTTAAGGCTATATTATTAGTAGTATAGTAAATATTATATTATCTTTATTATTATCGTTACCTATAGTAATTAGATAGAAGTAGCTTAAAGTTTTATATATATATACTAATTAGCTATAGTAGCGGTATAGAAGGCTAGCGCTACTAAAGTAGAGTATTTAAATAGCTAGATACTACTATACTACTATAGATAATCCTTAAAACGCGCTGTTTATTAGAGTTAGAGTTTAGATAAGGCTACTAGTATTTACTTATATCTATCTTAAGGCGTTTAAGGAAGGTATAGTATAGTACCTTAAACGCTTTAGCTAATTAGAGAGCTTGTCTTAATATAACTTACCTTAATTACTAAGCGAAAATAGCTACCTTGCCTTAATATATATTAAATCTACCTTCCTTATAGACTAGTCTAAATGTACGAATGGACCGACCTATAATCCGCTCCCAAACTCCAGCGACCACTCGCGTTACAGAACCTAGCACGAGTCCCTAACAACGCTAATGATCGGCACACTTCTCCGGAGCGCTTTTGTACTCTGGCGCGCTCCGCCACCGCCTCGAACAGACGATATAACTGAGACTTGGCCCTTACCTCACACCTGGCTAACACAATATCTAGATTATGCCAGTGCAATACATGGCGATTTCGATATACGTGCAGAGGATCGCTTAGTGGCTACACCGAACGCGCGGTTCCCGCTCATTCTACGGCGATGCGGTGAATATTGGACCTTCCATGGGTTCGCTTATGTCTATGGGCTTGATTTCGAGGCTTTTTTACGGAGCCGGGAATGGCGTGCGCCGGCGAGAGTTGCAATATGTTGGAATTATGATGTGTTAGGTTAGAAACGTGCAGACTGTGGACTACTTTGCGTTGTATATTGATGCAATGGACTACATCACACAGTCCTCAAGCATCAGTCGTAGCGGAAAAGAATCCGGCCTTGCCCAGATGCTTGATCACTTTCAACGCCAGCCGATCTTCTTCCTCCTGTTGCTGTTCCATAAGTCGCTGGTAAATGCTCTTCCGATCTGTGTTGACCGGATCTAAACGTGGTGCTCGATCCTCTCGTGGTTGCTGCTGCTGCCGAGGCTGCGAGACCCGAGCGCCAGGAGCGAGCTCATGTCGAAAGCCGCAAGCATCGCCATCTCGGCAGTAGCCACTCGCAGCAAAGTATCGGCATACCCGTTGTCCTCTCTGTTCTGTTGTTGTGACCGGCGCTTTTGTCGTAGACTCTTCGGGTAAATCATCGTCATCACTTTCTGACCCGGGATCTAGTGGACCGCTGCTCACCACGGATGATTCGGACAGTACAGAGCTGACGTCTGATTCTCTGTCTTTGATGACAGTCTCACTCTCGAGCTCGATATCTGGCGACTCTTCGTGAGCGGTAACATTGCGTGTGTTTTCCCTGGCACGAGCATCGTCAAGCGCTGCTTGACTGGTTGAGACCTGCTTTCTAAGCGCACTCAACTTCGCCTCCTGCTTAACAAGCTCTTTGCGTGCTCGGTCCAGGTCGCTCATCGGTGACTTTGACGCAGTACTTCTGTCTAGTGCAGTACTCCGAGACGTCGAACCGCGCTGTGCCTTTGCTGCTTCACGTCGAACTTGTCGAACTGCAGCGGCCGAGTCTTGCTTAGACGCTACTGTCGTTGTTAGTAGTCGTCTCCTTTCGTCTCCAACCTTTCGCTTCTCCATCACCCGCTCTGCCATGCGTGCGTTAGTAGGCCAGTTCCTCCGACGCTCGTCCTGCCATGCTGCCAGATCGACAGCGTTGTTGAGGGTGAGTACCACGCCGTTATGCTCGAAAGTCAGCTTTGCGCCAAGCTCCGCATGTAGAGCTTCTTCGTCGATGTTCTCGACTTCTCTCTCATCTTCAGACGACGAGTAAACGGCATTGCCATCTGCAGGTGCTAGACCAAGGCTTTTCCGGCCCGTGCTGACAGCACCGGCTTTTGGTATGTTGGCAGTATCAGGTTTGGGTGGTAGTATCGGGGCTCCAAAACTTGGCATTACTGGCGCAGTATGAGGCTGTGGCGTTCTATCTACCAGGACCGGTCGCAGTGCGTCGAGTTTGCGCTTGTGTCCGGCTACGGTCCGTGGTGGGGATATGGAAGGAATGTTCGCGAAAGGACTTCCACCATTTGGTCGAGGCACAAATGCAGGGTTGATATAAGAACCAGATGGCAAAATTTGCGGCTGGGGGTTGACGCTGCTGGGCAATTGCCGAGCATAATCAACGAGTTGCGGAGCACTTTCTGCTGATTCAGGGTGGCGGTGTCGATAGTTCTGGGCAGGTGTCGGATCGCCGTATCCACGACCTCTACCAGACGAGTCGTGTGGTCTACCACGACCGCGGCCTCTATCCCGCCCACGTGCCCGATCTTGACTTGCATATCGCTCTTCAGCAGCAGGAGGACTCCATGCTGCCTTTGGTGGTGGCGGAGGCGGAGGCGGAAAGGAGAATCCTCCAGTCATCTTTGCATGATAGTCAAGAGCTTAGGTTGATCGAACCTAGGAGTAAGGATCTGTGATATATCAAGTAGATACAGATTTCCTTCAGTCGATCAATTGCACATGAGAGTTCGTGGTACATCTGTATGGCAGTTCGATAAAAGTTGCATGCGGAGTTCGATGAAACTAAGATTGCGGAGCTCGGCAGCGTCCCCGAGTGGCTACAGCGCAATCAAGAACTTTTGACACAGACTTCGGGCTTCGTCTTGCATGGCTACAAGTACCCTACACATCGTCTTCGGTTCCCACAAGTCTACCAGGACGGTCACAGAGAATGGTGCGCTGTTTGGGGAACGTGGTCGATAACGTGACAACTCAAGCCTAGTACAGCCAAGTCACGATGTACACTCTGGTACCCTCTATTCGAGAAGTAATGGTCTGAACAACTGAAGACTGATAATCTCCAGGTCACAGTCGCAGATGTGGTACAAATTCAGCCGTCCGACTTCGAGAAGCCCAGTCTTCGCGCCATCGAAGACTTTATCAATGAGAAATATGCCGACAAAGTCATCCACAAGATCGGCCTTTGCGTAGGCTTCCACTCGCTCATATCTGCCTCGGAAGGACTCATCGGTCACGGCACAGGTATAGTGAATGTCAACGTCGACTTCAAACTGATCGTATTCCGACCATTCAAGGGCGAGATTATCCGCGCCATCATCTCACACTCCAATGCCACCGGCATCTTCATGTCGATGGACTTCTTCGAGACCATCGCCATACCACCGGAATTCTTCTTCGATCCGTCCAAGTGGCAAGACGACGGCTCTGGCAACAAGATCTGGGTCTGGAATAGTGACGAGAATACCGAGCTTTATTTCGACAAGGCGGAGAAATGCTTGATTCGTGTCGAGCAGGAGCATTGGAAGGATCTTTCGCCTGACATGAAAGGGTCGGCGAATTTCGAGTCGATGGAGAGGGACAGTCATGGCATGAGGGTCTCTCCTTACAAGATCCTGGGTAGTATGCTGATGTCTGGATTGGGTCCGGATTTGTGGTGGATCGGTGAAGATACAGCACCCGACCCCATCGCCTCTCGAATTGTGAACGGCGAGGACGAGGATGTGGACATGGCCTGAGAAGGGTCCGGGGGAAAGTACATCCGACCGCGGCCGACATGCGCCTGAACATCACGAACCATACCAGCCTGATGATACCCGAGCATCTAACAAACCTGGTGGTAAAGCAACACTCTTTTTGATTCACTCTATGAGCTCTCCCCAGCAAACCGCTCGGTATCTCTCCTGCACCCAATTTAACACTCGACCATAGTTAACGACTTGTGCTTGATCATTGCGATCTCCTACGCAGCATCAAAGACCCGCTGCAGCAGCTCGCTCTCCGATATCCGCGCGTGAGGCGCTCTCGGCTGGGTACCTGCTCTTCCTTACCGTATGAACACGCTCGGAAGCGTGTGGCTTCCATGCTTTGCTTGTACGAGTTTGCCACATGACTGAAAGCCACGCTTTGCCGTCGAGTGCGTTGAACAGTAGCACAAGCTATTGCCTCAAATCCAGTTCTTACACACCAAGCATCTCCAGGTCTTCAAGTATGGCTCGTCTACTGAAGTGCCACGGTGTTGGGCAGACAGCTGGAACGCAGCAAGTGGATATGTGCAGCAGCATAATGTGATGACTCCGCGAGGATCGTAGTAGAGCCGAGCGATAGTACTCCAACACATCTGATAATACACGCACACACCACTTGCGGCCATCCGCATATTCTAGGGCTCTCAATATAACTCAGGTGCCTAGCCAGACTGCCGTTCCTACTCCACCACAGTGGTCACACAACCCATAATCAGTACATAATTGCATAGAACCGGTCCATGACTCTCCGCGAACATGTCCCCCCAATACGTCCAATCAACTCCGGTCGACTACGTGCTCAAGCCATAGACCTACGCCAGCTTACCACCATTACCAAGCGTGGACGGTCAGACTTTGCATCTGGACTCTGATATTGCATTGTTCGACCGCTGTTCCTCAGGTCCCAGCGTCCTACATCGTCGAAGACAATGGCTTTCTCCCTGCGTGGATACTCGGGCACCTATTCTCTTTGTTCCGTACCGTTCCATTTCCAAACGTCTGAGCTCCCTGGATCTGCTCCATATCAGCTGCTTTGTTTTGGGATTTGACGTTGGACCTTACCGCCACTTCCTGTGCGCTCAACTCCCTCAGCGGCAGCCTGTTTGATGGTGATGATGGATATTGGCGATGACCCTCGAGATCGTCACGAGTCTCTTGGTCCCTAGTCATAATGTCCTGCTCATCAATCCAGATGGGAAGTCCTTCCAAGTTCCTGGCGGCAGCCTCAACACGCCCCGGTATGATATCGGCCGCTCGCAGACGAGCTACAGCGTGCAGAGGCAAATTATGATCTAGGTTGCGAACGACCATGAGCGCTTGTGGGCCATTACCGGCGTCGAGCTGGAGCCTGCCGCTACGTACGAGACCACTGCGACGATGACAGTCCGGACCCCTTTGCTGCTTTGTAGCGCCCACAACAGTCTCGAGATGCTCTGCACGGATATCGTAGTCCCCTTCTGGGATGGCGGAGAGTCTTGACATGATTTTGCCCCCGTCGCAAGCTTAATGAATTGGAGACGGCGGTTCAGATGTTCATACGCCGATGCAACAGGTAGTAGTTGTGCGGACTTAGCAAGACTAGGAGAAGTTCGAGGAATCAAATAAGCAACTTGAGCTGCAGCGTAACGGAGGCTGCTGTGTTTGAAGTGTAGCTGGTGAAAACTTGTGTAGCCGGTGAATATACGCCTGGACATGCTATCTGGGAAATATGTCTCGAGTCGATCAAATCTATGGCCTAAGGCCGCTGCGTACCAAAACTAGCCCTTGGGCGTGGACAACACATCTACCACATTCGCTCATAGGACTAGTATGTTATTTCACATCGTTTAGTCTTACTTCTGCGAGGCCAGGTATTGTCTCCGGCGCACACGGTCCGCGAGTTGACTACCTGGCGCCCGCTTTGATTGATCAGGAGTCTTGCCGAGTGTAGGGGAATCCGTAGGTGGCGGTGCATCCTCCGATGAGCCAGCACGGTGGAAAAGTGGTCGGGGAGCATCTCCCGACTTATCAAGATGCTCGTAGAACCGTGGTGATTTTGCGCTTGAAGATGTTGAGACAGGACGCTTTAGTAGGGTGCCTTCAAGCCACTTGAGTGTGTCTGTAGAAGGGTTGCTGGGCTGCGAGTATACAGAAGATGGCAAGAAGCCATCATTGTGGGGCTCGACAGGGTGAGGTAAGGGCGGTGGCGGTGGCGGATGGTCGGGTACCAGGCCCTCGGAACTCGGATTAGAGGGTCGTCGGTAGCAGACTTCAGCTCGCTGGTCAGCTTGAGCTCCTGGTCGATATCCTACAGAACACATACCTGGTCAGACCCATTGTTGCTCGCCATACCGCTGCTGATACATGCTTCGCTGACGGGTGTGAGTGGGAGGATGATACGAACCTCCATAAGTGGCAAAGGCGTCGTGTGCGGTGCTGCCGGATCTTCCGTGACCATAAGCTGGGCCAGCGGTCATCGTAGTCATGTCGTGTGATTCGAGAGGCCCGTGGATGATATGTGCTTCGCTGGTACGACTATTCTCGACCTTCGAACGACGCCATCGAGCTATCAGCGCGATAGCTACCAATACTAGGGCCAGTCCAGCTACGCCGCCGACCACACCACCGACGACTACACCTATGTTACTTGCGCCAGACGACTTCGGAGTGCTTGTACCACTAATACCTGGTACAGGCGCTGCAGCTGAAGCGTTGATCTTAGAGCAAGAGATGTAGTTGCTTTGTGACTTCTGCAGATATGCGTTGTTGGGCATGGCAGGCTTCAAAAAGCAGTTGCCAGAGTCTAAACCGACATAGGTAAAGCCAGCACATGTCGTCGAAACGGAGCAGGCTGAAAAGCATTGAGCATAACCGCCTGTACCCACGGTGATATTGTTGTCGGAAGAACGCGAATTGTCGGCGTTGCAGTGAATCTGGTACTGGATCTTGGAGTTGTCCGTGTAAAGAGTGTTGTTCGCTCCCGGACACTGTGGTATAGGTGTACCAAGGACAGGGTTGCCTGAGGTCGTGACAGCAGTAGAAGTAGGAGTGTGAGAAGCTGTCAAAAGTCCGCTTGAAGTAGCACTGCTTGTTGTTAGGGCAGTTGCCTGGCTTGTAGAAGCCTTGCCTGTGGCGGTACCGGTACTTTGACTTGAAGAAGTGTTGCTCGAGGACGATGACGAGGACGTGGTAGCAACCGCGGTCGTGATTGTTGCCTTCTGCGTAGGGCATCCACCTGCAGCTCCAGGACTGCAAGGATCCACCGCACAGCATCCAATAAAGCCGTTACCGCAAGCATAGAACGCTGTCCCACTGGCGCAAGCTTGCTTATAAGGTAGTCCTTTCAGCTGCTCATTCTTCGCTTGTACTGATCGATCTGGACTGTTCGACTTCGTATTGGTGGTGTCTATCAACCTGCCCACCCTGCCAAATGCTTTGGCCTTTGACACATTTGCTATGACCTCCGTAGTATCGGGCGCTGTGTCGTTCCTGTCATTCGCATTGCTGAGACCTGTAAGATCCGGAACGATCATCTTGTCCTGTCAGTACCAATCGAAAAGCTGCTAGGAGATGCGTCGATGGCCAGCATTAGAAGTTGACGAAAGCTATTGTGGGCGTCACTATCGTTATAGTCTACCTTTGTTCCGCATTGGGCATATTGCTTTGGACAAAGGCGCCGCGCTGCTGTGTTGCGCCAGACTACGCTCTGAGCACCGTTCAGCTGCAACACAAATCATGTCGAGTGACTGTATGAGTATGGACGCATTGTGGAAGGTGTGAAGTCATCATGGCAATGCACTCTGCAGACTCCGAGTACTGACATACTGACATACTGACATACGGGCCAGAGAACAGGTGAAGTGCTGCCTCCGTAATGGCTTGGCGTGGAATGCATAACAGGAATGTAGCCGCGAACAGACAAACTCTAGCTTCCGACCGTCTTTCTCACCCACGCTCCTATTTCTTTGATCGAAGCATCCGATTCGGGCGCCCTGCCTGCCATGAATTCGAACACATGCTGCATTTCGGGTTGCACTTTCAGCACGGTTTCCACGCCGGCTTTCTGCAGCTTCTCGGCCATTCGGACGCCGTCGTCAAGCAACATATCATACCCTGCGCAAGAAATCCAATGAGGTTGTAGCTTGCTCAACTCCTCGGTGCTAGCAGAAGTCGCGCTGATCAGAGGGTCCGATGGATCGACACCAACGCAGTAACGGTCTCGAATCTTGTACATGCCTTCCATGGTGCCCAGTGCGTCGTTCTTTGCCTTTGTCAGACTTGGACTGTCCTTGCAAGCTACATCATACCATGGCGACAGTGATATAGCTGCGCCGGGACGTGGTAGACTATCCCGTAGCACCTTGAGGGAGACGGTAGTCGTCAAGCCGCCACCGCACGAGTCTCCGCAGGTGATAACATTTTTGCCTTCGAAGCCTTGCTTGATCAGCCATTCGTACGCGGCAACGCAGTCGTCCAGAGCAGCTGGATATGGATGCTCAGGGGTGAGCCGATAGTCCACCATGAGTGCCAGGGTATTGCACGAATGCGCGAGATGAGCACAAAGCTTGCGATGGCTGTCGAGTGATCCGAAACTGTAGCCGCCACCGTGCATGAAGAGAATTGCGTGCTTCTTCGACGCACCGACAGGCTTGACAAGCTTTGCTGGACCTCTCTGCACGCCCGAGATCTTGATATCTTCATACGAGACATCAGGCACCTCTGAAGCCGCGGTGGTTACAGACTCATATGTCGCACGTTCGAGAGCTACGTTGCCATCCGAAGGCGTGATTTGGCTTATGGTCTTGAAGAGGTTGACCAGATATTCAGCTTCGTTGCTTGGAGCCATGACTGTGATGATCGTTTGTGTAGTACTATGTCATTGTGTCTTGCATTGTACAGTGGGAGGAAGTGGGTGGAGTGACTCTCGAGGTCGGGCCGAGCCTCATTGACAGCGTCAAATCATGAACATGCATCATCATTGAAAATCTTCAACCTCATGAATAGAGTCATGTCCGACGTGGCCAGCCGGTCAGAAAAGCCATATCGAAGCTTTTGTACGTCTGCACGCAACCTGACCGTCTCGAGCTTATTGGAAATCGACGTCGACCAGCTGCAACATATCACCGCCAGCAAGGATGGGAGAGACAACTCACGACAAGAAACCCGGCAACGGAATACAGCAGCAGTCCGAAGACGTGGAGGCCTTGACGAGCATTTCCGGTCAATTTCAGATGCCAATGGCAGCAATGAGGACTTTCGTACCTTCGCTGGTAGATTTGAGGGGCTGACTGTATCTACTTCTCCTGGCGTGGCATCAGCAGCTCAATCAGACACTTCAACCCACAATACGGAAACCACAAAGGAACTTGAGCCAGATCTCGAGTACCAGAACGATCGTTCAGAAGGCATCAGATTGCATCCAGCGACCTCGTTCGCCACAAAGACATTAGAGAGGTTACAACAAGTGCAGCAGCACATTCAACCAAGTCATGCCTGCCAGCTTGATGCCAACGCTCCGACTTTCGTCCTATCGAGATCGTCCAGAAATTCATCAATGCTCAATCAGGCAATGATACAGCAGGATGCCGCTCTTTGCTCTCTCGAACACGAAACACATCTCGCAGCTCGTGGGCTCTCCAGACAAGATTTGCCTTACCGCCAAGAGCAACCGATACCTTTACTTCCTGTGCAGTGTGCCATGATCGTGGCGGAGGCAAGTGTCAAGAGAGCTCGTCCACGATGCCGTGGCGATCGCCGCACACACAGCCACGTGCCGTGTTGCTTTTCCAGGGAGGTGTGAAGGGTAGAGTATGATCAAACGCATTACGACACTGGTACAGCAATGGCTCCATCGAGAAACCCCAATCTCGGATTTTTGAATTATACTAAAATACACGTCTAGGAGCTCAGGACACCAGTCCTCCGGCTCAATGCAACCCGCTACAGCTCCACATCATCAACTATTGCTCAATGCAACCCACTCTCGCCAGTCTTCGCCATGTGCGCTTGGCACTCCGCGAGCAGCTTCGCCAGCTGCGTCACGTCATCGAGGCGTCCAAGAACATGCTCGTTCGCAGCCACAAAGCCTTTGATCTGGTACTTGATACCGGTCTCGGCGCTGAACTCACGCACCAGCTTCTGCAGACGGCGCAAGTTGTGGCGTGGTACTCGTGGGAACAGATGATGGACTGCCTGGAATTGCAGCCCACCGTGCACAAAGTCGAGCCAAGCCGGGCACGCGATATCCATGGTCGTGCGCAGTTGTTTCATGGCGAAGGATTCCGCAGGACCGAGATCTGCTGTGCTGGTGCCCCAGTGGGAGAGCGTGATTTGTATGTGAAGCGGCAAAGTGGCGACGTGGCTGACGAGGAGGAACAAACCTCGGCCGTACCAAGTTGGAATGCAGTCGTACAGTAGGAGCTTGTAGTACCAGAAGGTGTAAAGTGCGATAGCGCAGACTTCCGTGGGTCGTGTCCATGCCATGAAGCTCTTGGTATCTGCTCGGGGCGAGGCGAGATGGAGCCAGGACAGGAAATAAAGGTTGAACCGAGCTATGGCCATGACGGGGTAGTAGGTGTACTTCTGGTAGCGAATGGCTACCTCGGCTGCCTTATCCCAGGGAAAGACGCTACCGTAGTAACTGCTTCGGATCGACTTGAAGTAGGATGGCGAGGTTGAGAACAATGGAACGTTTTGAATGTCAGGATCGTGTTCCTGAGATACGTTAGCGAGCCATCAACGAAAAAGCAAGTTGGTTGTACGGACAGGAGAGTTCGTGACCAGGTGATGGACATTGTGGCTGCTCTTCCACCAACCAATGGACAAGCCGCAGCAAAAGTCACCGATGAAGATGCCAATGAGTGTGTCGTAGATGATGTTGTGGGTGATGGCACGGTGACCGGCGTCGTGGGCTGTGAACATGATCTGCTGCCAGAAGGTGCCTAGAAAGCATGCCGAGGCGACGATCCAGCCGCGGTGCAGGCAGTAAGCGAACAGACCGAACAGAATGGCATATCGGATCATCTCCTTGCCATACTCGGAGAAGCGACAATCGTAGAAGCCTTCTGCTCGCACACGCTCGTGCAAAGCCTTAAACTTGACGGCGATGTCGCGCTGGGTTTCGGCGTCCAGGGAAGGATAGTGGAGACGGTCATCGTCGACCTCAGCCTGGACTGCTTTGCCGATGTGGTCGGCCACGCTCTTGTCCTGGATCGTGTTGGCCGCGTCTCCCAAGTCCTTGGACTCCGAGAGACTCGTCAGGTCCTCATCTAATTCGACGCTGGTCTTGCTGGAAGCGATGGATATACCGCTGTCCGAAGCAGCCTCATCGGAGCTGCTCTCATCGCCGCTTGCTTCGATGGCTTGCCCGTTATCCAGGCTGTGGTATATCTCTTTCTCCTTGCGGAACACTCCACCCTGAATCGGCGGCGTGAAGTTGGTCCAGTGTCCTTCGACTCGACCAATCCGATATCGAGTCATGGTAGCAAGGGTCTGCAGTGAGTGGGAACTGCAATGTGATGCATGGTCAGCATCGATTACAAATCCAGCCTCTCGGGCTGCGGATCCAATGTGTGGTATCGCCGGAAAAGGAAAGGAGCTTCCTTTACATCCGCAGCCATCCGGGCGACGTATATAATAATTAGGTAGTGTGAGACGGAGAGTAATTACATATTCAACTCGTCTGTACACTCTCGCCCTATCATGTGGTGTATCACCAGCTTTCCTCCTGGGTGTCGGTCCTGCCAAGAATTGAGTCGAAGCACATTGTTCTGTGTGATGATGATAGACTCTCCGTTGGCGATGAGACCTTCGATCTCGCGGCGTGTGAAGACCTTCAGGTGAGCCATGTCGGCAGAGCGGTGTGTGGTGTGGTAAGGACTGGCTTGCACAGCGTGCAGAACAGAGCGAGGAGAGGGTTGAACGTGAAAGAGCGACGAGATTCACTGAATGCTGCGCCTGCCGAATGACCCTGTCACTGGAACGATCTCAATGGCACGCCCGCTAGACTCAGTCGAGTGTGAAGGACCGTACGCAACACGGGCAGGAGAGATCTGGGCCACTTTGGATGCCTGCAAGCGAGAGCCGCAATTCTGAGCGGGACATCCCGAGCCATACACGCGCGGCCTCGCATCTCTCAACATCGCCACAGATCGCCGCCTTGGTGAATTGGTGGCACGGCGGCACGCGTCGCCAACTCGGCCACACGCTGAATTTACAAGGCTCCAAGAAACTGGGAGGCGATAGCAACCATGAAATCCACGTTCATGCAGAGTTGAACGCTACACTGCGGAGCTAATTCTCTACCCCGGCGCGATATGAATTATAACACGCCTACCGCAAGCACTTCCTATTTGCGTATCCATTGCGAATAGGTGAGGGAGAGCGTACTACAGCACAAATCGACCCTTCACGTGCACGGCAACGCTTACGTATGTTCTGTATACTGTATCATTTGGGCGCACTTTCAGAGCTACCCTTCGCGTGCTCGCCGGCTAATAGAGCTAGATGACGCCGCTAGAAGGGGACACGAACTTTGCTTCGCCCACTTCACGGATCCACTTCTCCGTACACAAAACGGTGAGCACCGTCACTCGCGACAGCCACAGACGCGTATCTCGAGCTACATCATCAGCCTATACAAGACAACAGCATTCGACTAACGCTGTTTGGCAACTTGGTGATAACCACTCGCGTCAACAGTGTTTCGAAACCACAGTCATCGAAGTCGGATGTTATACACGCGGCGCCCACGTTGTCGGTACCAATAAATCGCAGAGTGGTTCATTCCATGAAGGGTCGCTTCACACAACATGCACACAATAATTGTGTCAATAAACAGAAAATGTCGACGTTTGTCTTTGCATTGGTTTACATGTCTATTTCTATGGTCGAGAGGGCCTCAATTGTAGCCCACAGATGTAGCCACACTTGCCACATCGCACGAGTATGTAGCAAACGTGCTTTGTACAGGAGCAGGCGCTGCTGCATCGGGCTGGTCCGTGATCTACGAAGAGTCGTCAGTATCAGAACTTTGTTCAGCAAATACATAAGCAAGCTCACCTGTGTGATATCCGTTACGCAGGCATCTCGCTTCTCTTCGCCAGGTCTCAGCGTCGGTGTTGGCTCTCTCAGATACCTCGTCGCCACCTTGACACCAGGCAGCTCCAACGGTTTCGCCAGATACTTCGTGACATCGCTGACATCCTCGAAGTGGAATGGGTCGTGAATAGGGTGCGTCCCGTCCGGCATACCATGATCCATATCAACGAAGCGCCGCAGTTCCATCGAGCTACCATTCCCATGTGCTCGATGGCTGACGAGGATCTTCTGCTCTGACCGCTTCTGCTCAATCTCGTCGATGCCGTATAGTGAGCCAGATACACCATTTGAATCAATGTACCAGTCCACTCGTGTAGCATACGAGTTGTCGTCATCATCGAATACAGTCTTGAAGTGGAACTCCCAGATGTTAGAGGTGTATACCAATTGCGTACCACTCCCAGCAGCCACTTCCTTAGACTGAATACGCCCATGAGCACTGGACTGGAAGTCTTGCTCTGAGCGTGTATACTGCTCGTCGTCTGGGTTGCCGGGATCACAAATCTTGGCGAATTGTGGCGCACAGTATGTGTTTGCCGTAGATCCTCCTGTCTGTCCTCCTTGGATGGAGAATGCTGGTGGGAACTCGTCACATGTCCAAGCCATTCCAGTCTGCGCTCCACTAGGATCGAGAATCCGATAGTTGGAGACTGAACCATCCATAGCGTAGCCTACGAAGCCACCAGTGCTGACGGTCCTGCCGCCCTTGTTGAATGGTGCCGGTACGACAAGTGGCTGATCAGGCTCCGGGCAGACGTGGTTCTTCTTCCAGTTGCCAGGGCAAGACTCCGTACGCCGGTCATCGCCACGGTCAGCGTCTGGATCGACGTGAAGGGTCAGGTAGTTCCCATTGGCCAGACCACCGTTCAGGCCGCCAGGTAGTGTGCTGAGTGAATATGCCCCGCCATTGCCGTTCACGTTCTTGCATAGTGCAGGGACCTTGGCACAGTTGTAGACAAGTGTCGGCACACCCAGTGGATTCTGCAAGACTGGCGTAGCAGAGTATAGAGCTTGTCCATTGACAGTAGAGATCTGAGCCAAGGCTGTTATGGCTTGAGAGGCGAATAGAAGAATCAACGAGCTGAAAGACATGATGAAAGCACGACTGCAGGAAGAGGTCCTGCTAGATTGACAAAGGGAAAGACGACCAAGCCATCATATCGGACATCTCTCGAGATGCAGAGCATTTGACTACCATGTCGCCGTAGAGGTCCAAACATCGTGCAACCGCCCTCGAAGGATGAGCTGAAGTTGGTACCCACCGAGCCACGTCGATCTGATACCTCGAATTAGCTATACTGTAACAATGGTGTGGAACCGACCATGATGATAAAAGGACAGGGACATGAAAGAAATTGGAGTGGTGGAAGGATTCGCCAAGGGGTCGGACGTTGGTGGCGCGTGTGTTGACAACGGCTGTCGCAAGGCTTTCCGAGCTGGGACGTGGATATCGGGTGAACCTCGCCGTCCTTCAACCTCTCATGCTCTCACTTCCTCGTGGAGACACCAACAACAGCAAATCGAGGATCATCATTCACATCCTGGACTGACTTGATATTGAGTCAACTCTACAACTCAGGTGCCTCTGTTCAGCCAACCTACCAGATACTAATGGCGCAGCTACCAGAAGAGCTTCTCCAACACATATGCTCGTACCTCAGGATAGAATGTTCTCCAAAAAGTCAAGCAGAGGACAGACTCAGACTGGCTACACTGGCGAAATTTTCGCTGGCAAGCAAAGCATGCGAACGCTCCGCTGAAACACATCTCTACTTCGCACTGGATCTCAGGAATAATCCTTTCGCTCGCTTGCGTCCCTTTCTGGTCACCCTCGCGAGAAGACCTAGTCTCCGTGCACTGGTACAGCGAATCCACAACGACTTCTTTGAGACGCAGAGAGATGTAGATAGCGGCAATGCTGAGACCGAAGCTCCTTCAGCAGACATAGGCACGCAAATGACCAGTCTGGCTAATGCTATTTCGGATGACGATCTGCGAGACCATATCACAACCTCCCTTGCAAAGGGTGTACAGGATGCAGAATTGGCGCTCCTTCTGTGCTCATGTCCGAACCTACGGCTGTGGGAGACTGTTGCGGTCAATCGGATGGATCAAACACTTTGCATGGCTGTCATCCGCGCCGCGGCCCCCGGCGATCAGGCGACCCACACGCCACCTCTGCAGCATCTCAGCGAGATTAGGGTGTCTCATTGGGACACGGAGGGTGCTGTGAGGATGCCTAAGATCCAAAGCTTGCTGGAACTGCCGGCTCTGAAAACTTTCCGTGGCCGCATGATATGTTGCGACGAGACAAACCCAGTCACGAGCAAACACTCATCGATTCTTGAGCGTCTTTATCTAGACGAAAGTGTAATCGATGAGGCCGGACTTACCAGCTTGCTACCGACTCTTCCACGCTTGGAGACCTTATCTGTACACTGGGCCAGCTCGATCGTAGGCACTTGCGACCTTAGTTTCATTGCTCTGGGTGGCGTTCTACGAAGTCATGGGAAAGGGCTCAGAAACCTGACACTGAAGACTAGCGACGCCAATGTCCACAGAAATGCATCGATTCCACTAGGTGATTTGAGGCCCTTGGAACAACTCCGTATGCTGTCCGTACCAGAAACGTTGCTGTTCAGTGACCTTAAAAGTCCGCTCGATGATCACTGGCTTGCACAAAGACTGCCAACATCCCTGAGGACGCTGCGGCTTATAGCAGCTGATGACGATACGGCTGAAGCGCTCGACAAGCAAATTTCTACACTAATCAGCGACTCGGCCTTCGCAGAGTTGACCACAATCAAGATCAATCGAAGCGAGGAGTTCACAATGGATGTGAGTGATATTGGATGGGACGAATCCGAGAGCACCAAGTTTTGGGTAACTCTGAAGACGATAGCATAGTAAGATAGCTCATCCAGCCTAAGCCGCACGTTTTGAGGCCTTTACAAGCACCTGCTCGCGTGCTCGTCCATGACTTTGGTGCCAACACGCTCGATCACATCCCCGAGTGGACCCTTGCCATAAGTCGTCTAAAGGGTCCCTCGACAAACCGTAAGCTTGTTACATAATCCAATATTAGCTTTCAACGGCCACGTTAGTGCAGGCTTGTGCTTTTCTTGTTTACGGCAAGTTTCATCTCCAAATCCTCCATCCTTCTGTGGACCTCATTTGCAGCCAGGCGGTTCAGCTACCTTGTCAGTGTGCTCCGATGGCGCATGCTTCCATGGCGAAATTTGGATCAACGCATGCCAGGCTGTGCATCGTTTGAGCCATGTCGCGAGATTGTGGATGCCATGTTGGTATCACAATTAACCAACATGTGCAAAGCGAGTCAAGTCAATAATGGCCTAGTGGTACAGGCCTCCTGGTAGGACGTTGTCTTGCCCCGCCGGTGCTTCTCTCATCCTTCTGTGGTTGCCGTTGTTGCTGATATGTCAAGGAATTGTCTTGGGATCTGATGACCTCGCATTCATTACTTCTCCTCTCATTCTTTTTGCTGGCCTAGGACATCTACTCTAGCCTTCGCTCAGAAGCCGGGACAGTCTTTTCGTACATTCTATTCTGACAAGTCGACAGACCATCGAGTCGAAGATGTCTTCCATGTTGCGTTGGTCAGTACTCAGCGCTATCCTGCCATTCGTGGCGCTCTGTCAGGCCCAGGGCGCCTCTGGAACTATCCCTCAGAGCTCGAATAGCACGTCGAATGGCACAACTCTTGGAGTTGGCAGCAGTACCACTTCCACCCTTAAAATTTCGAAATCTTCTACAGTCGTTACTAGCACCATCGTATCTGGCTTGGCTTCATCAACACAAGCGTCACTTTCCAAGCCTGCTAACAGCACGGCCATACTGGGCAACACGACTAGTATATCAACCAGCAGCATCTCTTCCACCAATGTCGGAAGCCTCTCTGGGAGCCTGTTGTCAAGCTTGTCCAGCACATTGTCGAGTGCCTCATCCGGATCCGGCAGCTTATTATCCTCCTCAAGCTCAAGCTTGAGCAGCACCATCATTTCGCTGAACACAACGGGCAGTTCCACAAGCCCAAGCTCCTCATCGCCATTGTCATCATCGCCATTGTCATCATCGTCGTCGTCGTCATCATCGTCATCCTCATCAAATGTTGGTGGCTCTGGCCCGACTACATCGCCTTCACCGGGCTCTGCTTCCACCACAACAGGACCTACTGCGACCAGTACTAGTGTATCGCTTACCTCGACGATGACAACGATACCTACCGGTCTATCTACACAAGCCTTCGGGTCTTCTATATCCACGAACCAGTGGCTCACCACGACTGGCGCTGATTCATCGACTACTATCGTACCAGTCCTCCTTCCGTGCCCCAATTGTGAGCCTGTCATTGTCTGGAATGTCCCTGAGATACCCAATATCGAGTTCAACTGGCCAGATCTGCCCGAGCTCCCCAAGTTTCACCTTCCGTGTATCAAGATCTTTGGCGTCACTGTGTCAGGGGACTGCACGTCTCCACCCGCGGTCGACTCGCCACCAGAAGATCCGAAGACAACCTCACAACGATCAAATAGCGCTTCCAACAGTCAGAGCGCCTCCAGCAGCGCGACAAGCAAGTCAAGCACATCTTCAACATCGTCAAGTACATCAACTTGCTCATCGCCTCTCACGAAATCTGATTGCCACATCACATGCTCCGCCTCGACAACGTCGACCAGCGAGACACTCTTTACAACATGTCCTTCGACGACTTGCTCGACCACGAAGACTGGATGCGACATCACTGGCACGACGACCACCCTCATCTCAACTATCTCATGTCCTGCACCGCCAACGTTGGCCGATCCTGCGAATACCCCTGTGCCAACCTTGCCCAATACATCAAGGCTATCTTCAGTTTTGCTCACAGGTAGCACAATCGTCAGCTCGAGCTCCTCAAGTCTCTCCAGCTCGTCCAATTCCACTACTGTATCGTCAACAGGCTCGCAATCGAGCAGTAGTGGTTCCACTACATCAACCTCAACCATAACCTCGCACCCTTCAACGACAAATGGGTCTTCGACCATCACAGCTGCACCAAGCACTACAAGCTATGTGTCTTGCACACACAATTACGCAGACCCCGATCAAGGTATCAATGGCCAATATTGTGTATGTGATAGCTCCACGTTCGGCACGCAAACAGCCACAGAGGGCACTTCGACCAATTACTGCGCCTACACAGCCTTACCATCAGCTACGGTGAACCCTCAGAGTGCTGAAACGACAATGACAAGCAACTGTGAAGTCTGCACGATCTATGGCTTTGCAGATTCTGTCTGCACACCTCTAGCAGGCTGTACACCAACAACCTCAACCACTATACCTCCATCAACGTCGACGACACCATCTACAACGGTATCTACACCACAGACATGTTCGCTATGGACGGAATGTCCGACCTGCCCTCCTGGAGACTCACAGATCTGTATTGGTGCCAATGGACCCATGTATTGCGGCTGTGCACAGAACGGTCGGGTGCGAGCGTAGTAGAATAGACGATAGACTTTATTCAAGAAGGATCCCAATTGCGTGAAGTTTGATCACTCTGGTATATGGCTCACTTCATCGTATCAACGCTGATTACTGCTCGTTGGGAAGCGCGCCAAGCTGCAACATCCCGCTGCCACATACCGCTGCTGCTTTGACTGTGCCACATTGGTGCAGCTTGACTTCAGCCGAACATCAATCTCAATATAAATGACAGTCCTCTCGCTAGAGCTACAGGCTGAGATTCTCTTTAAGATCCTGGATCATTGAGAGAAAATCGTGTCTCTGTTACCGATCGTGAGACGTGATCAGAGACAATGTACTGCTTGCGCGGACCGCAGCTGTCACTTTTACTCGCCACTATCGCGCTGGAAGGGATGGTCACAGATGGAGCAGCCCTTTCTGAAGCTCGGATAGCTTCTGTTAGTCGTCCATTAAATCCAAGTAGCGCAACTCTGATCTAGTCTTCTAGCCTACAGAAGACGTCGCATCATCCGAAAGTCCTCTAGGCCTTCCAACATTTCCCAAGCTCCAGGGACTATCCTGCGAGAATGAAGGCTTCATGAGCATCGACACCGACGGCGTGTACCGCGCCTATCTCGCCGACGGCACAGTCACAGACGCTTCACGTCTGAGTCCTCAGCAGATCCAGATCTTCCTTAGTGCTTGCGAACCATGGGAGAGCACGACTGAAATGCAAGAGTTGCGGACCATATATACAGATGTGGACTCCTCGAGGATTCCGGATGAGCAGCTTCTCAACCCATCGGATAGTGCGCGACCATGGGACAAGATCGCTGCATTTGCTGATGCTGTTGCAACAACGCCAAGAAGAAGGTGCAATGCTGAGGACTAGTGTAATGCCAGGCGCAGACCTAGTGAGCATGGAGCACGAATCTTATGCTCCAACGATGTTTATGAGCAAGTGGCTTCGTATGCAGGTAGATGCTCTTCTATAATACTCTTTTGCGTCTGTGACACTTCCAGTCCCGTAGCAGTTGGAGGTAGCACCTCAACCCCCGACTCCCAAAGAACACACTCCATCTTATCAGCCACCACGATCTCAAGCTCAATCTTAAGACGATACGCCCGCGAGACTTCGCCCCATGTGAAGCTAGTAGGTACATCTAGCAGCGGCCAGACAGCAACAGTAGCCCCATATACCTCTTCGGTACTAGCAAGTCCAACTTTATCTCCCTTCATTATCCTGGTAGACAGTGTCCGGGCAATCTGTGTATCGCTCGTGCTGTAGGCTCTCTCACTCCCGAATCGTGGTTCGTTCACACGAGTGGTCGCCAGGAATTGTACAGTCGCGCTCTCGAGCACAGTGGGCGGCGTCACGGTAGCAGTGGTCTTCTCATTATTCTGACGCATGCTGATGCGGAGCGAAAACGGCTGGTTCAGGCATATTGTCGATGGGATCCCACTGATGTTGACGTCGAGACCGAAGGTCAACTTCTTGGCTCCGCGAAGGAACCCCTTCATGCCATGGCGCCTCTCGTCCAGCGCCGAAAATTGGTTTGACTTGAGCTCAATGGTGCGGACACAGCTCTGAGAAGCATTTTGAGGTGATCGGAAAAGCATGGCTCGTTCATACAGCACGCTGGCCGTAGAGTCCGCATGTATTTCCACATCGATGCCCTGCATGGTGACGTCCAGTCGTATCAAATAGCTAAAATCCGTCCCACACATCCGTGTGCCATCCTGTAAGAAGGACTTCATCGACGGCGGAAGCAGACCGCCTTAAATCTCCTGCCCAGTCCGAAAGTCGATACAGGCATCTGCTACCTCAGGAAACCTCGAGCGGAAAGGCACTTTGATCGTCTGACCGGGTGCACATCTGAATGGTCCTTCTTGAACACACTGTATACTGCGGAAGACTCGTCGTGCTTTGTTGTATTCACGATCCTTGTCCGTCCCAGGTATCTTTATGGCAAGAGAGCCCTCGAAGATAACCTCAATGCGCAGTGGTCCGAAAATATCAAGAGTGGATTGATCTTTGGCAGCCTTCTTCGTCTTAGGTGTGTATGTCAGTGCGATATCTCCGGCAATCCATTCTTGATTTCCGTAGTATCTTCTGTGTGGGCGATGGAGTTCAACGACTGCGTTCAGCTGGCCAAGCGCCATCGTGTCAAAAGAATCTGTGGTCACCCAAGCATGGTTCTGACGTACGAGATTTATTGTCTCGTGTCCATTTAATTTGGCGTTGCGGAAGTGCTGCTTGTTCTTTTGTCGAAGGAGCAGCACTGCCACAATTTTCAACAACATTTGGTGAGTTGGATGAGTGGCTGCGCCACACACGTGCAACATGTTCATGGATATGTAAGGTAAATGGTATATTCTGCACACACCGGACGCTCGTAGGAATCCTTACACCGCCTCAACAGCCTCCCAATTCCCCTTCAGCTCCGGTGGCTGCCCAACAACCACACCCCGAAACAAAGCATCCTGCACGCCCCTCCTGATTCCCGCTTCGAGTGCAACGACAGGCTTATAACCTAACCTCGTCTTCGCCTTGCCAATGTCATAGAACCGCGTCATACACGTATACTGAACCTGCTGCCTGGTCAGATTTGGCTTCCCAAGTCGAAAAGCCCAGAAGATCCATTCCATCAGTGTTGCTATCAGAAGTCCAAATTCCTTTGACAGAACCCAAACTTGGCTCGGTTGCGTCTTATCGCCCGCTGCTGCCCAGCACATTCGGGCAAAATCGAAGAAGTAGACAGGTGAGTCGTTTGTGATGAGAAAAGCTTCGCCATCGACTTTCTCGTGATCCAGGGGTGCGCTGAGGCCGGCGTCTTCGCGGTCGCAGGTGGCGAGGAGGGCGGCGAGGGCAAGGTGGTGCGCGTGTGCTACGTTCGTGATCTCAGTGAAGTCGAAGAGATTCTCGTTTTGGCCGATCTGGATTTTGGTCTGGCCGCGGAAGTAGGCTGAGAGGCCAGGTGGAAGGAGCTGCACGTCGCCGATGCCGAACATGGCGCTTGGTCTGATTGCTGCTGTGAGGAATTTGGGATGGGAGGGGGCACGGTTTGATGCCAGGACGTGCATCTCTGCTTGAGCTTTGGTAGTTGTGTAGTACTCCGGTTGTTGATCTCCCATCATTAGTGGGTATGACTCGTCGGCATTGATGAGGTCGGCCTTGGTGTCGCTAATCACTGAAGCAGAGGACGTGTGTACAAATGCTTTCACATTCGATTCCTGTGCCACGCGAACGAGGGTTTTGGTTCCAGTGACGTTGACATCATACATCAATTGTCTGTTTCCGACGCTGTGGTTCGGACTGGCCGTATGTATGACTGCATTTGGTTGTAGTCTGCCGAAGAGCTTCAGCATTGAGTCGTAGTCTGTGATGTCGCCCTGCTCATATTGTACGCCTGCTATCGGTGTTTGTGGTGGTCGTATGTCCAGTACCGTGATCTTATCGCATGCCCCTCTTGACTCCAGCAGCGACACAATGTGATTGCCCAAGAATCCAATCCCGCCCGTCACCAGCACATGTCCCAGACTCTTCACCTTCTCGTCTCTGTTGTAGTTTGACATCTTGGTCGGCTGATATCTGGCTTCAGTTCAACAAGTATGTCCGCTCCCAAGGTCTTGGAGACAATAAAGTTGCAGTGCTCACAAGACTGTATAAGCTACCTTTCCGTGGCTAGTCGAACCACAAGTTCGTCCGTCGCAATTGAGACTTCGATGCTGCAGGAACGAAAGCGTGCACGGTCCGCGTCCGCGAAATCGAACCATAAATTCAACCACGAAAGGCTCTTGAACAGACAAACACTACTTCAACATCTTGAACATCAATGTCTGGGGACCACGAGAAAATCGACACACATACAGCACCGACTATTCACCTCTATGCAGAGCATCTCCAAAACATTCGAACCTTGAGCATTCAGGCCTCGCTTGCCACGGTCTCGAATCAGGAGACTCGAGCCAAGCTGTCAGCAGATGGCTCGCTGCTGACTTTACAGCATGAAGGCGAGAGCGCGAGCATACAACTACCACTGGACATAGGAAGACACAGCGATGCCATTTTGACCATACCAGCAGCACCTACCAAAGAGTTATCTTTCCGCCTAAGTGTCCAGGAGAAGGCCGACGCGTCAGGCCAACTCGCCGCGAATGGATCCGAGGATGGTCTTATCGAACCGTGGACGGCTAGTGACATGACCGCGCAGACCGAGATGCAATGTGCCGCATGCAATGCTATTCTCGTGCCTCGCGGCGAAATCACGCGGTGGAAAGATCTACCATCCGAGGGCTGGGCAGAAATGATGGAATTCTGGCATTGTCACAAGCCGGATGCACCGCAAAGCCACGACCATAGCCACGGCCGTGATATTGAAAATGCAGGTAGAGGCTTTGCTGCAAACAGTACCCTGGCTGTTCGTACTGGTGTGGGTCTTGTAGGTCCCACGGAGTTTCTGCTTGCGCCAGACGATTGCAAGAGCATAGAAGTAGGTGATATTCCCTTCTTTCTTCCTGGCCTTGGTACTTCGTGCATGGTTTACATCTGCTTGACTGCATGCCACGCCTGGGCTCTTAAGAACCAGCCTTTCGCAGCCATACGGTCGTCCTCACGAAAGTCACGGTATACAGACGCCCTACATCAACGCTTGATTGCTTGATAAGCTAGCATCAACCTCACCCCGGTGATGGTGGATCTGGTGTAAGAGCTTCAGAGTCTAGCATACCTCTGTCGGGTCTTGGAGACCACGGGCTTCGATCGGGATCAGCAATGCTTAGACACAATTATATAGCTACTGTATGCATTTGCTAATACTCATTATCTCTCAGACGCAGATGGCTACTTCATCCCATGTGCCCACCACCAATCTGGTCTGCCAAAGCTGCTCTTCAGCTCTTGGGGTGCTTGATCATGCAACTAGCGGCTATAAACTTCGCAAATCAACCCTCGCCGTGAGCCAGCGAGGTGACTGCAAAGCTGTCTCGTACAGCCACGAGAAATGGCTTTCATGTTCGATCTTGTCCAGTGCTGAGAGTCAAGGCGTACGCCGACTGCTGGTACACGCCACCGGTGAACGAAAGGACACTGCGTGTGTACTGCACCTCTCGCTGTTTGCTCCAGACATCATGATTTCCTCCTCGACCGGAGCCACAGCAGAAGCGATGCGAGTCGCGAAGATTCTGTACAAGGCTGGCACTAGTTCTGATCTCGATAAGCTTGATGGTATGATAAGTACAGAAGGCGAACTTGAATTCGACACGGCGCAGTGGGAGAGTCTAGCATTTCACCTACGACTGAGCTCACACCTACTACCACCAAAGTCGCGCACCTTCCAAGACTGGAATTTTGGTCTGCTAGCTCGCTTCACAGAGGCAGATATCCAGAAAGCAAGGACATGAAGAACCTCTCCTCTTCCACAGAAAGCTGAACATATTGACGATCGACAGGGTAGCTGAAAACTGCTTTGCTTCGACGAAAAGCAGAGATATTATATCGTCGACGTGATTCTCCACCTATAGCGCCGCACGAGTACGCTCCCTCTCGTCGGTCTAAGCATACACGTCTAGTAGCCGCCACACTAGATGTTGATGTTTGGCTGTGTGCAGAGACAATGGAGGAAGTAATCAGCATACACCGCCTGTTCTACCACCCACTCTAGTAATACGCTCCGCCCATGCCCCACATCCTGACATCCGATGCCAACCTCACCGCCTCCGGCCAATCCGGATCATCCTCTTCAGCAGGCGCGCTAGGATTCTTTCCTGCCTTTTGGACACCGCTCCAAAAGTTCTCCGACAGTGTACCCGCTGAACTGACACATTCCCTATGCTTCTTCACCTCACCACCAAAGGGCCAATGTCTCCTCCTGGAACTACTAGCAGATTTGACGACTCTCAGATGCTTCTCCTGGTATCGCCATGTTCGATCTGTGGCTAGCTTATGTTCGGTAACGGTCCTTCGTAGATCGTCCGAGACGACAGCCTGGTCTCGAGCGTTCGTAGTATTGCCACAAGCCTTAGCGAAACGAGAAGTGATTGCTCGTTCGTCTAGACGACCGCGTTGGTAGGCCTCGCTAACGTGTAGTTCGAGCATTTCTTGCAGTTGGGCTTGTGTCACGACTTCGGTATCGGAGAGTTTGGGGCGGAGGTGTTCAGGTGTTTCTGCTGCGCCGCGGGAGAAACGGTTCTTGCGATAGCTTTGAGGGTGTGCTGAGGTGGTCGAGGCTCTGGTGTGTGCTCTTTCACGACGACCTTCGGCTTCTGCTTCGCGACCTGGTCGATAGCTATGTGGGCGCCCTTGATGGACTTCTGAGCCACCATCGACTTGGGCAGACTGCAGGCCATCGGTTGCAGCGGTACAAACACTGCCGTCTTGCTGGTCCTCCACCAACTTCTCCTCATCCGAACCACTTAGAGCAGAGTCCTTACGAAACCAGCTCGACATTTTCCGCTTGACGTTACGGCCGGCGGTGACAACTACACCGGCAGCACTACTCGCACGATGCGTGAATGTGCGCTTCTCTGCGGCCTCCTCTATCTCGGCGACTCCAGCCTCTTTCGCCATACTAAAGGCCTCGTCTGCTGTGACCAGTTCATTCGGTCGAAAGACAATCCCATGCCTCTTCTGCTCTCGACCAAGACACCTACGCAGTGGTGGCAGCATAAGACCTTCGGAACTGTCGCTGCTGTGGACGGTGCTTGCGTCGACATCGGCGATCTCCTTGACCGTGCCACGAATCTGGGAAGATTCTCGCGATTGTCGGTACGAGCTGAAGTGTGATGAGGCGTGGGGACCTATGAGCACGTGGTCCGCTGTCATGCGCGGTCGCTCTAGATGTGGTGGTTGCATGTGGTAGCGGAGAGAGGGCACGTATGGCATGCCGCCTGTCGTGATCTCGTGGGCTCTTGTGGTGGGCGATGGAGGGTTCTCATCACGGGTCTCGTCTGGTGGTGTGGTGGCACCCCAGCCGGCGAAAGTGCTCGGAGAATGGGCCATGATTGCTGTGTTCTACTTCGTAACCTTCGCTTCCTATGGTATGTAGTTGGTAGGAACTAAGATCTCTGTTGCAATATCCATATGCAGAAGTACTGAACGGTGTGGCAGACCTGGAGAGCTCGGGGATATGTTGCGGGAGAGCTGGAGCTGAGATGGAGAAAAGCATGGCCGTGTCTAGATGTACGCTTACCATTGTGCTGTGATTGCCGGTGGATACTTATGACACGGAAGGCAGGCACTGGATGTTGCTTTTAAGGTTTATGGAGAGGGTTGGCAGCTACCAAAATGCTCTGCTACTCGATTAGCGAGGGAAGGTAAGCAACGCACATGCTTAGCAAGAGCACTTACATGTGATCACTTGGAACCATCTCTTCTCAGCAATCTGACAGTGTTTCTACTGTTCCCGACCTTCCTCTTGTCATTGAAGAAGACGGCGTCTGCCTTGGTCTCTTTGAAGGTTTCAGGGGCGGCAGGACACAGAAGTAAAGGTATAGCGTTATGATGGAGCTAATCTCACCATGACTTCGATGCCATTGCTGAGCTCCAGATTTGATTGCGTGAAGCGCTTGGTGAGGTTCCAACACATTGCAGATATGCTTCCCATGCAGTCTGCGAGCCAGTCGCAAGCCCTGTTCGTACACTGGGATCGCACTGCGTAGCCAAGAACCACGCAGCAGAGCCGAAACTCCACTCATCCGTATTCACGAGCTGCAGCACAGCTGCCGGCCCTTGTGTCTGTGCTTGACTGACCTGCGCAGCCGAAACGCCACAGTTCGTGCACACATTGGCAAGGTAGTCGGCGTACTTGGCGTTGAAGGCTGGTGATTGCATATTCCGTGTGCCCTGGCCTGGTACTCCTGGATAATGGTTGACGGAGTACTGAAAGTTGCCACTCTCGTAGAGCATAAGTGACAGCAGTGCAGCCTGCTCTCCAAAAGTATTAATCCCGAAATTCTGGAAGGAGATGGCAATGTATGGAGCAGCTTGCTCAGCGTTTCGACACTCGCCTGCTGCAGGCGCATTATTGCATGAAGCCGTCGCGGGTGAGATCTTGACGATGTCGGCGGCCGATGTTGTGGCTGCACGCTTGACCGGTAAGGCGTTGGCGAAGTTGATGAAAGCTAGGAGAGCGAGAACGACGACCTGCATCGTGACGAAAGGGAGCGAGTGCAGTTTGCAACGCAACAAGTGAAGACGACCAAATCTGACCGAGCGGTAGGGAAGAGATGAAGAGGAGTCGATTGGTGAATATGAGAAATGGAAGGGAATCCATTACCTAGGTGCTTGCTTCCACGGAGCCCATACTGCAACATGCGAATGCGCTAGACTGGAGCCGACCAGTCGCTCTCGATCAAACACCGTCTCGAGATACTCTTCACCCCATTGGGCTCAAGATGATTCGGTAAATGCAGCACTGAAAGACTTCGTTTCATGCGACTAATTCAGCCTGGATCGCAGCCACTATCAAGCATGTTCTCTGACCTGGTGTGGGCAGTCTGCGAGCCTCTCCAATGTGGCAGCCAGCGATAAGGACGGTGTTTTGAGCAGTGAAAGGAAATTGCTATCCATTGGCCATCACGTAACGCCAAGATTCCGGAGTCATGCATTCTCGAACGACGTTGCTGCATCATCCCTTCCAGATGCGGTCAGTCCAGACCATTGACATTCGGAGCTGATAGTCGACGCGCGACGTGTCCGTCTGCACTCTGGCGATTGCGTAGCCAAAAGGTGTCATCATTGTCGACCAGCTGAGCAGCCTGAAGGATTCCGGTTCGTTTCAAACAAGGTGTAAGCTCACTTTCTCGGCCGACAGCTCCCGCTCACCGGTCTGCCGTGTCTGCTTATGCGAGCAATTTTCGCCTCAGGCCATCATGCATTGAACTTCGTCGTTTCTCGACATCTGCTATTGTGGAACAGCAAATGCGATAGCGTGTTGAAGCAGCGCTATCCGTTGTTCAGTGAAGGTCTAGCATCCCGAAGAAAACAAAGTCCTTCAGATATAGCAAAGTGGACGCTGTCACGTTTAACAATAATAGAAGTGTCGGGAAGAGCACAGCCACCACCGACAGCCGCTAGAGCCAATCAGGCCTAAGTGCAATCCATCATCGCTGCTGCCTACGCTGGCGCAGGCAGACGTCTCGTCAAGAGCTCGAGGTGTCCATCGCGGTGTTTCCTGATCTCACGATCACGTCTGCCTTCCTTTCGACAAATCTAACCCGTCAGGCCACGAAACCAGATACGTGGCCGATTTCTTGGACGACTTTTTTTACCTGCACTCACAGAATCCGACCGCCTACGAGAGTGGCCATATCACCACCTGGACAATCTCGTCACTTCTCTGGAAAGGTGGCAGCGACTGAGCTGCGAAGTGAGTGACTCACATCCCCATTGGGCCTGAGCCAGGCTAACGGTTCGCAGAGACCGCCGACGGTACAACCCTCCCCGATCGTCTGGAAACATGCCTTCAGTGCATCCCCGCCGCCGGCCAGCGCATCTCGACCCCGACATGACTCCCTCACTCATCTCCTCCTTCCAGAATATGAACCTCCGCAAGGGCCAGACCTTTTCCAATACCAACAAGACTGAAGACATCTGGGATCCGGTGGAGTCACTTCCTGTGCCCACGGCCGCACGCTCTACAACATGCCCCAAGTCGCTCGAGGATCTTCTCATCGGCGCAGGCGAGCGTCGCACTGCTGAGCTGTTTCAGCGAGTCGACCAGGCCATCGCCACCAACTCCAAGCTGGCCCTCGGCGCCGTGCTATGCGAGCCTGAAGTGCTCCCTGTGCCTACATTCGTGGTTGCTTCTGCTCGGGAAGATACCACTCTACAAAAGGTGCGACCAGACTATCGTCGCCACAGTCACTCTTCGGATAGTGGCATTGGCTCAAGCGTGGCTGACTCGGATTGTGTCTCGCTAAAGTCGACCGGTGAGCAACCCTGCATCCTGCATGCAGTCCGCCCCGCGCAAACGCTAACTTCAAACGCAGAGGAGACATCGACCCGCTCTCCTCTCGTCACTGATGACGAAGACGAAGAAGCTGGACTCAGCGACTACGCTTGCAAGCAAATTCACAAATACATCGTCAAGCCCATCCTTGAAGAGGACGCTCTCAAGGACTTTCACCCGCTCATTCAGGAGGTGCCAGAGCGCATCGGCAACAAGGAGATCACGACTCTCCGTGAACTCGAGAAGACGTTGATATTCTTGGCACCGGTAAGTGGCATTAGTTCTCTATGGGACAATGCGGTTGCTTATTGGAGTTTTGGTGTTCAGGAGTATTCGCGCTCGCCCAGCAAATATCTACGCTTCTGTCAACGAACGATTCGAGTGCTGCATACAACCGTCACGACACTTCACGAGTCAGACCAACGTACGCCCGCCGATCGACCGTATACGCAAGGCTACTTCTTTGATCTGGTCGAGCAGGTGTGTTCTAACAGGTTCTGCGGCCACACGCAGCTGTGTACTGACATCCTTCTTCAGATTCGCAGATACGCACAGATTCTACAAGCTACACGCGAGAGACAGGAACAAGGCAAGAAACTTGGTGAGATGGATTACACTCCGTAAGTTGCTCCACTTTTACATCCTTCGCGCTGCCGCGCCACCGCCAAGCCGTTTGACCGGTCGACTGCGGCACAACACAGTCACACTCAATAGCTTCATGCAAGCTCCTTCTTCCTATTGTCATTGTCCTATTGTCAATGGTCTTTGGTCACGTGTTAATGTACTTTGTACTACAGGGATGAAACTGTCTCACTCCATGGTGGCATGAGTCACAATGGAAAGCCAGCTGAGCTAGTCAGACACATTAAGGACGGCAAAACTATAAGTGTCGCCACCGGCCTCCCTCTTTCTGAGGAAGAGATCACAATGAAGCGACCCATGCCTGCCGACATCGTCGACGATGAGGAAGCCATGCGGTCGATGGCACGCCGCAAGAAGGGTGCCAAGCCTGAGACACATTACTGCCCGGTCGATGCTTGCGACAAAGAGTTCAAGCGACCATGCGATCTCACTAAGCACATCAAGACACACGAGCGTCCATGGAAGTGTCCTGATGACAAGTGTAAGTTCCACGGCCAGGGCTGGCCGACGGAGAAGGAGCTTGAGCGTCACATCAACGACAAGCACTCCGCCGAGCCGCCATCATACCGCTGCCTGTTCCAGCCTTGCCCGTACAACTCCAAGCGTGAGTCGAACTGCAAACAGCACATGGAGAAGGCGCATGGCTGGCAGTACGTCCGTTCGAAGTCAAACGGCAAAGGCAAGGGCAGCAAGACTGTCACTCGTCTGCCGCGTGGTTCGGTGCCGCCATCGCCTTCCTCTACCTTGCTGACGCCATTGACGCCCATTGCGCCGTCGCCTTCTTGGGCGTCAAGCCGTGGCTCCATGCCGCCGCCTCCGTTGGGCGTTGCTGGTCCCAGCAGCTACAATACGCCTTCCTGGACAGCCCCATCGCCTAACTTCTCCGGCAACGACTTTGCGGGACACTTCAACATGAACTTCAACTTCAACGACATGGCCAATTTCCCAACGCCAGCTCTCAGCGACGACCGTCGCGCATCTACAACCAACTCCTCTCACTCAGGCCTGCAGTTGGACGGCAGCTCAGTCGAGAACAGTGTATCACCACAAGATTTGCACTTCGACGACTTCGACTTCAGCAACCTCAACTTCCCACAACCGTCCCCGTACGCTACAGAGGGTGCTAGTTGCTTCGACACCGGCATGGGTGGCGTATCGACCATGGAGCATATCTCTCCCGGCGGCGCTCAGCTCAACCAGACTATAACGGCTCCCCACCACTACGACGCAATGAATATTGATGAAGGTTTCGGCGGCGACTTCACCTTGTACGGCGCCGGCTCTGGTGCCCCCGTCACGACTGGCGGTGATATGTTCGCTCCCCTGCCTACCGATGGCAGCAGCTGGGGAGATTTCGGCGGACACTTCGATTTCAAGACACCAAACATGCCAGCTGGAAACAGTGCTCTTGATGAGCTGTTCCCGGAATTGAAGGGTCATTGATGGGAGACGATACGATACGACACGACACGATTGACGGACGAGATGCGGCGTAAGGCATGAGATCCCCGGAAATAGTCGAAGCACAACAAAACAATCACGTGCTTGCTTGCATGCCTGTCTTCTTACACGGCTGGTAATACATTCGGCGTCGGGATGGAAGGAACTTGGGCAAGAATGACACGGCAACACTGCTCATCCTCTTTCAGAATGCAGTGCGCATGATGGAGCAATGGGTTGGGATGGAGGATACGGAAATGTAGCATGTAGCAGTAGCATAATGGTACGAGATACTCAAACAGCATTATACAGACATCGTGCGATTGTTTCTCACGTTTCTTTCCATTGCGTGAGCGTAATGACACATGTGGCTCTGGCTGCTAGCCTTATAATCGCCGCTGGACTTGAACAGATCATGGCAAGTTGCGGAACCTTCACGGTTCCCAATGTGTCACGAAATTGTAAAAGCAATGCAGCATGATCTGACAGCACGAAGAAGTTTCGATGCGGGAAGGATGACTTCACATGTTTAGTATATCCAATGCATCACTTGTTGGTTCGCAATTCCCTTTACTGCTTAGTCCTTTCAGCCGCATTCATCCCGAAAGTGACTTCACCGGCTCGTGTATGAACCTCTACCGTCTGTTCGCACGAACTTGTCGTCCTTCACGGACAAGCCAAGAGCAAGTCATCCCCGCCTAGACAGAAGGCGCATAAGCTTCCATCGCTTGCTCGCGCGTGATCTCCTTTCCCAATAACCATCCAAATCCGGTATTGATATCCCCAAGAGCCTTTACAGTATTCTGCTCACCAGGCATGAACGCCCAGCTAGCATGAGGACACCCATAGTACAAATCCACTTTCGTCTTGACCCCAGCCTCCTTCAAGACTTCATCGTAGATCAGAACGTCATCTCGGAGCGGATCCATCCCACTGACTGTGAAGAATGTTGGTGGGATCTTGGCGAAGTCGATGAGTTTGTTGGTGTGGAACAAGATGGGGAAACGTAGCTCGGAAGTATTACTTGCGCCAGTATGCTGAGCTATGGCTTCGAGCGCTGCTACATCGAGACCGGGTGCTGTCTTGTTGTGCTCACGAGAGAGAAAGTAATCATTGTATTCGAAAGGAACGTGTTCGGCTTCCATTAGTGAAGGCACAGCTAGCCACTGTCCAGTCAAAGGCGGCGACATCTGAAGCTGAATCGACAGGTTGGTAAGGGCAGCGGAGAGACAGGCCCCGGCCGATGCCCCGCCGATGAGGAAGCCTCTCTTAGGATCGGCATGCAGGTCGCTCCTAGCATGAGCGGCGATCCACTGCAGCGAATCCCAGGCGTCGTGGGCTGGGACAGGCCACTTGTGCTCGGGACTAAGCCGGTAGTCGATGTTGACTACCACAGCATTAAAGAGCCTGACGAGTGCTCTGGCATTCGGCGTGAGCTGGTGACGAGAGCCGGAGATGAAGCCGCCTCCGTACAGGAGCACGATTAATGGACTGCCAGAAGCAGGCTTTTCGGCTGGATGATGGATCTTGATCTTGCTTTGATAGCCGTCACGCATGGTGATCTGGTGTTCTTCCTCGATGAGAGTTGCTTCTGCTGGTCCCAGCTGAGCCATGGCATTGGTCTCGACGCTGTCCATGAAGTCGGCGATACTCTTCGCATCTTGCCAGTCGGCTGGTGGCGTGGGGTCCTCTTGGGCGTACTGGTAGATCTGCAGTTAGCATTAGGAAGTTCCAGAACGGCATACCTCATAGCTCACTTTCAGAATGGATGGTTCAATCTGAGAAGATTTTTCAAGTTCGGATGCTGATAAGAGCATTGTGATTGAAGTCGAAGGTTATTTGCGTGGGCGGGGTGTCAATATACGGCCTCGAGAGGAAAGTGTCGTGTAACGTAACGAGGTTCAGATGGGATGTACACAAGAGGACGTGAAGTGGACAAGCACATTTATGTGAATTCATGGACCCACCTTTGCCGAAGTGGCCTGGGTAGCATATTTGGCCTTTCGACGATATCGTTCATCATCGCCCATGCCTACGTCCGAGTAGCAGGGAAATAGCCAGTGGTGTGATGGAATTGTCCTACTAAGTATCTCGGGAAGGTAGTATCTCTAGATACAGAGGCTCTTGCTATTGGTCAGTGCCCTCCGTTACGTGCGTGAAATTGTGGAGCGAATTTTGGCAGCGTATTCCGGTTGATTGCTTGATCCTGGACTCGCGGTTGCGAACAGTACGTCGACTCATTGACGAGTATGAGATGGGCACCGTAGCCGCATCTTCACAAGTAGACATAGCCACTGAACCTTTACGCATAGCTGCCAGAGGGTGAGACTATGCGCTGTCACTAGTCCAGATTATGCGAAACCTCTCGACACGAATCATTCAAGACCTATGTTCTTGATGCCACCTCTCGCATCTGGATGACCTTGCTATCCTCGGAGTCGAACCACTGTAGCCCAAGCTTTCGGACCTTACTTTCGCTCGCAACGTACAGCATCAGATAGATGTGCTTAACAACTTCACCCCAGCAGTACACCTTCACGGTGCCAATTGTCGTGGTCACGAGTGGTTGCTGCGAACGCTCTCGCACACACCAAACACCCCAGCCAGCCTGCCCGTCGCCGATGAATGATATCAGGTATTCCCAGAACTTTAGCTGCTTCTCGGCCGGCCACTCGAGAGTGGGAATCAGCCAGTATCCTCGTTCCATGGGACGAAGATCTCGCTGAACAGACGCTGGCTTGTAGCAATTGGCCATGGTTGGGTGGTCTGCCAGATATTTGAGGGAGGCAGTCACATGCGTATCAAATTTTGCCAAAGCTGTCATGGGCGCTGGCGGTCGGACACTGGCAGAGAGGTCATCCAATATTGATGCGCGTGATTCCTCTGCCTGTCGCGCTTCAAGCACGTCGAGGCCGTCGCACCGCCCCATTGCTTGGACAATCTCGGAATGATCAGGTGAAGAATCTGACCTCTCCCCCGATGCGGGCCTTGCATCCACGGTCAATGCCAGTACACCGGCTGCTCCAGTCCGATTCTCTTTGTCCTGTCGGTAGCATTCGTGTTGACCGGACGGAGTCTTGGGCGATTTCAGCAACGACCCGGAAGCTGGTTGTGCCGGCTGACTAGCAGATCTGACTGAACCTGCGGAGTTTGAGGCTGCACTGGATACAGTAATTGGACCTGGGTCACTGGTCGAGCGTTGCGAATTGCGTAATCTGGCTCGCGAGCTCTCGGACGTAATGTCACTTAGAGAGTAGCTTGTCGGTAGCTCAGATGTACTCTCTTGGCCGCTGCCGGATAGCTGCGACTGGTGTGGCATACGCAATGGAGTGACTGTTTGCGGAGCCCCAAGATTCCCAATATAAGCAAGACCCGTTTGATCGCCTTCCCTTAGTGGAACAAAAGGCATGGTAAGTTGCGGCTTGGGCGTATGCTCCCGATAATCCGCCATAGTAGGACTTCTTACTAAAACCTCATGGTCTTCATTCTTCCCCTCAGCGTTTTTTGAGATACCCTCATCATCCCGGACAGCAGTATACTCGATCAGCGAAGTTTCATGGCCACTAAATTCCTGTCTTCTAGCTGGTGTCACTAGTATCGGAGTCCTTAGGTAAGACGACTGACTCTCACCGTTTACTGAAGGCGTCTTCATATGATGTACGCCGGGGCGCGCGATTTGCTTTGGAATTTCCTGCCCATCATCGTCCGATACTGGCTTTCGCTTGATCGGCAGCTTGAAAGGTTTGAAAATCGCGGTGTCAGCGCTTCGCGAAGCTGGACGTATGACACCTACATGAGGCCGTGAAGGCGGCGAAGAGATCTGTTCACTGAGTGCATCGTTGGCAGTAAGAGATGGTTCAGCTACTGGACTGTGTCGTGCAAGATCGTCCGGCCATGGTGATTCTGCTGCCGGAACATGGGGCGTCCGGCGTGGGGTTATCTCCTCATGAAGGTCCAAAGAAGATGTCAGTAACTGGCTCTCCAGAGCATTGTATGCCAGCTGTGTGTCATCCAGATACGCTGTCTCGTCATCTATTGCCACATTTTCTGACTGACCAGCGATGAGCTTCGAAGTGGCAATTGCGGCGCCAGAATCATAAGGCTCGTTGGCTATCTCAGCTGATGGGGTTTGAATCTCAGTCCATCCGTTGTGCTCCGCATAAGCATGTGCCAGTCTTCGATATCGTCCATCATCGTTGTGGCCCGAAGGAGCACCAGCGTGGACTCGAAGTTCGATCTTTCTGACCATCCCTTTGGTGAGGACTCAAGTCCATGATGATGTTCCGAGGTCGAGGCGGCCGACCAAGAGGCTTCTCACGCTTTGTATCGGTACATGGTGAGGACGGAGAGCACATATAGTAATGCCCAAACGAAGTAGACGCGGCCGCGCGGAGTCGCGCTGGCCGCCCCGCTTCCCGCAACGGCCGCACTTGCCAAGAGTTTGCACAATAAATGTGACTAGCAGTCAATCATCACATTATTCGAAGAGCCAGCGTTTACTGGGCTCGACAAATCTCTGAACACACATATTCATGGCGCCTTCAACACAGTTCGCCGGCTTGGAAAGCATCATCAGCTCAATCCCCACCACAGACACATGGGGACCACCGACCACGACGGAGACTACTTTAAATGGCGTTCCATATGCGCCCTTTTCCAAAGGCGACAAGCTGGGTCGCATGGCAGACTGGACTTCTGGTAAGGATGGCGAGCGTGGAGGCCGAAATCAGTACCAGCCACGGTACAGGGATCAGGTCTACGGCGCAGGTACTGGCTTGCAGACTGTTTTTAACATCGAGGGCACGAACGAAGACAACACCTTCTCTTTGGTAGATCGCTCGCAGGCTTCGTCAAGAGGCCGAGGTTTTGGCGGACGTGGAAGTGCTGTATTCGGCCGAGGACGCGGTCAGAGAGGAGGACAGAACCAGCGTGGCGGGCGTGGCACATTTCAGCGTGTTGGTGGCGGACGGGGAGGTCAGCAAGGCTACGATCAGCGCGGTGGTCGCGGCGGTAGAGGAGGGCGCCGATTCGGCTGGAAAGACTGGGACAAGCCACAGCGTAATCGTGAGGCTTCTGTGCAGCCGAAGGATACTTGGCGTATGCTCGAGGAGATCGACTTTAGCAGACTATCCAAGCTCAACCTGGACACTGGTGAGGGCGAGGATCTCGACGACTTTGGTTTCTTGTACAACTACGACCGTACTTACGACAAGCAACCCGGCGCTCCTACGTCCATCCGCAAGCTGCAGGTCCTCGATCGCGCTGCTTACAATGTTTCTACATCATCGGATCCCATCATCCAAGGTCTCGCCGAAAAGGATGAAGCTACCGTGTTCGCGACTGATAACATTCTCTCCATGCTCATGTGTGCACCACGTAGTGTGTACAGCTGGGATATTGTGATGTTGAAGGAGGGTGACAAGATCTACATCGACAAACGTGATGGTAGCAGCTTAGACATGGTCACAGTCAACGAGAATGCTGCGGAGCCGCCTCTTGAGATCAGCGAAGGCAACAAGGATCAGATGAACGCTCCTGGTGCGCTCAAGGAAGAGGCAACTCACATCAACAATGTCTTTCCGACACAAGTGGTCCTCGAAAGCGAGACGAGCAAGCACGACATGAACAATGAGCATCCATTCTACAACGCGTCTGAGGAGACCGATCCGCCAGCCAGCAAGGCATACAGATATCGCCGCTTCGATTTATCTCTCGAAGCTGACGCTGAGCCTCTGCACCTTATCGTACGAACCGAGATTGATGCAGTATCGAAGAACAACATTTCTGGAGAAGACCAGATGCTCGTAATCAAGGCACTCAACGAGTTCGACAACAACGCGCAGGGTTCTGGAGGCGCGCTCAACTGGCGCAGCAAGCTTGCTTCACAGCGCGGTGCTGTCGTTGCTACCGAGATGAAGAACAACAGCTGCAAGCTTGCGAGATGGACAACGCAAGCCATCTTGGCGAAAGCGGATCTGATGAAGCTTGGTTTCGTGTCTCGTTCCAACCCCAAGAGCACAGCAGAGCATGTCGTTCTTGGTGTGTTGGGCTACAAGCCGCGTGAGGTATGTTCCAACCCTCCCAGAAACTTTTGTGTACATGCTCTTACTGACCACCATCACAGTTCGCCGCTCAGATGAACCTCAATCTGAACAATGGTTGGGCTATTGTCCGCACCTTTGTCGACATGGTTATGAAGGAGGACGACGGCAAGTACGTGCTTGTCAAGGATCCGAACAAGCCCACCATTCGCCTGTATAACGTGCCGCGCGATACTTTCGAAGAAGACGAGGATGGCACGGAGCAGATGGCACCGGTGCAAGAAGACGGCGACGACGAGTAAAACACTCTCCGCAATTGCTAATCATGGCGGACGTGCTCGGCGGCGCTCAAGTCCCATAGCGTTCGTCTAAAGTTGCAGAAGGGCAATCTCTAAGCCGCATACTACGCATAGATACCTGCAATATGAACACCATCGACCCTCGACCAATCTTTCCCATCTACCACAACTGTCTCGTCCACGGAAATGACGGTCCGTTGTACAGATAAGCCTAACCACAGAAATGCCATCAACTTCCGATCCTTGTAAGGACAGCACCGCCAGAGTCCACATTCTGGAACTTGGGGAGATCCTCTCGTCTCTATCGGCGTGTCCGAGTATATATGCATCCAACGTTGTAGATGGCGTTTGTGGACCAAATTCTCTCTGATAGCCTACATGGTTTAGCGATTTATGGTTCCAGATCCCCGCTTTTCGCGGAGGCCAAGGAGCGGCTCGGTGCCGATTAAGCGACTTGATCGGGCAGACGATTACCCGCCAAACTACTTTCAGATGGGGGCTCGGCCCTCATTAAGCTACGCACCGCCAGCATCGCAACGACTTTGATAGCCGCTCGACGCCTTTCCATCATTAGTTCAACGACTGCCGATCTTCCCCCGACACTGCTCCAGATGACCATAGGTCCAGTCACGCACCTGAGACCCTCCATCAATGAGGGCGACACTGACAGCATCATTAAGGCCCGGGCGCGATAAAGGCAACCAAGAAGGCAACCTTGAAACCTGAGGCCGCCTTGTGCGTTGTCACGTCCAGTTCGGGCAGTCAGCGGCTGAGCTCTGAGCTCCGCTCGAGTCTGCTTGCTTTTTCTTTGCGCAATGCTATTCAGAGACAGATGAGTGGCAGAACTGTCCGGTCTCGTGGCGGCTGAGTCAAAGCACCTCGAGCTTTTTTGGGGGCCACCACCCACACCATGTGCTCAGGTACGAGCCTAAGGCATGTTGGCGGTGATGGAAGCTTGACCTTCGCATGCAGAGTATAGGCACTTAGCCCCCACAACTGACGCACGAGCAGCACATGGAGCAAAAGCGTCATGCGCCATGGACTTCCGATCGACCTGTAGGATTCGAGATCGACGAAGGATCCAACACAAAGGCGTCGACTAACGCACAAATCCAAAGCTCAAACAAGCGCAGTACAGTAGCACAGAGGCAAGCGAAGTGCATATGCATGAGGGCGACCCATCTGCGGAGACAACAAACCGCTGTTAAGCTCACGCGATGGGCAGTCAGTGCTCCTTATCGGGGCAGATCTTCTGCCGTTGCTTAACGAATGCTCTTGAGATGGCCAGGTGCCTTGATCTATTCGTCCAATGTTACCTTCACCGGTCCCAATGCAGGGGTTGCGCCCCACGGGCGGCTTGCATGAGTCCGCCGGTCTGGTCTCTTAGTGACTTCGATGCGGCTCTGCGAGCTCTGTCCACAGTCACAAACGCTTGATATTGACATATAACAGCGGAAGACGTACGGGTAGGCGCAGCTCTCGGTCTGCATCAGATCACGATATCGTTGCTGCTATTGTGACCCATCGTCCAAGAGTATTACTTCGCCTCGACCTTGGTCATAGCATACATTTTCATTTCATCGTCAACGGCGTTGCTGCGGTTTGTCGCAATACGTTGAGTCGTCGTCGAACTGATATATGTTCTGACGCGAGAACGGAGAGGCCACACACCTGGGACATCAACCCAACCAGGACCCAAACCCACAAGGACGACTTCGACTGACCTGAGACCCATTGGGAGCATCTCCAGGACGTTCTTTGACTGTCTATCCTTGAGATCATGACGATGCTACCAGGACCTTACCTGACATCCTGGAAAATAGAGGACCGACCGGATGAGTTCTACATCCCAAGAGGCGAGCAATCCTATGAGATGATGCAGACGTACAGTCCGCTCTGGCAGCCCATGGAGCGCTTTCAGCAGAAGCACGAAGGACCCATCTATCACCCAGGGCCTGTGCAGGAGCATATCATGCAGCCATACCCGGACGTCATGCCGCGTAGGATGTCCATGTACATCGGCTCTGAAAGCTCCATGGACTCACCCCACCAGCGATACGCGTCGCCAAGCAACAGCGGCCATTCTGTGTCGCACGCCAGCAGCACACTATCGGAGCACGACTGGTCCCCACATCCGTCTCCGTTCATCAGGAACGCGTCCTACCCTCCCGAGCTGTCAGTGGACAAGTACTTCCACGGATATGGATTCTACGGTTCGATCGAGCATATGAGCGGTTACCCTGGAGGCCACTGTGTCGCGATGCATGATGTACAGCGATGCGCCGACGCGCAGGCCGAGACCATTCTGTCCGAGGAAGAGACTACCACGTACGGGTCTTATGCTCAAGAGGGCTATCAGCCCATGCAACTTGCAACGCCTGTCAGTGTCGCGACGCCTTGCAGTCAGATTTGTCAGGCTGAGGCAGATTACAAGCCCGTGCAAGAGCCCGCCCCGGTCTACCGTCGTCGACGCACAAACTCTTCCCGATCATCTACCTCGCCAGTGCTGTCGGTCAAAGTCACCAAACGCCCACACGCTGCAAGACGCCGGTCGTCCAACAGTAATGGCAGGACCAACAATAGCAACGAGGACAACACCGGCGCTAGACCTTTTCCATGCCCCTTTGCAACATACGAATGTTCTTCGACCTTCGCATCAAAGAACGAATGGAAGCGTCACGTCACCACCCAACACCTTCGTCTAGGTTTCTGGCGCTGCGACCAGTGTCCCAATGGCGAGCGTAAACCAAACGACTTCAACCGCAAAGACCTGTTCATCCAGCACGTTCGCCGCATGCATCCCGTCTCCGCCGACGCCAAGAAAGCGACCACCAAGTCACGATCACCCCGACGTGGCTCCCGCGGCAGCAACAAGAGCGATGCGACAGAAGAAGAACTGCTCGCCGAGGTGGAGCGGCGATGCTACAGACAGACGCGCACTGCACCCGAGCAAAGCGGCTGCATGTTCTGCGACAAGAAGTTCAAGACATGGGAAGAGCGCATGGAGCATGTCGGGAGACACATGGACAGTGCGACTCAGGACAATGGTGCCGTGACGGATCCTGCAGACTGGCAAACAGACAAGGTCACGGAAGATTGGCTGGTCAAGGAGAAGCTCGTGAGGCAGTCTCAAGGACGGCTGGTGCTGGTGTAGCTTGCTTGCTCTGCTTTGCTTTGATTGTCCACGGATTTGGAGTGGAGGCGCTCCGCAGAATGATACAGCACGATATACGTTCCCTGCGTCTCGACAGCATGTTTGGACGCTGGAATCACGAGGATGAGTTTGCAGGCGATAATGTTTAGTTACGAGCTGAGTGGGTAGCAGAGACCCAACACGTTTCACGCACATGGAAGTCCTCACGCCAGTCTCCAGCCTACATCCTGAATGTATGTACCGGACGAAGTGACGTGTCGTCGATACTCACACATGTCAAAGGAGCTGAAGGCAATCCTTCCGCAAGGGCGGCCTCAACCGCCCGTTATCGCCCTCCTGTCCTATGACCATGCAATTCCCACCAATGCACCGCCAAAGCATTGCTAGCCAATCATGTACAGGCTGTGATTGTTGGACGCAGTACTTTGTTCTGCTAGCTTTTTAGCCCCCATCTATCTACGCCCGGTTCTCAGGGTCCTGCATGAGCTTTTACGTCCTGAGGCATCTAATACCTTTGGGTTATGCCCAAGCAAGTCTACCATTCGATGGAGGCGGGAGGTGAAGGTGGTGTGGTGACCGTGTACCTGGTGCCTGCACCGGTGAAGAGTCTATTGACCAATGAAACACGGTGATGTAGACAGACGTTAGGGTGACGACGAGAGCCAACCACTCAGGTCACGAATATGGCTAACAGGTGCCTTGGTCAGCCACTTGTATTTGAGCCGTGAGAATCGGGAGAAGCTGATACAATCAACTATCGGGCCCCTAGACCGCGGCTCTAAGGGCTTGAAGGTGCATTGCCTCCACGCCCACGAAGCCACCGCTCTCTCCAGCACCCTTCCGGTTGGGAAGTCGACAGCCCGCTGTTCATAGCTTAGGCCGAACCTCGAATCCCGCTCCTTCAGGTAAACACCAGTTCGCAATCCTATGAGCTTCCGCCTTCATCACAGTCGTCGCCCCATCACGAACCGGCTCGCCATCATGCAACCACGTCTCGATCTCATCGTCCGCGTGTCTTTCTGCATCGTACCCATAGCACTCCATCGTGGTACTTGGATCCCCGTACAGGTTTAAGCTTCGCATGGGCACTACGCCCTCAAGCTCGCGCTCCATAGACTTGTCTCGAGCTTCCTGAGCAGGTCCGTCCGGTAGCTGCCATAACCATCCATTGAGATACGAGACTTGTTGCTTGTAGCTTGCCTTTGGCATCCGACCTTTCTCGTAGATGGTGATGGCGTCCGCGATAGTCATTCGACCTTCTATCACTTTACCAAGACATCGTGCAAGAAAGGCCCCGTCTTCCATACTGGTCGCAGCACCTTGCGCCATATGGTTCGTCATGCTGTGTGCCGCATCACCCATAAGCATAATGTTCTTGTGCGGACTTGACCAGGACTTCAGCGGACCAGTCACCAGCAGCGGCCATCGAGATATGGGCGGCTTAATCTTCTCGATGATTCCACGTATCCGTGGGTCGTAGTCCTTGAACTCGTCTTGCACTTCCCGGATCTCAACATCCTCTACCCAGCTTACAGGAGGATCGCGAAAATGGCTGAGCACCATGTTGAAATGTCGAGTGTCAGAGATAGGGTAGCTGATGATGTAGCCTGTGGATGCCATCCAGACTTCCATGGTGCGCTTGAGGTTCCCTTCTTCGTCCTCTACCAGGCTGCGAGTCTGCGGGTCTGCACGAATCTCATCGTACGGTACAATAGCTCTGTACGCACAATTGCCACTCGGCGGCCGTGGTTCGACATCGGGAAATAGAGTCCTCCGAACGATGGACCTCACACCGTCACAACCAATAAGCAGGTTGAATGTGTGCTCCTTGCCTTTCTCCGTCGCGACTGTAACTCGCCCATCAGGCTGCTGCTCGATTGCAATTACCCTGCTGTCGATGATGAAGTTGACACCGTTTTGCCGTGCGACTTCCACCAAACCATTGTGGAGGTGATGGCGATGGACCAGCCACCAAGGATACCCCAGACTTTGTTCGACTCGTGAGATCTTGGTATGGCCTTTCAGAGCACCACTCTTGTCATGCAGATTGACCTCTTCGAAGCGGTTGAGATTGCTTCCGATGGCTTTGTCGACGCCGTATCTGATGAGCAATCTTGACACATTAGGAGTCTGCCTTGTTGTCAACACCAGCATCTTATAAGATTTACGACGCTGAACACACCATCTGTATGCCAGCCCCGATCTCACCTAGCTGACTGGCTGCTTCGAGGATAGTCACCTTGCCACCAGCACGGGCGATGGCTATTGAGGCCATCACGCCACCCATCCCTGCACCTACAATGCCTATCTCGATACTGCTGCTCGTCATTTTCGAGTTCGATTGCGGGGATTAGTTCGTCTGGCTATGACTGTTGAATCAAATGCTAGGCCTTATTGTTCGCCTGACGCGGTTCTCGAGTGAGGGGATGGAAGTGAGCAGATTAGTCTGGTCAAACGCAAACAGCAACACTAATAAGAATAACAGTATGGATGCTAGAGATCTTAGGGAGTCGGAGTGGCACAGGCGTAGCGACCGCCTGTATCAAAAACCCATCTACCATCCTTACCTCATCGTGCACCTAAGCTTTGCACTCTCGGTACAATGCTGGCAGCACCAGTCGCAGAGCGACATCCTTGGGGCCGAGTGTTCGTTGTTTGCAGCAGAGATCATCGTGTACAGTACCCCACCATCGATCGTCGGCAAAGCTAGGTGCATATAACTTGTTCAGGTGTGGTTGGCCCTTACCGACTTGCCGTTCCGAGATCGCCTCGGCAGCTTGAGCAGCACTGCCTTCGCTCTCTACAGCGAATTGAGCCTCTGTCCGCACAGCAGATGTCAAGCAAACCTAAAAATGCGTGGAAAACAGACGAGCAGGGCGGCGCAATGAAGTCTGATCTAAGTCCGGATCATGCTCTATCCGAGCCTTGCCGGCAATCGAAAACGATGATGTAAGCGATGGCCAGGGCTCAATGCCGAACTCCGTGATATCAAACATGCACGTTTCGGAGAGAACCAGATGACATATCAACGATCAAATCTCCCTCACCACGCCCTGTGGCTTGTACAAGAAATCTATCGGAACATCTGATATCTCGGATCATCTCCTCACAGCGCAAGCGAAGATACCCTACTAGAGACAACGTTGCTTGCGCCTCTGGACGAGACGGATTACAAGACGACACGAAATAATTTCGAGATTACTGGGCTATACACATCAGCAACCTCAACCCGTAAGGCATTGCAAGCCGATACTGTCACGAATCACGCCAGAGATTGGATGCCTCAGCCCATTGCTCAAGATGGCTCGGAGCATAACACCACCACAAATGGCCACGTCCATCCAACGGAACGAACGCCACTGATGCCGGCCGCATCAACACTAATAGATCCCCTCATCGCCGACGCCGAAAGTACTGAGCCCAACGGCCACCTTGGAAATGGAGTCCCCAACAGCCATATTAACAGCACCAGCAACGGCACCACGAACGGCCATCCGAAGCCCCGGGCCAAAATCCCCACCGACCAGCACACAGCCGCAGCACAGTCCTTGACAAGGACCCGCGCCCTCCTAACCGGGCTATCCCTCGCCCTCCTAATCTTCCTCCAAGCAACCAACATCAGCCTCCTCACCACCACCCAATCCAACATAGCATCAGACCTACAAGTCTACGACAAAACAACCTGGTTCACCTCCTCCTTCCTCATCACCATGTCCGCGCTCTCCCCCCTAAACGGCAAACTCGCCACGATTTTCCAGCCGCGCTGGTGTATCTTCGCGAGTTCGTTAATCCTTGCCATCGGCGCGGGGATCTGTAGTATAGCGCGGAACTTCACAGTTTTCGTTGCCGGGAGGGCGATGCAGGGCGTGGGCGCAAGTGGTGTGTTTACGATCAGTATTGTAATTGTGCTCGAACTTTCCGGGTCGAAGAGACGAGGCATAGCGATCGGTCTGTTGAATTCCGGCTACACCGTTGGTGTAGCCCTCGGCGCCGTACTCGCCGGCGCATTAGTCGACACGATCGGCTGGCGGGCACTTTTCTGGCTTCAGGCCCCGGTCGCTGTAATCGGTGGCATCGTCCTACTAGCAGCCATCCCGCACGACTTCCGCGCCGGAAGCGCCGCTCCGAACTCCACCCCCAAAGACGCCCACAACGACGGAATCCAGAAACCGACACCCACGCCCCTTCAACGCCTAGCTTCGCTGGATTACCTCGGCGCAGCAACCCTAACCACAACTCTCATCCTCCTCCTCTACTCTCTCTCCTCCCCCTCCGGGATCCCACTCCTCCCGCTCCTGCTCTCCGGCCTCGTGTTGACAACCTTCATCCTAAACGAACTCTACCTAACCGCGGACCCCATCATCCCCCTCACCCTGCTCCGCTCCCGGGGTCTCCTTCTGACCTGTCTCGGAACCCTAGGCTACATGCTCGCCCGCTGGACAGTGTTATTCTACACCCCGACCTACGCCCTCGCAGTCCGAGGCTGGAGTCCCGCGACCGCTGGTTCAATCTTGATCCCCACGAACGCCGGGTTCGCATTAGGTGGCTTAGCGGTGGGGTGGTTGCACATTACGCGGCCCGGGTCGTACTGGTTACCCTGCGTAATCGTGTATGCTCTCTTCCCCATCACACTCCTACTACTAGCAGGCCTCTGCACGGAGAATTCCTCTCCAGTCCTTTTCGTATTGGTAGTCGGGGCGTGTGGAGCCGTGACGGGCGCGGCGTTGAACTACACACTCGCACATCTACTGCATCTGACGCCGAAGCGGACGCATTATATCGCTACCTCCCTCCTGGCCACTTTCCGTGGTTTCGCTGGATCCTTCGGGTCGGCGATCGGAGGTGGCATCTTCACTCGAAGATTATATTCTTCGCTCGAGTCGGGCTTCGCGGAACACGGGTTTAAGGGCAGAGAGGATCTGGTACGAAGACTTCTCGGCTCGCCAGGGCTTGTGAGGGGGCTGCAGGGCGTGGAGAAGGAGGTCGCGATCAAGGGGTATGAGGATGCCTTACGCACGCTTTTCTTAGCTGGGGCGGGACTAGCGTTAGTGACGGTGATCGTGCAGGCTGGGACTGGGTGGAAGCAGGCGAAGGAGGATAGAGTTACTGCTGAGGAGGAGGAGGATGAGCAGGAGGCAAGACAGGCGCTTCTGAGCGATGAGAGGGAGGACGAGGAAAGACGGAGAGCAGAAGTGTAGACGGAGCAATTCTTTGTCACGTAGTGATACAGATACAGGAGCAATAATAGAGCCGCCCTTTCCGTCATTCGTAAAAGTACATAAAACGCCAGGGTATCGAAATGATGCAATTTCACCGAGGGGCGGCCCCCCCCAAGCACCTTCTCCCCTATCCCTTCTCCCACAAGATGGAGACCTTAACGCCGACGCTAGCAATCACAGCAATTCTTTCCAATCCACTTCATCTGTCTTGTACTTGTCGTAGCCCAAATGGACAGATGGATGGCCATCTCAACGGTACCTCATGAGTCACATCATGCGTGACTTCCGTACGTCCCGCCACACAATCCCAATCCCCGCCGCCAGATTGACCAGACAGTGCGGAATCTCGCCCCCTCGCCCCGCTAAGCCGGTCCCGCATCCATACTCACATCCTCAAACTCCCCCTCATCCTCATCCGCATCATCGTCGTCGTCGTCCGGCCCCACATCATCCCCCCCATCCAAATCCAAATCACTCGCACTCTCCACCTTAGCCGTCTCCTCTTTGACCCCGCCCTCATCCCCCTCCAGAATAATATCCATCATATCCGGCCTCAGGGTCCAATTCATCGCGAAATCGCCACTCTTCACCAACACGGCAATCTCCTCCAACACCTCCTTGATCCAAGCCTCGGGCTGGCGGAGCTCGGCGCGCAGGGCTTTCATGCCCCAGTATTTATACCGGCGGAAACACTTCTGGAGGGCATCGAGGAGCATCCCCTTCTCCATTCGGACTGCTTTATCCTTCCCACCCGCTCCTCCACTTCTCCTCCCTCCTGCTTTCCCGCCTGCACCAGTGCCCTTGGGATGAGCAGACAGGCCGAAAGTCGCAAACTGGCCCAATTTACTACTCAATCCGGCATGGCCCGTCCGGTCGATCCCCTCGGTGTAGGCGGTCTTCTCCTTGGGAGTGACGTGGGCGGCCCATTTCCGCGCGAAGTCGGCTTCGTAGGTGGCGTCTAGGACAGGGGTGGCGAGGGCTTCGTGTTGGATTCGCGGGGCTAGGGAGGTTTGTTTGGGGATTGCGGAGCGGGAGCGCGAGCCGGAGAATTTGTTATTGCCATATCGTTGGTCGCGGGTCGGGAGGCCGGAGGGTTTGAGGCCGGGGCGGTTGCTGTTGTGGGAGCGCGTGCTGGGTTTGTGGCCCGGGAGGTTCTTTTCGGAGAAGATACAGAGGTTGCTGTAGTCCCGCGTGGTCACGGCGAGGTCGTAGTTCTTGGAGATGTTTTGATGTTGCGGGGTGTTGTGATGGAGTCGGATCTGGATCTTCTGCTTTGTGGGATCGACTTCGTTCGCAGGCATGTTGTAGAGGCGCATCTTGCCAATCTCGATGGGCGTGTCGTCCGGGGCATCTTTGTAGATTTCCGCCCAGGCTTTCCACAGGTCTTCGGGGACTTTGACCAGCCAGGCTTGGGCTGAGGGGTCGGGGAAGGTGAGGTCCGTGTCGTCTTCGAATGCTGCTTCGAATGCTGCTATGTCTTTGACGTCGGTGGTGTTGTTGTTGTTGGTGGTCGCTGGGTCGATCTTGATCTCAGGTTTGATGTCGGCCATCTTTGACTGTGTGTGTGAGATGTGAAGGGGAGCAGTGTTGGTTGACAGGTCAAGCGCGTGCCTGATCGACGTTGCGTGCCTGCCTAGGTACGGCTGCTCCCGTTCCTTATCGCTTATCGGAGCTGTCATCTACAGTACCTGGAGCTTCACACGCGAGTCAAACAGTACAATCATTAAGAAAACACAACACAAGATGGCCTCCTCCAAAGTGACCAGCCAGCTCTCTCAAGCACAGAACAGCGCCCCCGCCCAACGTACCGATGCCTACAACACCCTCCTCACCCACATCATCACCTCCGCCAGCTCCACCCTCCCCGCCGACCTCACAGCCTACGTCCACTCCATCCTCTCCGACACCATCGGCGTCATCCACTCCCGGCCCCTCCTCTCCGCCTTCGTCGACCAATTCCGCACTATATCAAACAACGAAGCGAAGATAGAAGCCGGCACCCAAATCCTCCACCTCCTCGCCCCACGCATTGTAAGCTACGAACAACAAGACACAGCCCTCAAACACATCCTCGCCGACGCCCACGAAGCAGAAGAAGACTACGTCGAGTCGGCCAAAGTCCTGCAGACCATCACACTCGATTCAAGTCAGAGGACAGTGACAGACGACGACAAAGCCAAAGTCTGGATGCGCATTTGCCGATGTTACCTCGAAGTCGACGACCCAACCAACGCCCTCACCTACCTCAACAAAATCAAACAAGTCATCTTCTCCGTCACCGACCAACCCACGCGCCTCCAGTTCCAGCTCTCACAAGCCCGGATCCACGACTCCCAGCGGAACTTCCTAGACGCCTCCACCGCCTACCTCGCCCTCAGCAACGAAACGATAATAGATGAAGAGGAGAGATTGCAAGCCCTAAGTGCAGCCATCACCACCGCTGTCCTCGCCCCCGCCGGCCCGGCACGCGCGAGGCAATTAGGACGGATATGCAAAGACGACCGAGCGTCAGAAACACCGGAATACGGGATCCTCGTCAAGATCTTCCTGGACCGCCTTCTCGACCCCTCGGAAGTCTCCGCTTTCGCCGCCGGTCTCAAGGACCATCAATTAGCCAAAACAGCCGACGGCTCCACAGTCCTGGATCGTGCGGTGCTAGAGCACAATCTCCTGAGTATCTCCCGCTTATACCAGAATATCTCCACTGCTTCCCTTGGGGCGCTCTTGGGGGTGGAGAAGGAGAAGGCGGAGGTTTATGCCGCGGCTATGATTGAGAGTCGGAGGTTGGGGGGTTCGATTGATCAGATTGAGGAGAGGATTTGGTTTGGTGGGGGTGGAGAGGGGGGGAAGGGGCAAGGGGTTGGTTTGAGGAGTTGGGAACAAGGGGTGCAGGGATTGGCGGAGGAGGTGGAGAGGGTGACGGTTTTGTTGCAGAGGGAGGAGGCGGGGTGGTTTGAGGGGAGGGTCGGGGTTGTTTGAGTGGGGAAGAAATGTGAGGACATGATGATCGTTGTGATGATCATGGTAGTGTAATAGACCAGCTCGGACAGAGAGCCGAGCGATGGATGCTGTGATTCAAGCAGCTTTTCACTGCCTACAGACATAGGAGCTCAGCCGCGCCTCCTTTCGATGGGAAAATGGAATGTATGTAATACGACATGACGAGACCATGCATGAAGCAACTCAAAGCATACAGCACACCATGTCCCACGCCCATCACCCAGTTCCACAAACAACAGCACCCTCAAATGCTTACTTGATCACCCTACGAGCAAAGGTTCCGGTCTCCTCCTTCTTCCCACTGACTTCAGCATAGGAGGAGAAGCCGCGCCCCGCCCGCGAAGCGGTCTCTGCACCCTCCGAGAGTAGTAGCTTTTCGGGAATAGCAATCAAGGCAAGAAACTGCTCACGGGGACAAAGTGAGAAAAAAAAAACCATTCCCACGGATCCCCCAAAAATGCAGACAGGGACCAACGTCCCGATCCCCACCGAGTATCCATACTATATAACCCAACTCGAATTCTACAGCCCATCACCCTTTCACATCCCCGATCTGCTTTCCGTCAGCCAGCCGTCCCACCCCCTCGCTCTCACTCCCACTGCTGCGCTCGCCCTCGGCCGTCTCCTTGCCGACAATGATGTCCGACTCGGCTGCTAATTGCACGGCCTGTTCATCCCGGCCGTGCATGAGGTGTTCGAGGTTGACCTTGGGGCCCTTGAACCATTTGTGGGCGTCGACGAACCACCAGATTGTGATGATGAACTGGTGATCATTTGTTAGCAGGGCCTTCGATTTCGATTGGAAGAAGCTTGATTTTGGCAGGCAAGGGGGAGAAAGAGGACGCACCATCGGGCCTCCGTATACGACTACCGTCCAGTTCCTAAATCCACCATGTCAGCCTCGAGACTCTTCGCCTCATCTAATCCTGCGAGTGATCTGAACATACATAGTCGACTGATCGAGATCCGCGCCCGTCACGCTCGGGAAGCACAAAATCGGCACCATGAGAGCAACAAAAGCACTCGCCACTGCTCCAATGGGTATACTAAAGCGTCCTAGATTCCACGGCCCGGGACGAAACCTGTTCCCCACGAAGAAGACTCGGATGAAGATGGGTGTTGTGAAGGCGACGAAGGCTGCGCAGGCACCGATGCTGAAGATGGCTCCGATCGCTAGCTGGCCGCCGAAGATGAGGAGGAGGAGGAGGTTGCCGACGAGGTTGTTGAACCAGACAGCATTCACGGGGGTTTTGGTGTATGTATTCACATGCTTCCAGTATTTTGAGAGGGGGAAGCAGCCGTCTCGTGCGTAAGCAAAAGTGACACGTGACGCCGCTATCATGCCTAAAGAGTGAAGTCAGAGTCCATCAATGTTCCATACCTCGATTGATGCTGATGCTCTACTTACATCCTTGTCCCATAGCGAAACCGGCTATGATGGTGAGCGAGAGCACTGCAAGTACTATCTTCTGCGGCAAGACCTGGATAAGATACGCTGCGAAAGGTTGGCCGAGATCGCTGCTGAGCGCTGCGCCGATGTCGACGACGGTGTATGCGACGACGAGTTGCAGGAACCAGCCGAAGACGCCTCCGACGGCGCTTGTGAGGAATATGGCTCGGGGACTCGCAATGTTCGCATTGCTGCATTCCTCCGCGAGATGAAAGGGACTGTCGTAACCACTCATAGTCCAGATGACGCCGATGAAGGACATCAGGACGCTGACTCCAGCCGGCCAGTCAGTGCCCGGGTAGATGGTACCCCAGACCTCAGCGGAAGAGGTGAACTTGGACAGACCATGAGCACTTCTGTCGCAAGCGGCTGGGATGATGATGATGACGACGACTAGTGCGATGATGTTGAATGTTGAGCCAACACTATTGACGCGAGCGATCCACTTGGTCGACATCGAGGCCATGCAGCCGTGGATGAGCATGATGAAGACGGTCAGCAAGAATGTATGGTAGCTCTGAGGTACGTAGTCCGGATTCTGAATGCTAGCGCACGCTAGGATCATGGCGGCGGTTCCATAGTTGACAGATGGTGCCCCTGTGACTTGACCAAGCCAATTGGACCACCCAGTAATCCACGCGGCAAATGGTCCCCATCCTGGTGGCGCCAGTACTGCCGCGGCGTAGTAGAGTCCACCAGAGGTTGGCATGGATGAGCACAACTCCGCCATTGATGCCGCAACGCTCTGAATTCCGATCATGGCTACCAGCCAGCCCCAGGTCATGCCCGCAGTGCCAGCATATCCCATGCCATAGTAAAGTGTCGTGGCGAAGCTAGGAAGCAAGCCCAGCACAGCAAAGCTCACACAAAACGTCGTCCAAAGCGAGAACTCGCGCTTGAACTCTGGTTTGTAGCCCAAGGCGGCCAGTACTTCCTCATCTGCTGACCATTCTTCGCCGCTGGGGTTGAAGGGTATATCGCCGCCCTTGAGCACGGAGGTGACCGGCTCTTCGGCGACGCTCTTCTTTCGTCCTGGCACGGAATTTATGCTCGCCTTGCGCTCCGACATTGCTTAGGTCGTGCTGTCGATCTCGTGGTTCACAAATGCTTAGGGAGGTGGTTTCGTCTTCCGGTGATAGACAGTGGAAGACAGGAAAACATAAAACCACCACCTTCTGCACAACTACCCTACCTTAGTAGTTTCTATGGCGCGCCCGTCCACGCGGCAGAGGCTCGCGCGGCCTGATAAGGATCGCGATGACCATACTTGTACAGTGTACATATCCAACCATAGGCACGTGGATCATGCAGCACCCTAGCCAGACTAATGCGCCGAGTAGCCTCCGCCCGACGAGTCCAAGGCGAAATAGTGCACGCTTGCCGACCCATACATGTTCGGGCCAGAGGGAGGTCGCCTATGGTGCAGATCATGCATGGTGAAAGATAAGCAACGATTGGCATTGATGAGGGGAAGTTCGAGACATGCACGGACCATGACCTCGAACTCAGCCCTATGATCTCGTCTCGCGCCACTCCGCGTTCTGGTTCTACAGCAACAACCTCATGTCCTGTTATGGTCCTTAAGTGGTCCACGGTAAGTGTTTCTCTGCTGGCATCACATGGTGGAGGATATGGGGTTACATGCCGCCAACACTCAGCTCCCCTCGCTGCTCATGGCTGTCTGGTCAGCCTATATTATACTGCAAATACGCGCCGACTAGATTGGCAGAGAGTCAAACTTCAATCCAAAGGACCATTTGGAGCGCCCTACTCAAGGATCTGCGAGCGGATCATGATGTCCATGGCAGACCTGGTGCTTGTCGACGCCGCCGCTTGGGCAAAATGGCTTGCGGAGAACGCTTCTTCCTCTCAAGGAGTCTGGTTATCCATGGCCAAGAAAGGAGTCACTCAGCCTACATCTTTGACCTTACCACAGGCCTTGGACGAAGCCTTGTGCTATGGTTGGATCAATGGGCAAGGTCGTAAAGGGTGCGAAGGCACGACAGTACAGCGATGGACGCCAAGGAGACCAAAGAGCATGTGGTCGCAAGTCAATGTCGAGCACGTTGCCCGACTTGACCAAGAAGGGCGGATGAAGGATGCCGGATGGGCTGCTGTCGAAGCTGCGAAATCGGATGGAAGGTGGGATGCCGCATATGCTCGGCAGTCAGAGATTGTAGCCCCGGATGATCTACTTGCTGCTATCAAAGCTGTGCCTGAAGCACAAAATACTTGGGAGGCGGTCAACAAGACCAATCGCTTCCTGCTGATCTACCGATTGAGCTCGCTGAAGACCGAGGCGGGACGAAAGAAGCGCATTGCGGCAACAGTCGAGAGTCTTGCGAAAGGCGAAACACCTCAGCCACAAAAAGGTCTTACGACAAAGCCTACTACGAAGGCGAGCTCCAGCGAAAGCAGCTCCGGCGTGAAGCCGACGAGGGCAAAGCAACGGAAGGATGTCCTGATACAACGGGGCACGCGAAGCAGCTCGCGAACCATCACCAAGAAGGACTCGGTACCATAAGCTGGAACGTTTAATGACAATCCCTTTCACCACCAATAGGCACGAAATAGAGTATACAATTCGACTTGTTCAACAGCCTATCCAAGTCAAGATGTACTACCTCCCAGTCATCTCCTCGGCCGGAACATCTGAATTCAACATCGTTCGTTTGACCTTCCTCCGGCCTAGGGCTAGTACTGGACTCGCTTTTTGACCTGCTCTGTCTCGAAAGTGCCTACCTCTCGCGGTCTCTTATGACCGAAACCGGCGGCATGCATAAGTTGCATTGGCACCCCAGGAGTTCGCACCGCTGGCGACGGATAGCTTGTCGGCCACTGGGCGCTGTAAGCTTGCGGAAGTGATGACCACGTCTGCATATTGGCATAGTACGGGGATCCATAACCTGCAGGGTTGGCGTAAGACATTGCTCCGTAAAGCTGGTTTGGTGGCGGGAATGCTGGTCGAAATGGAGGCTGCGCAGTATAGGCGTACTGTGGCGCAGCAAGGCCGACCTCGTGATAAGCTGGCATGTAGTCAGAAGCGTACGGCGGATTACCGACCATGAGCGGCGTCGGCTCTGGCGTGGGAAATGCGTAAGCGAGACCATCAGCGATGAGCGGGCCAGTGGCTGGTGGTCCATCTCTGCGAAAGTGCTGTGACTTCCTCGGCGCTGGAGTTCTAGACGTGACAGGCTTTCCAAGCAACGAGCGTGTGGTAGTAGGAGACTGGAGAAACTTCTGTTGTTGGAGAAGAGTCTCTTGCGTGAGCTGATTGGCGGAAGGTGGCTTGATTTGGCTGATTGCGGTACTGGATTGCTTCTTGAGCTGCTGCCAATCACCACCCACAGTCAACGCCTTCTTACTACCCTCGAGGCCGGAAACCGGCAGTGTTGTCTTGGGGAGGTCCTTGCTGGTCAGCTCCTCGATAAGTGGCTCAGAGCTCGCCACCTCGCAGTCGACCGTCACCTTCTTGAGCCACTTCAGCACGCTGGAAACCTTGCCAATCGTTTCCATGCGTCGGATATCCGCCTGTTGAAGAGGACGAATCACCAACTCATGAGGCGCAAGGTCGCGGAAGATCCACTTGCTTCGAAGCTCAGCATCTGCTAATCGCTCCTGGACCGATACAGCTTTCGGACTCGGTGCAATTGGGACACGTGTGATGCCATGGGCCTTTGCAACGGCCAGGGTCAAGCCATTGAAGACATGTGTGCTGCTGCATTTCTCGCAACGTGCCTCGACGCATCGTGTGACAGCCTTGAACTTGCCACCCGGGGTCGGAAGTAGAGCTAGCGATGGAGAGGTCGCGTAGGGATCGAGTGAAAGATGGGAGATCTTGTGTTTGCTGACCTTGAAATGACGGAGAACTTGAGTGCCTGGTGGATCGCAAGAGTGGTAGATGTTGATGATCTCTCCTTGCACCGGGCGGAGGTACATTGCGCTGACGGGCACCTGCTGGTCTAGCTGTGTTGTATCCATGTTATTTGGAGGCATGCTGGTATGGAGGTTCTGAGCGATAGATATTTGGATGGATGAGGAACGTGATACGTTTGGCAGCTGAAGATGTACATGCGGTTGAACTCGGAGTGCTGAAGAAATTTCTGCGACGCTAGCCTCAGCAATGAAAAGGGAAGGAGTGGCTACCGCTCACAAGACGTGACTGCCATCTGTTCACTCAACCAGGCAGCTACATTGACCGCTCTTGACTCACAATCACGTCCGAGTCAACATGCACACCGGTCATGATGGGCAGGAACGGCCGAAGCCGAAGGAAGGAACGCAAGGCTGTGACGGCTCGCCGAGCGTAAGTGAAAGCATGTTCAGATACTTGTTGATGTCAGGTCGGCAGACTTCGCCACCGCCGATGCCAACCGATCAGGCCATTCTCCGCGGCGTTTGTTTGTACGCCAACAGTTTGCAGCATATATCTCTCTCTTGACAGCTCGCCAAGGAAGGTATTCAAGGCAGTCACGATCAGTATCGGAAGAGCCCTACGATGTAGAAGCAAACAATTCCATGAGCTGTAGATATGTGGCTTCCACAATGTTTGACGCAACAAAGCCGCAATCGATGTCGCGAAGGATATGCGGATGGAGGTCTCGGGGTTCAAAATCGAATCACGCAGGAAAGATTGTCGCCCTCTGGAGCGCTCACTTAATCGCTCCTTCGCTCCTTCCTTCACGGTTCTGAAGGGAAGAGCTTCAAGTTGAGGTCTTACATTGCGATCAGCGATGTATAGAGCTGACAAGATCTTCGCCAGATCTAAACATAGTTCCCATACGGCATGTTAACAATGGATGGACCGACACAGTCCATAGGATCTGTATGTTGAGAAGATGGTACCCGTGGGTGGTGTGTTGGCATACGAAACGAGGGTGCTGGCAACATGGACAATGTGCCTTGCAATTATGAATGTGAAGACACAGATCGGGGAGGACATAATTCCTACGAGCAAGACTGATGCGATCAATGCCGCCCCACCTCAATGCTGCTGGTAGCGTTGGTTGCTGGCCCGGGTCCCATCGGTAATGCGATGTCGACTTCACCAGTACGGAATCTCTGGCACCGCCGGAGCTTCGTGAACATCAGCACCATCCCACGGCCCCACATTACCATAGCCCACTCCATCCATCTCACACATCAAGCGATCCACAACTTCACCCATCTTCTCAATACTCTCGCACTCCCCAGCCTCCACCCTAGCTTGCCACCACAATCGTCCGCCAGCAATAAGCTCGTCCCTAGTTCCCGATTGTATGGCTTTCAGATTTGGGTCCGATTCACCCTTCGCTTGTCTAGATTCAAGCTTCAGTGCTCGAGACTCTGTGACCACGACCCTTACGCCCTCTTGTGTGACCACCGAGTACTCTGATACTGCCAAGACCTGCTCAACGTTGAATGTCGATGGCATACGAGCTGAGAACGATGGCGCCTCGTCAATAGTGTGCATCGATGCGATGAATTTGCCAACCACATTGAGATCTGCTGTCGCTGGGGTGGCATTGACCGTCCATTTGGCATCCCACACTCGATATGGATAGTGCATGTATGCCGTGGTGAAGGGCTCGGCGCTGCGTTCTGTAACGGCCGTCAAATCTCCATCACAGATCAGCCATTTCATGGTGCCAGAGAGGTCTTTGAGTAGAAGCTCATAGTGCCCTCTGGTGGAGAGTGTGCCTTGGCTGGCCGTGCCCAGGATATGAATGGCGTCGCTTGTTGATGTTGTGAGACGGGGCAGGAAGACTTGCGTGCTTATCCCGTTGAGCAGATTGTCGAAAAGAGGCACCTTCCTGTTCGTGGGCTGATTGTTGAATGTGCTGAGTAGCAAGCCGAGCTCGCAGGTAACTTCAACCTTCATGTTCGGGCGTGCGGCTCGCGCACTGTTGATCATCTCGACGAGTCTGGTAGTTGGTGGTGTAGTGACTGGCTCTTGCGCAGGCTCATAGTTTGGTACAGACGCTGAAGGTTGTGTCTTCTCCACGGCCTTAGCCTTGACCGGCGCAGTGGAGGTCTTTTTGTTTGCTGATGCGGGTGTCCTCTTCTTGGGAAGCGGAATTGGATCTGGTAGTTCCAGCTGGGCTTTGATCTTCCTCGAGCCGTTCAACGGGACGTTGTGCTCGCCTTTGTCCTTCTTTTGCACTTTCTGGCTCATGGTGTACTTCTTGTCTGGACCCACGGGTTCCTTTCCTAGACGCTCGACAATTTCACCGGCATCATCATTGGCGAATGGTACTGAAGCTGGCGCTGCATATCCGGAGGCATCATTGTCTTGAGGGACTAGAGCACGGTGACGATGCATTCTCTTGTGAGAGCGTGCTGAGGCGGACGACTTAGTCGCCGCAGCGACTTCGTTCGGTACATCGATGAGTATGCCCTCGATCTGAGTATTCCGGCATCGCTGACTGCTCTCCAATGCCTGCCTCACCACTGCCGTGCGAGTAGGAGGGAGACCAGGTGGGTACTTCGCCGTGCTCGACCTAGAAACTGGCGCAAAGTCGTCTATGAGTCTGCCCTCTGCCACGCTGTGCGGCACGACTATGCTCTCCCAGTCTGCCTTCTCTTCTGCCGGGAGACCACATGAAACTTCGCGAACAGAAGCTTGGGTTGCACTCAAAGCGTGTGACCTGGGCTTGCGCGCCATCTCGGGTTCGCAACCAGAGCTCACACTCACACTTGCGGAGGTGCTATCCTCTGTGGCATTCACTGTGGAGATGCGCGAAGTCGGTATGAGCCTGGTAATCCTCTTGGTCGTCTTCTGCGGCTCTGGGTGTTCGAGCTTCCATCGAGCCTGGCTGGTTGCGTTCGCCTTGAGGCCAACACTATCAACATTTGCCCATGGCTGACCATGAGACTTGAAGTCTTGCTCGTGCACAACCCCAGAGTCTTGGCGGTCGTCTTCTGTATGGCTGGTGCTCCCGTCGTTGATCGCAACAGCTTCATGCCCTCGAGAGTCACCCGGGCGGACCACGGTCGGTGGAGTTCCTGTTACAGTGACGGAGTTTAAAGACGGTACCTTGGTGGCAACTGACGGCCGTGCAAGTAAACTGGTGAAATTGCGCTTCCGGTCTATGCTCGCCTCTCTCTTGGAAGAATCTGATGCACTGTCGGAATTTTCAGACTCGGAGTCGCCGTCATGCTGCGAATGGCACAGCTGGCTGAACGTCGTTCTTGGCAGTTCAGCATCCTCCGCCTCACTTTCAGAGACATCGTCGGCCGGCAGCATTTGAGCCCCTTTCACCACACGAGCCCGGCCGAGGGCTGGATCCTCGGTCGCGAGCAGTTTGAGCGTGTCCTTTGGAACCTCTGCCCTCTCCTCAGTCTCCTCGAAATATTCTACTTCGCCGATGCCCATTTGCCATTGCTTGATGCTCACTTCCTGCCCGTCTTTGAACTTCCACAGAGTCACGGGAGGCCTGTCGACATCCCCTTGTAATACAGCCGTGCCTGATAGCCGTGGAAAGGTTACCGGGTCAAGCAGTATTTGTTCGTTTACTGCGTCCTGCGAGCTGACTGGCGCGCCGATATGGCCATTGAAGGTGCGATCTTCTCCGCGTGCGACTCGTACAGTGGTACCAATGTTGATTAGCCGCTTCGCCTTCATGTCATCCACATCGACAAGGACTCGTCTCATCATGCCAGGCGGCAGGTCCGCCAGGTGGAACAGTCTCAGCGTAGGATCCTTCAATTCCGTGTGGATCAGATGCAATGCAGAATTCTTCCTCGCAGGTGAAGACTGCAGTGACGAGAATGTCATCTGTGCTGATGCTGGGACGTCGTGAGTGCCATCAAAGTCGACCTCAACGTCGTCAATGATACTTCCGGCAAAGCGTTCAATCCTGGGGGTCCGCTATCGCAGAGAGTCAGTGGGAAGCGAAAGTGTACATCTCCGATACAACAAGACTAACCTCCTCGCGCTGAGTGGCTTCTAGCTCTTCGTCAATATATATCTGGATGGAGAGAGACAGGGTCTCGTCTGCGTTGGCTCCCATGTCGCGATGATCATCGCCTCCTGGGCACTCGAGCACAAATATCTAGTTTCGTTTAGCGCAAAGCCCTACTCTTGAGTTGGATTGACGTACGTCTTTCGTTGTATTGTACCAGACCCTTGCAGCAATGTCGTTCATCTTCTCGTGAAAGTGGCGGATAACAGCGATACGTGCTTGCTCCCCGAAATGGTAGAGAGTGCTGTGCATGTAGCGTGCTTCTGACATGGTGGAAAGAGCTGCAGACCGCACTAGATGCCGTGTGTCGGAAAGGATCGAATGCCGTCGGGGGTCCAGAGATGTGAGCAGTGAAAGTAGCGGTGATGGGCCGCAGGTAGTACCGTCGTGCCGTCCTTAGAGAGACTCAGTGTCTTCTGCTTGGCAATGTGATGGCGATGTCTGATCAGTTTCGAGGATGTAAAGTAGATTTTTCGTGGAGGTCCAATATTGCCAACAAACGGTAAATGCGGCACCGTTTGTCCGTGCTTGGAAAAGACGAATTGGGAAGGAACGGCTTGCGTTATGCCGTAATTTCAAGAATGAGGCAGGAGCGTCCGATATGACTAGCTGTAATGACGGAAACCATCGATACCGCTCAGTTTATACAATGCGTCTCCGAATCGTATATGACCATCTAATCTCCATCATTTCGTTTCCAGTGCCTCATGAAGCGCTCCGCTATCCCGTCATGTCAGCGGAATACCTGTCTTCCATAACATATGCCAGAACGCTTAGTCCGATTCTACACCAAGCATGTCATCATCACCCTTTTCGCTTATCCAACCCACCAACCTTCTGCAACCCCATAACCCACCGCATCTGATTGACGACCTCGTCCATCTCAACACTTTTCTTCCTCACCTGTCCCGAAACCTCCGTACTCTGCTCAGCGGTATCCCGCATAACATCCTCCAATTCATCCCATCGAGATTGAAGCTCATTCTGAACTTTTCTCGTTCGTTCGTTCTCCTGCCGCATCTGCTCGTACACCACATCCAATCTGGCTAGCCGTTGTCGATCTTGCTCTCGCCTTTCCTGAAGCTCGGCCATATCTCGTTCCCAGGCTTCCCTTCGTGCCCGGTATTCAGCTGCAAGCTGCTTGTGAGACGTCTCTAATATCTCAGCATGTACAGTGGCATGCTTTGTCTGCTCCAACAGTCCCCCTTCTCGCCTCTCAAATTCGCCCTTGATCTCCTCACCTTCTCTCTGTAGCTGCCGCACGAGTCCCTCCGCCTTCTGTACCCGCTCTCCCCTCGCCACGTTCTCCACCTTCAGTTCCTCGATCTTACGATCTCGGCGTCCGAGAAGAGAATGGTCCACACTCTTAGCATGACTAAGATTCTCGTTCTCTTGTCGCAGTGCTTCCATCTGTGGGCGCACCATACTCAAGCTTCTTTCCAAGTCCTGCGCCTTCATGTTGGCTATCTCCAGTTCTCGTTTCAGCTTGTCGTTCTCCGCCATGAGTCGCTCGATCACCCGTCCTGACTTTCCTCCTGATGCTGCTGGGCCGATAGCCGAGCTCCATGGGGAGTCGCCCTGATCGCTTGATGGTGATGTTACTGTGCTGTTCGTGTGAGGAGAGGATACGGTGCCGTTCAAAACCGGTCTCGAGGGCGCCAAGTCGCGGCTAACTCTTCGCACACCATTGGGTATTGGTCGTAGTAGCTCGGGTTGTGGAGTGCCTTCTGTATGTGCTGGAAAAGGTGCTAGTCCGTTCATGGCTGCAAATGTTGGAAGATTGTCTATCGGAAAGCTAGGTTTCCGTAATGTGTAGGTCACTGATCATAGCACAACGACAGTCAGCACGTGTTGCAAGACCTGTTTTCATGCGAGAGAGAGCAGCGAGTGCGATGCCAGTATATGGAGACAAAGAAGCCACATCCGGCTTGCTCTTGACTATTGACTCACCAGTGCCGCTTTCCTTTCGACTAGACCTCTTGACGACTTGAGGAGAAGTCTGAGGGCTGGAAGTTTGCGACTTCATCGCTCATGCCAATCAATGTCTGTGTAGGTGTTCCAAACTGATGTGTGCCCTTTAGGAGCGAGATTAATATGATTTTGGCGGTCTCCTTGGCCTGATATGTACAAGGGAAGGCGGGAGGGGGTTCTCGGAGCGGTGTATAAAGTACAGCAACAGCAAATGCATGTCAGAACGCGAGATCGCGTGTACGAGTGACTTCACAGCACGTTGTTGCAGTAGCCGCCGTTGTGTGGCGGGCCGAGACACATGTCAGCGGCTTGCCAGGATGTTGAGTTGAACAGACAACGGGTCTGATGTGGGGGTTTCGAAAACAACCGCAGGACTCAACGAGTTTCTCAGAAGTAACCTCACGCAAGGCATTGACAGATAAGACGACACGAGATGAAAAGTAGGCGAACATCTCTGAGGGAAGACGTGAAGCACCTGAACGGAGACGGAGACGACTCGATTCATCCCTGCCTCCTGCATTGGCTCCTGTCTCATTGCCATACGAATAATGGGAATGAACATCTGTCTACAGACTGCTGGAGAAGGGCATACGAGGTCCGGGACCCGGAGCACCTGTGTCACGGTAGCGTTTCTCCATTCTGGCTTGCGGATTGAAGAATAATGTCTGCTCGCAAGAGGGGGCAAAGCCTCCTCGGTCCTCCAGAGCAGCAGCATCTAGATCTGGACGACTGCAAAGATAAAGGAGCCATGTGCGCAAACGTAGCGCCACCAGCTGGGGCCACTGATACAGTAGCGATGGCGAGGTATCTGAAAGATCTAGCTGTGCTGCTCATGCTCGCCCACAATAAGCTCGACGATCCAGTGCGAGAAGACTTCATGCGAGCGCACGTGGATCCGGCCTCCCAAACGATGGACGATAATCCCCACAACTGTCCGTACCCACCTAGTAAGAATCTTGACACTCATTTCCGCAACGTGAAGTGCCATTACAAGACTCGTGTGGACATTGAGATCAAGGTACTGAATATCACAGCAGAGGTCGATCAGGACGGCCATCGAGCTATAGTATGGTGCACAGAGGCAGGTGCCAGTAGTACTGATGGAGAGTGTGAGTCGACCTCACCTCTAATGGAGCAAGCGAAATAGGAAGTGGATGTGGCATAAGCACCATTCTGTTCGTGGCAGTGGCGACTTCTTCTGAGACTCTGGGACCATGGCAGCTCATCTCTACGACGGACAGCATGCAAACTTAGGCTTTAGGCAAGCAGTAAAGCATGGCCTTGTATCCCGAAGACCCGGCTTTCACACTCCCCGGTCAATTTGGCTATGGTGCTAGTCAATCAGGCTTCACTTCTCCTATGATCGGAGATCAGAGCTTACAGTCGTGTGTAGCGGCTAGCACGCAGTAAATTTCTTGATCGACTGTGACGGGAAATTCTTCACGTTGTGTCTACAATAAGCGCTAAAGGGACTAATGCGTTCTTTGTATCTCCATCGGAACTTGACAACTACAAGCTCGCGCGCCAAATTGTTATCCGTCCACATCCGCAAGGATGACCGGCGAGATCATAATTTCCACACCCCTCAAGCCTCCGCCTTCACCTCCCTCCCCTTCTCCTCCTCTTCCTCCTTAAGCACATCCGGTCTCCACCTCGTCAAAATCTTCCCCATAGCACCCTTAGCATCAATATTCCCCTTCCACAACTCCACCGCCTTCTCAATCGCCAGCTCTCTCGCCGGCTTACGCAGCATGATCAAATACAGCAACGCCTGCGAACACATCTGGATGCGCTCCGGGTCATCCGCCAGCTTGCCCACCCTATCCAGAACACGTCCGTCAATCTCGGGGATTTCCGATAGGAAGCGGATGAGCGTTTTGCCGTCTTTGGTGTCGAGGTATGTGATCAGTGTGTCCAGTGTGAGAAGGACGTATTGGGTGTAGTGTGGTAGATCGCCAGCGGACATACTAGGCTTAGTCTTCGCGCTTGGATTCTGGTGTTGGTATGCCAGTCGATCGCAGAACCATTCTTCATTGAGCCATGTTATGGCTACATCTATTCGGCGTCGGAAGTCGTCCATTACGTATGTGAGTAGTGTTTGGCGGATGCCATCGGCGATTGTGTACGCTTTACCATTCTTGACGAGGCTGCGGTCTTGATTCTCTTGCTTGATATCTTGGTCGCCATCAAGTGAGAAAGTGGTGCGTGTGGCGAGACGAGTGAGGAGCATTATCCAGCCTTCTCGATCTTGTCCCACGCCTGCTGCAGCCAAGCGATTGAAGCCTTTGGATTCATCCAGCTTCTTGCCAGGCTTGGCTTTCGCTTCCCTGTCGAGATCTGCGAGAGTACTGAAAACGCGCGTCATTGCGATTTTGCCATACTGCTCCTTCTCCTGCTCGCTCAGTGGCGGACCTGGCTCCAGCACGATTGGCTGTATCGGTCCCTCCTGTATCTGTCCCTGTGGAGGTGCTTGGTCAAGCCTGTTCATGACTTGTGCTCGATCGCCTGCCATGCTCACTTCGGCCATTGGGTCGTAGTCTTCGTCTTCATCTCCAGCGACAGCTCTCGCACTTTCGAGAGCTGTGTGTGGTGGTCTCTGCTTGTAATCCAAAAAGCGTCTCTGGACAGCTGTGACTGCAGCGTGGAGCCGGGCCGGGTCAATGCTACCGAGTAGTGGTAAGACGAGTTGGTTGACAGTGTGCAGCGGAATCGCTTCGACGTGAAACCCAGCAGCTGATGGGTCTGGGTCAAGGGTGAAGAGCTGTCGGTACGATACCTCACCTGGTGGTAATGGTGGCGGTGCCATATTTTGTTGCGGATGCTGCGGGTGTTGCTGCTGGGATGCAGTGCCGTTCGCCATTTGGTTGTCGAGGCGCATGCGCTTGTTATTGTCAAGCCCGTCGATAGGCCCATCAGGTGCCGCACGTTTGCCAGGACCAGAATCTGAGAATATTTCCACCAGGCTATGCCGTAGCTGCTCCGTACGTTGTTGCAATCGGACTGCAAGCGCATGATTCGGATTGCGCTTCAGCACGTTGAGGAGGAAAGACATCGTCGTCCTCGTCATACTCCTTAGCGCCACTCGCTCCTTCCCTCCCATTGCTGCCGAGCCCGCCTTTGCTGGCGTGAGTGGGTTGAAATTGAGCACAGTCGTCAAGATCTTGTTGCCAATGCTCGCACGCCGATGTACTAGCGACGACAAGGAATTCAGAGTAGCAGTCACCACAAGCGCTTCAGAGCTGTTGTCCTGCAGCACGCCTAGTAGCCTATCTAGCAAACCGCTTGCTTCTGCTTCCAGCTGGCTCGGCTGCAGCACAGCATGATCCCTCCCCAACAACGCCAGACTGATCTCATTCTGCTCCGGCCTCCTAGGATCCGCGATCAAGCCTGGCGTCTGTACCAGCACCACACGCGAGATGAACTTCACCCCACATATCCTCACGCCGGGCGCAGAATCATCCATTGTCCGCAAGATTATACTCTTAATGCTCGCCATCTTGCTCCACAATTCTGTCGTGTTGGAGTTGGATAGGGTCTGGCAGAACACGTACGGGTATATGCTGGCAGCACATTGTACAGCACTTTTGATGACTGCCGGATCTTCCTCCTCGCCCATCGCAGTCTTGCGATCCAGGTAACCCTTCAGTGTGTCCAACACAAGCAGCGACATCTTCTGCTTGTCCTCGCCGCTCACGACTGGTGACGCAAACGTCTCTGCGAGGAAATCTGAACCCCATCTTCGCAATGACAGGTGCTGCTGATGGCCGATCACAGGTAGCACGCCAGGGATGACTTGTGGATATGTGGTGGGTGTGGCTAAGCATATATTCCGGGCCTCGTTCAAAGACTTCAGTATCGTGCTAGAGTATGCCATGTTGTCGGTCAGGGAGGCATGAACGAGGGTCGCTACGCGAGCGATGCTGCAGTGAGTGGTCACGAGGCAGCACGACGCAGCTATCTACACAGCGGGAAGGGGAGAAGATGAGTGAAGTGTATGCTCATAGCCAGTTCGGAACGGGGTGTGAGGTCGTGAGGAAGCGTCCGCTGCGGTACCGATAATAAGATGTTGTTCACGCGATGGTCAAGGGTCGATCCAATGGCGAAGATGTTGCTCGAGCTGCAGGCGCGTGTCATTGCACAAGGTTTGAGGTTGCGCGATCGCGGCGGCAGCTTTCCGTCTGCCGTTCGGGCTTGGCATTACAGAGCCGCATTCACTTCATATGACAGCGACGACGTCGTGCAGTTTTGAGGGCGCAAGACATCAATCGCAATCACGATGCCTCTAGGACGGTACGAACTATATGCTGCTAATGATGGTCTCGATACTAACACTACCGCAGGATACCACAATCATCATACTACGACGCCCGGAATCGACCAGGCGCGTCCCTCTATCGAGCTCGACAACCATATCTGGTTCGGAACATCGTAACGGGATTATGCATCATTGGCTTCGTCGGTGGCGTGTGTACGTATACATGGACAGCATTGCAGTAAGCGAAAAAGAAGGGTTGCCATGGCTGATTACGAGTAGATTCATGGACAATCCGCGCTATTGGCCAGGATGACTTCTCCGACGTTCCTATGCCTGATGCCCCAGCTTCGACAGGCGCCGCACCACACGCGAGTGCAGTGAAGAGCGCGGGAAAAGCGTGAATGGACGATGAGAGGTTTGCAGCGATTGTAGGATGTATATCATGACTTTTAGCGAGCATTGGGCGGCGTTACTGGAGATATTTGAATATCACAAGGAGTTCTCCTGAGAACAAGCTTTCGTCTCGTGCTAATCGCGTTGTGACGCTTCGGTAGCTAACGTGAATGAGGACGTTGTGGCGAGGCCGCTTGTCGATCATGAGACCAAATTCATAGACGCGGATAATGGACCTCGCGCTCAAGTCCACTTCGACAATCGCTCTGCTGTGGCCTATAGTGAAGAAACATTCATCGATCCAAGCTACGTGACGTTCTTGTGCGGCTTGATTTCTTCAGTACATCAATACATGCTCCGCCGTGACACAACACCAACACAAAACACATACAACGCTACTGACAACTCTTACACATATCAATAGCAGTCGCTCAATGTACACACCCTACACATCGTCACGCCGAAGTTAAAGTCTTGACTGCCCTGAAGTGCACTCTGAAGCAACGATCATCAATGACTATGGCTACCACTATTTGCATCGAAGCTTACGAAGGGCGACTTCTCACACAACTCTTCAACACCCTCACACTCAACACCAAGACCGCCGGTATGACACCCGACGATTGATCAGCCTTCTGTCGGCTGCCGTGGCCTGCAATTGCCGAACCCGCCCACGGCGCCAACCCTGACCCTCATCGGAGGGAAGGCTTCAGCCTTGCCGCTGCCTGGGAATGCACCTTGTTCCACATCATGGAGTGCCATATGTACGACGGCACTAAGGAGAGCAAGCAAAACTTCGAAGACGCCACCGGGATAAAGCCAATGCGTTTTGCCCAGGCTTGGTTGGAGGAACCAGGGTCGCGATGGAGTTTCTTCCACTTCGACTACAACAACCCTCGTCTTGCCCCTACCGCCGCTGCTACTGGACCGCAACTCGTCGCGCAACGTCTGGTGGAGCTGTGGGCTGCCAAGACTAAGCATTGGCGTACCGTGAGTAACTTAGAAACCAAATCCAAGATCGTGGCGAAATTGGCGAGGCGTTCTTCGAGCATGAGCAAGACGCTGCCACCAAGTGGCCAATTCACATCATGTCCATCAACGGCAATAATCACGAGGAGTATATGCTAATCCGCCCTACGCACTATCGGCTCACACGACTGCGTAGACCATCCCGGCATCCTATGCAAATGCAAAGCCGCCATCGACATCCCAGTCCTCAACGACATCACCGGCAAGCGATCAGGATTCCTGACCGGCTGGCGTGTAACTATCTATCCAAGGCTGCGACAATGCCTTTGAATACACAGGTGACATTCAAAGCGCCACGCTCTTCAAAGTCCGTCAGAACCGTACTGTCGAGGAATTCGCATCAGCGTTCCTCGATGATGGCAATTTCGGCTTGCTCTGAACACCAGCCAAGAGCAAGGAGGACCTCGTAAAGGCTATGCTCGCCCTTTGGGCCTCACACGTCCGTGGCTGGCGCAGCACAAGCAAGACTCGTCGGGAAGTGCGTACGCGCTACCACGAAGAGCTCAAATCTTCCGGCTTGCTGCGCATCGTTGAGAACGAGACGGGAGTTCAACACGCACTAGATCCCCACAAGAAGGACAACGATGACGATCCATTGTGCCGCTACGTCAGGGTTCCTGGTAAGGAGGAGGGGCACAAGGGGACGGCTGTGTTGTATGCGAAGACGGAGAAGGGTGGTGGGGCGGGCTATCAGCCTCTTGAGTTTCGGCCTTGTCATCAGGAGTGCCGTGGGTGGAAGCGGGTGGAGATCGATCTTCACGAGGCGACTGGACCGTTTCTTGAGGAGGATATAGCTAGGGCAAGGGTGGTGCGTGCTGAGTGGTGATCAGGAACTTGATGAGAGTGCTTGTAAGGACTGGCTCACGCTCAGGACTAGTGGCTATGGCGCTGCTGTACTATAGGTCAGCGTAAAATTCAGCATGACGCCTGGTCTACGCGCACTTACTCATACGTTGGAAAGTGCGAATATTTCTACCATTACCGTGTGTCCAATTTCACCATTTCCTACGATGCAAAGGTGCCAATATCATTGCGCAGAGGTTGGGAATACAACAGACAGCGATAGGCAGAGCCGTGACACGAACAAGCGGCTGTTCGGGCTGGATCGTTGCAAATTGTGCTCAGTAGTAGCTATTACTCGTGCCGACTCTCGCGTAGTCTCTGCCTACACCTGGAAAGGCACCCGGCGTGGCGCTCGCAGCCGTCCTTCTACCATAATTTTCCTCGCCACCACTATCCTCCTCATTGCCTCCGAACGCAGCCTCTCCAGGATCAAGCGGCGCCCTCATCTGTGCCAAAGTGTCCGCATCAAGCACAGGCGGCTGAAATGGCTGAGGTGAGTGATACTCTCGACCGGAAGGCAGACTCGCTAGCAGTGGCTCAAAGGGCGGCACGAGCTGGACGTTGATCGTGCTGTTCTCTTTATCCCACTTCGCTTCCAGCATCTCGAGCACTCGAGCCTCTTCGAGCTTGCCGCCGTCCATGCCCCATTCGCCACCTTTCTGTACACGTTTGTCTTCGCGTCGTTCTTGCCAGCTTTGCTTTAGGCCTTTCAGCCCCTTCCGCTTGCCGTCCTCAAAGTCGACTGCCAAGCCCAGTTCCTTGCGGGCACCTTTAAGCCAGGCGAGACCTTCACCTGTTTTGCCGCTTTGCTCGGCATCGATGCCCAGAAGCCTTGCAGCTTTACCTCTAGCTGTCCGGCGAAGGTCTGCTGCATAATTTATCAGATCCTCATCCACTTTGCCGGACGCGAGCAGGCCATGTGCTTGACTTGCGTGATCTGCTGCAGCTAAGCAGATATTTGCGAAGAGGCGGACGCGGACTTTCGGTATGCTTGGGGATTTGTACATCCACTCGACGTTGCTGTCGTTCCGATCGTCTGCCACGGCCGCAGCATATGGGTCATCTTTCGAAACCACAATCAGAGTAGCTTCGGCCAGAGCAAGGGAGGCCAGAGCGGAGATGGTAGAGGGCTGGACATCGATCGGCGCATCCCTCGCAGCTGACACAGTCGGCAGAGACAACAGATACTTGTGTATACTGTGCGCATCGAGCAGATGTTTCATCGCGGTGCCGATGGCACCAGTCCGTTGCTCACCAGTAAGCACGATCGCGTCATGGAGCATACGAAGTTGAGATCGTGCTAGTAGTGCATGTACGTAAGCCAACGTGGACAAGGTGAAAGCCAGCTCATGATGCAGACCAGTGAGCTTCGGCCGTGGTGCCTCTCGTCCTGGCAGGGTCGTAGCAAGTGTGGAACGCCATTCGACCACAAGCGGTGTCTTCACACCGAGGTCAACATGCTCGTTTCTGACGTCGCCAAAGCCAGTAGCGGCGTTGAGCGCCAGTAGAAACGGTAAGTAGCTTGTCACAGCACTTTGCACTACCGTGAGATGGGTAGCCCGGTCACGTGCTGGCAGGCGTTTGTGCTTCTTCAAGGCATCTTTGAGCACGTTGCGTTTTGTCGTCCCTGACAGAGGCAGTGACGGATGTGTAGCGCTCTCAAAGTAGTCCGAAAGAAGGACAGAACTTGTCGTGGGCAACGTGAAAGGGAATGGCATCGTTGTTGTGAAGTTGAGGTTCGGACTCGCGTTGAAGGAAGCGCGGGGACATGAAGTCAAATCGAGAGGACTTGGCAAACAGATATGGAAGTTACATGGAATCAAAGGATGGATATAAGCTCTCGCGGGCAGGCACATCTTATTAGCGCAATAGAAGGCTGTACGTACAGCTCACACAGCAATCTGCTAGGTTGGGAAGCACATACTTGGGACTGGCTCCATCACATCCCAGATGATACATTTTCGTGGCTGGAAAGGAAACCCTGAGTGCTCATCATTGCACAGATGGTGCAAATGACCATGAAGACCTTGCGGAGGCAAGAGGTACAGTCCGGGCCAGCGCTGGCCAAAAGGCGACATTAGCACGCTATGTCAAACAGTGGCCGGGCGGAGAAGTCGATCAGGTCTTTTCGGCAAGACAGCCCTTGAAAGATGTCTGAACTGCATGTGGTCCTGCTCTGTGGTCTAAGGCTGTGCAGCAGTAAGACGGCAGGACGGGAAAGCAGCCTATCATCGACGAAACTCGCTCGACATGTATTCGCTCGTGGCAGGTCTGATCGCCATGGAAGACCATGTGGCTGGTTTTTGGTTGAACTTGTCCTTATTCGTACATATGTACACACCTGCCATCTCTACTTCTGTGAGACATAGTTCTGCTGATCAAACAGGTAACCCCGAATCTTCGCCTTGCCCAATTGTTGCAAATACCTCTCTGTACACGAAAGTAAGCACAAATCCCACATACAAAATAGCATTTGACCAAGCCTTTGATGCACCTCGCACTTACCTCGCAAGTGCCCACACTTCTCCAAATGATTCACGCCATGCTGATAGTAGCATTTTCCCATCTCCTCTCGTATTAACCTCGCCATCATGCTCTGTACCCATTGTTCGCGGATGATGCTGTCCTGTGCTGCCTTGAGAGCTTTGTTGTCATCGTAGTCAACGCCGTCGAAGGTGGATGGAACTGTAGGCTTCGAGGCCTTGAAGAGGTCGGATTCGGGGGTCGGCATTGTGAGGTCAGCGAGAGGCTGGGATGGCTGATATGATTGTGGATCCCGCAGGCTCTCCGAGTGCCTGCTGTGAGGCTGGTGTTTCCGCGAGCGGCAAGCTGGAGTGTTGCACCTTTCCTTGGGTGATGTGGTTGTCGCTTGTCGATGTGTGTAAGTCCGAGCTCTCGAGCCAGAAGCCAATGCGCTTGCTTAGTCATTCGTCTTCCGTCTCCAACTACTAAACCTCCTCGCCTTGCCCTTTTCGTCCCTTCTCTCCTTCATCGCAGCATCTCTTGCCTCCTGCGTCTCTCTGGCCTTCTCTTCCATTTTCGTAGTCCAGTAGTCTTTCCCATGAGCCGGCATGGCATAACTGACTTTCCATCTGAACTCGTCGAAAGTCACCTGTTGGCTTTGCTCGATCCGGCCGAGCATCGAGTTTCGACGATTCTGGCAGTGAGGGCATAATTGCTCGAGTTTGCGAGATTGGTAGGGGTGTGCGGAGAGGGAGCAATGAGAGGAGTGGTCGGAGTCTGGGGCTATGGAGGCGTTTCGGCAGAGGACCAGGGGCGCCGTGGAGAAGGTGCTGTGGCCGCAGACTGTGTAGATGATGAGACGGTGGCAGCACATTGTGGCATACTGCATGCTATGGATTGACAAGATGCCAAGATCGAGCATGTACATTCGAGCTTCGCGCCGCTTTGGGTTTCTTTGTTCAGAACAATTCATCTCGACTGAAGTACTCTGCTGAGCTATGTCTTTGTTTACTCAGAACAATTGCGACGAGTCGAGCGATCTCCGGTAGTACACGATACGGGCCTGTACTTCACCGCTTTCCGTCACCTCAGCTGGCTATAACTTGTACCCTTCAATAGAAGCATCGCACCTGCAGGCCTGTATACCACTCCGACCACACTGCGCTCTCTGATCGCCTATACCGTCTCGTAGCATCGTCGCCCTCGATTCGCAAGTCCTCCAAGCGCGGGAGAGCAGCGAAAGCAGCCTGACGCCAGCCGTTAGGCAGAAGCGCCTGTATCCAAGGATCGGCGCCACTGATTCTTGCCGTCACTTCTCCTGCGAAGCTTTCACCACATATGCTGATACAAGTCACCTCGCCTAGACGCTGCCTGAGCGGCTCCACATTCGCAATGCTTCTCCTGACTGACCATACCCACTTACGTTTGGCCAAGAACAATGCCGCTGGCCAGATGATGTACACGTCGTCCATGTTCCTGGCTACCAGAAAGAAGAAGGTTGGCCAGCCGTCGGAGATGTGGAGATGGTTGACATCGGCTTGCAAGCTGCGTCGATGTGTCCCGACTCCGGCGCGGAATAGGGAAGTAGTGGCTTGCGATGCGGTTTGATGTGGCCCCAATATTGTTCGGAGGTTGCGCTTCACGTGGCTTGGATAGATAAGCTTCCAGACTGTCCTTGTTCGTCGGCCTAAGCTGAGTTCAAGGGAAATTCTACCTTGAATGCAAGCGGTGGTTTCGAGGTTGATAGACCGGCAGGTGAGCAGCAGACTAAGCGCCTTGGGTAGATGTGATCTGTCAGGTCCGCGCTTTGACCTGACACTCTCGGCGGTAAGCCAACCAGGTCCTTCCACTCGTATTACGAGCTCCTCGGATAATCCAGCGAAGACGAACTCATATATCACATGCCTCAACTCTGCCGGGAGACTCGCGAGAGGTGATTGCGCAGCGCTGGTAGAAGATGCTCCATCGTGGTGGTGATGCTTGAGGAGACGCAGCATTGTGGTAGACTTTGTAATAACGTATGCACAGCAGCGGCGAGTCTTGGGTGACTAGGCGTGATCACATCACTCAACACTCTCCTCACTCCTACATCGATACCTAAGTCTCACGTACTAGTAACGATCCTGATCTCCCTCAGCGTCGGCCACATCCGTGCAACTTCCTCCTCGACCTTGTGATCCTGAAACAAAGATTACATCCCACATTCCCAGCAACACGGACTTTCGGAAGACTCAGAGTGATGATCCTCAGTCTCGGCATCGCTTGGCTAAGAGAGAAGCATGCGCTTCGAAAACAAGCACGCGTCTTGGAACCGTGCCCGCGAAGCGGCCAGAAACTTGTTATACTGCTGTTCGAGTCCAGGTGGGTCACATGCTGCAGCACGTTGGCGTATTGCTGCAGATTTAATTGAATCGTATTCTGCAGTTTCTCGATACGCACGGCGCGCCTGAGCCAGTACGGATGATAGCGGAAAGCATCGAAGTCGGCGTGTACAACGCCGTAGAGGTAGCCATCAGCTTCCCAGTGGATCTGCTTGCAGGCTTGCAGGAGGGCGATGCGGCCTCGAGGTTGTTTCTTGGTCATGGAAGTATTCCTCTCGAGGAAGGAGCCTGGTTTGCCAAAGATGCCGACGGAGATGTGGTCCTCGACGCCTTCGAAGATGGTCTCGTAAAGAAGATTTCGCACTTCCGGTGGCAGAGCCAGGAATGATGGTCGGGATGTGCACGCCTGTCGTCGTGATGATGAAGACTCGGAAAGTGGCATGAGCGATGTGAGCTGGCTCATCCTGGTGATACTAGCTGTCGGACACATCTTGCTGTACTAGATGTACATAAGCCAAGCTTCCAGACAGGATACCTCCGTCGCTTTCGAGACAGACCAGAAGTCCGTCGTAGTGTTTCGAGAAAGCACATAGTGACTGTCGAAGACGTACTGTTCATTCACATACATGTTCCTGCATACCTGATATGTGACCGACGCAGTAGAATACAAACAAATAGGGAGAGAGCAATAGATTACTCCAAAAAGCAATGTGATGATGTAGAGGGAAGAAGGCAACAAGTTTAGTAAAGCCGCATGTACATATTAATACCTCCCAAATGCAGTAGCCTACCAACAAAAGAGACGCCGTCATGACCTACCCTCCTCAATCCGGAAGCAAAAGAACTTACCACACCTCAAAAGAAAACGGCATTCACGAGTCACGCCTAGCACCAGTATACCACTCACACCACCCCTTCCCAACCCCACCCTCTCCATCATGTCTGAACCGAAACTCCTCCGTCTCCGTCACGACCCTAACATCCCTCAGACAAGTCAAAGTCTCCGCATCAACGATACTCGAAAGCTTCGAAATAAGTAGTAGAACCCAGCGCCAACGCTCGGCTCTCTTAGCTTCACTACGGGGCAGATATCCGCTACTGGACCACTTGACCGTGATGGTGGTGAGGTTCGGGAGCATGGATCGTAGCTGCACGATCTCGTTGTGTAGAGGTGCGAGACAGCCGTAGCCGGTCCTCGGAATGTTCTCGTGAAGAAGAATTTTGGCGCTGGGCTGGCCGTGTCGGCAGGTATGGTTCATGTGGGCAGTCAGCGCGAGGGAAAGGTTCCGAAGGGAAAGTGCGGACAGCGCTTCGAAAGCTCTGTGGTCGTTGCAGTCGAGATGGGTGGTGTGTCGGAGGAGATCCTTGAGGTGTAATGAAACGCCCCAATCACGACTTACATCTAAAATTTTCTCTTCCGGGCGCAAGATGTTATCCAACCACTTACCGTGCTCGGGTTGGAGGTCGAAGCTCGCGTGGACAACGCCGTAGACGTGTCCGGAAGCCTCACCATGGATCTTTATGCAGGTTAGTAGGAGGGCTAGACGAACGGGACTCTGTGTGCGAGGTCTGCCTGTTTCGTTCGACTGCTTACCAGGACTGAGAAGCGGAATCGACTCTCCTTCAATCCCATCGAAGACGAGCTTGTAAATTGCGAGTCTTAGTTCCGCTGGCAGAGCCAGGAGAGGAGAGGGCTTCGATCTGTTGACATCCGCAGCTTTGGATCCCAGGTTGGCCATTTGTGCGTGCAGTGGTGAAGACATTACTTACATGCCAGGTCAGGGTCGATCGGAATGACAGGTGGGGGATGGACACTGTAAATAGTGCAGGCGAGGATAATACCATTGAGAAGCGCCAAGAGCATCGGCACGGCAGGGATTTCACTCGCCATAATGCATTGTCTGTTGATGCATTAGCGGTGGAGTCGTCGTTATAGCCATAGCGACGATGCCATTTACTGGATGTGGGTAGACGGCTAGTAGTAGGAGGCGTGAAAGCAGGCGCAGGTTTTAGAGGTGAGGTCCATTATGGTACCTGCGTCCAAGCGCAAGCTCCTCAACACTATTGTGCCTTGTATCTGTCGGTAGCAAGGAGAGCAGACTCGTGCTATCTAGCCCAACAGGGTCCCAAACGATGTCCTTTGTTCATTGACGGCGACCTCGAGTCTTTGTACGAAGGACCATTGCAGAAGGACTCGGCTCAATCGAAGGGGCTCTTTGTCTGTATCCGCTCATGAACATGTCTGGACCCGGCGTTATGGCGGACGCCCTCCTGCTGTCAGTGATCTTGCAGACTGCACCAAGTTCTCGCTACCAACTGCACATACCAAATAGAGCCGGTCTCTGATCCTCACGCCATGGCAGCCGAACACCACCCCCATACAACCTACGACCCTTACTCCTACTCCGCCCTCCACTCTCTCGACGTCAGGGCAGATACCACCCCCGACTTCGCCCAAGGCGCTTCCTCCGATACCCACATCCTCATCACCAAGACAGCCATAGCCTGGATAATCGTCGTCTCCATCCTCGCCACCGCCAGCTTAGCAATCAGCGCCTGGCTGCTCTGCGGCTGCTATTTAAGCCGACGCTCGAAAGCCGAGAGTACACAACCCTTGGATGATCGGAATGAGTTTTTTCCGTGGAACCCTGCTGCGCCTTTAATTCCGGGCGAGGGTGAGGGTGAAGGTGAGGGTGGGGAGGGGCAGAGGGAGGAAGGGATCGAGATGAGGCCGTTGAGTAAGAAGGAGAGGAAGGCGAGACAGGGGGATCTTGATGGGTTTGTGAGAGCGCCTGGGACTCCGAGGGTGGTGGAGAGGGCAGAGGGGGAGGAGATGAAGAGGAAGAGTCGGTATTACTCTAGGGGAGGGGATGGAATCTGGCGGCGTTATAGTCAGATGAGCTGGATTGGGAAGGCGCAGTGATGGGATTTTTGTCCTCTGTAGATGCTTGTATAACGATCATCATCCGCCATGGTGATCCTCATGTCTACCTTGTGTGGTTATTAGAGGTTCGTTGACGTTGGAAGTTCTGGTGGGTAGCGTGAGACATGTTCAGCCACATTCGCTTCCGCATCAGGCAAGTCGAGCCCCGCTTTCCTCGCTCTGCGGCTTGGCGTTCTCTTCGCGCCGGCTGTGACGTTACAAGCAAGGTTGGGTTGGATTGATCATTGTCAGGTACAATCTCGAAGCTCCGTTCACTTCACCCTGCACGCACCTGCCCGAAAGGTTCTTCTTCGACGTACCTCATCTTACTAACACAAGCAGGAAAGTGCTCCCACCGTCACACTCGTTCCTGCTGCTTCTGTAAGCGGAATCTAACAGGCGGTCACGAGCAGTCTTGTGCTGCTGCAGGACGGCTTAGCTGAGCAGAGAGGTGGAGGGGATATCGGAAGTGGTGGAAGTGACAGATATCACTGCCTTTGTTATATCAAGCAAGAGGGCAGAAGGAGGATTGGCTTGCCATCGGTAGATATAACCTGGTGAGGGACTGGAAAGGGAAGGCTTCACACAGCGAGGAAGAGGAAGATGGTGGAAGCTGGCGATGGCGCGCAGCCTCCCACTTGGAAGTTCACGCAGTAAGTGCTTGTTTGCTTGCTAGCTACATCTTCTCCACTGCGCTTGCTTGCTACATCTCCTTCACTGCGCTTGCTTCCTCTGCCTCCGTCATGCGGGACCCCAAGAGCACGTGTGGTACTGTGTACATAGCGGAGAGAAAACACGTCCAGCCGCAACACAAGGACCACCCGGACCATCAATAAATAGCACGACATGTTCTCGGCCTTCCGGAACGCCCTAAGCGACCGGACCAACAACACATCCAATACTGTCACAAGGAATGCCAGGAGTGAGGAAGATGCCAAATTGCTAGACGACGACGGCTCGGAGCGGGAGATCCTATCCGAAGACGAAGGCTCCTGGTCCAGACCCAACTCCAAGTTACAGAGTCCGAGGACCAGCGGAGACGGATTCGACACAAGACCATCTTATCGGCACAGCCAAGATGAGGATGAATGGGAAGAAGTGGAGCCGGATCCAACCTGGTTCTTCAAGCAGTGCGCTCGTCTCGTGTTACAAATGACTTAGTGTGAGAGGGAGGACACATGCTGACCGTGATTCTATCCAGATGCTTCGGCGACAAAGGCGACGTTGAAGATATAACAGAAGCCGACATCATATCCACCGTCGAGTTCGACCAAACAGGAAACTATCTCGCGACCGGCGACAAGGGCGGCAGAGTGGTGCTGTTCGAGCGAAACGAGACCAAGAAGACGTGCGAGTACAAGTTCCACACCGAGTTCCAATCACACGAACCCGAATTCGACTACCTAAAATCACTCGAGATAGAAGAAAAGATCAACAAGATCAAGTGGTGCAGGCGACAAAATGCATCGCATTACCTCTTATCCACCAACGACAAGACCATCAAGCTATGGAAGGTGTTTGAGAAGTCGTTGAAGGTGGTGGCGGAGAACAATCTGTCGTCAGAGCTCACACCTGGAGGGACTGGGAATGCGAATGGTGGTGGTCCCGTGCGATACCCCAACCAGCACTTCCGAACCGTGAACGACTTGAAGTTCCCACGCATGACACATCACGACACTGTGGTCGCCGCCGTCCCGCGACGAGTATATGCCAACGCGCATGCCTACCACATCAACAGCATCTCCGTCAACAGCGATGGCGAGACCTTCATATCTTCCGACGACCTGCGGATAAATCTTTGGAATCTCAACATTCAGGACCAGAGCTTCAATATCGTCGACATCAAGCCCGCGAACATGGAGGAGCTGACAGAGGTCATCACGGCTGCTGAGTTCCACCCAGTCAGCTGCAACTGGTTCATGTACGCCAGCAGCAAAGGCACGATCAAGCTGGCCGATATGCGACAAAAGGCGCTGTGTGACGAGCATGCGAAGCGTGAGTCGCAAACATGTCACTAACAAACCACATCCCACTAACATCGCCTTGCAGAATTCGAACAAGAAGAAGACCCCTCCTCCCGCTCCTTCTTCTCCGAAATCATCTCCTCCATCTCCGACGTCCGCTTCTCCCACGACGGCCGCTACATCCTCTCGCGTGACTACCTCACCGTCAAAATTTGGGACGTGAACATGGAACGCCAGCCCGTGAAGACCATCCCCATCCACGAACACCTCCGGCCCCGCCTCTGCGACACGTACGAAAACGACTCCATCTTCGACAAGTTCGAGGTTGTCTTTTCCGGTGATGCGAAGAATGTCATGACGGGGAGCTATAATAATAATTTCATGATTTATCCTACCGAGGCGGGCAGTGAGACGGAGGTCGTGTTGCAGGCGGATAAGAGTGCGTTCAAGGCGAAGAAGGTGGGGATTCCTACCCCGATGAATGGGGGTGGTGGCGGGGGTGGGAGTGGTGGGAAGGATGGCGGAGTGATTGGGGGTGGGAAGAAGGGGTCTAGGGCGAATTCTCCTGCTGGGGGGGCGCAAAGGATGAAGAAGGAGACGGATGCGGATCAGATTGATTTCAACAAGAAGATTTTGCATATGTCGTGGCATCCGCAGGAGGATTCTATCGCTATTGCCGCGACGAATAATGTGAGTCTCTCTCTTTTTCTTTCCCCCTTTTCCTCTGCTACTGCTACCGATGGGTGGCGGGATGGGAAGGCCGAGGCTGTCTTGATTCGCTTCGATGCTAATGGTTACCCTTCTGCAGCTCTTCGTTTTCTCGGCCCTTTAAACCACTTCGACACCCGCTGTCTGAGCCGCGGACGGTCGGCCGCTCTCGAGGGTCGGGGCCTAGCAGACCTTCGTGGCCATGCTGGCCGGCAGGTCGTTCGGGGTGAGTGGCGCGTGACGCATGGGTGGTTGCATTGATCATGCATGCTCTGGCGAATTTGTCGTCAGTGCAGGGCGGCATCAAGCACCCCAATCGATGCCGGTGGCGAAAGAAGCTGGAAACGAAATGGTATGATGCAATGGGGGGAGAGGGGACTTTTGCAAGCGAGCAAGCGAGCAAATGTCGGAATAGATAAGATAGCTTGCGGAATTGTGCTCTGATCACGACGACGCTTTTCCATGGACGATCCCGATCTTGAACCCCCCCGTGATTTTCTATCGGCTGAGCAGAGGACGTTGTGAGAGTAATCCGAGGACCGGTTTCGATTCTTTCTTGCCTGAGCGAGCTATGCAACGAAACGGAGTACGCTAGATTATGCCCCTCTAGCCGATGAACTCATGCCATGCCCCTTCCATCTCATCATCAACTCATGCTCACTCCGTCAACACGTCAGCTTGATAGCATAACCCACTAACAAGCATAAACCCCTTCGCTCTCAGCTCCACATCCTGCATCTCGTGTCTGATGCTCCATGCGTGTCAATCCTTGCCCCATCGAGAGCAGCACCAGCAGTAGCAAGCAGTAGTGGTATACAGCGCTGACCCACCCACTACCACCAAAAGCAAACACCTTCAATACTTGCACTTCAGCTTCTTCGTCGGACTCCCGATAAAACTCGCCTCCCCTTCCCCATCACCTCCTCCGACCATACCAGAAGCCGCCACCATCCCCTCTTCCCACTCACCAGCTTGCTCAAGATCCCCCTAGTACCCAGCATGGCCCGGCGCCCCAGCTCTAGCCTGCTTCCCCCGTCTCGCCCTCATCTTGTCCCCCACCGTCCCATTAACCTCCGGATCACTCTCATCCCCAATCCCCCACCCCCTATCCTCATCCCTGCGTCCCCCCATCCCATTCCCCGCCGTCTTATAAATCGCCTTCTCCTTGACCGGAGTATCAAACGACCAATTAGCATCCATATCGTTGCGCGCGGCGTTGCTCTTCGCGGTGGCGTTATGTTGGGTTTTGTGGCCGTCCGCGGGGGAGGAGTCGGCCATGCTGTAGTGGGGTTCGAAGGCGTTGGCGCGGCTGTGGCTGTTCTTGCCGATGGCGGTGCGGGAGTCGTCTTGCAGCGGGTCTTGGTAGAGTCCCATGCCCTTGTGGCGAGCGAAGGATTTCTGTTTCTCCGGCGCTGGGGAGTCGTCGGCCAGGGCGAAGTGGGGATCTGCGTCGGGGCGTGGGGCGTGGACTACTGGGCGCTTGATGGGGGATGGGGGGTCGTCCTGATCATTTGGATTAGCTTTTGCTTGCGGATGGCGAATCGTAAAAGAAGCTCAACATGCCTCTTGCACACCAGGACCCCATTGCCTGTCATAAGCTGGCCGCGATTTACCCTTCACGCTAGGCGAGACGCTGAACGCAGTAAAGTCGATCTGGGTGTTGTTGTTGTGTTTGCCACCACGGCCCGGACGAAAATGCTCCGGCGCGTCTTCCCCACCGCCGAATTCAAAGTGGTTGTTCTTGTCCTGAAACACTTTCTTACGTTGTGGTGATGGCGGAGCACCAGTAGTCTCGTTGTCATCAAAGAGTCTGTTGACATTGTGGGTCTTGCCTGCGCCGGCTTTGGGGTAGAAGCCGTCTTGCTTTGAAGGTGAAGGATCACGATTCGCTGAGCCAGGCCCGACATTCTCGTTGCCGACAATCTCGGCCAGGTCACGGGTGATGTCCTTGTATGTCTCTCGCGGCGCCGTGACTGGTCCGTCGAACTTCCGAGGTCCATCCTCATTCGGATCGCGCGACTGGAAGAGGTTGAGACTGGCGTGAGGATCACGTGTCGCGCTGACACTCTCCCGCTTCTTGTGCTGGTTGATGACAACATCACTCTGCTTGCGTGGGGCGGAAGCGGTCGAGCCTTCCACGTCTGTGACCCTGCCGCCAGCGTTCAAGCTCTTGTTGATAGCGTCGAGCTGAGAGCTGCCATCCCTGATCGGCCAGTTGCGGCCGGTCCGCCCAATAGCCTCGACCTGTTTCAGCAGCGTGCCCTGGTCCCAGTACAGACGGATCTGCTTGATCTTCTGTGCCTCGTCGAAGCGAACAATGTGCATGACTGGGAACGTGACCAGCTTCTCGTCCAGTAGGTTCTCGTCTATGCCGGGAAGGTACGCGCCGCCACCCATCTTGAACAGCAGGGTGGTCTCGGTCTCCAGGCACAAGCCATCCTGGCCGGCAATGGTGTTGAGGATCTTCTCATTCTTCTTGTCCAGCAGCTTCTGCTGGGATTGGAGGTGCTTGAGGATGGCGTTGGGCTCTTTAATCTCGGTCGTGGTCGTGATGTATACCAGCGACGCATCGGCAGCAAGCAGTGAGGTCGTCGGCGACTTCAAGAAGGACGCATACTGGCTCGCCATGGTTAAGGTTGCCTGCTCGAGGCGGCTGTGATGCGATCGGCGGGTATAATCTATCTGCCCGCACTGTAGGCCGGTGCGCTTATGCCTATCTTATCTTGACGGCTCCGGGGTGTGTGAAGAGGTGATGATTGTTATTCCTCTCTCAGCATTGATGTTATGCTGTTGTCCTCAGGGGGCGATTGCCAGTAGGTTGAAGAGCAGTCGCGGATCTGAGACAAGCAGGCGCGCAATGCCTGTATGTTTACTTTCCATCCGAGCAGCCAAATATGCAGGGATCACCCGTCACTGACATTCTGAAACGGCGGCCTGGCGCGGGGCAAGCACGCTAGTCAGTGCCAAGGACGACTACGCTTCAACAGGAACAACCACATGAGGCTGTCAAGAACATCTCAAGCTCGTCGTCGATCGCATACCCTGTTACGCAGCCTCGAACACACCCCGAAGCAAGCTTGATCCGACAGAATCGAATCATGACAGCCATGTCCAAGGCTGCTCGTGAGCACCTATGTTCCTGCATTAGCCAGGGCTAAGTTCTTGTACGCGGAAGGCATATTGAGATGGCTTTGCAGATATCAATGTGACCGACTGCACTGGACAGAAACCAATCATACCAGTCGAAGGGATGATCTGTAGCTGGAAACTCGGTCCGTGCTCTGGTACCTTCCACAGCGATTCTGGACTACACCCTTGCCTACTGTACAGTACAATGTCAATGGCCAGCAGACATACCCAGCTTCAGGCCCGATGAGGATTGGAGAGACACGACACAGGCCACATTTCAAAATTTGCGAGCACGCTGTCTGATGCGTATTTACTCATATCTTCATTCGACTACAACCTCGCCACCTCCGTGACCAGCTTACCCTGATTCCCACCCTCGAACAACTTCAACCAAGTCTTCGGGATCTCCTCAAAATCACCTTTAACCACATGTTCGCCCCCCTCGATCTGCAACTTACCCTCCTTCAGCATCTTCTGGAAAGCCTCTCGCGCCTCATTCGCGCGATGCAGGTAGTCAATGACAATGAATCCGCGAATCTGCAGCCTCATCTGGATTACCTCGAACTAAAAGAAGAAAAGTCAGCGTAGTCCTGTCGATATGTCACTGGGGTTTGAGGGAACTAGGTCTTGGGGGGGGGGGGGGGGCTAGCAACTCACCCAATTCTTCAACCCCGTAGCACGATCCGACATCGAATTGTAATTCGCAATAGCACCACAAGCTACCACCCTCCCATGCCTCGCCATACGGGTGAACATCAGATCCAGGATCTCACCCCCAACATTGTCGTAATAGACATTAGCGAACTCATCCGGCCCCGGCGTAGCCTTCCTCAAATCCTCCGCGAAGCTCGAGGACTTGTAGTTCAGACAGAGATCCGCCCCCAACCCTTCCACCCATCTGCACTTCTCCTCACTACCAGCAATTCCAATCACCTTCTTACAGCCGACCAACTTCTTCGCAATCTGCACACACATTGAGCCCGTGGCGCCAGCAGCACCGGAAATGACCACGATATCATCCTTAGTGACCTGCCCCACATCCAACATCCCAAAATAAGCCGTCAGACCCGTGCCCCCCAGAGCACCAAGATACAACGTCTTACTCAACCCGCCCTCGAGCTCGGGGACAGGTTGTAGCGCTTTTGCAGGTAGGACAGCATATTCCGTCCATCCCGCCGAGGCGAAAACCCAATCGCCTTTCTTGTAATCATTCGACTTGGACTCTATGACCTCAGCTAGAGCACGAGCGGGCATGGGTTCCCCTGTCTTGGCCGGGGCGACATAGAGGCGATCCGGGTGGGCTTCCGGGGAAATCCAACCGCGTTGGGCCGGGTCGTTGGAGATGTAGGTTGGTTTGACCAGGACTTCGCCTTCTTTGGGGTCTGGGAGGTCCGTTTCGGAGAGTTTGAAGGTCGGGGTGTCGCCTGTGAGGGTGGGGAGGGCGGTGGGTTTGTTGGCTAGGATCCATTGGCGGGATTTGACCATTGTGGCGAGATGCCGGATGTGGCGGGTGAGTAGAGATGTATAGTATGGCTTCTTTGATTCGGGGTTGAGTCCTTTCTTGTTCTGGAGGTCTTGGCGGTCGTCGGTAGACTATATGGTTGATGGTCTGAGTATATAGAAAGCAAAAGTAGAGGATATACACTTCCACAAACCATGACGAGCCCGAACCTTATATGTGGACGTCGTTCGTCCGAGGAAAGCACGAAAGTGCACGGTTCGCCATTGCTCCACATGCCGAGGTCAGATCAGACGGCTCTACAGCGGCGATGCAGCTCTGCTGATAAATGCATCATTTCGTAGCAGACGACGAGGATGGGTTGTGGTCTGCAATGTCTCCATGAGGATCCACTGTATACATCAGCTACCAAGTCTTCCAAGTGGCTTCGTGTACAGATACATGCTCGGACTGCTGCCTTGGATTGGGAAGTACGTGTTTCAATGGCCGAGAGCTAGACGACGGGAGACCATCACTGACAATGGTTGCTGGGTAATCGACACGCTGTCTATCTGCCAGAACAGTGACTACATCGCTCGCGGTACGATGGCTTACATCTCAACCTCAACCTGCGACGCGAACGAGCTGGGCATCCTCCCTCTCACAGCCTCAACGATCGTGACTTCACAAGAACGATCGCACTTTTCAGTGCTACTCCAAATCTTCCTTCCCTCTCTGCACCGCCTTCAAAATCCCACTCATATCATCTGATGACGCCTGCACCACCTACACCTACACGGTGCGCCAACAACACCCGTGTGCGGAACCTCCAGCTCATCGACCGCAGGATAACCGGCCTTGTCGGCAGCACCCGGAAATGCTTCGCTTAAAGCAACCAACTTCTTCTGATAGTACTTTCTCGCTCGTTCCGCTCTTGCTTTGCCCAAAGTAACAAGCGTCGACTTATTCTGCCGACCCTGCGGGCGTGGTCCTTTGAAGAAATCCACAGCGTCGTAGTAGTGGTTCAGAGCTGTCTCCGTCTGTTCCAGCAGCTCACGCTTCTCTTCATCCAGCGTTGCTGGCTCTGGCGTAGCCACTCGCTCCGTCTGCAAGCTCTTACTAGCCGTCGAAGATGTGGTGGTATCTGGCGCCGGCGGCTTGTTCTTCGGCTCGCCCATGTCATGAATCGTGAGCACGGGGAACCTCTTAGCATCCTTCTCGTTGAGCTCACTGTTGCCCATTAAAGAGATCAACGTAGCTCGGCTCTGCCCATATCCGCGCGTGGCGGTCTCCAAGGCTTGGATGCGCTCGAGCGAGAATGTGCCTTTGACCTGCTTTCGTGCATTCTCGCGGGTCCACCATGCCATGATCAAGTCTTCTCGAGCCTCGCGTTTCTGCTGTTTCATGGACTTCGTCAGGTTGGGAGCGCCGAGCACTTCTACGGCCAGTGCCTCCTGAGAGTCATGCATCATTTTGGCATTGCTCTCGGGGTCTCCTGGTGTTTTCCCGTCCTCACCCGTGGTGTTTGAGGCATGTCCTGCATTGTCAAGCAGCAAGTCAGGTACAGAAGTGCCCCTGGACGTTCCACTATGTACAGGTGTGGAAGCCAGCGTCTTCCGATTATCGTCTCGACCAGCTTTCGACAACATAGCCACATCAAAGGCTTTCGCATGATCCTGAGCAGATGCTGAGTCACTCGAGCCTGGGACATTGCTGCTGGCCTCTGAAGCACCGTGTTCCATTTCGAAGAGATGGTCGCAGGTACCTGCCGTATCGCATACGGTACTGTCTACAGCATGTGCAGCTGTTCCCTGAGGGCGACCTTGGACGTAGGCACTATTGCCATTGGAGGCCTGATAGACAGGCTGAATTTTGGCCAAGGGCAGCTCAGGCGTCTTGATGGACAGTATAGCAATAGACGTGGAGGGTGATGGTACCACTGGCTGATGTTTGGTATGGTCTTCTGCAGGCCGGTTAGAGCCGAATAACTCAGCCATGGTCAGCTTTCGAGGAATATGTATCTGGCTGTCCTTGCTGTCTGGCGACGATTGCTTGCAGATGACCTTCTGCGGTGTAGGCAATTTTATTGTCACTGGGGCTGAGCGAGCTGGACGAACAAAGTCTGGTGGCGGAGGTGAGGCTACCGTCAAATTATACGAAGGGTGCACCGCCGGGTTGGTGTAGTAGTCCTGCGAAGCATCATTATGACCATCGCGAAATGCGCTGTCGCAGTCATCGCTAGAAGAGTAGGTCGTAATCGGGCCTCCGAACCAGCCATCGTAGTCCGGTTGAGGCTGACATGTTTGATCATCATGACCGAACGGGCTGGTTGATAGAGTATGCTCGGGTGAATTTGCCTGCTCAGCATTGGAGCCTAGCCTAGCACCCTCTCTGGATGATGGCGCAAAGAAAGGCAGAGCGTTAGGTGTCTGGCTACTCGTACGCCTCCGTCGATCTGCAGAAGCAGTGACTGCCTTAGACCCAGAAGCACTCTCCGGACAGTCAAGATCCAGCAAGTCGAGCTGCTTGTGCGCGGAAGCATCGGAACTGGTGTTGTTCTTGCTGCTGACTGCTGTGTCGTCGAACGTGTCTTGTTCGAGCAAGTCTGTGGCCACATCAGACATAACCTGAAATCTGCTGCGCTCCTGCGTATCGCGATTGATCCTATGATACCGAGTATAGGGCGTGTTGACCACATTCTCGTCTTCAATGAAGGCCTTCGGTGCTTGCCTCGTAATTCGGCCCACGATATCTGCAGGGATGTTGTCATGCGTTGTATCTCCTCCATCACTATGCGCAAGTAGATCGTCCGCGTCGCTCTGATCCTGGAACGGCCGTATAATCGGACAGCATACGCTACGGTGTCCTTCACCTCCGCACCTCACACACGTTGGAGAGGGCTTACGGCGGTGAAAGGCCGTCCTTGCCTTTCCTACAATGAGCTGAGCGTCCTGGACGCCCGGCCCTATTGCTCGACAATTTGCGCTTGTCAACACTTCATTCTCAGCCATTGAACCAACGGCATCAGACAAGATTTTGCCTCCACACATCGTGCATACTTCGCTGACATGGCTCGTGTCTTCGTTGCGCTGAAGGGGTTGTGTGTTGAGCGCCATCAAAGCATCAATCGACATAGTATGAGCGACCGGCTGAACGAGCGCTGGAGCATTGCCGTAGCTCAAGCTACCACGGTAAGCATTGTCGAGCACTTCATCTTCTGGAATGTCGGGAGAGTGAGCGTTGGCAATCGTTAGTGTCGGAGAAGTCATAGGTTCTGGCTGCATCTGTGCTTCCACTGGCTCCATGGCATTGAGGGCAGATACTTGACCAGGTCCTGCTTTTGACTCACTTTCCTTCATTGCTGGCAATGGCGGATCGGGTTTGGACAAGATTTTTGGACTGAGCTTGTTCGGGCTGTTTGGAGCAGATCCATCAATGCAGAGAACTTCGTACATGTTCTTGTTTACAATAGGCTCAGCAGATTTGCCAGAGCTTCTCCCGTGGTCGACGCTGGACTTTTGATGTCTTGCCGCTTGTTGCTTGCGTTTGTGAGGCGGCAAGTTTTCGGCGGAATAATGGACACTCTTGATTGGCGGTGCGGATGTTGGCATGCTTGGCTGCGGGCGCGGTGGCACAAATGTTGCAGGTTTGACCAGTGGACAATTGTACACCCGCATGGTCGTTCGAGCTGCAGCGGCTCGAGTTCGTGGAGTCGACCCTGGCCGCTGCTTGTTGCCGGCACGGGCAAACCCGTTGGCAGCAGCTGCTGCTTCCGCCAATTGCTCTTTCGTATAAGCTGGCTGTGGTCTGCGAGCCGCAGTGTCTGCTTCGGATCTAGGCGTCTGCCAAATGTTGGCACCATGGATGGCGAAGTCGCCGCTGGTTATGCCGGAGCCGATAGTTACAGGTTTCGTTTTCTGTTCAGGCTTGACACCTGTGACTCTAGCGACCCACTCATTGTTGGCACTAGCTTTCCTCTGTTCGAGCTTCGAGCTGGTAGCATCGCGGCGATCTGCGGCGTAGTGGTCCCGCTCTGGTGTAGCTGGTCTCTCAGGCGTGACTGTTCTCTCCTGCGAATGGCTACGACCTCCTGCTTGAAGCCAAGGGAAATCCTCGTCGCCTGAGGACCATGACAGGATATCGTCCATATCAGTGCTACTGGAGACTTCGAAAGCTTCGTCTCGAGCGCGGAGGCTGGCATTTAGATTTGCAGAATCTAGTACCGTAGATACTACGTCGTAGCGTGCCACATTATGCTCTGGTTCCGTTGGTGTGGCGAGGTCCTCGCTAAGTCCCAATGGTCCTTCAGCTATTTGTGCGGAGGAAACATCGTTGACTGGAGAAGTAGCGGTTGCTTTCTCGGGATCTGACGTGGACTTCGGTTGTGCCTGCTCCACGACGGTAGCCTCCTCGAACGTACTGTCGAGTTCCTCCACCAGCACCGCACGAGATGTCTTCGCCCCGACACCCACACCTACGCATGCCTGAAGAAGGTCTGCCGTGAGAAGCAGAAGCTCTGGTATTACTTGAATTGTATAAATCCATACAATCGCTAGAGCCCAGCAAGCCAGGCAGCCTAGTGGGGCGATGACCAGAATGATAAGGTCCTTTGCGTAGAGAATACTCTCAACGGCGAAGTCAATCTGCGTGTCGAGGAGTCAGTAAGATAGTTCGTTGCGATAAGTCTGAACGATCTGAAAGTGCTTACCGGAAGTCTTACGGTCGGCAGCCTACGCTCAAGTCGCGCAGCCGAGTTCTGTTTATCGTCCATGCCGCCGCGAGCATCGACGTGACTGACGACTGATCAACGATGTCGTGCATGCGATGTCTGAAAGATACGTGCGAGTGATGTTGCGAGAGTGTGTGAGTGAAGGTTCCATTTTCTAAAAAGCTGTTCGTTACAGGAGTTTAGCTTCGACGGCCGTAGCCGCACTTATCCCCTAGAGGAAGGAACGGACGCGAAGGCAAGCGCGACCCTACCACACAAGATAAGTATGTCTAACTCACCGTGTTTGAAACCAAGTCATATATATCATTACAAGAGATACACTACCAAAGCCTGAATCAGCCCAAAGGATTGCCCTTCTCCTGCAGATCTGTAAAGACGGCTTCGGAAAGCTTTCTCGACCTCCCTGTAGTCCGTCGACCATTGGTACGATCCTGAGGCCCATCTGTCTGCCTTTCTGTGCTGCCGTTCGTCTCTGTGTAAGCCCGAGCACCACTATTCGGCCCATCTCCAAACTCCTCAGCCTCCTTACTGACATGCTCATGCTCTCCCTCCACTTCACGGCTATGATCGGTCGTCGTACTCGGCACCCTGCCTGAATTCCCATCCTCACTAATATGTCCCAACGATTCCCTGATCGCTGCCAAAGCCGGTGGAGCCTCCGAGATCGAAGCCATCCTCAGCCGTCCACCACTATGCATCATCGGCACGTCCTTGGAGATGTCCGGATCCTCTTCTAATGGCTTCTCGCAGCCTACAGGTGTACGGCAAAGAAGTTGCGAGTCATGGTCTGCGGTTCGCCAGATCACTTCCCGTACTTCTTTGCCGACTTTCTCGATGGCGTCAAGAGCCCAGATTACGTCGAGGTGCTCGTAGCCTTCTATTATTTTCTTGTGGACGACACGAACGTGAGGCTCGCGGCCTCGGTCAAAGCGGCGAAGGAGGCGGCGACCGTCGACAAGATTGTCTGCGCCGCCTACCCAGAGTGCGAGTGGTGGGAATCTGTCATCGTACCAAGCATACTTGCCTCGTGTACTATCGTGGTGCTGATGTGTCAGAGTCTGGCAGTGGAAGCTCGTCAGATTACGTTGGAGCTTCCGCCGCTGTGAGACATGCGGTTCACGATCAACATAGTAGTGCTTGATCACCTCATCATCCTCCTCGTCTTCTTTGTCTTCTAGCCTGCCTTCTTCACGGGTGGCAAGGATGCATTTCTGCTTCGCAAAGCACTCTCTTCCCAGCCACCATCGCATACTCTCGGCACTTACATATGTCGGCGCCCACTGGAACATGCGGTTTCGCAAACCCTGATCCCATCGCTGGTCTGACCAGGAGAAGAGGAAGGAGAAGACATGGTAGCCGAACCATCCATACACAGTGGGCGGAAGAAAACCATGTGCTTTCATCATGAGCGGGATAAAGGCGTGTATGCCAAAGATGAGTCGAAAGATCCCTGGTCCGATTGACTGCATGACCTTGAAGTAGATCTTGCCGATGAGAGGGCCAGCGTACGCAGCCGGTGCTAGAGCGCAAAAGACCGAGATCTTCTCGCCTATCTCAGGCCGTTGCTCCTTTGCCAGTGCGACGAATGTCTGCGTCGTGCCTTGGCTATGTGCAATGAGCGCAAGCTTCGGAAAGCCAGTCTCGCTCAGTACACGGCTGATGAGTGCAGCCAAATCCATGACACCCATCTGCCTGATATTCCATGCCCACATTCGCGGATCCTCGTACTTCAGCTGCGTATGCTTTGGCTCAAATCCGCACCTATTGTTACCAAGCCAGATGTCGTAGCCAGATTTCGCCAAATAGAAGGCCAGAGAGTCGTCGTCGTTACAACAGTATGCGCCAGCCGACTGCAGCAAACCGTGCATCATGAGTATCGGATACTTCTTGTTGCCGTCGTCAAAAGGTTGTGCTTCCGCGAATCCAGAATCTCGAGGTGAATTCTCAAATACTTTTGGTCCGTCCGCCTCGTGACTCTTGGCTGGTGGTTTGACGTATTCTCTCGGATTGTATAGATGTACTAGTTTTATGATGAATCCATCTTCTGTCTCTACGTCGAACTCCTCGGAATCCAAACCAACTCGTCGAGCGTAGTATCCGATATCGACAACCAGTGGATCCGGTCCTCCTTCTGTTGGTACGAACTCACCATCCTGTGGTATGCCCTTCTCGTTCTGTGGTGTCCGGGTACCTCTCTGCTGCTGCACCCATGCGCGCTGAGCTGCTTTTCGTTCTTGCGCACGCTTAATTTCTTCGCTGTAGAATGGTCTTTTCTTCTTCGGGTTCTGTAGCATCAATCGCTTTCGCACATAGCTTGCCACTCGTGGTACGCCGTCTGCAGCAGCACCAACACATATGGCGAGCAGGAATCCAAGAGACAATACAGACGACACCATCATGAAGAACCAGCATTGGAGTGTGCGCGCCAGGGTAGGCGGTCCATACATAGGCAAAGGTGGGAAGAGCGGATTCGTCCTCGAAGGAGGGATTGCATCCGCCAGTGCTGCTTCAGGCGTATCGTCCTGCGCACCTTCCACACGTTGAGCAGCAGGCGGAGAATGCAAACGTGCTCCATAAGCTGCGCCGTCTTTGCCGGGCCTGACTGTGCCTCGAGGTGGGCTTCGTGGTGTTTCCATACCATCCACATGATCTTTTAGCTTGTTGAGCTTCACGGCCTCTTCAAGCGGTATTGTCGGTAATCGTTTGCCATTGGCAGTTTCAACGACGGGATCCAATGGAGTGACAAACTTGGCCTGGACAGCCTGCGTTGAGCCTGTCTCTTCTGTTTCTTGCTCAGGCTGGAGATTGGCTAGTTTCTGCGCTTGCTCTGCGTACTGTCTCGCATGAGCTGTCCCATTGGCTTGGTTGGTCCGGTCGTCGAGGAGCGGCATTGCGTGGGCGTGCTGGCCCTAAGCCGTTGTCTGATGTGGAAGCTCGTGAAGGGTAGCTGTGTTGCTCTGCTAACCAGATATATAAGCTCAAAGTTCAACACCTCAACAGTGGATGCTGACGGGACCAGGCATGCAGGAGGAGTAGGTAAGAGCTTGACTAAGGTCTTTGTAGGAAAAGGTAGTGACAATACTCCTTGACTCGACCATTGCCATATCCAAGTCAACGCGAATATAGCAGGGTCCCAGCGACATACTTGCCGTCTACGCTAGTGAGACACGGCAACGCACTGTTGACCTGGAAGTAGACTTTCTGTGAGCTGCGACGAAACGTTGACGTACCTGCTGGTCGATCTGCCGCATGTGCAGACGAAACAAGATCGATTGGCATGTGATCGGTCTCTGCAAACACGTGACCATCACACGCCAATTGGTCCAGCTCACCCGCGTCAACTTCAGGACTGCTTGGGCGTCAATATGATAGACGACTCCTGACCGTCGACTCGTGGCACTGATGCGTGTTCAGCAGTCAGTTCGTCGCGAGAGGGACATAGAGTGATCTGCTTTGCTGGACATCGACATGCTACTCACGAGGACGCTAGCGAGATCAAGATTCAGATTCTCGATACACGAAGGCAATAGGGCAAAGCTGCGAAGAAATTTATCAACAAGGATGCGGTTCGAAGAAGAGCTGGTCGCGGACTACAATGCAAATTCCTTCTGTAATGTGTCACCTGAAGATCTCGTGGACTGCGACCGATACTCGATCATTTCTAAGCTAGGATGGGGCCGTTCGTCCACGGTATGGCTAGCCAAAGATCTTTGAGAGCATGTCCACGAATCATTTACTGCCCGAAAAGCTCTACTAACAGCAAATGCAGGCATGAGCAAGGACTCGCCGTATGTCTCCATTAAATTCAATAACTGTACACAAGAAAACGAATCTATCCAGCAAGAACGCAACGTCCTGGAAAAGCTTTCTACGACCGACCCAGATCATCCGGGATCTCGAGTGGTGCGAAAGCTTGCAAACAGTTTTGAGATTACCTCTGAAGCTGGATCACATTTGTGCCTCGTCCATGAGCCTCTACGAGAGACCCTCGAGATCTTCCGAACACGGTTCGCCAACGGCCGGCTGCTGCTGCCTCTGGTGAAAGCATACGTCAAAATCCTGTTGGTAGGACTTGACTACGTCCACGAATCATGTCATATTGTCCACACTGGTAGAGAGAGAATAAATATCGTTCAGGCTGTTTGACACGTCAGATTTCTTGTTCATGCAGCCCTGGCAGCATTTCTCCAACCAATAGGATACCGGCTAGCACGCACCTTCCTGTATCATCAAGACGATCATTTTCAACAAGTTGATGGAGACGGCATCAGAGACAGGAAATGTGTCCAGGAATAATGAGTTTCCGCAATCTACGATGACCTTTCGTATCCCTGACTCACATCACCACCAACGCCTTCGCTAAAATTGTTTCAATGTCTCTACGCCTCCTGTCCTGATGACAGTTCCACAGGCTTGAGTAGTGCAGTGGTCCGAGCGGAAGGGCGTGACTCGCTCGCTGTATATGTGCAAGACTTCTGCTCGCAGTCTCGGGGCTCAGGAGTGACCTGTTTGCTTTGCTACCGTAGAGGCCGGGGGATGCCGCCTTCCAGAGCGGAGCAAAGCATCCTGTTCACTGCGGTTGGCGCTTCCATCATGTTGCTTATGCGTACAGTGCATAACATCGGTGACACAAGCGGCCTTTTCACCACCATATTTAACCCGATGTGCGTACGTTGCAGCCTCACGAGAAGTCACGCAGCTTGGAGATCTCATCCAGCACATTCTGCAGCGTTTCGTCGTCCAACTTGCCCTCCAGACTCGGGATGAGTGTTCGCGCTTCCTCGGCTGTGTCGCAGCATAACGTAGCTATGACACACACAAACAAGAATCAGCCACGATCCTCATAGCCGACATACCCTCCCTCACCACCCTGAACCTCGATCGAAAACAAAGAAAAAGACACTCACCCAATTGCGCCCTCTCAAACATACTAACCCCGCCCCCTTCCCCCTTCCCCAACAACGCCGAGCTCACCCCATCCACCTGCGTCACCGTCTTGCCATCCTTGAACCTACTGAACATCCCCACGTACTCCCTCGTCTTCAGATAAACATCACTATTGGCGGGAGGCCTTCCACCCGAGCCTTGAGAGGCCGCGAGTCGGGAGAGCAGCTCGTTGCATTCGGAGACGGAAAGGCAGGGGACGTCGGTCATGTCGCCTAGGTGGAGATGGGCGGTGGCTTCTTCGTTGCCGGAGGGGACGGGGCGGGTGCGGGAGAGGGTTGGGGGACCGGCCATGTTGTGCTGTTGAGTCGTGAGGAAAGGCGTTTGGTATTGGTAGTGATGTTTGGTCGCGAGAGGTAAAAGTGTTGTAGGGCTGAAGCCTGGCGCTCGCTCGCGTGTCTGGAAGCGCAGCGGGCGCTTTTTAGAGTTTGTCTATACGATTCACTAATTGCAGACCCCAGACTTTGGTTAAGGAGGAATTATGATTTGATTAAAGCGTAGCTTGGGATGGAAGATGCCGGTGGTGCATGAAGTTGAATGTTGGTGTGTGACACCGTGACGGAGCAGCAATTATTGAGTAATACCGATCATGTCCACTCGTATAAGTCGCCCAATCAATGCCGGTAAGGCTAGGAAAATAATTGGAAGACGTTGCTTCCATCTATTTGTAGCAGCAGCAGTAGAACGTTTCATATGTGCCGGGGGGCCATCTCTCAGGGTCGGAGCCGCGATCGACACCCACATTCTACTACTGTGCTACCACTACATCTACCACAACACCAACACACACGCATTGACTGAGGATTTTTGATTGAGATTGAAGGTACGCGAACTAATATTCCAGGTAAGAGAAGAGGCAGTGAATGAGGCAGGGGACAGGAGATCGTGTTGTTGTTGGCAGGGCTCGCGGGCGCGGGAAGTGAAGGGGGTCGTTCGGCGTATTGTTGTCATCACACCAAACATCCATGCGGTAACTGAGACATTGCCATTCCGACCTGCGGATTACCACGATAATTTTGCCAACCCCACTCGCTTTGTAAGAGACAGATTGCCGACGAGGCATGGCCGGCGTCAATGGCGCTCCTCCCAGCAACTCCTCCCACTACGATCAACATCACGCGCCCACCACCACCACCTCCGCGCGGAATGGGAATGGGAATGGAAGAGGGACCAATGCGAGCGAGAGTCAGGACTTAGCTGTCCGACCGCGACCGAATGCGAGTATGGATATGAATGGACGGGATGGCGGTGGAGTGGTAGAGGGTGTGGGGCCGGTGGAGGAGAGGAGACCTCCAGGCGCGAGACGACCGAGTGGCCAACAGCGGACATGCGGGAAATGCCAGCGTCATCTCACCGGCCAGTTCGTACGCGCATTGGGGAATACGTTTCATCTGGAGTGCTTCACCTGCCATGTAAGTACATCCCTACTAATACACGCCCACACAAACAAACAAGCACAACCCAAGCTGATGGTAGAACCCTCCCAGGACTGTGACAAGATCGTAGCATCTAAATTCTTCCCCGTCCCCGACCACCCACCCAACCAATACCCCCTCTGCGAGACCGACTACTTCCGCCGCCTCGAACTCCTCTGCTTCGCCTGCGGTGGCGCCCTCCGCGGCTCCTACATCACCGCCCTGGACCGAAAATACCACATCGAGCACTTCACCTGCAGTGTCTGTCCCACCGTTTTCGGAGCGCAGGATTCCTACTACGAACATGAGAGTAGCGTGTATTGCCATTATCATTATAGCACGCGGTTTGCTCAAAAATGCAACGGATGCCAGACAGCGATCCTGAAGCAATTCGTCGAGATCTTCCGAAACGGCATGGATCAGCACTGGCATCCTGAGTGTTACATGATCCATAAGTACTGGAATGTGCGGTTGCATGCTCCGGCGCCCAAGGGATCAGATCTAGCTGGCGAGGAAGCGGAGGCAGAGCGACAGCGAGGTCTCCTCACCGAACAGGACGCGAGCGAGGAATTGCGGACGTCGGTGAGGAAGGATGAAGAAGCGGTAGAGTACAAAGTTCACTGGATCTGGCAGACCCTTTCCACCTTCGAGGAGAAGAGCGCGACCTGCATTTCTGACATGTTGCTGCATGTCAGTAATGGCGCCTACATGGACGGCGTGGTGGCGGCAAAGAAATTCATCACGCATGTCGATATCCTCTTCGCTGCTGCGGACGAGCTGGACCATAGACTACAGACCCGACCTACGAAGAACCTGGCGGGAGGTGATAAGCAGATCCGGACGTTCGAGGCGATTGTGCACCCAGGACTCAGCTATTCGCGGGAGGCTAAGCTGCTTTGTAAAAAGGTCGTGGCGTTCTTCCAGCTACTAGCTGAGAGTCAGGATCACGGTGTCAGACGACTGGGAGTCACACAGGAACTCCTCAGTCTAGTCACGGGCCTGGCGCACTACCTCAAACTCATGATCCGGATCTGTCTCTCTGGCGCCCTGAAATTGGAACGCGAGACTGGTAGCCAAGAAGGTCTGGAAGGGTTCCTGGGGGCAATTGGGGGACTAGATGAGAGCGTCGATGGCGGAAGACTCGGCCGAGGTGGATTCCCTGCTGCGGGTTCTGCTGCGGGCGAGATGCTAGGGCAGGAGGGCTTGGTCGATAAGATGGCGGATACGTGTGCGGTCTGCGATAAAGCGGTCGAGGATAAATGTTTTCGCCGCGAGGGCAGGGTGCTGCATGCCCCTTGTCTGGCTTGTGGGAAATGTGGGAGGGACTTGAGCGAGGAGGCGACGCTTGAGCCGGGTGTGAAGTGGGGTTCCAGTGGAAGAGGAGCAGGGGATGTGATGGTCATGAGAGTCTGGTGCGATGTCCATGCCCCTCAAGACGCGAATCGGGCTCTTTTCTTCAGAGTCTCGAGATTGAGACAGTATGTCCACCTTCTTCGCGTGGCGCACGCGCGGCTCTTGGCTACGCTGAGGAGTGGTGCCGCATTACCGCATACGAGCGATGATCCGAATCTATTGGGTTATGATAATTCAGATGGTCGACATACGCCTGCTAGCGAGACGGAGCCGCCGCTCTTGAGGTCGAACACGAGAAGTCGGTCTTATGCTGGGAGGACGGGGAGTCAGCGGTCTGCTGCTGCGGCTGCTGAACAAGGGAGTAGTAGTTATGAGGATGCTATGGGGGACATTAGGAGACTGAGGAGTACGAGGATGGATAAGCAGCTTTCGAATGCTGGGCGTCACGCACGGAAGAGCCGGATTATTGATGGGCCAGAGGGTTTGCGCAGCGGTTCGCCACCGAACGACGACTACGGCAGTAATGGCTACAGCAATGGCAACGTCTCCGCCTCGACGAAAGCCGCTCGACGAACTACGGGGTCTTTTCAAATTGTAGAGGATCGCGACCCCATGTCTGGGGAGCCGAGGAGTCAATTGACGTTTGGAGGGCAGGATACTATGACTTTGGACGATATTCCCCGGATTGTGCAGGCGCAGCAGACGAGGGAGCAGAGACCGAACGCTTCTCGCTTCGCTCGAGGTGGTATGATGCCCCAGGAACCACGAGCGAGATTGGTGGATGGCAGTGGGAGGGGACATGGGCGGGACGGATCAGGTGGTGAAGGCATACCCAGACGAGGAACGGTGAACGGTGGTGGTATGATGGGAGCTGGTTCCGGCGGCGCAGTAGGCGGCGGCGGTGATGGTGGAGGAGGCGGAAGAATGCCCGGCACGAAACGGTATTTTTCTGAACTAACGGCGCTGGAATACTTCATCGTGCGGCACGTCGCCGTCTTATCCATGGAACCACTACTCGAAGGCCACTTCAACCAAGAGGAATTACTGGAGCTCATCGAGACGAAACGTCCGACTTTCTGGAGTAAATTCGGGAAGGCGTTCCAACCTGGTAAAGACAAAAAGGGCGGGAAGCCTTCCAGCGGCCAAGGTGGGAATGGAGCGTCCTCGCCCGCCGAGAAGAACTCGGGCTCGAAAGATACTACCGCGCCGCAGAAAATTTTCGGCGTCCCGCTGGAAACTCTCCTCGAACGCGACTATGCCGAGTCCACCGATGGCGTTGGCCCGGGCTCACTGAAAATTCCCTCGTTAGTACAAGAAGCTATTTCCGCGATGAAGACGATGGATATGAGTGTCGAGGGCGTCTTCCGCAAGAACGGGAATATCAAGCGCCTGAACGATTTGAAAGAGGAGGTTGACACCAGGGGAAGTCTGGAGGGAGTGGACCTAACGAAGGAGAATCCCGTCCAAGTCGCCGCGCTGCTGAAGAAGTTCCTGAGGGAGTTGCCGGACCCGTTACTCCTGCATAAACTGCATAAACTCTGGATTACCTCGCAACGAATTGTCGAGGAGGAGCGACGAAGACGGGTGCTGCATTTGACTTGCTGTCTCTTGCCCAAAGCACATCGGGATACATTGGAAGTGCTGTGTACGTTCTTGCAATGGGTGAGTTCGTTTTGTCAGGTCGACGAGGAGAGTGGGAGTAAAATGGACGTGCATAATTTGGCCACGGTTATTACGCCGAATATTCTGGCGCCTTGGCCGGGGGGTAGGGAGGGCGGGAAGGAGGGGAAGGAGGGGGGTGTGGACGAGAGTTTCTTGGGGATTGAGGCCGTTTGTGCGCTGATTGAGTGTAATGAGGCGATGTGTGAGGTGAGTCCTTTCTTCGTTGTCTTCGTTGCATCCGGGGATGGGGTTGCAGGGTGTAAGTGAGGTATTGGGTGTTGCGATACTTTTGCTGACGTGTGTTCTTTCGCTTCTACAGGTACCGGAAGATCTGGCGATGATCCTTAACGATTCTTCGCTGTTTAGCAATACGGCGGATATTACGACCAAGGAGATTCTGAAGCGGTATAACGAAGTTGCCAAGGCGCCACCGCGGGACACTGCTAACCGTCCTGGTGGGCTCTCCTCGCCGGCCGGGGGTGCTGGCTACGCAGACCGTGATCGGGATAGGAACGTTTCTTCTCCGCAACCTACGCGCGTGGATGTCAATCCGACTACGCAGACGCAAAGGGCGCAGGAGACGAGCGTGAGGCACGTGGGTGGAGATGGGATGATTTCTTACTCGGGCCCTGGTGGAGATGTGCTGTCGCCGCCGGGTGGTGTGGGGTATAAGCAGGGTCGACGGAGTGGTGAGGAAGGTGGTGGGGGTGGAAGTGGGAGTCCGAGTCGAGGGGGTATGAGGACGGGACCTTATGGAGAGCAGAGGGCCCTGGGGGTTGCTTAGAAGGTGATTCCTTGAGCTCAGTCGGGTGTGGAGAAGATATCGCCCAAGCTGGCTGGACCGCACTTGGCGATGACATGGTCTGGATCACGCTACGGAAGCTGTACGAGTCGTACTGCATCGTAGAACCAACAAGCGGCGTCACGAACGGCGAGCAAGAAAGCCGCGAAGAGGTAGCTTGGGGATGCGCAACAACGGTCGTTGTTGATGCTGGTTGGTGAGGGATTGAGAAGGTGCTCATATGGCGTCTTGAATTCACAGCACAGGCGGGCTTGTTTTGTTTTATCAATGGGCAGGACGTGGGCGGCAGGGGAAACGGACATCAAACCCTTGAATCGAGCATCTGGGCGCCGTTGGGCGCTATGCGAACTGTTTGATTTCGTGCCTGGCAGAGGCATTCAAGATACCTTCTCCAAGATCTGTACACCGTACCACGCGGTACCCTACACATTGTCACCCGTTCGCTGTCATGGCCATTGTGGTGTGGATGCATGTATTATGGAATCCGTCCAATGTGGATGCGAGTATATGGTCTACGTCACACCGTGTTGCATGGATACTCGATCCTCTCGCTTGTGTTCTGCTCCACAGGGATTGCGAAAGTCTATTTCGTCAGCAAACATTCATTGACCTACCTAGTGTACGGTTGCTCGGCACAAGGAGATGTCATTGGCGGGGTCGTGATATCGTTGTTGCACTACTACGTCGACACAGATAATTCTTCCGATGGAAGTAATGGGTCCGGTGGAGTGGACTTGCTGGCCTTTTGTTACAAGCTCAGTATCTTCCAAGCCATGCCTGATCATGGCGGAGGCGGTAATCTCGGCTTCCCAAGCCGTCTCGCAAGAACGTGCTTGTAACGCTTAATGGAGGTGCTTGATACACCATCATCGCATTCGGTTCCTGCAGCAGCTTCAAACACTAGCAACAACAAGGTTTGCGGGGCTTCTTCGACCTCACGCCATCCTGCCCATATGGCAGTTGTCTTGCCGATGACGATGACGAAAGGTATGTCCGGAAGGGCAGCACTCGTCGTCGACAGCATAAGACTGTCATCCTCCCTAGCCAAAAGAGGTCTTCGGTGTTCTCTTTCACACTCCATCGACTATGGCTTCTCTATCATGTCTGGTCGCCTCTTTCGGCATATTAGTAGCAGTGTGCAATGGCCAAGCCATCCAGACGGTGGGCACAGTCAACAGCAGTGCTCCAATGGTCGACCTGGGCTATGTAAAGTATCAAGGCTATAGTAATGCGACTGCTGGCATCAACTATTTCCGTGGTATCCAGTGAGCCAATCATACCGTCTTCAGCGACACGAATTCGTCACTGACTTGGTTGTATAGATACGCAGCCAACCCAACAGGATCACTGAGATGGCAGAAGCCCCGTCCAATCGAAGCAAACAACAACTTCGACAGTAGAAAGGTCTACAACGCCACCCAGATAGCCCCAGCATGTTACCAGTCCCAGCCATACTCCGTTTATGTCGACCCGACGGACCCGACGGCCTTCATCCACACACCACAAGGTCAATCCGAGAACTGCTTAATCCTAGACGTCCTTGCTCCAAGCCATCCCGTCTCGAACCGTCTGCCCGTCATGGTACAGATCCATGGCGGAGGCTACACTCAAGGTAATGCCCAGAGCTATCCAGGAGATGCTATGGTCAACGCTTCGAATGGCAACATGATTTACATCTCCATCCAGTATCGACTCGGCTTGTTGGGCTTCTTGGCTGGAGGAGAGACCATGCAAAACGGAGTCGCGAATGCTGGATTGCTTGATCAGCGAGCTGCATTAGACTGGGTCCAACGCAACGCGTACGCTTTCGGTGGCGACCCTACAAGGGTTGTTTTATGGGGTGGCTCAGCTGGAGGCGGAAGTGTTACTACTCAGCTTATTGCTGGTGGTGCTTATGATGAGCCTCCGTTCAGCGCCGCTATTGCCGAATATCCATGGTGGGTACACAATTCATCTTCGTAAGTTGAGGCACAACGCTAATAGATTTAGGTGGCAACCATTCCTGAACTCTTCTCAACAGGACAAGCAATTCGACACCACTTTGACGCTCTCCAACTGCTCAAGTCTCGCTTGTCTGCGATCACTGCCTGGTAGCACAGTAGCTACGCTGAGCCAAGCCGTCGAAAATTCGTCGTATCCCACTGGTGGAGACGGCTTCGGCGTCTACTATTGGGGTCCTGTGGTATGCCGAAGACTCCTTACCAGCCACGGATACTGCTAATAGCAACTGCAGGTCGACTACAAATTCATCAAAGAGCTCCCAAGCATCGCATTCAGTCTAGGTCACTTCTACGATGTCCCACTCTTGGTCGATCGCGAAGCGTAGGTGCTCTTATTGTCTCGTCATGTGGTCAAGCACTAACGATGTTCACAGATATGAGGGCTATATCTTCAGCAATCAGTCGCTCATGACGCAAATGGCAGAGACCACGGATGCAGAGTACCTCTTCCCATTCGCTGGTCCCGCATTCTTCTCTCGTCTTTATCAGCTCTACCCTATGTCAGACTTCAACTCTACTTTCTACCAGCGACAGACGTGGTTCGGAGACTTCATCATTGATTGCCCAGTAAGTCTGCTCCAGACACTCTCTCCAAGGAGCCAGGACTGACATATTCGCAGACCTATCAGATGGCAACGAACGCCGTAGACAGGAATGCCAACAGTTCAGCAGTCTTCAAGCTCACATTTGCAGCTGGTAGCGAGCTGCACGGCTCAACCAGTGCTTTCCTGGCATCCGCTACGACTGGCTTCCCGCAAGCCAACAACCACACTCTTGCCGAGATCATGACTTCATATTGTGAGTCGCGCGATCGTCCCCTTGTGGCCTACTTAGCAGAGTGCTGACATTGTGTACAGGGATCTCGTTCGCTGTCACCCACGATCCCAACCCTATGCGAGCCAGCAACGCTCCGTACTGGCCCAGTTACATCAGTAATGGCGCTGGAAGTGCTGCCAATGGCCAGTCCGTTGGCTTTGATACTCTGGCTGTAACGTATACTACCATCGGGCCAGCGGCAGATCCAGATGCTTCGGCTAAGTGTGACTTCTTTGGCTATCAGCAGTTCAAGGTAAGTAGTACTGTCTTGGGTATAGCAGGCCCGAGATGCTGACTTCAGCGCAGGTCATGAACTAGGTCGTCTGCTACGGCACATGGACTCGATTATCGATAATGCGATAACGTGCTTCTCCAAGTGCAGCCAGATCAGCTTCAGCCTTCTCGATACGCTTGAGCAGGAAAGCCAGAGTGGCATCCCTAGCTTTGTCAAGTGCCCGTAGACGATCGATGGGCATGTTGCTGTAATCCAAGGCAGGTTTTGCAGGCGAGACAGTGGCCTCTGCTTTCGCAGGCGCCAAGGTCGTAGGCTCAGCCTTACTAGATCCAGCCTCGACACCGTCATGATCGAGCTCTTCCATGCCTAACACAAGCGCGTCTTTGACCATCTGCTCCTTTTCAGCAGCCAAGGTCCTGAGCACGCCTATACTGCGATCTCGTTCTTCAAGTGATCTCGCGAGCTTCCCAGCTTGCACCGTCTCATCCTCAAGCTTGCGCTTCTTCGTCGCAGCCTCAGTAATGCTCTCCTGCCACTTCCGCACCGCACCCTTGGCACAGTCTTCCATATGTGTGAACCTCACCGGCCCAAGCATAATGCCACCATACCATCGTGCTACTACGCAAGAGCCCACGACTTTTATCTGATCAAGCACTCTTTGGACTGCCTTGCCGCCATTCTTCTCGCCATCATCGTCGTTGCCGACATCGTATTGCGCGATGCTACCAGTCAGCGATCGCTGGGTGCCTTCTTTACGCCATGCCAGGATCTTGTGCGAGGCGCTCTTGACTTCTGCGATACGTTGTAGGTTTCTAGCAGGTACGTCCGGAGAGAAGAAGCCTATGAAGGTCGATTGACGGTCCTCGATGGGCTCAGATCGGTGAACCTCACCAGTAGATACCGCTAACGCATTTTCAGCTGTACGCTTGCGCTTCTGCGACATTATACCTGTAGTGACAGCCTCGGAGGCTCAGCTGCTTGTCTTTCACATATTGTTGGTTGATGTGCAGATGCTGGAGCTCAAATGCAGCGATCGACTTGTCGACTTGGTCATGGGAAAAATGGAGACATGACTTTCACATCAAAGCTTCAAAGGTGCTCGTGTTGCAGAACCACAAAAGTGCCAACCTTTGGACATATTGGGATGTCTTGGAAAAAGGTCATCCGGTGGAGGAACTCATTATGTACATATAAGCAGACATTCGCCTCGCACATTACCTCCACGCAGAGCGCCCGCTACACGCCAAGTGTGTCATTGCCAAAGTCCACTTAGTGCTTGCGTCTTCGCATGCCAACGTTGAGCCCAAGAGGCTTGCGTAAGAACCCTTCCCTAGTCTCAAGATAGTCCTGATAGAGCTCAAACTCATAACGTCGGAACACGACCGCGACGATAAGCGAAAGCTCCATCTCCGCCACGTTGCGACCGACACAGGCGCGAGGACCGTAGGAGAAGGGGATGAAGGCACTCTTCTGTCTGCGACGTCGTCAGCTTACTGTTTGAGTAACCGAAGTGGAAACCTTACCTCTCAGTAACCTTCTCCCACCTCTCCGGCCGAAACTCATCAGCGTCCTGGCCCCAGATCTCCTTGCTGTGATGCATAGTATAAGCCGGCACACTCAGCACAACACCCTGCGGGAAGTGATGACCGGCGAGATCGACACCAGGTCCGGGCGGCACGAGTCGAGGCAGACCTTGGCTGGATGTGCTGTGGATGCGAAGAGTCTCCTGAATAACCATGTCCATGTACGACAGATCCTTGACCTGCTCGTAAGTTGGCACGTCGTCAGACAGTAGTGCTTGATCCAGCTCGGCCTGGAGCTTCTTGACGACATTGGGATGCATGAGACAGTGGTATAGGAGTGCGCAGGAAGTATTCGAGGTCGTATCAGATCCGGCGATGAGCTGTGTAAGGGCCTCAGCTGTGAGCTCAGCGCGACCGAGCTTGTTGCCGTTCTCGTCCTTGCCTTCCATAAGTCGTGCCAGTAAGTCGACACGATTGATCTCACCACGCTCAGCAGCATCCAGCCTTTGCGATACCCGAGCAATAGCAATGCCAGCGAGGTTCTGCACAGCCTCTACGCCCTTGTAAAAGAACGGATCCGGGATATACTTGGCGTATGGCTTGATCCAGGACATTGTCCCGATACAGTTCGAGACTTCTCCTCTTCTGTTCAGCACTTCAATGGCCGGCGCTGTACTGGGCGGTGCATCTGGCGATTTGCGGATCTCTGCGATGTCTGCTCCCTTTTCCAACATACCGAATGGAGCTCCGAACGCCAGATCTCCGATTACATCGAACGCGACGTAGTTGAACCAATGCAGCGCGTCAAACTTATAGTATCCACCCGTTGCTTGTTTGCTCCTGTCGTCCCATTGCTTTGCCAATTGCTCGAGATTATGGTGGATATACTGCTCGAATTGCCCAATGTTCTTAGCACTAAACGTATGCGAGATGGTCTTTCTCTTCCGGGTATGCTCGTTGCGGTCTCGAGTATTGAAGAGGCCACGCTGGATCGAGACGAAGGCATCGTAGTAGTCCCTGATATCCCATCAGTTCAGCTTCATTGTTCCAAAGCCCGCATGCCTTTACTTACGACTTCAGGAACCCAGTGCCATGGCCATACACAATTGGGATGGCATCAGGATCCGCGATCGACACTTGGTTTGGCTGAATCCTCACCAGCTTGCCATACTTCTGGTGGAGTTTATGTACAGTCATATATCTCCTACATCGTCTTGCTTCGTAGAAATACCAAAGGTCGCTGAACTTCGCCAAAAGTGGTCCCGGGATATCCTGGATCTGCCAATTGCGGACGTATGGTAAGACGAAGTATAGAAGGGGTAAGGCCAGAAGCAGATATGGTGTGAAGAGGAAGGATAGGAACATCTTGCTGGTTTGTCGAGCCCGCAGGAAGTAGGATAGAGCGTCGCGTAAATATGATCTTTCGAGCGTAGACCATGTGGACCTTCCGGTCTCTTCTTTACAGCGGTGAAGTGATGAGGTGAGACCAATACTTATACCATCGTCTCATACCAGGCGAGACGAATTCCAGAGCTATATGCACATCTCGCCAAGGGCATCCCGAACCAGACGCCGGCTTCCCACGCCTCTTCCCACTGCTCCGAAGACACGCCTGGAGACATGCGATCGAGTCTGGTGCCCAGGCTCGGGGCTCGTGTGTACCCCACTTCGTCATGGTATCAAGAGAACTCTAATAGATGGCGGGGAAAGAAGGAGGAAGAGCAGTCGGAGACGAGGCCGGTTCGGATCATAGCCGAGTTTGCGGCGATATTTCGTTGAAAGATGCACGGAAAGCAGATACGGCAGGCACATAGACTTTCATACAGCTGTGCTAATGTATGGCTCACGTGCTTTTGAATCTGCCATAAATGCAGCCGAGAACAGAGTGCTTCAACCAGTGACCGCGTGCAGTTCGGTCAGCATCAGACGCGAGGTGCTCGGTGTACGATTGATTATTGAGAGGCCGTCAGCACTTTGTGGGCGCTTGAACCATGCAGGTGAGCGCCATATTGTAATTCCATTTCTCGCTCTAATCGTACAAATCCTCGCCAACATCGTCGTGCTCAGCTGACGCCATATCAGCACTCTTACCCTTGCCTTTGCCCTTCTTACCGCCGTTGATAGCTAATCGATCGGTCCTGACAACATAGTCGTCACCCGACTCATCATCAGCACCAAGTATAGCTTGATGTCCATTACCAGCATGTCCATTCATCGTCATTTCCCTGTCCTTCCCAGCCTGGGCGCGCTTCATAAGTGCAGCAAGCTGAGCACGAGACTGGGCAATATCACGTTGGCTGGACTGCGAACGCGCATTAAGTGGTCGAGCAACATCTGCGTTCGCTTTGGGCACAGGCTTTTTCGTCGTGCCTTCGAATGTGTCCCGAACACGTTCATAGTGCTGCAGCTCATCTAGGCTGACGCTGGGCACCAGTTCTCGTCTTGCGTTGGTGAAGTCTCCATCGGTTACCAGGACTTCTAGGTCATCCTCGGTAGCATGATGGTCGAAGAAGTATGCGACCGAGGCCTTGCTTTGACCCCGTGTGACACGCTGGTCGTTGATAATAGCCAGCTTCTGATCCACAAGCTTAGCTGATCGCGTAACAGCTTTGAGCATGGCGTCCGAGCACAGAGCATAGAGATCTGCTCCGGTGAAGGTGAAGGGCAGTGATTTTGACACCTTTGGAAGCGATAATGATGGATCGAGACGGAACCTGAGAGTAAGGTCAGTATGGTTAAATTCAGAAGGAGCATGCTGGATTGGGTGGGCATACTTCCTCGTCAGTGCCTGCAGGATAGTAGCCTGCTTCTCATGTGTATCGCTGATGCCAAGATACAACATCTTGTCAAAGCGACCTGGCCTAAGCAAAGCCTGATCGAGCAAGTCCGGTCTATTCGTAGCACCAATGACGAAGACACCACCACCACTATCCTCGCCATCACTCATACCATCCAGCTCAGCCAAAAGCTGCGAGACGATCCGATCCATAACACCACCACTATCACCCTGATTCCCACGTTTCGGGGCCACACTATCCAGCTCATCAAAGAAGACGACGCAAGGTCTCGCATCTCGCGCACGCTGAAAGACTCTTCGTACATTGGCTTCAGACTCGCCAATATACATGTTCAGCAGCTCCGGGCCTTTGACCGAGAAAAAGTTGAGACTGAACTCTGTGGCGATCGCTTTAGCCAGCAGAGTCTTGCCAGTTCCTGGTGGGCCGTAGAACAGAATACCACTGCGCTTCTTGAGGCCCTTGGCGAACAGCTCAGGTCTCGAGAGCGGAAGCTGAATCGTCTCAACAACGGCATCTTTGACGTGCGTGAGACCGCCAACGTCAGACCATTGCACGTTCGGGATCTTCGGGGCGCCGATGGAGTCAGCGAAGTTCTTGCGAGCGAGGTCAACGGCTGCTTCGAAGTCGGCTGGCGTGAGTGATGTTGCTGCGGTACCGCCTGATAGCTGGATGTCTTTTAGCGTTACGGACGGGACACCATGACCTGCTGCTATTTTCGCAAGATTTGTCAGGCGATCCGTCCTTGCCACCAAGGCGCGATCGACAACATCGACGAGGTCGCCTGCCACAAGCGCCGCAGTCTTTACAGCGATAGCTGCAAGATCCACCTCTAGTGCTAGCGGAACACCTGAACCTGCCACGATATTCTTCAGTATACCCTCGCGCTCACCTTCATCGGGTGCAGTCATTTCAAGCTCGTGCGTGAAGAGTCCTCGCACTGCCTCTGGAATCTTCTCAACGTCTGTAGTCGTTGCAACAAGCACTCGAGCGGACTCCAGTACAGTTTTTAGCGAGGCCGCGACTCTATCCGAGCTGAGCGTCTCGATGTGCCTGATGCAGAGAGCAGTATATTCTGATCCGCAGTCCAGTGCTCTCTCACATCGTGCTTCGAGAAGACCCTGCGTCTGAGTGTCCACATTTCCACCACCTTCGGAGGCGATGTCAAAGCCGTCGATGGCGAAATAGTGCAGACCCAAATCTGCACATACTTGCTGTACCATATACGACTTGCCTATACTGCGTTGCGTTGATGTGAGTAATAACGCTAGTGGCGGCATGCCTAGATGCACTGCTCGTGGACTAGACGATACGGATATCAGCTCGCGCAGGCGACGATGCAGAGTAGTGACACTTGTCTGTACGGCCTCCGGCAAGGTCTGCTGTCCCGCTTGTGCGGCCTTCTTCGCCGCTTTGTGTACACCCATGTAGTAAGGCCAGACGTTGCTGGTTGCAGAAGGTAGCTTTCGCTTCTCGTCACCAGACTGTCGCATAGTCATACGAGACGGGTCGATAGAGGCTGCGCCTGCCCACAGATCTGTTATCTCTGTCGCTTCCTCGTCTTCCGACGGCACGTTGACAGACTCGATGCTGAACCACGCGACTTCGGACATAGCTGGATCACTCTTGCTGCCTTCCCGGTGCCACTGGCCAAGCAGAGCTCCTGGGCCAGTGCCTTCTTGCTCAGCCTCACCTTCGTATAGAGACCTTCCGAGGCTGGCATCGATAGGTATGGCGATCACATCACCAGCTTTCACGATCCGCTGTCTGCTCTCGAAGTGCTCCTTCAGATTCGCGAACAAGACATGACTAAGAGCTCGCTCACTAGACAGTGGTGTGACCACTTTCCTCAGTGTGACTTCCGATGCGATCGGAGGTTGTCGCGATGCAGAAGATGGTGGCCTTTGTGTCATTCCACGCTTTGCCGCCTGCCTTCTACCAAACAACAATGGCGACAGACTGACGCTTTCTGCATTGTCGAGATTGGCCAGCAAGATAGGTGAAGTATAAAGTGTTGCCGGCGTCCCTGCCGTCGTTGCTATCGAGGAGATGCTGTCGCGACGTCCATGTTTGCTGGCCATCGGATAACGAGCTGGCTTACGAGACATGTGCTCAGGCAGACCATATACTTTGACTGGTCGCCAGGACTGAGTTGATGCGGCGTCGAAACCACCGAAGGCGCTCAACTGTGGAAGACCATGGCTTTCGACAGACTCAATCTGCACCCAGTCGCCAGAGAAGCAGCCAAGGCGTGCTAAGGCCGTAGAATCGACATACACACGTGCTTCTTCATCTTCCGTGGAAGCAGGCTTGGGATGCAATAGCTCATCAGAAATTCTCTCTATGAGACCCTGCGCTCGGAAGACTTTGCTTTTCGTCGCTTGTCCACCGCGGATGGTGCTGGCTGTGACGTTCGAAAAGATGGAGCCTGGTGTACTCACGCCGGTACCTCGTCCTCCTAATGGCCTCTGCGTGCTCGAGCTCATGGCAGAGCTAATACCAGATGGCCCTTCCGTGATCCCTGGTTTCGCAAGTGAGATCATGTCGTCGGAATCATCGGACAGGTTGCTTTCTTCCGTGCTCGAGTCAAACAGGTCATCTGTATTGGACAAATCCGTTGTCGATTTGGACGTCACAATGGGCTTCATGGGTGAATTCTCCTCGGTAGCTGAAAAGAAAGCCTCATTAGAGGTGTCTTCGTCCGTCTCCTCGTCCAGACGTGGTGAAATCAGGGCACGACCACGAGGATCATGTTGTCGTGTGTCGGAAGCGGTTGTGATCACAATCTTTGTGCTCGAGGACAGAAGACCTTGTGACACGGGCTCGCAGGCCAGAACTCGTGCTGGAGGTGCACTTGCATGCGTTACAGGGTGTGTCAGGCCTAGATTCAGCAGATCGCCAACATGCACAATCGCAGTCTTCTGCAAAGCTTCACGCACAAGCTGTTTCTGCCGTGTTTCGTCATTCTTCACTCCCACTTCGTTGCCGTTCTCCACAGCACCGTGCTTTCCACCTCGCTTAGCAGCATAGCCATTGGCGCCTGCGAAGCCCTTACCGTATCTCTTTTGCGCTTCCTCGAGCTTAGAGACGGCCTCCACATCCAGCGTGACAATCACTGTCTCCAACGCCAAGGGCACCACATCGCTAATCTTGACTTCAATGGCAGTGTTCAGCCTCACAACTCGGGTCGGCGAGCTGACTTGAATTAAATTGACAAAGCTCTGTATACCGCTCGCAGCAGCAGGGAAGCGCAGAGTGGATGCTGGTAGGGCTTTCTCATCCTTGAGCTGTGTTCGTAGAGGTAGGATTGTCCAATCCGACCCTGTTATGGTTGTGTTTGGTGTCCATGGTGTGAGGGCTGTATATAACGTGCCAGAGTCATGCGCACCACGACCAGAAAATAGATCCAGCAACAAGTCCTCGGAAAGGACCCCAACATCACCCTTCAAGCTACCGTCCAGGAATATTCGTGCTGATATGGGAGGCTTGTCTTCTCTTCTCCGTCGCTTCCTCTTCAAACACCCTACTGTAGGGTTCTCATAGGCCATCCTGATCGTCCACCACAATTGTTCTGCTCAGCAGACGCATTTGTGTCACTCACGAAGGAGTAACGTGCAGCTCCTCAGGCGCACATGCTGAACTCAATCAGCCAAGAGGGTCCTCGACCGGCAGCCGGTCACGGCCGAGCCGAGGTCATAACCTTTTGCCTCAGCCGAGACTACATTGCTTACGGCCATCACGTCGTCTGTGGCCTCCTTGGGATTCGTGTGTGATTGGGGGAGGTTGAACTCGAGCATGACGATAGTGATTTTGTTGAGCAGAAAATGCTCCGGAACGATAACTCAGTGATGGCAGAATGCGGAAGTTACACATCACATCAACAGGCGTCCGTGCACCAGAGCAGGAACATGAAGGCCAAACTACCTGTGGCAAACTGCATCTACACACATACCCATGAGCGTGCGTGAATGTGTTATGATGATGAGGGGCACCCCAGGTGTGCGTATCGTCATATAGAAGCTGAGACCTCAACCAATCTGCCAACCTAAGCTACCAACGAGCCCTTCGTATCATCATCAACCATCCTCCACACTGCCACTTCAGAGACTGTCTATGGTAAACCCAAGAACAGCTTCAACATCTTGGGATAGTTTGGAGTTCCTAACCCAGTGACAGGATCCCATCCCGGCGCGCTTTGAAAGCCTGGCGTTCCACAGCCCTGATTGCCACCCTCCGTGATATCGTTGAGCACGCCTGGATTGGCATAGATGACAGGGTTGATGAAGCCGATGCTGCTCTTGCCGGCGTTGTACCGAGCTTGGTTGATTACTGCAGAGGTCCTGGTTAGCATCGTTCGTTACCTTGAAATGAGGATTTACTGACATGTGAGGATACTACCAGTTGTGGGCGACGAGGCGGACGTTCCATAGACAAGGGAGAAATTCCCGTCCACAGATACGACGTAGTTGGCGCCGTTCGCCTGCATGGTTGTTAGTACCTTGAGCGTTGAGTGACTTAGAGGGCGACGGAAGTCTTGCTTACCGAGAGGTCAGGGTGTCCGCGAGTACGCTGGGAGTTATTGAAGCGATCCGCACCGTACGGAGGAGGGAACTTGGAGAACCACTGGTGCACAGCCGCAGACTGGTAGTCCGGCAGTGGGAAGACGTTACTGAATCCTCCACCGGAGTAGATGACCGTCTCACAAGCCTCCTCCGGCTGGGTACCAGTAGCCAGGGCCTTGCTTATATCGGTGTTATTCTTAACCTGCGTGGCTCCAACGGATGTGACATAAGGGCATGTGCCTGGGAAACTAGGGTTGAACTTGCCCGACTTGCCGTTGGTGTAGCTGCTGTTGCCTGGTGCGAAGGTCTGGTTGATGCATTGCCCACCATTGCCTGCGACACCGTAGTCTCCGGATGAGTACAAGACCGAGACTCCCATGAGCCCGAGCTTCATGTACTCATGGCATTGACGTTGTTCGTAGAATGGAGTCAAATCCGCTTCGTTGTAGCCGTAGGACGTGGAGATGACCTTCGTGGCAGCGTAGCCACCACAATTTTTCGGGCCCTTGTAGCCACCCGGGTAGGGGTCAGGGTATACTGCGTCTTGATTGGGATCGTCGCCACCGTCATAGGTACAGAATGAGGAGTCAATCGCATCAAGAAAATCATCGAAGGATGCACCTTCAACAAGGTCACCGGCTTGGTATAAAGTGACTTGCTGAGGGTAGACGAGCGTCATGGCGTACTCCCTAGATTGTTAGAAGCACATGTTAGCGTAGCTGCAGTCGATCCAGTACAGATGGACAGGGTGAGTTATGACGGCGTGAAGTGTCTTCCACGCATCGGAGATAGTGGTCGCAGCAGGGATCGAATGGAGAAACGGGCATAGTCGGAGGTATGACAACTTACTGACACATTGTTAGCATAGTCAAAGGCCGGAAGCTGCAACGATGGATGTACCAGATCAAGATCGGATTCACCGTTGAAGTTGAAGCTCATATTAGTCTGCTGAACAACGCCTCCGTCGATCGAATCAAGTATAGGCCTGTTACCGACTTGCTGCTGGCTGAAGTTGCGGAAGAACATATCTAGATCGCTGGGTACGTATGCCTGCGGGCTGTATTCTACAATTCCATAAGAGTTCTTTGGATTTGCTTGGCGGTTAATCGGGAACTGGTAAAGAGCGCGCAGGCAGTCTGGAGTGATGTATTCGTCGCAGTTGGCAAGATCATTGGTAGGCTTGTGCCACTACAAAGAACCGTGAGTACGGGACGCTTTGCAGAATTCTTGGGATTATGCACATACTTTCGGCATTCTCCACCCCCCTCCTGGAGGCTTCCACGGTCCCCAGGGCTTCCCGGGTCCCCACGAGCCACCGTGAGGGTTGTCGCGCTTCTCGATCATATCTTCGGCAGCGTCCTCTGGGACAGCACGAGCCTTGATCTTGGCGTCGAAGTGGACAGTAGGGTACACGAAGTCGACGTGCTCCTGAAGATGAGCGGGGATACTGTATTCCTCGCAGGCGATATGTGGTTGTCCTGACTCGTGCTCATAAACATGATAGCGAGTCTTGAGAAGGTCTTCAGCCTCGTCGACGGTGGCACTAAACTCTAACCAATTCAATGACTGCGATTGCTTGATACGAGGTCCGGCAATGCCAGCAGAAGCCAGCCAGGCCTTGACAGCATTTACTGACCCTTCGCTTGGTGCGAAAGCTTCGGCCACATCTTTAGCGGACCAGTGCTTGCCATACTTGGCAGAGCTGGGATGTGAAACGTCCTTCAGCCAGTCCCAGCCTTTGTCCAGGTTGCCTTGGGTGAGAGCAACCTTCATGGGCAACATAGCCCGACGATCGAGAATCTCTCTCTTCTCCCACCCAGAAGGGGCAGTTGTGCGTGTCTCATGTACGGCATGTGGAAGCACAGGGGAAGCTATGACAGCCGTGGCAAGGGCACTAATGGCCAAGGTAGAGAAGAACATCTTGCCCAGGCGAAATCAAGAGGGCCTTGGAAGGTTGGGTGCCAGCAGACCGAAGACGGGCGGTCGGTGCTGTTATGTAACCTCACTCTGGGCCTCCCTATCTTCGCACCAATCGAACGAAGCTGGAGGGCCTTCCTCTTGTGGCCTGATGGCTTCATCTCTATTGATCTGTTCCGCTTCCTGCTAGATTGTGTGCCTGCTGATCTACGCCTAGTCCGCCACAATGCATGATCATGAACAAGGTGTTTGATGCAGCGGCATGCTCATAGTAAGAAGCAAGTATAAGTGTGGATCCGTTCACATTATCCTTGGTGCGATGATTGGCGTAGAGATAAGGTATCGATGGACAAGGTTGCGGCCCATAGCATAGACGAGCCTCAGCCCTGAAGCTTCTTCTAGAGCCTCGGTGGGACATGGATATCTCCAGATTGAGCTGCCTGAAAGAGCCTTTGTCCATAATGGACTATATGGTAGTCGCATGCAAGTCGTCGATAGTGCGCGCGAGCTGTTGATCATAGATTTGCGCATCTGAGAACCTTCCTAATTTGGCGTAGATATCGCAATTGGCGGGGAAACGGCACCCTCACTATCATCTCCAGCACAGACCGCATGAGTAGCGATATCTTTCAGTGCCTGCACATCCCCCGACGAAAACGCACTTTAGCCAACACTTGGATTTTGACCGCGCAAATGTAAAGAGAGTGTTGCGATTATAGGCCTTCAGTCTGCATCGTCGCCCACATCATCATGCGTCCATGGTATGCATCCATGGCAGCATCTTCCGCGACAACTCGTTCCATTTGTATAGCTCGCCTGAATTTACATTATAATGGTAGTAGTTGTCCGTACCTCCTCGTACCATAGCACGACGAAAGGTGATGTTGATGCGACCTTTATCGGCCTCGCCACCTTTGCGCTTGGGTATACTATGCAACCACTTGCTCTGTGTGAGGCCTTTCATGAGCAACATATCACCACTTCCCAAAGGAAGTTTCAAGGGCTGGGTCTCGGATGCATGGCCTTCTGGTGTAGGCTTGTGTTTCAGAAGAAAATCTCTCTTCGCTCCCAAGGTAAAAGAGGCGATGGCTGGCTCGACGCCTAAGAAGCGCTCATCGTCAGAATGATAGCTGATACTGTCCTGCCCCGTGGAGTAATAATTGACGAGACAGAAATTGAATGTGCAGCCCGTTGCATTCTCTGTCAAGGTTCGTAGCAAATCCAAGCACTGTGGAATGGGCCTTGGCTTGCAGTTGTATGCATCTTTCGGAAGAGCTTTACCACTGGCACTATCGACAGGTAACTCGTCGCCTCCAAATCTGGCAGTCTCATCGAGACCGAAGACTGTGGTGAATCGTGGTGTGGTGATGTTCGTTTCGACTGGTCCACGTTTGATGGTATACTTGACCCGGTAGAAGAACAATTCACGCCTCAAAAACTCGAACAGATCTTTGGTAATTTCCTTTGGCACAAATGGCTGGTAGTACACCAAATCAAGATCGGTCCGATCATTAATCACACGTGGTTCCGTACTGGGTGCGAGGTTGAGGATCTCGCTAACGTTAGGCGGTAGATGGGAAATAGCATAAGGGTATGTCGCATGGTGAGACGCCTTTGTCGGATCACTGCCGGACGTATCGGTGGTAGCTTCGCTGTTGGCTGTTTTCTCGTGACGAGCACGCTTTGCTGGCGGCGTGAAAAAGGCGTCCAAGGTCCGTGGTCGTTTCGACATCCGGATAGATCGACTTTCTAGCACGACGATATCCCCGTGTTAGTTAGCCTACCCATATCAATGAGGATTAAAGTAAGACAGTCGTGAGATGCAGCCACCAAATGGGAGACGAATCTCTCTTATGACGTTTTGGCCTTCAATGTACTACGCGTTCATTGGTTGCCTGTCCATATCGGTGTCTGTGCATTGAATGCCTTCTCCGTTCGATGAACTTCATCTGGATCTGTGCATCACGAATCCATGCCAATGCTCGATTTGAGGGTCAGCCACAAGCCACGACTGCATGATGGTGCAGTCGCGTGCTTCAAGGCGGAAGGTGATACTGCTGTCCTCGGATGGCGAAGATGGCACTTCGGGGGACCAAAGCTACTTGAGCCAACGGAAAGCAGATGACAGTCATTCAGATCTTGATATTGAAAGTCCAAGGCCAAAGGAGAAGACCAAGAACGCTCGCAAACTGACGTCTGCCTCTTCGACCCCCGCAACAAGTTCTCAGAAATCGCCAGCTAAATCTAAGTCGACACGTTCGAAGGGCAAGTCATCAACCAAGGAGACTGCACAGCCGCAAGAAAAGACCATCTTCTCCTTCTTTAATGCCGCGACTCAACGTCAACAGCGCTTACATCCATCAGCTAGTCCTGAAAAACAGCTCTCGCCGAAACCAGAGCTCATTAATGATGACTCTGCAGAGGAAGGCAAGGATGTGACACTTGCGGAAGGCTCCAGCACAGCACTCGCGCTGCGGAAGCGCAAAGCGCAACATAGCACCAGTTTCGAGCAAGGTGGCGCTCTGGCACCGAGTGCCGCGCAGAAGTTCCGAAAGACAAGTGGTGGTGGCAAAGTGCCGTCTTTTGCGGTTGTGAACGAGGACCAACGCACCTGGGTTGACCAATTCGGACCATTCAATGTCGAGGATCTCGCCGTCCACAAACGTAAAGTGAACGATGTGCGCCAGTGGCTTGGGAACACATTTCACGGCAAGCGCCGCAAGGTGCTCGTCATGAAAGGCGCGGCAGGCACTGGCAAGACAGTCACTATTCGCATGCTAGCCAAAGAAATGGACTTTACAGTTGCCGAGTGGCAGAACCCGGCCAATGTAGACGCCTCACATGACTCATCGACTTCTGCAGCCGCTCAGTTCCAAGAGTTCGTGGGTCACGCTGGAAGAACTTCTAGTTTGCAACTTGCGGCCGATGGTGAGTCCTTGGCGGGAGCAGATGTTGAAGTTCAGACAGAGTCCCGTGCGACGAACATGCGGCGAAAGCAGCTCCTTCTTATTGAAGAGTTTCCGAGTACATTCTCGTTGTCCTCGGTTGCGCTGCAGACTTTCAGATCTACTATTTCTCAATACCTCTCAGCTACACAATCGCAGTACTTCTTTGTGGCACCCCTTGTCCTCGTCATTTCTGAGACACTACTCTCCACCAACACGGCCGCTGCAGATAGCTTTACTGCACATCGACTGCTTGGACCAGAGCTGAACAGTCATCCATACATCGACACAATCGAATTCAACGCTGTTGCGCCGTCGATCTTGACCAAGGCTCTGGAGTCTGTGGTAATCAAGGAAGCCAGAAAATCCGGCAGGCGGAAGACTCCCGGGCCACAGGTCATCAAGCGACTTGCTGAGAGTGGAGACATCCGTAGCGCCATCTCGTCCCTTGAATTCCTGTGTTTGCGAGGCAACGATGACGATACATGGTCAGGCAAGGTACACTTCACGAAGCCAAAGAAGAAAGTTGACCAGCCAATGACAAAGGCCGAGGAGGAAGCCTTGAAGCTAGTGAGCAACCGCGAGAGCACACTTGGTGTTTTTCATGCCGTTGGCAAGATCGTATACAACAAGCGCACAGTTCCTCTACAGCCAGCATTGGTCGCTCACCCTCCTGCATGGCTTCCTCAAAATCGCAGGACGACAGTCCCCGAGACGGACGTTGACGGCTTGGTCGATGAAATAGGAACGCAGACATCCACCTTCATTGCAGCACTTCACGAAAACTATGCACTGTCATGCGCGAATTCGAGCGCAGAAGAAGCATTAGACAGTCTCAGTGGGTGTGCTTATGACATATCCGACGCAGACTTGCTCTCAATCGATCGCTTCTCATCATCAAATCGTGCATTTTCTGGATCGGCCATGGACAGTCTTCGACAAGACGAGATGGCTTTTCAGGTCGCTGTCAGAGGACTCCTGTTCGGTCTACCTTCACCAGTCCATCGGGCTGTTCCCGCGAGCGGCAACAAGCAAGATGCGCATCGCATGTTCTACCCGACGTCTGTCAAGCTGTGGAAGCGACAGGAAGAGATCAGTGACTTGCTGGATCTGTTGACTGCTCGAGCTCAAAGTGGCCACCTCCAGACCAGTGCCTCTTGGTTTGACAAGTGGACCATCGACACTCCGGTGGGCGTAGAATCGTGGTCGCGCAATAACACTTTCCGATCCGCTCGGGAAGACCTTCATGTATCCGGTGATACCTTATCACTCCTCTCATCGATCACTAGAGCGGACATACTATTAGAGCGACTACCATACATGATGCAGATCCTACCGCACAACTCGCCACTGTCAGTGCAGGTAAGCAGGGTCTCACACATGAGTGGAGAAGGTAGATCATTGACCGTCGACGACGAGGCTGCCGATGAGGAGAACGATGATGCTGGGCCTGACGAAGCCTGGTCCACGGATTGGCCTGAAAAGGATGACATGCCGTCGCGGCGGAAGAAGCCCACTCGTGATAGACCCACTAGAGCAAAGCGCGAGACCGAAGGAGGTGGCCTTGCGATCCCTGTAGAGACCGAAGTCGGAAGACTTGTCCTGCAAGATGATGATATTGTAGACGATTAATTTTGCTAAGTTACCATTGTATATACCCTGTACGCTTACTAAAAAGACCTACTTTCTCCCAAGTGCGACCAGCGACATGCCGTGAAGTACACCAGGCTCAGTTGCGCACATGCCCTTCATCTTCTCGATGAAAAGATCTTTGTACTTCGCCATCTCCTCCTTACTCATGTCCTTGCTCAATGCGATGATATGCGGCATCTTGGTGATCATGAAGTCTGCAAAGGAATCATAGCTTTGGTATGCTATGAACGGTGTCAGTGTAATGAAGGATGTGATCTCCACTGGCCATAGCCACATCATCAGGCTTACGCATATCGACTACAACCTCGTATGTCTCAATGTCCTTGAAGCCGGCCTTTCTCATCTCTCCTTCAATTCCTCCCGTGGATGTCCAGGCTTCGGGTAGAGTAGGCAAGATTTTGTCTGGTCGGACCTCTGTCAACAAGTTCATGAGATCGAGCCATTGGCTGCTTTTCCACGCAGAGAGTGCAAGGACGCCAGACGGCGAAAGTACGCGAAGTGATTCGCTCAGGGACTTCTGTGGATCTGGGGTCATGAAGTACACGAACCCGGCGGTAATATGACTTTGACTTCCGTCGGCAATTTCCTTCAGATCCATCGCGTTCTGTACTTTTGTGTCGAGGCGGGCCCAAGGGGAGTTCGGATCGGCTGCCGTGTACTTCTCCTTCGAGACTTGCACTTGCTTGACCATGCCCTCGCTGAAGTCTGAGCAGGTCAGGGTGCAGTCTTTTGATATCTGACTGCCATAGTCTCGGAGTAGGTATGTCATGACCAGACCGGGACCGCAGCCATTATCTAGGATGCCGCTAGCTGTGGAGAAGGATTTGAGGACATTGGCTCGCTCCAGCATCTTGTGGATGGGACGTATACTGGTCGTCTCTGCCATTTTGGCATAGTTGCTGGCGAGGTCATCCCAGTCGCCGCCTACAGTCTCGGGATGAGTTAGTGATGGGCTTGGCAGGCCAAAAAGCACGTCGACACACCTTTGAAAGGTCTGACATGGTGGTTCGCTTCCAAACGGCAACGTGATCGTTGAGGATCTGGAGTCTCTTCTTCGAGATGTGGAGTGATCTAGACAGCTTTGCTGCAATTCGTACCACGCTGAATGAAATGAGACAGTCTTGCAGGCTGGCGGTGGAGGAGTTGGTGATGAAGGCAAGGAGAATGGCGGAAGATGAGGGTAAGATGCTGTAGTACTTATCCTGTTCCCATCAATGCTCAGCTACCTTGTCGCCGGTCGAAACGGTATTTCGGAGACTTTTGTGAAATGTTGCCGTGAGGAAGGATTCTAGTCAGCTCGTTTCAAATCCGCGCATGTGCGTAGACGAGAGTAGGGCTAAGTTGAGCACGCCAATGCGAGGGGGCGTATATAGAATGTCGTAAAAGCATGCTCGTGATGAACTGGATACAGATTCCAACCCTTTGGAGCAAACGTCGGCGCGTTGATCACAACCATGGTCGGGAGATGTTGGGCTCTTGAGCATGAATTGGAGAGCGATTGCGTCGATGAATAGGCTTCCGGTAAAGCAATCGTGTCCTACGATGGACGGAGGACTGTCATGCACATATGGTGATGTTGTTGGTATGTTGTTGTGCTAGTCGTCGTGCCTTTCGTTGACTTTAGTGATTGGTCAGCGCCGAGGTTAACACAACTGATACATCATCAGCCTCCTCTTTCTCTCAGACGACGACACGGCTGCGTGATGGTCCAGAGGTCCTCATCACCTATCGTATGCTGCAGCTCTTGCTACCTCCTACCAGGGCCGGCGACAAGAAGAGCTGCGTCCGGTGCCGCTCCAGAACTACCGTCACGATCTAGAGGTGGGACACTTTCAGAAGAGGCAGCTGCCAATGTAAAGGTAAACCATGCTGTCATTGCTCTACTTCCTATTTCTTTCCATCTCTCCGCCGTTGCCGTCTGTCTTATCTTACTTGCAGTTCACCTTCCGCACTCACTAGCCTCCACCATAACCATAATCATGTCGGGTAAAGGAATCAAGAACGTCTTTGGCGCCGGTGCCATCAACCCGCCTCGTGGCTTTGGCGACCCAAAGCTGCTCGAAGAGCAAGCCTTCCCAGTGTTGCTAGAGGGCGACTGTAAGACCATCGACACCGCCGCCCTCTATGGACAGAGTGAGACCATTCTTGGACAGGTGGGAGCCGGCAAGCAGTTCACACTCGATGTAAGATCAGGTTCATGCTTCGTAGATATCCTCATTTCGGTACTGACATGCTCGACCAGACCAAGATGAAAGGTGGATTTGGTGGCCCAGGCCATGCAACAAAAGCCAAGGTCATCGAGGAAGCCGAGAACAGCCAGAAGCTTCTAGGCACCACAGTCGACATCGTGAGTCTCGTGCGCAGCATGGGATTGTGAGGCACGACTGACAGCGTGGAAAAGTACTACATCCACGCTCCCGACGGAGATACCGACATCGCTGAGACCCTCGCCGGCATCAACGAAGTGCACAAGAAGGGCTTCTTTAAACGATTCGGCTTGTCCAACTACCAAGCGAAAGACGTGAGAAATGTCTATGAACACTGCGAGAAACATGGCTACGTCAAGCCAAGCGTATATCAAGGAAACTACTCCGCCGTGGCTCGCAAGCAGGAAGAGGTGCTCTTCCCAACTCTACGCGAGCTCGGTATATCCTTCTATGCCTACTCGCCCATCGCCGGAGGTTTCCTCACCAAGACGAAACAAGACATCGCAGACGGCAAGGGACGTTTCGACGTCAACGGGCCCCTGGGCGACATGTACGCGAGCATGTATGGTCGTCCTAAGCTCCTCGAGGCACTTGAGAAGTGGGCGGATATCGCTAAGGAGGAGGGCGTGTCAAAGGCTGATCTTGCGTATCGCTGGGTCAAATACAACAGTCCGTTGAGCTCCAAGCATGGCGATGCCATCATTATTGGTGCGAGCAGTGTTGAGCAGCTCAAGCAGACCCTGGACACCATTAGCAAGGGACCGTTGAGTGATAAGGCGGCCAAGCGGATCGATGAGCTGTGGGAGGGGATCAAGGAGGATGCGCCGCTTGACAACTATCATCGGTAGATAATCCGCTGAGCATACACATGGCCTTACGTCCACAACCGAAGCCAGAGAGCTCAGACATCTTGTTCAAGAAAAGGTGCTCTTCAGATCGTACAACACTATGGTAGATGCTAGATGACGAAACCAATAAGAATAACAAGCGACAATATCCCTTCAACTCCATGAACTCATGCTTCTGCCGTAAATGCCGTGAATGCCGTTGCCAGCCGTGCCCTGTCCATACTTCCCGTACCCAGTGTAGCGATAAATTCGAAAAGATGTTGTGCAGAAACGAGCGCGTCACAATTCAAAAGACCATGCATAAATCTTCCGTATCACCATAAGTCGTACATTGGAAAGTCGTGAGTAGCACCAGTCTCGATCTCGAGCTCGTCAGGATAGTGTACGGTGATCTCGAACATGAATGGGAACTCAGGCTCCGGAACAACTCGGAGCGGTGTTCGTACGAAATGGTATTCAGGAACTGATTGAGCCTCGCCTTGCTCGAATTGGGTGCCGGCCTGGTATATAATGCCGCTGGAGTGAAGGCTCATCTCGTCGTTCGAAGACTGCGATAGGAGCGACACAGTGCTCATGGTGCGCTGGCTGGGGCTAAGACGTACGAGCATTGAGCCGCCGGGAGTGGGGTGATCGTCTGAGCTCATGGTGCGGCAGCAAGCATATGGCCTAGGGGTGTCTGAGCAGGTGCAGCGTTGGTGTCTAGCCAAGATGAGTCGGACGACCAGTGGAGTCATGGAGCCCATGTCACCGAACTCAGTCTCCTTGTCAGCACCTTCTTCTCCATCGACGGACATCTCGTCTTCAAACTCGGCCCCACCACCTTCCTCGGTGAGCTCGTCGTTGGGGCGGCTGGAGTTGCAAGCACATCCGCAACGGCAGCGGCATTTGACCAGGTCAAGCTGAGGAGAACGCTCGCTGTCGACTTCGGTGGCCTGTTCGACGTCCGGACTGTGTTCCGGTATAGTGTGATTGCCATCTCGGAAGGCCATCTTGTCCATCTACACGTATAGAGTGTAAGCTTCGACCGCGGCAGCTAAATCCGCTGCTGTCTACCGAAGTGGAAGATGTAGTATGCACAAGAAGTATTGATGTCAGTAAGGTATATGTTGACTAAATGCCAATTGATGCCGCCGGCGCCTAGCTAAGTCCAGATGTGTTGTGTTCGTACAGGTCGTGATCCCAAAGAAGTTTGAGGGAAGCAAGACGCATGATCGAAGGCTGGAGTACTATCCTAAATATCATGTGAAGCTCTGGTCCTGCAATGCGAGGCACGGCTGACGTGCCTTGAGACTGACATCACACAAGCCGTTAAGCCGCTCCTTTGACACGCGACTACACATTCCGGTCAGACTGATTGTCGTCGCAGATGGCCGAGTGCCCAGCTCTTATACGGCAGATCAACCAAACGCGTGGGCACGATCTTGCGCCAGTGGCTCAGGGAAGATAGTCGCAGGTGGGGAAGCATTAGGTCTGCTGTCAGATGGTTCGGCATAAGGATCCCGCATATGTGTGCTCCGCCTCACGTTCTCGCGTGGAAACCACCCGAGTGGTCGCCTTGTAGTAAGATAGCTCCATGGAGTTTCGACTCATCGTTGTCCCCGCGTATTCAGGTGTTAGAAGATCGCGGGGCGTACGGATGGAACGTGGGGAAGCGAGGTGGATCTGTACATACACGGGCGAGTAGTGATAGCATTCGAGGTTGTTGCTCTGCCGTGCTCTTGCGAGTGATAATACATGGCGTTGGCCGATTGGATGCGACTCTGGTGAAGTAAACGAACAAGACTCAGTGCTGAATAGCGGGGTAGCTCGAAGCAGCGTCGGCTGAACTTCGGTAATCAACCAAAGTGCAATAGCTATGAGTATAGATAGAACTTCTTGATTAAACATAGCAATAACATCGTGGCGTTGGTGGTTTAGTGGTAAAATTGGCCGTTGCCATATGCAATCTTCTTGAGCGCTTTGAATCGGCCAGCCCCGGGTTGTAAGTGTTGTATCTCAGCGCATATGTAAGATGCCACATACTAATAATAGTCAACAGCGATTCCCGGCCGACGCAACTTTCTTTTGCCGTTATCGGATACGAGGTGAACTGTACTTTTGCTTTCTGGGAGGGAGACCTCAGGCTCAGAAGCGAATAGCATGGCATAGTCCTGAGTCGCAAAGCATTCGCTTAACATATTGAAAGTGTCCCTGGCTGTTCGTTGAGAAAGCAGTCAAGTGAGGGGCATTTCACGGGTACCGTATCTTGCCACGTGCGAAGAACTTGCCACAGTCATAATAATAGGAATCATAATCGTCACGCATATGCACATAAAGACATGGGTAGCAAGATCAAAGGGGTATCTCTCAGTGTCTCGGAAACACCGTCTCACAAATCCAACAGAAGCGCAGCAACGCCAACAACACCAGCCAACACAAAAGCACAAGGACTACCCAGTCCACTCGCGGTTCCAATCACCCCACTACCTCCCTGATTGCTCGTAGAACCGATGACACCATTTCCATTCCCATTTCCATTTCCATTCCCATTATTCCCGTTGTTGCCCGAGTAGATGGTAGTAGCAGCCGCGCCAGCAGTGGACGCATAAACCACACAAGCACCAGCATAGTTGTTGCATTCGTCGCTATTGCTCACTGTAGTCGTCTGCACTACAGTCTGCGTAGCCGTGCTGTAGCTCGTCACTATCGTCGTTGGCGTGCTCGTGCGGGATGTGGGTGTATAGACCGTAGAACTGGGTGCATTGCCTGTCGCGTAGATGGTCGTGGTATACGAAGGCGAACCATATCCGCCGTAGACTACGCATGCGCCATAGAAGTTATCGCAGGCTCCCGAAGCTCCATTCGTGTTCGACGCTGTTTGCGTGACCGTTGTTGTCGCTGTCACGGCTACGATTGTCGTGCTTTCGGCGCGGTCATGGAGGTTGGCCGCTGTGAAGGTGAAAAGTAATGACAGAGCCAGCAGGAGGTACTTGAGCCGGTATCGTGGTTCGAGAGCCATGGTGTTGAGAGGAACTACGGTAACAGTCACAGCGGTGTAATGCCCTCGCAACGAAGTCTTATCACGTAGCCATTGTTGTCGATACGAGAGTTGCGCAGAACTGTACCTGTGTAGCCTGAAACAACAATGACGCAGGCGTGTAGAATATCTACACCATGCTTCGCCTGCCGCGTGGTCAAAAGTCGCTTGCTGTGGGAGAACAGCTGAGGTGAGCTGCCACGATTGGTCGATGGAGCATGCTCAAATGCACCGCCTGACGCTAACGCCACAGCTCGTGAATGAGGATCATTGTGCATATATTGTGTTTGGAGTGTGTCTGGCATGTGATCGTGAAGATGTACGATATGCCGCGAGATACACAGCAGGGAGATGCTGATCGTGCTGCATAATTTGTAGGATCAGACTAGGTATACCTGGTTAATCTACCTCCCAATCCTCATCTCTGCCCTCGCATACCGATACAACGCTCTCAAAAACACACTATATCCCACACCCACCGTCGAGTCCTGCGCTCCATAGATCTCCGTCAGCCGAACTTGCCACGGTGGGTACCCGTCTAGCATCACCCTCTCCCCAAACACGATCAACAAGTCTGGCTCTCCCATCACGGACTCTGTGATCTCGGCATCTATCAATTCTTGGCTGATGTCGGCTGGTTTGAGCTTGTAATCTTGTGCCATCGTTGCCAAAGTTCGGGTTAGATCAACGAGCGTTTGGCGGCCGTCGGTGGAAGAGATGAGTAGAATGGTCAGGTGTGGGTGTGTTGTAGCGCCGTTTGTTGCTGGTTCCGGGGAGTGTGGCGGGCTGTAGGATGGGTGATGTGGTGCTCTAAGACTTATTGTAGGCTTCAGTGGGGAGTTGCCGTAGTAGTCTGTCAATGTCTTGTTGATCTGCCGGTGCAGATGTTGAAGAGAGGTTTGGAGGATGCCTTTGCTGTGTTAGCGAGTGATCATGCTCCGCTTGACTGAAGTCAAAGCATACCAGATCTTTCATATATACTCAACATAGGGATTCCAGCACAAGCACTCCAAGCCGCAACCTCACACACCTCATTGACTAGAGTCTCCAACCTATCCCTCTTCACCCCGTCGGGCTGCAAATCGAGTATCACACTCAAATGTCCAGGCACTTTACCAAGATTCTTGACATCCTTCTGGATGAACTCCGGAGCACGGTGGTGGTAGTATGTGATAGCATATAAACGATCAACGATAGCATGATAGGTCCGCCGCGCCCGTATATAGATACTGAATATTGCATGAATGAGGGTGAATAGTAGGTTGTGTAGAAGGCTTTGCAGTGCTGGTCGTATTCGTCGTTGATGGTGGAAGCGTTTTGGTCTTGATTTAGAGAATTGTGGTTGTGGTGAGGTTTTGCGTTGAGGTGTTAATGGCAGATATGGCTTCAGTAGCCTCTCGCGCTCGGCTGGTGATAGTTGGTTGCCGTTGGCATCGAGGTCATTGTGGAAGGCGTATGTCTGGCGGAATCCCGGCATTGCGAATGATCGTTGCGGCGGAGAGTCTCGTCGTCAGTCTACGTAGCTAGCTTAACTGATGACTCCGAAATCATACGTCGGGTACTCGAATAGACGACAACATAATCGAGCATGAGATTTGGTCCAGCATGTCGAATTGACATATGCCTAGACACAGAGTCGTCAGCAGCCCGGCTGTGCCTGTCGATCTGTTTGGATAGTTAAAAATGGCCTAAGGCATAACGGAGCGGAAAAACCTATTCCGGAGGCGTCACTTCCTCGCGTTTACCTTGGATGAATTCAGCATCTCGCGTTTGCACAGGCACCTCGATGATAGTGTGAGCTAAGATTTGATACTCACAAAAGCAGCATGACCACCAACGAGCAGTTGCAGGCTCAAATTGCCCTCATCTCCAGCAAAATCAACCAGGCTAAGCAGCAGCAACAACAGCAGCAGAGCTACTTTCAAGCACCAAAGTACGAGACCGGCCACCAACAGCAGTACTCATCATACCGCGGATCTCCGAGATGGGCCCCCTACGCCCGTGGTGGTCGTGGTGGCCTGCACAAGAACCGTACGCTCGTCGTTAATGACGCTAACAGGACTCCGCCGCCAGATACCGACCAGCCCTTCACATCTGCCGCTTCGGGTCTTGTGTCCACACGTGGGACAACTCATCAGCTAATGACCAAGGGCACATTCAATCGCGAGCAGCAGGCACGCCTGGAGCTTCAAGGACAGCAACGCGATGCCAAGCGGCGGAAGAGGCGAGCCTCGGAGCAGTCTAGAATACTGCGCCACGTCCTCCCGAGCGGCAATACTGCCATGCGAGAGATGGTCATCGACGGAATTCTATTCCAGCTCACTCAAGATGGTGGCAAGCTTGTTCGAGTCTCTGGTAACTGCTTTCAGGCGCATTACTCCCTGCTTGTTAATCTGCTGATCTGTTAATAGATATCGCCACCGCCGCTCTCGAGACTCCAAAGAGGACGAAGATCGTTGGCGTCGACTTCTTCCGCACCAAGAACGGTAATCTCGTTCGCGCCAGTACCTTACGACCATCAGCTAGGTATCAAACGCCGCAGACTCTTTGCTTTGAGCACTGCTTACCACCTATGATTAGGCCGACCGCGACCAAAGCCCGGTGCGAGAATTTCACGAAACATGGTACTTGCGCATGCACACCCATCCGGCCTGGCCATGACCGAGCGAAGAAATCCTTAGATCGACATCGCATACGGCCCCGTCGGTAAGCCGTACAGGCAGAGACTGACCTCCCTCACAGGTACCTGTCCCTTTGGCTCGCAATGCCACTTCGCGCATGATCCAAACAAAGTCGCCATCTGCAAAGACTTCCTCAAAGGTGGCGCCTGCTCTCGTGGCGCGAACTGCGACATGTCCCACGAGATGACCTGCCATCGCGTCTCCGCTTGCCAGTTCTTCTTACGCGGCAACTGCACGAACGCTGCATGTCGCTATCCTCATTTTTCTGTCCCTCCATCTGCACCTGTCTGCGCTCCATTCGCCACTCTCGGCTATTGTGCCAAGGGTCCCGACTGTGACAAGAGGCATGTCCTTGAATGTCCCAACTTTGCCAACAAAGGTCACTGTGCGAATCACGACAAGGGCTTGTGCCTGTTGCCTCACCCCGACCGCGCCAGTATCTTACGCAAAGCTGCTGAGCGGCAAGCGAAGATGGGCGCGGATGCTGAGTCCGACTTGTCTAGCGATGAGGACGTCAAAGATGAGGAGGATATAGAGGACATTGACTCTGAGGGGGAAGATGTCTTTCTGACAGGTACTGGTGAGAACAGCCATGAGCTTTCTCAGCAGCAAGACTTCGTTGGCTTCAATTGAGTATGGATTGCCATGACAAGTATCCATCGACATTGAAGTCTCCTCGAGGAGCTGAGGGATGCCAATGCGTAGGCATATCAGAATAAGAAAAAGCATCAGAACAAAAGTCAGAGAAAAAAGCCGCAATGAACCTATGCAGAAAATAGAGAATGAATACAATACATCATAATCTCCATCACTGTACACATCGTAGTCAGTATGCCACCGCATAACTCTGTTCATCCGCTCTGTGAAAGATGTGTTTGCCGTACTCGCTCCAAAGTGATTTGCTTGCTCGAGCTAGACTGTTGTCGACTCATGCTACGAGCATCGTCACTCCATGCATTCAGAAAGTTTTGCAGAGATCTCAGCCTCTGCATCATCTGGTCGAGGAGGAATCTGTAAATGGCGCACGAGCGCATAATCATTGGCATGACTGGATATCTACCATAAGCAGCCTCCCGCTTTACCAAACGCCCGTTACTCTGTATGTACGTATATGGGCATCACTATACCGCACTCTGGCTGACTTGCGTCATCGGCCTTTTCTTCCCTTTCCGGCCTGAAAAGAAGGACTCCCTTCCTCTCCGTAAAGTACCCAAAACATGATGTTCGTACTCCAGTGGCGAGCGCGGAGCGCCGATTTTCCCATGACTGCCGCTGGTCTGCGTGCTGTAATTTCCACCCGCACCATCTCCCACCAGCCTTGGGAGCTCCAGAGGCGTCAATTGTGGTTCCGCACGAGTCTGTAGCTCATGGCTCTCGTTTATGTCCCGTGATCTGGTACTGATTTCGAAAGTACTCTTCTTCGTTATGCCAGACGAGCTCGTCGTAGAAGTGGAACTCTTATGCGCATCCACGGCCTGCACTCCTGTACGTGGCGTCAACTCGCCTTCACTCTCACTTCTCTGCCTCTTCTCTCCGCTTCTGCCGCCCGTCCAGCGGGAGGTACTGCCTCCTGCCCCACGGCTGGAAAGTCGTTCGCCAAGGTACTTTTTGATGAAGACGCGAAGGGAAGGTGCACAGGCACATATGATGCCTAGACCGAATTCTAGCATCGTCCAGAAGTAGACGTCGAAAGCTAGCCAGGTGAAGTCGTAGTGGAAGGAGAGTTTGTAGTAAAGATACGTTCGGGCGATGGCGGCGCCGATTGTTATTGAGGAAATGCCGAACATGCTGTCATCATATCAGTATCACTCCAAAAGTATATTCATGCTTGTTTAAGGTAGACTGACATGTTCAAGATGACCTTCTGCCGAAATGGTACTTGTAGTCCTTGCGCCACGATACAGGGAAGGGCGATCGAATATATGTCCGTCACGATACTCAGGATCCCGGCCACGAGGTTCAGTACACCAGTGCTAGCGCAGTGGAAATCGTGGTCGGCGGACCACTCTAGGTCATACGCCAGCCAATATGCTTTAGTGGGATTGCAATTTAACACCAGAGCCAACTGCATGGCGACTGTGTAGGTGACCGTAAAGGCGATAGCAGTCCAAATGGCATAGAACCATCTTGTGTTGGATGTGCCGCTTTGTATCCTGCGGTAGAACAGGAGAACAGAGACTTTGAGACAGCAGGTTCCAGTTACGAACATGAAAGCGCCAATCCAGGCATTTAGTGCTTCGTTCTTGAGTGTGTCGAAAGTGGCATCCCCTGAAGGAAGTGTTAGTTGGTGTCGAGCGACTTGCTGAAGGAAGAGGCATATACATATGTGGATGCCTGCCAGCTTGTTCTCGTTGGCATATATAGCCGTCACATAGACTCCCACCAATATTGCCCATGCCGGGACGAGCAGTGCCTGGTGCTTGGTAAGTGTATTAGAACGTCAGCACCAAGTGCTAGTGTACATACATCGTCATAGCCTAGACCACCTCCTTGATGCCGTAATCGTAGAATAAGCCGTATGGCAACCAAGACTGTACAGACGGAACCAAGTGCGACACCATAGGGTGGCAGCCATGTCCTTCGCACAGGATCCTACGGGCGGCCTGGTCAGCTCAAGACTTTGGTGGCCCGTTTGGCCGAAAGAGACGTACTGTATAGTTCGGCGGCGGCCACGACGATATGATAGATAGCGGCGGTGAGGGTAAATTGCCAGGCATAGCGACGAATGATGCACGAAGGTCAGCCGCGACGGAGACCCGAGCACTAGGCGGCTGGTTCTTAGGATATGTACTTGCTATAGGCAGAGGCTCCGGAGGAAGAGTATGATCCTAGGCGTGCCTTGTCTCGCACCAGATGATGAACTGCCGAGCACGTTTGCGGGACTCTCAGTAGACGTTGTCGATCATCACTCGTACGATAGAGACTGCGCCAGCATATTTCGTGGTGCTTGCTTCGAGCATTTCTCGGGATGCCGTCGAAGAAACTCTGTATGCCAAACAACCGCTGTCTTTAAAATGTGGGACCTTAGATCAAGCCGCAGTCCAAGGTGCTTAAAATCGTGCAAAAGTGACTTGAAACAACAAGGATGTGGATGCAGTATCAACCCGAGTGATCGTCAACGTTGGTCGTGGAGCGGTCGTCCGGCAACGCACTACTCTGCATGAACCCAAATCGAAGCAGTTCGGGACCTGTATGGGCCTTCACCTTAGAACGCACTTACAAGCATCATCCACGCGGCTGTTTTTGACCCGGGAGCCAGCTCTACGCTCTGGGATGGTTTCATCAAGGCCAAGCAAGATCTGTTAGAGGTTGGACTGTAGCATCTATGGTCTGCTAGCACTCAGGCAAAGGCATGGCGTTTGCGTGTGCGGCTCAATGACTCGATTGTGAGGAGATTTGTTTGAGGCGCTCCCCTTGTATGTAAGTCAAGACGGCACCACGAGCCATGATCGAAGAAACTCTGATCACTTGATCGTCTCGAGTCAGGCTCGACGTGCCATGGATTCGGTGGTTACTGAGAGTTCGTAGTCTGATAGTTTGAGCCTCAGCAGCATTGTGCTCTACGACGTGTTCTAGCTTTGCGTGGTGACCCTAGTGAGAACGCGCCCTCTGTGTCGTCGAGCCGGGCTGATGTGAAGAGCTGTAGTCGAGTGCAATCCGTACACCAGCTGTCCTTGGTGTCATCCCTCAGGAGTGGCGAGTCGTGGTTGTGCACATGACTGCACAAGGCTGGTTTAGCACAAGGAGGCCCGGAACTTTCACTGAACTCTGCCAGATCCCGAAGGTGGACCGCACCTTCGCCGACGACGTCTTGCACATGGATCTCTATTTTTGCCACTATGGTCCGCGTGTAACCTCGACGGATAATATCTTCAAAGTCGCGCGGATTGGGCTATGAAGTACTGATTGTGTTGATATTAACAAGCCCAATCTTCGCCTAGCAACACCCAAGATCGCTGTTGATGGGGTTACGTGTTTAGCATATCTCAAGATTCGCGTGAGCCTTGCAGGTGCACTTCACTTCACTTCAATCTCAGCAATGCCGAATCGGAGCCAGAGATGTCTTGTCTTTCCGCCATGAGCCGCGAGAAACGAGCGTCCCAGCGGGACGCACTTACTCCTTAGGATTCATGTAGTCACAGGGCCGATGGCGCGACGACATCTCTGTAGGAGGCGTTGGCATTCCATACAGTGTCGAACTGGTCTCTCGCTGCGAATCGCCCAACTCGCATGTTTCAGAACGCCCCACAAGCACGCATAACCGACCTGCACGACTCGAAGCCCGGACCATAACCTGAAGAGGATCCATGCAAACCACGCCAGTCCCCTTCCTGTTACGAACCTCGTTTTCTTCTCAGCTCCTCCTGCACGCTATCTACACAAGCGACTCCGAGCTGCGACCACAGTCGGACCTGACTACGCCCTAATGACAGATTGAGCGGGTCCTTCGGCAGATTATCATCGTGCAGCTGCTCGGCAATGAGATGATAGGCATGGTTCGTGTAGAGGAGGGTAGGCTGACGTTGTCTCTAGGGGACTTGTGCGGTAAGAAAGATTATTTTGTACACCACTCCAACACTACCTCTTTTCAGCCTCGGAACAAGCTCGATGATGGACTGAGCATATTTATTTCCTTCTCTTTCTCGCTGCTCGAGCGCAGAGTACGAGCGCACGAATCCCGGCAACGATGTTTGGCCGTTCGATTTCTGCATATATCTGTTATGCCGCCCTCGTACGTCTGGGTCATGTCTCTGCTGTCGCAGTCCCTCGACAAGACCAAGACGCAGATGCGGCCAGTGTCATAAGCAAGGCACAGAACATCGTGAACCCATTGTCGCCCAATCAGTCTGGCACGCCGCCTGATCTTACTGTCCTTGGAAATTATTATATTACCCAGAAATCACCTACACCACTCCTACGTGCCACCGGTATCCTGACCAAGGCCTTGACGTTTCTCTATGGACCATCAATCGCAGGCGGGCCAGCATATCCCACTGGTATCCTCGGATTGGTGAAAGTGACCGCCGATCTATTGGCAATTCAGCTTGATCTGACGCCGGAGACTGCGCAAGCACTAGTCGACAATACCGATGCAATCTTGGGGATAGCCAAATACGACGGCTTGCAGACGGTTGAAGACTACACTAAGCTCTACGACGGCGAATGGATGAATACGCTACCAAAGGGTCCTGATCTCGGTGTGCTTACCAACTACACGGACGATCTTTTGTTCTCGATGGAAAGGCTGTCCAACAGTCCATATCAAGTCCGCCGCCTCAATCCAAACAGTGACTCGCTCAACTTCCAAATCGACGACACAATCGCCAAGAATATCACAGGTAGCACACTCCAACAACTCTTCTCGGCCGGTCGCCTCTTCTACTCCGACTATCGCGATCAAGGCAGTCTCACTCCAAACTTACTCCGTTACTCCGCCGCTTGCGATGCTTACTTCTACGTCGACATAAACGGCGACAAGTTCCTGCCTCTCGCAATCCGTACGAATGTCGGGTCGAACCTCATCTACACCCCAGCGGATACAGCGAACGATTGGCTTCTAGCCAAGATGATGTACAATGTCAACGACTTCTGGTTCGCGCAATGGAATCACCTGGCCAGTACGCACGAAGTAGTGCAGATCGTGTACTCGGCCGCCATTCGGACGATCAGTGAAGAACATCCGGTGCAAGCGCTGCTGAACAGGCTCATGTCCGAGGTCTTCGCTATCCAGCCGCTGGCTCAAACTGTGCTCTTCGACCCAGGCGCGGCGGTGGATCTCGTGTTCTCCTATAGCGGAACTTCAGCCCAAGCGTACACGGACAAGAAGTACAAGAATGATGGAAGTGGTCGGTTTCAGGCCAACTACTTCAAGACTGAGCTACAGAATCGTGGATTGCTTAATCCGGCTACGGGGCCGACGCTGAAGCATTTTCCATTCTACGAGGATGCCTCGACTATTCATGATGCTATTTCGACGTTCATGACGGCTTTCGTTGGATCCTATTACTCCTCCGATTCCGTTGTGGCGATTGATGGTGAGCTGCAGGCTTGGGCCAAGGAGTGCAATGGCGTGTTGGCTGCTTGTAAGGACTTTCCTGCCGCTATCTCAAGCAAGGCCGCGCTGGTGGACATCTTGACGCATATTGTGAGTTTTCCGGACTGCTCCAGGAAAGCAGAGTTTGACGATTAATGTGTTCTGGAGGCCCATCTAGCATCGACATCCCACCACACGATCAATACTAACGAACTCTTGAGCATTTCGTCTACTCTACCTTTCCATCCCCCTGCTTTATACAAGCCTCTGCCAAGTGCAAAGGGCGTAAACAATGTGGCCGAGTACCTACCACCCTTTACTCAGGTCCTGACCCAATTCACTATTGGCGCCCTCTTCGCTCGCCCGGACTTCGTCGGCACCAATCGCTCGCTGATCCACATGTTTGATGTTCAGACGTTTCTAAGCAAGACGAACGATCAGACAAGAGCGGCGAATGGAGTTTTCATGAGTGCTATGAAGAGTTTCAGTTCGCAGGTCAGTTCGAGGAGGTTCGATGGGGAGGGGTTGAGTCAGGGCATGCCGTTTGTGTGGCAGGCGCTTAATCCTAATGTTATGCCTTTCTCTATTACTACCTAGATGGTGTGGTAGTACGTCTGCGAGCAGACCGCAGCTGGAACATTACATCGAATCTCATCTTGTGTTTTGTCATACAGGTCCTTTCACTTCCCAATGATACCTCATGTGGACCGCTCGCTAGGCGAAACATCGGCCCGCTCATGTAAGCGCCCAAGCTCCTTCCATCCTGTCCATGTCCGTCCCCTCTGCTCCGCTCCTGCTCTCATGTCAACCATGTCGCACCTCCTCACTACTCTGTGAGTGGCAGCGAGCCAGCAGCATTCACCTACATCGATTGTTCGTACCTCCCTCTTTCTTACTACTACGGAGGCCTGCCATGCCTTCCATCACCAACATACCTCTTCTGTTCCACGGCTAGATAGCACGACGACCAACACCATTGTCACTTGTCATTTAGATTGCCCCTTCTACACTGCTTTCACACACACAACCTTCGCTACTCGTTTGCTGCGGCTCACACGCTTGTACATTCTGTTCTAACGATGGCCGCCATGGCAAACAGTCCTTTCTCCTCACGCCGGCGACTACGCGACTTGTCTCGGCTACAGCCGGCCACTGGATGCAGACGAGTAGCCCTTCAACGTGTCGAGCCACCGTAAGAGCGACCATCACTCGACCACACCTCCGTTGAGCATTTCTCTTCCACAAAGCCGCAGCGATGGACGCCTACGACACCTATGCACGGTCTCCTCCGCCTTCACGTGGATCAGGCAGAGAGCGCGACGACTACCGCTCGGCAGATCCATATCGAGACAGGAGACGCTCACCAGGTAGTCCATGGTGACACCTCGTGTGCCGAATGCATGACTAACAGACAGTCCGTAGACCGCCGCCGAGAGCGAGGGGACAGGAGACGCTCCCGCTCGCCCACCCAGATCGACCGCTACCAGCCTGATCGCTCTGGACGTGACGACCACTACCGAGAGCGGCGAGATGACCAGCCTCCGCGTGACCGCCGCCGCTCCTCCCCACAGCCGCCGACCATCGATCGCTATGTGCCTGGACAGGACACGCAAACACCACAATCTATGCTCGTGAACCCAATGCCGGATCCGATGAAGTTGGACTTTCAGGTCGGCTTCACATGGTTCGCTGAATGGTGGAGGACAGAGCAACGCATCAAGGACGAGAAGGAGAGGCAACGCTCCGGCAAGCCTGGCTCACGGCTGCGAGGAGAGCGGGAGAGCAGAGAAGATAGAGAGGCAGAGCGCCCAAAGATCCAGGCTGGATACGACGCGTACAAGGAGAACTTGCAGAAACTCCAAGCACAGACGTTCGTTCGCATGCACAAGGCCGAAGACTGGTTTCGGGAACGATATGTGCCCGAGGTCAAGGAGCCGTTCAGGCGGAGCCTCATGGACTATCGAAAGACTCTCTTCACGAGGTGGCAAACGGAGCTCGAAGCTGGTGGGTTTGATGACTTCACGCTCGAGGGTATCTACAAATCCGAGTCCAACGGGCTGGGTGGCATACTCGAGAAGGAGGAAGGCGAGACCACTGCAGCTGCGGAGGTACTTGGTGTCGGCGACCTGCTACCGTCAAAGGGTGGAGACTTGAGAGATACAATGGCGCAGCAGCCAACGCTATTGATCAAGACTATCGCACCCACTGTCACCCGGGAAAGGTTTGTGGAGTTTGCGAAGGAGCATCTCAGTGAAGGTCCTGGAGGCTACATGCATTTGAGTCTTAGCGATCCGAATCCACTCAAAAAATGCCATCGCATGGGCTGGATCATGCTCAACTCTGACTCCGAACAAGCGATGGACACAGACGAGAAGACTGAGCCGGCTGCTGATGCCGGTGCTGATGTCAAGGAAGAAGATGCTAATGGAGAACGCAACGGAGAAGTGGCAACAACATTCAAAGCTAAGAACACCGCAGAGCGAGCACTTGAGAAGATTAACGCGAAGACGATAGAAGACCCTGAGCGAGGCAACTTTACAGTGCATTGTGGAGTCCACAGGCCACCGGACGCGCCAAGGAAGAAAGCCTTGTGGGATCTATTTTCGGCTCCAGAGCGCATAGCTCGTGATCTGGATCTCGCCACTCGACTGGCCAGGAAATTGGACAACGAGCTCGGCGACGAGTTTTTCGGCGCTGCCAAGATCGAAGAGCGTGTTATGAACCTCGCTGATCAAGGCTACCTTCAGCCACCTGCGGTCGAAGCCAAGCCGAAAGCGGAGGCTGACATGGACGTTGATGCAGGTGAAATTGAAGAAGAAGGCCTGATCGCGGACGACGAAGATGAGACAGATGACGCTGAGCTCCTGCAGAAGAAGAAGAAGCTTGACTTACTCGTCGAGTATCTGCGTCGTGTTTACAACCTCTGCTTCTTCTGTGTCTTCGAGTCGGACTCGATCCATGAGCTGCAACGCAAATGTCCTGGCGGCCATCTCAGACGACCACGTGCCTCGCTCACATCAACCGCGAAGGAGGTTGCGCATGCATCAGCATCTGGCGAGGAGTTCCCGCTGAGGAAGAATGGATCGTTGAAGAATTCGACCGATAACAGCAGAGGCGAGGGCGATGATGCGGACATGGACATCGAAAATGGTAGCCCTGTTGAGGAGAAGAAGGCTTGGGCCATGAAACCTAATGCTCGCAATGCGCAGCAATTGCAGAGAGCTTTCAATTGGGTGAAGACATTCGAAGAGAAGATCCTGCAGTGGCTTGAGCCTGAGAATGTTGCTCTGCGCAAGCTGGGTGGTACCCCGTTAGAGGAGGGTTTGGAGGAGGAGCTGATCAAGGTATGTGTTCCATGCCACATCGTAGTATGACACATCGGGACTGACATCACCTACAGTTCGTCAAGCAAGAAGACGCCTCAAAGTATCGCTGCAAGGTACCCGAATGCACGAAGCTATTCAAAGGCACTGACTTCTGGCGCAAACACGTCGAGAAACGCCACGCTGAATTCTATGAACGAGTCCGCTCCGAAGTGCAGCTGGTCAATACTTATGTCATTGATCCAGCACACATCGCACCTAGCAGGAGTGATGCAAATAGCAACGGCCACTTCCCGCTGAACAACCACATCCCGACGGGTACACCACGAGGCTTCCAGCTCAGCCAACAGCAATTCGCGATGACCGGTGGTTTCGGCATGGCACCTGGCATGCCTGCGCCAATGGCTCAGGGCATGTGGACACCAGGTGGCAGCGTCTCCATGCCCGCTGGTTGGGTGCCCCAGAATGGCGCTTTCGTCCACGGAGGTGTGGGTCCTATGCGCAGCATGGGTGGTCGCAACACCTACACCGGCCTAAATGTTGGCTTCACCGCCGTTCCCGGCAAGATGGGTGGGTTGATGCCTTACGCTCGCAACGACCCACGAGGTCAACGGATCGGTGCTGGAGTCCCGCCGATGGGTGGTAGGGCCATGGCTATGGCTGGCTTTGGCACGGCGATGGAGGGAGGTCTTCCTGGGTCTATTGGGCCGCAGGAAGCTGTTGCTGGACGGTCTATAAGGAGTTATGAGGATTTGGATGCTGACAAGGGAAAGGTTACTACCGAGCTTGACTACTAGAGCGAAAAGCATGGAAATTTGTGTGCTTTAGTGTGGAAGCGGCAAACGGGAGGGTTTGGAGGGTCGGCATTTGTAACATATCTTGTGCATGGATTGTGCAGAAAGCAGTCGTATTGAGCCTGCTCCGCTCCAGCCGAAAAGCTATCGTGATCAAGCCCAATAATTCTGACCGGTGGCCTGACAACGCTAGTCTGATCTGTGCCCAAGGAGGCCTTGCCCTGGCAAGCAATAAAAGCCCTCCTATCTTCCACGCAGCTGGGATGCCCACAAGGCTCGTCATATCTCAATGCGTGCAAAATAGGCTTTGCTGCACATGCGAGACATTGGGCCCGGATTTCGAAGGTCTCGTTGTACTCATTCGCAGGCTGATAGTCACCTGATGCGAGGTAGATGCGGGTTGCCGATTCCGTCACATTCTTTCCATGCAAGTCGATGTCGAGACAGCTGGTATCGCAGTGTTGGGGTGACCTGACGTCTATTGTGGGTGACAGGTTCGCAGCCTCGAGCCGTCCTTTGAAGTACGTACCGAAGGGATGACTGGTCAGCGACGACGGTAACGGTTTTACGCGTTCACGTTTCCCCAAAATCTTGAAAACACCTTTTATCTCTTGGTCGCCGTGGCTGATAGTGAAAGAGTGTGCGCTCGCACATGCTGTCTGCAGCTAATTCGGTCTCTGTGCTGCGTGACTGGACGAAAGGCACAGCATGTCTCACTGCCGCGCGAGCTCCAATTTTACATGAAATCTCTCCCTCGACTCTAAACTGGTCGAAATGAGCCACAACTATGTTGGTGTATCGAAGTGGACATGTCTGCTTGAAAAGGCATTTCGGCGACTTTGTATGACTTTTACGATCAAGAAAGCTCTGAAGGTGAGTTGTTGGGGATTGGGTGTGCTGTAAAGACAGATTAGGTTGCTACCGTACAGTCTCGTTCAAATGCAATGCTAACCATACGCCTTTCGCTAATCAATGCTGCAACTTTTCATCCTCCAATTCCCGTAAAATACTGATACAGACATCTACATTGTTGTCGTTGGAGCAAGAGGATTCATTGCTTCAATCGTTCGATTAGTCCGCAGTCGATGTTTCGTCGTTGCTTGCTATGTCGTTGCTCGTTAAATGTCGCCAGACGCCTACAACCACAGTCAGTGCCTGCGTGACTTACAGCCTACAGAACTTACTCGCCTCGCTGGATTTTGCCACCATGCTGTTCACACTAGTTGACCTCGCAGCCACACTGAGGGCACCTCTTGCCTGGGATGACCCACACCGTCTGACCCTTGTTGAGGCAGTTAGGACAGCGGCGTCCTGGGACCTATAGATAAATTTGAGTCAGAGTAGCTTCGCCGGCATGACATGGAGGCTACGTACAGGCATGGTCCTCACAGGCAAGCCTCCGCGAATAGGACGAAGAATCGACGGCGACGAGGTCTCCCATCCAGGCATGGATGATAGGGCTGGAAGTTGTTCGATCTTAAGCCGGCGAAGCGTTTCGTAGCGGCGTCTGTGATAAGACATGTTGAGGTGGGGAGATGATGTGTAAGGTGGAAGATGCTTTTGTGAAGTAGCGAGTGTTGTGTGACAAGACCGTTGCGTATCAGTGAAAGACAGTGTTCGATAAAGACCGAAATGGATGCAATGAGAACGTCGAGTGCGAGGCGAGGAGTACTTATGGTCGCCTGCTGCATGTTTGAGGCCATCTTCGCACGAAGGTTGCCGCTTGATGCGGTAGCTGGCTCTTCTGCTGATAGCTGGTTCGGGAGATCACTTTGGGCACGGAGTGGGCCTGGACATGTCGTGCGTTCTGCCCAGGATGCCGGGAGGATGTGTGCTGGTATGCAACTATCGCAGCGTTCGATAGGTTACACAATATGGTCGAGACTCGTCTTCTGGGTGCAAGCTAGAAGGAGGACCGAGGGCGTCCGGGCCTGAACCTTATTATACTAGATCGTGGTAGTTGCATACCACAATTGCAAGCATGACAGTTGAGGTCAGCAAGGAGAAGAACAGATCATTACGTTGTTTGAGCTTACACCGGTCGCACCCGTCAAGAGACAGTGTTGGGCAAGAAAGTCTGCGCTGATGGTAGCGAGCTGGCGCTTGCACGGTACGGGCAATGAACACAGATGCAGTCGTCCGTGCATGATGCGATTGTGGTGTTCTCGCAGTAGTACGGATACCAGGGTCAGACGCTGTTGCCCGTATGCAAACAGGCTGCCAAACGTTACGGAGTCGGTGAAGACCGTGTCTGTACCATGACTGGTGTCCATTCTCCGTCTGCTGGCTCGCGGGAGTGCGCAATTGTATCTAGCTTGCGCGCGCCTAGGTTTTGCGATCTGTCATATTTCACAACGTCAGTCTGGGATCGTCGGCTTGCGCAAACAACCCTGCAAGCGTGGTCCGGAACATGCATGCAGCAGAAGCGAACGCGCAGCGTACATGATGTATCTATATACATGCACGATGTCCCATGTGGCGCAAGTCGTCGAGAAAGGAGTCTCATCAGCGCGCAGCCAAGCAATGCACATTGCGGCTTGTTGAAAACAATGTCAAGTTTTACTCATATGCTGTACATGCTTAAGAGAGGTGGTGACGTGACCACCTGTTAGCGCCCACATCACTCTGCACGTCTTGACTTGGGGCCTTCAAAGCATGCACTCAGCCGATCGCAATGTGCTGTATCTGTGTCGGTGAGGATCGCTGCAAGGGAGACCGAGGCTTGCACAAACCACCATTGCGATCACCAAAGCTGTGGTAGTGCCAGAGTAGCTTGGACAGAAGCATACATTACCTCTACGGTATCTGCACGACCGTGAGATTGCATGTCGTTGGCTCTGGCGCTGCGTCAATCTGCTCGCTTGCCACATGCTACACCACGATCCACATAATCTGCCGAGCATATGCACAATTTCCGTAGTCCTTTCCCGGATTTGATCGGAGCACTACAGAATGCGGTCCCGTGCTGCAGATTTGCGCCTGTGGCAGCACGACAAATTTGTCATATCGTGCCGTGAAAGCCATAAACTGGAAGCCAGATCTCAATCCATCATTCTTCGGTCACACGACGCTAATTGGTCGGAATGACATCCGTCGCTATGGATCTTGGGCTGCATGTGGGAACTGTCTTTGCACGTTATTCCAATGCCACATCGATCTGCACAAGCAGCGCAGCGCCCCTCGACGAATGTGTATCAGGCTCGTTCAATGGCAGAAGACGAAGCCCAGACGCTATACGGTCTAGCCGAAAGCACGTCCACCCCAGGAGTCGATCCTTTTGATACAACACGCCGTCCATGACCTTGATCCTGTGATTGAAGTCAGTGTGCGTGCTTCGAGGCCCCGCAGCGGCCAATGGCTGTGGATGTCGGTAAGGGAATGCTTGGGTCCGGCTCTTATGCGCGCATGCGCTGCTGCACCCAGAGGTTCGGACATTGGCTGTGGTCTAGCGGCTCATTTCTGCCGCCTGTGCCACGTCTACATGGGTGACATGCACCACCATTGTTGACATCGCTCTTCTGGGCATGCTAAGACCGGTGACCATGTGCTCAACGCTTCGTGTTGTGCAACAACTAGGAGATACAATGTATGCAGCCGCGAGCTTTCGCTTGACAGGCGCACATTCAATGTGTTGAAAACTGGACGGGGACGGATTGCTCACCTCAAGAAGCTTAGAGCTGGTCGGACATCTTCGACTTTATCAAACGTCATAGCTTCGCCACCGAAATCTGGATTATGGCCTTGCCGCACAGAAGAGCGTCGCTTCCATTCGCCACCTTTAGTCTTCACTTCACGTTGCTTCGGCTTGCCTTCCACGTGCAGCTCGCACTTGACGTATACCTGAGGGGCATCTTTCGCGTCGGAGTCGAGATGTTGTCCAGCTAACACACGCACTGACATATTGAGGCGTTGTCCATCGCTGCTGCGGGCTTCGGCGTTATCCAAGCTGTAGTGACTCGAAGGCTTCAGCACCCATCCGCCTGAGCCTACGAACATAGCTTCATTCAGCATCATGGCCGCATCGGTGGATTCCTGCCAATTTAGTGCTACCATCTGGACACCTTGTCGCCAAAAAGGTGCCGGGTCAAGGTTGGATGATCGGACGCGAGTGCCCTTTGGGTATGCTCGCATGAAGAAGTTTGCATTGTGGCGGAACAAAGCATCGCGATGCTCCTCGTATAGATCCAAGAATTTTGCTTCGGATACAGCAAAGACGTGTGTGGGTATACCTGCGGGGAGAAATCAGCTGCGAAGGAGGGTCTACAATCATGTAAATCATGCTTCTTACCGGCTTCTGGCCGGTCGAGCCCATCAAAGTGGTAGCTGCGGGTGTAGATGCCAAGACTCCCCAGAGCTGCACATATCTTACCCTGCTTCGAGGGCTCACTTTGACCGTCATCGCTGACATTCGACGTAGCTCGTGCTCGAGATTGTGTCAAAGGCGGCTGCGAGGCAACCTCAGGAGGTGTGTACTTGACTCTGCTTGATGTCAGTATGAGCCAGGCTATGACTAGCAGCGTAGCACAACTCACTTGACCAGAATACGCTTCTTGACTTCTTCGAGCGTGGGCAGTGGGGTTCCATCGTTGAAGTCGATTGGCATCGGCAACAAGAATGGCTGCCAGTAATCTCGCATGATTTCGGCCATAATCTCTTGTTGAGGTTTGCCACAATGGACTTCGAGGCTCACAATAAGTGGGAGATCGCTAGTGACGAAGGCATATTTGCGGATGGTCTCGCAGACATCTCGGAATGGTACCTCCTTGGTAGCAGTATAACCATGAAGAACCCTAGGCTCATCTCTGCCACTGTGGTTCGAAGTCAGACGTGGTGCACGTTTTCAAAGGATTCGAGATGCTGACATTTTCACATACGATGAAGTCCGCCATGGTGTTGGCATAAGCGTCTCGTCTTTGGCAGGCGACTCTGGTGCCTTCTGAGCTTCTGAAGCAACCTTGTTGGTGGCGTTACGATGTCGAAATTTACCTAGTTTACTCTTCACCATGCCTCGGAGCTTCTTGATATCACTCTCTTCGCTATCAGAAGATGAAGGAGAATCAGCTTTGCCATCCCAAACATCAATCTCAATGCAGCGGCATCCTCGCTTCAGGACATCTTTGTATGCATCCGTGCTTGACTTGCTCCAGAGCTGGTTCCCGCTGAGATATGTATTGTGACTGCTCGAGATGAAGTAATGGGATAACGGATGGGTCGCCTTGGTCTCAATGGTTAGAGGCGCTGCTGAAGCCTGATCTGCCAGCTTTCGGAGGAAGGCATCAAAACCCTCACCAACACCAGCATTCTGCGCCTCGTATACTGTCTTTGCATGCTTGATCACAGATGGACCAAGAGGTTGCGATGTTGAAGACTCCATGATGGCTGGTGATGATGCTTTTGACGAGGCCATGTCGCTTGTGTTGTGGAGCTTCAGCTGTCCTCAATGGCGAAGGTAGTGAACAAAAGGCCTTGAGCTCCCTTCCTTCACCGTGGCGCAGTCGAAACTGTGCATATGCGATGATCGTTCGGCTCACACAGATGAGGTGGATTTCACCCCGAGACGGTATTGCTTCCTGATCCAGGTTGTGAAGGAAGAGTGAGAGAGATGATAGACAAGTGAAGTGAGCCTACTTTCTCGCTTATCGCTCCGTGTCATATTGGCGTCCTTGGCACTATATCGCAACGGAATTCGTGATGGTCTTCTTGATGGCAAGCAGATCAAGGACATGCACTGGAGGATTTGAGCTTGCACCACTTTGTACGTCATAACAGTCTTCTGAACCATCCAAGTGTATTCAACGATGCGACCCACGCGACTGCATCAACACTAGCTAGAATTGACGATGAAGTCCGCAGAAGCAGAAGTCAGATCTTGGGGTATGCTGCCACATCAAGATCTCCGTAGTCCGCGAAATGCTAGGCTGACCATTTGCCACATGTGCCAGGCTTTGAGAGCGTCTTCACCTGGACGGATAGACCGTGAGTCTACAGATACCACTGTGGACCGTTTACTCATGCAGCGTATGTACTAACGGGAGGAAGGAATGCACACTACTCGGCCCACAAACACTCCGGACTCACAACTCATCTGATTTTGGCCGGCGAGCTGACTTTCATATATCCTGACGACGAGACACCAAAGAAGGAGACATATGGTCCTGGAGCTCGCTGGGACGTGGATGCGAACCGTCGTCATGAGGTTCGCCTAGTCGACTACCTGTGAAGCAGATCAATAATAATGCTGATCTGTGCTAGGTGTGGGTGGGAACCAAAGGTTGTACATACGTCATAGGAGAATAGGACCAATAGCTCGTCGACCGAGTCGAGCAACCAGCCTTTTCTCTTAATTGAAGCTGATCATGTTTCACTGGCACGAAAATCTGTTGTGTCAAGATTCTGGATGGTATGCCATTGTGGCCAGGCTGATAGTGCTATACAAGATTATTGTTCGATCCAAGACTTCGAGGCTTGGCGACGACAGGCTTTACCATGCCATCAATCAAGCTGCTCATCAGCTACCGAGCTGTTCCAAATTCGAGCGCAGCTAACGCTTGAGCGTTGGAGAACATGCGCCGGTCTTCGCCATCCTCGTCGTCTTCGAGCTCTCTAAGCATGCCAACAACGCCCTGTGAGAGCATGTGTTAGCTAATATACTCTGGAATATCTTTCAAACGACAAAACTTACGACATCGTGCCGTCGATCCATAGCATCCATCAACAGCTTCAATTTGTCCCACTCCTTCTGCTGCTCCTCGCTAAGACAAACGGTGCCACCATCCCCATCCTCCATCAAGGAATGCCGATTCTCGCTCATTCGCCCACTCGTCGACCGCAGGAAACCCTTTGCAGCACTTTTCGGCACATATGATTTGCGCGAAGACACGCTGATACCACTGATCGGCCGGGGTTGCTTCATCGTTGTGCCGCGGGTTGCAGTCCTCATTGGCCCATCGGAGAACGGATTTGATTCTATCAAGTCGCTATTATCAGGACTCGCTGTATATGCTATGCTTGAATCTGGTGTACGCATGCCATCGTCCTGAATCAGAGCAGGCACAGCTGGTACCGGTGGTGGCGATGATTCGCCATCATCGGGATTACTGCTTTGCCACCACGAACGACGACTACTCTTCGTCGAAGCTGTTGATTTCCTGCGTTCCACGGTCAGAGCTCGGCTGAGCGAAAATCGTCTGCTCTTGCGCTTCTCAGCGACCACTAATGCGGATGGCACCATGCCAGTGTCCTCATCTATGAGCTCCGGTGGTGGCGAGGCGACAGGAAGCGCAGGCACCGGAGGCGCCATATCTCGCAGCCCACCCAACACTGACTGTCGCTTCTCCAGCGTCGGTGCAGCCTGTGAAGCAGTTGACTTGCTTCGCGTTCTACCTTTCAACGCTTGACCGAGCGACAATCGTCGACTTTTCCGCTTTTCGGCTTTCGGCTCTCCAAGTTTTGGCGTTTTGGGCGTGTCCAATTCGATTTGGTCGTCCACGGTGAGTGCTGTGCCAGGCCTGATATCCTCGGCCTCAGGCCGTAGTGTGCTTATAGGCATGGGTGGTAGTGCGGTGAAGGGTGGTAGCTTTGGTACAGCTGGAACTGCTTCTTCCTCCGGCTTGCCTCCAAACCAGCTCCTCCGCTTGATCGTTTGCCCGTCTGCTTTGTGCTTCGACATGCTGAAGGAGCGGCTTTTCCGCTTGCTCTTGATAGATTGTGCATCCTGATTCCTTGGTGGGAGTATGACTTCAGATATCGCAGCTGCTCGGTTTTGGTGGAGTGGATTCAATGGAGCTGTCGCAGCCGCCTGGTAGCCTTCCTCAAAGGAAAATGGTCGGTGTTGAGGCGTGATTTCTTTCACTTTGGTGCCCACGATGGTGGTCCAAAAGGACGAGAACCCCATGTTGCTTTGTTCGCTATTTCGTGCTTATATCCCTTGTCCATACGGGGACCTTTGCCAATAACTGTGTTGTGATCTCTACTGATTATGGAAGTAGACTTACCAGCGGGATGAAAGGGAAATGAAGGAGTGTGGTATACAAAGAATGTAAGACAGAAGATCCAAAGAGCAATAACGAAGAGAGACGCACGTTCACGGCGCCGTTGGGACAACCTCACCTACCTTTGTGTCTCCTGCGTCAAAGTCCAACCGCCGCGAACACTCTGTACGGCAGCCGTTGGACCTTGGCCTTCCAGTTTTGAGCCTTTGATAGCGCCATGAGCATCCACTGATTGAGCAGAGAGCCAAAGATCGATCAGGAATCGCAGGTATTCTCCACGAAGTCGATCAAAGTCAAAATCGTCGCCCTAGCCGTGACAAGAACATGCACGCCTGATTTTATTCGGCAATGTGGAAGCTCCGACTCGTAGTTAGGGGCTGGATGGCGCCAGTGCACGAGCTTGATCCCTTATAGCTGTAGATCTGTTCAGCCATATCTTGATGATGAGCATCGGACTTGTTCGTCCAAAGATGGCACGGTCGATACGCACACATAGCAGTATGAAGAGGTGCTGTGTAATCTCACAATCTGCGATCGTTGCCATTAGATGTAGTATGTTATAATAATACCAACTGCAAAACCTACGATGAAGTTCGTGCAGAACGTGGATCTAGCTAAGATCCCAATGTAAAATTAGGCCTCTGCCGAAAGCCTAAAAGACCTTTCGGCGCTGTCGGCTGTCGCATGCCGAGAGCTGGGCCAAGGGTCGGTAAAGACATGTAAACTGAACCGCATTATCTGTATTACTGCTGCCAATAATCAGCCCGGCTTCTCGTTCGGATGAACCAATCTTACTCATGTTCTGTGCTCTCTTGAACCGGTCTTTTCCCATGGTGAAGCCTCGTCCCACGTGCTTAGGACTGCGCATTTCATCCACGTTGACTCCACCTTCTCGGTACCTTCGCCGGAACGATTGCCGTATCGCTCGGTAATGTGGCGCTGCTGACAGCTTGACTCGAGTCAGGACCATACTATCTCGCCGACGGATGCCAAGCTGCGAGTGCAATGTCTCATTGCGGCCATAGAGATGTCAATGAGCTGAACGCGTCTGAGCATCGTAACTCGTGTACTTTTGCCGGCATATGACATTGAAGGTAGAAGCGCGGCTATCTGGCATATCAACGAATCGCGAATTGATAGTGATCAGCACCGGGATCGTGTATACAGATCGTGTCTGTGCTTTATGCAGATGTACAATACATCTGGGCTGCGTAGCTGCACGAGTCGCGCACTCCTGCAGCAAAGAGCATGCAAATTTCATATGTACAGTACCGTGTTTCTTGAGCCAAGAAGAAGGTGGTGCAGAAAGAGGGTCATAGAAGCATTTCAATATGGGGTGCGACAAACGAGCGTTAGAGGGATGCGAGGTATATATGCTTTGCATGAACTTTCCATTCCCGTCACTCAATGGTCGTTGTCGCATGCGCACTACTCGCTCTGCCTACATCACATCGTGAGATGTTTCCAAACTGTGTGAACTCATGGGCCAGGTGGCAGGTAGATCGCAATACATGGCCGTCTCCGTGTATCAGTGGTACGACGGCGCCAGCGGTTTCCGAGCATAACACACGCAGCTGCCTTGCTGTCAGCTTCGACAACCAAGAGTGACAGGACGCATAGTAGACTCACGACTTCATGTACCCATGCATACTCCTCCTCAATGACTCCGCGCGCACTTGTGCGAGAAAGACAGTGACCTCTTGCTGCGACCAGCCCAAAACGCCGACGAAAGGCTTGATCGTGAAGCCTTCGAGACCTTCAAGAAAGTTAAGAGCGCAGAACTATGCAGTAATTAGTGAGAAGCTTGGCGATATCATTAAAGGCACGCGAAACTCACCTTCCCAATCTCCTTCATCCTCGGATTCTTCGGCCAGTCATTCGTCGGCCTCTTCATCTCAACATAGGTCACACACTCGAACCCGGCATCCTCCAGCTGCGTCTTATACTGCGCAACTGGGATGAACGGTCTACCGCTCTTCTCAAAGATCTCATGGATGTAGTCACCCCATCTCTTCATGGCCGAGGTGAGCGGGACAGTGCCATCGTCGCAGTAGAGCTTCGCTTCCATCTCTACCACTTCAATCCATCCGCCGGGTTTGAGTGCGTTGTAGGCCTGCTTGTAGAAGTGGGCGTGGTTGCTGATCGAGCCGATCAGATGGCGGTGGTGGATGAGATCGAAGCGGTTGTCTCCCCAGGTCCTGTATCAGCATGTCAGCGTCGTGAATCTGCGGTGCTTCTGATGCTCAGCCTTACCAGTCGAGTTCGAAATCATCCACCTCGAAGCTGCAGTTTGGGGGTACCCAGTCTGGTTGGACTGGGCTCAAATCTGTGCCCACGACCTGCGCGCTTGGATACCTGTCTGCCATGTCTATACACCATATTCCAGTCCCTGTGCCCAAGTCCAGTATGTCTGTAGGATTTGGCACCGGACATAGGTGCAAAGCTCCATTCATCTGCAAGCGTTGGTTATGATGCTCAATATCCATACGATTAAGCTCCTGCTCGTCGTTCGGGAAGAAGTATTGCCCAGCCTGGTAGCCATGATATCTCCGGCCATGCTCGTACTCATATCTGGTCACAGCCGACTGCAACGAAGTACTGCTGCTGGCGAGCGAGGCTCGTGAGCCGCCGAAAGTGCTGTCATGCTCGTCGAGATCGTCTGCTTCCATGGCGGAGCTCTGCAGTAGTTTCAAGGGCCAGAAACGCTCGAGAGGGTGAGTACGGCATGGCGTGAGGGACGATGAGAGAGTTGAGAGGAGACAGAGTCGATACCGATGGAATGGTTCAGTCTCCCGCGTAGTGTGCACAGCTTTGTGGTCCGGGGAATATAGCTTCAACAGCCTTCGCCTGCGGCTTTACAGGATTACGAGTTTCCATCAGAGTGTATGGTGTCACATGCTCGCTTCGTCGCAGCACGCCGGTGACACGTGATGGTTCCACCGACCACGCGATATTATCTTGTGGTCAGTGAATGGCCTCAAGCCGCGGTTTCATCAATCGAATACTGCAAGCGCAACGTGAGTGGACTGAATTGCGGTAGTGGAGATCAGGGCGCTGTTTGTGTCACCAGAACAAGTCGCCCATTGGCTGTGTGGGCCTCGGAAGCTCGCTTCAAAGTTACAGACACACGAAAGTGCATGCAGTGAGCCGGGAGCTTCCCTTCACATGCCACGTTGTCTACCTTCAGACTAGGGATCTTCTGCATGCTATCGGTCGCACCGCCTCGCCTGCATGCACCAAGAAGGCACTAACAATGCATGGAACTGGAAACAGAAGCGGCGTGCCTGGCAAACAGAAGCGGAAGGTGGCACTGAGAGGGTCTCCTTAATAGCGTGGAAGTGAATGCGGGCCAGGTGGCATGGGAGATGTAGACGAGGGCTCAACCTCACGTAGCCGCCGCATGTGCTTCCAAGCCAAAACGAGAAGAAGGAAAGCGCGGGAAAGACACGGCATATCTAGCCAGCGTGACCAAGCTCAGTCCTTCTTGATCACATTGCTCCACTACCATCGTGCGATTCACTGTCACATATAGCGACGTCGTACTGTGATACGTTGCTCGTAGTCACAAGAACAAACATCGTGCACGCAAGCTGAAGGCGAAGCCGAAGCTCCACAACAGGCCAACCCAACCGAACGACCCAGCGGAGAGGATCACTGATTGACACCCGCAGCCAACCATGAATGCAGCGCCGGCCGTGAGAGGTTGCCATATGGTCGGGAGCGTGCCACTGCCCGACACCGAAAGCGTCCTTCGACAATGTACTGAGGGGCAACCGAACCGACTGAAACGCATCCCTGATGGCGAGACGGGCTTCCGCAATCTCTTCACTTTCTGGCAGGCTGCATGTTTCCAAGCGAGCCCGGACTTGGCTGTCAAGTTTGAGCTGAACAAACCCGTGCTGAGTGGCGACTTCACACCGGAGGAAGTGGATGCTGGTATCGAGAAATTGAGGAAGGCTGGGCCGCTTGATACCAAGTACGATGCTGTCGCTATCGAAAGCTATGCCACGTTCAAGACGCTCAAGGATGAGGGTGTCCTGTCCAAGAACACTCGTTTCCAGGTATCCTTGGCAACACCGCCGAATGTGTTGACGCCTTTTGTGCAGGCGCTGTTCATATCAAAGGTGGAGCCGTTGTACCAAGATGCGTTGTACAGAAGCATGCAGAAAATCCAGGATGCCATCCCTCATGACCAACTCGCCATACAAGTAGATCTCGCAATCGACACGGCATTCTGGGAGGGCTTTGCCTGGCTCAAGCCATGGTTCGGCGATGGCAACATCGAGAAAGTCAAGGATTACATTATCGACTATGTCATTCGTATGATCGGCCAGGTACATGAGGATGTCGAGCTCGGCCTTCACAACTGCTACGGTGAGTGCCATCGAAGAGTATCTTCTCTGATTACGACTGACTCGTGACAGGCGACATGGAACACCGCCACTTCTTCGAGCCAGAATCCCTCGAGCAGCTTGCAGAACGTAGTCTCCGCATCTTTGACAAGACACCTCACAAGATCAACTTCTTCCATGCTCCAGTACCACTCTCTGCTCTCGACAAGCTGGACTCTTATCTGGAACCACTGAAGCAGCTGATTCCGAAATTCAAACAGCACGACACCGATCTCTACCTTGGTGTCGTGCACTTCGACAACGCTGCCGCCACGGAGAAGATGGTCGCAGCTGCGACGAAGGTGCTGGGCGACTATCCTTTCGGCATTGGCACCGAGTGTGGCTGGGGTCGAACGCCACCGGAGCAGATCAAGGACATCATGAAACTTACTACGGCATCATGCGGACCAGTCTCATAGGGCTGCGAGAAGTCGAATGTGCGGGAGCACCGAAAATGTAGATGAGCATTATAAGGGCGGTCCTGAGATCTGACAAGGCGCATCTTGCATTTTGGCGAGCGGGTGATGATGACATAGCGTTTATGATACCATGATAGCACGAACATGTATACGTGGAATAATCCATGTAGATCAACAACAAGTTGTACTCATGGCATCGCTATAGCTTACTTCGTTGCTTCCTGTCCCAGACATCAGCGCTTGGCCCGTGCTGAGTGCATCTTTTTCCCCTTCCGACTTACAAGAATCCAGCTACAGCCTCCATGAATGAATCGTGATTCTCCAACATCGGCAGATGACCCGCATTGGGTATTTGCTTGAAGGTGGTATTTGATATCCCAAACTTCTGCATAGCCTCTGGCAACTTGCCATCACTTTCACCCGCTATCAGGAGTCCCGGGATCTTGATACTGCTTAGATGCTCTTTGAGATCATAATTGCACAATGCACCAGTGTTCTGCACGAACCCATCAAGACTAGCTTCCTCTGCCATCTTCATCGTCTTCTTCGCATTAGCTGACTCGTGGTTGGCGGGTGTGAACCATCGTTTCACGGTCACATCAGCCAGCGCATTCATGCCTTTGTCCTTTGCAAGCTCGATCCGATCATTCCAAGCTGTTGTGTTGGCTGGGCTGGCGGCTACGTTACAATCGCATGCGATGAACTTTTCTAGCATCCCTGGATGCCGGATTGCGAAGTTGATCGCTGTTACGCCGCCCATGCTTACGCCTATCACTGCGTGGACTTTTTCGACATTCGTGCGCTGGAGCAGGTACTCGAGATCGTCTGCTAGAATATCGAAACGGGTTGGATTGCTTCGTGTGGCTTGTTGAGAGTAGCCACGCGAGTTGTAGCGAAGGACGCGGTAAGTCTTGCCGTTGACTCCCGTTGTCAAGGCCTTCGCCACGTCGTCCCAGATATGGAGATTTGTGAGTATTGAGTTGACGCATACGATCACTGGATCTGCAGGATTGCCTTCCATCTGGAAACGGAGCTTTGCTCCATCAGTTGTTGCAACTGCTGAGGGCGGCTCTTCCAGTGCGTCGAAAGTAAGATGATGTGACCACTCCCGCCGATCATGCCATTGGACGTAGTTGAAGACCCTGTCTCGCCACGCCGTAGTCCTAGCAGCTTCGTGCTCGGGCCCTCCCAACCCATTCTTTGCCTCGTAGTCGTGCACGGCAAGATACTCGACCTGTCCCGCAGGCGGCATACCCATCAGTCCCCCGACCTCCGTCTTGAAGCGCCGACTGCGCAGCCATCCGGGTACTTTGGAGAGCATGTCAATGTGCTCTTCTTCGTACCACTTGTTGAAGTCCTCTTCGTCGTTCTCCTTCACTCGCATCGAGACAGCTAGCTGTACAGGCGCAGGATCCTTGGATTCGCCACGACATGATACAGTACTGTAAATTTTCCGGTCCAGAAATTCGAATGTACTCATTACATTCTTTTCTTGCTGCGATCGTTCTTCCCGTAGACGACTGTAAATCCGCTTATCCAGCCAAGAGAGATCAGAAACATCGTAGACGGCACTCCAGCAAGGTCGTTTATCATCCGCAGCTTTATATCGGTCTCCTGTCAATATGAACGGTAATCGCAGACGTAGTGGTCCATGTTCAGTGTTGTACCAGTGATGGAAGGCTTCTTCGTTCGTTTTGTCACCGGGCTGGATGGCTACAGCGAGGTATCCTGGTCCTTTCATATTTGCGGGTCAACAGAGATGTCAAGATGGCTACACAGGCTCATTGTCGCGAGTATAGTGAGTCTAGTGATCTTGCGATGCTCCATGTCCACATCACTCGGTTCTTCTATCGGCAAGTAATGGAACAACTCACTCGCCGTCATCGGAAGAGAGGACGTGAAAGCACGGACCATTGAGTAAGGTCCATACAAACTTTGTTGGTTGTGTAGCACCTCTCTTATGTACATGGTTGGCATGAGCTGCCATGTTGCCCCTCCGATAAGCAGAGGCGAGCAAAATGACGGCAGCGTAGAACAATACATTCCGTGCAAGGAGAAGCTGATTTGCGCTAATGCCGGACGTGATATTGAGTCGGTAGGCTCAGACGTTCAAAGCGCGGTCAAGGACTTGCTTAGGTAATCGGTACAAACAAGGAGTGCTTTTCTTCTCCACCCACCTCAATCTTTCACAAAGTCACCCGCACGCAGTCAATCGTCGAGTGAGATGCTTTGTACACAAGACTGTAACATGATCATTGCAACAATTCATGCGTCCTGGAAGCCGGCCGTGCTGTGCTGCGACGCGTGCGCCTCGATGATCACGACGGCCGGTTGGAATAAACTTCTCGCATTGGCCGCAGGCAACAAGATTATGCCTCTATCGTCTTTCAGCGCGGAACAACGTTTCGCACGTTTTGTGACCATCATTCGCCCCGGACTGACCGCCGACCATGGATGATGTCGATCATTGTTGTTTGTAGAGAGTCTTTACAGACATGTGGAGTGCACAGGTACGCGCAGGCACCCACACCACACAGAAACCTTCTACGCAGGAACGTAGTTACGTAGATACGCTCGGTACGCAAGTATGCAGGTGGGCATTATGGTAGCATATAAGGTCGTCTCATCCCAGCTTTACTGCCATGCAACGAGATCCACGAGCATAGACAAAACCCCCAAGCAACAGCATTCCAATCACGTCCCTTGACTCTTCGGGCTTCTCAGTCATCATGACCTGGTACGCTACTGCAACCTTCCTGACAGTGGCTCTGACATCCTATGCGCGTTTTACGCTTGCGTCCGCAATCCCCCTGGCGCCGAATATCGATTGGTTTCCCTGCCCGCAGAATGCCAGTATCGCTACAACTTGCGGAACACTGCTAGTGCCGCTCGATTACACCGCGCCGACGTGTGACAAGGCGTTGACACTGCAGCTTGTCAAGGTTCGTTCTACCCTTCGCTGCTTCTCTATTCGAGATATGTGGTGAGTTTGTTGACCTGAGCATGAGATAGATCAAGGCTACCTCTCAGCCAAGCAAGGGTAGCATTATCTTCGACTTTGGTGGGCCGGGTAATATCAACGTGGATACCTTTTCCGGAGGTGATGCCGAAGCTCTATTGTTGTGAGTGGCCATGGCTGGACGCCACGCAGCTTCGCTGGGTCTATCGCGTGGTGTCTTTGATGTTGTATTGACAGGATGCTGTAGGATGACGGGCGGAGTCTACGACCTCATCACCTTCGACTCAAGGTAATTAACTACGGATCTCAGCCCATGATGTCGAGATGGAACTGATCATGAGCAACAGAGGCACTGGCATAACCCTTCCCTACTCCTGCTACGAGACCCCTGCTGCCCGTGCAGCCGGCGCCAGTTCGATAGCTCTCGGCCTGAATGGATCTCACGCGGCGATCGAAGAAGTCTGGACAGATGCTGAGGAGCTATCAGTGGCCTGTCAGGAGAATGTTGGACAGATTGGGCAGCTGGTAGGGACATCTTTCGTGGCGAGAGATATGTGAGTCGAGCTGCTTGAGGTTGTCCATGATAAAAGGCCAGAACTGATGTGATGTAATGGACAGAATGCAGATTGTGGATGCGCTAGGGGGGGATAAGCTGCTTAAATATTATGGTGCGTATGACCATCATGGCGATCGTGCTTTAAAGACAGCCCATGCTGACAGCCTAGGGTTTTCGTACGGAACGGCGCTAGGTGCGACTGTGGCCGCAATGTTTCCCGATCGGATCGACAAACTCGTACTTGACGGTGTCGACAACCCTACCAACTATTGTGCTGGCTCGTCAGTACACTCTCAAATCGCGATACTTGCCTAGGCTAATGCAGTGTCCACATAGGTTCAAGTCCTTTCTACACGACACCGATGCTACATTTTCTGCCTTCTTCACTGGTTGTATCGAGTCCCCTCAGCTGTGCGCCTTGGCCCGGATGGACGATTCCGAAGGTAAAATTTCCAGGCGCGTTGTGAGCCTGCTCGAGGAGCTGAAGCACTCTCCTCTGTCTTTGGGCCTACCAACTCAACCATAACTGTGACTTACGACGCCCTGAAATCTACCATAGTCCAGGCTCTTTACTTCCCTGCGACCTGGTCTAGTCTCGCAAACGCATTAGCAGCGGTATTGGATGCAAACTTCACTGCGTATGCTGCAGTGGCTGTACCTGACGTCTTTCCACGTTCACTGTTTCCCGACCTCTCTGGGCCAGAGGTTGGGTCAGGCATACTGTGCGCCGATAGCGCTCTGCGTTCAGGTGACCTGACTGACCTGCTGCCTACCACTGCAGCTATGGAAGCAGAAAGCTGAATCCGTGGTGATGTAGATGTGGCGATCTCGCTGCTGGAGTGCGCGCGGTGGAAGCTCCGCAGCAAGGAGCGGTATACCGCGACCTTCAATGATATCTGGACCAAGTTTCCGGCACTCATTGTGGGTAATTCTATCGATCCCACCACCCCATTGATATCTGCTCGAAATTTGAGCGAAGGCTTCAAGGGAAGTGTGCTGTTGCAGAACAATGGTTACGGGGTGAGCCTTCTTCTCTTTCAGTTTCTGTATAGATCCTCGCCTCAGCCGACTGAGACTGATCACTTCCGTTTTAGCACACGACAATAGCTTCTCCCTCGCTTTGCACGTCTAAGCATATTCGCACGTACCTTGTTGACGAGACTCTGCCGCTTGCAGGCACGATATGCGAGTCCATCACTAGTACTGCACCGTTCGCTTTCGATGGATCGTACTACGAGGTCATCAAGCCGTTGGGAAATATTACGAAGAGATCTGTTGGTGGGAAAGGAGAGGATTATGACGATGAGGCATTATTCCGGGCTGTGAGAGAATTTGGGAAGGCTTTCGCGCAAAGGAAGTTGGGTAGGCGTGAGGGGTGATGCAGTGCCGAGTAGACAACACACAGGTGGGTTGCACCTTGGTCCTTGTTCTTCACATACAGATTTGTATCTACTTGTGGAGCACGGACGCTGTCTGGAGATTAATCTCGCGAGCTTAGTACGCCACACAGTCTCCTTCATCATGTGTGGCCGTCCTCGCGAAGCGTGGTCATTCTAGCAGACATGGACATTTTGGCATCATGTAGCACTCGCCGGAGGATATGTTCGTTTCAGCAGCATACAGGCGTGTTGGCAGTCGTAGGCTTCTAGTAGTGTATGGGCTTTCGGCATTACGAGAAATATCTGGTAGACATGAGCCGTTGGTGACAGATGGGCGTACGAATGTGCTTCTGAGTTGGCATGGGCCTTCTGATGTTCGATCTTGCATGTCGCGTATGACGAACCTGGATCTGTAGCCTTTATCGTAGTACACAATATCTGTAGTAACAAATCATGCTTCTCAAGCATACAGGCTTCCCTCGCAGCTCGCCATTAGTGACGGATCAGACGGACGCCAACCATATTACGTGAGTATGAATAGTCCAAACAGCTCTGCGAACCTGCCTGTGCGCGAGACGCTAATGAGCAGATCTGCTGCCTTGTTCATATCATCGCCAGTCAGCTTTGGGTCAGCAGCAAGAGCGTGGTTGACATTTAGTAAGAATGTGTTTCGCAGCAAAGATCTTTCTTCGTTGTCTGGAAAAGCGTGAAAAACATGAGGCAGGTCCCGCAGAAGACCCCAGAGAAGTACAAGGCCTTGGGCGAAGAGTCGTCTTCGTTGGCGCAGTCTTATGCTGCTGGCGTATTTCATGGACATCACAACAGTCTGAACATTCCGAGCGAGCTCTGCTTCCATCTCTACGAGGTCTAAAGAAGCATGGCGGATGCTTTGCATCCTTTCCGGACCTGTAGTGATACACGTAACGACACAATGCGCGCGAAGATAACAGCAAAGTTTTAGTAGCCAAAGCCTACCTTGCCAGTAGTAGGCAGCACCCTCGTAGCTTTTGGCCGAGGCGTATTGTAGACTGCTAGAATTCATCGACGTGTCAGACGCCATTCCAGCGGGACATGAACTGATACTTCGTAGAAAGATGTTCTCGGCTTGCGTATCGCGCAGCTGTAGTAGTTCCTTGGCATACGCAAGTGCCTGGTGTAGCACGTCCGCGACAGAAGAATTCGACGGGCTGAGCATTTGAGCGAAGTGGACCAGTCGCGGTATGCGGATCAAGAGCTCAATGCCCATTGCTCTCAGCTGAGCTTGCCCGGAAGTCGACAGTCCGGGTTGAATGGCGTAGTAGCCACGATCGACGTCTTCCAGCATTGAAGGCACGCCTTGAATGCACGCCATAATCGAAGCATCATAAGAGTGGAAGTCGAGAACGTCTCTACTAAGCTGCGAGATTGCAAAAGCTGGCGGCCTCGAAGCCAGGACCGCTGCGAGACCCTCGATATGGGAGTGCATGGGAATGTCGCTCTTCTTCATGACACCTTCGAACGGTGCAAGAAGGGCAGTGGCAGCTAGTATATCATCGCCTGAGCTGATCTTAGGGTCCAGCAAAGCCGCCTGCATCGCTCGGAGCGCCGCTGCCATCGCCAGGTAGCAGTCTTTGCTTGTGAGCCTTGGCACCCCTCTAGCATGCGCACAAGCGGCGACAATGGCTTTGATGGAGAGATCCAGGACTGGAAGTCGCCCGACTCGGACGGGCAGGTGTCGAGGCCAGGCTTGCTCACAGTCCTCGTATCTAATAGTGTCGATAGCACGAATGACGAACAGTGTCTCTGTCGACTGTGGTTTGTGCACTAGCAGCGTCCACGGTAGTTGGACAAAGTCATCGTCGGCTTCTCTCGAGCTGCGACGGCTCGTCGATGGAGAGCTGCTTGCTGGAGAAACGCCTGTCGATGGTATTGGTGACCCGGTAATGCTGACGTACTGCGGGAGCTCGATAACGACCCGGGTGCGAACGCTGAGGGACCTTTGGTCGTCATTGCGCGTTGGCGGATGACTGACTTCCGCAGGTCTACCTAGGACGGTCTTTCGGACAATACATGCGAGCCCTTGTCGCCTACAGCGGTAGCATGGCGTGTCAACTTCTCGAGGCTCATCAAAGCTATCAGGAAGAATCGCATCTGGCAGGTCGCAGCGAACACGTCGCTCACAACAACCAAGGCAGATGAGTCGCGAGTAGTTGCCTCTGCGTCGCGTCATGTAGTATGTCGAGTGTGACCGTACGAAGTGGGTTATCGTACATTCGTTCAGTGGGTTTCACCTTTTAGCGACGACTGCGGCCTTAAGGGCAGCACCAAGGGATGGACACCACGCACTGGTAGGCTCCAATTAGCTCGTTGTGCCCTTAATAGAGAAGATCTGATGGGGATATTGTCGTAGCAAATGCTGTCGAGACTCTTCGGCGGCACAATGAGAGGTGGAGAGTGAGGCTTAGGGGACTTGCTGTAGCGCATACTTTCTTTTGACAGTTCGCAGATCGGCTGTGAGTGATGGAATGCAAGCGAGTAGTGTATAGAACGTGAGTGTAAGAGGCGATTGGCACAGTGATGATCTCGGCCCGGCTGCGCAAATACTGGCGCCTTCATTCTACGATGCGCTACGAATAGGTTGAATACATCGTCGAGTAGCCATAATGCCTGTAGCGTTCATGACTTTCCTCTACTACGTTGCACTCGTCAAAGCGTTTCTTCGAGCTCATGGCAAGCTGGCTTTTGATCGACAAGAGTGCAAGGCCACCGGTGACATTGCCTTCCATACCAATCCCGCACTCGCTTTCCCAGTCAGAGCGACTTGGCTGCAGACGGCAGGTCATGACTTCGTAGACACAATCGTTAGCGAAGTTGCCCTGCCCAGGCCTGCTGACTAGATAATATTGAGTTGTTAGTGATAGTACCGACATATTCTCGTACTGCCCGCCGACAACATTGGCTGCGTTACCAGCTGCTCGAGATAGCTTGTGACCTGCTTGGTCGTCTTGAAATTTTGAAGATTGTTGCTCGGGCGTAGCGAACTCCATCCGTTGGCGTCCTAATCGATCCCACACCTCGACCACCACCATCCAGTCGGAATCATATCTCTCAAGGAGCGCATGAATTACAGCTTTTCTACGTCGCCATGCAGAGGGATAGGAGTAGGCGACCAGAAGCTAGAACATCGCTGCGTAAGGCGGTCATGACAAGGCAAACCTGAACGAGACCTATTTGATGTAGCTCAATGATATCTTGCATGCGACAAGCTGCTCATAGTGTGTTGACGGTGCTATTCAATGCGTAGCTGGCACTAAAACGTCCGTGCGATGCGGAAGGTATGTAACATTTCCCCTGGTGTGGCGATAGAGTAAAGTGAAGTTGGGGGCGATCTCATCTGACTGGCTCGCAGGGTAACAAAGCAAGCCAAGGCAGCCAGAAAATGAAGCCTGAAACATGCCAAGCATCCCTCTTAGAACTATTGTACGGCGACTTCGCCAACGTTCCCATCGCTGCCGTATCCACCGCAACCCTCCATTTATGATAGCGATATATGGTGCGATACTCGCGAGTAGAGACCGAGCTGCGGCATTGCTGCAGTGTGAGCAAGCAAACGGGCTGGTACCGTCCGGCATCTTGAACTGCCTGCTCGAATCAAAGCTGTTAGAGCCGAACCTCTGGTTCAGCTAGAACTACCAATCTCGCTAGATGTTGCATCAGCAAAGCTATGCTCCTTGCCCCGGTACCGATCATCTCTTCCATGACCAAGCGAGCCTTTTCCAAGAACAAGTATCGTCTCCCAAGCCTACGATATGCGGATCCTTAGGGGCGAATGCTCGGGCTCAAGTATGTATGCCGTCCTTGCTAGCTCTGGAGGTCTTCGGACCTTTGTCTCTTCCTGGCTGTATTGTGTGTGAACATGTGATTTTGCCAGTGTTTGGCCACGAAAATGCAGCACTACCGCGGCCTGAGCATCTGTCTTTACTTGCTGACTCTCCTTCATAGTGCTTATAGTCGTGAGTAGCCCCTCAACAGAACTACCATCAAGATCACTGCTGACGCACCACCAGAATCTTGCAGCAATGCCACAACAACCCTTCGCAACCCTGCTGACGTTGCGGCTATTGCGACATGTACAACCTTCACAGGCAACATCGTTGTCGCTACCGATGTTGCGCCTATCGCTGAAATTGTGGGAGTCGAGACGGTCATGGGTAGTGTGATAGTTGCAAACAATAGCGCTCTTACTACCGTCGCTACGGACAATCTGCAGACCGTCACCGGAGATGTGGTACTGGATACACTGCCACTTCTGTCAAACATATCTCTGCCGCAATGGACAAGCGTTGGTACCATCATCTTGAACAAGATACCAGCGCCCAATGTTCTGGATGTGCGAACGAGAGTACAGAAAGTCACGAATCTCTACATTACCGATACGACGCTGGAGACATTATTTGGCGTATTACTCCAAACGGCACAAATGGATACATTGCATATCACGGGCAACAAGTTCCTACAAGATTGCTGGTTTGGAGTCGGAAACATAACACAGCAAGCAACCATTGTCAACAACAGTGGTCAAATGAGTCTCACGCTGCCGAATTTGACGTATGCATACAACATGGAGATCTCGAATGCTAGTTCCATCAGTATGCCCATGCTCCAATCCGTCAGCTCAAACCTGGACGTCAGCTGGAATAGCTTTCGAAATCTGAGCATTCCGGAGCTTAGTTTCGTGGGCGGTGAGCTATCAATTGTTGAGAACAGCCAGCTCGATGAGCTTGACATGATGGCCTTGGTCAATGTGCAAGGCGGCATAACCATCCGCGACAATGCACAACTCGAGACTCTGGACGGGCTGAGCACTCTCTCGTATGTTGGTGACAATCTAACGTTAGACGGAGACTTCACGAAGTAAGTTCCTGACCTTAAACCCCGATATCTTGTGCTGACCCGTACAGTGCCACACTCGCCTCTCTCCACAATGTACGGGGAGACCTGTTCCTCGCGTCTGCGAGCGGTGCCACTTGCGCCGAGATCCCTTCTCCCATCGTCCACGGTCACTATACTTGCAACGCGGCACAAGGCAATACACATCAGGGCGGCAAGCTACCGGTGGGTGCAGTGGCTGGAATTGTGCTTGGTGCAGTGCTTGGGCTGGCGGCAATGCTAGGATCCTTCTTATGGCTGCGTTATCGACGTCGAAGCACTCATGTCAGTGAAATTAGCGATGCACAAAGACCACCGTTACCACCGAAAGAGAAGCGTTCGAGCTACGGATACTATGAGATAACGAAAGCCAAGGATACTTTAAATGACGGTGGGAAACATGGCGAGGGGGAAAGTGTGCCGTTGAGTGCTCTGGACAAGAAGCAGAGTACGAGGACCGAGGAGCATGAACTACCCACGCCAGTCAACTCGGATGTATACGAACTGCCAACGGACATGTCTGGAGCGGCACACGAGCTTGAGAGTCGATAGCAATGTTTCCATGGAGATGCGCCAACGAGGCTCAGCCCTTCAGCCCTCGATATGTGCATGTTAGCACCAAGAGAAACTGCAACCACTTTCGGTTCTTCAATCGTCGCCCTCCTTATAACATTAAGAATCTGCATGAGTTTGCATCCCTGCTGAGTTGACCGTCGCACAAAGTCCCCACGACAATGACATTAGTCTACAATCACAAGTCAGTGAACAGTTGGCAAGCTGACCGGTAGCGAGAACCTCATACCAATTCATATGTTTTACAGCAAGCTACAAACTCAACACATCGTCAAGCCTTATATCATAGCATGCCCATTCTGATCGAGCCTCACCGGCGCCGGATGCGACACTGGTCCCATAGCAATGACACTCGTCCTATCCATCCTCTTCCTACCACCAAACCCGAACGGTCCAAACCCACTCGACTGCATCGGACCAGTGGAAGTCTCGACAACGCCATCCCTTTTAACCATAAAAAAGATTCCGGTCCACATAAGCATATTAATCAGCAAGAGAACCGTAGTTGCCCAGGTAAGATGCAGGAACTTGGTCCCCGGATAGCCGGCTATACCGACACTTTGGCCGATGAAGTTTATCAGATGTCCGGCGCCGACTGCTACACCGTGCGTGACTGACGATGCTAGGAACAGAAGGACTAGAGCCGGAAGCGTGCCGAAGATGTTGAAGAGGGCAAATTTGCGGGTGGGTTTCAAGAGACCAACGAGGCCGAGGATCAGGGCGATGGCGACGTGAATGATGCCGACCCAGTACAATATCCTGATGAGCTGGAGAGGATCAATGACAGAGTGCGCATCGCAGGAGTCAACGTGCTTGCTTACACCTGTAGTCGGTACACCACTATCGCCTACGGTGACATTCGTGCCGTTTTGGAATTGGTAGGTGCCGGAGCAGGCACTGGAGATGTGTATGCTGTAGAAGTCCTTCAGTTTCAGATCTGCGATGACACCGTGGTAGGCTTTATTGACGGCTTTGATGAGGTTCGTGGCTGCTGCGGCAGTGGCGCTGCTTGCTGCACTTGCGGCGGCGGACCCGATCGAGGTCGCTTTGCTATGGGCTGCGGACGTTGCGGCGGAGACATCGCTGCCGGCTTTGGCAGTAAGGGAGCTGATGACACCACGAGGCGCCATGGTCATGAAGGTCGTGGGGATGTTGGAGATGCTCGGGCCAGAAGTGACGGTGGGTGTAGCAATGGCCGGCAACGAGACCTCGCGCTTGAGGTGTATCGAGTTGATCTTCTGATCCAGACTGGCCAGCTGATTCTCACCAATGCGGGAGACGTTCAATGTGAAGACAGCATAGTCCTCCATGTACCCAGGTTTATTGCCAGCATAAACGCAGAGAAAAGCCAAAAGGAGTGCAATGGCCGTCAGGGTGACAGGCAAGAGAGCGGTTAGACGCACCCTGTTGGTCTTGGACATCGGTGTCCTAGCTTTTGCAGCCTTGCAGTTATGGCCGTCATAGACTTGCTTGGCCTTACGAGCCAGAAAGAGAGCTTTGATCAGTGGTAGCATGTTGGCGCAGTAGTCTCAGTAACAGATCGTTCAATGCGTATAGATAAGCGAGGGTAGGTGTGTAGCGTCCTGCGCTTTGATGCGTTGCAAGCAACGAATTCGTTACAATAATAAAGTAGAAAATCGAGAAGAATGTGACGGTGGCAGCTCGATGTGTTCGTGATCGTCTCATAACAGTACAGTGACTAGAGGGTGATGCTGCCAGACATTGTAGCACAAAGGCAGGATATTGACAATGTGGTCGGGTGACGTGGAACAAAGGCGAGACATTGTGTTGGTGACTGAGGTCCATTGTTGAGATGTCATGGTGACAATGGTATTGCGATACTGATCTACCAGAATAGACTTTCATTGTTTGGTCTCTGGTTGAGTATCGTGTGGGGCTGGTGTAGTGACGTTGGCAAGATTGGCATGGTCGTGTCGTGCTTGCTTACGTGTAGACAAGCTACACTCGTGCGGGAGTCGCAAAGGAGAACCACGTCCATGAGCGTTACTCGGCACTCCTGGACTTGCGCGGTTCCCGATGATTGCTCAACTGCTAGACTGATAGGCTGGTAACTTTCTCGCTGTTCGTGGAACCTTAGCCGCGCATTTTAGGCGACACACGCTTTTATTATGATAGTCGCTGGCTCAAGGCCGTTCTTGCTCCCTCGTCATATACCCGACATATCGTCTCTCGCCCAAAGCTTAACAGTGCGATCTCGTCCACACGAAGCAATCCACTTCGAGTCCTGCGTGACATCCGCGGCCAAGACAGTACCATCATGGCCTGTAAGCGACTTGCACAGCGCCCAGTCGTCTGCAGACCAGACATTGACAGCCTTGTCAAAGCCACTACTGACAATGTACGTGCCTGCTTTCTTCGGCTCTCGTGACCGTCCGCCTTCTGCAGCCTCGTTGTCTTCCTCATTGCCACCATTCGTCATCGTCACATCCTCCGCTGCTTTGCTCTCCGCAGTCTGTCCAGATAGCGGTCCATCTGTACCTTTGAACCACCTCAGATCGGTCACGCCACCTTTATGAGCACCGATACTGGCCGTCTCCCTAAGACTCCTCAGGTCCCAGCATTTCGCGAAACCATCAGCACTGCCAGTAAGTACCCTATACCCATCCACGCCCCAATCAGCCGCATGAATGGGCGCCACATGTCCCTCCAACAGCATCGCCGTTCTCCCAGTCCTCAAATCCCATACGCGACCAATACTGTCCAGACCAGCAGAGACGATAAGACTACCATCGATGTTGAAGGCGACAGTGAAGACTTCTTTGCTATGACCTTCTTGTAGCAGGAGTTCGGTCGTTGTCGCCACGTCCCAGAGTCGCCAGGTCGTATCGTAGGAAGCCGAAGCAAGATATTGACCCGAGGGATGGAACTCCGTTCGGCAGACTCGAGCAGCGTGGCCTGATAAAGTACTGATGGGAGTATCCTGATTCAGCGACCAGAGATGAATATCGCCTTCGCCCCCTGCTGAAGCCAGATTGAGGTTTTCGGGGCTGACTCCAGAGTCGGGGAGCGTAGCACCTGGATACCAAGACAGTCCACCCACCATCTGCTTGTGTCCTCTGAGCACAGCCTTCGTCTCGAGGTTCGGCACATCCAATAGTTTAATACTCCCAGCCCAATCACCACAAGCCATCACCTCGCCGTTAGGCGCGAAGCGCACAATACTCATTGGCCTCTCGCTCGCGATCTGACTCCCAAATAGTTCGAAGCCTCCTAGCCTCTCCTTCATTCCCTTCCGAAACTTGACATGAGTTTGCACCGGTATCGCACTTTCCAGCCTCTGATGCTGAATCCTCTTCTTCGCTCTTGGCAGACTGAACTTCGCCATCTCCTTCCGTGCCTCTAACAATGCGTCGGAGCCTTGGGTATAGAACTCACCTTCCTCCTCGTCTTCATCCTCATCAAACATATCCCGCATTGGCGCATCTTCGTCAGGGACTTCTCCATCTCCTCCTTCTTGCTCCTGGAGCAGAAGTCCTCGTAGTCGGTCTCGCCGATCCTCAGGTCGCTCACCGAATAATGTGATAGGTTCGCTCCGTTGTCGCAGCTCGAGTCGCACTCGCTTGTCATCTGTGGGGACTGCTAGGGCGGCTGCTTTTCGTTTCCGGGCGAAGTCGTTGAGGACCGTGTTCGCATGCCGGCCGCCGGATGAAGGTATGGCATGGTTGCGGTCGATTGCTGATAGTATGGTCAGTCTGATATCGCTCAGGAGACTCGTCGGTATGTCTTACGTATGCTGTTGATATCAATGCCTGCGTCTGCCTGTGCCGCGACTGATCAGTCAACCGTTCCATCTCTTTTACTGCACATATGTGTGAACATCGATCGTTGCGAGTTTGGGTTGTCCAACAGGGATGGCTTACCTCTTCCTCTTCAACATATGCTTGTCTCGACGGATGTATCGACATCGTGGAGTTCTTAAACGATGTTCAGTCAGTGGCATATCAATAACAAGAACTTCTGTCTTGCTTTGGAAGTTCGACATTGGCGCGAGTCATGCATCTGAGACTACTGCGTGATTGGCTGTAGGACATCTGACTCAGGCTGTGCTGTATCTTTACATAAAGCCGCTGCGTGCGTCTTTTTGTCGCGAGATGACCGCCAACCCAGACCATGGACGCCGAACACCATCCCTGGTCACTGCTGGACTCAGAAACCCTCTCATTCCACTCATGATCTCTCCTCATCAAAGTGCTATCTACTGCCGATCCCTAGACACCATCTCTCCAGCCTGATGATGCAGTTCAGTATCAATCTCAAGCAAAGACCTTGGAAGTCTCTCATAGCCTGCCACTTTCGGGATGGCTCCTCTCGTATCAAGCTTACGGTATCAGTATCAACCTCTCAACAAGATTGGGAAAGAGATCCGCTTGGTCGGAATTCCTGCCGCCACAGGATCCTAACCTGGTGCGACTAGAGACCCTTCACTGTTCAATATGGCATGTTCACCTGAGCCAAGAACCGCCTCAATACGGAACAATCTCCTATTTCTGGGGCAAGCTGATCACGCCCTGGCACATCTGGGCCAGCGGTAAGCTTCTCAGTGTGCCAGCGAGCTCCGAGGAGGCACTCAGACAGATGAGATACGCTGATCGTCCTCGTTTGCTTTGGATCGATGCTGTATGCATTAATCAGGCTGACCTGGATGAGAAGAGCCACCAGGTGGTCATGATGTCCGAAATCCTACTCACGCACAACCAGGAACCTGATCTGGCTCGGGCACATAGACCTTGAGGAGCAGACCCTGACTCATGCTGTAGAAGGCGTTCTGGCCGACATGAGGTATTGTCTGGATGGCGATCTCTCTGAGCTGAATTATATCACGTTTGTGAACCGACATCGCAAGCGCCTCGCTGGGAAGGATCCCACTGTAAAAGTCGATGTCGATGCTCTGGTGCCACTTTTCGAGCGGCCGTGGTTCACAAGACTGTGGGTATGTAGTGGGTGCAAAGTGATTGGCGGGCATGGAGCTGACCACGACTCTGTGTAGGTCGTCCAAGAAGCCACACTGTCGCCGGAGAACATATGTTTCTATACCTGCAGATCTGGGCGCGTATTACACTGTCTACCCCTGAATGAACTTGCCCGAATCTGTCTGTGGCTGATGCTATGAAGACCCTGCCTACCCTTTGCTATAGAATTACCCGACGGGGCCGATGCTTTGAGCCTGATCTGGAACTACGTGGACAAAGTCTACGGCCGTGGATCACAGCAGGCTGCCACAAGTCCGATGGAGCTGCTATCAAACCTTTCGAATTTTCAAGCAAGCGACCCGAGAGACTATGTCTACGGCGTTTACGGCTTATACAAGTATTTCTCCGCTGGCACTAGCCACGTACTCTATCCAGACTACACCAAAGATACCGTGGAATTCTTTCGTGACGCTACGAGGGCTGCGCTCATGGAGGATGGATCCTTGTTAGTCTTCAATTTTACTGGCTGTCTCCCTTTGGTTTGTGGAGCTGATTGTAAATACTGGAAGCAATGTCCCACCTGGGTGCCATTATGGGACCATTCTTCTGGTTGTGGCCGTGCGTGCGCGCCCCAGCCGTTCAAGACCATGAATTGTAACGGCATGAAGGGCGACATCATATGGCCAGCTGAGCCTTACCTATGGGATCTCAATGTGCTTTCAGTGTTGGGTTTGTGTGTTGGTGCCACGAAGTCAGTGCTCAATGGCCAATCTCCAGATATGTACACTTCAACAGACGACATCGAACTCTGTAATAGTATCGCCCTTGTCCTGGGAGATATGGGTCGATGTCCTTCGGAAGTCGAACGAATGACTAGCTTGACACTTGTTGCGGGTCATGACCACCTCGTTTTACCAATGCTCCACGACACGGCCAAAGAGAACTTCAAGGCCTGGAGACAATATCTTCAGGAACACGGAGATTGGCCTCCCGACTCGGCTGCCACGCCATGGCTGCATGGTGAGCAGGGGCCAGAGCGAAGACCCCTGGAATACAACAGAGCTTTCGGCGTAGCCCTTTCCGATCGTGTCATCTTCCTCACGGAACAAGGGCAGCTTGGGCTGGGTCCAATGTCGATGTCAACTGGTGACATCCTTGCTATTCTTTGGGGCTGCCCTTGGCCTGTGGTTCTTCGACCTTTACAGGACTCTGACGAATTCAGTCTTGTCGGCGTAGCCTACGTATATGGCATAATGTCGGGTGAAGCGATCGAGGAAGATGGCCAGGGTAATGTGAAGGGAGAAGAGGTGTTCCACATACGGTGATGGTACCAGCACCGAAGATGTAGTGAGTTGTACAGCATGAGACATTAGCAAAAGATCTCGCTGACTCCACCAATGCATATTAGCCACTCCATCTCTGGTCTGGGATCCCTCTAGCTCTCGTCTCGGTCTCGTCTTTGCGACGCAGATGCGGATACACCTCACTTTTGGCTCTGACAAAGGTACGAGCAACAATGCACCGCGATGAAGAGTCCTTACACAGTATTCTATTGTAGAGGAGCTGCGAAGTGTTGAGTAATATGGCCATTCACATCACCTCCTCTACAGTGTCGTCCACACCGCGCATAGTTCCCGCCACTTCACCGAGCGCTTCAGCATAAGCAGCCAGATTCTTAACCGCATTCAAAAGCGGCTCTAGCCTCCTTTCCTCAGCACATTGTACTTCAAGATCAAAAAACAGCTTCTGCCCGATCAACAGATCCCTCAGCTCAGGTCGACGAGCAACGAGTCCGACAACATCGATGATCGCACCCTTGCCTTCTGGTCCATTATATTGCTCCGAGGCAGCGCGCAGATGCTTCAACAGTTCCAGCGCTTCTGCATCGATGGCATATATGGCGCCTAGCGGTACTAGCCGACACACGAGCTTGCCCAGTCCATCGTCATCCGGGCCACTGCAGGTGCTGTAGCGGTGTGCGAGAGGCAACCTCTCATGAAGCACTTTGACCAGCACGGTGCCGATCAGCGTCTCGCTTCCAGTGATTAGGATTGCGGGTGTCGCATTACGGGAGCCGGAGTCCAAGTCCCATTGCGATTCTCGACTGCACAGCTCGTGTAAAGCGGCCTGCACCCCCACGAGTGCTGTCGGCAAGCTAGCCGCATCTTGGAAGCTAACGCCAGCGGGTTTGCGGCAGACGAAGGACGTCTCAACATTGACAGTTTCCGTGGACGTGATGAGACCAGCTCGGCGCTCAAGCACAATGGAAGCTAGCACCTCGTCTCCTGCTTGGTATTCTGTCAGCGAGCTACCTTCAACTTCTTTCACGACGCCAGAAACGCCGGCAACCTTGTTGGTTCCTTCGCCGGCGTGCACAGCTCGTATATCGATCGTGAGCTCGGAAGCAGAAGGAAGGTGATGTCGATTTTGAGCGGCCATTCTCATTGATACTCGTTCTGGTCGATTGACCACCAGATCAGAAGGCTACACAATACGAGATGCGGTAGATGTGGATCCAAGGTTCAGCCCTGCATAGATGAGTCAGGTACGCAAGAGCATTATCGTACATATACTGACTACTCACACCTTACAAATTCGGCTTGGTCCACTGCTGCACCGGATCAACATCATGCAGCCTCACAAGCAACACCAATGTGCCCATCGACCCATCCAGCACCGGCGTCCCACTCTCGCCGCTATGGCCTCATGCGGTATCGCCTCAGCACTAGCCCTGTAGCCAATATCCTGTGGCAGAGCCTGATTGCAGAGACTACGGAAGTGTATCTCTTTCCTCTCCCCGGCAAGACTTTGGTGCGATGCGGATCAGCTGGCGGGATGAAGTACATCCTGGCTTGAAAGTCAGGTATGTAGACACCTACACGGATGCAGGATAGTCATGCTGGCCTGTCCTTTGTGGACATAACCTAGTTGGCCATGGTGGTGGGGTGCCAGCGCAGTACTCGCATTATTAGACATCTTCACGGATGGAGTACATACAAGATCTGCTGCTAAGCAATACACTTTCTGCTGTTTCGCAGAGCGTCGTTATAGTTCGAGCGATGTGACATCTCTAGGCACTTTGGGCTCCATAGAGTCGCGTAACGGTCTAGTCATATCGCGTCTCAGTCGCGACCTTGCATTGAAGTATCGGGGTGCGAGGTGACGCGATTGGCTCGAGTCATGGCTGGGTTCGATTGGCCAGTAAGACAGCCACGCTAACATATTGCCGACTTTTGGGACGTTGTTCTCTCTGATCCGCTTTTTGGTGAGGCGGCAGTAGCCGGTCTGATTCGTAAGAGCCTTGGCGCTAGAAGAACTTCTCTGCCACCTTGGGTCTGTCTGATCGTCGTCCGTCCACGACATCCCAGATGAGAAGGTTGCAGACATGGTGTTGAATCACTTGTCTGTTTATCACAAGGTGTAGTGGTATTGTTCGGTTGGAATGGCAGTGTCTGCAGACCAAGGTCAAGAGCTACGAGCAAGCCGGTCTCTTCCGACGTACAATTATGTCATGCTGAAGCATTGCGGATCTGCAGGCTGATGAGCACCACGAAGCTTCTTCATATGCTTATTAGTTCATGCTTCCACCTTCACTCACATTGAGTTCGAGGTAGGTAGCACAGTACTGTCCATCTATTCACCTCCGTCCCGTCTTGAAATTATCTACAAGCAGTCTCTCGCTGAAGAAACACATCACGCACCCCGGCCGATCATGGCACCCAAGCAAGAAGAAGTACAACAAGTCGCCGAAATCCTGGTGAACAGCATCTACAACGCCGGCATCAAAACCGTCTTCGGCATCCCAGGAGCAAAAGTTGACGCCGTTTTTGACCGTCTGAGTGACCACTCCGAGATCAAACTCGTTGTATGTCGACATGAACAAAACGCCGCTTTCATGGCGGCCGCTACAGGCCGCATCACAGGACTCCCTGGCGTATGTATAGCTACTTCCGGCCCCGGAGCAGGCAATTTGACCACGGGTTTAGTGACGGCGACGACGGAAGGAGATCCAGTGGTGGCGATTGTGGGTTCCGTGCCTAGATTGATGAGTACCAAGCACACCCACCAAAGCATGCCCGCCCTCGAAATCCTACGTCCAGCATCCAAGATGGCTAGCGGCGTAGACGTCGAAGACCAAGCCTCCGAAGTCCTCCTCTCCTGTTTCCGCGTGGCCAACACAAGCCCAAAAGGGAGCTGTGTCATGTCGCTACCCATGGACATCGCAGGCGGCAAATCCAAAATTACCGCCTTCCCTCCCCATGCCTTCAAAGCACCACTTTACGGGCCCGCACCCTCGCAGGAAATCGCCAAAGTAGCCAAGATGATCTCAGAAGCCAAACTTCCCGTCCTTTTTCTCGGCCAACGAGCAAGCTCCGCCATAGTCGTCTCCGCCGTACGAAACTTTCTGGCAAAACATCCCATAGCCGTAGTCGAGACCTTTCAAGCCGCCGGCGCCATCCCAGAAGACCAAGCCGGCCGCGTCTTCTTCGGCCGAGTAGGCCTCTTCCGGAACCAAACAGGCGACAGGATCTTACAGAAGTCCGATTTAGTCATAACACTAGGTTACGATCCCAGCGAATACGACGCCTTCGCCTGGAACCCCAAGGGCGACATAAGCCTTGTGCACGTCGACTACACCTCCTGTGATTACGGGGCGTACTATCACCCCTCCACCGAACTCCTGGGTTCCGTTCGCGAGAATATTCTCGCGTTAAGTGAAAGCGTGACACACGTTTCCAACCCGGCCGAAGATACCTTCTGCCAAGGCCTGAGCAAAGAGCTCGTGTCCTGGCGGCAGCAGCTGGATACCTTCACTTCTGCAAAGGGGCTGGTGCATCCATTGCATTTCATCTCCCAGCTTCAGAAACGGGTATCGAAGGACACCACTGTCTGCGTAGACGTAGGCACGGTTTACATTTACATGATGCGCTACTTCTTCGCCTACGAACCGCGGAAACTGCTCTGCTCTAATGGTCAACAAACTCTCGGTGTAGGAATGCCGTGGGCCATCGCCGCTTCCTTGGCTCAAGAGAAACCTTGTTCAGAGAAGGTGGTATCGATGTCGGGGGATGGAGGGTTCATGTTCTCCGTCCAAGAACTCAGCACGGCTGTGCAGCAAGGCTGCAACATAACGCATTTCATCTGGAACGATGAGGCGTTCAATATGGTGGAGTTTCAGGAGGAGATGAAGTATGGACGGTCATCTGGTATCAAATTAGGCGGTGTTGATTTCGCCAAGTTGGCTGAGGCGTTTGGTGGCAAAGGTTACAACATCAATGATTCGTCCGAGTTGGAGAAGGTGATGGATGAGGCGCTTGCGCACAAGGGCGTGAGTTTGGTGAACGTACGCATCGACTATAGCCACGCTAAGGAGCTTGCGGGTGGGTTGATTAAGGATAGTGTGGGTTGAGGTGATGCATACCTCTCAGAAGACAATGAGGTTTGACAAACGGCATTATTGTCTTTGCTCAGTCGGCTTGGCTTGGAGCAGCAGAGTGCCGCTGGTATTCTGTATACTATTCGTACAGGCCCGCTCAGAACGTACAGCATGCTTTATGCAGAAGCACCTCATGCAGTGTCCATCTTGTCCTTGTCATCCCCATCCCCCAGCTTCTTATCATTCGATCCGCCCTCGCCACTTCCACCTTCCTCTGGCACACTCTCAAGGGGAGTCTTGCCCTCAGCCTCATCCCGCGCTCTCTGCTCCCTTGCCTGCCTCTCCTGCTCCTCCTCCATCGACATACGCAGCACAAGCGCCAGCTCAGGATCCACACTAGGATCCACACCAAACTCGAAGCCATCACCTCCAGCGCCTGCTCCACCAGCGCCACCCTCGCCACCCGCACCGTTCATGCCTGCCGCTCCTGCACCGCCTTCGCCAGCTAAGATCGGACTCGCCACGATGCTGTCACTAAGCAGATTCGGCCCGGGATGTACCACCTCCATATGCGACCCTTCACTCCCCTTCACCGCCTCGTGGAACGCATTGAGCTTATCCATATTCTCATCTGTCAAATCGCCAAACACGACCAGATCCACAGCAGTGTTATTCTTCTTCAATCTCTTGCCCAACTTCACCAACCCACTCCTCTCCTCCTCTACAGGACTGCACACAAAAACAATAATCCGTTGTCGCTGGCTCTTATTCTGCCTGTGCTTGAGTGCCAAACTCGCAATGCTTATGCCTGTGCCTAGCTGACTGTGTCCCTTCACTTTTGTGCGGTGGAGGCCATCGAGGATCTTGCCGGGGTTGGTGGTGAGGGTTGTGAGGACTTCGGGGCCGGAGGAGCCGCCCATGGACATTAGGCCGACGGATGATTCGGGGTTTGACTGGGTTTTGGTGTGGAAGATGAGGTTGGCCGCGTCGGTTTGGGCTTCCCAGCGGGTGGGAAGGTAGTCGCCGTTGCGGGACGATTCACTGTTGTCGACGCTGTAGTCATGCCATCAGTATGCGCATTGAAACCAAAGGCACGTGATGCTCTATGTACTAACACTATCATTGTTGCTTCGAGAACCATCGCGGCGGCGGTCGTGCGAGCTGCTGGAGCTCGACTATGAGTTTATTGCAGGTATACGGTGTGGAGCGGTTCTTCCTGACTGTTTCAGGCGTGATGGGAATCGCTGTTGTTGGTGTCGATGAAGCCGTGAAAACGCGAATGTTTAGTGCTGCGAGTGAGAGCTCCAGGCGGCTGATCGACGAGTCTCCAGATTATGTAATGAGGCTCATCGGGAGGCGCCGTGAAGGTGGGGCTTCGTGCCTTCCTCCTCTAAACTTTTGCTGTTGCCACTTTATCGCGTGATCGACGCCTGCGTGCGATGCAGTCAAGACAACCATGATATCGGCGGCAAGTACGTTTCAATGAGTGCAAGTTTTCCCACGTCCCCAGCCCTGACGCATACGGGAAACACAATGCAACTATTGCCTTATCTCCACACCCATCAAGCAATTCTTACCTTACACAGAGCATATCCACTCATACGCCAAAGAATATCCTACAGTTCTAGACCTGGCTGGAGTTGTGCGGAAGATTCACGATGCTGACGAGGACTTGTCGATAATGGATCCTGGAAAAATTCATTCAGCACCCGAATTTGATTTTGTAGATGATGAGGTGGATGTCGTTGGCGGCACGAAGAGGTACAGTTCTGCCGTCATTAGACACCCAAGCGAGGAGGCAAATGGCGGAGCAGTAGCAGGAAGACTTGACCGGATCTTTCCTTAACCAAGGTCATACCTCTGCCGACTGGAACGTCTACGGCAATGCAGCTGCAAAGCTGAACCAGACAAGCGAATGGGTCGCTGAAGATGCTGGCAATGACAGAGGATGGTGAGATCACGCGTCGGGGGTACTCAGTACGATTTCACACTCTCCAAGTTTAGTGAAGTATATAGACTGCTCGCTTGAACAATGTCCATGGTAGCAACGTATGCACAGGGCTCGTCCTTCACTAGAACCACATTTTCATTTGATGCATATCCTGATTCAAAGCCCACGCCCGCCATAGCTTCACATCACCGAATCACATGCCCCGTTCCAAGATAGAAACCTTAGTTCTTCGTCCCACCCATATTGCTCCCGCCCTGGCTTGGCTCGCTGCTCACAGGCACGCCAGAGATACCCTTCTCGCCAGGCTGATTCGTACCATCCCTGACTCCTACGTTTGTCGATCCAGAGTCAGACGCAACAGGTGCTTTTCCGGGCTGTGACTCGGTGCCTTCGGTGTGGCCTGGTGCGTTGGCTGCGCCCGAGCCGTGTTTGGCTGCCTCTTGCTTCTGGAACTTGTCGCTTGCGCCTGAGCCGCCGCTGGGAATGTATTAGTAGTTGGAATGATAGAGTGAGAGAGGGAGATAGATTCACGGTGTCTTTGATGGAGCCATTGTTGGTGGTGAGGTTTGAAGTTTCCTTGGTGGTTACGTAGTTGGGTGGCTTGTTTGTCTTGTGGTGTGAAGGTGGATGAAATGGTGTCAGACAGGTTGTAGGGATCATAACAATACTTGGACCAGAATCTATCATACGATCTCGATTGATCGACAGGTACCATCTGCACATAATGATGGTCATCAACGTCACAAATGCTATCTGTGTCGCGTGACGTCAAGACTAGATGTAGAGTAAGGGCGAGGGTACGAAAAGTGTTCCTGAATTCTCTCAAAGACGCCAGCAACTATTTTTTATAAGCGATGCCAGTGTGCTAGTGATCTGTCACTTTGAGGCTATGGTATCGTGTCGCCAACGTTTTGTACCGCTATGTAGTGTCCATGCACATACACATGCAGCTGTCGTTGTAGCCATGGTTGCTGTCGTCCGAGGAGCGGTTTAGGGTCATTCCTATCGTGGTTGTAACGGTCAGGAGATATATGGCACCAATACTATGCTCCCTCTGGAATACTACCAGAGCGAATAGCAAGCAGAAGTGAATCGATCTTGAGAGCATGTGACAGCGCGACAAGCGCCAAGAGGTGCGGAAGCTTCCGGCGCAAGTTCTGGCGACGTGAAGCTGCAAGCACACGACAGCAACTCTTGCTCTTCTCTTCTCCTTCTCGTCGACCTTTCAGCACACTGGAAGGCTTCCATACATAGCGCCTTCACCGACTCGATATCAACTGTAGCATTCCCACATCTCAAGACTCTATCTCAAGGCCGATTCAAGGCCACATATCCATCAAAGGCGCAAAAAGCCTTTCATTCCTTTCTGAGCAGCAAACAAGATTCTACCATCGATTCATCGTCCGCGACAGTGCTAAGGACGTGAGGGAGTGGGTAGGAAGTGGAAAAGGGGCTGCGACGGCAGTGAGGACACTCCGGCGCACACGAGACAGCACCCGCAAAACCACGAGATATCTCAAATCACACCCCGAACGCACCCGCAACAATGTTCTTCGTCAAAACCCTCGAAGAACGCCTCCCGCTCCACCCCTCTTACTTCGGCGCCCAATCCCAACAATACATCATCGACCAACTCTACCAGCGCAATGAGGGCAAAAACACCGGCACCATGATGATCATCGCTATCATCGATGTTCTGGATGTCAGTGAGCCCAAGATCATGCCTGGGACAGGCATGGCGATGTATGATATCAGTTATCGGGCGATTATCTGGCGGCCGTTTCGTGGAGAGGTGGTGGATGGGCTGGTGAGTAGTGTGGTTTCGGGCGGGTTTTTCGTGGATGTGGGCGGTTTGAGTTGTTTTGTCAGTCGGCAGGTAGGTTTGGAGCATGATGTGGGAAATGATCGTGGGGTGACGAGATGTGCTGACGGGGCTATAGATGATCCCTGCGCAACTGAAGTACACGGTCGAAGGGTCTACTCCCTCCTTCACGGACAACGTGGATCAGACCATCGAGCGGGGTACACAAGTGCGGCTGCGTATCAAGGGTATGCGTAGCGAGATGGGCCAGATGTACGCCATCGGCAGCATCAAGGAGGACTACCTAGGGTTTGTTTACACCCTGTGGCCAAATTACTGGGACCTACTAACCTTTGACTTCAGACCCCTGATGCAATAAGTGCATTGCAGTTTTCAAGTGGCGACTCTGGCCATAGATGTGTACTAACATTATTGCTTTGTTGTATAGAATATGGCATTCATCAGCGTGGCGTTGGTATAGGAGAGGTGAGGCACGATTAGAATGAATTCAACTGGTGAAAAGCATGATATCAAGATACCCAAAACGAAATGTTTCTGCGTGCTACGATGTTCCAAGCGCATTCACTATTTCTATCCACATCAATGAAGTGAAGCGCTACACAATTGACCTGAGGCAGGAACGGTTGGCCTACACTATGGTTGCGGTGAAGCTTTGACCACAACTCTTCCAGCTGCCCTTATGCTTTTCGTGCCCGGCGGCTGTCGCATCGCCCTGCTCCGTAACAAGTCTAGCATGATACTTTGGCACAGCATTGGCATCATGGATACCTCCTCCATCGAGGCTCAAGCCAGTAGGCTAAGGGTTTGGAGGCACTTGTCTGCGACCATGATATTGAGGTCTCGATGTGGAAGGCCAGCCACCGTTTTGAAAATGGAAGCCGCTGAGAGGGCAAGTCGCTATCACAGATGACCAAGGAAGCACTGGCAAGGCGCACATGGCTCGTCCTGGAGCATTGTTGCGTCATGAATGTGTCAATAGATCGGCCACGGTCCTTGATCTCCTAATTCAGAGAGTGCCTGCCGCTTGGAAATGCTTTCAACCTTCCACCTCCTTGACACCAGCATCATCAGTCACCAGGCTCGCCTTGTTGAAGTCTTCGTCGTCCGGCAGCTCAATATGCACGCTCCGACACACAGCCACACCCACTTTGACACCCTCCGCTCGAACCTCAAGCACGTGCCCACCCCGACTCCTTCCCTCGTCAATGAAATGCAGATGCTCACCACCAACACCAAAGCCTTGCCAATTCTTCGGCGTCCTGAAGCCAATAATCGTGCCACTGATGTCATGGTACTCCTCGACCGACTGTTTCTTGCCCAACTCCGAGAGGGGTTGACCGGGATACTCCTGCCCTCTTACAGTTCGACAGTTGAGATACGAGAACTTGCCTTCGACACGATACGTGACGAAAAGGTTCTTCTTGCCGGGATAAAACCTTTCTAGCACCTCATCCACTGCTTCTTTGCCCTTCATATCTACAAGTTCGCTCTTCTGCGGCACGAAGTTCGTGCTTACAGCGAACGGAATCTGATCTGTCTCATCTGCCTCTCGCACTGACCCCTCAGCTTGGAGCTGATAGATCTTGCCTTCCAGCATGAGAAGTTCGCCATTCATGCGGGAGAAAGTTCCGAGGCCTTGGTTCCCTTTCTGTGAGAGCTGAGAGGCGCGGATTCCGTGCTCGCTGACACCGTCCATCAAGGCATTGAGTAGCGAGAACTGGTAGATGTGATTCTCTTCCATCTTGGAGGCGGTAGCTGACTTATGAGCAAGCCTGAATTACCCAATTACAAGCTGTGATGCTGTGGTGAGATCGCTCTTTTTCATTGATGAAGAGGAGTCTCAGAACTATCCTGGAGATGCCTATACTCGTGTCCACTGGGGAAAGGACATCCATTGAACGCCGGAGCACGTGTGGCAATGATGATACTGTAAAGTCTGCTGTGGATGGTATGAAGTATACCCCGTATGTACTCATATCAACGCGGGTAGCTGATATTATTATGCTGAAATACAAGCACGATCGTACGCCTATTTTCTTCAGTCCGTTCCCACTCCATCCTACCGCCTAGATTCGAGTTGGGGAGACAGCACGACCTTACCTGCGCAGAAATGTGCCTACCTTGTTTGATCCTTCTGCAAGGTAATTTCGTACACTATCACCACAATCACGGTCCTGAGATTTTCTTCTCATTCTGCATGCATATCGCCTGACCACTATCAGACAGCGCTATCCAGTGGAGCAACAATAATGATAACGTTACATCCGATCTGCACCATACTCCTCCACTATCACGCAATGTACCCGGTGCGGCGTAAGTCAGATTGCTATACCCAACCAGGCAGCTCAATGGTGGCGAATTGTCTCGCTTGCTAGGGAGCGCATCCTCTTGATAGCCAGGTAGCCTAGCGATATGCGATCGTCGCTAACAACGGATCGAAGGATATGAATGCGGACTATTGCATATAGGGTTATGTGAGGCTACCAGAAGACGATCGTATGTAGATCGCAACATCACCACTCCACGGACCCTTGCTCCGAGAGAGCAGTAGACAGAGGGTACAGAAAGCACAAGCATAGTCGATCAATGTCATATGCCTTCTACAACAGCATATCCATATATCTACCACCATCCACGCCCAACGCAAAACGCCACCACATATCCAGCCTCCCACGACCCCAGATCCTACAGCCAACACGACCGTCCACCTTCACGAGCAACTCTTTCACAAATGCTCACCACAGTCGCGGTCGGCTAGGCGTCACAGAAATCGCACTAGCCTGTAACCACGCCTCGACGTCGGACCAATCGTACTCGCTTTCCAGCTCGTATCTGGACTCGTACTCCTGCGCGAGCTCGGCATCTCCCGGCTCGTCTGGGTTAGCATTGTAGCTGTTCTTTCCTTCCACTTGGGGTTCCGGGTTTTTGGTATATGATGCACCATGGACAATATCAGCAATAGTGGCGGGTTTGACAGTCGCAATATTGTTGGGCCTTGGGAACTCTACCGCTACGTCTTCGAGCATGGCGGAGCCTGGGCCAATGGTTTTACTTTCGACTTCTGCGGCCACGGAGAGAGGTGTATCAGGCGTAACCAGGTGCGCGGTCTCCGTCGTAGCAACCGAGCCCCCAATCTCAGACTCCGGCGGAGAAGGCTCAGTGGCGCTCTTGGATATACTAGAGCGTGGATCGCTGCTGGTCGATGACAAAGCGTAGGTAGGTCCACTTGTAGGTTTTGTGCCTGCTGCTAAGTCGTCAGCTAGATCCACCCGAGAGGAAGAGATATGTGTGGTTAACATACCCACATCTCCGGCTACACCAACAGCGGTACGGTGAGTGCAATCTGAAGTCGCTAGCGAATCCGTCATCGGACTCCTCTTCATCTGCCTTGGCTCTGCAATCCTGAGCGGCATAGGCGCAATCATCGACTTCGGCCGCCCAGCCGGGAGACCAGCAGCGGCGTCGGCCATACCGATATCATCTTCAGTCGCTCGCCCTTTCCCTTTGCCCTCGTACCCAACCATAGGCAATGTCTGCTCGAACGCCATACTATGGGGTCTACCATTCGTCCTCATCGAATCTTGCTGCTGCTGCTGCTGCTGCTGTTGCTGCATACCCATTGGATTCCGTCTCGAAGCCGTCAACTGCGCATAAGAGTCAATGCCACCCGCCACGGCATGCGGCGCCACATCAGTACCGTGCTTGAAACCCTCCAGATAAGCCTGCTTGATCGCTTGCTCGGTGACGAAGCCGAGAGACTGCCTATGTATCGACTTCCTCGCCCGACTCGCGGACGCAATCGGGGAGTCCCGGCCAGCGAATTTCGGCTCCGGAGTCGTCGGCGCGGTGGAGTACTGCGATAGCGATGAAGACGATGCAGAGCGCACGGACATCGCATCTCTATAATCGAGCGACAGTCCTGCCATGGCGGCTGCAGCGACAGCGTCTTTAGAGCTGCCTACCTGGCCTTCCTCCGCCACACCGGGTAATATCCCCTCCCTCGCCGCCCTCAAATACTCCCCCGGCGCCCACCCACCCCCCGCATATCCCGACAGATGCGTAGGGCTGAACCCACCATCCCACGCCACTCCATTGGTATTATGACGGAGCAGGGTTTCGCGCCGAACCGACTTCTCCTCTTCCAAGCGATCGGCGAGGAGGCGTTTGGAGGCCGCGATATTGGTGTGGATTTTGCTGAGGTCGCCACGGTTGGAGATGGGGATGCTTAGTCTTGCGTCGCGGCCCGCATGGCGTGGTACGAAGAGCTTGCGTTCCTTGATCCCATTATCAATGCTGGGTTGACCAGCGGGAGCTTTTGCTACTGCGGCGGATGGTTTTGATCCGGCCGCTGCTTGTTTGATGGTGGATTTGATGGCGGCTGTATTGTTTGTGCGACTGAAGGGATTCCACCATGCGCCGTTGTAACGCGAGTCGGCTGGGGAGTCCTTTGGTACGCTCGCTTTGGACTTGAATGGCTTGTCCCTTTCGATCTTGGTGGTGTTGGTGGGCGGAGGAGGAATGGGGTGTCGTAACGGTGAGCTCGCCACTGGAACTGTCGAGTGGGTTGACTGTGCTTTGCTGGGTCTCATCCTGACTGATCTTTGATCGATGGGGTGGACGCTCGCGACACAGTGATAGCGACAATACTGATCTACTTCCACAAAGTCGCGCCTTCGGAGTACTTATCGTGTACCTCCATGATCGTGGATGTCGCAGCCAACAAGTGCAAGACGACACGACTCCGCCGCAGTAGGGCAGCCTTGCGACACATCGTCTTTCGGTTCTTCTTAACATTCCGGAGAGGTGAGGGGTAGAAGTGGTGAAGATATGAAATACAGAAGTCGTTATTGGCTCGGAGCTGTAGAAACATCGAAAGCCTATCCGGACAGCGGAAGTGTATGCCAAGACTGCAGCAGAACCTCATCTGCCCCCAAAACCCGCGAAGCGTGAGATTGTGCCTGCGCGTAATGCGAGGCATTTCACCCTCGTCTCCTTAGCGTCCTCCCACTACTCGTCGCGGCTACAGGCACTTCTGCCACCGCCTTCCTCCCACCTTTCTTGCCACCCGTCGCACTCGCCACAGCACTCTTAGCCACTGCAACAGGTTTCTTGACCACCGCTCGACCCTTAGCAGCAGCTTTGTGGATGATGGTCGTACCGGCGGAAGTGTTACTCGCCTCGCTACTTCGACCTTCCACATCGCTACTCATGACCGTTGCAGGACGCTTAGTCTGTTGACGGCTTGGTGCGCGGGAAGATGCAGCCGAGGGCGGCACTCCTAGGTAGACTGGCTTGACTGGTGACATGTGTGATTTGAAAGGCGATGTCACTACAGCCTTGAAAGGTGATTTCGGCAGTGTTCGAGAGTTATGTGATCGTGGCGAGAGGACGTTGGCTGGGACTGCTTTCCGAGAGACGGTGCGCGTAGCTTTCGTGTTGGCGGTATTCGTCTTCGCACGCTTCTTTGGATTCGGTAATTCGTGGTCCAGCTCACTCGTAGGCGCGTTCTCCTTGTCATCTCCTTCATTTCGAGCAATCTGGTCACTACATCCTGCGTTAGCCAATACTCATTCCCCCCGGAACCTCATCACCATCTCTCATTTGCTTACCTCATCCTCTTCATCCCCCGTCCAGACACAGGCGCCACAGGCATCCCCCTCACCTCCCTCGGAGTATCCTTAGCAGGCACAGGCGGAGCCGGAGCCGGCCGTGCCTTCTCCGCATGCTCGTCCAGCAAATCCTGCATATTCCGCTTCCTCAGGGCCGTCGGGATCCGGTTCACGCGCATCTCCAGTCGAGCTCGTAAGCCTTGGGCTTGAAGCGCATATTGGGCGCGCAGTTTTCGAGCGCGTTCCGTGACTACACGATGGTCCATTAGCTCTCATGGTATAGCTTTGAGGGAGATGATATCGACATACTCTCGAGCTGAAGGTTGTCGATGAGGGCTTGCTTCTGCGCTGCTGTTATACTGGCTGTTCGCCTCCCTGGGCTTTGCTCTGGTGTATGCGCTTCTTCATGCTGTTCATGCTCGGTTTGTGATATCGTTGCCACCGGTGCTTCGACGGATTGACGCATCTTCTTCACACGAGGAGGCATCGCTAATCTCTGTTTCGATATATTGTCGTCGACAAGTGTTCTTGAATGACTCCGTGCAAAGCCCTCATTCGCGTGATGCGCGAATACCCCAAACAAACAGACGTCACGAATGGCCGCTCCCGTTGAGCCGCATCGCGAGAACTGAGATTTAACTACAATATTACTGGATCCTCAGCCAAAGTATTACTTGAAAGTGTGCACGGACAGAGAACAATACACCATTGAAAAAAAGAAGATCCTCACTGATATGATACGTTTGGGAGGACCATGCTTGCTTGCAAAGCGGAATGCCTTAGGTCCATAAGGGAAAGATTGAGTAGGATCTCAATGACTATCTCCAAACTCTACGGATGCATCTTACTACTCCCCCGTCTCGTCTTCATAGGATGCTCACTCACCGTGCCTAACATGGCAGCCGAGTTCACACTATCCTTCCTATTCTCATCCTCATCCCAACCTCCACCACCCTGTCCATGCCCACCAGCGGCAAGAACATCCAAAAAAGGACTATAAGGCGCCGCCACACTATACTCCCTCCCCACTCCTCCATTTGCTGGATGCTTCCCATCATAAGCAAAATCAAACCCGGGCCATTTCCGCTGCTGCTCGTGCATTTGATCGAGTGCGGAGCCCACGATATGGTATTTCTCCCAGTTCATGGCGGGCATGCGGATGATATTTTGGGGGCCGGGGATGGTGGTGAAGTCGGGGGGTTTGGGAGGTCGTGCTGTTGGGTTTGCCTTCATTTTCTCCGAGGACGATGGACGCGAGGGCTGCGAGTCCAGGATCTCGCTCGGTAGCTGCGTTTCTTGCGAGGCGATTTCTTTCTTCACATCATGCATTTCATCCGCATCAAGCGTCTCCTCCTCGTCCTCCTCATCATCCTCTTCATCATTATCATCATCACTCCCCTCGCCATCAAGAACACCTCTCCACCCCGCAAACTCCTCCCTCTGCTCCCTCAGCCTTCCAGCCCTCACCTCCTCCCTAAATCTCCCCGGCTCATCCACAGCCGCCTTCTTCAACCCCTCCAAACACCTCAAATCATCCTTTGCCTTCTTCCTTTGAAACTGCAACGCCGAGATCGCCGCTCGAAGCGCAATAGCATCCGTACTATCCTCGCTACTGAAAGGCTGAGGTGCGGCTGGAGGGATGAAAGTAGCTGGTGCTATCGCTGAGGATTGCGTGTGAATATTCTGCTGTTCTGCCTGCTGCTGTGATTCGGGCTGTAATTCATGCTGCTCGTCCGCCGGCGGCACAATAACCGTAGACGCCCCGTTCGGCTGCGGGACTGGCAGTATCGGCTGCACTTTGGGCGTTATGGGACTGTAGGCCGGTGCTATGGGTGAAGGCGCAAAGGCGTTGACTGGGATAGAGACGGGTGGGGGAGCGGAGAAGGTGAAGCTACTTTGCCGTGGCGGTGATGGCTGGATGTTAGGTTGGCCGTACTGTTGATGTTGCTGTTGCTGTGGGAAACTTGTCGGTCCTGGAGACGCTGATGGTGATGTGGGTGTGGAACTGGATGGTGGTGTGCCCATCTGGTCTCGTCTGGTCTAGTCTGGACCGTGCACGTACGATGATCTGCACGCCTCAAGAACAGATTGTCGGAAAGCCTCTTCTCTTTCAGCAATAAAGAAATCGGTTCGTTGTTAATCGTGGCCGTCCCGTCGTCTCTTCGTTTGCTCGTTGGTGTTTGTTGTGCGCATAAATTGGACAAACTTTTCTTGCACAAGAGACTTGCACTCGCAGTCACAGCAATAAGTGGGGTGGGGTTTGCAGTTGCGACCCTGCTTAACTCCGTTCGCCGCTATGACGCTATCATTAACGGGCGGTATATTCACAATCACATAAAACAACCATCCAAAATTGGCTTATCCATCCGGACCCATCCGGAGTAGGAGTAGGGTATATACACCACACCGTCGCGTAGACGATCGCATCATCACATACATCGAACCCCCCATCATCCCCTCAGCTCAGGTCATAATTCTCTCCTACCCTCATCACTGCGCAAGAAACCTCAAAATCTCCAGCGCCCTGCTCCCATCACTCAAATCCCTTCTTCCCCACACCGGGATCCACCGCCCCTGATACCAATACCCTCGACTCTGACTCCACACCCGCTGCTGCTGCTGCGACCGAACAGCATCCTCCTAAGATGCCGTAGGCGGCGCAGCAGGCGTGGGGGAAGGCACGGCCATAAGCCCAGAACCCCCATTATTCAACGGAGCAGGTGTACCGAACGCGCCTTCTGATCGTTGACGTGGGAGCATGGACATGCCTCTTTGACCCTGTTGATGTTGATGGTGTTGTTGTTCCAGGGAGGAAGGATCCGGTCGGAAGCCAAACGTACCAGAGATGAATTTGCTGGCTCCTGAGCCTGGTGTTTCTCGCCAGTCCCGTTCTCTTGCCTTCTCGGGAGGCTCGGTCTCCGGTGCATCGATCGTGCTCGCGCCGGACAGGGCGGAGACGTTGGAGATGTTCCGCCTCTCGCCTGCTGCTTCATCCCGCTGCTGATGATGATGGACCTGCTGATCTCGTTCCCGCCCCGGACCACCAATAGCACCCTTTTGCACGCGTTGCTTATGTACATGTAGCGGCGAGGCTCTCGGCGACCCTGTACCGATCTGATGGTGATGGTGAAATTGCTGTATCCTCTCTCCCGTTGGCGGCCCGGCCTGCACACTCGAAGGCGGCTCGATGCCATCACTATTAGTAGCCGGGATCGTGCCCGCTGAACTGGAATGCTCTGCTCCAACAGGTAAGCCCTGTTTGCGCGGCATAGGAGTGGCGTACGGACTGCCCGTCCCCTGTCGCTGTGGAAGCTGTCCGCTCAGATTCCGAATCAAATTCCGAGCTGAGCTATGTTGGCCTGGTTGGTCCACCCAATCCGGAGTATGTGTCAAGCCGCCAGGAGTGCTGTGATTGTGTATGGGTCTCTGTGGCTGCGCCCACGCGTTCTGCTCGATGAACTGTTCGTGTGCCAATCGCTCGTTTTGTGTGGGTACTGTCGGTAGTCGCTGATAGAAAGGTTGGGTCTGCGCAGGGGCTGTGTTCGTCTGGGTGACGCGTTTGGAGATCTGTGCGATGTTAGTATGCTGCACCCACACTTGTTACGGAGTGATTGATCTCACCTTCATAGCCTTGAGATCGTCGTCCAGACTAGCGCCTTCGGCTCCCTTGATCTCAGGCGCCGCAGGGAAGCCAACATACTTCGCTACACCACTAAGCACAGAAATCTCCTGATTGTACTGCGCCTGTCGCTGGATCTGCTCGCTCTTCTTCGCCGGGAATTTATAGATATGATCCTCATCCTTGGCTTGATGCTGATCTCGCCGCTCTTTCTGAATGTTGTACCAATCCTCCCCAAGGCTGTACAAGTGATCTTCTCGCATGTCTCGCATGCATTGGAAGTACTGGCTATGTAGCTGTGCTCGCTCTCCAATTGTTCGCTGTCGGATTGAGGTTAGGCGATAGTGGTAGAATGCCTGCGCTTCTCGCATCTGCTTTTCGCGTCGCGCATCCACACATGCTACTTGTGCGAGGTATTCTGGATGCTGGCAGTCTGGCTGTTCTAGCATGCGTAGCTCGGCATTTGTCGATGCGATTCGCTCATTATACAACGCCTCACGGAAACCAGTGAAGTGCTTCGCAAGAGCTTGCAGGTTGGTCGAGGCATCAGCTCTGGCTTGCTTGTCCTCTTCCTTCTTCGCAATCGCCTCTTCACTCAGTTCAGCTTCCGGCTCAGCTACATCCTCCTGTTGTTCTGCCTCTGATTCTGTCACCGGCTCTTTCGGCTTCCGTCCTCTTGGCTTGCCCTTTTTGCCTTTGGTGACTGGTACGCTCACATGCTTCAATGGCGTGTTTCGTTCGGCCTTTTCGAGCTGCGGTGTGTCTCCAGCTTTCGGCTGCTCAACTTCTGCCTCGTGCTCTTCCTCAACTTCAGCTTGCGTTTCGTGTGATCGTTTGCGAGGCGACTCTTCGAGGTCTCGTTCGGGGCTGGTCAAAGGGCTTTCGTCGCTTGCGGATCGTTTGCGCTTCTTATCTGCATGTACGGAAGTGATCAGTAAGACTCCATAGCTGTTGCACTGGTACTTCTGAACGCACCCATGATTCCGACCGTGCTAGTGCTCGAAGCTGCACCCGTTCCTAAAGGCAGAGGTGAAGGCGGATCAGAGAGCTCGTCCTCCATGGTCACAGCCTGGCTCAGCTTGCTCGGTGTCCTGCCAACATCTTCAATATGCTTTTGCGCCTTTTGCGGTGTTACGTCCAGTCGCTCGGTCTCTGCCTCCGAGTCGTCCTCCAGCAACAGTTGGCCCGCGACTTGCTCTTGCGCCGATGTCTCTAGTATTGCTGTGCGCGACTGCTCAACCTCGTCGTGATCGTCTTCAGGTTCACTGAGGCTACTGGAGCGATCATCTGCAAAGTTGCCATTTTCAGCGCCATTGGCGGCTGCTTCTGTTTCCAGCTCGGCCTCTTCGAGCAGAGTTGTGCCACTCATCAGAATGTCCCTCGTGAGTTCTGGTGATCGATTCGGCTTCGAGGCCGTACTGAGGGGTGATACGGAGGGTCGTGGGGTGGGTGCGCGACTGGACGATCGGTGTGAGGCCCGGGCTGGAGCGTGGTGACTTTCGAGGTCAGCGTGGAATTCTGTATCCTCTGTCGTCAGTATAGAACTCATGATGAAGCACTCGTGACCACTTCTCTGGTAGTGACGGTGCTTGTGGTAGGGTTGACTGACTGCTCGAGTGTATGTCACTGCTGGCACGCGCAGTCGCCGGCGTGGCCATTACCAAGCAAGCAATGTGATTATGCTGCTTGGAACGGAGGAATGTATGCCGCTCTTCGTGTTCTGCTACTGTATCGCCTGCCACCTCCCTCGCACACTCACTGGCGCTTCTCGCAAGGTAGCCAGCTCGTCGCGCGTGCGGTAACAAAGGGTGGATGGAGTGTGGATGATGGGCAGGCGAGGATCCTCGTAATACAACGTGGTGTTGGCAATGGCTGCAGTCATAGATAGCTGTGGTGAGGCGTTGGTGCTGTCAGGACGGTGGTGTAAATCGTCCGGCGTGGGTAGATCGTCTGGCAGAGGGGAGCAAAGCAGAGGGCCGTATGCCGCATGCACCTCAGAAGATCGGCTTCCACTGTCCACTCTGACGCTGATTCGGTCTCGGCGTGGTATAAATCCGACCCGAATGCAGCTAGCTCAGGGTCGAAAGGTCAAATCTTCGGCTTTTGCTTGGGTCGCGAACTTTTTGTTCGTGGAATATGAGATATTCTTTTAAAATTGGCTGTCATACACAATGGCTGAGAAAGTGACGAAGACGAAGGGCAGTAGCAAAGTGGAGAAGAGGAGCAAGAAGGAGAAGAGCAGCAAGAAGGACAAGAAGGTCCACGAGAAGGCTGCTACACAAGCATTCTCTTTACTCGCCCAAGACAATGCCATCGATGCAAAATTGTCAAGTCTATTCGCAGTCACAGTATGCTATATCAGTCAAACCTATCTGTGTGGCGTATGCTAACTTGATCACTAGACACCAATCGCTCCGCCAAGAACCATCCCAAGTCCAAAAGCAGTTGCGACAGCAGAGGTTGAAGAGGACGATGACCCGGATGTCGAATTCGACGAGCAGGAAGCTATCGATGTAGACGACGATGATGTATTACCTACGGTAATATCTGATGAGCAGTCAGACCGCAAGCGGAAACGCAAGCGCAAGGATGCCGATGAAGACATGGAAGCAGCATATATGACCAAATTGGCTCGTGAAGAGGAACGGGAGGCTGCGAAGCGACGGAAGCAGGATGGTCTAGACGTTACAGCAGACGAACCTTCTGAAGGAAGTGCCGAAGCAGAAGATCTCGACAATGGTCCTGAACTTGGCGCTGAGCTAGTGCACAAGGACGAAGCAAGCGATAACGACGATGTCATGGCGTCGCCACCGCCGAAGCACGAGACTTTACAAGCAGCCGACGACGAACTTTCGAAAGCCAATCGTACAGTCTTCCTAGGCAACGTCTCGACTTCAGCAATCTCATCCAAGTCGGCGCGGAGAACACTAATCAAACATCTAGAGTCCTTTTTCAACGATCTCAAGCAAGAACCAGGAGTCAAGCCGAAACTCGAGTCCCTGCGTTTCAGGTCAACGCCTTACGCCCCTTCCATTCCAAAGAAGGCAGCCTACGCCCGCAAAGAAGTGATGGACACAACAACAAAGTCCAGCAATGCATACGCAGTATACTCTACCAATCAGCTCGCTCGTGAAGCTGCGAAGCGACTCAATGGGACAGTCGTACTTGATCGCCATCTGAGGGTAGATGAGATTGCTCATCCAGCCAAAGTGGACAATCGCCGCTGCGTCTTTGTAGGTAATCTTGGCTTCGTGGACGATGAGTCAAACATTCAGCAAGCGAACGAGGATGAAGGACGTGAAGTCCGCAAACGTGGCAAGGAGCCTGCCGATGTGGAGGAAGGACTGTGGCGCACTTTCTCAAAATGTGGGACAGTGGAAAGCGTCCGTGTGATCAGAGACAGCACTACGCGTGTGGGGAAGGGTATTGCGTACGTGCAATTCGAGGACGAGAATGCTGTCGAAGCAGCGCTGCTGTATAATGAGAAGAAGTTTCCGCCTATGTTGCCTCGAAAGCTCAGAGTGAGTCGAGCCAAGGCTGTAAAGAGGAACGTCAAGCCCAATTCCGGACGACCTACTACGCGAGAGCAGAAGTCTACGGGCTACCGGCGGAAAGTCTCCGGAGCAGAATCTTCGCAAGCCGGACGTGTAGGCAAACTCTACGGTAAAGCTGCTGCGGCCACAGCAGCGAATACCACCACAGTCGGTGTCAGGACACCTCGATCGGAGCGGCCTGAGGGTGCAGTAGTGGTGAGTGGAGACATCAGGCGGCCGGAGGATTTCGTTTTCGAGGGCCATCGGGCTTCGAGCAAGAGTGGGAAGTCGGGGTTGAAGCTTGGTGGGAAGAAAGGTGGTGGGGCCGCGAAGGGTAAGGGGAAGGCTGGGAAGCCGACGAATAGAAGCGCGAAGAGAGGGGCTGCTTTCAAGGCTGGGGGGAAGAAGAAGGCGAGGACGTAGTTCGGATTTCGAGGGTATGCTCAAGGTCGTCGCTTCAAGCAACTTTTGGATACGTGAAGGATGCTTCTGCAGACTCGCTTGCTTGCTTGGCCATTGTATTTCATGTGTGCGTGAAATGTCCAGCGAGACATTCGTGATCCCGCGGGCCTTCATCATAGAACGCGAGCGTGTTGAATGCTCCACAAGCAAACACACGGCAGCGATTCTTATTTTATAGATACGGGGTCCAATGTAATTCCGCGACATTGTTGGTGGTCCAAGCGCCTGAAAGCTGGCCCTTGATTGATATATCATATCCCTGGATTCATCGATCGAATATACTTTTGATACCCACACAAATTGCATAGCGTCCGCGTACCGAAAGGCGGGCTGGTGACCGTCCACTCCTTGATCGATCTTCCAACGCACTTTTGTCGACTCACTACACAAACCATACTCACAAGAACACAATGTCGGCTCCGCAAGGCGTCCGACAACGCCAGCCGAACAATGCAGGAGGGGGAGGAGGATCCATGAAGAAACGACCCGACACCAATGGCAACGTGACCGACGCAGTGATGAACGGCAACGTCAACGAAGCAGTGGATCAAATGAAGCAGGTGGGGAAAGAAGCAGTGCAGAAGGACTGGGACTACAAGCTCGCCGTCACCCTCATCACCATCCTCGCCTTCATCACCCGGTTCTGGGGCATCAGCCACCCGAATCAGGTCGTCTTCGACGAAGTGCACTTTGGGAAGTTCGCCTCATACTACCTTCAACGGACATACTTCTTCGACGTGCATCCTCCTTTCGGCAAGCTCCTGTTCGCTTTTGCTGGGTGGCTGGTCGGGTATGATGGTGCTTTCCTGTTTGAGAATATCGGGGACTCGTATATCACGAACAAAGTGCCCTACGTTGCCTATCGATCCATGCCGGCGCTTATGGGGTCTTTGACTGTTACCACCGTGTTCTGGATTATGTGGGAGAGTGGATACAGTCTTCCGGCTTGCATCGTGGCCGCTTCGATCGTGCTGTTTGATAACGCGCACATTGGGCAGACACGGCTGATTCTGCTGGATGCGACGTTGGTGCTGTTCATGGCGCTGAGTGTCTTGAGTTATATTCGGTTTTACAAGCTTAGGCATGAGCCTTTTTGTCGGAAGTGGTGGAAGTGGTTGCTTTTGACTGGAATCTCCATGTCGTGTGTCATCAGCACGAAGTACGTGGGAGCTTTCACCTTCTTCTCGATTGGTGTGCCGGTTATTATCGATCTGTGGGATCTTCTGGACATCAATCGCAAGCAAGGGCCGCTCAGCCTACCGGACTTTGGCAAGCATCTTGGCGCTCGAATTATTGGACTAATAGTTGTGCCATTCATGATGTACCTTTTCTGGTTCCAGGTACACTTCGCCATCCTATCGAGATCTGGGCCAGGAGATGACTTCATGACGCCCGAGTTCCAGGAGACGCTCAGCGACAACCTGATGACACAGCAAGCTGTTGGAATCGACTACTTCGACAACATCGCCATGCGACACAAAGAGACGAAAGTCTACCTCCATTCGCATGTAGATCTGTACCCTCTCCGCTACGACGATGGACGAATCTCCTCTCAAGGACAACAGATCACCGGCTACCCACACAACGACACCAACAACCTCTGGCAAATCATTCCAGCCGCTCCTATGGAAGGTCTAGGCCACCCAGTCAAGAACGGCGACATTGTCCGCTTCCGCCACCTGGTAACAGACGCATGGCTCCTCACCCACGACGTCGCCTCACCTTCCATGCCAACAAACCAAGAATTCACCGCGGTCAAAGTCGACGATGCCGATGGCACAAGATACAACGACACCCTCTTCGAGATCCGCATCGAGAACGGCAAACCCGGCCAGAACTTCAAGACCATGTCTTCCCACTTCAAGCTCGTCCATCAGCCTACGAAAGTGGCACTATGGACCCATCATACCATCGCCCCATTACCGGACTGGGGCTATAAACAAGCCGAGATCAACGGGAATAAGAATTTGTTGCAATCCTCCAATATCTGGTATGTGGAGGAAGTGCCCGGTCTTGCCCCAGACAGTCCGAGACTGGTGAAAGAAGAGAAGAAGACCAAGACGATGCCGTTCTTGAAGAAGTACTTTGAGCTGCAAAGGGCCATGTTTTTCCACAATAATGCTTTGACGAGCAGTCATCCTTATGCTTCGTTTCCCATCCAGTGGCCGTTCTTGTTGAGGGGTGTTAGTTTCTGGACGGAGAACGATACGAGGCAGCAGATTTACTTCTTGGGAAACCCCGTCGGATGGTGGTTCGCTTCCTCCATCTTGGCCGTATTCGCCGGGATCTTGCTGGCGGACCAGGTCTCTGTCCGCCGTGGCGTGGATGCGCTTGATACACGTAAGTCCCTGCACCCCTTTACACTTACCGAGATATCAGACTAACAAAGATCGAAATAGGCACGCGCCTTCGCCTCTACAACAGTACAGGCTTCTTCTTCCTCCTCTGGGCCGCCCACTACCTCCCCTTCTTCATCATGGGCCGCCAACTCTTCCTGCACCACTACCTCCCTGCCCACCTCGCCAGCGCACTAGTCTCAGGCGCCGTCATCGAATTTGTCTTCAACATCGAAGCCCCCGAACTCGCCTCCCTGACCGAAGCCCAACTCGGCGAGGCCAAGAAGGGGTCGATGAAGACTCAGGCCCAGCAGCCGCAAGGCGGGGATTTGGTCCGGAAACCTATCCGTGAGAGGATCGCGGGGCAGAGTTTACTTGCTACGTGGGCTGCGTCGGGCGTGGTGGTGGCGGTGTTGATGTGGGGTTTCTGGTTCTTTGCGCCGTTGACTTATGGGAAGCCGGGGTTGAGTGTCGAGCAGGTTAATGCGAGGAAGTGGCTGAATTATGATTTGCATTTTGCTAAGTAGGCAGGTGCTGCGGGAATGTTGAGGGAGCGAGGCGTTGAGGGCATTGAGGAATTGAGGAAGGGCAGGGATTAGGACAGGCACGGCATTTGATGAGGCAGAGAGAATCGCGAGAGACCGAAGGTGTGAGATTAAGCATGTGGTCGTATTTCCTTTGCATATCAAACAAAATCGTCATGGATCATCGTGACCTGTGGATGAGTTGACGCTGCCTCAGCGTTCGCCCGCGACGCTGCGTATAGCCCTCTGTTCATGACTAGTTCAAAGCGCAAACCTCGATTGTGCCGTAGCAAACGGCTTCACGTCTGCTCTGGGACCATCACACGTTGCCGCCATGGCTGGGATACTGCGCGGGTCGTCCGGCGACTACAGTCGCTAGGGCAATGAGCACCCACACGATGAACCACGTCGCCGTGCAACCGGGTTGCGGTAGAGGTTCCCAGAAGCTTCCGACGAGGAGCCCGATGTGGATGGGTACTAGGGCGTAGATGAAATAGGTGAAGTAGTTTTTCGTCTGTTCGTTTCAGTGAGTATGAGATTGGCACGCTCGTCTTTTTTATTAACAGCCCGTCATGGTTGGCCATAGTACAATCTACTACTCCACCAGGATGCTGTCTATCTGGGGAAAAAGAAGAAATGGAGCGATACTTACGATATTAGCACCAAATACTCGTCTCGTCCCCTCCGCTTGATCGAAGATGGCAAGACACCAAGCTACGGACAGCAGACCAAGAACGAAGAAAATGATTCCCACGACCGCGCTGCCGACACTCTTGAATTCGGGCCAGATGAGCCAGAGAGCGGATGTTAGGCCGGATTGTGCGGTGCGCAGGCCTAGGATCAACCACATGCAGATTCGACGGGCGAGTGTGACACCGCGACAGCGTAGGGAGTAGCTGGAGATGAAGCTGGAGAAGCAGCCTCGAAGGCGGGATCGGGGTTGTGAGTTACTGATTGGTTGGTGGCGAGGCGGGAGTTCAGTTGGGAAGGAGGGTTGATGGGTGTCATTGCTGTAGGCTGGGGGTTTGCTGTGGTCTTGGTTCGGCAAGTTGTAGGTGTTGGGGTTGTTGAAGCTGTTGTTGCTGTAGGCCATCGTGCCTAGAAACTCCGAGTGTCTGCTGGCCTTGGCGATGATGGTTTCGCTTCGATTGCAGTAGAGACCTGGGCGCTAGCTTTTCCTTTCGAAGGTCCGTAGAACGTGTGATGAACGAGGAGAGGGAAGTGCGTTGTCAGAAGGTAGAGTACGTGTAGGTTACAGCCTTGGTGCAGCCTCGTCGTCTGCCTTGGCACAGAGCCACCTGCATGTCATACCAAGAGCAGGCGCTTTGCTTGGCCGTGCCACTGCCTCTCATATTATAGGTTGCGCCACTGATGCAAGTGCTAGGCTGGGAGCGGAAAAAGTGGGGTCGCGGACGCGTCACGTGAGGAAAACGGCGTTCTGTGGTGCTGCGATCTGTCACACATTTGCACATAATCATATACACATTGACATTAATGCATGCAATAAACTGATGGATATCATCATGTGTATGCTGATGTACAAATTCGACACGAGATAATTTGATCACCGCTTTCCGCTCGATTCCCTCAGACCGAGTATGGCGAGGGCTCAGGTACTGTGGTGGCCACCCCAGCAGCAGCAGCAATCGCAATAGCTGTGAGGAACCAGAAAGCGTGTTCCGACGTCTTTGGGAAATCTTCAAAGAACCATCCTGCCATCAAGGCCGCGTAGATCACGGTGCAGGCGAAGACGAAGTAAGTGAGTCCTCGCCGGCTCTGCTCACATTAGTTCCATATATCGACGAACAACATCATCCACAAGTAGGTGAACTCACTACAGCCACACCTTTGATTCTCTTCTCGCCCTTCACACCGTCGATGACAGACAGACTCCAGAACGTCAGGATCGAGAACAGCGCCAAAAATATGAGCTTGACAATCCAGGCGCCGAAATTGTCATCGAACACGAATCCATTCAGTGTCGCGAGAGCCAGTTGGGTGAGCCAGAGGAGGTACATGCAGATCCTGCGAAACAGGTTCAGGCCTGTGACCTTCAGACTCCAGGCCGAAAATGTGTAGCCAAAACACGATCGTGCACTTCCACAGTAGCGAGACTTGAAGTTGCGATTTTGGTACTGTTGACTACCCGTTCGTGGTGGGAGATCGGTCGGGAAGGCTGGTGGAGGCACGCCTGTCGGGTCGTTATAGTTGTTCATGATGTCGTTGTCGGCGTTTGTGGTGTTTGTAGTCAAGATCTTCGTTTCCTACCGAACGGTCAAGCCTCTGGATATATAATGTTCGTCCTGCAATGATGGATTGATCTTGGTCGAGCTTGATATCCAGTACGCAACCCAGAGTTCGAATGGCCGATGGATTAGTGCTCGGGATCGCTGTGAAGCTTTAGCTCGACGATCAATCAGGAAGTGGCTTGTCGACGCGCGTTCGAGCTTTCTTCTGCAAGCGCGTTACTGAAGACAGCTCCATACATCCTTTGACATCAATAAAGTAATTGAGTTCACCTAGTGTCACAAATCAGGGTGTGGAGGGGCATGACGGCAACGACTCTTTGGCGTTCGTGCCTTGCCAATCTCTCGTGATCTATCCTGCTGCCTGGGTGTACAGGAGGCTGATCAGAAAGAAGCTGCTTCGTGCTACCATGCTTAAGCTTCGTACAATAATGTCCGTCAATGTGAAATGTAATTTCTTACTTCAGGCGCCAAGCAACTCGTATCGATCCGTCTTGCCGTCTGCATCGAAGCTCTTCAACTTTTGAGCCTCAATTGAGCCAGCGACTCAGCCCCAAGGCTGTTGCTTGGTAACAGGTCTTATGGTACACTTCTACATGCCTTACTATACTACATTCGTGAGCCTTTACTTGCCGTTGATTCTAATGTCAGGTACCAGTATCCTGCTTGCCATATCATGGGCAAAATGACGCCTGATCATAGACGTTGGCCTGGACTCTTTCCCTCGGGCATACAAATTCACTCTTCAGTTTACTGCCACTTGATCATCTTGGACACCAACATTCTCCTTCTCTTTTCCCTTGCTCTTCGACCGAGCCCTGCGCTTCAACTGCGAGCCCAATGCATCGATTTCGCTATCCGTTTCGATTTTGAATCGCGGCTGCTTCGACTCGACATTGACAGGTCTATGTTGCTTGCCTTGACCGACAGCAAAATCGCACAAGAAGCTAAGACCCTGCTCGCCGTTCTTGCCAGGCGGATAGACCGTGATTTCGTCTCCCGTATACAGACGCCCAAATTTTGTGGTTCCAGGTTCGCCTTTTGTCAGCTTGACACCATTGACGCGGATACCCCACTTGCTGTCTGCCTGTATTGCGCAGTAGAGATTGTCCAGTGTAGTCCAGTCCGTGTTTGCGGGCATTTCATCCTTGTCTTCGCGATGGAATGTTATCATGAACGCCCTCCTCGGCACACGGTTGTCGTCCGATGGCTCATACACATGTGTGTTGGCTGGCAAGCGGCCCCACTCAGTGACTCGTTCGTCAAGCATCAAGGTGATGCGTGAGAATGAGTTCGGGGTTGGAATTAGTCGTCCGAGGCGGCCGGATCGTGGCGGTGGCGGCATCATGCTGTGCTCGGGATGTGTTCCAGCATCAGCCTCCGCGTCCGTATCACCATCAGGCTCATCTGCGTCGTGCTCTGTGGCAGAGCCGCTGTTGGTCTGCGGAAGAGAATTGTGGGACAAGTCCGTACGAAAGACGTAGCTTTTATTGGCACTGTAGTCGAAGCCGCTGATCCTACTGGCATAATCGGCGTTGTGAGTGCTCTCATCGTGGGCGTCCCAGAATAATGAGGCTGGTATGGGAAGCTCGATCTGGCGATTGAATACTGGTAGCTGTGGTTGCTTGGGCGTCTCGTCCTCGACATGATTAGTGCTTGTACGTGTGACGGAACCATTTGGCATGCTCGGTGTCTTTGGCGTCGCAGGCTCGTTCGGGTCTCCCACCGGTGAGTCAGCACTCTGAGGTGAGTGCATATGCACATCCCGCATGAGTGACTCCGCCCCAAGCAGACTTGGGGAAGCAATCGCGCCTGCGGGGTGCACGCCGGACTCTTCCAGCGGTAGATCAACGCGGTCGTCTGCGGCTACGGGCTGAGCAACGAACATGGCAGGATCGGCCAATAGAGACTGACTGATCTCGCCGAACAGCTTTGGGGGTGCCGAGCTTTGTGGTGGCCCGGCGGCGGGTATATCCTGCTGTAACACGATAGGTATATGTTGGTGCATTAGTTCCGGACTCGAATCGACCAAGTCAACAGTATACTCTCTGTAGGCGAAAGCCTCTGACTTGAAACGTTTCGACTGTCGCGGATCAAAGAACTGCATAGAGCCGGAGTGAATACTCGCTTCATCCGCGTAATGGCTGTCTTGACTATCAGGTCCGTCGTCTCCTTGCTGACCCAAGCTCAGCTGTGAAAGATCAGGGTCCGCGGGCAGCTCTGCTTCTTCCTCCTCGTATATCGCAAACATGCCCAATGGTGGAGCCATACCAGGTTGTAGCTGCTGAACTTGAGAAGTCTTCTCGCCATCATCAAACCACTTATGACTCAGACATGTCCGTGGAGAGGGGCGACCCGCAGGATCGGTGTTTAGCATGGCCACGAGTAAATCAATGGCGTCCGCTGAGATCTCTTGCCTCGTCAAATCGCCGTGATCAAGCGGAGTCATCATGATCTTGTCGAACATGCCGCGACCAGTAGCATCGGCAACGCCTTCGAACGGCGGCAATCGAGAAAGAGCAAACCACAGGACAGCCCCGAACGACCAGATGTCGACAGACTGACTATAGCTGTGATACTTGGTGGGAGGCTGACTTGGACCCTTGCGTGTCCTCTTCTGGCCCCGGCCTGCTACATGCGCGTCATAGTGTGGGAACACTTCTGGCGCGCAGTATAGCAGCGTGCCGCAGAAAGTCTTGAGAAAGGTATCGTTGTCTGTAATGACCTTCGACAAGCCAAAGTCCGATAGCTTTACGATAAAGTGATTGGGATCCATGTCCGCGATCAGTATATTGTCTGGCTTGATGTCGCGGTGCGTGATCTTCTTCGCATGTAGATATGCTAATGAATTGAGCACTTGCGCCGACATGGTCTTGCCAAGTGGCTCGGATAGAGCTCCATGCTCCCCAAGGTACTGCTGCAAGTCGCCACATGGCACAAATTCCATGATGATGTACAGATGATTCGCGTGGTCCTGGTAGTCGACGTATTGTACGATGTTGGGGTGGCTGATGGCTTTCATGATCTGCATCTCGTTGTCGAGCTTTCGGTCGAGCACGCCGTTCTTCATGAACTTGCGCTTTTCGAGCTCTTTAGCGGCGTACAGCTGGCCTTCACGCTTCGTAGCAAGCTGATAGACCGTAGCAAATGCACCTTTGCCGATACAGCCAACAACGTTATACTTCTCGCCACCACTCCAGTGCATGCCATACGTGTGGTTGTGTGACATAATGGTTGCCTTGTATGAACCAGCAGCAGATTGCGGTGCCAGGTCTGCAGCTGCTATTTTATTAGCAGGCATGTTACCCTGGCGGTCAGCGAAGGCCCGCGCATGTGCTCTACGTTGCAGATAACGACCAAACTTTGCTTCGAATTGTGCTTCGTGTCCTTCCCGCGCTGGAATGCGCACAATGAATTTCACGATTTCTTCTGACTTTGGAGACAGGATCTGGATGATGGAGCCGGGACTGAGCATTCGCGTTTGTGGTTGCTGTACGATCTTGCCTTTCAGGACGACATCGTCTACCATGGTGCCGTTGGTCGACATGTCCTGCAGCATCAAGACACCAGAGTCATTCATGAACATGCTGAAGTGCATGTTACTGACGCGCTTGTAAGTGTCCTGCGCTAAAGCGATGTCGCATGTCTTCTGGTTGCGCCCGAATACGAAGCCTAGAGTTGGACTGATTACTTCCGTGGAGAAGCGTAATGCGAGGTCCATAGCCTGGTTCGATCCTTCTGTGTTGAGAATAAATGTCTCTTGCTCTTCGAGCATGCTCTGCGTAAGCTCGTCATCATATTCAGCAAAGCCATCGTTTTGGAGCACATTGTGTGGCGAACGCTCGGCAGTCCTCGCTACAATCTGGAAAGCCGCTGGCGAGCATGGATGCAGAATGCAGATGACATCAGATATGTCGGCGTCACTCAGCCCAGAATTATTACGCCCAAGACGTCTTGGGTCCATAGCCCCTTGCGTGCATTGCGTGGGATACATCTCCTGGCTGAAAGCATTGCCTGGTGGACCCATCTGCGAGTCCATGGTATTTGGTTCTGCGAGAATAGCCTGCGATTGTTCTGGAGTGGGTTTGACTCAGAGCGGGTTTGCGCATGCAACCCGCTCTGGCCAGGCAACAAGGCAACGCTAGCGTCGATCTGCCAATATAGCTTCACGAGGCGGAAGGAGTGTACGTAGCACTCGAAGCGTGCAATACCGATGAGTCCAGAGCCTGCAGCAGCTGGAGTCTTGTTTGGTTTGGCGGGTGGTATGTGCTGTCGGGCCAAGAACCGCCCTCCTCCGTGGCGGCTTGTTCTTGATGTCTGCTGACCTTGGTGGTCAAATCAACCAATCAGTCCGAGTACCAGCTACTCGCCGGCCCACTCAAAGCTGTAAGCTGCCTCCCAGATAACGCCGTCTTCCTATGCCTCTGTCTCGGGAACGGAGAATCTATCACCCATATATCTCAAGGGAAAATGGTCCAGCCAAGCTTCCACGATGATCTTTTCGTGTTACACGGCGGCAGTGCGAACTCTAGGTCACTCTGCAAGATGCTCTGTCCAGCCTTTGAGCGTCGTCAATCGTCAAGTCGTGAAAATCAAAAGCCGTAATATGCGCGTTCGCTGTGGTTGCTAGGAGGATTACCGATGTGCTATCGCTGGTGGCATCTGTAGTAGGAACGGTCCTGCGGGTCGCATCAATTGGTATGGTGGTAACTCGGGGTCTGAGTCGGGTGGGTAGGAGGGCGAGAGGCGAGGATGAGGAGGGAAGGTGTTTCGTGAAAGTGAAGCTCGAATAGAGAGAGCAGCAAAGTTGTAGTTCCGTCTTCTAAGTTCTATGCCTCGAATTAAAGTTTAAAGTTTGGAGGGTCCGAGATCCATAAAATTACGCGAAACCAACGCCATTATCACGCGACCTACTACACGTGTGGTGAAAGATAATAATGAACAAGGCGACCCATCTACATATCGCGCTCTCGACGAAAGCAGAGGTGATGTAGTTCTGGATGATGCGGCCTACTCTGCCAGCCTGCATGCCAAGTGTATCGCTCGTCGACTGTGCTGGATGGACTATTCGTCACCTCGATAGTCTTCGGTAAGCATAGCTGATATGCTTTGAGGACAAATACGCAGTCCATGCTCCAGCCAGCACTTCCCTTGGCCAAATGTGGCAACTCCTCAAGTACTGCTGTTCTACGACCTCTTACATACGCAAGTATGCAGTTTGTCTCCAACGCTTGTGGGGATGCTTGAACCCGCTCGAGTGAAAGATCGTATTATAACCATCTGGTCGTGGCCCTCCTCCCCGCACGACTCTCAGCCGAGGGACCTTCCCACATTCATCAATCTACTAGCACGTCTAACACTTTTCACAGCCGCGAACTTGACACTCTCTCCACAGACTCCTCGCATCTTGGCTGTGATACATACTCTTTGACCATGCAGCGCACACTGGGACGACAGGAACGGGGACGCGATGGCCCAACCAATGGAGCTGAACATCGGTCCGAGACGCATATCGAGCTTGATGCTCTGATCGTAGGGGCTGGCTTTGCAGGAGTATACTTACTGCATCGACTGCGTCAAGAAGGCTTCATGGTACAAATAGCGGAAGCAGGCACTGGATTAGGTGGGATATGGCATTGGTAGGATCTCTTAGTCAAGTCTACTCAGTTGACACTGATCGCCCTTTTCATGTTGCAGGAATAGCTATCCAGGCGCCAGAGTCGACAGTCAGTATCCCGTATATGCTCTTGGCATACCAGAAGTGTATAATAGCTGGGCGTGGAGCCAGATGTATCCTGGAGAGAAGGAGCTCAAACGGTATTTCCAACATGTCGACAAAGTGCTCAACATCAGCAAAGACGTTCTGTACGAGCACAAAGTGATCGCAGCTGGATTTGATCCTTCTATCGACAAGTGGCGAATACAAATGGAGAATGGCGTTCGAATATCTACCCGTTGGTTCATCCCATGTCTTGGTTTTGCAGCCAAACGCTACTTTCCTGACTGGCCAGGCGTTGATAAGTATAAAGGCTACGTTTGTCACTCGTCGTTCTGGCCTTCTGAAGGCGTAGATATGCGAGGGAAGCGGGTAGCTGTGATTGGCACTGGTGCCACAGGAATACAGATCGCTCAAGAAGCGGCTAAGGAAGCCGACCACTTGACCTGCTTTATACGTACTCCAAATACATGCGTACCTATGAATCAAGGACCAGTCGACCCGGAACAGGCGAAGAAGGATCTCGAAGCTTTGCATGGTCAGCTTAGTGCAACTAGGTACGATAATCATGCCGGATTTCTATATGCTGCTCCGACCAAGGGTGTACTTGATGACCCGCCTGATATCCGTGAGGCTGTACTTGAGGAGGCGTGGCGAGTAGGAGGGTTCCGGATTCTGTTCAGCTATAACAATATTCTTACTAATCAGGAGGCAAATGACGAGCTGTACAAGTTCTGGGTCAAGAAGCGAAGAGCACAGATCACTAATCCGCAAAAGAGAGATATACTGGCGCCGGAGACTCCCCCACATCCCTTCGGCGGTCGGAGGTTGAGCTTGGAGCAGGACTATTATGAACAGATGGACAAAGACCATGTTACGCTGGTCAATGTGAAGCAGAACGACATCGCCCGATTTGTCGAGAATGGCATCGTCACCGAGGACGGAGTACTGCATGAGTTGGACATCATTGCACTAGCCACCGGCTTCGACAGCGTGACAGGTGGTCTGAAGGACCTTGGCGTCACAGGCTTGAATGGAGAATTACTAACCGAGAAGTGGCGGATGGGTACATATACATACCTGGGAATGACAGTAGCAAACTTCCCGAACTTCCTAGTACTACACACTGGTCGTGAAATCATATGACTATAGTGCTGACGATGCATAGTTCGCGTACGGCCCGCAGAGTCCTACCGCATATGCAAATGGTCCGACAATTGTGGAGAAGCAAGACGAATGGATCGTCGCTGTACTGAAGAAGATGCGAGATCTGGGTAAGACTCGACTCAATGCCAACGAGGATGCGGAGCAGGCGTGGAGGGAGACGATCAGGAGCTTGCACAGCTTGAGTCTAAGAGACAAGGTTGAAGGCTGGTACATGGGTGAGTTCAGCCTTATCCAGGCGCATTGGCCATGTTCTTCACTCCTGACACCCTTTGTGCAGGCACGAACATTCCTGGGAAGCCGAGAGAAGGTGGGTCTGTCGTCATATCTCCTTGCGAGCATAAGCACTATCTCCTGTCACTCCTCCCTGCGAGCGTGAGAGTCATGAGCTAGCATACGGCCACTCACATGTACGAGTTTGTGCGAGAAGTTGGAGATATCATGGTGAGCTCTCCTCGTGCTGACGACTGGCAGCACTAAATTATGCTGGAGGCGTGCCGTTGTATGTCAAGACCATATTTGGGGCACTGGACGATGATCTCAGGGGCTTCACTGTAACTTAAGTGGCATCCCCAGCTGTTGATACGATATCTGGCATACAATCTAGGGCCGTATGGGACAGCATCGCTACTCGTGAGGAGGTTGCGGAGTCCTTCCCTCTCCTCGTGCTCAATGTCGCTGAACCTCCCCCTGCGCCTCCTGGCATCTTGTTGAGATGGTCGACTGCAATCACAACGTTGTTTCACACAGACACTGCACTCGTTCTCATCGCTGTCTCGAAGCTTTGATGTGACCTGATCACAGCGCTCGCGATGCTCGGAACGATCTACACTGGTGTGCGAGATGGAATACTTTACAACCCATCCGGCAACTACTCCGCATCCTGAATGATCTTTCGCATAATCGCGACATCGAACATCGCCGCATCCAACGTTTTCTCTTTCTGCTTGAGAGTCTTGGCAACGAGCCCACGAACCATGTCGTTGTCCTGCTCCTTCGGTGATACTAGCGCCTGCCAGAATCCAGTCATCTGCTCAGTCTTCTTGGCCATGCCCTTCTGCAACTTCTCGAAGGCTTCTTTTTCAGCTTGACATTGCTGCTGCCACTGCTCATTGTATTTAGGCTGGTCTCGGAGTAGGGGAAGAGATAGCTCAGCTCTCACATTCTCTGCTTTAGGTGCAGTGCTTGTTGGGGGAGCATCATTGTCGTTTGCCAGTCCATCTGATGCTTGGAGCTGCGTAACACGTTTCTGTGCATCGGCAATCATCCAATCACATTGGGAGATCCGGTTCCAGACCTTCTGATGCGTGTTCCCGAGCACCTCAATATATCGACGAGCGGCGAGGCGTTCATCGCCTTCGCCCATCGGCTGCATTGGAATACTGTACATATCTGCTTCCCTTTTGGCCAACCACTGCCACAGTAGCTCAGCCTCCCGAGCGAGCTTCTGTCGCTTTGCACGCAATCTAGTCACGTGGGTATGGAGTTGCTCCACGGTACCACGCCACGTGTAATTCGTATTCGGATAGGGTATCAGTCCCTCCCCATAGCGTGATATCTCTGTAAGATGCGGTTCATGCGACTCGTTCACCCAGGAGAAACGGTCATTGCCGATCTTGCCACGATCACTTGGATCTTCTGCAGTCTGCGTAGCGACCTTGATGATCCTGAGCGCTGGGATGAAGGGCATATCCGGCGCCGTCACTCCTTTCGACTTCAAGTCCGTTTCCTGTATTGCGGTGAGATTTTTCGTAATGGTCATGGACCAGCCCGCCTGCTGTTTGGCCTGCTCTTGGGCCTTTTGCAAGTTGAATCCAGACCACATCCCAAAAGCGACTGAACGAGTGAAAGAGGCCGCAAAGGCGCCAAGGGCAGCGGCTGTTACGTATCGTTTCCAAATGGATGATGCTCGTGCTCATGGGAATGAAGCTGCGAGCCCAACACCCAATGCAGCACCGACCAGAAAGGTATCGTCGTTGTCAAACCGATCTAGACGATCAAGGTATTTCTGCTCTGGGACGTGGATAGTTTGAAGTTCCAAGAAAGTGACACAGGCCTGGTCAACACGGTGGCGATGATAATAGCAGTAGCAACCCCAGGACAGAGTCCCGTAAGCACCGAGTTCGAGTCTCAGTTTCCGAGCAGGCGCGAAGCGGAAGATGGCCCCGAGTGCGAGTGGAAGTACGCCGAGATTTGAGCCCAGAGCGAGGTTGCAACGTAGAAGGCCGGATCCCGGCAGCCCGGTTGTTTCAGGACTTGGTGGTGGAAAGGCAAGGTGAAGACTTTCGACGGACGGAGGTAGAACCCGCATCTTGCGTGTCGCAGCAGTAGGACAGGGACGGTGGTGAGGACATGGGATAGAGGGAAAGGCGAGGCAAAGGGCATATCGCAAAGTCTAAAGTGTGCCTGCCGTTGTTACACAAACGCTAAAGTAGTTTGCATATGCCCCTTGGTGTCGTGCCACCCGAGCGGACCGCATGATTGGATGAGCTAGGAATATGCCCTTACTGCGCATACGGAAAGGACCTGAATGTCTGTTATCGGATGCCGATCAAAATGTAAACATGCGGCTGCTCTTCAAACATGATGTCTGTTGTACACCAACGACGAAGCCATCGGCAGGCGATGCGCCATTTGGATACATCTGCGAAGGAACTACGCATGTAGTGCCATGATGCGATCTCAACATCATCAGCATAGCTGCTCTATCACGTCGATCACTCTCCCATGATTCCTCTCACTTCAAACCCACGAATCCGATCCCCCTCCTAGCCCTATCACAAGCAGCTCGAAGCTTCTGCTCCTCAACATCCGTCCACTTGACACTCAATTGATCCCACTTCTTAGTCTTATACTCCTCCTTGAATTTCGTTTGAAGTGCCTGCATCTCCCTCAACTCTCTGGGGTCGCCGGAGCCGGAGTAGACTATGAACGCTGTTCTATCCGGCAGAGCATCGTACACTGCTTTAATATTCGTGACGGTCTGCGTTACCATATCCGGCAATAAGGTTTCGGCGGAAGCAGCGGTGGTAGTCGAGCGCAGAGCATCGGAATCGACGAGCTTGCTTTTATCCCACCAGCCGCGATGAGCTTCCAGCTCCCTCAAACGGGCCCAGACGAAGTCACAGCCGCCATTCGGAACCTGCAGGTCTTCGCTACTACCTTCCAGACAACGCTGCACGCTTTTCACGATGGCTTCATCGCTTTCCTCGCCAATCGCGACTTTGGCTTGACCACCATAGCCTCGCGCCGGTTCGCCCCAGTCCACCACAGCGCTCACACGTGCTTCATTCTCGCCGTTTCGATCTACCTTGTCCGCATTTGGCCTGTAAGAACGAGCCAAGCGCTTGAAAATAGGCTCACCCGAAGCTTCAGGTGTGCCCCACGACTTGCCTTTCTCGCATTTCTGTTTCACAAGATCGAGACATGCTTTGGCGTCCTCGATACTGTCGTGCCCTGTTGAGCCGTGGCCCTTTTGGATAGCGCGACTCAGGTACTTCTGCGCAAGCCATTTCAGACTCGACTTCAGAGGTGGGCCTCGCGGATGTGGAAACAGCAATGCTGTGTCAATGATGAATGGATGTGCGAGCTGCAGAGCACTGAGATCGCTGTTCAAGCTGTGTCCGACCAGGATGGTCTGTGGCGTGAGGATGCCCAGCAGCCTCTTCTGGATATCCTCGAGCGTGGTGGTGACGCATTCGAGCATCTTTTCTGTGATACCAGAATATGGTGTGAGGTAATCCGTGATAGGATTGGTAGGCTTGACAAGCTCGTCGAGCAGCACATTGCCGTCCCAATCCACAATGGAGATCCTGGTCAAGCTGAAGACTTGTGGTGCAACTCCTTGTGGCGAGGTTATACACATCTCACAGTCCATAGTAAGCACATTTCGTCCAGCCGTCACCGAGCCTTTCTCGATATCCTTGTCGGGCACGTTCCCCGAGAACAGAAATGGTACATCAGGAGTTTCGATCCAGCCGTCCGCAGTAGTAGTCTTATTGAGCTCGCGAAGCGCAATCTCCTTCGTAGCGGAAGAAGTCTGATTGTAATGAGCAGGATGCAGCACATACCCATCATCCGAGAGCTCAGTAGTGGTAGCAAGAAGTTCTGTGACCGGAGTGCGCTGGTTCTTCCAGCCACGACCTTCGGGTGGGGGCTGTGGCCCTTTCGCCCTCTTATCCTCTCGCGACTTCACGATGGGTGAGACGAGCATAGCCTGAAGCGGAGAGTGCATACGAGCATACTTATCCTCACCTGGTGTCTTGATGGGCCAGATGTACTCGAACAAGTCGCTCAGTGGCTGAAGAGGCTGTGGCAGCTGAGAATATCTCAGAGGTGCTGGATAATAGTCGTCAGGCGAGACGTTCAGCTTGCGTGATACACCTGGAGCAGTTTCTCTGGCATCAGCGGCTCGGTTGGTGGCGGTATGGTCTGCAGCCTGGACTGCAGTTGAAGAGCTCTCCTCTGTTGAAGAAGAAAGAGGTATACTCCCATCAAACATGCCCGCCTCTAACCCCGGTACCATGAGCACAACTACCTTGCGAATAGATCCATGATGTTTGACGGAAACCCACTGCGGCGCATTGCCATCGGCCAGCGCATATAGCACAAGATTTTGCAAGTCGCTGAGCTTGACGAAAGACTGTAGACGAGCATGAGGCGAATGGGTGATGGATGGGTAATTGTTCGCCTCTTTCTTGGTAGTTTTGCGTCGCTTGACCTGCTGCCACTCGCTGCTGTTGTCATCGTCTTCTACCGCAGTCATGTCTGCGGCCTTGCTGGTAGCAGCTGTCGCATCCTGTATGGGTTCCTCGGTGTCTCCGCTGCCTGCGCCTACACACGCGCGGGGTTCATCATCATCACGCGATCGCTTGTTCGTCATGTTCGCCGAGGATGGAAGCATGATATTCACGTTGTGGGACTTGCAAAAGTAGAAAACATTGGACCCGAGCTTGCTAGCGCGAAGAGTTGTGCACGGGCCATATCACAGCATTCACATCGCAGGATCACAATGGAGCAGTCACGAGGGAAAGCGCGGCGATGTCGATAGATCATGGGTATTAGCCACTGGCAAAAGCCATGATATAGCGATGGCTTAAGAGTAGCAATTGCCATATCTTGTAGGCCTCACATGCCAAGAAGCACATGATGCATCATCATGTGTCCACATCATGAACTCGTCCACCTTCCTTCATACCGTGCAGCACCATTCTTGATCTTACTCGTCACCATCTACCCATCCTCCATTGCTCACGAGTCGACAGATCGATCCCACCACCAAGCCAGAAACAGCGACCGCCATCATCTTGTCTCATGCCACAAGCAACACAGCTCTCATAAAGTGAGCGGAGCAGGCACAGCCCCAAACGAGCTATCACCATTTGCACCAGCATTCTCCGCCTTCATGGTACCGTTAAGCAGCGGACACAGCCTTCAGCAATAAGAACGTCAGCATGATGTTCGACCACAAGACAACAAAAGAAAGAAGTTGTATTGCTACGAGAGAAGAGGAAGAAACAAGATCTAGTAAAGGCCGGTTGAGCAGCCAGCACCAAGACCCCCCAACAACATCAATCAAAGGACAAGCCTCGACGAAGTATCAGTCGCGAACACGCCTTTCGCATCAGCGCCGACAGCAGCAGCAGTAGCTCGAGGTACGGCGGAAACGGCACTTCTCCTGAAGCCGCCGCCGTTCGCCCTTGAAGCACCCGCCGCCACCACAGGCAACATCGTCTGCAAATCAGTCGTCTCCCTCGTATCGCAAATCAAACAAGAAAAGGAACCGGTGCCTACTGACTTTCGATTGGTCTTAATGTGACCCACTTGTCCGCAATTGGCGCACTTGCGCGCGGTACCATCTTTGTTCCTGCCACGACCCTTCTGTGGTGTTGCGGTCGCTGAACTGCCGCCTGCTGGGCCATTGAGGGTGGGGGTATCCACTTCGGAGGGGCCGGGGGAACCTGCGGTGGAGGCTGGTGGTGAGCCTGCTGCGCCGTTGCCGTTGCCGTTTGCGATGCCGTTGGTCGGTCCAGCAGCTGGACCTTTGCCCTTGGCACGTTCGCGGGCTTGGCGGCGCTCGACATTCTTTTCGATGCGGCTTTTCTCTTCGATCATGGCGTTGGCTACCAGTGTGTCCATGACTTTGTCGCCTGTAGGGATGTAGTTGTATATACTGTGAAGGTGTCAGCACTCGCGCAGAATACGGTAGAACGTAAGATACAGACTCGACAGAGGCAAGCTTCTTCTCGTTCGTGCGCCTGATATACTCCTTAATAACCTTGGGGTTGGTGATCTTCTCCGTCACGTCTGACTCTTGACCATACGCGTCGCGACCACCGGTGCGTCGAATGATAAGCACTTTACCGTTGACACGATCGGTGCTAGCCCGACTGAACTGGGTGCCAGTCTCGTCATCACCACGCCTGGCAGGGGTGCCCACAAAAGACGAGCGAGGAGTGGCGGCTCTTCCGAAGGCATCAGCTTCGAAGTCATCCTCATCATCCATGTCGTCATCGGAGTGCTCTGCCTTGCTCGAGAGCGCGATCTTTTGCTTGTCCCAGATACGACGGATGTCGTCTTCGTACGCGCCCTGTTGCTTGGCAACATTGTAGGTATGGCCACCATTCTCGCGCCTCTTCTTTGCATCAAGCTTGTCCTCAACACTTTCGCCAATGCGTTGGTATCCACCTTTCATAGAGATCTTGACAAAGCTGATGGCCTCTCCACGACCCGTTGGATCACCCTCGCCATGGAGCTTAAGCATGGCTTTGCCCTGAGTGGCTTGAAGGAAAGTCTTGGTCGCGCGCCAGGGCGCCAGATGTTTCTCGATATTGGCGTTCTCATCGATCTCCTTCTCCTCTTCATCCTTGCTGCCCAGACCCAGGTCGTTGAGCCGCTGGACACCAACTTGCATGGAATCGAGCAGGCAGACATCTTCAGGCCTGACCCAGCTACGTAGAGTATCCGCATCTGGAACGACTTGGCCTTGCAGAGGTACCCACACACCACCCTCGCCGGGAGCATTACGCTCATACTTCATGAATTCACGCATCTTGCTACGAGTCTGCGGCATATCATGACCCTTGAGATGTCTCATCAGCGTTGCATTATCCAAAGTCTTGTCGCGACGAGCCGGGTTTTGCGCCTTCGTGTAAATACGGTAAGCCAGAGCACGCAGCCTCTTCTTCGCAGCATCGGTGACACGACGAGAATGTTCGCCAGGTACTTCAGAGCTCGGCAACTGTTGGCCAACAATATGCAAGTTCTCCATATTTCGCAGGTACATCTTACTACCATATGACTGCGTACTGCTCACGCCCACGAAGAAATCGGTTGGTCTGGTCGCGTGCTGATAGACCGGAGCTCGGAATAGACCGTTCTGCAGCGTTGGCACGATCTCGCCTTGATCGACGTGGCCGAAGTTAGCGAAAGGATTTTTGTCCTGCGTAAGGAGCACTTGCGTCTCGCCAACATCCCGCTTCGGGCGTTCTTGATCGTCGGCACCGCGTTTGCGATAGAAGTTGATCAGTCTATTGCCCATACCAAAGTTTGACAGCATGAACGGCGCTTCTTCGGTGTATTCGAGCAGCAACATATTCGAGTTGTCGTTAAGAGCCAAGCTTTCGGCAGTCGCAAAAAGCTCTTTGATCTCGCGCCCACGCCTCTCCTTCTTCTTGATGGTCTTCAGCTTGGTGATTCGGAACTCCTTCTGAGGCTTGGTCTCCCAATCTTTGATGTGCAGTGATGGTCTGTGGAAAGATCGCTTGGTCTTGGGATCCAGTGCGACTTTGTAGAAGGGGAATTGGAGCTTTGTGGCGGGCAGACTGTGCTCAACGGCCATATTGCCGAGCGTACTCCTCACCTTGTGCTGGTGATTCTCCTTGAGGAGGTCGTAGGCCTCGTCGTTGCTGATGTTGTATCGCTTCGCCAAGTCTCGGGACAAGGCAGCGTCACGGCGATTGTCTCCAGATATGCGCTTGGCCTTGCGGGCGATATGGGGCGCATGCTCATCAACAAGTAGAAGTGGATCGTTGAGGTCAAGAGTGACGTTCTTCGCAATCTTCGCGACAGCGCGCTCAGGTTCCTCGAAAGATGGCCATAGGCCAGCAGCAGACATGCCAATATCTGCATCTAACACGTCAAGCTTGCGCCTCTTCGTGGGCCGAGACTGCTCTTCAGTTGCCCATTCGCCGTCCATCGATAGGTCAGGCGCCTCGACGTCAGGCGAAGCACTCAGCGAGGGCATGTCCCAGTCCTCGCATATGACCCCGAGATCAGCCATAGTCACGCCGCCTACGACCTCTCCTTCGCCAAAGGTGCTCAAAGCAAGATCATCGTCGCTCTCGTCACCTCCTGTAGTGCCACGGCGGAGATGGATAAGCGTGCTTTCAAGTGCAGACTCTTGGTCTTGAGGTCCAATAGCATTGCTCCTAAAGTTACGCTCCTGATCTTGCATGATATCGAGGGTCAACTTTGTAGGCTGTAGAGCTTTCGGTGGCTTCGCTGGCACCTTCCCACGGTACTGCACCGGCCTTTGCGGGAAGAACTCGATGAAGCGAGGATTTTGAGAACTTTCGTAGGCCGGGAAGAAGTTATAAAATTCGCTCGGGCTGACATGAACATCGGTGTCCTCTACTCGTTCGCCAGCTTGCCTCCGCTTAGACTGGGCCATTAGCATTCGCTGTGCACGCTCCATGTCATCCAGGCCTGCAAATTCATCCTCATCCTCGCTTGGTAGTTCTGGAGAGGCTTCGGGAGAGTAGCCATCATTCTGTAAGGATGGAGGACTCATCGATGCTGATGCTCGGGACAATGCCTGTGGGTATGCACGCTGGGCTGGCTGAGAGGGTCGAGAGAAGCCAGGGAGAGCGAGAGCAGACTTGTCAGGCAGCGCAAGACCACCGGGCCGATGCTGTGGTTGTGGCCGGTCATGCTCGGGAGGCTGACGAGCTTGTTCCGGAGAAGAGGTGTGCTCGCCGAAGAGATCGTTACCCTCTTCGCCCCCAAACAAGTCATCGCTACCAGGCTCATGGTGGTCGTAGTGGCCGTTCGTCTGCCCAAAGCCGTTGGTGTTGGGCATGTGCAAGCCATTCACCCTCTCCTCGCCATCTTCGTGGTCGCCGCTCGCTTCCTCCTCCTCGGGTAGCTCATCGTCGTCAAAATCTTCATAGTCGATCGCATCAGCGTCCTTGTCACGTTGGTCGATCTCCCTCTCCGCGAAACCATTTGCCGCCGCATCAACCTCTCCATGCTCGTTGAAGTATTGCAGCGCCGCTCCATCCTCGTCCATCGCGCATTCCGAGAAATCGTTGAGCGCGTGAGGCATGTCGGTGATGATCTGTCGATGATCTTGAGTACCGCTTCTTAGGCTCCGACGTCACTGAATGCTTGCTACCACAATCCACCACAGTCTCCACCCCTCTCCACCTTGTCGGAAATGGCGCAAATGCTCATTGACTGCGCGTCTGTTGTGTGACAATTGATTTGATGATGTCGTTCTGCTATTGATGGTGGTAGTGTTGGTGCTGTTGCGCAAGTTTGTGGCCCAGCACTAAATGGCCTTCTGCCTGCGAAGTGAGTGTTGGAGTGTCGCAGCAAGTGCCACTGACCCGCGACTCGGCTGGTCCCGCAGCTGACTCATCCGATGTCACGTGCTGCTACAACTTTTGTTCCTGTCTCCATTCACTTCTGCCCTGCATTAATTGCCGCGAAGCACATTCCTCCTCTGGCAAGTACAGGAGCTTGAATGTACCTCTGTACACGACCACCATGGTCTACGCAGCTTTTCGCTCGTGGACGCGTGTCGGATCTTAAGATCAGTGTTGATAGCTTGTCTCGACCTCTGCAAGGCTGCGAGAGTTCACAAGACACAAGACGGCATTCCAGATCGATAGGCGTAAGCCGCCAATAAATGCAATACTGCTCGAACTACATAGTCATCTCTAATTGCAGACGAGATCTGCGAGAAGCGATAGTAATCTCTGCAAAGCATGGAATAGCGATATTATGTGTCCATGAGATCTGCCGATAGCGAGCTATCGCATCAAATCTGCAACTTTTCCGGCTTCATCGTGGGCTTGATGGTCCTTGGTCATCTCCGGCAATGCTAGAGCAAAACAGACTATCTCGCAACTGGCTCCACGCGTTCGCCAAGAGGCTGGAAGTGGCTTTCGTGGCGCAAGTGAGCAATCAGACGAACGCCGCGGGCAGATGAAGAGTGAGGAGTGTCTCGGTATCTTCGATTTGCTCTAAAAATGCAGTGGTGAATGAAACACGAATTTGCCCGCGCAAGCATACGACGACTTGAAGCTGCGCCGGACGGTACAGTATGCAAACCCGGCTAACAACCAAGGTCTCGATCCACTCTGCGAAAAACGACCGTGGACGGTGGATCCTTCCGAGTAGCTCTCCGTAGCGTTGTCAGCCAGGCCGTGCGAAGACAGCCGTTGCAACGCTACCCACAACTCTAATCCAAACCTTCACGCCATCGACCGCCGCGACATCAACTTCGCCTATAGATCATACCGAACCTGACTCCCAACGGCGATCGTACCTGACGCCGTTGCCAACTTTTTTCACACCCTTCAGCGCTCAGCGTTTGCCCGTGCCGAAGCCATACGAAGGCGCAAAGTAAAATTCCAACATCTTCACCACTTTCCGTCCGTCGTGATTGGTCGAGGCCCTGCTTTTGTATAGGCACAGGCAGTCACCCCACTATTCATTTAACATCCTATCTTGCTCCTCGCTGCTAGCACACATGCAGTCGGCCTGGTAAGCACAAAAAGAAGATTTCACGCACACGACCCAATCCTTGTCCGCGCGATTGTGCCCTTGGTTGTGCGCTTGCGCGGATCGTTGCATTTCGGGTCACTTTTGTGGTTGAGAGGCGTCGTCCATGCAAGATTGAAGGCACGGTATAGGTACGTTTCAGATCTTATAGCATAATCAAACTCTATGGGTTCTGAGCTATGTATCACATGCATGGCGCCCTCCACACGTCCTGGCATCTTTGTTTGAATCCTTCCGACAACATCGCTCTTTCATTGTGCTTTGGCGGGGTCTTGTGAATGCGATAGTACTGTACAGCAGACTCGGATCTGGATCTAAGAGGCTTGTGGAAGCTGACCAAAGTGCTGGAAGCTGATCGACAGCCGATCCACGACACTAACGACGCATACATACGTCCAGAGACTTGAGACTTCCAGACTGATGTATTGCTGGCTCGTATGGACTTGGGAAGGGTGCTTGATGACAGCGAGCGCGGGCCACCGTCACAGCCACCACAGCGGCCACAGGAATACTATGCGAGGGAACCGTTAGGTCGTCCAATCTACGAACCACAACCGGGCTGTGGACCGTCTACTTCTACAAGCCATGCCATCCCTACCGCGAGCGCGCTGCCTGCGTTGGGCGAAGAATGGGTTGGCGCCATTGCACGTCTACAGAGCCAGGTCTCGCTCAATACCAGCATGCTTGAGTCTCATCGTCGACAAGTAGCTGGTATCGAGCAAGCCGTCGTCCGACTCCAGCAAGAAATGGCTAACGTCATGGCTGCAATCCATGAGACGCGTGCGGAGCTGCAGACGAGACCAGTCACTACGAGCCAATGGCGGGAGGGTGGTGGTGATGTAGAAGTCTTGGCTTCGCAACTTGCGGTCGTTAACAGCAAGGTCCATGAGATGGACAGCGTCAAGATGCAATTGGAGACTATGAGCGACCGCCTACGAAGTCTAGAACAGCAAAGCCCAAGGCTCACGCGACGCACGGGTACGACTGTGCCACAAGATCCGTACGAGCCGGCGAGTGCACCGTCAGGTCTGCCCTCGCAAGTTCAGCCGACACTACCGCCTATGCGGATGATGCCTCCAGAGTCACCTGTCCGACATCACCATGGTATGCCCATGGCGCCTGTGTCATCTGCCCAGGAGGCTCAAACAAGCCTACAGCACATGCAGACTCTTGCGCGAGTCGCGGAGCCTGTATATTATGCTCAACCACAGGTACCCGGCTTCAGGCCTGCTCAGCCAGGTGCGCCGCCCACACCTGGATCAAGCTGGCATACAACAAGCTCCTACCAAGCAGCACCCCCCGTTCTGCAACCATCACCAGCCAACGTGCCATATCGACCGCAGGCCTACGAAGGCGCTGGACCAGGTGCGGGCTGGGCAGCAGTCAACCAGCCAAGGAAGCGGTCAATGGACGAGCAGCCGTTGTCAGCATATGGACAATCAACTTCTGCTCCAGGCTCGCCCAAACGGCCACGTTTGGCGCCAATTGTGCCGAGAGGTGCATATGGTGAAGATTACGTACAATCTCCTCTTGGTCTACCTTCCAGCACCAGTATGCACGCTCCGGAAGGACCTCTAGCACGCACTCGCGCACGCTCGGACGCTATTCGACAGTCGTCACACCCGATGCCTTCACCCGTCTCAATTGCGCCAGGAGTGTATCGCTTTGTGCCCTCAGCTACCGACCCTGAAGGCAGACCGATCTTCGAAGCGGAGCACGCGGCTCCCCGGCACGAGGAGTCGCCAGGAAGCAGTCGAGGTCGAGGTCGAGGTGGGCGAGGTCGCGGTGGACGAGGTAAGAGCAGCAAGAGTAGTTCAGGTCACTCTTTGGACGAGCAGCATGAGGTCGGCGCACCAGGCAGTCGCGAGATTGCTGAAGGGTATTACGATCCTGCTTATGCCGCTCGTGCTGGCACTGTGTACGAACACCACGACCCTCACGACTATCCAGCTACACCAATAGGCGGTCAAGCTCAAGACGACTATGCGACGCACTTGGACATGATCATGGGGAGCTCGGGCAAGAAAAGTCGCACGAAGCCGATACGTAATGCGGACGGCGTGCTGATCCGCAAAGATGGTAGGCCAGACATGAGATCTGTCAGCTCGGCCAACAATTTGCGAAAGGTCCATGCGAAGCGTGAAGCAGAGCGTGCTGAGGCGGACGGCAAGACGCCTACTTCGATGCGTTCGCTTGCAGCAGCGCACTCGAATTCGATGTCTTCCGAAGATCGAGAGGAAAGGTCTGGCTCACCGCACTCCGGTGCCGGGAGCTCACCCACGCCAGAAGACCATGAGCCTGACGAGATCAGGGAGCGGCATCGCGAGTTGGCTAGCAGGCCGTCCTCAAGAGATACTAATGCCCACGACAATCGAAGTCTGGCCTCCACCTACTTTCCTCGCCGAGAGGACATGACTCCGATTCTCGCAGGGGCTCCCAATGCAGAAGATGCAGAGCATCGTGGCAGGAGTCTGCCGCACCAAGCGAATCTTGAGCCGTCCGCCATAGCTGCATCCTCGGATGTGGTCATGCAGGATGTAGACGACGCACAGCCCGCCGAGCCGACCGTCGCGAAGATGGAACCCATTGCGGAGCAGCCAGAGAATGAGCAAGCTGCCGAGAGCGAAGGCAGTGCTCCGCCAGCCACAGAGCAGACGCAGGCCGTTGAATAGAGCTACGCTACTGAGCAGCCCACAGGTGGACATGCTTCAGATGCGATAGAAAAATGTACATACAGCTTCGTAGGACAACCTTGTTGCATCGAGATACCCAGATAGCGTTTTAGACGGAACAGACTGTATGATGAGATGTGGTCTTGACCATATCCTTGTGAGCATGTGATAATGTTGCATGACCATGGCTGTTGGCTTGATATTCCATAACGTTCTCGAGAGAATCTGCAGGAGACATACATTCCTCTTGTTGGCAGTGTCCACTGCTGCCTGTTCCACGATATCGTTATCAGATCTGTCAAATGGCTCCCTCTTGATGAGGCAGTGTTCAACTACTGAAGACAACGCCAAGGCGTGAACGGCATTGCGATCCATATTGTAGAACATCTTCCGTTTGGAAGTGCGGCAGCTACCAAATCGCCCCATAACATATCGTACCTCGCGTGCGACGGGAGTATCGTAGCATTGTGTTTACCAAAATCTCGAAAGTAAATGTATACCTCGCCACAGCAAACATCATATTACAGTCTTCACCCTTTGGCTAGACTGCCACGCTCGTTTCCATCATAGTGACGGGCGTACAGTTCGGGCCCATCAACAGTCAGCTCGGAGGGCACTCCTGGATGCGGAAGCCACTATCAAGACTAGACTCGCTCCGCAACGCCTTCGGAGCGCACACACGGCGGGTAGAGCAAGACGCTCTACCTCACTGCGGTCCCTGACCTTAATGTTGCGTAATCAATATCCGCGAGCGGTATAGCTCGAACAAGACAGAACTCGGACTTTGTCGTTCTGTTGCCGTTCACATAACTCGCAGATTCTTCCACAAGCCCACATTTCAGCACGATCATTGGGAATTGAGGCGTTGAGAAAAGGTCTTGCCCATGTCTTTCAACCCACGCTCGCACTCTGGGCTCTCCGTCGTGTCTTTGCAGCGACCAGCGTATCTCTCCAAGGCACATCTCCCAACGGTCCACCAGCCATCTGATCAGCCTCAATATCAAGTTGTACTTCCGTGAATTCGAAACACCAACCAGCCAAAGCATCTTCATTCCTTTGCCTCACCCAGTCCCTCACCGGGCCGATGGGCTTGCCTCTGAACTTCGTCTTGCCCATCAAGGAACCCCATAGCATACTGAAACAGTTTGCTTGGCCATAGCCGTCTTGCCAGAACATCATGATCGAGACTGCGCAGCGCTCTTGTTCTTTTGACCAGGTCTCTCTGAAGGTCATGGTTTCCGAGGATGTCGAGGCTATCTCTGACGGTGTTTCCTGAGCCTTTTCCATGTCGTCTAACAATAAGCATATCTTGAGGACCATGAGGCGCATGCCCCAGTAGACGAGTAGGGTCTCTTTGTCGTGGTATGTCACAATGCCAAAAGAGAAAGGCACGATTTGTTTGTCATATGGATCAAGAGTTGGCTTGACGGAGACACGATGCAACAGCGTGTTCTCTGATTCACCGTCCTGGAGCTCCTTGTCCATTCTACTGGCAAGTCTTACCACAGATTGTAAAAGCTCGGCATTTGGCCAACCTACATCAGTCTGCTGTCGCAAAGTCCTTGTCTTTGCGATCAGTCCAGGTAGGCGAATCAATCCTTGGTTCCCGATCTTCCTCAACTTCGCTGTCTCCGTCGAGAGCGGCTCCCGCGAGATCGGCTCTTGGCCAAGCCAGTAGGGATCATCGAAGATTGATGCAACGCCCTTGTCTAATGGTTGCTGAAAGGTGGCAAAGGTGTTTCCGTAAAAGGCCGCCCGCATGATTGGCGATGCTGGGCTGTTCCGAGAGCGTGCTCGCATGATAGCGCTCATACCGTCGGCGTGTGAGAAGAAGGCATCGGGTTCTTCCTTGCGAATGATCTCGTAGAGTCCTAGTAGGCCAACGGCAACGAAGCTCGGATCTGAAGCGTCAAGATTCGATCGCAAGGCTTCTATAGCAGCGACATATGCTGAATCTGATCTGGGCTGGGCGATGTGGTCAGGTAGACGTGCTAGGGAATGCGCACGAATAACAGCTCGAGCCGCAGTATCCATTGGAGGGCTGAACCCGAGCATCGCAGGAACGAAGGCATACCATGAACTCGTCAAGTGCATATCTGAGATGACGCGAGCTAGCTGTGCGCTCTGTAGACTAGCCGGGGCGCTCGCGATGCGGGTAATGACAGGTCGTAGGGCAACATGTTTCGGAGCATCGCCACGCATGCCTTTGCGGGACTGCCGTCTGCGCTCAAGCCTGTTGGGAGATGTGAGCGCAAGCTATATCAATGCACGGCGACTAGGACGTACTGTAGCTCCCTTGCCGGAGCGACTGCCAAGCTGCGAATTGCATCCGCCATAAGGCTGAATCTGTCAGCTTTCTGGGGCGTAGAGGTGAGTCGGGGTCCGCATTCGTTTATGGTCGTGTCGAGCACCGCATCCTTGAATGTGTTACGATACCAAATGTGCTCGCGCTCCTAGGCTATCGCAGCGTAGGGTGGAGTTGAAGCATGAGGATGAGTAGTAGCTGCTTCTACCACCAACGCTGTTAGGGTCTCTGATCAGCACTGCCGCCAGGTCTTGCATTCAGCCCCCAAGACTTCCAAGACGACGTCGATCCGCTCGCCTACGTCGGCCGAACCCGCATCGTGCGTGCTGAACGCATCAACTCCTGGAGAATCACGATCGGAGTCGGATGTTCTCCGGGAGGCCGCACTGCGATGCAAAGTCCATGTTCTGTTGTGTTATTGGGCGGTGGAACGTGAACGATCGGGATATCATTCGTTCGATCCAAAGTCGCTAAGATCTCCAGTTGGTGACGAGGTCCGGTGGCTGTCACGTCCTGCGATCGCTTCAGGGTGCGTTTGCTTCTTCGTCCTCAAACATCTCGAAAGTGAGGTGGATAAATTGTCTCCTGATACTATAGAACAAGGTTTGCCCACGTGGCGGTCGCGCAGCCGTTCATTACTAACAGTATGTTCGCATGTTCGCAACCATACCAAAACCTAGAAGCAGCAATGATCAACCAACAACAAAGTCTGGGCTCTGTAATAGGGCGCCGGTCCATAATATTATATATTGGGGACAGCTGACCCATGCCGTATTGCACGAAAACATGTCTGCAACGAAGCGGCAAGCGCACCAGGACGACACTAAGTCCGAGTAGCATCGCCAACCATGCCGCCACACGAGATCAAGGCTGTCCTGTTCGACTTCATGGGGACCTGTCTCGATTGGCACTCGTCTGTCGTCGCTGCTCTCCCTATGCAGTTAGATGAGCGGTCGCAGTTTGCGCTGAATTGGCGACAGCGATACTTCGACTCCAACGCGAAAAGAGTGAAACAGAGTCAACCACCAGAAGACTTCGACAACACACTCCGTGCAGTGCTGCTGACTGGAGACGAAGGCTCAGAGACGAAAGCACTGTTTACGCCGGATGTCATAGATCGACTCATCGTCGCCTGGCACAACCAGAAGGCTTGGACAGATGTGGCACCAGCGATCGAGAAGCTTAGAAAGAATGGCTACGAAGTCTTTGTGCACGCCAACGGTACTACACGCTTGCAACTGGACCTCTGCAGATCGTCTGGACTGCAGTTCCACAGTTTGTTCTCCTCAGAACTGTTAGGTTATATCAAGCCCGATCTTGAGGCGTACAGGAAAGGCTTGAGATTGATCCGTCGCTCTCCAGACGAGTGCGTCATGGTCGCCGCGCATGCTTATGACACCCGTGGAGCAAAAGCGGTCGGCATGAAGATTGTGTATGTCTATCGCTGGACTGACAATATTCATGAAGATCAGGCTGTAGTGAAGGCAGAGCACGATGCATATCTGAACGACATGAACACCTTGGTGGAAGTGATCGAAAGATTGGGACAGTAGCTTTCACGCTGTACGTAATTGTGGGAATTCAATCCGCTAGACGGTTCGAAATGCTTGGAAGTGTGGGCGATCTTGTGGGCGACGCATGAGAGCACTTATCAGGAGCTATCACTGACAGCTCGCGTGGACTTGAACCAGCAAAGATGTTTCGGGCGCCTGCTGTTACATGTATGAAACACGTGGAGCTGTGGTAATTGTCCGCGATGCTCGTGGCCAAGCCCGCTTGCTAATGGATGACACACCTTGGCCCGTCGGAAACGACGCATTTCATTTCCATCGTACATGGTGGCGAGTCTACCGAGAACGTTATACCATCACTGTCGACCAATAAACCGTCGCGTAAGTCGAAGATTGCAGGAGACTTTTATGCTTTAGCACACGGGTCTCGATGCAAACGCCACGAGCGTCTCTTACAACCAGTATAGTCTCTGCAAACGATCACTGCCGAGAACCACACTCGGTTCTAGCCTGCCTGATATCAATCTGACACTCTCCTTGAGATGTCCCACCATCGTCTTGGCCTGTTGGCACACCATGGATCCTACTGGGCGTGCAATACTGTCCCGTGGACCGAACTACATACATAGACGCGAGCAATTCCCGCCTTACCACGCATACTCCAGGCACTTCTTGACACTCGTTTGGTCCCAGTCACTACCGCGTTGATCGCCATCTATTCTTACGAGCAGGTTCTCGACGAATTATTCGGGGTTTTTTTTGTGTTTCATTACTCACGGCATTCACACTACCATGAAAACTGGCTTCGCATTATGTGCCATCGTGGCCATCGTTCGCACAGCATCTGTTGATCTGAACAAGAGAGCATCACCACTCGCGGTGACGTTGACGCACCTGAACGACACTGCCTTTAAAGTCGGTATCACTAACTCCGGTTTGAATGGATACAATCTTCTATATGCCGGCTCGCTGCTTGATGATGCTCCGACTGACGATCTGATTATCACTTCTGCTAGTAAGTCATCGGAGACGATTAGGCATGCCGATACTAATGCTCATATTAGCATCACCGGCGAAATTTCACGGTGTACATCTCCGGCCTCTTCAATCCCACCTTACCCAGGCTGCTTTCGTATCAATAGCTGCTGGTCAGACCATTAGCAAGCAGATAGATATTGCAGAGATCTATGAGACTCCTTCGGACAGCTATACGGTCACAGCCGCTGGGTCTTTCCCTTACGCTGAAGCTGACTCTACCGAACTCTCAGGCAAATCTCTCTCCTTCACAAGCAATACGGTCAAAATGGATATTGACGGCGACATTGCCGCCAAAGTGATCTACAAGGTCGACCGTATGCACAGCAAGCGCACAGATCTGGAGTCCGACTGCTCGAGCACTCAGCTTTCCACTGTTAAGGCCGCATTATCGAATTGCGAGAAGTTGGCCAGCGCTGCTGCCGATGCCGCAGCAAATGGCCATGGTACTATCTTCGCCGAGTACTTCAAGACTGAGTCGCTTCGCCCAGATGTGGCTACACGACTGCGCGACGTAGCTAAGGATTGTGCCGCTACTACTAGTGGAGCAACAACTACCTCGTGCAAGGATCAGTACAGTGCCTGCTCAGATAATGTGCTCGCATATACCATACCGCAGAAGAATGCGGTCTTCTTGTGTTCGAGCTTCTTCAGCTACTTGCCTGCCGTCGCTGACTCATGTCATGCTCGTAAGTGCACTATCTTGAGCCTATCGACCGGACATTCAAGGAGACATGCTAATCCGGTCAAAAGAGGACCAAGCAACTACAGTGATACACGAGAACACCCATGCACCGGCCGTTGACAACCCAGGCACGAGCGATAATGGCTACGGTTATTCAGCGGTAAGTAATCTCAGAACGCAAATGTTGATCTTCTGACAAAGCTAATATCATAACAGTAAGTCACCACCCTTGTCTTGCTTGTCCTCGACTCGAGTGCATTATCCGACTGCGACTTCTCCGTTCAATGCTGGGCCGCTGTGCCCGAAGCTCTCGCTTTCTCCCTTGTAGTGAAGCTCGCTAACATGTTCTTCTTCTAGTGCCACTGCCTTGTCAAGCAGTAAAGCACTTGCGAATGCTGACAGCTATGCATTGTATGCGAATGCCATCTATCTTGATTGCCATGGGTCCGGATCTAGACCTGGTACTCTCAGCCACGCACAACAGGGAGATGGCGCCGGAAGTTCCGCTGGAGCCTCGTCTGCAGGAGCCCCCAGTGGCGTGAGCAGCTCCGAGACCAGCAGTACTGCCAGTGAAGCACCTGCTACTTCCTCTGGAAGTTATGCAGGTGACTCTGGTATCAACTGGCACTGGAGAGGACGGAGTTGGGGATCTAGCAACCGCCGATCCGCTGGTGCGCAACACTGAAGGAGATGACGTCCGACCCGAAGGCCTCGCTGTGACTACAAACGCTTGGGGAGGCCTTCAAGCGGTGGGCGGTGCATCATCAGCCCTAGTGTGTTTTGTGAATACGGTCTTTGGCACCTCCCTGTGGACCACTAGTGCTTTGTTCATGTCAACAAACCCCTGGACGGTAGCGTACTCGATGAAAGACAAGTATCCCCTCCCAAGCACTTCCCTGGTCAGCACTCGGGGGTGTCTTTCAAATGCTCGAATCGTAGGATTAGCTTGCCGCCAATTGGTCCAGAGTTGTAAGAGTCTGATTGTTCGATGCCTTCATCATTGACGATAAGTGTGGTGTGAGTCGTGTAAATAGCAGCAACGACGAGCTTGATAGCTGAAGCACAAGTCAGTGTAGCCACTATGAGCACGGTTCAGATCCTACTCTGTATGGCAAAGTGTTGGCCAATACAGTTTCGAGCTCCACTGCCCTGTTCCATAGTCAGCAATGGACCAATTTTAGGTGCAAGCAACCTGGTTCCTAACAAAGGCCCAAAGCCACTTCTTCATGCGCGGCAAGTCTGGTCCGTCCAGCTTCTCCTCTGGCCTATGCGGCATCCACCTTTCAGGTCGCCACTCCAGTGGTTCCGGAAACACATCCGGGTTGCGGTGTAGACAGTAAGCATTTGTACTGACTATTGTCCCTGCCGGTATGTCGTAACCGTGAAGAGTCATGCCGCCAGTAGGAGCGACTCGAGGCATTCGGGCAGGATTCGCAGCATGCAAGCGGAGAGTCTCTTGAACGATAGCATCCAGGAGTGGCAGCTTCTCAAGGCTCGCTGGGCTAGGGAGATTGGTGATTTCATTCGTGATGCGAGGCTCTAGAGTGCGAAGCTCTAATCGAAGCCTGTCTTGAAGCTGCGGATGAAGTGATAGACGGTAACAGATGTACGTCCATATGATAGTGTTCGTCTCTTGTGTTGCAATGATATGGTCCAGCATCTCACTGGCAGATTCTGCGAAGATCTCACGATCTGCTACGTAGCCTGCACTACGCTGTGAAGCAAGCCCGTTGTACATTGTTTCCGCAGCTGACGGAGACACTCTCAGCTCTTCTTGCGTCCCTCTCGTTGATAAGAGCTCTCGGTAAATGTGCTCGAAGTAATTCTCCTTGAACTCCGTACCGCTAGCACAAGTTTCGATGTACTCGCCGCCTTTGGCTTCGTCCGCCAACAAGTCGGTGCTATAAGCCGCGCCAAAAATGTGTCCCGTGATCATGTCCACGCCAATACAAGCGAAAAGTCTCATTACATTGACAGTATTTGCGTTAAGGCTGTAGAAGTCCAGCCTAGGCAGGAGCCTAGAACAGACGATGTGGTCTGATAGGGACGCTAAATTCTTGCATCGTTGCAGGTATGATTTGTTGTAGAGTCCGGCAACGATTCGGCGGTTTTTGGCATGAGTAGAATGGTCCAGCGTGCTCACAAGGTTCTGTACGCCATACAGAAAGAAGGTCTTCTGGTACCACGAACTTTTGTCAAGACCGGCAGCGTATATCTTTCTGAGACCTTCTTCGGAGACTACGCTGACTTCTTGAGGGCCAAGTCGGATGATTGGACCAAGTCGAGCATGTGCCTCCAGAAGCGTCTTCAGGCCTCTTGATCCTGCTTGCCGTCGGTTATACCAGGAGTTCGACATACTACAGGACCAGTGAGGACGAGGAACCCTCGCTAACGGAGACAGGAATGCTGGGTAGATCACAAGTTGTCGTACAAGCCAGCAGAAGAGAGTGATGATTGCGACAGCATAGTAAGTAATGTTGTGCGCCAGCATGTCGATGGCCTACCGATGGTGGCGTGGTCAGTCGTGGCTTGATTGTCAGCCCGTTGGGAGAGCTGGCTACTGCAGTACAGGGGACATATAACACTATATTGTTAGCTCCCTGCGACGCGAACTTGAATGTAGCTGCACTCGTTGCTCACTCGAAACTGCACATTGTGTATGCTCTCACGACTCGATTGGCCGGAGCTCCTCGGGCGACGATAACGAGGCCTGCAGCCATATCCCGATGATCTTACTGGCGTGCTCATTAGTGAGGCAGTAGCTATTACACCCTGCAGCCGGTAGTGCATCAATTAATCAATCTAGTCTTAGGGGATCGTCTGATTATCGCTGGGCCGGCCGCATGCAAGCATTATGGCACCGCGCGGATGAGGTTCCGATGCGGGAGGAACATCTTGTTTGGAGTGCCTTTGGTCCCGATGCCGTATGAGGGCTTGCGAACATTCAACGTCACGATCGAGTAGACGACCGATGTCAGGCTTGTTGACATTGGACAGCTTGTGAGGATAACAACAAAGACTTGCAAGGAAGTGTATGAATCCTGCTCTACGTTGCCTCAGGCGACAACTTTGGCGAGACGGCAATCGACCTTTCAGCTGGACTTTTGGCAGGGCGCTCCAAGCTTAAACATCCTGCTACAAACTCATCATACCGTCACATACTCTACATGCACCTGCTGGCTCCTGACTGCAGATGTGCTGCCTCTGCCACAGGTTGTTTTCACCTTGCATTTGAGATCACCATCTCAAATTCATCTCTCCGGACGATGCCCGTCTGGCTATCACCATCTTCACTTGGCGCGTTTTCTGTCTTCCCGAACACGACAGAGGTACTCGGACCCTCCGATCTACGTCCTGAGTATGGAAATAGCATCTGCCCATCTTCAGCTCCCTGGCCTGCGCAACTTCGCTTAGCCAAGGAGGACAACGTGTACCCTTTCCTCGAGCCAGTCTGAGTCTCGTCTACTCCAAAGTTTGTTCCTAGGTCCAGTACTGCTCTTTTCAGGGCAGGAAGACCCGTGGAGATCATTGACACGAAGATGTGCGTCTGCGACAAAGCCACGAAGAGCCAAGGCGCCATGGTAGGGTCTTCCTTGATGTCTTGGAAGTGAAATGTTGCCAGTCGTGATCCAGAAAGTACCACAGCGCTTGGGAATTTTCTCATCAGTATACTATCAGGACGCAACGAGCTCACGAATAGCGTACTGACCTGAGCCTTAGGTAGAAAGGTGTGAGCCATAAAAGCTTGATTCGTCGCCGAGCTTTTGTCGACCAGATGATACGAGCTGCAAACGCCGCTACAGCACAGTCGGTCACACCGTCTGCGATGGCAATGCCGATCCAAATCGGCGTCTGATCCGACAGGTCAGCATCGCTACTCATGTACAGAACCACACACTCATACCATTCCGTCGCAGCCTGCCAGGACTGCGCTGGACAATGAGACATTGGTGCACTGTGAGCTGAGTGCCGCCGCTGAACTAATTGTCCATGCACCTGCTATTGCTATGACAACACCGAACACAATCTTCTGCGTGACTGGTGCCTGTTGTATCGGGCCTCGATTCACAACCGTTAAGCTGATGATAGAGCAGATTGCCGAACATTTCGCAAGGCCAAGCACTACGACGTAAAGGATGTTACTTGCGTGGTAGAGCTACTCATCTTCAGCATTTGGACGTTCGGGATGGTACAAGGTCAGACCTGTAGTGCTCTCGAGGCATTAGAGGTGTCGAGGACTCGACTGGCTTTACCAAGTCCCTGGGAGGCCGCGACCAGTACCAGGATCGATTGCATGAAGCCGACCAATTGTAACGTATCACTCAGCGATATTTGGAGCCGTCTGAACTGGTGTACATACCATGCTTGCCAAGTACAGGCCATCCGCCCAAGGGAAGAAGCTGCGGTGACCAAAGTTGGCTATCTGCTGTCCAAGACCAGGCACTATCCAGTAGATGAGACATAGGATCGTGGTGATCACGACTGGGCCAGAATGGTCTGTATCTGTCCATTGCGTGTATGGTGGACGGCCCATAGAAGTTTCGGGTTGATGTTTGCAGGATGAGGACGAGTACTATCGTGCAATCGACCAGGACCAGACTATCGAAGACCAAAGGGTCGTCGTTGGGAGGCTGGCATTGGGACTCGAACAGAGCTCTTGATGCTCTTACTCACACGCACGGTCAAGGTACAATCCGAGTTATCTTAGAACCCTGGCGAACAGCAAATGCCGTGTCTTGCACCGATAGCTTTTGCGTCAAATGAGCGACCTGACTGTATATTGCGGCACACGTTGCCATGCTCTCAAATACCTGTCGTTCAGGCACGGCGCTGCCGATCTGTCACAGCTCCTGATTGATAGACCCAGAGGAACGGTTCGTAGCTCTGGTCTGTGCATGTAACTAAGGCAGCTAAGGCGAGGATAAGATATGAGGCATAAGCGAGACAGATGGACCTTCCTTCTAGGATTATATGTGGAAGCTGTGCCGCACAGCTGCAGACACTGGTCTCAACGACTACTCAAGATTCCTGCAGGCTGGTCAACTCACGCTTAACTTCAGAACCTCTCGCTCGACAAGGTACCGGCTGTGCAGCACACACGTCCGACGCTTGAGATGGCTACTTTCCAGGATGTCCCGATGCGCAATGGCAAGCCACACCTTATCGACGACGAAGTCCTCGCATTGGAGTTCGACCATCTTAAACATGATTTCCAGCCAACCGCCCACGATGTCCGAGAAATGGGTCTTTTTGGCATCGAGCCAACATTCAAACGACGATTCAAGTTCGTCGCTATGGTGGGCTTTGCAAGTACCGTTGTGATGTGCTGGCAGAACACACTCGCAACGTGAGTTCTTGCCAGGAGAGTTCTTGTGAATGCTACGCCACACTGTAAAGTTGCTAACAATCATATGTGTACAGGTTCAGCTTCGCCTTACAGAATGGTGGCACCGGAGGCTACTTCTTCACCTACATCTATGGCATGATTGCCTTTGGCTTCACCTATCTTTCATTAGCGGAGCTGAGCTCCTCGTGAGTCTACATCGGACTCCACAGGCTTGAATTTCGTTAACTAGGAGTACAGATATCCAACGGCAGGAGGTACAGACTGGCTTCCACAGCCCTTCGTGAGATAGTGACGAATTCTCGCTAATAATCTAGCTCAGGCCAGTACCAATGGGTGGCGCAGGTTCGATATCCGAGGAAGCAGATGATTTTTGTAGCCATGCTGACAGCGAAATAGTAAGTCATCACTCAAATTTCGCACCCTTCGACCTTTTCGTGCTGCTAGGTCCCGCCCCTTCTCACGAGCACCCGGCTACCTTATTCTATCCGAGAGCGAAAGCCCACATCACACCAATGTTTTGCGTGAGTCTAGCTAACCTCTTCTCCCTGAATCTCCAGGTGCGCTCCTCACAAGTTCCGGATACCTATCAGCTACTGTGTTGGCTGGCTCTGTAGTCTCGCTTGGCTCGGATATCTCGCTGGCTGCGGTGTCATCATTGGTAACCTAATTCACGATGCTGTTCTGATCTACCATCCGGAATCATCGGCCGCGAACAGCCAGTGGTTTCCGACCATATTTGCTCTGGTCGCTTTGATTATCGGTGGTCTATTCAATGGCCAGCTGTCTCGACAGTTTCCCGCGCTAGAAGGTATCATGGTAGTCATCCACGTAGTGAGCTGGGTGGCCTTCATCGTTGTTCTGTGGACGACTTCTCCGATTGGCGATGCCGAAGATGTTCTGCTGACCTTCAACAATGGCGGAGGCTGGGTGAACGACGGAGGAGCTACACTAATCGGCGTCTTGACAGCCTGCAGTGGGTACGTCCGATCATGACTCTCTACACTGAAATGACTCTTTGGTTTGAGCACATGCGATCTCATACTGACCTTGGCTTGCCATAGGTTGCTCGGTTACGATAGCGCTGTCCACATGTAAGTCAAACAAGTACCATTCACCCTGTCCAGAAGAAGTGCCCTAACCTTGTCCACAGGAGTAAGCAAGGAAGCGGCCGCTGTGCTTGATCGATGACTGATCTTAACAGCTGAGAACGCCAAAGACGCTTCATTCACGATCCCATGGTCGCTCATGATCTCATACGCTGTCAACGCAGCTATGGGCTTTATAGCAGGAGTGACAGTAATCTTCTGTGCAGGCGATCTGGACGAGGTGCTCAGCAATGGCACACAAGCACCGTTCGTCACGATATTCTACAACTCCACCCAAAGCAAAGTCGGTACAGTCCTTATGCTGCTGCCGTTCATATTGTGCTTCCTCTCCTCGCAGATTTCAGAGACTGCCACGGCCTGCCGCCAGATCTGGGCTTTCGCACGAGACGACGGGCTGCCCTGGTCACACAAGCTCAAGGATGTACCGGATGCCGAGACGCCCCAGACTGCTCTCTGGACTGTCATTGCTGCGACGTTCGTCATTACTTGCGTCAACTTTGGCTCTGCAGTCGGTTTCAATGCTATCATCTCTTTGGTGTCTCTGTCGCTCACGTGCTCATATGTGATCACAATATCCTGCGTGATATGGCATAGAGTGAGAGGGTCTGGTCTACCTAAGGAGCGCTTCTCGCTTGGTCGTGCTGGACTGATCATCAACATCCTGGCTTTGTGCACCATGGCTCCAATTATGGTGTTAGCACCGTAAGCATCCACATACTATCATGGATACCAACATCTGCTGACACACTCTACAGCTTTCCTCCGAGTGCACAAGTCACTCCAGCGACAATGAACTGGGCGATATTGATCTTCGGCGTGGTCATTATCTTCTCAATACTCTACTACATCCTGGTAGGCAGGAAGCGTTTCCGTCCTACCTTGAGAAAAGGCGAATAAAATGAAAAGCATGACAGGGCGATGATCAAACGTATGTTGTTCGTTGCTATATTGAGCTATACATATGTCGAAGCTGGTCATCAATGGTCGCAAGTCAGGCGATAAGCTCTGACAAATGTGCATATTCATTATTCTGTTGTTCGCACTCGTTCAATGTCAACAAGAAATCCTCCTGCAGTTCCATCGGAGCTGATGTCCCGTCATCAGCCATTGCCATGCTCAGTCATGCTTACAAAGCACGATACACAGCATTCTCGACATGACCAGTCTACACTTCACAATAGAACACAGTTAAAGCTCCTGCTTGTTGCTATCCCCATGCTTGTGGTGATGATGATGCTTACGATGCTGCTCACTACCGGACGAGCCTCCAGTGGTTGGCTGAGTGCTTCCGGAACCACCGCTGGCCGGCTGGTTAGAGCCGGAACCAGCACCCGAGCCAGAAGAGCCGCCAGTGGGAGGCTGATTGGCGCCGGAACCACCGCCTGTGGTGGGCTGAGTGCTGCCGGATGATCCGGAGCCACCAGATACAGGCGTGCCGTTGGAAGTGCTCGATCCAGAAGCTGCCCGCTGGACACATCCGAAGCGGGTGTTGCCCTGGTCGAAGATGGCGTACACTGAACGGAGGAAAACATCTCCGTAGATGTCCATGGTCATGGAGCCACGGGACTGGAGACCGCCGTAAGTCGTGCCATTGCCAAGATCTTGGAATGCGATGTCTGCAGGATTGACAGCGAAATAAGTGTCGCCGATGGCGAGCTGGAGAGTAGGCAGCGACGATGCGGCGGAGGTAGGGAAGACCCAACCCTGCTGCGACTGATCCTGCTTCGCGCCCTGGATTTGGCCATAGAAAGCCTGGCACAGAGCGTCATCGACAAGACAAAGGGTAGTGCCAGTGTCGGCGATAGAGGTGTTGCCGGAGCGCTGGATAGCCTTGCCATTGACGGTAGCGGTGGCTGACGGGAATTGCCAGAAGCCTTGAGAATTGTCGATAGCAGTGTACGCAGGCGTGGCACTGCCCAATGCAGTCTGGTCGATGAAGCCAAATGTGTAGAAGCTGCTGTCGGTAGTATCGCCCAACCAGGCAGTAAAGAGCTCGGCGTTCTGTGGAATGTCCTGCTGGGAGATCATGTTCTCCACGGGTGTGGCAACTTGAGTCGGCTGGACGGTGTTGATGGAGCCGAATGCAAGACCAAGCAGACCGTCACCTTGGCCTGATGCGAATTCACTGCTCAGCACCTTTGCGAGCTCGATAGCTTGGTTGGTCACTGTCAAGCCGCTGAGTGAGATGGTGTCTGTTCCGACATCGCCACTGGCACTGCTGCCATCACCGTAGGCTAAGAATTGAAGTCAGCTTTGCTCAACAGATGATGAACCGCAAAGGTTTCACTCACAGATGTTCCAGGTGCTGCCGCTCTGAGCTTTCCAGGTAGAACTCTTTGATGGGTCGAACAAGGTGTGCTTGGTTCCGCCACTGTTCTGGTCTGCTGCAGGAAGCTCGGTGGAGAAGACCCAGAGATCGGCAGAGCCGGTGTCGAAATCCAACGTCAAGGTCTGAGCAGGTGTACCAATCTGGACGGGGCAAAGGTACTCAGAGTTCTGCTCAACGTCGGTCGCCTATTGCTTGTCAGTCATTGCTCACTCAAGCTCTGCGAAACGACACATACGGGGACCTCTCCGGTCTGCCCAGACGCATCCTTCTTGGTGAGGACATGGCCACCAACGTGCATCTTGCCGCCGACACTCTTCCCTGTCTTCTGAAAGATGGCGGCATTGCCACGCTGGTGCATTTGTGCCACCATCGCGTATGGGCCTTCCACGGTCGGGCTGAACTTGACTAGGCATGACTGTCAGCCGAGGATGAGATGGGCTTGATCACTCCCCAATTACTTACAGCGGCTCAGAGCACCAAGGTAGTTCTTCAAGCCATTGCGCTGGTGCTTCGGGTTGACGATGAGCTTCGTCCGCTTCAGCTGGCTGAGGTCATTTGTCATATTTGCGTTTGTGTTGCTTTTTGGATAAAAGTTTGAATTGTGATCTCGCAGTGAGAAATGGGGTGAAAAGTGGGAGCAACAGAGCATGAGATATACGTGGGCAGAACGTCCACAAACCTGCTGACTACATTTTCAGGCAAGAGAAAGACCGAGTCACGTCATTACCCTACTGACCAGTCACCGCCTCAAACACGAAGAAGGCACCATGTGCCCGTGGAAAGCAGCTGCCTTCGTCTCAAGCAAACATGGCTAGGCGCTTCTGGATGGCGGCTACTGGCTAGAGCGTATCGGAAAATCGGCAATGAGCATGCTGCAGGTCGGTCCACATGCACCTCCGACTTCCTTTATGTGCTCGACCGAACAGCTACCCAATACAGGTAGGTACGCCGGATGCTTCGACGGCTCTGCGCCTTGAAGATCGGGCTGGCCGTTGTGCATAAAGCAAGTTTGTGCTCGTTTGGCCGAGGTTCGTGACGCGCTCGTTTGACGCTCTTTGTTTCATGGCGAAACGGATGACGTTGCTTATCGCGAACACACGACTGCACGTGGGCACCTGTCTTGTTCCTGACGAGGTTATATGCATATTAGATGCATGTAAAGCACAAGGAAGTCAAGGTTCAGCGGGAAGGATTCAAGCTTCGGCAGGCCGGAAGCTTCTCATTGGCCAAGTCTTATGTCGGCGTGGCACTTCGAGCAACGTCACCCACCTTCTGCATGACCGACGCCATACTGCATGATAATATGTGTCCAGCAGATCTCTAGCAAATATATCATGTTCTGCGCCATCTCGAATATCATTATCCGTCAACATCATGCCCGGCTTGCTCTTTTATTAGGCGAGCCTGTTGATATAAAAGGGAAAGGAGTTGGTTCTAGTGAGAGGATTGAGTACGCCCTAGGATACTGAGCACATCTGAACAGATCGCTGCCGTTCACTCACTCCACTACAGACCCAAGGACATTGCCTCTTATGTAAGCTTCTACAGCAAGAGTACAATATTACCATTGTGATTGACCTGGAAGCATCAGACGCACGTGCTCGGATGAGCCGTTCATGCTGTTGTTGTGTTGGCCCTCATCGGCCGCAGCTCATGGAACCAGTGTCGAGATTACCGTTGCTGAACATGCAGCAACATCTTCCGGTATGGATACTGAGCTCATCAGAAAGGTACACACCCGACCTAGCTTAGTTCGATGTGCAATTCGACAGACACGAACGGTCGCCGAACGACGAAGTTGTCCTGGTCAGGAGTTGAGCGGACCACAATGTAACTCAAAGTGATCTCTGTTGGCATTCTTCTGGCCCGTGCACTGCTTGAGATCATGCGCCGCACGGTTTCTCGGTCTGACGCGGATTGCCACTTCTAACTTCAAATCCCCGGCTCTTGACGCCCACTTCGACGTCGCCATCGCTTATACCTCTACCGATCTTTGCAGTCGCACAGTCCAGGACATCCTCGCCCAGTCCTTGTGTCTTGTCGTTCAAGAAATCGTCCACGACACAGTCTAGTTGTCCCTGGTATCTCAGTCTATGACACGAATTCTTAAGCTGGCAGCAGACACTTGTATGATCACACTAGACCAACTTGACGAAGGACGGAACTTCCATGCGTCGGCACGATCCATATGTATTAGTCTGCAACTACCAAAAAGCGCCAGGGAAGCAGGTCGCTCTTTCATGCCATGGCGGAATTGTCACCGGTGCTGCAAGTTACAGGCTAAGGTCGACACACCAAGCGTTGTGGTAGTACATGAGTCGGTCACCATGCTCTCCTGTTGGCCTAATCGTTTCGATGGTACAGCTCCGTAATGACGGGCCTATCGGCAGATTTGGATGTGCCATCTAGGGTATTCGTCCAGCATGGTAAGGCGACATGTCATGGTTAGCGCAATGTTGACCACACTCAAGCTCTCCGTAGAAGCAAGCTCGTCTTGGTGTATCCGTACGAAAATCGATCGTGTGACTGCTTGTCATCCGAATCTAAGCTAGAGAATGTCTCGCTGAGGCGGCTAATCTAGCAGAGTAGAATGCCATGAGTAGCAGTCTTGCTCGTACAACGGAGGGTTGATACGAGGACGTAGCTCTTATATTCGCGACTGCCAATCGAAAAGGATATTGTGGATGGATTGCTGCATTGGGTCTAGCGACACGTTTCTATGCCGAGATGGGAAGCATCCGATCTCAGACATCTTCAAACCAACGCCCACCAGCCACAAATCCATGTCGTCAGTAAGACATAATTCAACGGTGATCGCCTTTGCATCGATGACGATGTACGCTCTGCCGACCAGCTATTGCAATATGCATATGGAATGGGCGGGGTGCTTTCAAGGTTTGATATACTCCAGTCTTGCCAATTTGTCCTCATTACACAGCTTCGATCGCGAAGCTGCAGCAATTGAAATCCTCCTAACATATCGCTACTATGCCTCCAAAGGAGAAGTACACTGACCCTGAGCTTCGAGACCAAGTCAAGGAAGAGGTCAAAGAGTCCGACAAGGGTGGCGCACCTGGACAATGGAGCGCACGCAAAGCACAGATGATGGCGTCCGAGTACAAAAAGCGCGGTGGTGACTACAACACCGAAAAGTCGCAGAAGGACGAAAGTCAGAAGAATCTTACCAGGTGGGGCGAGGAAGATTGGCAGACCAAGGAGGGCTCCGGCAGTGCGAAGAAGCAGGATGGGACCGAGAAGAGATACTTGCCAAAGAAAGCATGGGAGAAGATGACCGAGGAAGAGAAACACGCCACCGAGGACAAGAAGCAGGAGGGTAGCAAGGTTGGCAAGCAGTTTGTGGAAAACACATCGAAAGCGAAGCAGAGTCGAAAGAAGGCCAACAAGGAGGCTGAGGAGAAGGAGGACAAGACGAATGATGGAGATGAAGATGAAGATGATGATGAAGGCAACGAGGACCAGCAGTCTGACGACGGCGAGGAGATTGATGATGACGAAGGCAACGAGGACCAGCAGTCTGACGACGGCGAGGAGATTGATGATGACGACCAGGACGACAACGACGAGGTTGCTAAGAAGGGAGCAGACGATGATGCTAACGACCCCGACGATGCTGCAGACGACGAAAACGATGCGGAGAGCGCTAAAGCTGGTGACAAGAGGAAGAAAGCCAAGAGCTCCAAACAGTCTGCTGGCTCTAGAAAGAAGCAGAAATCGGGAGTAAATGGTCAAGGCGGCAATGCTCCGCCGGGCAAGGTCGGCAGCAAGCATATGGACGCCGAAGAACCGGCACCTCGCGGCTCCGCAGATCGTCTACCTAAGAAGGGCCAGAAGATTGTCTGGAAAGCCATGCCCGGGTAAGCTCTCGGAAACGTGCAAGGACTGCGACAATGTGTGCTAACGTCGACTACAGATATGTTGATGGCGAGGTTACAGAAATACTTACTAAGGGCAAGAAGGTTGATAAGAAGGACGTGAAGGCCAGTAAGGACGATCCTAAGATTGTTATGAAGAGTAACAGCAGTGGGAAGATATGCGTGCACAAGCCTGAAGCTTGTTTTTATGACTGAGCCGTCACAGGCGTAGAGTGCTCGCTATTGCCTCGCATTCGCTGTGGTGCTGATAGCACATCTTTGTATAGTTGTAACATGTATAGTAGACAACCAGGTCATCCACCGTGCTCTAGTCCACCACTTCCTGTTGGCTAGCTCGTATGGTAGTCCCATGTTCAGACTCAGACAAGGGACAGTTCGTGAAGCGGAACGGCCGTACTTCGTCCTTTGGCCGCTGCCGATTGGTGCCAAGCTTCCTTCTCACGCGGACGGCAACGAGCTCGCGAGGTCATCTCTAGTCCAGCAACGTATGCGAGGATCGCAAATTCGTGGGGAGCGTAACATAGGAAGGTCAGGTGAATGTTTACTACTTAGTGTCCATCAACAGCCCACGATCCCAGGCACCCATCATGATCTGATCGCATCCCTATAGTCCACCTATCAGAAAGCCTGGACTACGCTTTAAAGGCTCCTCGTATCAAAATGGAGGATGCAATGGCGTCTTGGCAGGACGTGAACTGGACGACCTTCGCCTTCAGGCCAATCGTGCTCTTCACAGTAGTCTACCTGCTGTATCGACTGACCACCGCATACATCAACGAGCGGTCCTTCCAGATCTTCGCCAAGCAGAATGGATGTCAGCCTCCTCTTGATCTCTCGGGACCATGGTACAGGCGCTTCGATCGACTGCGTAGAGTCCTCAACCTGAGGAAGAGCGGCGAAGACATCCTGGATGATATCATTGCGGCCGACTTTGCCAACAGCGTGGGAACTGTTCAGCGTACCATGCACGAAGGATCACAGGTCATCACTACGATCGAGCCTGCAAATCTGCAAAGCATGCTCGCCACTCAGTTCGAAGACTTCGGTACTGGACACCTTCGATATTTGCAGCTTGGTCCAGTCCTTGGTCGTAGCATCTTCACTAGCGATGGTCCATTCTGGGCCCACTCGCGAGCACTGTTCAGACCGCAGTTCTCTAGGGACAATATCAATGATCTCGAAAGTACGGAGAAAGCTGCCAAAGTATATGTATCTGCTCTGGGCGAGATAGATGCTAGTGGCTGGACCAGCAACGTAGACCTGCAGCCTATGAACTTCAGCTTTACTGTGAGTGCGAGACGCTGCTTCCAAAGAGAAAGACTTCATAATTCACAACTGATTTTTTTTTTCAGCTTGACACAGCGAGTGATTTCCTCTTTGGTGAATCTGTCGATTCGCAATCGAGTAGATTGCCTGCTGGATCAGCTCAGCATGAGAGTTCTGCAGGCATGGAGACTGCCCGGGCTCAAGCCGTGTCGAAGCAATTCCTTGACGACTTCGAAATCCTTAGTCACACGATCATCATGCGCATCCGTATGTCGTCGCTGTACTGGGTCATGGACAGCTTCAAGTTTCGTAAAGCAGTGGCACGGGTTCAGAACTTCACAGAATACTATGTGAATAAATCCATCGAGAGTGCTAAAGCTGGGAAGATTGAAGGTCAGTCTGATAATCTACTCGCTCGTCTCGCTTCGGATACACAAGATAGGGAGGAGCTTCGCAATCAGACACTTGCAATCCTTTTCGCCGGGTGAGTAGCAGCGTGGCAGGAACGGAGATGGAGATTATGATATATGGGACTGATATTGCAACAGACGAGACACCACTGCTGGTCTACTTGGATGGTGCTTCATGCGTCTGGCACTCCATCCGGACATCTTGTCTAAACTTCGACAGATTATACTATCGGACTTCAAGGCCAATGACCCTATCACTTTCGCCAAGATCAAAGGATGTCGATATCTTCAGCACTTTTTGAACGAGGTCTTGCGTATTCACCCGCTAGTGCCGATCAACTCTCGACAAGCCATGAAGCATACGACTCTTCCAGCCGGTGGTGGCCCTGATGGCAAGTCGCCTATCGCCGTGCGCAAAGGTCAATTCGTTGCCTTCTCCGTCTACTTGATGCAGCGTCGCAAAGATCTTTGGGGTGAGGACGCCCTCGAGTTCAAGCCCGAAAGATGGGAAGAGAAAGTACCGGCCTGGCAGTATCTGCCTTTCTTGGGCGGTCCTCGAATCTGTGAGTAAAGCAGTTGTTCAAGCGTTTCTGTCGGACGTTAAAGGGGTTCTAATCATTAACTTTAGGCATCGGGCAACAATTCGCGTTGACTGAAGCCAGCTACCTGCTGATCAGGCTCTTGCAGAAATTCGATAAGATCGAGCCAACGGACCTGCAAGAAATGCGGCAGATGCGGAAAGCCCTCGGGCTCACGATGTGGCCTCGAGATGGTGTGAAAGTCAGGCTGCATAGAGCTTCGTCTTGAAGGCAACGGCGTTGCGATATAGAATGACTTGTTAAGGCCTCAGCAATGCCCTCGAACATGAATATCGATAAAGCAATGAGCCACAGCTCCGCACTTTGGACCTGTGAGACTGTCCTGAGATGCTTCAGTACGGTAGCTCGCAACAGTGAAATTGCTCGCAAACCCTGCACCAAATCGTCTGATTTCTGTGCAACGTAGTCGTGCTCTTCGGTGGTGCCCAGTAGTCTGTCGCGCTCTCGAGAGTGCTCATCGTCTTGGTCGACTCGAGGATCATTGTGGTCGTCGAAACGTATTGTTTATCATCCTGGATCGCCGCTGTACTTGAGTCGTGTAAACTTTTATCGGCCTGCTTGCTAGCTACTGTCTGCATAGTCCTCCAGAGCTCGAAATTACCCATTACATCTGTGCCAGCCGCTTTCCCCAAGTCGTCCGAACTGTCTGTCGCCATCAGTATGTCTCGCTCTGGCACCGTGTCCCGCTGGTGGTGGCTGTTGCTGCCTGACTTCTTTCGTCCCTGGCTGAGTGGACTGATCCATGAAGGGACGCCCATCGCCAGACGAGGTGGGAGCTGGTGCATCGGCACCTCCACTGTAGCAGATCTGTCAAGAGGATGAACGCCGATGAACCAGAACAGGAGCGCCACCGCCAGTGCAGTCTTGCTGAGGTTTCGTGAAATGATACGCTGCATGTTGTCTGGCAGGAAATATATATTGTCGGTCAGACGAGCAATCTTATCACCCATCTCGTTGTATCTTAGACATAGCCACATCTCGTTCGTCCATACTCTTAAGCTAGTATAGTTGTGCTCTAGAGAGAGTAACGTACCACTGACTAGTGCATATTCGTCATATCTCTGTCGCAGGTATCGTCCAAGGTCACTAAATCGGACCAGTATGCGATCCCGATGGAAGATCAGGGTCAATAGAACGACGGATATCAGTCCTGCTATGGCTAGCAAGGGCAAGCCACGGCCCGATACAGCGATCGAGATGAATGACCAACTTCTCTTCGCGGTCGAGGTGCCCACTGGAGCGTTCATGGTCGGCTTTGAGGTATCAAAAACCAGTCGTGATCCGGATATCACAGCAGGTGACAGCTTCTTTGACGAGTAGCCCTCAAGGTAGGCTCGACGAAGCTCTTCATCCATGGTAGGCTGTCTGATTTCGAATGTGATGCTGTTTGCTACGAGCAAGCAAGATAGAAGCAGCTGCCTCCATTGCTTGATACGATGGCTTTGTCTCTCTATAGCAAGTAGACGGAGTTTCCTTTGAGACCTCGACGGATGTGGCAAGTCTATTGTACCTACCTTCTCAATGAACAGATGTATCTCAAATGTTGCGGGACCACGAGGACATTATCTTTTCGGGTGTGACGAAAGCTCACACAAAGTGCAGTATATCGATGTCTTCAATCTGGTAGTGTGAAGTGAATTCGGGGCGTTACGTGCAGCCACATCGGTCGAATGATGTCTTCTTTGTTCTACATTCGTGGAGATCTCGAAAATATCATACAGCCTACTTGAACGCAGGAGCCACCAGAGTACTTCCTGAGTGCAATATTAGCATGAATGACACGTCGCAATCGATTTGTAATGGTTGCTTACCTCCATCAGGGTAGAGCACCTGCTCATTGTCTGTGAATTACCGTTAGTTCGTCACGACCAGAAGATTGCAATGTTGCTGCACCCACAAAAGAGGCCGCCTTTCCCAGCCAAGAACAAAATCGTGGCAGCCATGTCGCTATCGTGCCCACCCCGTCCAGCAGGGTTGCCGATCTTCGTCGACAATTCGCTCTTATTTCCCTCATCACTCTTACCAGTAGTCATTTCACTTGGGAAGATGCCGGGAGCAATCACATTGACACGAACCTTGGTGTCCTTGAAGGTAGTGGCCAACATTCGGCTCATATGTGTGAAAGCGGCTTTACTGCTAGCGTAGGCGAATTGTCCATTAGATGATCCTTTCATCTGGCCAGATATGGAAGAGACATTCACGATTTGGCTCGTGTAGCCCGGCGTGATCTCACGGCCTTTTGCGAGAAGTGGCAGGAAAGCCATGCTCATGAAGAACTGGCCGAAGACATTCGTCTGGAAAGTGTCCTGCCATTGCTGCTCCTCAGACTTCAGGAAGTGCTGTGAGATAGCCTCAGCGTCAGACATGTCGGGCTGGCCATTCACGGCTGCGAATGTTAGTACTTTTCACGAGCGTAGCGCCGGATCAACACACAGAATTTCGTGTTGTCATCTCTCGCGATACCTGCATTGTTCACCAACAAATGTATGCCTCTCGGCTCCTTCTCTTGCACGTCCTTGGCCAGCTGAATCGCACCCTCTTTACTGCTCACGTCGCCAGGCAAAGCATGCAGGCTACCTACACCATTATTGTACTGCTTGACAGTGTCTTCAAGCACTTCTTTCCTTCGACCAGTGATGTAGACCTTTGCTCCGTTGGTGACAAGGGCCTGAGCAATCATCAACCCAATACCTGTGCCTCCACCGGTCACCACGGCCGTGATATGACCGACTCCGAAGAGCTCGCTGGCCTGTAGTTGTTCGTTGGTTCGTTTGCCTATGTGAAATCATTATAGGCGGAACGACTGAGCCAAGAGTGATACCTACTTGTATCGGCCATTGTTGCGCGCTGAACAGTCGTAAATACTGGTTTCGATGCCGTGGCAATGGAAGGTCTGATGGGTGCACGAGCAGAACGAACGAAGAGACGAAGCATCTTGTTGATGAATACCTTGGTACTGTGGGTATGCAATGCTTACCTTGCCTATGCGTAATGAGCTGCGCCCATTACACTTGCATGACGCGCTGAGTCTTCAGAAACCACCAAGCTTAGCCATCTCGGTCAAACTGCTTGAGAGGCCCTTTTATCATGGAGAAGTAGTCTTATGGATGGCGCCAGCATGATAGAGAGGGGTGCGTCTGATGGAGTGGCAGGAGTGATGGTAGATATGCGTTATAAGGACCGCTTCAAGACCTCACCATCCCTCGACGCACGGACATTTGGCCGTGCCCTTAGCCTTCAAAATCACACAACGCATGGGCAGAGTATCGGCTGCAATGTTAAATTGATGCTTTTTCGTTCAACCAGCTTACATAGTCCGAGACTCATATCTCATAAGTATATACATAATGGGACTAATACCACACCCCTGTCGCTTTTTAACCATAACATCGTGCTCACGCCTACGGAAAGTGCTGCGTGTCCGGGGAGTATACGATGCCGTTACAGTCATACATCGTTCCATTCATTTTGTACAGTGTCGAAGAAGGCAGGACTGGAGGAGCGCTTACAGTATGCGACATGGCCGGTGCTTGAAGGTTGGTGAAGGCGTTTGTGGGAAAGCACATCTGGGCAGAAGTCTCGATTGGTGTCAGATAGCCCAGGAAAAAGTCTGCACTTTGCTGATAGGGTGGCAAGGCTGGGATCTGCAGACCGAGTCCCTCTGCTGCGAGTGCTGCATCGTGGATATCGAAGTGAGAGTCGGCAGTAAACTCAAAGTCCTCGTCCTCGTTGAGCATGTCGTCAGGTAGCTCATCATCGTGTTGCGACGGCAAGACTTGTGACGTGTAGAACTGACTTGACAAGACTTCGATCTCCTTTAGCCAGCCGTTGGCTTTAAGCCATTCAATTGGTGGCCAGTCGCCACCAGCTTTGCCGGCTCGACTCTCGCGTTCCTCGCCTCTGGCTTTCCGACCACGCTTGCGAGGACAGAAGTGCGCCCTTCTTAGATGTGCGGCAGCGTTGTAGTAGACGTTGTACTGCTTCTGCTGCTTGCATTGCTTGCAGATGCCGATGGGTTTGGTGGGCCACCAACCCTCTTTCGACGGCGTCGTGGGCTCGACACAGATCCAGACTTTGCGCGTCTCAGCATGCGCGCGGTCATAATGGCGGCGAAGCTCATGTTCGCCTCTAAAGCCCGATGGGTATGCTATACATAGCGTACAAGATAGCTTAGGATGGCTTGGTCGCACATAAGGTGTCTTGCTAATGGCTTGCTTTTGCCGAACCATTGGATCTTGGTGTTTCGATATTTGTTTGCCATTAGCGGTAGACGCCGAGACTTTCGACTTTGGTCCGTCCGGTAAACTTCTTGGTGCAATCTTCTGCTGCGCGTTTTCGATATGCTTTCGTCGTCGCTCGGAAGCCTTGGCGTCTGCGGACGACGTCGAAGTTGAAGAGGATGTACTTTGCTGAGAGTCGGTGCGCTCCATATTACAGGCTTCATGATCATACTGTGAGTCTCTCATTGTGGTGTCATACCCATTTGCAGGAAAGAAAAAGCTTGACTCATACGGAATGCCTTGCTCATCAAAGGCAAAGCCCACATTGCTTAGCAAGTTTTCATCACCATGCCTACCATCCCCATGAAGAGTTGCAGTAGTCGTGAGACTACTTGCTGGAAATTCAGCGCTGTTACCTTGTGCACAAGCATCAATGTCTTGCATTGGATGAACGAATGAGAGAGTACTATGCGAAGGGCAGTGCGAGGCAGACGACTCAACCCGCATCATGCCAAAGGCATCATCCATCGACGTCGAGGTCATCGATGTTGATGTGGTCACACTACTTTGTCGGCTCATTGCCTCACTCGAGGTAAATGAGTTTTGCGAAGGCTGACCCGACATACTGGGTGACCTCGTAGCCCCGTTTTGTAATTGGGGCCATAGGTTGTATGCGAGCGAGACATCGAGAAACTGCTGCTGATATGCATCAGAGCAGTTGACTCGTTGTCTCTTTACAGCTGCGCTCGATAAGTCGGAGCTAGTTGTGAGCTTCGAGATGTACGATCTAGGATCGTAGACCTGGTAGTCGCCGACGTGCTCGGGTGCCGGGTGCCCAGAGTCGTTCCAGTCAGCTTGGCCAAGTGCCGGTCCACCCGTAGATGTCGAGACGAGTGCTTGCTGTTGGGCGTGGAGACCAGTACTGAAAGGGGTGGCGTCAAGACCGGTGTATTGGGTGGGACATTGTGCTGAAGCAGACCTTGCCATCGATTTTGTTGCCCGTCCAGTCGGACCAGTACAAGACCGTCGTTTCCTGTTGCTTGTGCCGAGTTGTGCAGAAGACTAGGTCAAGGTCAGTAGATGGATAGCCAGCAGTAGCTAAGTGATCCTACATTCGAGTCCAATCCCTGCCTTGCGCCTAGAACCAGATGTGTCCGTTGCTGCAAGCCTTGATGTTCAGCCGTGTCGCTCATTAGCAACGCAACGAGTTCGGCCTTTCGTTGAGTCCATGCCATCTGTCGAGCCTCGTCTGTAAATTGCGTACGCCAGATATCCTGCCGTTCCAGCTCCAGTTGCCTCGCAAAGCCGTTGCTGGTGGTAGACATGTTAGGTGCAGATCAAGTAAGAGACGAATAAGGCTCTAGGCCAATAGCGTCTCGATACGTGTCTGAACTTCGAAAGACGTTGGTTCGTTACACTGTTTGCTTTGAAGAGACAAACTCAGGATATTCGAGTGAGGCGAGCAGAAGAGCATGCGGGAGAAGGCTACCTTCTTATGCCGTTGATTGAAGGGTCCGCAACAGGGCGTACAAAGGTGGTAGCGTGGGAGGTGCCAATACCATGTGGCCGCGTTTCCCATGCTTCTTCTGCAAGCCCGCGCAGGCAAACAGCTTGTCCGGTCAGCGTCCGAGGCGATCTGCAACGGCACGGCGACTTGACGTCGACGCCCGGTTCGTCGCCTCATCTTTCTTGCCCATGTTCAGGATATGATCCTTGTGGCGTGAGCTTGGAGCTTGAAACCCACAAATGGAATACTTGCGATCGCTGCAGCCGCGGGCCGCTGCCGTCGTGTTCATCTGATCTCTTGCAACTCTTTGCCTTCGACAACTCATCGTGCATATTCTGCCGACCATACAGCACCCGTGTCAACAGATCCTCAGGCACGCTCTGAGGGATCAACACTTGCCGCAGCAAGCCCTCTCGCATATGGTGATACTACAGCCGGCTCCACTCCACGCTGGTGAGACATGACGACAAGGTAGTAACAGAGGCTGAAAGGCCGTCTTGTCGAAAGGGTACCTGTCATACTCAACCACGCGGGCGACATGCTAGATTTTGATTGCCTCTACCGAAGACTACCAAGATCTGCAATCCCGAAAGCTCACCACCTGTCGGGCCGAAATTGAACGTCAGGAAGTGTTCTCCTCGGTGGTACAATGACTGCATTTCCTATCGAATCAACGACTGCTGTTGAAGACGAGAATGATACAGATTATGTGTCAAGACCTTCTGTATCACAAATGCTACGACAAGCTACACGAGGCACGCACGCGATACTGCGCCATCTACGACGATTAATTTACAGCCGATTTCATGAACCCTCGCATCTTAGCCATGGGACTGCGCTGAAGTTTGCCATCGGTGGGCGAACCCTTGTGCGACACGTCCTTCTTGCCATTGGCTACTGGTGCAACCCATCCTGACTGGAGATCCATCTCCACTACATCATCGTTGTAGTCCGACGACGATCGTCCTATACTGGGGTTTCGTGAGCTTCTCCTGCTCGTCTCGGTTGTAGTGCGGGTGAGTGGCGAAAGCATAGTCTGCTCTGGCTGAGGAGCGAATGAGACGATGGATACTTTCCTGCCAGAAGCTGTGGAGGGTCTGCGACTTCTGTCACTTGCAGTCGACATTCGAGAAAGTCGCGCAATACCTCTGGCACGAAGGGATTCCTCGGTCTCTATTGGTGGGATGGGAGGTATTGGAAATGACTCCCTCCTTGCCGAGTCCACGACCTCCTTGGCTATCATCATCTCGACCGGTGAGACTGTGGCTTCTAATGGTGGAGTGCTGAATCTCTCCATGGCTGAGTTGTCCTCGCCATCCTCGCCGTCCATTTCCTCGAGATCTTCCAGCATGATGTTCTCGATCAACACGGTATCGCCTTGATATTTGACATCGGCAAAACCAAAGTCGTCGAACCATTCGCAGATGTCTTCAACAGCCGCGTCATCGCTCCGCCGTCTCGGCACTGCAAGTGCGTGCTGGTATACCTTATCGATCGCTTCCTGGAACGGCTCAAGGTTGGCTAACGAGTCTTTTCGCGGCATGATCATTGGGGTGAGAAGCTTGATAGGTCCAGGCATGTACGCATGTCTTTGCCAGGCGGTAAATTCAGGAGGCGTCACGGTCACCACAGATCCGCCTCTGAGGTGTATCTGCGTGGCAATTGGTGTCGTCATGCCTGAAGAGGGAGGCGGTGAGTTCTCAGTGGAGTGCACCGTTTCCGGGATCGAAGCGAGCCTGCCAGGTAATGCACCGGGCGGAAAGTCGTTAAAGTTGGCCCGGGGGTCTGTGACCGCGATCTGGGACAACGGACTTCGAACTTTCTTCGTTCGCCGCTTCTTACTCACTCCTGGCCCTAGTGGAAGTACTCTCCGTGGTGACCCCAGGAAGACCTCTGTTGGTGTCCCGCTGATGCTACGTGGCGTAGCAGGCAAAGCCTTGTCTATCATCGCCAACGGTGGCGGCAGTTTCACATGTATGTGTTGCTGAACATACTTCTTGTCAGGTATGACTGTCAGATGCTCTTGAGAGGGAAAGAACCCTGCGTCTAATAATTGGCTCATTGTCTCGCCCTTTTTCCTATGCTTCCATGGGCCTTGTGGCATGCCAGGCACCCAGCTGTCTCTCATCGGCTCAACAGCAGGCTCGGTGGCACGCCGGACTGGCGCAATCCCAGGTTCTTCCAGTTTGACTGCCGTTGCTTCTCTGGTCGCGGCAAGACTGGCGCTTTTCCTAAGGGACTTGTCGACCTTGGCGCCCTGTACTGCTGGCGCACGAGCTGGCGAACGACTTTTTAGTTCGCGGCTGGCTGGTCTAGGCTTGGTGGGCATATCGCCTGGAAGAGTGCGTGGAGGTCTGATCATGATTGGCTTCACTACCGGTGATTCGAAGCCATTGATCCACCCTGTTTCCAGAGAAGCTACTCGCACTTGAGGCAGAGCAGTCGCCTTTTCCGTCTGCGTGGGGAACACATCGCCCTGTGTAGACAGCTGTGCTAGCGCATCCGACAGTGCGGCGTCAATCGAAGCACCCGTAGCCGTAAGCTTCCTCGGCGCATCCAGGTTGGCCGACTGCCGCCGCGGCGATCGTTCAGGTATGGGCGGCGGAGTCTTGCCTGGAGGAGGAGCAGGTGGCGGTGTGCTAGGCTTCGGCGGATATCTCGCTGATACCGGGATCCTCGGTGATGAGTACGAGTCTTCGAATGGCCGGACAGGCTTCCGTCGTGGCGGAGGCTCGGGAGCCTTCCGAGGTTTCTCGCCAAAAGAAGCAGGTAAGGCCGCCCGCTCCACCCTCCCTTCCCGCTCCCCTTCTTCTGGGACAGCACCATCACTGCTCTGCTTTCGTCCAGTCGGCGAAGTCTCTACATCCTGCAAACTCGATCGCGCAACCTTCGACTTGCTGCTTCGCGCAAAGAACTTCTTGCGCGATTTCGAGCTTGATGAGTCGAAGCTTCGTGGTGAGGTAGGTGACTTTGCACTCTTTTCACTGCCAGATTTGCCAGACTTGCCCGACTTGCCGCTCGCGACACTCTTTCTCTTCTCTTCCTCAAGTTTTGCTGCATACTCCAGCTTCAACCGCTCGATCTCCTCCCGCGAGAACTGCAATGGCGGTGGCGCAAACATCCTTGCCCACACGTGCCGAGACCGTGTCAACCACAACCGCTTGTGTCACTGTTTCTGATTTATTAGTATGGTGATATTGATGATCAACGACAACGATGTCGGTGTGAGGCGTTGGCATTATTGCATGCCGAGTGCCGCATGCGACCGGACTCGAAGCGTTCGTTCAAAGGCTTTAGATTGAATATGCATGTGGTTGTCGGGTGACGACTTCTTTGTTCGGCTAAAGGCAAGATCTCGCGATGCACAAAAAGTTCCAGCTTGTTGGTACCAGGTATCCAAGCATTCCAGCTTGCGCGCCCATCCGTCCGCTTTTGGCATGGTGTTGTGTTCCTTTGTGTCCCTGTACATCATCATCATGTCGGAGAGAGTTGACGGCGGGTGACGTCTTTCCTGATATCAGGGCGCCAAGCGTGCAGGTGGCGCAGAGTTCTGCTGAGAATGAGACATGGGTAGATGATGAGCATGCTTTAGAAGCCTATGACTACTGATCGCAGTACGGGACAAGCCCTTGGCTCTCATACCATCTATGTACAATCGTTATAAGCACTGTGTAGGTATCTCCTTTACCTGTTAACAGGCAAAGGGAAAACAGCAGGACTCTTCCACCCATTCGCTCCAACAGCCCTAACACCAACCTGCACATTGTCCTTGTTCAAAGACAACGTAACATTCCCCGTCATGCCCACATCCACACTGTGCGTCCACTGCAGCGCCCCCGAAGGCCTCCACACGATCTCGTAACTCTTCACGAGAGAGTCCTTACCAGTATCCCACGAGAACTGGGAGTCGTTGCTAATATCTTCGATGGGCGTGTCTTCCGCCGCAGCAGGAAACCCAATGATCTCGGAGATAGAGACGTTGGTCGGCGTTCCTGGGCTGTTTGCCGCGGACCACATGGATGCTAAATTGACTTTGGCGACACGGGAGGTATACTCGAAGTCCACGAACTCAAGCAGATCTCCGTATTGGATGCCATCCTGCTCGCGTGGATCTTGATGCTGATGAGCAAAATCCTCCACCGCCTCCGTGAACCTCACAGCTGGAAACCCTTGAGCGAGGAAGCTCTCGTGGTCTCCACCACGCAAGTAGCGGTCCGAACGGTATATCAAGGCGACTTGCATACCAACCCATTGCGCTGCTCCCGCCGCCACTTCAGCGATATACCGGCCTAGGTTCTGAGCGGGCGAGTCGTTCCAGCCGCCTATGATTCCGATAGTGCTATCCAGACTCGCGGAAGAGGCATTTGGGTAGTAGATACTCGCCCCAAACAAGCGAACAGTGTAATCGTTTACAGCACTGAAGGGAGCATTCTTGCCTGTACCGATGATATCGTTATTCCAGTTTCCTTCGACATTATAACCCGCCTTTTTGAGCGTCGAAGCGAGATTAGCAGAGCCATAGAGACCCTGTTCTTCTCCAGCCGTGGCAGCGAAGATCATGGTCGCCGCTGGCTTCACCTTGGACGCTGCAACGAGCCGCGCCATCTCCATGACTACCGCCACGCCCGTAGCGTCGTCGTCGGAGCCAGGAGCATCGTTCACATAATCATTGATGTCGATCCGACGACTGTCGTAGTGCCCAGTGACGACGTAGACGCGGTTAGGATCCGTGGTTCCGTTGATCTGGGCCACGACGTTCGTAATGTTCACGGGGAAAAGGATCCGGCTGGCAATGGGCTGGATGTAAGAGTTGAAGTAGACGGACATGGAGCCATCGGCTGGTGCGGCGAGGCTCTGCATTTCCTTGTAGATCCAGTCTCTAGCGGCGCCGATCCCGCGGGTGCTGCTGTTTTGCTGGGAGAGGGTGTGGCGGGTGCCGAAGTTCGTGAGAGTTGTCACAATATCTTTGACGCCTTGGGAACCGTCAGTACTTGATCACTCCGTTTAAAGCTGTTAACTACATACGATTCACATCAATACCCTCAATCAAACTAATCAGCTCTTGATCAGGTGCTTGCGGCACCAATGCCACGCCAACATTTTGAGGTGGCCAGTTGGCATTGGCCCAATTGACGGAGGGAAGGTAATTGCTTCCTTGAAGCTGCTCCCATTGAGTTGAGTAGACACCGCCGCTGCTAGGGTTCCCATTTCCTGGGCCATAGCCTGGTGGACCTGGAGGGCCTGGAGGTGGCGGTGGTGGAGGATGAGCGTTGACGAGCGACAGAAGTGCCGCTGCGGCGACTGTGAGGTGGGAGAGCATGTTGACACTACCGCTGCAGGAGAATGTGAGAAGGGACAGTTTTATTCAAATGGCGTAGTTCTAGTACTTATAGTCCCATGATTTTAATCTTCGTTCATGAAGTCAGAATCTCCTCAGCTGCCTGATCGAGCATAGCATGTCGAGCACGCAGGAATCGCGCATCGTCTTGCAGGGTACCTGGCATCTTGTATCGTGATCATGTCACCAGCGTTGATCATCAACAAGAAACCCAATGAGCCATGGCCGAAAGAGGGGAGGCAGAAAGCGGGGCAGATAGCAGTCCGTGTGCGATAGCGTTCTGGATTAGGAAGGTGTGAAGGAACCGTATCCAAGAATCCAAGTGGACTGCGATGATCATAGCCTTGGCAGGACGAATGGCTGTGCTAAGTAGTCCAGGTGTACAAGTTGGTATCATAATAAAAGACTATACTACTGCACACACACAGGGGAAAAGACAGAAGAGCACGCCTGGCTACGATCTCTCAAATTGCAATATGAGACATCAAGCAGCCAGGCGCCTCTCCGATCGGCATCCTAAACTAAACCTCTTCATCACTCTCCTCCCCCAACAACTCCCCCTCGTCCGGATCAACAATAGCATAATCCCCCCTTCCCCTCTGAAACGAACTCCTCGACGTAAAAGGCCTCCCACCACCTCCATACCCACCACCGCTACTCCTCCCCAACCTCGTCCCAACAGCCTTCCACACACTCCCCACCACCATCGGCAGCGCCGCCACCACCGCCACAATTCCACTAAGAACCATAACCGGATACTTAACCCACGGCGCATCCCTATCGAACGCCCCAGCCATACTCGGCCCACCGCCCGCAGCGCCCCCAAATCCATCCCCAAGCTGAATCCGGCCGAACTTCCCATCCCAGTTCTTCCAGACCCACCACCCCACTCCCGCCGCAGCAGCAATAGGAATCACAATCGCAAAGAATAGCCCCAGTCCCGAAATCCCATGTCGTTTCTGAAACTCCTCTTCCTTCCCCGGACAAGGCCTCGTCCTAGCCGTATAATCCAGCTCCTGTCCACCCTCACAAGTCGTAAGCGGGATCCTCCTGTAACCAGTGGTATCATAGAACTCCACTACATCCTTCTTCTCGCACACGGCGGCCGGATCAGCCGCTTGCAGACCTTCCACAAGTCTGCACGAGCCGTCGGTTTGCCGTTCGTAGTTGTAGTCGCATTCGAAGTCGCGGCGGGTGCAGGTGCAATTGCGTTTGATGTCGTGGAGATGCTTGATTTCCCTTCCATTATAGCACTTGCTCTCCAGTCGTTTCCGATGATACTGCGCCACGTGACCGAAGAGACAGTTGTCGTCTGAGAGCGGATGCTTAGGTTCCCAGAGCCAGTAATCGCTGTCCTTGCCCTCGGGATCCTTCTCATCCAGATGACACAACTTACTCCTCTCTTCCAGCCCCGAGAAGTCCAAATTCACCGAGACCAGATCCCTCTTGATCTTCCCCCAGAGCATGAAATTCCTGCTCGTATCGGAGGGCACAGTCGTGATGTCCTCAACCATCATCTCTGCCTCGGAGAAAGCGTACTTGATCCAATCATCGCCCTCATTCAAAGAATAAAGGACCTCCCTCGTCGCCTCCCCTTCCTTCACAATGACCAAAATAGACCCCTGGTCACCGTATTCCCACATCCAATTCCCCGGCGCCACAACCCTCCAAGTGACCCCCCCATCCCTCGTCAGAAAGGTATCAGCGTCCTTCTTGTACCCCAGAAACTCGCCCACATTGCCCGTCCCCATCATCAACCCCACAGCCGAGGGACTCGAGAACGTATCCCTCGCATCCTTCCGCTCTGTATACCCATGCAAATGCAACGAACATTTCTCAGACCCTCCACTACACTCCCACCCCTTGCCCTCGAAATTCTTCTCCGGCCGCGCCAAAAGCGCCCAATCCGCCCCATCATTATGCGTAACAAACGTCTTCAACTTCTTCTTCTCCCCATCCTCCACCGCCTTGGCATTTGCCACACGATTAATAACCGCCACCCCCTCTAAGCCCTGCATCTTCTCGAAGTCGACGTAGCCAGGTCCATTCCTATTAACCTCAGAAACAGACAAGACATAAGATGTCCCGTTGGAATTACTCTTGATGATGGAGCCGTACTCGCTGTCCTCGCGGTTGTTGACCGTCACGTGGAGGAACACTGCGTGGGTGGAGGAGTCGAGGACGGTGTAGGCCTGTTGGTGCGCGACTTTGAAGTTACTCGGGAATTGGGCGTCGGCGAAGACTGTGCCGTCAATACTCGTGTCGACTTGCAGACTCTGCTGATCCTTCTCGTCCCGGACAGCGACGACGATATACTCCGCCATGGTAGCAAAATTGATAACATCCCGCTTCAACACAGTCGAGTGCTCGAACCAATCATTGGAGGACAATAGATCCACCCTCGCGTCCGGATCCTCATCAGAATACTGCTCGCAATAAACCAGCTGATCACTCCCCTCCCTATCCTCCCGATAGACAAACTGGCACTTCCTCACCCCACGCCTAAGCGTCTCCCAATCATCCCCACCCTTCGTACTCACATGCGCAATCGTCTGCCCGCTCTTCCCACCCGTCCAAATCAACCAATTCTTTTCCGTAGGATGGAACTGCAAGATCTGCAAGCGCTCTTGGTTAGGTTTCTCAGGTGCCTTGAAGGTATGGAAGCTGGAGCCGAAGTTGTGGCTGTAGTAGACGGTTGTTGAGGGGGTGACGAGATAGACGTTATCGTTGAGATACTGGTGCGGATATATGGCGATCACGTCCTCGCCGTCCGTGTCGACAGGAAGCCAAGTCTTGCCGTGGTCCTCTGAGAGGAAGACCTCTCGGCGATCCGTCCGCATGATGACAGATTCCTTCTTCGACTTGTTCGGTTCGTCGTTGGAATTACTCTCCTTGCGCTCAAGATAGTAGTACTCCACAAACCTATCGCCCTTGAACTTGGTAATCTCCGTCGCGATCTTGCCAGAAGCAGGGGGTGTCCCGTCATCTTTACAATCCCTCTCCACCGGATCATCGAGGGTCACACCTCCCTTGCGCACGCAAGTATCGCCTGGAATGAGCTTGTAGCCTGAAGTGCCCATATACTTCCCCTTGCCCTCCTTACACTCTCCACTCGGGATCCTGAGCACACCACCACTGACGCACTTCTTCGCCTCGCTATCCCAGAGGAAGCCTTGCTCGTAGTCGCATTCGAAGTCCTGCTCCGTGCACTTGCAATCTTCCATCACGGGTTGCGGGTCTTTGAATTCTTCATCGACGAAACAGTTCGAGTCGGCTTTGCGACGACGATACATCTGCGTATGGCCCATGATGCAAGTTGGCTCTCCCTTGTCATCGACGCGGGCAAACCAGTCTTCGAAGTCCCGTTTGCTACATTTATCTTCGTGAAGGCCGGCGAAGTCGAGAGCATAGATGAAGTGCTTCAATTTCGAACCCTTGCCCTTGGTAGCCGTGAGGATGAATTTCAGGCTCGTAGAGTCCGGGGTGGTGGTGAGAGATAGGGGCTTGATCTTGCCGTCGATCTTGAGGTCTTTCAAGCTAGCGGTCTTCCATTCCTTGCCGTGGTTGAGCGACCAGCTAATCTCGTCTGTTTCTTCGTCTTCGATGGCGACGAGAATAGCGCCTTGGTCGCCGACTTCGTAGAGATGCGGTCGCCGCAGAGCACGAGTCCAGGTCAAGCCCGCATCATCCGAGACGTACGTATCGCCTTCGTCGTAGGCGCCTAAGAACTTGCCAGTGTTGCCGACACCCATCACAATACCAGGCGCAGGGCTACTGAAGATGCGCCCAGTATTTCGCTGGTTGGTGACGGAATGGAGGTGCAGCTCTTTATCCTTCTCCACAGTCATGGCCTGCCAAGTCCTGCCATCGTCAAAGCTGATCTGAGTCTTGATCTCCTTGTCTGCCAGCCATTTATGCTCAACCTCCTCCCAGTTGTCCACCACGTTGACCATGACAATACCCTGTATATCCTGAATCTTTTCAAAGTCCACGAAGCCGTGCATATTCCTATTCGTATGCTCGATGTTCTTGCGAAAGAAGGTACCGTTGCTGTTGCTCGTGAGAAGAACACCCATGGGACTCGTCGGCTTGCTCGTGAGCACATCGACCTGCATGCTGTAGTTTGTGCTTTCGAGTAAAGTATATGCATCCTCCTCCAGCTTGTGTCCAGCAAAGACAGCGCGATGCCACGACTGCGCATCGTCGGTGACATACATGGCCATCTCTGTCGTCCCTTCGCTCTTCGCCGCAGCCACCAGATACGACTTGACTGAAGCCACATTGATGATGCCACTGACCGTCCGTCCATCCTCCGTCATCTCCGGCTCCACCTCATCCTTGTTGAAGTAGTCCGAGGAAGACAGTAGTCTGTAGTCTGACGAGAAGGGCGAGAAGATTCCCGAGACAATACACAACACCTGATCCAGATCCCGATCCTCGTCTCCGGTGGTAAATTGCTCCGTGCTCTTGGCATAAATACATACACTCGCATCATCCCGCAACAACTTCGGGTCCGTGGCGAACCCATCCTTGGTATACCAAACCGCCTCCTCACAGTCAAAGCCCAGGCAGTCGGCAGTAAGGAACATCATTCGCTTGGGATCACTCCCATGAAACACCACGGCCGGTCTCACACTCGTCGGAGGCGCAGGCACCTCGAAGCTATCCCATGTCTTCCCGACATCACTCGTGACCCAATGCTTCACCCCTTCGCCTATCGCCACAGCCCAAGCATGGTTGGTCGGATGTTTAAGGACACCAAGGACTTTGCCCTTTTGCGCAATGGGTTTCCATGTTGTGCCGGCGTCTTCGGAGCGGTACGCGGTTTTCTTCAGGCTGTCGGTGCAGAGCACGACGTCCGAGTCCGGGAAGTAGAAGAGGTTGCTTGGGCTCGACTCGAACTCCGTTTCTTCGATCACTGGGAGGGCGTCCTTGGCCAGGCATAAGCTGGCTAGGAGCGCCAGAAATTGAAGTATCCGTCGCATCCTGGTATTCTTACGTGACTATCATCGAGATGCCATCGATACAATCGTAGTCGATGGTTTCAAGAGAAACAGCTGGCGGTTATGCACGAGCATGACGAGGCTCAGGGTAGCTGTAACCTGTCGCGTGGCTGCGCACGAGGTGTGTTCGTTAGTATGACCCTGACATCCGTGCGGCAAATAAGCATGTGATCCGGGGTCTGCTTGATACATGTCTTGAGCTAACGAGCGGCAGAGCCCGAGACATGCTTAGGGCGACCACATTGTGATATTGACCCCGATGTCGATTACGGAATTCTGTATACTACGACATGTGAGATTCCACTTAATCTACACTGCTGCTGTATTGTTGGCCTTTCGCATCCTACATGTGACGAGCATGTAAGTGAATGGCAGATATGGCTTGGCTGACGACATAGTTCTGTTCATCGCGGAACATCGCCGCGAACTGGTTGCCATGCGCCTGGTAACCAGCGACCAAGACTCCTCCACATAACCCTCTTCTTCCCATTATGAACAATCGCAACGCGTAACCATGTACCGAGGCGGCGGAGGTCGCTATCGAGGAGGTCGTGGCGGTGCACGAGGCAGTAAAAGCACCACCACCACCACAACCACAACCACCCAAAAGGGCCTCTTCGCCGAAGGCATCTGGCAATGCAATTGCACCCCTCGTCTCCCAGCCGAACACTTCAAAGTTAAGAAGGAAGGCAAGAACCAAGGCCGTTGGTTCTACACCTGTCAGAATTCCGAGCCGAAACGCTGTGGGTTCTTCTTGTGGGATGAGGACGCTAAGCCGAGAGAGGAAGCGGCTGTGTTGAGTGGGAGGAGGACTGAGCCGGGTGCGAGTACGGGAGGGGGAGGAAGGATGAGTCTAGGAGGAAGTTGTGAGGTGCAGGAAGGGTGGGATGCGGGGAGGGCTGCTAGAGCGGCGAGGACGGATGCTATGGGTGGTAGAGGTGTCGGTGGTGGGAGTGGAAGGGGTCTGTTTGCGCAGCAGGGTATTGGGAGAGGGAGTGCGAGAAGGGTTGAGGACGAGGAAACGCAGAGTCCATCACCAAGACGTATCTCGCCTCCACCACCGTATACTGCTATGCCTTCCAGCAGTAATACCAAGCGCAAAGCCCCGCAAGCTGGGATTGATGAGGAGGACGACGACGAGTTCTTCCCATGGCCACTCACTGGACAGGAGGAGCGAGCTCTGGCCCAGGCTGCAGATCACACTACTGCTCCGCAGACACCGCATAAAGCTGTGAAGACTGGTGTATATGCTACGCCTGCCACGAGCGTTGGACGCAAACTACCGTGGTTGGAGCAACAGCAAACACCGAGGACACCGAGCACGACCCCGAATACTGCAGGCTATTTCGACACACCTACCAAAAGCACAAGCACGCTCGCAGCTCCCAGTGTAGTCCAGAACACAACGCCACTCCACCAGAACCCCATCATACTCCCAGCCGCCAAGACCCCCTCCCCACCAGCCCGCCACAAAGACGCCCTTCTCAACCCCGCAGACTCCGAAAGTACCCTAACAGCCTCTACTCTCACTCTCCTCGAACCCCTAAACATCCCCCCCTCAACCCTAACCCAACTCCGCACCCTCCTAACAACCCACGACCTAAAAACTCAAGGCATCTCAAAAGGCCGGGACATCGCTCGCCTAGCGGTCAAAGCCAAGGAAGCTAAAATCGCCGAACTCGAGGCCAAGATCGTCGGGTTGGAGAATGCGAAGATTGCGGAGTTGAGGACTAGGATCGCGAGTTTGGAGGCGGAGAGGGAGGTGCAGAGGGTTGTGGTTGGGGAGTTGAGGTGGCGGGTGGCAAATCCTAATAGTGGAGGGGAGATGGATAGTCAGGAGACTATTATTTGAATGCAAAACGAGGTCGTGCTCAGGGTGTCGCTTTTCACGTTCAGAAGAGGGCTTGCTGTCGCGGCGTTCTGAGGTACGGGCTTTTTGTTCACGACTTGAGATGATATGATACCCCTAATGTGACGCGAAGCGAAGCGCTTGTACATCGCACTTTCGACGGCGATCGAGAAATTAGTTTATAGCAATTCAGTAATACAAATTTCAGCAAATCGCCTGGCCTGGAACTAGTCGATCACGATCGATGGACATGTTTACAATCGAGTCTTTCCGTTCGACCAGTCCGATGGGAATAGGATGTGACCTTATGGTGATTTGAGAAGCTGTCTCAGCAGTCTGTCATTGCCGATGGTGGTTATTGCCGTGCTCGCCAGGATAATGATCCGACGGAGCAGTGTCCTGAATTCAGCTCGCACTCACTTTGGCCGAACACTTCTTACGTCTATGCAGCTCTTACGGAGTGGCGGTCGGTGGCCGGGGTTTCGCTTATGATGGTCTAGAGCATGCGCTCTAATGGTGGAGGCGAAGAACGATATCCTTGATCAAAACAACATGACTGGTACACCGACCATGCACAACCTTGGAAGCTCGTCTTACCTAGGTGTGAGCTGCGAAGTCAAAGCACCCACAGTAGCGGGATCCTGTTCATGCTGAAGGCGATGTTTTAGGATCTTGTCAAGACTGATGATACTCTATTGTATATTGCAATCAAGCATCTGGTATACATGAAATCGGGAATCTCCCACTCCGATGCCAAACGAAAGCCAACAACCGGTGTTCACGCCTCCTCAGGCGGTATTACAGCTTGACCCACAATATCCGTTGCAATACGACTTATGCATATATTCCGACGACTTGCTCCAGCCTGCTCGTGCAGGAACGTATTGAGGTGGGGCTTCGTACGGCTGTGGTTGACGATGTTCCTGGAATTGATCGTTTCGAGATCTTTGTTGGTATGAGTTCTGGTCCTGGTCCTGTCGCGGCTGCTGCTGTTGTTCGTCGCCCTTGTTGTGATGGTTGGAGACGGCTTTCAGGCCTTCGCGGGCGATGAGGTAGATACCGCCGTACTTTATGCCGGCTTTGATGAGACCCATTGTTGCTGTTGTTGGTGGGTAGCCGGGATGAGGAGGTGTACCGGTGAGTTAGAGGTGAGTTGTCGTGGAAATTGACTTGTTGGTTGTTGGTTGTTGGTTGATGAAATCTGACGTCGGCGATGGAATGTTGCTGCTGTTCGTTTTGATGCTTGACAGAGACTTGATTGATACGATGAAGCAATGAGATACTTATATGCTTCGACTGCCATCGTTGTTCGCTATTCTAATGCCTTGTCACTTCGTCGATCGTCGTCGCTGAGGCGCAGCCAAACCTCGCGTTCGCTCGCGTTCTGCTGCGCTTGGCTGTGCCCTCGCAAGAATTACGAAGGCACCTCTCAAATGACATCTACAGATGCATTTCATCATGGCAAGACGCGCATGGTCTTCCTACACCATCCACAGCCCGAGGAAAGGCATCAGAGTGAGCTCTTAAACGGTTCATGTCCGACAGGCGCATGAAGATGCCAACCTAATGCCACGATGCACTTGTGCCTGAGGATCGCTTTCTCCGGACATCAGCGCCACCATCATGCTCCTCCAGCCCGTCGAGCTGAAGCTGCTCACAGCGCTGCTCGACATGAACCTTGAACCATCAAGCGATACTCCAAGGCCATAGCGAAGATGAGCGGCATCGAAGTGGTCGGGTTTCTACTTGGCGCCTTCCCACTTGCCATCAGCGCCGTGGAGCATTACAGAGACACTGCCAGGACTGCTGGAACCTTTTGGCGTATCAGAAAGGCGTATACCAAAGATGTGAATAGCGTCAAGTACTACCGCATGATTCTAGTACTGCACATGGAGGAGCTGCTCGCTCCCCCTGGTTGACGACCACATAACGAACGATCTCAGTAGATGTGCGGCACTTTTGCAGGATGTTGGCGGCAAAGGCTGGCGTCAGGCTGGAATCACCAAACCACTGGAGGATCGGCTCCAAAATGCGTACGGAAATTATCTGGAGACTATGCAAGAACTCAATCTTCTTATGAAGGCGCTCAGCGGAGAAATCGAAGTCGAGGACCCGCGTTTCCAGCAAATTGTAGAGCAGGGAAGTGAGAGCAAGACTGCCATGAGCCTCGACAGCCGTACGTCCTCTATGACCAAGACGACAACATTTTCAGGGCCCAGAGGCTTGTACGGTCTTGGCTCAGCACGTCGTGAATGGATCATGACGGAAGTACAACTCTACATTAACCGTCTACAGGATCTGCTTACATCGGTGGATCATATTCATGGCTCATTTTCAGAGCGTCCTCACTCGAGACGACCACCATTCGGCAAGCCAGTCTTGCGGTTGTTCACGGACTTCCGACGGGACAGCTACTGCAGTCAAGTATCAGCCTCAATGACAATGTAAGACCGCAAGCCACCCGTGCGTCGGTACCGTACGAGCAAAGAATCTGTGTGCCTCCGCAAATGTACTGCGCTGAAAAAGTGCTTGCACGGCTGATGCCACGATATACAATTGTGATAGTTACGGCATGGAGGAGAGTAGAAAGAAAGGGAAAGAGTAAGCAAAATCCCTATAGTCAGTGGCAGTATTATGTAAGTGTCATTACCAAACCTCAAGGGCGCAAATGATATAATTGAAGGAAAGCACAGAGGAAGCGAGATGCCTAGAACGTGATAGCATGGCACGGTATAGCACAATACGGCGTTGGCATAGCGTAGGATACACTTGTAGAAATCAGTCGCTTAAAAGGTATTTACAGCATCACTACCCCCTTCCTTCCTCAGAACATCTTCATACTTTGTTTCGTGCGAGACGACAAGGCCTAGTACTTCCTAGCAAAAGGCGGCACAGCTTTACACTCAGCCTCGTCAAGCGTATTGGCCTGGACCTTACGATACCTGCGCAACAAAGTCAGTACATCAACCTCCCGAAGAAGAACTTAAGCTCTCAGTGAAGGAGAAATAAACATACCCAATGTCAACACTCCCCTGCGCCTCCTTCTGCCAAGTAAGCGTGTGCTTCATCCAATTCTCATCGTCGCGATCCGGGAAATCCTCCCTCGCATGCGCACCCCTCGACTCCTTCCTGTTCGCCGCCGCCTCAGCAGTCTGCACGGCACAAGTAAGCAGATTCCTCAACTCCAACGTCTCCACCAAATCCGAATTCCAGATCATAGATCTATCCTTCGTCCCCACATCATGCCACTGCTGATCCACATCCCGAATCCTCTTCACACCCTCATCGAGCGACTCCTGGGTTCGGAAGACAGAGACATCGGTCTGCATCACCTTTTGCATAGCGGAGCGGATATCGTGGGTAGTTTTATTGCCGTTGGCGTTGCGGACATGGTCGATAGCGGCGATGGATTCGTGGCCGGCGTCGGCGGGGATCTGGTCGTGTTTCTGGCCTGGGGTGAAGTTGTCGCGGATGGTGTGGGAGACAGCGCGGCCGAAGACGACGAGGTCGAGGAGGGAGTTGGCTCCCAGGCGGTTGGCGCCGTGGACGGAGACGCAGGCTGCCTCACCACAGGCGAAGAGGCCGGGGACGACGGCGTCCTCGCCTGAGGCGGTTTGGGTCACGACTTCGCCGGTGTATTTGGTGGGGATGCCGCCCATGTTGTAGTGGACTGTTGGGAGTACGGGGATGGGTTGTTTGCGGACATCGACACCGGCGAAGATGGAGGCCGTTTCCGAGATACCCGGGAGACGCTCGTGGAGAATCTCTGGGGGTAGATGTGAGAGCTGGAGGTAGATGTGATCCTTGTCTGGGCCAACACCACGACCCTCGCGGATCTCCATTGTCATGGAGCGGGAGACGACGTCACGGGAGGCTAGATCCTTGGCTGTAGGGGCGTAACGCTCCATGAAACGTTCGCCTTCGCTGTTCAGTAGGTATCCTCCCTCACCACGCGAGCCCTCGGTGATGAGGCAGCCGGCACCGTATATACCAGTTGGGTGGAACTGCACGAATTCGAGATCCTGGTTGGGAAGGCCAGCACGAGCGACCATAGCCATGCCATCACCAGTACAGGTGTGGGCGGATGTGCAGGAGAAGTAGGCACGGCCGTAGCCACCAGTGGCCAAGACAGTGTTGTTGGCGCGGAAGCGATGGAGCGTACCGTCTTCCTGGTTGTAAGCCACGACACCCTTACAGGCACCATCCTCCATGATCAAATCGATAGCGAAGAACTCGATAAAGTAGTTGGTGTTGTGTCGCAGACTCTGTCCGTAAAGCGTGTGAAGGAGAGCATGTCCAGTACGGTCAGCAGCAGCACAGCACCGGTATGCCTGTCCACCCTTGCCGAACTTCTGGCTCTGACCGCCGAAAGCACGCTGGTAGATCTTGCCGTCCTCGGTTCGCGAGAAAGGGCATCCGTAGTTCTCCAGCTCGATGACGGACTGTGGCGCCTCGCGTGTCATGTAATGGATAGCATCCTGGTCACCCAACCAATCCGAACCCTTGACCGTGTCGTACATGTGCCACCGCCAGTCATCCTCGTGCATGTTGCCTAACGCGGCGTTTATGCCACCCTGCGCAGCCACAGTATGTGATCGTGTAGGGAACAGCTTGGAGATACACGCGGTGTTGAAACCTGCCTCGGCCAGACCGAAAGCGGCCCGCAGACCAGCGCCACCGGCTCCGACGACGAGGGCATCGTACTCGTGCTCGATGACGGGGTATTTGCTGCTCAGGAAGGGTGAGGCTTCCCGTGCTCGGAGAGGGCCATTGGGTGTGATGATCTTCTGCGCGGCGACTGTGCGGGAGAAGTTGCGAGTCTGCCGGGCGAAGTTCGTTGGGCCGCCGAAGCGACGAAGGGTCGAGGACAGCATTGTGTGTATCCCAGGCGCCTGTGATGGGTGAATGGGGCGGAGGAGGGGAGATGTGGTCGTGTGTAGGAAGTGAGAGGCGTAACGTGCGATCGAGACTTTGAAGTGATGGCGTCGATACTCTACTTTAGACTTGCCGTCGATCTAGCCGAGGAGTGAGCTAAAGCTGCATTTCGAGGCTTATGATCAGCTGGCGGAGCTAAGCGGATCGAGGTCGACAGCAACGTCTTCTACGCCATCTCACCCCTCATGGTCTTTCCCCTTGCAGCAACTCAAAGCCTCAAAATTTCGCCTCATCACGATCAGTGGCGATCACGGTGGCGGTCCAACGTTGTCAAGTTGTTCACGGTTTCACCGGCTTTCGACCACAACATCCCGGAAAGCCGAAACCGGCCAGAGCTATGACTGGGAGGCTCCAGTGCGGTTTGTATGGACACTTCGACATCAAGCATCTGAATATCATATGGGCCAAGCAAATACATACTCCATCCATTACACCGAAATCACCAGCAGCAAGAACTGCGTAGACCTCGTTTGCCGGCGTGATACCAAGGCATTGCCACTGTCTCAACTGCCATAAGTGCTACACATTCAAGACGATGCTCACGAAGGTACCTGCCATCTCAGTGCGCCCCTTGATCTTGCTTACAAAGATATAACCTCCGCAGGTATCCAGGCACGAGCAGGGCGGTGTCGTAGTATGCACGACCATGCAAGCCTGCCATCCCTGTGCAACGAGCAACTGTGCAACGCATTGAGCCGGACGACAGTAACGATGCATGAAGCACACGCACATACACGCTTCCGTTTGTGTATGCATGAGTAAAATCAGGTAGGAACAAATCCTCCAACTCTCCATATCACCCCTCCTCCAAGCCATCACGTCCCCCCTTCTGCTCAAACCAAATCTCAACGTCACTGAACCAACTGTCATTTTTGCACTCGCTTGAATTCAACACCATAACGACCAAATCCACAACTACACCAATAAGCGTTGATCACAGCCAAGATGCCATGCCTCGTCAAGTCCCTCGCTATCCTCGCCATGGCCACCACAATGCTGTTCGCAGACGCCGCCACCACTACACCAGATTGCCTGGTTTGCCACCATCTAATCCCAAATCTCCTCTTGACCCACCACTAACACCCTAACCCCTCCCAGTCAACCTGTCTGACCAACACAACCTCGCCCTGCTCCCTAACCTCCCTCCCACTCCTCATGACCTGCCTCACAACCACCTGCCCCAACACCAGCAACCTCCTCGTGGAACTCCAGGTAACCTACACCCCCAAACAAACCTACCAGTGCGAAAACGACCTCTCCGGCTCCTCCACCACCTCGAGCCCAACTTTCACTCTCAACGGAACCGGCGACTGCGCGACCAGCCCCTGGGATTTCCTGTCTCTCGTAGCGGGTCCGAAGGAGAATCAGAGGGTAGTAGATACCGAGTGTCAACTCGCTGTGTATCCTGAGACGAAGTGTGGTGGAGAGGGGAAAATGATTGGGTTGGTGGATGGAGCCGAGGAATGTCATTTTGTGGGGGGGAGGAGTGCGAGGTTGGTTTGTGAGGGTGGGAAGGCGGAGGGTGTTGGGGGTGGGACGAGTAGCGGTGAGTTGTCCCGACATGGCCTGGCAGGTGCAATTTTGAAATGCTGGAGAGGCATAGACTGACCCTTCTCTTTTTCAAGCCTCACTGCTAGCAGAGATCCAAGCCCTCTGCTCCTCTACCCACCTCGCAACGAACGGTACCGCTATCCCGTCTGCTTTCTCGGATACTGCCTATGGAGGGTCTGCCACAGCAACTTTCGAAAACGCCACTACGTCCGCAGCAGTCGGTCCGGCTTCCGTGGAGACAACGTGGACAACCACTAGGCACGGGAATATCACAGCAACGACCATCGTCACCGACATAAGTCCCACCACTTCGCGCCTGACGACCGGCCTTGTCACTACCAGCGCTGCTGCAACAGCGACCGCTAACACGTCCAAGACGTCTGCGCCGCCGGCACCGTATACTGGCTCCGCGAAGGTTGTGCAGAGGTGGTGTGGTGTAGGGTGTATAATGGGGATGGGGATGATTGGTGGTGTGTTTGGTATGTTGTGATGGGTAATGATGGAGATACACGAGAGAGGGGAATTGACGAGATGGGACGGAAGATCAGGGATGGAGACGGTGGCAGGAGAGGGAGCATCCGATCATTTTTTGACTCGTCTGGCTTGATGTATAGTGTAGCAAAGAGGCCAGTGCCAAGAGGTGGTCTGGGAGACCGAGAGTAATAAGATGCTCAGAGACCGTAGAAGATATCTCAAAAGCCATGAGTCTGATAGTCAGTGCATGCTTCGGCAAACGGAGCAACGACAACTTTGCTTATCAGACGCAGCTTCGAGATTCTTCATCTACGTGCACGGTCTCTCGTGGTGTCAAAGACACGACTGCCACAACAGTCATCTGTCGAAACTGAGTTCAGATTCATAGATCCTGTTATGAGGTGGTCGATCTTCTTCAAGAAATGGTATGAAAGCTCGACAGCTGGACGCAAAACAACCACAACTCCATGGTCTAGTTGACGTCGCGAGCTCTGTGTCTCTCGAGAGTCGACTCTGTCGTCAAGTTGGGGTCCAGTCGACGCCGCGACCCTGCCTTTCGACTATCAAACTTGTCGTCAAATTGTGGTCCATGAGACTGGTAACTCGGGAACAAGTCTTTGCATTGTGTACCTTGAAGGAAACGTGATCAGAAAGGCGATGAAAGAGCGAAGAGGGGTCCGAAATGAGCTAGGCTTGATTACCGTCAGCCTGGTGTCGTATTGGCAAGCCGAAGTAGCTTTTCGCTGGGAGCTGAGCCACGAATCAGGCTGGAGTGCATTTCATGTTGTTTCCGAGCTTGTTGTTGTCAATCGATGGCTGTAGGCTGTGGCGGGTAGATGCCCTGCAGCGAAGATTGAAGGATTCTTTTGTTGCTTTCTCCATGGAGCGTGGTCATCGTCAGGGATCTGTATGTGCTGGGGCGTGCCCCAAGAGATTTACCGATGCAAGAGGAGGAGCCATACCATCTTCCGCGTAGTGTCGTGATTAGTTGTCGTGGTGCATGGCGGACTCGAAGTATACATCTTGCCAGTGAGATTTTTGTCCCAGTGTGGCCGGACATAGTAGCCCACTACATGCACGGTGAGAAACACTTCCCGAGCTAGGACGACTGATATGGTCCGTTATGGTAAGCATGTTCAGAAGATAACCTTCGCCACGTGGTTTGGCCTTGTCCTCATTGGATTTACCCTACCTTCGAAGGTGCATATGACACGCACATGTTGCAAGCATCGTTGATAACTTTTTCGTCCCCTCATCTTCTTCTCACCATGAGCATCCACTTCTGTAGTCCGCTGGCCGACTTGCTCTTGTTGACAGCCCACTTCCTCCTCCAACTTCGACCACTCTCGTTCCCTGCTCCTGGGAGGTGTCACTCCCGCACAAAGCAGCATACTATTCTTTCCGCACTCTCCTTGATCTGCCATGGACATTGCGCAGTCGAAACCAGACAGCTGCCGTTCGTTTCTTTACAAGCTGGTAGTCTCCATTCCACAAAAAGAGAAACTCCTCCGCTAAAGCACAGCAGTCGTGGACAGCGCCACCACCGGCTTTAGACTGGATTTCTGTGTTCAAGCCGAATATAATACAACCACTACCATGCTCAGTCTTGGCCTGGTCGCTGTTGCAACGGCCACACTCATCTTCTGCGCAGGCGCCTCCCCAATCAAGCGCGACGCCGCCAAGGGACCACTGGCCCTCGTGATCCAGAACAATACGCCCAGCTCGAACGTGAGCGTCTACTTCACGGCTAGAGATCCCAATGGCGGCGATGTATTTCTCGGTAGCAATGGCCAATGGACAAGCACATGCGCCGGCCGCTCTGGCTCCGGCATGCAACCCATCCCAGCAACTCTTATCGCGTATCGCTTGAAACAAGCAGGAAGTGTCACACCGATAACTTTGCCTCGCGGCATGGTTTCTGGTCGCATGTACACCTCGATCAACGGCCTGGACTTCTTCACAGTCGACGGCTGCGGTCTCGTGCAGCCATACTTCCAGGACCAAGGTTCGGCGAATTACGTGAAGAATTGGGGCTTTTTAGAGTTCACGCTCACACAAACAGATCTGTGGGTCAATCCGACTTCAATCGACTTTGTCGGCTTGGCGCATGGTTTCGTCGTTGAGACTCCGAAGGGTAATATGACAACCATGGGTATGGCTCATGGTGCCGTCCAGACGGTGTGCGACAGGATGCACAACATTACCAAGCAGACTGGAGATCTCGCGTGGTCAAGCCTTTGCCTATCGAGTAATGGGATACCGGTTCGAGTCGTCGGTCCCGAGCATCACGACGATCCCAAAGCGCTCGCATCGTACTGGCAATCGTATGTCGATGCTGTGTGGACCAAATACCGCAACCAGCCACTCCACGTCGACACGCAAGGCGCGTCCGGCATCGTCGATTGCCAGGTCAGGGGCGACATCATGTTCTGCGATAATGAGCAGTTCGCCAAACCGAACTCGTCCGACATCTGGGGCTGCGCCTCAGGTACGTTCGCCAATGCCGGATCAGGCAAGCATATAGCGCTCGCAGCACGCATCAGCGCGGCGTTCCATCGTGGCACGCTTTTGCTCGATGGCGGCGACAAGCAGCCTTTCAAGAACGCGGATTTGTTTTACTCTGACAAGACGGTTAACCATTATGCCAAGGCGGTCCATGATGTTGTGTCGGATGGCCGTCTGTATGCCTTCCCGTACGATGACGTCAATGCCTACGCCGTGGACGCCAGTGGCACCATTAGTTCGGGCGATGTTACCAGACTCTTCATCGGCGTTGGTGGGCCAGTGCATTGAGAGCGTAATAGTTGGCGGGATTCAGACGCTGGCGCCCACTAGGGATCACAATCAGGAGGGTGCATGACGGCTTCCAGCTCGCGCACGCGGCTGAGGGCATGAAGGACTTCGTCTTCGAGTGTACAGCGGTCTTCATAAAGCTTGAAGGCGCTACTGCGAAGCACAATCCGTGCCAATTGAGAACCACAGGAGATATGGGCAGCCGAGTCTGTCGTGCTGCCCAATCAATAGTCGGAGCTGGTATCCAACTTGAGGGGATGTCAAAGGTAAAGCCCCACCTGTAATATAGCCGTGACCTTGTCATAGCTCGAAATCAAATCTCTAGGCTCCTGCTACACTCGCAAATGTATCGCGGTCATACAATAGGCAGCCGGCATATCTAATGTGGTGTCACAAACCAGAGCTGCTGACGTCAGACCAAGTTTCGAGGTTTCCTGCAGTCCATCACTTTGCATTGTTTTGACCCTTATGTTGCTCTGAGTGAGGTCCCAAGTGGCGATGAATGAGTATTGTGATATACATGAACTCGCCGAGAGAAGAATGTTCGCATGTTTTGTCTCCGCTGTGTTTCTTTCAGCGGCTCATGACAAAATCACCATTGATTAGCGATTGCTGCAGCTCGGCACGAGTAGCTCTCATGGCCAACACTGAGGCCTTGAAACTCTCGAGCTTGGTCCGGAGATACCGTTCAAAGGCGTACCAGCTAAGCAATGTCATGTCATGCTCATGTTCGTTTCGTACAGCCGGGATGTCCTTCGTCCCCACGTATAGTGGTGCGATGTACGTGTGGAAGTCTTGTGATTATCATTGTTCGAGTGAGCGAGTGACAGCAGTTGCTTCTGCTCTTGGTTTAGTCCATCAACATCCAGCGCGTTGGTGTCCAGGTCAGCTCGACGGCCAGCCGGACAGTGTCGCAGTGCTGAGTCGGAAAGGTTCTTCCTACGATGATGCTCCGTTCGGTCTGTCCAAGGTCTTGCGGCCATCAAGACTCTGGTGTCGCGGTGTAGAACACATATGCTTGCTCTCGAGTACGGATGAGTTGCAGTCGAGATGGCACTAGCGCGTCAGGACGCGTTAGCTTCGCGCTTGAGACGATTCAGGGGCAAAATCCGCTGAAGTTTGAACAATCATTAGGCATTTCATCGATAATTGACGACATGGAATCGTCGAGACCACTACCGCCATGATCAGACCCGTACGATGTTCACTCAATCGTACATCATCGATGAAGACCCAGGCATGGCGACAAAACACTCCCCGGACAACTTTCAGAACGTCCTGGTGGCAAAAATCGGGCCAATGCAGACGCTATGCGAATGGGAGGCCTGAGGGATCCCACAATGCGCCTGCTACTGTCCCATCACCCACATTACCTGCTGGTTTGATATCACTCGGTCCACTTCAGGCGTACGGACGCATGCAGAAGCGTAGTCCATACATAACGCAAATATGCACCTCGGCCACCATCTTCTATCTTGGCGATCTCATCTCCCAAACCATAACCGCAAAGCCTTACGAGCCGCTCAGTGGCCTTCGTGGCCTCATCATAGGCGCTGGTCTGGCAGTACCTGGTTACACCTGGTTTATGTGGCTGGCACGCAACTTCAATTACGCTTCTTGGCCTCGATCACTGGCCACAAAGGTCCTGTTGCAGCAGATGGTGTTCATGCCTCTGGTTCAGACGTACTTCTTCAGCATGCAGACTTTTCTCTCGGCTGGGGGGCTGGACGAGGCGAGGAGGAAAATAGTGGACGCTGTGCCCGTGACCTGGGTGAACAGTTGGAAAGTCTGGCCTCTCGTCATGGGCTTCACGTTTACCTACGTGCCGATGCAGTATCGAAGTTTGTTCAATGCCTTGGTGGGGACATGTTGGCAGACGTACTTGTCTTGGGTGAATCAGAAGATGAAGGCGATAGAAGCTACGAAGGGCGATGAGCGTGCCAGTGCTGCCCTCGGCGCCAGATCTGTACAGCAAGCTGCATAGAACGATCGAAATAATAGACACAGAATTCATACATATAGATCCGCGACACAGATGGAGCAGATAACAGAAAACTAGCAAGGCAAGGATAGCAGCATGACTTGCCAGCACTACTCATGTGACATGCGTCTTATTGCGATCTCGATACGACCTGCTGCCACAGTACTGCAGAGCTATGCTGGCTCAGGAGTTCCCATACAATTGGCCCCCATCTTGCACACTTACCGCCTGCGAATGAAAGTCCATCAACGCATCTTGTCTCACAACCATGAAACCATTCTTAGTACATTCCTCGTATCCAGCCGAGTCCGACACTGGAAAAGTTGAAGATGTGCAAGAGTAGCCCCGTGACGACTACTTGCAAGTGCGACACAGCACGGCGGAGACAAAGGAGGCAGGTTCAGCTCGGCATCAGCTTGCGCCTGCCTAGGTCTATATCAAGTTCAGCAGTTGCGGCAGTCTCATCTGTTCACTTTGCACTTCTGTTGACGTCTCAGCGTTATCACTCCACCAACATCAACGCACTCTTCGCTAGACGATCACGGCCATCCTACAATCAACTCGAGGTACGTAAAGCACTAAGATACTCTCTATCATGACATGATCGAGCTGATGTTCCCAAGTTGGAAGAAGATATAATCGTGCTCAATACCTCTTCCAACCTCAACTTATCATCACGACCAAGATGAAGACCACTCCAATCCTCGCAAGCATCGGCGCCATGGCCACCGCTGTGCAAGGCCTCGAGATCGCCACCTACACAGATGCACACTGCAGCATCACTGGCCCGAGTCTCGACAACTCCACCAAGCAATGCGTCACCAGCTCCATTGGCTTCTCGTCTCTCGAGCTCTACAGCCAACCTTCCGACGGTGCAGTGACACTGTACTCCGGGGCCAATTGCTCCGGTGAGACTCATGGTGTCAATCTGATGTATCGTGGTTGTCTGAACCTCGGTGCATTTGTGGCGAAGTCTGTTGACTTCTGCGGATGACGGGTGAAGCCAAAGGGCAACCATCTATGTTATGGGTGAGCGAATGATGGAATGAGCTACGCTGTTGTGTCATCCCATGAAGGAATTCTGTAGACGAGGTGGCCAATGGATTTGTTGTACCAAAGATCTAGATGAAGGCGCAGCAGTCTGCTGTTCGTGGCGAGACTTGAAGGAAGTGAGATGTTGTTTCATGTGGTATTCAGTCGAAGAGATGCTCATTTGTTCCTGTGTTTGTCTGCTCGCTCGTCAACTTCTTCGAGCGCGGAGCTCATCTATAAGATATTTTGGCAATTTTAATCAAAGGAGTGACGGTTGAGCAGTTCCTCCATTCGTGTCGAAAGGGTCCGTGCAAGTCGTCGTTCCGGTATTAGTAATACTCAGCCTTATCCTTTTGAGCTCGATCGACTCCGCCGCAATAATCTCACCCCTTAGATGCAGCTCTTGCCGCTGTATCACGCCACACCCGCCAGGCGGTGACACGGCCAGCTGCAGCAGTGGAGCAGCCCAAAGGCTTATGGCTGAGGGATGCACCAACTCGAGTCTGCCGCTTTGCCATTGGGTGTGTCGCCTACGATACTCTTATGATTAGCCAGCTAGGTGCCGCCGGGTCAGTGACACCGCCTGAGACGATTTCTTGACACGCGCCACGGGTGGGCATGTGTTGCGGTATTGTCGATACCAACACACCTCATCTCGGCCTTTGTGGCAGGCAGCACGGAAGGGCGAAGTCTTTTGCTCCTTCGCGCTCGCTAATGTAGCTCCGAAATACTTATGATGCTCTTGCCCGCACCCTGTTCCTGTTAACATGACAGCTAGGCTGTAGAAAGTGCCATCTACACGGATCGAAAGGCTGGGTCTATCTAGCATTGGCTACGACCAAGAGGAGCATGTATCTGGACACTGATCTGACTTCATAGCATCGCTTGGCTTGGCTTGCTACACGACACACCCATTAATTCATCGTATTGACAGCGCCTGGAAGCGCGGGACTATCTGCCCAGCATGGCGCTCACCACCCCTCTCACATCGACACCTACAATAGATCCTGCGGTATCTTCCTCTCTTCTGGCCGCGTATGGCAATGCCACCGGTACTAACCCTGCTTTCGCTGGTCTTCTTCAATTCAACAACATGTCTTCCAAGCAGTTCGACGCCGCCGCCTACAGCCTCAACACATCTCAGACAGGATGCTACAGACAGGGAGCCATGCCTGTAGCACTAGCCGGCAACGACACCTGCTTACTCGGCTGGTATTGTCCTAACAGCACAGATGACTTTCCGCCCCAGTACTGCCCGCCCGATGAAACGTGTCTTGCGAAGCGCAGTAGTAGAGCTACGTGTGATTCGGTGCAGGGCTGGCTAGAACCGAAGATATGTGCAGATGGATTCTACTGCCCGCCAGGTGGGAAGCAGCAGCTGCCTTGTCCAGAAGGGACATTCTGCCCGAGCGGCAGCTATGAACCCTGGAATTGCACATTCGGCGCCCATTGTCCCGCAGTCAGCAAGAGGCAGATTGTGACGGTACCATTGGGCTTGACGCTTGTTATTGATATCGCTCTGCTTCTGGCTATGGTGGTCTGGTTCGCCGTGGAGAGATGGAAGAAACGGCGCCCAACGCGGTATACCACTCTGGATCAAGGGGACAATCCAGACGATGTGGAATTACTAGCAGCGCCAGCCAGCATAGCCAGGTCACATTCGCCGAGCTTATCAATCTCTAGTCCTGCTGGTGAGACGACGGAGATGTTCCAGCCGCAGTCGAGACGAGCGAGCGGCAGGGTGGACAATATGGATGGTGTAATGGACGACGACAACGACGACAACCTCTCGCAGTACGACGACTATGATGCAGTCGATGATGATCTACACAACTCACCCGATATGCAACGATTCATCCGAAACATGTCTCGCACCATCGAGACGAACTCGATCGGCCTCTCCTTCGACTTTGAGAAACTTTCCTTCCAGACCAGCAAGGGCAAGAAGATTCTGCAGGATGTCACGGGCACAATGCCACGAGGAAGCTGTTGGGGTGTCATGGGCGGTTCCGGAGCCGGCAAGAGCACATTCTTGAACGTTTTGATGGGCAAGATGACGGCTACGGGAGGTTCGATCAAGATCAATGGCTGGACGAAGGACATGAGCAAGTACAAGAAATTGATTGGATATGTGCCGCAGGATGACATTGTCTTCCCGGAGCTGACGGTGAGAGAGAACATTCTACATTCGGCGAGAGTGCGGTTACCAGCCAGCTGGAGGGACAAGGCGATACAGGACCATGTCGATGCGCTTATTGCGTGTCTGCAGCTGTCCCATGTCCAGCACAGCCGTGTGGGTGATGCACGTAATCCTGTGATTTCTGGCGGGCAGAGGAAGCGAGTCAACATTGGTATGGAGTTGGCTGCAGCACCAATGGCTATATTTTTGGACGAACCTACTTCAGGTCTCGACTCTACCAGCGCCGCGACTATCATGAGATTATTGAGGGCCATCAGCAGACTAGGCGTCACCACAATCGCCATCATTCATCAACCGCGCGAGCAGATCTTCTACGGCTTCGATCAGTTGGTTCTGCTCGCACAAGGCAAGAGTGTGTACAGCGGTGCCACAGAAGATGTGCAAAGCTACTTCGAAGGTCTTGGCCTCGCATTTCCGCAACGCAGTAACCCAGCCGACACTCTAATCGACATCATCACTGGCGACGGAGCGCAATACACACTTGGCGGCAGTAAACGCGACACCGCCACTGAAATCCTGATCGCAGAATGGAATAACAAAGGTCAATACGGCAATCATAGCAGACACCTCCAAGTCGGCGACCTCCCGGTCAAACGCAACCGCCGTGCAAGCAACCAATCGATGAATTCTACAATCGAGCAAGAAGAAAGCCTAAAACGAACGATGAAAGCCCGAGGTGCGACGTGGCCCGCACAGGTCTATTACTGCTGGGCCCGCGCAATGCGCCAACAAATCCGCAATGCTACCTCCTTCTTCTTCGAGATTGGTGTTGGTGGCTTGGCTGGTATAATCATCGGACTTTCCGCTTTCGCCGCCAATGGTCATTTATTCCAGGGAATATACCATCCGCCTTTCACTATCCTCAGCAGTGCAGTCGATTATGCAAGTACGCCGCAGATAGGACTGCTTGGTGGTATGGCGATTGGACTTGCGGCCTCTGCGCCGGGCTTCTGGGTGTTCGGGGAGGAGAAGTTGATGTATTATCGGGAGACGGCTTCGGGACACTCGAGGAGCGCTTATTATGTTGGCAAGCTCTTCTCAACATTGCTTCGGATCGGTCTTAGCAGCCTACACTTTACCGTCTTCCTTGGAGTCCTGGCCACGCCTTTGATATCCTTCCAGGACATGTACGCTGCGAATTTGGCTTACTTCTGGTGTATCTACGGCCTGGCATCTGTTGTCAGTATGGTCGTCAAACGGGAAGATGGCCCTCTGCTATCTGTATTGGCCTCACTGGTTATTGGAGTTTTAGGGGGGGTTGCACCGCCACTGTCGAAGGTGAAGCAGTGGCATATGGAATGGTTCTGGCGCTTGAGTCCAGGCGTATGGTTTACGGAGGTGTACGTGACGCAGAACTGGAGTCCGATGGCATATCTATATGAAACGGAGCTGGCTGCTAAGGGTATTGGGTTTACGCTTGGGCAGTTCGGGACAGATATTGGGTAAGGAATTCCTCTAACAAATTGCGTGGACGAGATTTGCTGACTCCATTTGCAGAATATTATTCCTCATCGGCGGCATATACCGAATCATTGCATACTTCGCATTGATAGCAGTTCACCGAGACAAGCAGCGGTGAGATTACACGACACAATGTACAAGTATACATATATCAGATCTACTTATGATTACCTTCCAACTTCTCTCACTACGCTGGCCCGCAGTCGCTCTCCATCAAGACACTTTTGCCCCTGGCAGGTTTGCTGATCTGTGTGAACTCTAGAATGCCTGCTCGAGCCCCGGGGACGAAGAATATGCGGAAACGGGCGGCGAAGTTCCAGATCATTGAGGTGCTGGACTTGCCAGCACAGTGTTGCAGGCTCCGCTGATGTTACTTTGCCGTACAGAGATTGAGCCTGTTCAAATGCACACAATGACCCGATGCGAGCCCAGGAGACTGGAGGCGTGCCTACATACATTTGTAATGACACTCACCTGTGCCCGGACTTTTGACAACTAATAGCTTCATCCATAATGGTGGTGGCTCGTATGTTTGGAGTGACCTACTCTCTCCCGAGCAATGCGAATGAGCTCGAGAACTCTTCCGTCACGACTTTGCTTCAGAAGCAGCATACCTCAAGCAATCGAGAGCGACACAAAGCTCACTTTGCTACTTGTCTAGACCAATGGCTCCGCTCGTAAATCGACAATGGAAGCTGTGTTCTCCTAAAGACTGCATTCGTGCTTCTTTACCGGGATACAGCACGATCGTTCCAAAGCTGCCTTTACCATGCTTGCTGACAGCTCCATGCTCCCTTATTAGTCCTTTCTGCCAACAATGACAACACTACCTAGCCCAGCGGGACAGTATGCTTGCCACTTTCCACCAGAAAACGCGGCGAACAATGCAGGACGTCATGTATCTTCATGGACATCTCGCTCTCAAGCTAGAACACACCATCCTCTCCCAGCACAATTAGATCCAACCAAGATGAAAAACAACAGACGACCACGGAGCACCAGCGCGAAACCTGTTGCCATTGGACTCTACGGAGTCCCCGGCGCAGGCAAGACGACTTTGCTTCGCCAACTCAAAGGTGAGCTTGGCGAAGATCATTTTTTATGGTGCGAGGGCTCGGAACGACTTGCCAAGCTAATTGAAGGCGGGCTGGATGCCTTCAAGGCTTCCTCAGAGGCTATGAAGGAGAGTTTGCGGAAGGCATGCATCAAGCAGATTGGGCGAGAGGGCGAAGAGCAGCGGAGGGTTGGTGTTGTGACGGGCCACTACTCTCTGGCTACTACCGACCGCTTCGACAGTCTGGACGGACGCAGATGCAGACACATTCACCCATATCTTCTACCTCGACTCACCTCCTTCGGTCATCCTGAATCGACATGCAGACGATAATGGTCACAATCGACGAATCCGTTCTGCGATTACAGAGATCGAATTGCAAGAATGGCAGGACAGGGAGAAGATCAGTCTCCAGACTGTATGCGCGGATAAGAACATCGTATTCGAGGTTGTCAGCGGTCTCTATCCGTTCGAGGCAATCTTAAACCCGATTACCTACTATGTCAACGACGCTATCTTCAACATAAGCCGCGCACTGGTCGAACTTGATCACAGGATGGCAAATATGGTGAACAACTGCCAGCTACAAAAGATGTTTGTGTTCGATGCGAACAAGACTTTGGCTGCTCAAGATACTGGCAACATGTTCTGGGAGAAGCGTGGTCGTCGAAACCGACTGAAAGAGGTATTTAGTGAGTCAAGAGGCTACTCGTACGATAGCTTTCGCAAGGTCTGCGACATATACGATGACGAGTGCGACGTGGAGGACTACGAGAAGTCTTGCAAGGATGTTGCCAAAGAGGTCGTTATTCATCCAGAGCTCATGGCGTTTCTGGACCATGTCAAGGACGAAGCACATGTCGGCGCAGTCGTGCTCACTGCTGGTCTTGGGTCAATCTGGAAGGAAGCCATAGCAACCTATGATTTGTCACGCGCTGCTTTCGTCATCGGCAATGGTCAATCAAGCAATGGCTTCGTTGTCACTCCTGAGGTCAAGCGAGCCATTATCGCTAGACTGCAGCAGCGCCATCAGACGTTCGTGTATGCCTTCGGAGACAGTGAAGTCGATGTTCCTATGCTCAAGCAAGCAGATGAGGCGATCGTGGTCGTTCACGAAAGCAAAGAGAGTGACAGCATCGATACCGTTTTGAACAATGCAATCAAGACGGGTGAACTGCAAGCGAAACAGCTAGTTTTGGGATCGAACACCCGACAGCGTCTTGACAGTCAAAAGCTGCCGTTCATCAGCTTGGCGAAACTCGATACCAGGGAAGACATGCTCGCTCATCGACCACTGCAAGTGACGCACTTCACCGGCACATCTGCTGAGCGACTTCTCACCACAGCCACGCGCAACTCCAAGATCAAGGGTCTAGATTTACGTGAGGCACATCGCAAGATTGGGTATTATCTGGCGCTGCACTGTCTCGGTGACCTTTTGGGCTTGGCGGCTTTCGACATTCCACATGTTCAGGCAGGCAAGAGCACTACTGGCCATAAGCTAGCAGAAGAGGAGATTGTGATTGTGCCGCTGATGCTGGGTGGCGAGCCGATGGCACTTGGGGTGGCTGAACTGTTCCCTAACGCACTATTCGTCCATGCTAAGAAGCCGGATGAGTTGCAGGGCAAGCATCTCTTCGGCATCAAGACGGTCATTCTGGTCGATTCGGTTGTGAATGATGGTACCTCCGTGGCGGAGTTCGCCATGCAAATTGACAGGATCGTTTCCGGAGTCCATATCGTGGTTGTAGCCAACGTTGTGCAAGCATTGTGCGCAAACTCCGATGGACCGCTTGCTCGGGCTCTCCCACCGCGCAGTAAGGTAAGCCTTGTGGCTCTCCGTCTGTCGACGAACAAGTACAAGGGTTCAGGAGGGACCGACACGGGCGCTCGCTTGTTCAACACGACGGAGATGGAAACGATTGAGAACCAGCGGAAGAAGGTATCGCAGCAGGTGCAGTGACAGTGATGTTAGAGAAGGCTAATGGGTCGAAGGCGACATTACAGGCGTCCCTGATTGGCTGATAAAGGACAAGTATCAAGTCTGTTAACGAAAGCAGATTGGTGACGGACGTGTAGCTCCGAGAGAAAGCCAAAGCTTCTGTATACCATCGGCCATTCTACTTACTCGTCTTGTGAACTTCACGAGGTTGTGATAATTGCAGAGAACGCTGATGGCACGTTTTACTCTCAGCTCAACGGATAGTACTGTGCTTCGTGTCCATGTGCCTTGACCCATGGACCATGCATAAGCCCCGGCAAGATAGCTTCGCCGATGATGATGTACGTCTGGCCCAGTTGTCGCAGGACCATTGGGCGACTTGCACCCAGAGGTATGACAAGTATGTCGTCAGGTCGCATTATTGACGGTCCAAGTCCCACAAACCCTCCGGCTGTCTTAAAGAACTCTTGACACCTGCTCTTGGCGGAGTAGTGGTGCATCTCCAGGTCGCCCTCTCGTCGCATGTTGTGTGTCTCCAATTTCAATACCTCCAGAACATTGTTTCGCGCAAGGACGTTGCTCCTCATAGGTCGGTGGTAGTGCTGAGACGCAAAGTAGTACATTCTGTGTTGTGTGCGTGCAAAGGAGAACAGATTCTCGACATCGAACGCAACCTTGAAGTCTCGACAGATGCTCTCGTCCATGAAGGCTGCATCCCAGGGCGCTTTGTTGCTGTCGACCATCCTTCTCACTTCAAGGATGTTATCCTCACGAGCGAGGAATTCACGCCGGTGGCTCCAGTATTCCTGGACATAAAGCTCGTCTTGGTCGTTGTATAGGCCTTCGTCTTTCACGTAGTTGACATCATCTTTCTCTTGACCTGCGTAAGCCTTCCACAAGTTTGTCGTGTTATACGCTGGCGCTGCTCCATCAACATCTCCAGACATGTAGTCATGCTCGTCAAGATGATTGCGCTGCTCTTCGAACAGGAACTCCAGCATGAGGCGGCCGATCCGAGGCGCCCGATCAAGGTTGTCAACACGCATCTCGCGACTGAAGTCGAAAGCAAGATCCTCTAGGATCTTCTTTACCAAGGTGCCGGGCTGCATGAAACCGTTGTAGATCAGCTTGCCGGAAGGGCAACTTTCGTACGTCTCATCGGCCAATGATGTAACACGAGAGATCTTGCCGAATAATGTTGCCTTCATCTCGAGGATGCGTGGAAGGGTTTGTGTGGCGTTCTCATCATTGAGCGCAGGACGCAGACGAACGTCGGGTCCGAAGCCAGCCACGCTACCAGCGCAGTACTCGTCCTTGCCGCGAGTCAAGTCACGGGACTGTAGGCGCTGAAAGTCCGGAATCCACGTTGGTAGCACTCCTGGACCATAGCCAGTGCCGTGTGTGCGATCTAAACGCCTATCCAGCAGCACATCGATTGTGCCTGTATTGTTGATTAGCAACATTGTGGCATCTTCAAGCACCTCTAAAATGGAATTTCCATAGTCGGGTTTCAGCATGTGGGCCGTTATACCACACATGTTAAGCAAGGCGAATATACGATCTCGAGGGTCACTGCAGCCAAATGCTCCGGTGTTCGCTAGCAAGTCGTGCAAGGAGCGATCATCGCCCGTTCGTAATTGCTTGAACAGTTCCAGTGGTTCGCGAATGCCTTCTATGTTGGACGTGACCCGAGCGAAATGATCCCAGCTGATCGCATGTTGTGCCACGTAGACCGATGGAGCAAGTTCCGAGTAGTGGAATCTGCTTCTGTAAGCCAAGGCTTGTCCGACGCCGAACGACTCATACTTACTCCTGTACACACCATAACCTCTTCCACCACACACTGCCTGATCCTGTTAGTTCTAGCTCCTGCGAAAATCTGCGAAGTGCATCGCGGAGCTTGTTCTCGTCGCCAAAATGCTCCCGTGCAGAGCCTGCTCCTCGACAGCATAAAGTCGCGTTGTGAACATCATCACCGTCTGCGACATCACTTCTCAAGCAGCTGGCCTCGGCTTCCGTCTGCTCTAGCTCGGAGATCCATATTAAAGTCCTGCGTGCGTGTGCATAGATATTGCCCATCAGCGGAACCTGGTGATTCATCTCATGGAGGCTTGCCTGTGCATGGAATTAGCACATTCTGGAGACCTGGTCCATCCTGGGCACTTGCTAAACGCTTACTTGATTTATGCAAATGGCATCTATCCATAACCAGCGCGGCTTTTCTTCGAAGCGTAGGCGCCGTAGAGCTCGGGCAAGATGTCTTGAGACTCTATAGCCGAAACGTGAATTGACCTTTATGTATTCGCTATTTTCGTCACTGCCCCAGCAATAGCTCAATGCTTCGTAGGTGTTGCGCACACTACTCAAAGTGCGAGCGTGAAACGTGATCGAGATCATACCATCGATGCCTGGAGAAAGGTTGACCAGGCGTATTTCGTCGCTGCTTGTTAGCTCAGAGAGATAGAAATTCTGATTCGCTATCGCCCTCGCTCGTGCAGTGTTCACGACGGTCGGGTGGCGGTTCCAAAACTCGTCTCTCTGCTCTTGTAGCTCACCCGGTGTGAGCAGTACCTTTTGCAAAGCTCGAGCGTCTGTTGCTGTTGAACATCGTGCAGCTGGCGTCACCACAACCGTGTTCGATGTGTTCTGTGGAAGCGATGGTCGTTTTATTATCCGTTCTGGCGCTGTATCGCCGTCAATATACTGGTTACTTTGGTCAGCGCTGGAAGCGCCATGCACCGGAAGAGGTCGGCGAGGTACATGATGAAATACAGGTCGAGGCTCCGCCGGGTGAAAGTACGACTCGGCGCTATTCCCGGAAGTGTTCCTGGCGTGAGCTCCTGAAGAACCGGATATCGTTTTAGCAGCGCTTAGAGGACTAGTATCCCACGAAGGCGCTGTGTCCTGGAATTTCGACTTCGGCGAGGTACCGAAGCGTCCTGCGCCGACCTCGTCGGAAGATACTAAGCTGGACGGGTTCGTGCTACTTCCTCTGATCGAGACGGGCTCCGACACAGTAGAGGCACTGGATGCGAAGTCACTATGCGCAGACCTAGCTTTGTGAGGAGGCGCCGTATCCAGAGTCTCGTGTCTCCGCTCAGTTGGATCATGCAGTTCTGGCTTCTCCTCAACTTTGGTTTTGAACTTGACGCAGGCTAATGCTGTCAGCAAGGAAAGACTTGACAGTGGAATAAAGTGCTTACTACTCGAGTCCGAGAATGATATGGTGAGATAGATAACCTCGGTAGCAAGCCTTGCGGCAGAGATCTCGTCCTCATTCATGCTACCAGTATGTTCATGGCTTGATAGTGGAATCGATCCCGAGTCTCGACGAGCCGGCACGCTTGGTAGGGTGCCCGATCTTGGAGGGGGCCGGACTTTATTGAGATTCTCTTTCAGCCCGCGCTTGAAGTTCTCAACTATTGTGCGTGAGAGTTAGCAAAGGCCTCTCGACCATGTAGGAGTTGAGAGGCATACATGTTGGCGCGCGAGAGAGAGCTGACGCTGGTGAGCTCTTGCGATGCCCACCGCCAAATCGTAGCTCTACGCTGGTATCGGTCCATTTCGTAAACCCGACCAGCGAGCAAGCAACCTCCCGATGCACGATTTCGTGGCCGCTACCGAGGGGTAACGATATGTATCTGGAAGTATGGTCGTCCCATATCTTGACATAAGAATCGGATGATCTCTGGAAATTGCTATCCTTCTTAGGAACGATTTCCCGAGTACCGAATTGGTCGACAAACTTGCGCTGTCGTACTTCAGTCTGATATATCCGGTAAGAATTCGAGTCTCGAAACGAGAAGACGGGTCGGTCTAGCAGCTTTCTCCCGTCCGCCCACTCTATGTTTTCGTCTGTTGTCCATGCGATAGAGCGCAACCCGTCAGTGTTGTTTGTCCAAGGAAAGCGCCTCTTCGGCTCTGGCTCGGAGAATACATGTTCGAGTAGCTTGCGCTTGTAGTCGTCGTAGACAATGCATCTTCCAGTAGGGAGTATTTCGAATTTCTCGGCTTCCTCATGCACCTGCCCGTCGATGCGGATGGAAGATATGCCAGAGTGAAGATGTAGTGTCTCATGAGACGCCGGCGAGGATTGTGTCATGTCGGCCATATGATACGTGGTAGCCAGATGTGAGCGACACATCCGGTATCATTCAAAACTCGAGCTGTCTCCTCTAGCATAAGCATGATACTCGACGGCAACTTCGGTCTTCTTGAAAGTCAAGGTACACACGGATGTGAGCGGCGTTGTGAGTTTCCAGAGAAAGCAGATGCTCGTGTGCCCTCAGCTCAGGACGATCGGAAGGCAGCGAAGCCAGCCAATTATTACGCCCTACTCGCTGTGTGGTATGCGCTCAGATACCCGAGTCCTACGGCGCTGCGCCAGTCGGCAGAAGGCAGTGCCTCTTATCCAGTCGCAAGCCTGCCCATCGGATTAGACAACTTAGAAGAGGCGTTTCGACAACATTGTAGCGTGTCGCCATCCAGACGGACGGACGCATGCCACATTGCCATCTTGTACGCCAGCACGTGTCTATGCAGGGACCCTTGAACACGTTCACCGGAGTCGGTATCAACGGCTGTGATAAGTGCTGTAGGCGAGAAGGCTATCCGAGCAGGGCACCATCCCATCCCGTTTGAGCGACAAAGGGCGGTGCCAAGTCTCGGCATCGTCGAGTCAGAGCTTCCTATTGGAGTGAAGTGGGGTCCATCGGCTCTATCACCAAGCCATCCGGGCTATGCTACAGCTGTTCAAGGGAAGCAATAATGGTGGGCTGAGGCCGCCCTTTTCTATGCGCCTCTAGGAGAGATGAACATACAAACCATCATGTCCTCCCTGCCGGTCCTGTTGCGATCCTTCACATCCTTGTGGGAATGGCCATGGCGGCTCAACCTCCAGCAGCAAGGACGCGGCGAGGTTGGTTAGCAAGATTATTATGGCCTGAGGATCAAGAAGCAGCGGCTGCGGGATTCAACGTGCGTGCAATGTTCAGTATCAAGGACGTCACACTGACAGTAACACAGAGGCCACAAGATTATGACCGAGCCATCACAGCAATATTACACCGCGTCGATGGAGCCCACGCCCCGTTCAAGTGGCGAGTGTTCCTCGTGGCAGCGTTGGGTTTCTTGTACGCTAGATTTGCCAACCGAGTTGCTGATGCTGATGCTGATGCTGATACTCCTGCTAGAACGGACAGCTACAATCTCTTCGCATCCAATGTCGTCCTCCCGGCGCTTTCATTCGTCTATTGGGACTATCCCGGCCACAAGTTCGAGGCTGGATTCAACATTGCAACACTGTCTGGCTCCATACTCGGACAGATCATCTTCGGGATCGCGGTAGACATCTACGGCAGACGATCTCTATATGGCATAGAGCTGCTCATCGTGATTGTAGCGACGGTGGGGCTGATGCAGACCAGTCAAGGCCTGGTTGACCCAGTCTCTGGGGAGCATACGTGGAACATCACGCCATGGCTTTACTTTTGGAGAGTCGTTATGGGACTTGGAATAGGGTAGGAGTTGACTCGAGACTTCTAGACGCCTGATACAAAGACTGACAGGCCATCATATATATAGGGCCGAATATCCTTTATCAGCTTGCATCGCTGCTGAGTGGTCATCTACCAAAACTCGAGGTCGGATGATGGCTGCGGTTTTCCTGATGCAACCTTTCGGACAGCTCCTCGCTTATGGCGTAGGACTTGGCGCTCTACACAGCCTCGACAGTAGCCGGATCTCGATCGATAAATTCTGGCGTATAGTGATCGGGGTTGGCGCTGCACCTACTCTGCTCGCACTGCTATTTCGACGGAATATACCGGAAAGCTGGAGGTATACTTACTTTGTGCGAAAGTCGCCGGCGAAAGCTTCGAATGATCTGGCAGACGTCTATGGCAGAGGTCGATCTGGTACTAACTCCGTGGAGCTTCGCGAGCGTGTTGCACAGGTGTCCTTGCCAGAAGCTGAGAGACTACTTACGCACCCAGCCCCAACTATTGCCAACGGCGGCGGAAACGGCGATACCAGGCCTCCGCCACCGGTTCAACCGCCGCTGCGTAGCAGCGTTCTAGCGGCACCTGGCAGCCAGTTCAAGTGGAGTGAGATCAAAGCATACCTAGGCAAGGACAAGAATTGGGCACGATTACTGGGTACATCGTTCTGCTGGTTTGTCTTGGATGTCGCCTTGTCAGTCTTCACCTATCCTGTCCAACCAAGACCTTTACTGATGTACGATTCTAGCTACGGCATGGGCTTCAATTCGCCAGGACAGATCGCAAAACTCTTCGCCAGCCAGCATGTCCAGTTCAATAACGATGCACCATGGTGGCAGACCAACTCTGCTGTCGTCAATTTGACCTCGCTCGGCATTATCAATGGCACGTATGCAGATGGTACTACCGCCGACTTTACCATCAAGGAAATACTAAAGACGAACATGACCCACGGCATATTCATCACCAGCATCGCAGCGATTGCTGGATCACTGGTATTCGTCGGCACTGTGCATCTACTGAATCGAAGACTGATGCTCATCGCAACGTTCTTCACCCTTGCTGGACTACTGGCGCTGACATCTGGTCTGTTCAAGGTGCTGTTCCAGGATGGTGCCAACTATTCGACGCCGCAGCCAGGCGGGCATGTTGGACTGATACTGCTATGGGCTGTGATGCAGTTCCTCTTTGCATTTGGCCCCAACACCTTGACATTCATTGTAAGCTCACCAGAAGAATGAGGCGTGTTGTCGCTGACCACGTCCAGATGCCAGCCGAGATGTTTGCAACACGATATCGATGCACGTTTTATGGCATAGCCGCAGCATCAGGTAAGCATCGACTCAGGAACGTTGAAGACCATGACTAACAAGATATAGGCAAGCTCGGTGCTGTGGTTGTGCAGGTCGCGATATGGTATATTCCGCAGGGACCCAACGTATGGGTCAGCCTGCAGTCTCTGTTAGCAGCATTCTCTGTTTGCATGGCGCTTGGAGGCCTGGTGGCTTTATCGGTCCATGCTATACCAGATGTACAAAATGGCTTCGAAAACAAGAGTTTGGAGGAATTGTCAGATGATAAGGAATTTGTACAATGGCCGAAATCGTCTGGTGAAGTTTGAATAGATTGACCGGTAGACAAATAATGTAATACACATGCTCGCTTCCACTCAGTCCATTACACTTTCGTAGCACTTTCACAATAGTTGTCAGCCTGATGTGACCAGGCACGTGATGTGTGAGCTCCGAGCTCCGAGCTTCATCATGAATGATGCCTCGGATCCTCGTTCTAGGTTGTTAGAGCCAGTCGTTGTTGCAAACACATAAACACTACTACCACTGAACAAGGCACGCGGTCATGACGACCTACATACCCTCCCTCACGCTGCCATCGATCGTCTTCGAGCAGCCTGCCGCAGCCATATTGCTACCCGTTGTGGCAGGCACGGCTGTGGGCTTCTCGACTCGACCCTCGGAGACCCAAAAGACATATCTCGAGCTCCGACAACCGCCTCTCAGGCCACCGCCATGGATCTTCGGACCGATGTGGACAGCGTTGTACGGGCTGATGGGTTATGCGGCGTACCGGGCACATAGCACGGGCATGTCGAGTCTTGATCCTACAAAAGTGGCTTTGACGAAGGTGAGGATGCATCATTTCATCTGATCATGTCGTAGGTGGGTGTGATGCTGATGATACGAGCAACAGCAAGGTGCGACACTCTACACTATTCAACTTGCACTGAACCTCATCTGGATGCCACTCTTCTTTGGCTATCAGCGCCCGATCGAGGCAACAATCGACATCGTGGCGCTCACAGGCTTGACAGGCTATCTCACATACGTTTGGGGTCAGGTCGATGAGGTAGCGGGATACTGTCTCGTGCCATACCTTGGATGGTTGAGCTTCGCGACATATCTTAGTGCTGGTTGCGGCTATTTGAACAACTGGGACTTCTCGGGCAAGGAGAAGCCGAAGAGCACAAAGGGCGGAAGCACGAAATATGTGGATGAGAAGGCCGAATAGGCTGCGCAATAGAAGGAACAACATGCCTGGGTGCATTGAGTAATGCGGGTTAAGACGAAATGCTGCCTCGGCGATGTACAGCCCATTATCAATGCCATTCACGATCTCATTCATCTACTCTTCAATCCCAGCTCAAACGCCCAAGATCCTCTGGATCTCACGGAACGCAGCGGAACCCAACATCATCTTATCGAACTCCGAACTTGTCAGCTGCGAGCTCGTCTTCGCCATAACGATATCATGCTCAAGGTCGATCATCAACTGCTGCCCAAAAACACCCAACGCAACAAGAGTCTTCGTCCCCGGATCTGTAACCCAGCAATTATGATACGCCGGGGTTTCGAAGGAAGGTTTGAATGCAGGACTCCACTGGCCTTTGGTAAACTTCTCGTCATTGCCTCCATTGAGTATTTCATCGATCCAGGATTTCGGTACGATGCCGCGTCCGCTATCGGTCAGTAGTTGACCGATTCGTGCGATGTCGCGAAGCGTGGCGCACATACCGCCTGCTGCTCGTGGACTGCCCTCGGAATCTATGGTTATGGCTGCGTTACTGTCTGCACCCATGGGCTGCCACAACAACTCCTGGATCAACTCTGGCAGCTTGCGGTTGGTGACCTTCTCTATCACCAAGCCCAGAAGATCAGTGTTAACAGAACAGTAATTGAAGCCTTTCGTCTCGTCGACAGGAGCTTCAACATGCTGGAGGAATTCCCGCAGAGTCTTGCACTTCTCCGAGCCATCAAGAGGCTCCCAGCCACAAGCTGCTCGATACTCGTGCTTGTTGTCGTCGTACTTGACACCCGTTTGCATGTCGAGACATTGCTGTACTGTAACGCCGTCGTAGAGTCTGCTGACCTCTGCAACGTAGTCCTTGACTTCCGCCTTGAGGTCCAGCTTTCCTTCTTGGTGCAGAATACCGGCTATCAGACCAGTAACCGACTTGGTCATAGAGAACATGATGTGTTTCGAGCTGGCATCGTTATCGTTCGTGTAGTGCTCATGGATGATTTTCCCCTTATGTAGGACGATGAAGCCATCAGTATGGGTGTAGTCCAGCAGGGCCATCAAGTTCATCGACTTGACGTCAAATCCATCGAAAGCATTGTGCTCTCCAGTCGGTAACTCCTTTAAGCTTGTTCCCTTCCAAATGGGTTGTGTCATGAGGAGTTCTTCAACATGTATGAACCCCCAGACATTGTGCGGTGCTTCTCGCCAGTTGCTGAGATTGACGGGCATCTTCGCTCAATCGTCGGCGAAATGTGAAGTAGGCTGGGTGTTTAAGACAATTGCCAGTGCTTGGTAGGATTCAGTATCACAAACGCTCCGGCCTGCAATTTATCCGGTGCGATCTATGATCGCGTTCGCAACTCTCACGCAGATAGCGAGGGTATGGTTTCTGTTACTCTCGTTCCTAGGTGTCGACCGTAGCAAAGTAGTGGTGTCTTGCTGTGGTGTCCTGTAACAAGCTAGAAAGCAAGCATGCTCAAGTGTGGGTGCAATGGCCATCGAAGCCTCGGCTTCCTTCTCAATGCTGACACGACCACCCTGTCCTGTCCATTCTTCCGTTCTCTACAGGTATGTCAGGATGATCAAGTCGGATGAATACAGTCTAACGGACATCGGATTTAACACAGTATCGCCGGTATGCTGATCGATCTGAGAAGACCGTCGGGAGTACATTGGTGATGCGAAGTTCTGGGTGTAGTATTGTGCTGGCAAAGAAGCCGAGCGAGGACTTTGCAGTGGCGTAGGCAGCACCGACACATGTGAGGACTATCGCGCTTATGACTCCGAAGGCGGAGAAGGAAGGTGCGTATACTGGGCTGTTTGCGAGGGATTAGCTGCGGCAGAGGCTTTGGTGAGGACGAGGGCGGACAGGAACTCTGTGGTCATTCTTGCTCAGTCTGTTCCGAATTTAGGCATGTGACGATTACAATCTTTGTAAAGTGCTAGGACCGTAGCGAGGACTTCATCGCTGTGGTCGAAGAAGCAATCGGCACTATCCGCCACTTTTGCTAACAGTGACAGCTAGGTCGATACAATAGAGGTCTCGAGCTTGAGTTCGTAAGACTATCGACTCCCGCATAAGATTTCGATATGAAAGTCGCAAGTTGCAGCTGGTGCAGGTGCTTTGCCAAGACTATGCGGCAGGTATATCGAGCTGAAGGCATCACAATTCCAGTCCGCTACATCTGCCATGGCCGTGGAACCATCAGCTGCTGGGCGATTCCTCAGAGACGATCCATGGCCACGGCCCACTCGTCGAGAATTGATCACTAGCTCTGGTATGGTCCTAGCAAGGTTCGATATCAATCGTGCTGTCTCCAATTGCGGAGGCTCTCACTGGAATTCGACAAGGAGGACTTCGCGATAATAGTATGTCAGCAATGCTCTATACCAAATCGATCTGAATCGATGTCTCAGCCAGCTCGAATGGGCACACATGTTCTAGCTGGCGATCGACCATCGTGCAGTCCGCAATTATTGATATCACTACTGACCTCTGCTGTGACAACAAGAACCCGATCCACGCCGCTGTCTAGATCGATGTCTCAGCCTTCTCAATTGAGGACATTCGTGCTGGTCTCCGCTGCGCCGCCGGGTAGGTTGCGTCCGTCGGTGGAGACATAGCTTATCGTTGTTACTGCTTGTAGTGCAAGTGGGTCCATTGTCGCTGTCCTTGTGGCTAAGGAATGTTTGAGTTGATCGAACTGCGAAAGCCTGCATTCGAGCGTGGTGGACGATGCTCATCAATGCACCTTACGTGCTCACATGCCAGCGTATCTCAGCTCACTGAAGTGGCTCACTGTGCAGTAAGTGATAGTTATGCCATTTGCGCATGACCTGATATTCCACCTTACCTGCATCTAAATTACTTCTTCCACCTACACAACGCGACCTCCGGACCACGCACTACCTCAAGAGTCAACATCGTATCTTTTGCGCAACGATACCACAACTCCAGCAATCAACCGCCAGACCAACCAAAACTCTCCACAATGTCGTCCACGGCTGCGTCCACCGTCTTCTACGTTTTCGAGCTGCTGGAGACGATCTTCGCCGCACTTTCCGGTGAGACAACCACGGCAGCATTGCAAGGGACTATGTGCACGCTGCTTCGCCGTGAAAGAGACAACAAGATTATCAAGGCAGCAATCGAGACATCGGCAAAGCTCAAGAGTAGGTCGAGCACTGGCGCCCACCCATGATACCTTAGGTCACTTGGCGATGGCATCCTGTCTAAGAGCAGTAAGCAAGACAGGGACATCGGAGCGGAGGGATCGGCCACCTCGGCAGACACCCCGCGGCGCACAGGATGCTCCTAAACGAGCCGTGAATTAGTTATGGTATTGCTAGCGAGCGAAGTGTAGAGAATGGCAAGATAGCAGAACAGCAGCCAGAAAGCAAGGTCCCTCCGTCAACGCCAACTTAGCACCTGCTCATGCCGTGGACAGTGTCTGTGTCTGTGTTGTCTCCTATGCAAGCGATTTGTTGGTCATGAGTGTTCCCTGCCGAGTTCACGCTACGCTACTGTGCGCACATCTGCACGATATTCTTGATCTATTCGCTGCGTTATCTTACCAATCATTATTGCATTTACGCCTTGCGATCGACCCAGAGAAAGAAATCCTTCAAGTTGGCCGCCTCAAGTGCTTCGAGTGGGCCACCTACAATGTAATCGGCCAAAATATCGTACTCTGCCGGACCCAGCACTGCTGAGGACCCGGCCAAGGACTTCTTGTTCAGCTTCGACAATACCCAAGCAACAACCTCGATAGATCGCAGGCCGCGCCATGTCCTGGTACGACGCAGGTGTTGCCAATTTTGCAACAGTCCAGTGCCCACTCGCACTAAAGTGAAAGGCCCGAGTAAGGTGGCCTGATGCCAGACCATCATCATATTGGTGTAGTAGCGTTCCTTCTCTGCCATGCTTCGATTGATGGCCTCTTGATTGTGGGCCAGATGTGGATGAGTCTGAACAAGCTTCAGGTAGCCATTTATGGTAGCCATTCTGATAAGCCAGTAATTGATTGCGACGACCACATCCTCGGGTATTTTGAACACCAGTTCAAAAGGGACGATTTTGCTGTCGACAGTCGACTTCTGCACGGTGGTAGCATGGAGTATGGCCGACTCGCATGCGTCGTCCGACATGTTAACTAGCCTCTCTGCGAGCCTGAAGACTGCATCGAGCTCTTCATGGTTCTCGCGATAACCGTATCGCGCCGCCCTCAGCCCGTTCAGGAGACTGGGAAATTGTGCGATTAGCTGATATGTGACTTTGCTTAAGCTGAGAGAGTTTGCGGATCGCGCGAGCAAGCGCTCTGGCGGATCGATATATAGTAGATGATCCTGCCCACATACAGATGGTCGACCCCGAGCCATAGAGTCCTCTGTAAGGTCTATGACAAGACTGTACACAATTCCACGAGCCACGTTGCTCATGTGAGGAGACTGCCGTCTAGCCCGAAGGACAGCGTTGACGCCCGTCCAGTGAGATCTGAGTCTATCTTGCCAATGTGGATCATTTTCTTGCATGACCATCTCGTAGATAGACAAGGCTGCAATGCATATAAAGGTGCCGTCAGTTACGCCACGATGGTCGCTACAGCTCAGATCTGCTCGCAGGCGTCGGACCGCGTTATCATAGTTCTCGAAGGCCGCACGAGCTACGCGCACATCTGCACTTGAGAGGCGGTTGTACTGCAGTGCATTGCTAAGAGCCGTCACAGCGTAGTCGGCCGACTTGTCATACCCAAATCGTGCAGGCATCCATTCGAGCCACGGTGCATGCAGCTGTATTTGGTCGAGATTGCTGATCAGCTGAGATCTGTTTTGGCTGTCGCTTTCCAGTAGTGGCGGCCGAATGTGAAGTTTCCGTGGCCAACCTGCCAGCCTCCACTGTGTCTTCTTCGTACAGCCGACCACGACGGACTTGCTGTTTGCTGCGGGCCCACGGCTGCGAACGTCACGCCCATCATCGTTTTTGCAAGAGCGCGGCTTTCGACTCGTTCTGTGCGCAACCAGAGGCATACCCAAACTCAAGGTCCCTCCTGACCCGACGCCCGCGACTCATCTGCCTGTAAGAAGTCTTGAAGTCAGATGGTCTCACACATGCTAACTTTTGTTGTATCCAAGCACTGTCACGTAAGCTAAATAATGCTCTACGGGTGAGATCATTTTATCGTCTGATCTCTAAAGATAGCTCCTTATATAGAACACTATATATTATAGGCTATGCCCTAGGCTATGCCACAGTCCAAAGCTTGGTAGAGTACATCTCCTCTAGGCCTAGTGAGTTTATGGCGTGGCAGCTGTGATACATGTAGCATGCCACACCGGCACTCCTCATACATCAGTTTTGCAATTTGGTTAATAGCCTTGTACCTTGTGAACAACAGCATACTTGAGCCTGTGTCAGCAACGCACTGTAGCCTGCATTACGGGCCGCCTACACCTAGGTGGCACAGCTGCTGATTCAAAATAGAGCAGACGTCAATGTGCAAGTGGTGGAATATGGCAATGCACTGCAGGCGGCATCAAAACAGGGTCACCGGGAGGTGGCACATATGCTGGGTGAGAAGGGTGCCGACATGATCGCATTGTCGGGCCACAACGTGGACTAGAGGGTGACAAGGCAATGGCATGGAGAGACGTGCTGAATAACCAGACTCAGATCCTAGCATCCAGAATCTCGGAAAGGAGTCGCGGGACTCGAAATGTTGCAGCTGTCTTGCAGCATCCGAGTTTCCGCTCTTGTACAGGATACCTTCCAGATTTCTGGAATGCGGCAAGATCTAGCCTATCAGTCTTGCAGCTCTCTGATTCTAGAAGTCTGAAGTGTATACATCGATGGGTTTCTACCTAGCATCTTAGCCTGCAGCTTCCTAGCAGCTGGAACTGTGTAGGCGAGTACTACGATTAACTACACACCTACTGTGACTACCTCAACACCTGGATGTTTGCCCCAGCTTCAAAACATTGTAGACAGACAGGTACTTATCACGGGATCCTCTGTGCTCTGCGACCTATGGCCGCACGTACTGGCCACCGGTTTTTACATATCTCATATACAATGGTCTGGCCGCATGTTACAAGGCCCACCCGGGCTTGCGCAATGATCGAAAAGCCGGCAGCCTTGTTCCTTACTGTCTAGACTTCATGCCATACAGAGCAAGGCACTCATGATGTTAGTGGCGGTAACCCAGCCTCCTCCCATCCGGCGTTCTTCTTGATATCCATAGACCGTGCTACCGCCTCCGAGTCCTCATTTGCATCGATATCAACGACCTTGAACCACTTCATCCGAATGATATGGACGCCGTGGTTGCGATATGGCGATCCATCTGGGTTATCTTGATCAGTTGCGGTCCATCGTATGATGACAGTGGTGTCGTTGGGCCAGCCCTTGACCCAGATGTCTTTGACCTTGGAAGCGAAGACATGTCAGCGGCTGAAGTAATGGCAGGGGAGAGGCCATGACCTTACAGTCAATTTGAGCTCTGGCGCAAGCCGACCAAGGCGTTGAAACCACCTGGACAGAACTTCTCGGGAATGTCTCTCCCCTCCTAGGGCGTGCTGCCCACCAAAGCGATGGTGGATCTCTGGGTCGCATTGCATGAGAATAGCATCGTAGTCTTTGCTGTTGACGGCTTCGAAATTCTTCTTGGAGATGCGAGCTACTATAAGGTTGTACATGGCTTCGACTCAGGTCATCGGTGTTTTGTAGCTCTTGTTTTGTGATAAGTTCCTTCTGATCTGCGGTGGTAGTTGCCGTTGGGACTGGCTGATGCTGTAAGTGGCTTGCGCGTGGTCAACATTATATAAATTGTTCTGGTGGCAGCTTAAAGTCGGATCATGGGCAAACTATTTGGGACCGTCCGAAGCATCGACTGTCTACCGTCCGTACCTTTGCGGAGTAAAGGATACTTTGTTGGACTGAATCAAAGCAGACAGCCAGGCCGTGGGTACTCGAGTGATTTGGAGATGCATCTTCAAGCCGTGGGAACCAATCATATCGCAATAACCCGGCCGTATCGCACGCCCTCGGACAATCCTCCCGTCCCTGAAGACACCAAGCTGTTCGAACGGAGAGAAGCAGGAAACGATCGTGCGATATCGCGAACAAGGACGATTGATAAACGAGTGACTATCGGTAGTCATAATGGACGCTGTCAGAGGCATATGGTCTCTAAGCCTGGCCCAGCTGGAATGGCACTATTCTTGCTAGACCTGACGCATACACTCTGCGCGCTAGGAACACACTGTCCGACTCGCAATAAATGTCCGACGACAATCGTTGTGGTCCTGATTTTCGGGGAATTGAGGTCTAGTTGGGGCAGGTGCTTCGTGATAGTCTTATTACACGCAATCAGAAGCCCCTCTCCATGTGTAGCAGATGAGCGTCTATGTGGAGGCTGCCGTACCACTAGGTTCGCTGTATGTTTGCACACAGTAGCCTTGCCTTCCTTTTGGCTAGGGAGTGCGGCACTGATAGCGCTGGCTTCCAACATCGCAGCGGGTAATTATACAATCTTCCACGCATTGTGGCTGACTTGCTCATGCTGCAAATGTCGCTCTATCGTTGTCATGTCCTGGCCCCCAACACTCAGTCTGTATAGCCACGCAGGAGTTGTGCATGAAGGATGGGACCGAGGGGACGAGCTTTGGCAACGCAGTTGCAATATACAACGGCGGCTTGGCTATGGCTCACGGTAGTTGGAACTGTCGTCTGATTGGACAAGGAGGTGGGGCGAGTTAGCGTCAAGTTCTTGCCAGGGGACCAAGAAGACAGGATGGTGGCCTTCACATTAGTGTTTACATCATTGCCAGATCTTATCGATGAGCATTCTACAGACAGTACTGTATGGCGGACGAGGCGAATCGTTCGGAGGCAAGCTCTTGCTCGTGGTGAGGTCTCAGCCCTGTCAGTCATGCCAATATACACTAGCACTTCTTCCATGCAGCCTCATATGCGTGTTGGATTGATCTGCATCTGTGATCCTGGATCTCGTGAAGCGTAGATTGGAACGGCATGGCGCTCGCATATAATTAAGTATACAGTCTTCTCTGCTCTCTCATCCTTTTTAGCCGGAAACTTCTGCAATGGCTGTCAAAATCGGATTGGCGAACCTTGCGCTGCTCGCTACAGCACTAACGCGTGTTCAGGCGGATTCTGGCAGCGCAATATGCTACGACTTCGTATGTGGCCTAGACCTCGGACCAAACACTGGTGGTATTGACCGTCTTCATAGGTTGTCGTTGGTGGCGGCACAGCAGGCAACGCGATTGCAACACGCCTTAGCCAGTACCTTCCGAATTACAGCATCTTAGTCATCGAAGCAGGACCAAATGCACCATACGAAGACAAGATAAACATTCCTGGCATGAAAGGCTCGACTTTAGGCACCAAATATGACTGGAACTTCACGTCCATCCCGCAAGCCGCGTTGTACAATCGGACTATTACACAGTCTCGAGGCAAGGTGCTTGGCGGAACCTCTGCACTGAATCTCCTCATCTGGGATCGTGGGTCGAAGCCGGAGTATGATGCTTGGGGTGAGGTGGGCAATCCAGGTTGGAGCTGGAACAGCATGATCACGGCGATGAACAAGGCTGAGAACTTCACGAACCCTGGACCTCCTGTCTACACCACCACCTCTGGTTACGGGACTTCTGGGCCCATAAACGCTGTCGTCAACAAGTATATCCCAGTCCAGCAGGATGCATGGATACCTACACTGGAGAATCTTGGTGTGCCAGATAACTCTGAATGGCTTGGTGGCGAGAACGTGGGCGCAGCTTACCACTCCAGCACGATCGATCCGACGCACTACAATCGCTCGTATAGTGCTGTCGAATACTTGCCGCGTGCTGGCAAGAATCTGCAGGTAACAACAGACACAGAAGTCGCCAAGATCGATCTAGTAAAGAGACATGGTGTCTTCGTGGCTACTGGCGTCACTCTCGTCGACGGCACTTTTATTGAGGCGAGGAAAGAAGTCATCCTTTCCGCTGGCACGATCAAGACTCCACCTTTGCTTGAGATGTCAGGGATCGGCAGTGCGAAGGTCTTACAAGGAGCACAGATCAAGCAGCTCATCGATCTGCCCGGCGTTGGTACGTCTCTATCAACCTTTGATTGGGGGTAACAAGAAAGCGTCTAACATCAGCATGCAGGCGAGAACCTTCAAGACCATCCTCGGATACAGGTCTCCTATCAATTAAGGGACAACTACACTTCCTTCGACCGGCTCAAAGTCGACACGGCATACGCTGCTGCACAACTAGCCCTCTGGCGTGCATGCCAGCTTTCAGCCTACGACTACGCTGCAAGTGCATACTCCTACCAAGGATGGCCGTCTATTCTCGGCGATGCTGGCAACGCCAAGATCGTGGACGCTGCGAAGGCTTTCGTGGCCTCGAACCCAAGTGTCGTGGATGCAAAGAAGCTAGAATTCTTAACCAACACCACGTATCAGAACACTATCGCACAAACAGAATTCGTCCTCTCTGATGGCTACACCGGCGGCAAGGGTTACCCGGCCAAGAATACCTCCTTATACGGCAAAGGCTTCACTACCGTAATAGCGGGCCTGATGCATCCTTTGGCTCGAGGTAGCGTGCACATCAATGCTTCGAATCCGACAGGGAAGCCCATCTACGACCCAGCCTTCGCCTCGAACCCATATGATCTCCAAGGCCTGATAGCGATGGCAAAGTACATGCGCCAGATCTTCACCACCGCTCCATTCAGTCAGGCGTTCGTGTCCGAGTACGAGCCTGGCCTCGATGTCATCCCAAATAACGCCTCTTCCTCAGATGCTAAGTGGGAGGTATATGTGAGGAACAACACGAATACCTTCTACCACCCCGTGGGCACCTGTGCCATGCTGCCGAGGAAAGACGGAGGTGTAGTTGATCCAACATTAAAGGTCTACGGAACGAGCAATTTGAGAGTTGTGGATGCTAGTGTGATCCCGATATTGGTTAGTGCTCATCCACAGACAGGTATCTATGGTATCGCGGAGAGGGCAGCGGAGATTATTGCACAGCGATGGCATTAGCGGACTGATGTGTCAGCCAGCCTCGTAGACTGAGGACTTTGATCACATCAAAGTTATAAGATAAACTCTTTTTAACAACATAAAATCATGTCAACATGTCCACAGAGTCGATTGGCTTGCAATATGTGCTCTGCGTGCCCCAAGAAGTGATGCAAGGAGAAGATGGTATGCTCAGGACATAGATGCTAAGTATCATAAATCGTAATTTCTTATCTTCACGTTCTTCCAGTCTGACCACAATACAGCTTCCAACTTCCATCTAAGTCAAGCATTGCGAGTAATACTGGCCGTAATTGTGACAAGTCGTGCCGGAAACGCAGCAGGTAGGGCCAGTCCAGCCTTGACCACCACATTGCCCGAAGTTCGCGGAGCAAGAACCGCTTGGAGGAGGTGCAGACGTGGACGAAGCCGGAGGGGTGCTTGCACGGGTCGAAGACGGTGGTGGAGACGATGCGGAGGTTGTGGTCCCGCCGGTGCTACCAGTGCCCTCTGTGAAGGTGTATGTCAGCGCGTGGTCTCGAAGGTAGTAAACATTTATGTGATGTCTTACCAGAGACAGTGACTGCAGCACTGCCAGTACCACCAAAGGCTTCGACGGCAAAGACCTGGAAGTTGAAGTTGCTGTTGCCGAAGCCACACTTTTGCCAAGCGGCGAAATGGTTGGCGGTCGTAACGGTGCCGCTCGTGCGCTTGGAGGCGCGCACGGAGAAGAATTGGCCAAAGGTCGACGTGCCCTGGATCGAGGGCTGATTGACCTGGGTGTGCGTGCAGATCTTGTAGGTCGAGCCATCTGAGGTCACGGAACCGCAGCTCGATGTGCCGCTGGTGCTACATGGGTCGTAGCTGTAGTCCTCGACGATGTAGTACTCTGATATGCGGTCAGCGGAGGCTGGAAAGATACCCGAGGACGGACATACCTGTCAACGGGCTGTTCAGCCAGCCGTAGACTGTGTAGTAAGAGCTGGAGCTGGTTGTGTAGGTGCCGGAGAAGGAGATGGCCCTGCGTGATAGCTGTAAGTCATGACTCCTTCGGATTGCAAGTTCCTGCAGAATCACCTGGCAGACCCAGTCTGCCAGCCCAAACCGATCACGAAGTCGCCGGGGTTGTTCCAGCTGGCGGTGTAATGGCCCGTGGATAGACTGTACTGGAAGTTGGCAAGATTGCCATTGTAGTTCTGAACGTAGTTCAGAGGCGTAGCACGCTTCTCGAGCTCACTGGCGGGAGCAGCCACGGCAGACCCAACAAGGGCAGCAAGCGTTGTGAACTTCATGGTGCTGATGAGGTAAGGTTCTGTCAAGAAATCTCTTCTGGCTTGGCTGCTTGACTCTCGGCGAAAGCTGGTGGCCAGGATCGCAGAGACATTATTATACACTTCGAGAAACAGGGCTTCTGCAGTCGCAACCCAATGCCTTTAGCCTGAGCAACCATACCATGTCTCAGCCATGTGGTCGTGAAATGATCATAAGGCCCCCCTGCTTCCACGAGACGAGTGCGTGGATTCTGCCGGACAAGACATACGAGCGCCAACACAAGGCATGATGCTGTAGGTATGCCGACCGTCGGCCGTCAGAGCCGCATCTAGGTCGTGAATGGTTCCGGTTGTCGTCCGGCTGAAGTGACATGAGTAGAGAGTACTCGACAGATAGCCGCGAGAACGAAGGCTAGGCGTGGCGTACGGCTTTCCTTGAAGTGCTGCATGGAAGAGGATGATCCGCTTCCGTTGGTCGGACCACACTCCGCATTAAGCATTGTGAAACACATCGCAAGCGAGTAATTCATGGTTTGGGCAGTATGTCCTTCTTAGATCCATGGCGGTGATCTCGCGTGTCTCCTAGTCGTGCAAAGTTGGTAGAGCAATATCAGAATTCAATGCGGGGCGTCCAGCTGGGCTTGCTTTGCCGAGCCATATATATTGAAAGCGTGCCTGCGTGACTGGGACTCGCTTCTTTGCTTCGTACCTGGGTCTTTTCTTACGGCTCATGTGGAGTATGCGTAGCCGGCGGTGTGCCGGACCGGGTGAAGTGAACGGTAAGTCTGTAGATCATGTAGGATCATGGCAAAAATGCTCCGATCATTGCACTGGGCGTGTATAGGGTAGACATTGCGTTTCGGCGCCGAGACTGGAGGAAGTAACAAGCGCTGGGCGAAGATGCTTATTGTGATTCTTCTACCTCTGCTGATGTATACCGATTTATGTATGCACGGTGTCGGCAGATGTTTCGCACTTTCCCCTCATCTGTCCGAAAGTCAGAAAGCCACGAAGGTCAGCGTCGCACGCAGCTTCGTGCAAATTTGATTCCATATCCAGACAAAACTGGACGCCGCGGATGGCATACCATCGCGAGCTATGGCCACGATGCTTGCTTTGACAGTCTAGTCAGTCTCCCGAAGCAAGGGGCCATATCCTGGGTTTCTGCGTTTAGTGGTCAGTGATCAGTAGATATCTTCTCCCGGAGACATCATTGAGTGTGTACGAGACGTGAATGCAGGCCTTGAGAGATGCTGTGATCGAAAGGTGAGGTGCTGGATTGCTGATGTTTCGCCCTTCACCACGCAACGACCGAGCACTCATGCCTTCTTCTTCCCTCTTTTCGAGCCTTTAGACTTGGCATCCACACCACTCGCCTCAACAGTGCCATTCCCACTCCCGTCACCAATGATCTCAACCTCCGGCGTAGGTGCCGCTAACTCATCCCTCTCGTCCCTCAAAGCATTCTTCATGTCCGCATCGCCAATCATCTCAATACTGCTTGCCAGCCACTGCTGAAAGGGCTTAGCCACGAAGAAACCATCTGCTGTGAACCATGTTGTGAAAGGGTTCTTGATATGCCATGTCGAGGGAGAGGAGGAGCCAGGTGAGGTTGAGGAGATGGTGAGGTAGTATGTCGGGTCGTGCTTATTCGTCTTGGAGCTTATCGAGAGCTGAGCATTTGGTGAGTACATGGCTTGGTCACACAAACGTGCAGTAGAACCAAGCATACCCTTCCGCCTTGAGCATTCGTGCCCTCGAATATCAAACCCTTCTCCACGGCCCACATCCAATATGTGAACGCTCCGTTCAGTATGGCATACGCAACTACAGCTACAGCCGTCCACGTCTTCGTTGCTTCCCAGCCTAACTTATAGTCTGCTGCGAAGGTCGCTGCCGCTATGATAACAGAGGTGTAGCCTATGGCTAATCGTACATCGAGTTTCGAGTTGCTTTGGGAGAACTTGAGGGATCGAAGATAGTTCCCTTCAGACACATCAGCATAAATATCTAAAGACTATCCTCTGTTATGAATAGTATAATACCAAGAGCATCGTCGGTCGTGTTTTTGAGCTCGTTGAGATTGTGAGGAGATATCTTCGATTCGGCCATCTTCTTGTGTACGAGCACTGCTGGTGTGGATTGTTACGGTGGTTCAAAGCATCCTCCCAATTTGTTTATTGTAGAGTTACAAGCTGTCCTTGTATGCGGCTGCATGTGAGGGCACGGTCCACATCAGATTTATGGGCTTGGGATGAGCTGTATTTCATGTGATGGAAACCACTACTTCTTACTGGGTCAACAGCACACCCTGTACCTTTCTGGTTCATCCAGAAGAGACGAGAATGGCCGGTCCAATGGAACAACAGATCCATCGGGATCCTGCCCTTTTGTAAGACAGCCCTATGCTCCTCCACCACCACCAGCTGACAAACATGCTCCTACAGCCTATGGATCCTCCTCCCAATCACAGTAGTAATGATCCTGACTGGTATCCTCCGTCACTACCTCAGCACACTCCTCTCTACAGTGCCAAAGAGGGACCCGCTACCCAAGCTGCGACAGAACCGTCACCTCCAGCACGTACGTAACATCATTATCAACCACGCCCAGATCAGCCGGTCGGCTTTTACAAGACGGAAAGAATGGTTTGCAGATGAGGTCAAGAAAGGGAGCCTATTGGCTGAAGGACCAGCTGGTAAGGGCCAGGGAAAGCCGAACCCATTGTCTGATCCGGCGATGATGGAGGGCATGATGGGCATGATGAAGGGACAGATGGCTATGATGGTGCCGCAGAGTCTGATTATGGGCTGGATCAACGCGTTTTTCAGTGGTTATGTTATAAGTATGTGCTCAACCCGTGCTTCATTAAGTTTTGCTGTAATGCTAATATGGGTCTAGTGAAACTACCCTTCCCACTCACACCACGCTTCAAGGATATGCTGCAAGCTGGCGTCGGTACACAGGATCTGGACGTCAGGTGGGTATCCTCACTGTCGTGGTACTTCTTGACCTTATTCGGTCTGCAGCCGGTTTACAACTTCATTTTGGGAAGCAATAACGCGGCATCTCAAGTGGCGCAACAGATGCAGATGCAGCAGCAGGGCAACCCAATGGGTGGCGTGGAGGATATGGAGAAGGTGTTCCAGGGTGTGTCTGAGGATCTGGAAGTCGTAGAGCACTGGTTTGTGCTAGAGGGAGTGGAGGATAGACTGCTTGCGAGGTTGCAAGGAACTACTGTTTAGAAGAGCAGACTGTAGGCATAAATTGCGTATAGATATTACGAAGCAACAGCTTTTGGTTCATTTCTGACTATGTCGTGATGTCGTGGAGAACCCGACTTTGTGCGTTGCCAGGAGGTACGCCACCACCCGAATCATGTCGGAAGAAGGAAATACCTCGAAGTGGGCTCACAGAATCGTCTCGAGGCCTAGCCCTCTGGTCTTACGGTGAGGCATATATGTTTGGAATCTCGAACGTCTTATCGCACGTGATCGTTCGCTTACGGTCACATACTTCTGGCACTGCCACGCAAGCCCGAATATGACGCACGGAGGGAGCTACCGATCAGGTCGGCAACAACGGCACGCCTTGACGTCGTGATATTTGGATCTTGCGTTGTAGACGCAGGCGCAGTCATAAGCTCACGCCGCCGCGCCACTTGTAATTGCTTGATAAAGGTAGTCCTGGCCCTCCCTTCGCACGTTCACACCATTTGCCACAACATCATATCGACAGTATGTCTCTCCAGCCTTGGATCCAGCAGCTCTCGCAACTATTGCCACTCGACAGTAGCGAGCTCGAGCAGATATTGGCCTACAATAGTTCTCTTCCCAAAGAGGAAGCAACCAAGCATCTTGGCGACCTTCTTGGCGATACGCCCGAGTCAGCAGCATTCATCGCAGCCTTTAACAGCCGTGAAGGCGACCCAAACGGCGGCGCGACTCATCAAGCAGATATCAAGAACGCGCAAGCGGTCCAACCGCCACCTTCAGCTCCGGCCGACCATGAGAAGAGACATCACATTACTGGGACTCCATCCGATGCCGCACCTGGCGACAGCAAGGTTGGCGACAGTGCATTGCCACCAGCCTACGCTCCACCGGTCTTCGCACCACCACCAGGCCCGCATCCAGGCTCTGGACTAGCAGATCGTCGCAATCACACCAATGCAGTCATTGAAGCTGCTCGTGTGAGAGCTCGGGATGAGCAGGAGATGCAGCAAGCATTGATGAACCTGCAATACGAATACGGAATCTACAACTCCGACATCGAGCCCGAGCATGAGTCGGACTACCCTTGTAGTTGTCCGATCCACCGGTATCAGGCGATGAAGTGGAGACGATATGGCGTGCAGGACATGTGGTCGAAGGCTGTCAGGTATCCTGGTGAGTCAGGCTGTTGATCACATTGTAAAATTTCGAGACTAACTTAGCCACAGGCGAGCACTCCTACAACGACAACATCAACAACTCGATCTTCACGCGTAATCCATACAAATTCCAGGTGGTGTCTCCATTTGGCTATGGATTCCAGCGCCAATGGACTTATGGCGCTACTGTTAGACCTAACCCTGGCTATCACGCCCGAAGCATTCATCAAACTATTGACTTGAACAACAGTCTCAACAAAGAGGCACAGAGCAATATCGACGGCAAGGAGCCCAAGCACAGTATCTGGAATGATGATGCTGTCGAGCTCGCTATGTCCAAGCTTAGCATGAACGAGAAGTCTAATGGCGATCGCAAAGGCTCCGTGGCGAATGGCAAAGATGAGAAGGGAGCATTGCGCGATGAAAAAGCCTCTGTCCGCCCAGCGTTGAACTCCGTCGCCTCGCAGAGCAGTGCGGCCGACCAGCCCAAGTCTTCAAGACTCTCCAGCTTCCGCAAATCAATAGGCATCAAAACATCCGACGAACGCTTCGTTGCCAAAGCCGAAAAGGCTGGTACCCAAGGCAAATCCCTGCGTGACCAGATCGTGTCCGAAGAAAATGGCCGCTGGCCCGACGAACAATGGCGCTATATCGTTGCCAACTACCAAGAGAAAGTAGGCATGACGACCATGATCGCCGAACTCCGTACCCGCAAACCAACCCAATACCTCCATCTCCTTCGAGCAGGCTACTTCGAACCCATCCCCGTAGCATGGGCTGCGCAAGCGTCCAACCCGCTCAAATTCAGCATCGAGGCGGCAGCAGGCTGGCGAGGCATCACCCCCGCCTGGCGTGGCTACGAAGACACAGCGGAAGAACGTCTCTACTGGGTCCTGAACCACCGCGTCGGCAGCGTCGGAATGCGCATGAAGCCCGACTTCATTTCCGAGATGAACATGGCGCGGGATCGCATGGCCAAGGCCGTGGAGCCGCCGCCTAGCTACTTCGATGCGCAGGATACTTGTCATTTACAGCATACGAGTGAAGGGTATTCGAAGCAGGTCATGCCTGCTCCGTTCCGGGCGTATGATCGACCGGAGACGGCGAGCGACGATACGATGGTTTTGTTGGATGTGAGTGGGAGTATGGATTTTGATCCGGTCAGGCCGATTTATGAGCAGTATCTTATTACTAGGTGGACACGGTCGACGCAGCCGAAGAATAAAGGTGGGTGGTGCTGTTTGCCATATTTGGACGGGTTGTGCTGACACTGTGGCAGATGTGGCGAAAGCGATTATTCGCCGTTTCACGGATGCTATGGCAAATCATGATCATCAGTCTGCTGGCTATGATCTTACTACTTTCTCCGACCGAGCCAGCTATATCGGTACCATTAACCACAAAAACTTGGACCACATGTGGAGAGGTGTACGTCTTGGTGGCGGTACTCGTGTCATGACTGGGTGGCAGAAAGTGAAGGAGTTGGTGAGTCGCGACTGTCCAGTTTCCCCTTGCCTTGAGCATTGTCCATTGACGAAAGAACCTGTAGCACTTCCAAAAACACTCCGAATCAGCAACCTACCACCCAATCTACGGCTGGCAGGCCGGTCCCTCGACCCCTATGCTCCGCCTCCTGCTCCTCCTAGATGGCGAAGCAACCGACATGGATGAATTCGAGCTTGATCTTCTCGGCTTGAGTTGGGCCCACGTCACGATCTTCCTGATAGGTGTAGATGGTTGTCCACATCATCATCGACATGCGAACGAGCTGCAGCGGATCAGCGATGTGAACCATCATGTTAGTTTTGTGGATGCGCAGGGGAATTGTCCGGAGAGGTTCGTGACGCATGAGTTGTTGAAGAGGCATTTGGGGTATGATATTAGTATGAGGGAGTTTGAGGGGATGGAGGAGTTGCCGGCTTATACGGAGTGAGAAGATGGGTTGAGTCGGTCAGTGGGTCTTTTTCCGTGGTGATGTGCTGGGAAGAGGCGTTGGATTACTGGTGGGTCGTTCTTGTGCAGCTAGCTAGTTTCGGGCAAGCAGAATGGTTTGAATTTCACGCTTCGAACATCACCAGTACCCTGCATCTGCGTTTAACTAATCTGTGCTTGCAGTAGGTACGCCTTCGATGGTCTTGAGGACTTGGAATCGGGTATGGCGTTCTTCTGCCCGGCATGAGCTCTTTCCCTAGGTACGATGGGGTCGCTGAATAGCATCGATGTAACTCCATAGCACAAAACGGCCCCTGATCCGCTCGTGCCCAGAGCTCTGAACCAGAACATACTCTCTGATCGCTCCTCTGTTCACCCTCTCGTCTTTCCAGCACCCATGTCGTAATTTCAGCAAGAGCTCTGTATGCCCGTCATTCAAAGCTCGATTGCTAAGATGACTGGGGTGACTGCGTAGGTAGTGTCTGCTGCCGTAAACAAAGACAATTGTTTGCCCTCCCCGTCAGTTCTTCCGGCGATGAAGGTCTCGTATGATCAAAAGGCAGTGAACAGTTATACTATGAACCATCGTTGTAGCGACTAAAGCTGAGCAGCGTAGACCAAGCAAGCACTGCATACCTTTCCTTGTGCCGTGGTAATGACCCTCTCTATCTACCAAAGCATCTAGCAGGAAGCTGGAAAGCATAAGAGTGGAGAACCCTTAGACCTTTTCTGAGAGAGAGAGAGTGAGAGAGATCAGTGAGTATGACAAAACCTCCTATCACACCCACCTCCAACAATGATAGTGACCTCCCTCCTTCCACCTAGAAAGAGTTCTTAGCTCTAGTGTCCGGGCTCGACACCATCAAGCTGGAAGGTGAATCTACTGACCCCGTTCTCCTCCAGCACATCATGGCCAAACTCACGATCCAAGACCGTTCACCAGAATTCGAGAGCAGAGTCCGGGGTTTCCTGTCGGCGCTTGGGAGGAGGCCGGAGAGGGAGGATGTGGAGTGTGCGGCCATCTTATCTGATGAGGGGGCTTTGGAGGAGTGGCTTTCACAGTTCAAGAAGACCTTTGGGAGGGGTTCGCTGGGCGGTGGCGGTGCAGAGGTGATGGAGAAGGGCGAGAGCGGTGCGCCCTCTCAGCTGTTGAGGAAAGGTTGAGCTTGTCGGCGGTTGAGAAAGAGGGGATCAATGGATTAAAGGTCTTGCAGGGGAGATGTCGGTGGTGATGAGATCATCGGAAGCTCGAGCCAGAGGTAGGAAAAGTCGGTCGGGAGATTGGGGAGGGCATGGAGGTGAGTGTGAGAGTCGAAGGATCATACAGCGTACCTTCGTGATTATTAGTCATGCGCTTCTGTTCCAAACATACAAACTCATGATCGGCGCCGAACACCGTGCTGCAATGATCACAGAGTCAAAACTGCCGGAAAGTTACTCCACTCCCTGTCGTCGCCATCCGCCACCGCATGACCAACCCTTCCGCATACTCACCCGTCTCCCGATCACCTTGGAGCAAGAGAAGCACGCCCATTAGCCCCCGCCTCAATCTTCTGCCCCCTCCCAGCTCGAAACTTCTCCACTTCCTTCTTCACGCTTGTGTCCAGTCTGGACTTGAGCTCGGGCCTATACCCAAAAGCGAACAGCACCTCCAACCACACAAAAAACGGCGCCAAAAAAAGTGCTTGCACCAGATTATCCAGGAGGGCAGGAGCCCGACCCTCGAAGATACCGTGGCCGACGAATTGGGCCAGCCAGGAGGTGATGTGGATTCCGAGTGCGATGTAATTCGCGCTGTGGACTGTGTTTGGGTTGGGGGAGTGAGTGAGGTGGTTGCCGTAGGCTACGGCACCTAAGAGGAGAGGTCCGAGGAGGCCGCCGGCGACGGGTTCCATGAGGATGTAGAGGGAGCTGTAAGCTAGACAGGCTGCGGTTCCGAGGTTTAGGGGGAGGGAGGGGATGGTTAGCCAGGAGGGGAGGGGTATTGAGGGGGTATTTGTTGCCTGGTGGATGACTCAGTACCATAGTATAGTGTCTAGGGGAGTGTTACGTACGAAGAGGAGGCCGGTGATTAGGAGGAGTGGGACGCAGAGGACGTGGATCCCTATGTTGATCTAGGTGGTGGCGATGGGTTAGTCTGATCTTAGATGGTGCAGCTAGGGTGGCGAGAGCATACGGGGTGGTGATGGTATGCGCCATAGAACTTGAGCTGTTGTTCCAGGTTGAGGGACATGTTATTGATGTTGTGCTGTGCAAATGCTATGGTCGTTGTTCGCAGGCAGTTGCGTTGATCCGAAGTCTTCCGAGGCTTGTCGAGAAGTGCTTGCCAAGCGATATGTAGTGCAGGTTGACGAGGCGGAAGTGGGTGGTGTGTAACAGCAATACAGTATGGAGAGAGTGATGCAGAGTAGAAGGCAACACTTCAGGCGTCCGTGTAAGCTGACGGAATGATATGCACAGTTATCATACTGTGACGAAAGAGTGGTTGGCCGAGAGCGAGAGGTCAAGCTAGCGACTCGATCGAGCCTAGGGCCACCCGCCAATATCCGTGCTTCGCTGCAAACTCCCTTCAGTCTCTCCGACTCCTCACCTCGCAGCAAACGCCATCACACCTCGACCCCATCCGCATCACATCTCATCCACCGGCCGCCTTTGGGAAGCGGCATCACAACACACTCACCACCCGCACACACACACCCACGCACACAACCATGAGCATGTTCAGGACAGTGGCGCGCAGCGGTCTCCGCGCTGCCGCTACCACCAGCAGGATCAGTTCGGTAAGGGTCGCCAATGCCCACCACAAATCGCCACGGAGCTCCAATGGCACATCAAATGCCCTCCAGCACCCTCAATGGCTCTCATACAGTCACGTGGAGGCCGTTTGGGCGCGTCTTGGAGCTCTGGGGCAGCTGTTTCGCCTCCGCGGCATGTTTCTCAGGGTCATAGCGCTAATTTCATTGCTTCGTATTAGCAACGTGCCCCGATCATCGCCAACACAATCACCCGTTCCTATGCCGACAAGGCCAGCCCTACCGAAGTCAGCAGCATCTTGGAGCAGCGCATTCGCGGAGTTCAAGAAGAGGCTGGACTAGCAGAGACCGGTCGTGTCCTGTCTGTTGGGTAGGCGAAAAATAATGCAACAAACGTGGCAATACCAAGTATACTGACGAATGGCAAAGTGACGGTATCGCTCGTGTCCATGGCATGAACAATGTCCAGGCTGAGGAGCTTGTCGAGTTTGCCTCTGGTGTCAAGGGTGAGTAAATCATGCTGGTTTTCATACATGAAGCATGGAGATGTTCTGACAACCACTACAATAGGCATGTGCATGAACCTCGAAGCCGGTCAGGTCGGTGTCGTGCTCTTCGGTTCCGACAGAGCTGTGCGTGAAGGCGAGACTGTCAAGCGTACCGGCCAGATTGTGAGCATAAACCAAATCGTCTAATCTGCACTATCCGCCTCTAACAAACACACCAGGTCGAAGTCCCAGTCGGCGAGGCCATGCTTGGCCGTGTCGTCAACGCCCTTGGCGAGCCAATCGACGGCAAGGGACCCATCAAGTCCTCCGAGAACCGCCGTGCCCAGGTCAAAGCCCCCGGCATTCTTCCCCGCGCCTCCGTCAGGGAGCCCGTCCAGACTGGCCTCAAGTCCATCGACGCCATGGTACCCATCGGTCGCGGTCAGCGTGAGTTGATCATTGGTGATCGCCAGACTGGCAAGACTGCTGTCGCGCTCGATGCCATCCTCAACCAGAAGAGGTGGAATGATGGCAAGGATGAGAGCAAGAAGCTTTACTGTGTCTACGTTGCTATTGGCCAGAAGCGTTCGACTGTTGCTCAGCTGGTCCAGACTCTTGAGGAGAATGATGCCATGAAGTACACCATCATTGTCGCCGCCACCGCTTCCGAGGCTGGTAAGTCAAGTTTCCCGAGCGTCTTGCCGCTGAAATGAATGCCCAGGGCTCGCCACGGCAGCTTGTGGTGCTCGTCTTTGAACGGAGATCGCAGACAGTCATGAGTCTATGCTGACGTCTCCCTAGCGCCGTTGCAATATATTGCGCCCTTCACAGCTTGCTCTATTGGCGAGTACTTCCGTGACAACGGCAAGCACGCCCTCATCGTCTACGACGATCTGTCCAAGCAGGCCGTTGCCTACCGTCAAATGTCTCTCCTTCTCCGTCGCCCACCAGGGCGTGAGGCTTACCCCGGCGAGTATGTTACAAGCACACCACTTCCACTTCTTGTTCAAGCTAATTATACGCAGCGTCTTCTACCTCCACTCTCGTCTCCTCGAGCGCGCCGCCAAGATGAACGACAAACTTGGTGGTGGCTCTCTCACGGCTCTTCCCATCATCGAGACCCAGGGTGAGAGATTAATATCGACAGTGTTTGAGACGTCTGCTAACTACTTGTAGGCGGCGATGTCAGCGCCTACATTCCCACCAACGTCATCTCCATCACCGACGGCCAGATCTTCTTGGAAGCCGAGCTCTTCTACAAGGGTGTCCGCCCGGCCATCAACGTCGGTCTCTCCGTGTCCCGTGTCGGCTCCGCTGCCCAACTCAAGGCCATGAAGCAAGTCGCCGGGTCCCTCAAGCTCTTCTTGGCTCAATACCGTGAGGTGGCCGCTTTCGCCCAATTCGGTTCCGATTTGGATGCCGCGACCAAGCAGACTTTGTCCCGTGGTGAGCGTCTCACTGAGCTGTTGAAGCAGAAGCAGTACACACCCATGGCTGTCAACGAGATGGTGCCGCTCATCTTCGCCGGTGTCAATGGTCACCTCGACCCTGTCCCCGTCGACAAGATTCTGAAATGGGAGGCGGATTTCATCCAGCATTTGAAGTCGAATGAGTCGGAGCTGCTGGCGAAGATTGATAAGGAGGGTGCGCTGAGCAAGGATATGGAGACGAAGCTGAGGGATGTTGTGCAGAGCTTCACCAAGAGCTTCTCATAGATGGATTTCTTGAGAGGATGGGTGTGGGAGTGGGAAAGGTGTGACTTTGTGAGAAAGCAGTGTACACTACAGTGGTGGGAAATCGAGCTGCAAATTTTGAGATGTAATGCTTGAGGGTTCCCTTTGAGCGAAACTACAGGCAGATGTTGTGGTGGGGGAAATGCGTTGTAGATATGTGGTAACCTTGATTCCTTTTGTCTTTGAATGTGCTACACGTGTACTGAGTGCTTTGCGAGTCCTCTGGTATCATGATTATTAGCATTGTCGGCAGCGACACACGAAGGCACCTTGCTGGAAGGCAACAGTGATGCAGTAATACCACTTCGTTGCATGTATCTCCCTCTTTCCTATGAAATGTGATTCTCCTGCTCTGGGTCCTCCTTGCTCCCACTTCTCCCTCCCACATATACCTCATCAAATCTCCACACCACATCTCCCACCGTTCTCCTACCTGTTCCACCGCACCGACAATGGCTGACCCTGACGTCCTACGTCCATTACCTGCCATTGCGAAATCAGGCACGGGTCTATCGAATATCGACACAGCGCCCACCCGTTCCCAGACCAATCCCCCCGAACAGAAACACAAACGTTCGCACTTGCACAGACGTCTACATTCGAATACCATCACGGGCCGCGTCCCGCATGTTCATCGTCGGAATAAGAGTTCGGGCAAAGAGAGTCTGTTGAGTGCGACGGAGTTACGGCCACCGATTAGTTTTGACGGGTTGTTGGGGAGGGAGAAGGGGAGGAAGGGGATTGGAGAGGGGTTGAGGGAGTCTGGGTTGGTGGGGAGGAGGGAGCAGGTGTTGAGTCTGCAGGAGCGTGGAGGGCGGAGGTCGAGGGAGTATGAGCGCGAGGAGGAGGGGTTGAGGGAGCAGCGGCGCCGGAGGGAGGAGGCAAGGCGGGAGAAGGAGAAGGAGAAGGAGATGGAGGTGCGGATCACGGCTGCTGATGTCGCGAGGGCTAAGGCTTTGAATGTCACTCGTGAGGAGGAATTGAGGAGGAATCTGAAACAAGTCGAGGAACTGGGTATGAGTTCCACGAGGCGGTTGGATGATACATACTACTCCATCCTGGAAAAAGCCTCTGTCCTACGCTCTACCGTTGCTGGCTTGAAACGGCTTGTGGAGGGAGCTAGGGCTATGCATAAACAATTCGACGACGACACTGCGAAGCTGGAGGGGGATACTAAAGAGACGTTGGATGGGTTTGGCGATTTCGAGCAGCAGGAGGAGAGGATCCATCAGCTGGTGGAAAGGTTGAGGAGGAGTAAGGAGCGGACGGAGGAATTGGATCGGCGGCTTGAGGGTGCGAGGGGGAGGGTGGAGGTGTTTGAGCGCCGGGATCAGGAGGGGAGGGAGCAGAGGCGGCAGAGGTGGAGGGTGGGGTGGGGGTGTTTGGTTGGGTTCGTTGTGTTGGTTTTTACTGTTTTGATCTTGAGAAATCGGACAGTGTTGCTTGGGGGGTTTGATGGGGTTGGGCTTACTGTAGGGGAGGTGATGGGGAGGGTGGGGGAGGAGGTTGGGAGTTTGACGGCAAGCGCCAAGGCGAGTCCGAGTGAGGATCCTTATCTTAGGAAGCTGTTTGATGAGCTGTAAGGTGCTTAAGCTGTGGCACTTTCGCCAGTACTAGGCGACTCTACAATAATGGACATACGTGCTGACACAGGAGCGAGTACAAGGTATAGGCGCACTCTTGGTCAAACCTTCCCATGCCAATTTTGTCCCTGCTCATCGGCGGGCGTTCCATCATCGATGTCATATGCACGGTCGTGATGTATGTTCACTGACCAAATATCCCTCTTCCCAAGACTGGGAAGGCAAAAGGAAGCAAAGTACGAGCAACGCTCGACGATACCAGTCCTTTCGCATAGACAAGGCCATAGAAGGGACAAAAAGCCAAAAAATATTTTGACCTACGCAGGGCTCGAACCTTGAAGGTGTTGTTAGATGGATTTCAGATTGTGAGGATTGATGTAGTGGATATTTACCTGCAACCTCTTGATGTCTCCTGCTTCGCAACAAGTCGTAGTCAAGCACTCTACCATTGAGCCAGCAGGCCGTCTCGTCATTGGCCGGTCAGAAACCGCGCTAATGTTTGACACGCACTTTTTGATAGCACGATATAGAATTGATTTGCTCAAGTAAATATGTAGTTCCGAACAAACACCGAACAGCTGCCGAGAACGCATCTGCGCACATACAACAGTTAACAAGGTATGATAATCACCTTCAGCTGCTGTTCCACTGAGCTCAAGAGGCAAAGCGGTTTTGATCATCAGGTAGGTTGACTTACGGGCGGTGGAGGGTGAATCGCCGGACATCTACAAGGGAGTGTTGATACCAATGCCAAGAACAAGATTCAAGCCAACTGGAGGTGACACCAATCACGGTCGAGACGGACACAAGTCTCTCACTCGAGTCTGGAGCAGGAGAGGATGTAAGTGAAGCAATTGTATCTTGAGCATAGCAGTTGTGATTGATTAGGAGTCCTTATTCTCTATGCTACGCCTAGTGTGCGATGTTACAGCGGATATCTCATTGTCCAGACCAATCTCTCTCTCTCTCGAATCTTATCAATTCATTATCCCGTTATCGTATCATCATTACTGCATTACATCTCTGACCTGCGACCCCCTGCTACATTACTTGTGACCATCCTCGCGGTCAAGCAACCCGGATCTTCCTTCGTGAAGCCTGATAGCCACCGCCACTCGCAATGTCCGCAATCTCCAAGTCCTAGTGCAGATTTCCATCAAAGAACGAAGGCGGCAGCTGACCACCCACCGAGCGGTAGCCCGCTGGACCATCCTCTTCGTGGCTTGTGTCCTAGCTTAGGATGGTCATCGCTGGCGGAGCGGTAGAGTTCCTGCGCTGCTGTTGGTTATAGGCCTGAAAAGCGCGCGCCAACCGCGCATCTACATCGTCGCCCATAGTAGGTAGCATAGGATCCGAGCGGTGAGTACGAAGCTGTTCGTGCGGCTGCTGCTGCTCCTGTTCTGGCTCCACACTTATCTCGGTGGACTCGAAAGGTGAATCATGAGGCGTAGCGGGAGCAGAGTCGTCGTGAGCGGACTCGGGGCCACGGACACGAGTCAGAGCGCCATCGACTGGACCAGCCACAGCAGAGAGAGGCAATGCGGGACCCTGAGGTGGCGGCATGCTGTTGCTAGGTTGCGAGGCAGGGTATTGACTTGATGGTGGGATGCGGAAGTTGTTGCGAGATGATGTAAAGATAGTGCCGGTCGTATCACATGGCAAACTTGTGGTCGAAGAGCCCTGCATTGCCATCTGAAGGGTGTTGTGACGAGCGGGAGCCTGTTGCGTCGGCGGAGCACCGCTTCTCGAGCCGTACTGATTCTGTTGAAGGCTGATGGTCGGCGCCGAAGCCATCCGCTGCGGGTCAAGGAAGGATGATAACGAACTCCGGGCAGACTGTTGCGGCACCAAGCCACGAGTTGAAGTGATCGCACTCTGCACCGCAGTTGGCAGCGCTGCCGAAGCCGCCTTATCCGCATAGCTCTTCTTCACAGCCACACCGACAAGGTTGTGCGACTTGGCAATGGACGCCGTAAGATCTGTACCCGTTGCTGTCGATGCACAATGCTTGCAGCGTGCAATATTGCAGCGCCACCACTGCTCAACTCTGCCTCCAGCAGCAGGAATGGTGACTTCCTCCTGCGGCTCGCTGTTGCCAGTAGACTGAGTGTACGTGTAATGTCCCATCTTGTACTTCGTGAGTAGTGGCGTACCAGAAGGCTCACAAGTGTGCGCAACCTTGATGTTCTGCCTGTAGGTGAATGGCTTTGTTGGAGTGGCGCCAGCACGTACTACAGCCGTTGTCGTGACAGCATTTAGGTTGGCCCACGGCATCTGATAAGTCGGTGGAGCAGACACAGGGCTTCTTCCAATGCCGCCTGCCGTCACTGCCGCCGTTGACGCGTAGGCTGGAGCTAATGTGGGCAGGTTGGTGGTGTTGTTCATGTAGCCATAACTCGGCACTTGATGATGTACACTGGAGGAGCCAGATGCTTGGGCAGGAGCCTGGAAAGAACCTTGATGCGGCATCTGAGCATACTGCTGCACGTTCGAGCCGCTGCAAGCCTGCGAGGGAATTTGTGGCAGATCTAGATGTGGCATCCGAGGTCGGAAAGACCCGTGAGGCGGCATCGAAGCTGGGAGGTGAGCTTGATATGTCGTGTTGGTCGGCGTGTATGGACCAGGTTGCGGTGATGAATAACCATACTGACTTCCAGACAAGTCCAAGTTATACTGGTAGGCGAACCGATGGTTCAGCGTAGCATGGTTACGCTGGATTTGCCTCAGAGCTTGATATCGCTGGTTGTCCTCGAGTGATTCGAAGTCCTGATTGGCTGTATTGTGAGGAGCAGCAGTAGAAGCAGGAGATGCAAAGTCATCGCTGCCTGTGATGTGCGAAGCAGAAGCAGGAGCAGGAGCAGGAGTAGAGACAGGAGATGCGAAAGGGCTGCCTTGCTGAGAGCTGTTGTGAGCACCGTTGATCAAGATGTGGGCATTCACATGGTTGACACCAGCACTGGACAGTGTAGAGGCACGGTTGATGTGGGCGATACGATTGTGGGGCTGCTCTGGCTGAGGGTGGTGGTCCAGGGAAGTGGGATAGCTACTCGTGCCTAGATCGTTACAAAGTTGAGTCAGCATTTGTATTCTCATGCTGGCAGTGCCATCGCACGAAGAGGTCTCACACATACCATTGGCTGTAGCGCTATGGTGAGTGCCGGCGACAGGGTAGTCAGTCGCGCTGACGTCGATCACCTGGCCATCGAACGTGTCTGAGGTAGGCAAGTTGATTGATGGGCCTCGCACGCGTTTGGTAGGACGCGAGGATGTGGGTGGCAAATGCTCCGGCGAGCCCGTGTCAGAAGGGCCTGGTCGCTTCGACATCTTGTATCCTGTTCCCAGCTCTTGTCGAAAGGCACTCGGTACAGAAGCACGAAGCTCTCGTTGGTGGTGCTGAGCAAGTAGTCTATGATGATGTTAGTCAGGGGCTTGTCGTGGGGAGAAGACGATGTATGTGACTTACCCTTCCTCCGCTTGTGCTCAAGCAACTATACGCGGTAGTATCGCGAGGGTGACAGGTGGCGGTGACTTGCGGTAGTATTGCTGTCGTTGAGGCAGGGAATCAAAGGTACAACGTGGCTGTCGTGGTTGTTGTTCGGAGCGACGTCTTCGAAGCAAGAAAGTAACGAAGAACCAAGGTCGATGTGCGGTGCGAAGCCTCAATCAAAAGAGTAGGTAAAGTCCCTTGAGACTCGTATAAACAATATGGATAATGTGTCGAGCTTCCGCACGTGAGTAAAGGTTCCGTGCTTCGCGATGGTGATGTGACGAGATGCCCCAGGCAACCATGCATATATATTGTGGGTGAATGATCGCGGCGCCCAAGATGGCAGGAGCGGAATAGTAGTCGGTAACTTCCGTTTGTTTACCCTGGAGAAGGAGGCATTATATCGTAGAAGAGTGATCGATGTGGTGTCGCGGTTGCTAGGCGGGGGCCAGTGCTATAGAGGTTCGGACGAGGTTCGACGCTTCGGTTTCGCCGTGACATTCTTCGAGCACAATCCTCTCGAACGATGACCCTGCCGAACAAGCGGCCAGCGACAACACGTCAGGTCCGTCTTGCCAGCTTAGCAAGTCTTGTGCTGGTAACGGTATACCAGTTGACGATCGCGATCAGAGAATGTGAGCCGGAGTCGACAGCAAGATGCCCCCTTGTCGGATCGTTCAAAAACATGGCCATGCAGCAGCGATTGCGATCGCCTGTCAAACCGACGAGGACCAGTGGTAGCCATACACAGCGCCTCAGCGGCAGCATCGACACCAATGACCGCATCCCCTGCTCATGGCGACCACAGTCAGGAGACTCCAGACATTCCCCCCCAGCTCTTACTCCAGTCACGTCACCCCATGTTTCCATCTCTCACAACCTAGCACCACCCTTTTCCTCACAACCTACTCCTCTCCCTCCCCTCCCTCCCCTCCCCACCAACCCCCTCAAGCAACCCCAAAAGCATCCCCCTCCACTCCTCCACCCTCCCCAGATCCACCACCGAAGCATCAACACTAACCCCCACCCCCACAGCCTCCTCATCCCCCCCAATACCGACCAAAAACTCCCCCTCTCGAGCCCTAACACACTGTCTCATGGAGCGGAAATCCGCCACCATCTCCTTCCCCTCCTCACAAGCCGGACGACGGACATCGTACACACCAGGTCTAAGTAAGGGATCCCGACGACCAACAGAACTAACCCCACAAGTCTGCCCTGTGAGATTCTGGCTCGCTGGATACTGGCCCTGCGGATTGGGGTATTTGCGAAGCCGCCCCGGCACCATAGCGTCCGCCCGCTCAATGGAGTTGAGATACTGGACTGCCAGGACCCTACCTGCGCCGCGGGAAGTCATGGACGACAGGTCTTGTTCCTGCCGAGCCGTCCTCCGTTTCTGATAAACCCCCAACTGCCTCTGCGCGACCTTCGCCAACAACCTCAGCCGACCTTCAACCGGCAAGGAAGCCGAGAGGAAAGGGAGGGAGATCCCGTCGGAGAACGCGAGCATGCAACTATCCGGCTCCACCTTATGGTCGAAGAAAGCCCGGGGGTTGAGAGGGAAGCCCGTGATGAAGGGCCGTCTTTCCGCGAGAGGGATGTTAGGGTTTAGAGATTCGTAAAGGGCCATCATGCTCATCGCCACGAGAGCGAAACACCCCGCCCCTACACTCGTGCCCGCTTCGCGGCAAAGACGGTGTAGAGTTCGGGTTTGGTGGGTGGGGAGGGTGATATTGATCACGGTTGTGTTTAGGGCGGGTGTGGTGGTGTAGTTGAGGACTCTATCGTATACCGGGCTCAGTGGAATCGGAGGTTGACGCTGAGAGCGGTAAAGTGGGTTCGGAAACCCTGCTGCCAGCGGTTTCCGCACGTGCCGGAGGAGACGGGTGAGGAGCCAGAACCAGCGTTGTTTCGCTCGCGAGGTGGCTGTGGGTAGGAAGGGGGGGTAGAGCGCTTCTTGAGGCGGGGGGAGGCGGGCTCGTACGCCTTTTGGTTCCAAGGAGGCGGTAAGACGCTGGGTTAGTTGGACGTGGGACTCGTTGAGGAATTGGGTGAAGTTTCGCATCCAGATGCTTGTGGCGAGACCATCCCAGATTTGATGCGCGCCGATTGCGAGGAAGTGGAGGGTGAAAGTCTCACTGCCCTTCTTGATCTCGGGGGTTAGGAGGAAGAGTTTCGCTAGAGCAAGGTTGGGATCGAGGACCCGGGCGGCGTTTTGGCAGTGCAGCCAGAAGTCTTGCCAGGTGATGGTATCGTAATGGTCTGCGAGGAAGACGATGTGCTTTTCCGCTTCTACTCGGGCATCGGTCGTGGTTGCGGGTAGATCGACGATGAAGCGGACATCATGGCTCTTCGACTTCCCTTCCGAACGCTCCTCAGCAGAGACAACAGCTCTAGCCTGCAGCAATAGGTGCTGGCACCTCAGACACGTCCAGGCGAGGAGGATGTGTTTCCGTAGCTCGACTGGAGAGAGGGAAGAGCGGATTTCGAGCGTGAGGAGGCAGTTGATATCTGCCCGACCTTCCCAGAACCGGCCATCGGAGTCGAAGATGGATTCGACTAGGCCGAGGGGACGGGAGAATCTGGTTCTGCTGTCTGGGTTGGTGGCGTCTATGGAGGTGGCGGTCCAGGTGTAGTTTGGGCTGGCGTAGTGGCGGAGCCAGTGGGGTTGGGGGGTCGGGGAGGGAGTTTGCATCAGTATCCAGACTGTAGGGGTCCAGAGTTCGTAGATGGCCTCGTCGCGGTATGTCTGGAGAACGAGATGGTGCCTTTACTCACCTCTCAAGGATCATCGACAGTATTTGGAAGATATATACTCGCCAGCATTTTTAGCCGAGGCCATGCGAGGTGGGCCATGGTGATGGTCATTACTGGCCCTCAGCATGATTATTATCACGTACTATATGGAGAAGACATTAAGACGAGGAGATGTGGAGAATGGAGGGAGACATGATATGTTTGGTACTGATTCTCATCTGATCATTTCTCTTTGTCTTATCGGGACAATGCCTGCTGCTTTGGGACGACATGAGTGGACTGAGTGGACTGAGCGAGAGATGTCACATGCAGGTGACATTAGTGGGGAATAGGTCAGCATACATACTGTTCATGTATGTTAGGTATATATGTATAAAGCAATATGAAACAGCAATTAATAACATACACGAGACACAAATAACAATCACACACCTACCTCTGTACTGTATCAACAAGCACAACGCGATCATGTCCACCACGCACATCGACCTCTCCAGCCTGGAAGCCGATCCCCGCCTCTTCCTCTACACCTCCCTGACCGCCGGCAGCAGCCACATCATCACCGCCACTTCCCGCCTCGAAACGATCCTCAAAGCCAACAAGATCCCCTTCCAAGCCATCGACACGGCGACGGATGAGAAAGCGCGACGGTTGTGGCAGAGGCGGGCGAGTGGGAAGAAGTTGCCGGGGTTGGTGAAGGAGGGGTTCGTTGTTGGTGTATGTGCGTTCGACCTTTCATACCTGCCTTCCACCGCTTTCAGGTGAATGGATGGATAGATAAGATCATGGTAGGGGTGGATTTTACATGAGCTGACTAAGTGGATTGTAGGATCTAGAGGATATCGAAGAATGGAACGAATTCGGGGAACTGAAGGAGAAGGTCGGACCCGTGCCTGCCAATAATGCTGCACCGCCGGGTGGACAGGTGGGAGTCAACATCGCACCTCCTCTACCCATCAATCCCACCGCTACGGCCGGGACCGCGAAGCTCAGTCAGCCGCCGTCACCCACCGGCGTGAAGAAATCCCCTGCTCCAGTGCTAGACGATAGCAAACAACGACCTATACCTATACCCCTCCCAGCCGCAGCAGAGATGGCGGCACGAAACAGCAAGACCGTTCCTACATCTACTCCTGCCTCTGAACCCGCAGCGAAAGATGGAGTGATGAAATCGCAGCAAGGACATAGGAATATCGAGCACCTCTCCGCCCCGGCTTCGAGGTTGCATTCAGGGACTGCTACCCCTGCTGAGGCGGAGGGTGAGAGGGAGGAAGAGGAGGAGGTGAAAGGGGCCAAGACCGGGGCCGAGACCGGGGCCGAGACTACAACCGCGACGAGTGAGTCAAAAGACAGCAAGGTCACGGTCAAGCCCGTGGAGGAAGAGACGAAGGAGATGACCAGTAAGAGCGTCGAGCCCGTTCAGAGTCACGAGGCGGAAAAGACGCAGCAGCAGAGTGCCAAGGACGGGGAGGAAGCGACTAAGAGCGTGGAAGACTGAATCTCAGCCCGGGTTTGGAACGAACTTTTCGGCCAGTCGTGGTTTGCAGCGTAATAGCAGGTACTATTTGTAGCCATGTCACCTGTTCCTGTTTCCGCTACTGCTTTGGGTGAACATGAAAAGTGACCTGAAAAGCGACCGGCATATAACCTGACCCGTGTCCCACATCCCAAGCCTTACGTCGTAGATGGCATTGACATGATCATACAAATTGCCACCCGCACCCAACCCAACCCAACCCAATCCAGATCTCATCAGAACCATGAACGACAAAAAAACTCACGGGCCCGCTCGTTAACAGAAATGCCACCGACCGCATCACCTTTACCCCTACACACTTCCTTCCTTCCCTTCCTAAGTCCCTACCCTTTCCTCCCCAACCGCAAACTCAACCGCCTGAGCTTCCCTCCTCCCTCCCCAACTGTCATCTGGCTCGCACCACTCTGCCTCCTAGCCTGCGCCTCAGTCATACCACTCGCCCTTTTCCCAATCCCCGCAGAAGAAGCAATATGCTCGACTTCCCAAGGTAGGACATCATTCTCCGCTCGGATCCGGCTCAATCTACTCCCCAGCCCCAACCGCTCCTTGGGTGTCTTGGTCCATTGGAGGGAAATTTCCGAGGGGGCGAGGGACGGGGTGGAGCTGTTTGAGCGAGGTGGGGAGTGGGAGGGGAAAGGGTCAGAGGTAAGGCGGGTCGGCGTATCTTCCCGCTCTTCTTCCGTGTCGTCTTCTCTCTCCGTTTCCGTTTCTGTAACAGCCATGGTAGGTCGCGTGGCCGTCAAAGTCCTGGGCGAGAACGTAGGCGATAGCAATGGCGGTGCGCCGGCCACGACAGCCGTGGTCACAGTCAAACCCGTCACCCGCGCACCAGGCGAGAACTTCCCTCCCAATCCCTCCCCCTCGAATCCCTGCGAAGACGTGCGGTCCGGGATTACGGGTCGAGCAAGCAGCGTCGTCGTCTCGAAACAGAACGGGGAGGTTCGACCCGTGGCATCCCTCAACGTCGACTGGAAAGCTCGAGCGTCCTCTTCTTCTTCTTCCTCCTCCTCTCCATCGTCCTCGGAAGCGGGTTCGTCAGGCAACGACTGCTCCGGTATCAACGCCATCCCCGAAAACCTCCCCAGAACCGGCCGGCTGAAGTTGGTAGAGAGTGGACGACCAGTCTTGATAGATTCAGTCTCAGTATCCGTATCGCTGTGCCAGAAAGTTCCCAACACCGGACTCTGCGGCTGTTCGGGCTTGGATGCATTATCCATCTGCGTCTGCGCGATGGCGTCGATGAGGTTGAGAGCGAAATCCGCCGGTGGGGTGCGCGGGGAGTGTTCGGGCGTGGTGATGTAATCTGCCGGCCGCAAGAGCTCGGGGAGTTCGAGTTCGGGGGTAGGGAGGGAAGAAAGCGGGTCGAGTTCTGGTAGGGTTGGGGAGGGCGGGTGGAGGAACGTCTGGGCGCTTTCGGACGATTGGCGGTCTTCTTCTTCGGGGTCCTCGGCGATGAGGTCCGGTGGTTCGTCCCAGGGCGTTACGGCGGTGTTGCGGTGCGCGGGGTGGAGAGTGGTGTTCGTCGTCGTCGTCGGTATACTATGTTTCTTCCCAGCTTCGGTCGAAGGCCTCGAGTGCACGGATCCGGGAACAGAGTGACTCTGTGATTTCGAAGGTTTACTCGACAGAGATCCATACCTCCTCGCCGACGAGGTCTCACTACTGTTATCCGAGTACGACGTCCCCATCGTCCGACCCGTCTGCTTCGAAGCATTGGAGAAGGTAGAGAACCTCTTACTCCCATCCCTCTTCGACTGCATACTCGCCCGCTTCGCACTCTCCGGCAAACCATCCCACTTTGAATTCGTCGCCGGCACAAACGCCGGCAACTTCTGCGCCGTCCGACTACTCTTCCCGGACGCCGCCTTCTTCTGCGCATTGGCATACTCCTCCCACGCCGACGTCGACGGCTCCCTCAACGTCAAGAAGCTCAAAACACCCGAACCCTTCTTCTTCGTCGTCGTCGGCACCCGCTGTGATCGACTCTGCGTAGTCGTCGACGCGATACTGCCGCTCCTCTCCCTCCCACTGGGCCCTCGTGCCCCATCCTCGACCTGCGACAGATTACTCGGTCGTCGGACAAGACTAGGCGATAAAGTCTGCTCGGACGAGCACGAAGAAAGTGGTGGTCGCATCTTACTATCTCGTCGCGTGTCGATCAACGACGTCTTCTCGTCGATCACTTCGGCTTCTGGGATTCTATTGCGGACGGCGAGTTTCGGTATTCGTCGCGGAGCCCCATCGAAGGAAGAGATCGTCGCGGCGGGCATTATGAAGGATTACTGCTCTGCCGATCCGCACAGGTCAGCGTGGGCAGAGGCTAGAGGGGTTTGAGTTTCGGGGCCGTTGAAGTTTCGACCACGCCAGTGTGAGGGAGAGCAGGACTTACTGTTCCGGAGCCTGGGCAGCCCGCAGGAATCCTCGAGAATGGAATGTGATCGTCAAGGTTGAGAGCTCGTGGGCATGAAGACTCAAGAGGCGAGCTGAAATGTAAGGCGTGGCTTTCAACGTGCAGGTGAGTCAATTCTGGCACAAGACGGTATTGTATAGGTCGGAGGATATGACGCGCTAGTCAGCTTCCTGCAACCAGGAAACAGGCAGAGTAGAACCCGATCAACCACGTTCGTTCCGGCCGAGGGTGGCCGAACTCTGCCTCTCGCGTCCCAGATTGGTACACACGAGCGTTGTGAGACAGGTACCGGTGCACTTCAATCCGCAGACCCGGTTTGAACAGCGTCCAAGTGCGATGATTCTAGCCTATGGCCTTGGGTAGTAGATGAGGATGAAGTTCCCTCTTAGAGCTACGAGGCGACCGGATGGATAGCAAGTGCATGCGTTGTCCACGTTCGCTGTAGTGTTCCTGCGCCAAAGTGGATGTCTCAGAGGGCGCTAGGGTGTCTAGACCGGTATGGCAGACGGGACGATGAGGTTGAAATTCACGTGGCTGCCAAGCTAACGCTGCGAGAATGAAGTAAAAAGCAGGAGTCCAGGGGATGAAAGAAGGAGATGAAGTCGATGACCGTCTTTCTCCGAGCTCGTCATGCTTGTACGCTGTAGGAAAGTAGGAAGTACAGGCAGCCACAGTCTCGCACCCGTGGTGATCACCCCAGGTCGAAGATCTCGATCGACGTGGAGATAATCAAAGCCGCATGCGCACATACCCTGTCTCGTGCTACGGCGAGATGAGCTGTCTATCGGATGGACATGAGCATATCGGCGGCCAGCACCGCTGTAATGAGACACAGGTAGGCATGCAGGCACGAATCCTGGCTGTTGGCGACAAACCTTTGCGACAAACTTTTGCGATAAACTTCGTCGTTGAGACGACACAGCCGGACGCCTCGCTAAAACGCCACCACGGTTCCAATGGCTCGGTTTAGCGATGAAAATCGGCCTTCGCCTGGATCCATGCTGCGTCATTTTTAGACGTCCCCGCAATGGCCAAGACAATAATGTAGGGTGCGGCTACACCGGCATATTATACAGTGGCTTATCGTTACGTGACGAGATTGATATAATGAGGGGAATGGTCGGAAGCGTGGAAGGGGAATCTATGCGTCCAGTAATGAACAATGGTGAGGGAGGCAATGCCCACAAGCCTCGCACTATGCAGTCTCGAGCGAAGGATCGAACACGACATCGTGCTCTCGCTTCAGGATGCAGCCACGTTCGCATATGGTCTACCGCGTGCGTCCCCTGTACAAGCCATGTGCTCTCCCAACCCAAGATACCGTACTGGATAAACGTGTCGTGCAGCACGAGGACGATCCTGTCGATCCCGACGGCGGTGTTGTGGGACTCCACCTCACCTTTCTCTTGGGTTGGGATCTAGATTTTGTACACCATATTAAGACTATGACAAGGACTAACCAACAATAAATGCTCGAGGTCTTGCTCTCCTGTCAATGTGACGCGAGCACACAATGGTTGTCTGTGATCCCTTCTCACCTCTCCTTTTGGTGGTGTATGATGCCGTGTTGCCATCGGGTGAGGATGGATCGAAATTGCTTCGTGGCGCTGGACTTTCCGAGCCTTGTAAAATTACTGACCGGGCCAGCAAGGTCTCCAGATGAGCGACCAGGCTGTGCTGGACGTACATTCTTGTAAAAACAGAATCCCGTCGAAGAAATGTGAGACCATCGACGTCGTCGGCGGCCTACGATGCGAACTTCCAATTCTGCCGCCTTGTCGTCGTGTACGATCACATTCTCGAACGTACATCAAGACTTAGGATGAGATTCGACGGAGTGGACCACAACAAAATCTGGGTTTATTCTTTGTTGGAACATCTGAACCAGTGCGTCACCGACAACGATGACATCTCGCTGCTTTCGATGGAGCTTGTGACGCAAGAGCCTACCTCTTCCAAAGGTTATATCCCGTTTCTCCGCAGGAAGCACACGGAATCATCATCATGTGAGCTGGCGACGGGACGTTCGAGGCCAAGTATTTCGCTATCACTCTCCACCAATTGCATCATCACCATGCTGGACGGCCGGCCTAGATTTCACCAGACTATGGCAACCGTAGCTTGGCAAGTATGATATCAATTGTTTCGTCCCCAAACACATAAGCACCCACCTTGTCAGAAAGAAACACGCAGAAAGACGTTCGACAGCAATACCGATAATGTCTACTCAAGGAGCAAAGGATGCGCTCATGCAGGGCGCACAATATGTCACGGGCAGTGGTAGCAAATCCACGACAAACGAGAGCCACCTTGGTCGTGATGGGTCCGGTTTTGGCGCTATGTCTTCTGGCCCGATCCCAGGTGCTGGACGACAAGAAGGCGGCTCTGTAGCACCGATTCCTGGTGGCCACGCGACTAGTGGCCTCACGTCCGACGGCTCGGAGATCAGCACTGGAGCAACTCAAACGGCACCAGGCTCACAGTATTGGCAAGAAACGGAAGAGGTGGGTATCTTCGAGACAAAAGACGGGCGCAAGACATATGCACCAGATGGTCATCTTACTCGCACTGGTGCACCATCTCAATATGGTGCCGCGGAGGGCAAGACGGCTGGCGAGTCCGGCCTGACTGGTGGGCATGGGCAAGAGGGCGGAGAGGGCCTGGACATGCGATCCTCCCGCGGACAGCACGACAACTCCAGAGGCGCTATTGCAACAGACACCACTGGTTCTGGTGCTTCTCGAGAGCAAGGGGACATCGATACATCAGCAACGCAAAGCAACATCGGCGTACCTACATCCGGTGATCCTGGCGCGACAGATGCAGCGCAGCGTAGTGAAGCTGGCAGTGGTGCTGGCGACAAGGCCAGCAACAGCAACAGGTCTGCTCACCTTGAGAACCCTGACGCGATCCCGTTTGCTGGTAATAAGAAGGTCGGTGAAGACCATTATGGCGAGAGCAAGATGCAGCCAAAGGCTGTGTAAACATCGGGTCTGCGCTCGTCAGCAGCTGGTGTAGGTTCATTGATTGTATTTGTAGCGCTTCAGTAAGTCCACGATGGACAGTATTACTTCCCAAGCATGTTCTCACGATATGATAATGCGGGCATCGTTGAAATGAGGTTGTCGAAGGAGAAGTAGATTTCGTCTTCAACGCGCGATCCGATTCGGCTTGGCAACGATGAAGCACATCACGACTTCCAAAGTCATCTCTGCTCACCAAGGATATTTCCATCAATGCTCTCATGATGTCAAACGTCGTCAGTATCTCTGCTCTGTATATCACAAACGCAACGCACTCAACGGTAGGTCAAGTACGTCTCATTTGTTGACAACAGCCATGCGTTCCTTTGCCATCCAGTCCGTAAGGTCTCTCAGGACGATCCGTACCACATCAGCCTCGGAGCCGTTCTTGAGCACCAGATCAGCAAGCAGGGTATCAACGCCAGCGAGCCAAGCGATCTCGGAGACTGCTAAACAAGAGGGAGGCACCGTGAAGGGCTCTACCTCCGCTCAGATGCAGAGCGAGGTTGGGAAACAACAGAATTTCGAGCAGGCTGCGCAGGAGGTCGGCAGTAAGATGCAGAATGCACCAGACCAGGTCACACAAGAGGTATGATCGCTTGAGGTCGAGCTGGACACATTTGCTGATGTTGGTAGGATGCCGCATACATCCATTCGAGGGAGGGTCGAGTCCTTGGTCGATCCAACCCACCACCAGGCTCAATCACCTCCGAAGCTGAGGCATTGGCGGCTGCTAACGAAGGTCGACCGAACACCGGGAACGCCAGCCAGGCCACGGCCCCAGGTTCAAACAGCCAGTCTGCGCAGGATCGCTCAGACAATTTCGAGAAGGCCTCAGCGCAGGTAGGCCAGAAGATGGCGACGGATCCCGAGTCCGTCACGAAAGGAGATGGGGATTTGCTGCATTCCCGAGAACAGCGTGCTTTCGGGACTACTAGCAAGGGCGGCATTGCCAGTCAAGCACAGAGTCTGGCGCGGGAGAACCAGGAGAAAGGAACAGCTTGAGAAATTGCTAGGGGGCGCATGCTGAACGCAAGCATGATGTATACCATGTAAGATACGAGATGACGAAGCATGTAAGGATCACCTTTCAAGTACAACAGCCATACGCAAATCCACGTGCTACTGACATGGTGCCAATTTATCGCACCTGCCAGACTTTCAGTACCGGAGTCGTTCCTTCCACATTCAGATCTTGGACTCGGCCCGCTTAAGCCGCATGCACCTTCAATTTAGATCTTGTCGCCGTACCTTTCACAGCATCGAGTACAGACATTCGTACCACTCACATACTACCTTCCACATTCATTCACACATCATGACAACCGCCGCGCCACCACGAACTCGCGCAGCTGATCTCAGCATACCTCCTCCACCACTTCCGGAATTCTACTTACCTAAGGATTTCGCCCAGCGGGACAATGACGAGCAGGAAGAGGACACCAAGGTCGCGATGAAAGTCCGCAGGTACACAGTTGAGCTGAACGACGACGAGGCTGCCGGCCTTTTGGTCAAGCTTCCATCGGCAACGACTAAGGCCACCGGCAAGACCATGACTCAAGTGACGTACACGGATCGAGTACGATACGGACCAGTGGCCACAATGCCTGCGCCGGCAGGAGGTGCAGCAGATGTACCACCTTTGGCGATCTATCACATCTGCCGTTTGTGTCTCCGCACGCGAAGTGCAAGATATCACAGAGAGCATCCAATCCCTGTGAATGGAGTCCCGCCACCGCCAGGGATCTGTCGCAGATGCCGGGTGACGACTGTGGAGGATGGCTCAAAGGTGGCAGAGAAGACCCAGTGTGGCGAGAGTAACCAGAAACGCATCGGTCTCGGCTGTATCGTGAAGGACGAGGACTACGTCTCCAACCAAGACTACAAGGATCTGCACAATGGGCGCAACTTCATGCCTCCGTTCGAACACCTTGGCTTAAGGCACGAGAGCAGCTCGGCTCGGAGCAGAGAGACTCGGGAAGAGCACAAGAAGCTTCCTTATCGCCACGTTCGAGTCCGCGAATCGAGTTTGTCGAGTTCGCCACCAGGACCAAAGACACATGCTGAGTCGACTGCGCAGGACGTTATCGATGCCGTTAGTGTCAAGTCAGCGAGTGCGGTAATATCCGAGAAGTCTCAACGCAGACCCGATTATAGAGGCTTCCGCGAGGGTGGCGGAGGCAAAATTACTGCACGACTTATCGACGAGGACCTCCCAACAACAACACAAGTTGCAATCTACGCGGCTTCGGAATCGTCGAGGTCACCACCCACAGGGACGTTTATAAAGATTGTTGCTAGTGCATCTGTGCAGCAGCCAGTTCAGCCGCAGTGGTCAGAGGCCGGTATCAGAAGAGTTGCAAGGGACGAAGTTGAGCGCTATCGCCAAGCTGAGCGTACGCTGGAAGCACATCGTGATCCGTATGCTCATGGTAGAATGGTGCTCATTGAACGGCGCATCGAGCGTCCAGCTGCTGAAGCTGAGGTACTGCCTTGGGAGAAGAAGAAGAGTGGTATGACTGAGGAAGTCGTCATGGTTAAGAAGCCATTGTTTCAAAGCGAGCGACAGTCTTCAGGTGCACATTGTTCTGATTGGGATTCCGGTCGAATTCAGAACAGAGAGGACCGCAAGGAGAGCCAAGTGACTGAGAGAGAAACCACTTGGGTGGACGAAGAGATCATGCTGGAACGGGTGCGCCAGCGTCCTAGTCACTCGACCGCGAGTGGCAATATGTCGGGACATGGCCAGAATATTGATGCTGAGACACAAGATCCTCGATCGACTACAAGGAAACCGAAGTCCGCTAAAGGAGAGACAGCCAGAGGGCGGACCGATATTGACTCGAAGGACCGTGGAAGCAATCGTTCGGGAGATCACAAGGCCACAGACAGTGCAGAGCCAAGGAGCGAACGCAGCGAGAGGCGTAAGTGGGATCTGATGAGCGGATATCCCACACAAGTACAACCCGAAGCGCGAAGAGAAGTGGCCAGCAGTCGCCGACGTGCTGAGAGAGATTCTTTGGTTCACCGCAAGATCTGGCTGCCGCCTTGGAAAGACTATGAGATCATCGAGATCACCGACACCTTCGACGATGAAAGCATGCCGGGTAATCGTGAGACAAAGCACGAACGACGGGTGACTGAGCAACCTGCCAGGCTTCGGTCTGAACCTGAGCGTGTGAAAGCCGACTCAATACTCGCCAAAGCTAAGGAAGAACCGTCGAAGCCTGTGGATGAGCACGATCACAGTCAAAGCCAGCCCGAAACAGGCGCCAGCAATTTCAGGAGTACTGATAGAACGGAGGAGAAGCTGGATATCAAGTGGCGGAAGCGCGAATCGCAGGATCAAGAGCCTCGCCGCGGACCTGCTTCACTCTCGTCACTGGGAACCAGGAACAGGTCTGGTAGACCGGCGAATAGCGACTCCGAAAAGAACCGCGAGGACGAAGTTGCTTCACAGAAATCGAGACCACGAGCGTTCGATCTCAGGTGGGCAGCAGCGACGGCCCAAGCAAGGCCTGGCCGGAGTCGTGATGAGGTCGAGGACGACGAGAAGACTATGCATCCCAACGGTGGTCGTATTCACGCTTCACAAGTGGATAGAGCGGATGCGAGTGTTGGAAGACTTGCTCTGCGACCGGAGCCTGCAGCCACACATTCGCACACACGACAAAAAGCACCCCAGTCCGAGCACGAATACGTATACACTGAACGTCTTGTGGAGCCAGTCGGCCCTCGGATACATCGAGGCACTGCAATAAGTGATGTTGGACGTCATTATACACGAACCGAGGAGATCTGGTGCAAGAGTAATGGCTCGAAGGCAAGCTCACGTGGTATCCCAGTGGCTCGATCGAATGCACCTACGCCAAGCACGACCAAGCTGAAGCAACCAGAGACGAAAGTGGCTGAGGGTAGTGAACACAGCTCCAAGGTCCGATTTGCCGCCAAGGTAGACATCTCGCCTACCCCACCAGGCAGCGATGCGAGTTCGGAACACTTTCGCCTCATTGGAGGGAGCGCTAGTAGCAAGGCGAAGCTGAGAGATGGCGAGAGTGGTGAGGATCTGATCGCGGAGTTTGAGCGTCGTGGTAGGTCCAAAACGCGAGAGCCACGATCGCCTCACAATCGTACTGGAGAGCAGGAGTACTTCTACGAACGCAGGGAGACTGTTAGAGAGCCATCCGGAGTGGACCGTGGTTGGGATGATGCTCCACCGTCAGCCTGGGAGGGCGATTCGAACAAGAGTCAGCCTAAGCCGTTGGTGCATGCCTACAGCGAGAGTCCTGCTCGTGAGAGGTCAAGTCGCTGGGGGAAAGAAGGCAGATGGGAGGAAGAAGGCAGCGGAGCAGGACCAATTCGACCCGAGATGCCAAGGCAAGAGGTTATGGACGTCCTGAGTGGTAGTGAGCATACTACTCGTGCTGAGGTTGAAGGAGGCACAGAAGATCCTCGGTACGGCCATGCTCATGGTCGCTGGCCAGAGGATCTCTCTGTGTTGGCAAGTCATGTGCGGTAGGGACGCAGGCGATCTTGACTTGACGGTTATCTTCCAGTCGTCGTACTTCATCCTAGGATAATCATGATCATGTCGACCTAGCATCTGTGGTCTGTTCACCTCGGATATCCTTCAAGCTTCGCTTGCGAGATTGACCCACCGACTCAGGAAGCCTTATGCCATGACTCGCAGCCTCGTGTTCGACGCTGCTCATCAGTAGCGAAGCTGGCGAAGTATACATAGACATCGGCCTTAGGTCCACTCGGAGGAATGTGCGCTCGTGCAGATGCCAGCGAAATACGAAACGCCAGGGTTGAAGCAAGTTTGAGTCCTCGTTTCTGCACCAACCACACCAATCAACACGCGCGCGTATATATTTGTGACGTATGCTCGCTTGACGCGCCCAGACATCGCTTGCTCGTTGTTCACCATAGCAATCTTGCATACCACGCTGAGGTGACGCAGCAATCGATGGTGAGGGTGGTGTGGTGGGCGTATAACTGTAGAAGGTAGTACTCATTTTATTCCTATCAGACCTAGCCTTTTTGCCAGACCATCTACAGATATCATCGACACCTGATAACACCAGCACAATGCGCTTTCTCGCCATCGCACCAGTCTTGTTGTGCGCCACTGGTCTAGTGCTCTCTTTCCTGTGCCTCTTCGCCGGCTCATCGAAAGGCTTCCTCGAAAGCTACGACATAGTCTCGCTGAACACATCTCGCATCGGCCAAAATGTGCTCAACTCCAGCCGCAGCTCAGACAACCCTTTTGTTAGTTTCTTCGACAACATCACGAACAGCATCTCGAACGACATCAACCAGGATATCAACTCGTTCGCCAAGGATCTCGGTCTCCATGACTTCTACAGCGCTCATCTGATGGATTACTGCGAGGGTTTCTTCATGCCTGGTCCCGTCCCGAATGCTACGCTCTCCAAGAAAAGCATCCACAGGAATGTCACTAGCTGCTCCAACCACACTGCTATGTACGATTTCGACCCACGAGAAGTGTTGCAGAAAGAGCTCAACGCTAGTGGACATTCCAATATTAATCTGGATGACCTCAAGTGGCCCTCAGCCATCGACAAAGGTCTGCACGCTTTAAGAATCGCCCAGAGAGCAACATTCGTTCTATACTGCGTGGCTATTGCACTAATTGGCCTCGCAACACTGCTGGCGCTGATTTCGATATTTTCGGAGGGTAGAACGAGTGCTTTCCTCAACGTATTGGTCGACTTGCTTGCCTTCCTCGCGATCGGTATCGCCAGCGCGATTGCTACGGCTGTCGCTGTAAAGGCTGCGGATGTAATCAATCACTACGGGAACGCGGTCGGTGTCAGTGCTAGCAAAGGCGGAAAATTTTTGACCCTGACGTGGGTGGCTACTGCTGTAATGTTCGTTGCGAGTCTGGTCTGGTGTTTGGATTGCATCGTTGGACGCAAACAACCTCGTCGGCAAACGGCAACGAAGAACTACGCGGACTACGAAGGTGGAAGGAGGTACTAGAAACGACGTTTATTGGTTTGATTTTGGGATACGTTGATGCGATATTTGCGATGCGGCTACGATGCTTCTCAAGATACCCTTGTACGTATGGCGAGTGGGTTCAGGCTCTGATCTGTAAAGGCGCAGGCGCCGACATTGATACATACTCGCGAAGATGCTACTGCACATCATGATGGCGCATGTCTTTACATCAGTACCACCCATGTCCATCTTCATCCATCTTCTTGTTCTTCGGATTGAGACTAAGCATTCGCTGCCCAGGTATGCTCCCACTGATCCTGCTCTCGAACATACCGCTAACAGCTCTTCGGCCAACGTGAGTGAAACTCTCATACGCATGTCCACCTTCTTCTTCGGGCACGACAACGCCATTGACAGCGGCCCATTCGGGTGACGTGTATGGGCTACTGCCATCGCCGAGATCGCTCCACCTCGTCACAACGATATCATGCTTGAATGGCCTTGCGAGATCTTTGGGATCCTCAACCATACGCACTTCGATAAGGTATTCTGTTGGACATTCCGGACATCTTCGTGCCGGTCGACACTGGTCGCAACCACGCACGATGAAGTTTGGCGATGCCATTGCTCGACTGATGTGCGGAGCTTCTTTTAGTTGTGTGACGTATGTTTTCGGTGGCGCAGGAACGTGAGACAGTGCGCATTTGCATAGATCCATGAGCAGGCCATCTCGCCAATGGGCGCAGACTGAGAAGTACGGTACGTACTCCTCCCGATCGTACAGGATATGACGTTCTGCTGTCTTAGTCAGTGTCGCAGCTGGTGGTACGTGGACCTGACTGACGACACGCAGGAGCATGTGGTGGTCGTGCAGTAGATACCGCGACCGATGCGTCTAGCCGCTAGAATGGGTCCACTTCCGATCGAGAGACTCGTGAGATATGCCGAAACCTTGGCCGAGCTGTTCTCTGAGGCCTAGCTGAACGAAGCTGTATGGTAGTTGACGTCCTGGCGCCAGCCGCATGCGTGGAAGTACTGTGGTCTTGACATTGGGACAAATATACATCGGATTTGCAACATAATCAGCTTTGAGGGACTCTTGACCGGCATGCATCCGTAGATGATACTGGCCGCAAGCAAAGCAAAGAAGATGGAGAGGGAGCTGACGATCCATGCTTTGCAGGAAGGCTATCTTGTGATGCTTGTTCTCGAGCTTATTGAGTGCCTGGAACGGTCCTGCGCCGAGTCTGCCGCGTAGAGTAGAGCTCGACAGCGCCAAACAAGCATGATCTGCAGCATTAAGGAACCCAGCAATCCTTTGCCACAAGTCTTCTGGAAGGCTCGATGCCAGCTTCTCATGCTTCGTGGACACTCGTCGCAATCGTTCGGCATCTTCTCTTGAGTCGAAGTATGGATCCTTGACATCGTGCGCTTCGACTGTCTGATCAACGAGCGAGTCGAACGAGTCATGATGTGCTAGCCGATGCATCATGTCTGTATGGTCAGGTCTGTCGACGAGCGTAGACCCATCGCTGAACATGGAGTACTCGCGTTCGCCGAGCTCGTTTGCATCGTCGCCAGATTTTCGCGAATTATCAGAACTTCGACCAGTATCGTGCGATGGTCTTGGTTTATCCCAGTGGTTCCGCCGGGCATACTCGTGCTCACGTTTTCGACGCCTCTCAACATCTCGAGCATTATTCCTGGCTATGGTCTCCTCGGTGAAGGCTTTGTTGTTGCGTAGCTTCCTACCAACGCGGGTCACAAGTTTGGCTGGCCAGCTATTGAGATCTGCAGTGTTCCAGTCCATGATAGTCCTGCTAGTCGCAAGAAATGAGACTCGGTTTGTGGTTTTCTAGCTCAGCATCGTAGGGTCGACTAGTTGTAAACTTGATGACAGAGTTCTCCAGTGATCGAACGCATTATCACTGATGCCGGTGTACTGACCGTGTCGGCGGATGACCGCGGATATCACTTGCGAAGACATTTCTTACCAAGCTACAGCACAGAGCTGACATCATCACAAGACAATTTTTGCTTGGCAGCCTGAGCGTTGTCCGAAGACGTGTTTGTAATACTGTCACGATGCTGTTCGAATGGTGAAGAAAGACGTACAGAAACATGACACGAAGAGGAGGCAGCGAGCTCAGATAAGCCTTGTATGTAGGCACGCGGGAGCGCTGGTCAATCCTGCAGAAACATGGAAGCTAGTGCTCCCTTCTTTCAAGCCAATCATGAGCCATTGCAGCAGCAGCCACGAGATCTGCGCAGGTGAGTAGACTTCCTGTTCAATATCACGGAGAGGAAATTGGAGCGATCTCATTCTGCAGTAGATCTCTAGCATGTCTGGCACTTTAATCAGTTCTTGCTCATGTCTATAAGCACTAATAGATAATCAGAACCCGTCCGGAAATAACGAGCTCATATCGTCGGGAAAGGAACTGAAGTCGAGATCTTCGAAATTGAAGCCTGGGTCGATGCTAGAGGGGAAGTCAAAAGATTCGACCCCAGGCACGGTAATCACGTCGGTTTGCCGGGCTGGAACAGCAGTTTCATCGGTCTTTTTCGGTGGATACAAAGTCCACACGACTTGTATCAGATGCCGGATGATCTTCTGACAGCGTATGACTTGTCGAGTATCACCTCCAAGCTTCCCGAGGACATCGAATGCCATCTGCAGAGCATTGATGAGCTCGGACGTTGAACACCGGTGGATCTTCAGGCCACATTTGTATGTGGCAATGAGCACGCCATAAGCTGTCAGTGCGGCAGTAAATGCTTTGGCGGCTGAGTCAGTAGATGTCAACTAGGTCTTGGCTCTCGAGGCGACGTACAAAAATAGGCCGACCACCACCATATTGGGAGTAGGCGGTTCGGCTGCGTGGTCTGGGAAATGATCGCGATCGTTTCAAGCGCGGCATCTACGCACAAATCGAGACTTCCGCCTGCAACGCTGAGCGGGTAGAATGAGTCCCGACCCGTCGTATCGTTTCTCGATTGGCTGAGGACGTACGAAAGCACTCTTCGATGCAAAAGTAGGCGGACGTTAAGCAGGCGGACCGTGAGGATTAGTCGAAAACGATGTGCCTGGGCATCGACGGCATCTGTGACGGTGGCCAGCTCCGCAGACGTGATGAGACGTAGTGGTGGTGGCAGAGCTGCTGCAAACGCCGACAGCTCTTGGTCTGCTTGTAAGACATCGACCATGAGCTTTGGCACGGCTACGTTGTCTACCAGTGGCCCGACGTTTGCCTCGTACACTTGTTCGATCACCCGACCAAGTACCACATACATTTTGCTACAACCATATGAGCCAAAATGCAAGATTGTGCTGCCGGTGGGAGACAGTCAACTTACGACGTCTGCACCAACAAGCTCGCGGTGGGTATGCAAGAGTCGAATACCTCTGCCGATCGATCATTGGTGAGCTTGGCTAAGTCGACCTCGGATGGAAGCTCCGTGGTCATGTAGCTCGTTGGTAAAGGAGGAGGTCGACCGAGAGTCATGCTTATGGTTCTGAAAAGGAGGTCAGCATCACGGGCGACTTTCGCGACTCAATACGCATACATATTCATGACGAAGCACGTCCACCATGTCCGCTTCCGAAGCTCAGCATCCAGTGCGGTCTCTCCGACTACTTCGCGGAACAGCCCTACCCTGAAGACAGCATTGACCAGCCTCCCGAGGACGTCCCATGTTTGGGATGAGCGTTGGGTGCCTTGCCTACAGGAACTTCTATCAGTATCGCGCCTTGGATCGAAACCATGACGAAATTCGCTTACAGGTACATTGTAGCCAAAAGCAAAGCCTGGACTGTGTATCATATTAGCCTAATACATTTGCTTTGTGAAAAGCTATCCTACTTGACTCGGGATTCTCCGCAGAAGGTCTGATATCCGAAAGCAAGGCAAGTGCCCTCTGTAGGTAAATATCCCCCTGCTGTAGTTTGATCGTGACCGGGACTTGCGAAGGACAATGCGTCGATGCAAAAGCGAACATGAGGTTGAGTACGCAAAGATGTGACCGTTCGATGTTTCGAAAACCAGCGCGCCGCATGTCTGTGACGTTCTTGTGTACACGAGGCTTGTACAAGTATGGCCAGAACCGACCAGTGTTCTCAAAGTATACATCAACGAGACGTGAAATCTCCGCATAAGGTGGCAGCAGAAATGGATCTACTGATTGTAGTTTCTGATTGTGGATGTGTGGCGCCTCGAGAGGCGGCGATGCCGGTCGAGAGAAGCCTCGTAGACCCGCGGTATCGAGATCTGCGAATCTTGAGCTCGTCGACTGCGCGTTGACAACCTTTTGTAGAAACGCAGTGTTGGATGTAGCGCCTTCAATGGGTCAGCTACTACGATTAAATTAAGCTGGATTGGAGGGACGGACCGAAGAAGCCTGACGATGCTTCGTCGGCAAATGTTATGGTACCCATCCCATCAACACTATCTTGTGCCAGACCTGGCTGTTGGGATGTGGCGCGATCACGATAGACGTTTCCAGGCGAAAGGTGTGGTTCGGCGGAACGACTGGTCCGGTTGTGCAGACTGCTATCGTCCCCAGCATCACTAAGCAAAGTCACGGGCGGCGAAAAGGCCTCTGATGGTGCTCGTCCTGGAGTTAAAGAATGCAGAAGCCTCTCCATATCCTTCAAACGATTCTCAAGCTTGACGATCGACTGCCTGTCCGAGCTGACGGCAGAGTGTGTGGCGGCATCTCGATAATGGCACGAAAGTCCTTGTTCCGTGCAGATGTCACAGGTAGGTCTGTCGCCATTACAGCGGGACTTCCTTTGTCGACAGGTCTCGCACGCGTGTGCGATCCTTCGGCGTTTGTTGGGTGGCCTCGAGATGATGTCGTCTTTCGTGCTGCCAAGTCCCTCAGCGCTGCTTCCAAGCGGTTTAGTAAGCGCGGATCTGCCGAAGGTGGCCTGCATGGTCCAAGGTCGTTCGTTGAGCATATGGCGAGCGGGTATGAGTCTCAGCGATGGGCTTCAGGTGAGTGTGTGGTCAGCACGCTTTCTTGGTCGACTCCTTGACTGTTCGTGGGCATTCTAGCTTGGTGAAACGGTTTGATACACGAGAGCTTTAGGAGCCGTGAGTTTCGGCAGCGCGGGCAGGGCCTTGCGCTACCGCATCTTTCTAATTTGGGACGGAGCTCAGAGGTGAGATACATACCCTAATGACCGGCTGCATGTAATGTGCCTTTCTCTTAACACGAATATGGCACGGGGTTTCCACTTGGAAATACACGGCGGCAGAATTACTGCGCTTTATATACCAGGGCGTCTATTGAGGCAGCTACAGCGTGATATCCGCTTCTGTACAGTGCTATATGGGTGATCCCCGTCGAATACTAGTCTAGGACTGAGGCTCGGCCAACTTCAGCTTATCCTCCGAGTCGTACACAAGCTCACGCATCTTCACACTGCGTAGATGATTCTTCCCAGACAAGCTCGTGTCATGGTAGAAAAGGTACCATTTACCCTTGAATTCAACGATCGAATGATGTGTCGTCCAGCCCTGCACTGGGTCTAGGATACGGCCGGCATAGGTGAAGGGGCCCATCGGACTCTCACCAATTGCATAGGCCAAGAAGTGTGTGTCTCCTGTCGAGTACGAGAAGTAGTACTTGCCCTTGTACTTGTGCACCCAGGCAGCCTCGAAAAATCGACGATCGTGCTTACTGGCATGAATGGGCTTGCCATCATCATCGTTGATAACCAGGCCCTGAACGTCGCTGGTCAACGACTTCATGTCCTCGCTGAGCTTTGCCACTCGAGGAAGCAGTGCAGGCTCGTCGCCGGTGGCTTCCATCGTCTCATAAGCTGCCTTGTCGAATTTGCCAGATCGCCAGCATTGCAGTTGACCACCCCAAATACCACCAAAGTAGAGGTATGCTTGGCCATCGTCGTCGACGAAACTAGCTGGGTCGATACTGTAGCTTCCTTGGATATAGTCCGGCTCTGGCTTGAAAGGTCCCTCTGGCTTGTCCGCAACGGCGACACCAACACGAAAAACGCCTTCCTTATCACGAGCTGGGAAGAAGAGGTAGAATTTGCCGTCCTTCTCGGCAGCGTCTGGCGCCCACATCTGCTTCCCAACCCATGGAACATCGTCTGCCTTCAACGCCACACCGTGATCCGTGACTGGTCCTCCGACAGCGTCCATAGAGAAGACATGGTAGTCGTTCATGTCGTATTGATCGCCATTGTCGTTGTCCTGGATATCGGTCTCCCTGTCGTGCGAGGGATAGACGTACAGCTTCCCATTGAAGACGTGCGCGCTGGGATCAGCGGTGAACAGATGGTCGACGATAGGCTTTGGATTAGACATATTGCTGGACCGTCTAGATCGTGGTGCAATCGTACGAAGTCCATTCTGTCGCATGCCTCGCCCACTATATACACCGATCGTATAGCCGTGACCCACGAACAGAAGCTCGTCACCTTTTAGCCTGAATCTGGATCAAGGACGCTTGGCGCTTCTAGATCACTGGTTCTGGAGGGCAAGGCGGGTGCTGGTGGTGGAGGCATGAGAGCGTGGTTATCGTTTTTGCTTGGACACTATGCTGATACAAGTCTGGAGATGTATGGATGGCCGATTCAGAGATCATAGGCTCGGTTTGTGGTCAAGTCCGAGCTACTGCAAGGTCGGTCGCTGCATTTTGCATTTATGCCGATCTGGGGTCGGTAACTGAGAAGCGGCCCAGGCAGCACCGCGTTTTCCAATATCGTTATGGTGAAAACCTCTTAGATTGACATTCGCAGCATCAGTCGGTCGGGACTTGCGACACCCTTGGCATCTATGACGGTCAAGTAAGTCGTGTTACGCATGAGAACAATTCCGAATATCCACACGATCGAAAGGAGACCTTTCGTGTAGCGTACGTGCTCCTCAGATCATCCCAGATTCATCGGCATGACCGCAAGGGCCGAGCGAATTACGCATTGCTAGTTGCCTCTTCACCTCAGTGTCTAGTCGTCGCTCAGAGCACTCTTTGCAGTAACGCTGTATATTCCTGCGATATCAAGGGCAACGCCGGCTGCTCGAGCAGAGGTCAGTGACGGCTACATCGACTTGGTGAGTTTTCGCATTCGAAAAGCTTGGTGGCCGTGGTCTGCCGCTACAAGGTGGTTCCGAACAAGATAGCCTAGTCAAGACGATTTGTATTATAGCTACAGGCATGGATATGGTGGGGCGTATAGACACACTTACGTTGAACGGGATGGCATGGTCGTCTTCGCCCGCGGGCAGTCCATTCAGCTGCGCTAGTCTTTGCATTGGAAGCGCCAACGATGTACTCATACAACGATGGCAGGTAGGTAGATACACGCTTTTCGCCTTCGCACGGCCGATAGCCTCAGAGGAAGGTAGCACCATCAAGCAACTGAAACGGAAGCTATCTACTTCAAGGGTGTGCAGCGTCGGCGTCGTGCAGTCAACAGGTGCGTGAGACTGCAAACTATTGTACTGTACAATCATGCGTACTCACGACCGCTGAACATTGGGTGGCTCTCATATACTGCCAATGACTCCATTTGGTGATATACGCTGTATCACGGCTCGTAGCGCAGTATCAAAACGGTTGGAGCTATGCCGAGGCCGACGATGCTACAGATCGAGCTCACCATCGTCAATTAGATGCAGCAGGGCGTACCTACATTGTTGGCAGGAATCCTCCATTCCGCAAGGAGCGGTTCCGAAGGTTCGATTTTGAGGCCGCCCTCTGCAGGTCCGAAGCAGAAGTTGTTGATCTTACTTCGACTTTTGGCTCGGACTCACTACGCGTGAAAGGAATGAACGTGAAAGGAACGTCGACGGTCGGCCATGAGGGCTGCAGATGATCAAACAACGACCGACCTTTATGTGCACTGCGCTTCATATATGTTGCAGAATGCACAGCATGACAGCTGTTGCAGCACACAAGTCTCGCAGTGAAGCATGCTTCAGTCAGGAGTTTTTCCGGCGACGATCGAGGGCGACGACATGCACAGCACAGACCCCTGGCACGCCACCAAAATTGAGGCCGCCCTCACATGCATGCCAGGGAAGGTTGCCTTCTTTTTGCCCGCCGGTCACGGCATTAGCACATGATGTTCCTCGAGCGTACAGAGGAAGGCGACACTGAGTCTGCGCTGTCGTGCTTATCGCCCGCCCTATGTTTCGAGCATGCTGCGACATTAGAAGTCGGAATCCGTGAGGCACCCATCCATCGTCTGTTCTCTCTCACAACTGTCATATCGCTCTTCTCAAGGCCATCAGGCACCTATCAGCTACCTCAGCCTCGTGATATCTTGGAGTTCTCTGCTCACCTTGGACGAAATACAGCCTCGCGAGTTGGTCACTGTTCGACCTGTCCGCAAGGGTCGAGTGTCATCCTCCAGCAGATCTTCCACATTTATGGATATGCTTCAAACAGCGTGTCCTTGATACCCGAATGTGGTTGAGTATGCTGCTGACAATGATTGGTCATGGTAGGATACAAGCTGATCGGATATAGCAAACCGGCCCAACAACAACGTGGACATGAATCATTACCCGTCGCAGCCATCTGAGGTCTCAGGTTATTATTATGAGGCTGGTACGAGTCAACATCACACCAATGGCCAGTCTCATGCGCAAGATGAACTGTACGATACATTCGATCAATTGGAACAAAAGGCACATCAGCAAGCTGCCAATCTCGATCTGCAAGCTATTCAATCAGTGGATCAAAGTCCATTTGCACCAAGAGTCCATGCACCTTTCACAGGCACAACACATTCTGTTGCTGCGGCTTCTGTAGGCCGGCTTCGAACTAGCAGAAGTCATGGTGGCCAGGGGTTTGGTCAAGAGCGCCGTACTGTTAGGAGCCCCGCCACGGAATCTGATTCTACCTATGTTTCACTTCATGCCACGAGTGGTCAGGCGGGTGCGCCCTTCCCAGCATTCGCACCGCGCGAGCCGCCCATCCAGTCCGAAGATGGCGGTGTTACTCAGCGGAACTTCGGTCCCGGAAGTATAGTGTCGGAACCGACTATAACAGCTCACTGTGGACTACAAGGCCGGAGATCGAGACGTGGACGCAGCGGACTGCTGCAGTCTCCTTGTGATATATGTCAGAAGCCCTTACGTAATCCTTCAGATGCGCAGTAAGTGAGACCATCGTGCCGGGATGTGCGTGCACTAATATGTAACAGGAAACACTCCCAAACACACTTCAAGGATTGGAGATGCCACGAGCCGAACTGCACACGGCGAGATGGCTTCGGCACCAAGAATGACCTTGAACGTCATATAAGCTCTGTGCATAGGAAATATCAGACAGGCTTCATCTGCGTCGTATGCCCACGAGTGCAGGATGTGAGACCTAAGTTCTGGCCACGGAAAGATAATTTCAAAGCTCACATCAAGAGAAAGCATGCTCTTCTCGATGCTGAAAGGACGATCCAGTTGTGTGTCTTCTCACTTGCCTCGTTGGTCACGGCTGACAGCATACAGGTCTACCACGGTCCGACCGCAGAATGCAAAGACTGTCGAGTCGGGGTATATATCTGCACAGCAGTCACAAATCGACTCCCATGATCTAGACCACTCTCAGATGGCATTTAGCTTCATGGAAGCTGGAACCAGCCAACATGCTTCCCAGCCTGGCAACCCACTATACGGATTCGAGACATCTTCGCAGGGAGATCCTCTGGCTGGTATAGGCGGTGGCGCCTTGCCTATGCCTGGGCTACTCTATGGCAGCCAGAACTTGGGTGCTTCCCCATACATAGCTGACAGTGTAGCTCCATTCGTAGCACTGCCGAGTGTTACTCTCGCGGGAAGATCGAATTCCCTGGCCACCTCGATGCTACCTCCTCAGACCAACCATAGGATGGACATGCCATCGTTCTTACTCTCGGAACATGACGCGGTAACGGCAATGTCAGCAAACATTCCCGAGAAAAGATGGTCATGTCCGCAAAGGCACATTTTGGACATGCCTAATTCTGTGCCCCCGGCCATGGACCAGGTGGTGGAAGTTGTCGAAACTATGGTAACATGTCCGAAGTGTCATAAGAAGAAGAGACGCGAGTGTGACCTCCGGTACGTGCGTCCACTTTCGTTCTCCGCTTTTGACTGACCGATTCCCAGCAAGCATATGAAGCGACACGAACGTCCTTATGGCTGCACATTTCCTTATTGTTTCAAACGCTTTGGTAGTCGAAACGATTGGAAGCGTCACGAGAGCTCACAGCACTTCCACCAAGAGATGTGGCGGTGCTCGATTGAGTGCGCAGCTGGAGCAACTTGTGGTTTCGTGTTTTACTACCATGGCCTAGCAGAAGATCATCTGCGGTTGGTTCACAAGCAGAAGGCAGACGAGGTAGCCATGGAACGGATGCACATTGGCGCCAATGCACACGACAAGTACTGGTGTGGGTTTTGCGGATGTCTCATAAAACAAGAAAGCACGAGCATGCATCATAACAACCTCGAAGCACGGTACAAACATATCGGTGACCACTTTGACAAGGACCGGCATATCGAGGACTGGATATGTGTAGAAGCGCGACGGCTGAAGGGAGGTCTTGCGGCCGAGCACAGACACAAAACGAGGACTCACGGCCGCAGTAAATATCATGAAGATGACAGCGATCCAGGCGACAGCGGAATACCTAACCAGAGAGGACAAACAGCACTTGCAGCAACGTCGTCATCGTCGTGGCAAGCCCTTGATCCAGCCATAGCTACCACGCGTGATCCAGCATATACGTGCCATAATGGCAAACGACGACGCACGTCGGTGCCTGATTACGATTTGGATGATGCGGATGGTGTGAGTGATGAAGAGTTTCGAGATGCTAGTTGAGTGGTATCTACATGCTGTATATCATACATGGTTTCTTCGACCACATTCATAAACCCAGAGACGGTGCAGTAGAGATACTAGTGCCGTCGTATGCTCTTCCACACTCTTGTCAACCTCTTCTCGCGAGGGACACTCAAATCGAAAGCTGTCAGTGTGTCGTCCGCGCCTGCGGAACGCTCGTAGCTATCCAACGGCTCGAGAGCCAAAGGATCCAAATCCGCGACTGCGACCTCACAGCTCTGCTTGGTTGGCCATGCAGCCACATTTGTCACCGGCGTTCTAGCTGCGACCGCATAATTGTGGCCTTGCGGTGTGCGGGTAGGAGAACCATCACTGTTCGGCTGTACTGTAATCGGGCTGCTCGCCTCTGCCGAAGTCAAAAGTGTGCTAGCTTGCGACGATGTGCTACTGAGGGCGGTAGGCGTCAAAGGCCCACTCGTCTGGACGGAGGCGTTGTCATCGGTGTCGTACAACACAAGAGAAGTCCGCTGGATTGGGAAGCATTCGGAGGTACTGGTAGGCACTGCATTGGGTATATCGTGCCGTGCTCGCTCAGAGGTCAGGTCCAGTACTGGACAGGTAATTGCTCGTGGGCGTAGCTGAGGTCGAGTGACATCGGCCACCACTGGCTCCTCGAAAGGTTTGGCAGGCGGGGTCTCAATTGGTGATGGAACGTAGAAGTCGTCGCAAGGTCGCGACAGGCGCCAAGAAAGCTTCTCCTGTTGAGGTGCCGACGATACCGGCAGCGTCTCAGGTACAGGCGATGCCGGGATCGGCGCCAGTCGAGGTGGTGGTAACGCTATGGGCGTTAAGTACAATGCGCGGTTGAATGATCGTGCCTTTCGCACGACAATCTTTTGTTGCCCACTTCTCATCCGTTGCTTACCCTCTGCAGTATATGCCAACGGAGCGGTCACAGCCAGGCCAATTGTTGATAGCGAATGCGGTGATACACTGTCGTCCTGCTGTTGATATGTTTGTTTGCGTTGTGCCGCCCGCACTGGTGTCACCTGCGTCTGGTCGCTGGTCACAGGTGATGCCTTAGCAGGCTTGGCTTTTACTGTTTCGTCAATGTTGGACGATGCGTACGAAGCTGGCACCAGTGAACCGGAAGAGGTAACTTGCAACACCCGTGCACCTTCCTCGGACTGGATGCGTTCCTCCTTGCTAAAGTGCTGTCGTCTCACCTTCTCCGGTAACGCAAAGAACCATGCAGCTTGCTCGGGTGTGATAGGGCGCTCACCAGACCGCAGCTCTGCCAGAGAGTGCCTGTCTGAAGATGCATCTGAAGGTGTGCGAGCTCGTTGCTCGCTGGCCGTATGGCGATGACAATCGAGCGATGGCCTCGGACTTAGCCATATCTTCTTGCGACAATGTTTCTTTCGTTGGTCAGCAGCAGCCGCCTGTGAAATGTGCAATCTTTCGGCCGAAGTGAAGTACTTTCTTCTGATCATAAAGGTCAGCAATGCTCGACCCCCGGCGAGTAATCACTCGACTCGGATCCCATCACCGCACTTACTGGATCGATGGCGGCAGTGTAGCATACTCTTCAGGTGAAATCATTTCTGTACCATCGTCTGACGAGATGCGTATACGCTGCGGCGACTCTCGACGACCTCTAAGTAGAGGTGAGCTTGCGCGAGAAGCCAGTCTTTGTGCTGGAAGTTCCGTTCGGAAGCCGTCATCGCAGGAGTGTGGTGTAACGACGACTTGATCGAAAGCTGAACGTTCGCCGGTATGCTGCATTGCCGACATTGCCACGACTCCACAGTAGGTCGTTCTTGGATCGATTGTGCGCCAAAGCCGGAGGAGGTTGCTGTTGTGTGACCAGACGGTGCGGGCCAACGTGGAAGGTCGTTTGGTTTTGTGTTTGGGATGCTTTCGCCAAGCCTTGTTATTGTTCAACGAGGCTCAGGGCCAGTTCAAGCCACCAGGTGTAAATATAGGGACATTCCAGCGGAGATAGACGAGGTAATATATCAGCTGTAGCCCTAAGGAACGAGGATACGCAATGCCGTGGGGGCGAGTTTCGAGATGCTGATAATCTGACAGGAACCTAGATGAGGAATACATACAGGCGGCACGCCATCAAATAGCACCGTAAGCCATGCCTTTTAGCGGAGCACGGCCGTGGCCGTCCTGTTGGTGCCCAGTTTAACCTTGCTGATGAACAATGATACATCCGGAAGGCTAGCTGCTGGCGGCCTTGTCAACTGCACGGCGTACCAAGACTCGGACGACTCTTTCTGGGGGCTTGCAAGCAATGGTCGCCATGGCCCCCAGAAATCGGACGCCACATTAATCTGATGCCCAGCGACCTTCCCAGTCTGTCTCTGTGCGCCAGCATCAATGATATTTTGACGTGGACAATGGACGGCATGGCCGCGCCCTAGGCTGTTGTGGCACATCAAGCGAACGCGTGACGTGAGACGAAGCGATTTGGGGAGAGCCGCATTCGAAGCAGCGCTAAAGGTGCATCACTAGCGGCAACGGTATTCAGGTTGGTCTATGCTGAAGTAACCAATCAGTCGGATCAAACGCTGAACTTCGACGAACACACCCATATCGCTTACTCTACTGGTCGATGTGCGGCTCGATATCAGACGATATGGAGTCTCTGACTGGCTGGACAGTGGAAAATGCTCAACGAAAAGACTCCACCGCCAACAGGCACCGAAGCCTTCTAGCCGAAGAATTTGTCCGGTGGAAACATGAACCCAATTTCTTGTCCATGCACAGGCCAGCTCTATCAAGAAACGCCCGGCTGTACTAATAAAGCAGCACTATCGAGTTGTGAAGTCAATGCGGTACAGGGCACTTCGCAGTGGAATATTGCATTGATGCTCCTCCCATGTCCGCTACCAAGTAGTCAGGTCCCGCCTGTCATGATGCCTGCATGTGCGTCGTCGAATTCCAGTACTTTGGGACCCTGTTCATCTGCGTCGTGCGACACGATGGACCACCGGTCGAGCAATTTCTCAGAGGACGACCAACGGCTATACTGATGGAGGCGCGCGTGAGATTGTGCCGAACGATGGTGGTGTGCCCGAGTCTCGCTTTTGGATGAATGGTGAAGTGTCAGCTGATAAGCTGAGGTCAGCCATTTGTGCATTGACAGCAGCAGCCCTCTAATTCCAAAACAGCCCCTGTTTGCACCTTTGACCGGGAAGAAAGCTGCTTTTGCATCTGACCACACAAGCTTGATCAGGCATCGACACATTGTTGAATAATCCGAGACAAACATTCCAAAGGAGCTCAAGCAAAAAGCATACAATCAACGGTGCGCGCAACGCTGCTCAGGAACCCGGCGGGTACGCCGCCACGACACCCATGCGTCGGACATTACTCAAAGTGCCCTGACCTCGAATAGTCACAAAAGCAAACAACAGTCATCACGTAGCTTGCCTCACCTGGAAAGCTGTAAAGCTAATCGCCACACTGCCTACGGAGGTTGACATCCGCGCGGTAACAACGTTGCTGATCGTTATCCTTCATGGGCCGCTATGGCCTCGACAATGGACGTGCTAGACTGAAGAAACAACCGCCGCTACTAGCCTAGCACCATTCCATGAACCCGGGCCAGGCATGCTTGCTGAGACATCGCACAGTCGGAATCATTCGGCACAGGACATTGTTATCGCGAGACGTCACTGGCATGCAAATGTTCATTGCGACCTACCTCCTTTCTGCTCCTGAAGATCTCGCGTGCTGAAGCGCTCGACTGGTAAGGTGACGAGTCTCACCAGCGAGCAATATGTATGATGAGCAAGAGCACAGCTCACAGTCATGATTCCACAACCGCCCGTCGAAAAGCTGACACTCAGTGCACTCATCATCTTATCATGATGACTGAATGCTGCGACCAGGAAACCCGAAGCTCACTGACGTTGTTGAGAGGCTGGGCGACACAATGTGAGAGCCTCGTCCATAGCAGAGACTCGTATCAGCATTGTGCAAGCTATAAACGATTTTGCTGACTTCATGGAACGAACGCCACGGACCTTTCCAACACCATGCGGCCATACCGCCAGATCCTGATGCCAGACGCCCAGAGATAGCCTTCCCTCACCTCGCTTCACCAGACGCCATCCCACGTATGATACAAAGGACCCATCCGCACGTATACTCAAGCCTCAGCCATAGCATAATAATAATCCTCGTCTAGTCCCTCTCGAGTCGGTACCTCCCTCTCCGCCACCCTAGCACCCTTGACTCTCGCCTCCAGAGCCTCCCAATCCACATCCTCCCACCTCAGATTGAGCATACGTAACCTTACACCCCAGTCCTTCATCATGTCGATCAGCCTCGTGGTGTCTTTAGTGATGGGCTCCTGGTTCAGTAACATGAGTAGACCGTCCAGCCACTCGGATGCGATGTATGATGTCTGTGGGAAGAGTTCGAGGAGGATGGATTCGTCATCTGGTGCTCCTCCATTTGAATTGAGAGAGTGTTTGTTGGGTTTGTTCGGAGTGCCGAGGATGGTGATCTTGGTCGTGGTCGATTGTTGCGGTTGCTTCGTCTTCACGGAATCGCCTGTCTTGGTCTCCTTGAGGGTTTCTGTGCTCTCGTTCGCGCCGTTCATGACCGGATTCTCTGCAGCAGAGACATTGCTATCGACAGATGTGACGGAGCTGAGGTCAATCTTCTCGGCCAGATCTCCAATAGTGGGCTCGCTACTGTTCTTCGAAGCGAAGTCCTGGTAATGTAGCCACTTTCGGTTATGGCTTAGCCGTACATATCGCCAGGGTACGACAGCACCAGTATTGAGCGCCGTGACTGGGAACCATTGGCCCTGAAGCAGACATCGTACGCGTTGCTCCTTCATAAACTGCTGACTCTCCTGATGAAGCTGCTCCCGTACCTGGACAAGATGAGGGCCCCAAGCATCCTCATACACCTCATCCAAACCATCGATCTGCCAACGCCTGGCCGTCTCTAGCGTGACACCACGTAACTCATCCTCGATCTTACCAACGTCTGTCTTCCTGTCCGCAGCGCCTATGATTCGTTCTATGATCACACGTATGACTTCTTCAATCTTGAAGAAGTCCTCGTGCTCGGCGGCAGCCAGCTTCCACATTCGCTGGAAGGCATTTGTAGCCGCAGTATGTAGACGACCCCATTGTAGCAGTAGCGGTCTGTACATTTTGTTGACGTTATAAGGATTGACCTCCCGGTCGTATGCCGATGTCGTTCTGGTATGACCCGTCGCGGCTCCATCGACAGTGTCGACAGCTTCGTCGATCTCGAAGTGCTCGTATAAAATGAGTGTAATGCTAAGACTTGCTCGAGCGACAGGACATCTTTGTTCTACGGGTTGTACCGCTTGTTCCATGAGAATCTTCGAGTACGAGTCCTCATTTCGTCTTGCATAATCGACCAGATCCATCATGCCGAGATATCCAGTATCATCAAACTCCAGGGCCGGATTCTCCGACTCAAAGCCAAGTCTCCTCCACTTCCTTGGATGGTGTCGTTTACTATCCTTCCCTCCATCTTCGCCATCGGCTTGTGGCGGATTATAAGGCTCTGGCTTGCTCAGAAGATTGATAGTCTTCAAAGCACGCCTGTGCTCAACCAATTCAAGATTCACACGTACTTCCTTCCACTTACGCAAGAGAACTTTGGTGAGACCTTGGAACTCGAGGATGGCTGTGGCGAGCGGACTTCCCACATCACTTGCAGCATCGCCACGCATCAGCATACCCACACCACCAATGACACCGAGATCCTGCAGCCGTTTTATGAATTTCGGCCATTCGTGTTCGCCTCCATGGATGACAGCATCGCGCATCAGAGCATTGACGAGTTGCAGCGCATTAGCACAGAGCGTATGGTCTGAAGCGCTAAGCCTTTGCACCAACGAATCTAAGAAATCCGGATGGTTGTCCAAAGCAGGCTTGATCGCACCAAAGCCAAAGACCTCCGCACTCTCCCTCCTTGATTGTCTCAATGGTCGCGAGACGATGAGGACAAGCAGTGTCAGCGCGTTCCGCACGATATTAACAAGCGGGTGCGTGACTGCCAGCTCCACGGCCTTGTCTATAACAGGTCCATCCACGGCATCCCATCCTATATCCAGTTCCAGCAGCGCGTCAAGACTGCCGAATGCGTATGCCTGAGTGTTGCCGATAGTTTCCAGTGCCGCATGACGGAGCGCAATCTGCCCATCTCCTTGTATGAAAGCATCCGCGAAGGCCGGGTCCCCAAGTAGACTCTGTAGCTTGAAGACCGCGTACTTCCTCGCGCCTTCATTGTCTGACACCAGACCCGTGACCAGAGTCTCTACGTCTGGCGGCTCTTCCATCCTGCAGTATCTCAATTCACTCCACTCCTCCAGCTACGTTCAGATACTCAACCCTCCCAGCCTGCGAAGCCAATGGTTTGCTCTTCTCGCTGCGCCGTATCTCAGTCGCGTCGCATCAAATATGTATATTCCCTTTCTCACTCAACACCTGCGAAACCTTGCAGATGGCGATAAACAGCAAGATGGAAAAGAGCGTTCTAATATGCCGGAACATACTCGGTGTAGTTGGAGGGGGAAGTGTAAATCGTAACGCAACGGCCTATCCGCAGTGACTACTTGGCGCCCCGAGCAGCAACAATAGTGACGAACCGAGCAGATGCTGTAACCGAAGGATCATGGGCCTCGGTGCTATGGTAGACGTCAAGCGATAGTGTTGAGATGGCGAATAATCTGATGATACTACAGGACAAGCAGGAATGTCGTAGGCAGACGAGTGAGCCAAAGCAAGGTATGCCATTGATCGTTCGACCACGAGCCAAAGAACAAGCTCACGCTTGGTCTGCAGGGCCGCGGCACGAGAACGCCGATCCAGACGCAATTGCAAAAGGCTAAAATGCTTCTCTGATGCACGTGATGGATACGAAATGCTGTAGCCTGTCCCAACCTTCTGAGCGAAGGCGAAAGTATTGAAAAGATATCTACACACCGCTTGCTAATGCTCGCTCAACGATGCCACCCAGCCCGTCTATATGTGCTCAACGCCGAAGCTCCTCGCGAATAACAAGCCGTGAGAATTGATACATTATCCCACTGCGCATCTTGTACGCTGCGCACCTTTCCCTCCTTACCATGACCACCCAACACCGACGCTGTCGTTAATGGCCGCAGACCGTGGTTGCTACAAGCCTCTCCGTGCTGCCGTTCCTGTGTACGTTCCGTGTTCCGAAAGCAGGCTCCCATTGCGCCGTCGCTACCCAGTCCGTCAGATCATTCGGCTGTTCTAAGTAGTGATTTCAAGTGGAGGCCGCGACACTCGTCAACCTCACTTCCGCCACCCAACATTCCAGATAACATGAGCAATATCCCTCGCCGTATTAATAGTCTCGCTGACCTTGCCAAACAAGCCAACGGCCATAGCATCATCTTCCTCATCATCATAAGGCATAAGCATACCACTATTGGTCCGTCTCAGGAGCTCAGCACTATAATCATCCGAAGGTCCAGGAGTACTGCTCCGCGCCTTTGTGGCAATCATCTTATTCTTCCGCCGTGACCGACCAGCCATTTCGTCTTCACTCGACGATGCACTGCCAAGAGAGGACTTGGGATTACCAGACCCAAACGACCAGGTGGAACTCATCGCTGGCTCAGGCTCCTCCTCGTCCTTGACCAAGAAGTTAGCGGATGGTCGGCTTGGCCTGAGAGTCTCCTGAGAAGGACTGGGCGATAGTCGGCTGGAGCGCCAGCTACTTCCGAACGTGTGATGTTGCGGCGCCTCAGCCACATCCGGAGCTTCTGTCTTGTACTTGAGCGTGCTGGCTGGCAAAGTCTCAATCATCTTCCGACTCTGCGAATTACTTCTGCTGCCCTTAGCATCCTTGTTCGCTCGGGACCGTCTCTTCCGCTTCATCATGATCACGCCATCATCGCTGCTCGCTTCCGAGGAGCCGGAGTGCTGCACTTCATCCTCCTCACTCTCGCTTTCTTCCGCCAGATCCTCCTTGTGTTCCACAGCGATGCACTGCTCCACTTTGTCATCAAACCTAATGTGGCGCTTAGCTGAACACTCGCAAGGTGTGCCGTCGTCGCTGCTATGCCGACTTGTGAAGTAGTCCACCTGGTCTCTGCTCGGCGCTTCGGAGGTAAGGCCGGATGTTGAGAAGTCGAAATGCGCGCCGTTGATAGTGGGCTTGCGTGGCGAGCCCTGCTGTGCCTGCACTGAGGCTGCCGCTTGCTTCACGAGTGACGTAGCTGATATTGATCGTTGAAGCATGACTTCTGACATACTTCGCTTCTTCAAGATCGGTTTCTTAGCCAGGAAAGAGTTGGTCTTTGACAGCTGCGATGAAGGAGCTGACTGATGTGATGTGATGGGATGCGACTCTGCGGGCTTCAATGGACCGTATAGCCATGTCACATCGCTCTCCTTCAACCAATTCAGGGTTTCAGGCGACACTGTCCGTAGCGCGTACTTTGATTTTGCCCATGTCCTCCATGATGCGTTCTCTAACCTTGATCTTTGCCCGTACACCTTCCGCTGTGATACAATATGCCTCCAACTCGACCATATGTCCTCTTCCCGCCAATCATGACTCAAGTAATCGACATGCTGCTTCGGCTCTTTCCGGATCGCACTATCATCTGCCACGGTAGGAGTAGGTAGTGGGGAATCTGACGCGGTGGTCTCGGTAGTCGTGGACTCTACTGGCTCTTCACTCGATTGCGACTCGGCATAGCCTTGTGCCTGGTGGTAGAATTGCACTCCGCCGTAATCCGGAAATCCTCCATCGTCGTTGCTGCCAAACTTTTCCTCAAGTGATAGTCCGCTGATCTCTGGGATTGTGTTCGGAGTGTCGAACGCGCCTAGGTCTGATGTGGACGTGTGGGTGGAGAATGTGTCGGAAAATGATGATCGAGGTGAGTCTGATATCCGGTCATGATGGTTGGTAGTCGCTACGCATAGGTTGTCCTTAGGGCTTGACGACAGGAACGACGAGCCTTGATATAGTTGACCGGTTGAAGCGTGGGATCTCCGAAGGCCGCCAGTATTCTCGTATAGTCGCTCGCCGCTCGGCGACCTCGGGATCTGATGGAGGACTTCCGCCATGGCGCTGGTCGGATGGTAACTATGTCCAAGTCATGTGCGATGTGGCCTTGTTGTGAAGATATTTCCTTCAGGCTTGTCCGGCTTCAGATGTTCCAATTCAATACAGGATCTGACGTAAGCGGGCCATCGCTGTCATCGTGACTTCGAAGAGCGAATGAAAGGATGTCGATGATACCAAAATCAATACTGGGTGGGAAGTCAAAAGGGCGTTAGAGAGGCATGAAGGGGTAGAGGTAGTTGGGATGCAAGCCTCGAAACACTACTACAGTGTCGTTCTCGAGCGGTGGGTCCTGTTTCTTGACCAAGGAGTACTTTTCGGACCGGATTAGCTAAAGCTTTCCTCCCATCTTGGAGGCAAAATTCCTGATCGTCCCGCAACGACGCCTCCGACGCAAAAAGGCAAGATGCGGGGTACCCGAACTATCGTGTTACGTCTATATCAGAACCCAGCCACCAAGGATGTGGACTATGGCGGGTCTGACTTACAGCGACTCTTTTGAGACTGAGAACGACGATAACAAAACCTGGGTCAACCTAGGAAAAGGCTCGGCTCAAGCGTTCCCTCCACAGGTCCACATCCGTGATCGAGAGGAGGTGGATCCTGGAGAATTTTGCAATGTACATGGGGACTTGGCTAGACTGTAATTGGACACAAAGTCTACGAAGTAGTAGGCTAGCCGACTACCGCCCATGGGATCAAGAATTACTGATCGACGGTTCCTGTTCATCATCACGATCATCGCGACTGGCTGGCTGTGTTTATCGGCCATGTGTAGAGACACCAGAACGTGATACATGACTGTAATCCATATCAATGGCGTGGATACCATGCGTGAGGTTCGTTGCCATTGACACCAGCTCAGCGGAGAGTTTCGGAAGCAACCACACAAAGCAATGCTACTACCTCCATGATCAGTACCGAGACACTGGCTACAACCACCGTTGGTCCGCTCAACGTCCACAGTCGAGGTCTCCTTCGTATCTTTCCATCAATGGCAGCCATTGCAAGACCTCCCGCTGACACGAACCGCGACGACAGTCTTGGAGATGACGTTCCAATCTGGAAGAATTTATGGGGAGGTGGAGAGACGCGAGTGATAAGATGTACCTGTCACGCAATCCTGCCAACCACGTTTCGCTTCTGCACGTCGATATGGCGAACCCGTTTCACATGTCACTTTCGCCTTGTACTGCAGCTAGGTAAAGCTGCAGTGGCTTGTATGGACGAGTTGCGACAAGCGCCTGCTAACATCTCCGATCTATCGATTGATCAGAACTGATTGAATTTGAGGAAGTGACATCGCACAACAACGATCAACTCACAGTGCGAGGAAGAGCCAAAGCGGCATGCTGGAAGTACATCGCCAAGGTCAACAACTCTTGACAGCTCCAGCTCGTGCATCTCAATCTGCAGAGCCAATATGCACAAGACGTGAAAGCTCCACAATTTCCCTCAACTGTTGGAGCGCAGACACTCTCTGCTGATACCGTACGCGCTAGCGGTCGAGCAGCTCACGTGTAGTGCGACTATTCTTTGCCTCTCAAAGACTACACACGGACCAAGCCTATTATTTCCGATACGAGTGAAGCACGCAGCTATCATCACCAGCAGCAAGCGCCGTATGTCAGGACGATGGCTTGCCCGACGGAGGCAAGCCCGTGCTAGCCATGTGCTGCTAACATGCAAGCCAGACGCCACCTTGTGCAGTGTCTGCTGCATGCTCGGTATGGTCACCGAATGGCTGCGTTGGACATCACCACACGGTAATCACAACGGAGTTCTCCGCAACAGCTCTCACACTATAGACATGGCCAAGACGTGGAGGCGATGCTGAACTACTGCCGATGCAACTCCACTATGGTCTTCCCAGGCTGGGCGGCTACGGATACATATCGGACGAAAGCTGAGCTGTACATGTCTCTTCGTACCCTATCTTCACTGGTGAACGGTTAAGTTCATCTCGCCGTGACAATGGCCAGTCTTGCAGATACAAACCACAGAGCTGCTTTCGAACACATCTCAAGAGTTAGCCGTGTATGCTACGGAGCCACAAACATCTTCGAGACAAGGTAACCTCTTCATGTGTCAGCATATCAACAGTATCAACCACCCATGATTCAGCACCAAAACGTTGGACGCAGGGCTTACATTTGTCCCCTGTCTAGCATCCGTCATATATGTACAACATCGAATTGGGCACCCTCCTTCTGACACGTGAAAGTGACGTCCGCCTAGGGATCCACGCAGCCCGACCTGCAGTAGAGCGTATCCCGAGCCGGCAAGCCGAGTAGAGAGCAGCATAGGCGACCGCCTATTGCCGGTATCAGTACTTGCTAAGAAACCACCATTCCTTCGAGCCAGCGCCGAAACTTGATACTCACCACGCCAAATGTACCGTGGTACTCATCGTACACGGCTACGCGGCCCATTCACCCTGCTGAGCCCCGTAAGTCGCTCGTGGCGATAGAGAACAAGAACTCGACGGGCCTTTGGACGCTGTAACCAGGCGATCGTTAACCACGGACCAACGGTAGGGACAACTGCTTCAGATCACTCACTGGAATCAGCAGCAGGTCTGGCCAGAATTTTGGACGGGAAATTTGTGCGGCTTCAATATTACATTTCTCATCAGCCGACGCCGAGTCCTACTTTTATGTGCCTCCTTCCAAGAGATGGGTATATACTACTCATACAATCCACATGCCACATCTCTCGTGATGATCACCCTATTACCAATGCTTCATTGCATCATACTAGGGGTCGTCGCTCCCATGAAAACTCCATCCTGCATGTTGCCATTCGCCTGCTGTTGCTGTTGCGCGCCCGAGTTCGTTTGCTGAGCTTGCGGCTGATTGCCACCACCACCACCATTCTGGGGCTGTTGTTGTTGTTGTTGTTGTTGTTGTTGTTGTTGTTGTTGTTGCTGCAGACTCGGATCCAAGGCTGAGACATCAACATTCATGGGCCACATCTGTAACGTCGGATCCATGGCGTTCGTGCCACTGCCTTGGATATAGTGGTCCCATGCGCCCTGCAGACATCATTAGCACAATATACCCATGAACAGAAGAAAGAGCAAGAATACACACCCAGTCGATATCCGCCCCCAACCCATCCATACCCATAAACCCACTACTCCCACCAGCAGCAGCAGCAAGCATCTGACTGAACGGACTCGCCGGCCCAGCAAGCAAACTCCCACCGCCCTCACCACCAGAATACTGCGGCGTCAACCCCGTACGTTCCTGCTGCGGTAGCGGATCATTGAGCAGACCGGCCATACTAGCCGGATAACCACTCTGCTTCTCCTGCTGCTGATGACCGACACCCAAAGGCCAATTAGCAGCATTCGGTGACTTGCCACCCGAATACAACATCCCCAACGTCATAGCCGCCGACTGCTCAGGCGGCAGATCCTCTTCTCTGAAATCGCTCGGCACGCCATTGGGGAAGATCCCAAAACTAGGCGTTTGTTTCGCTACACCCGGCTGAGCCCAGGGCGTAGCACTAGTCTCTTGCTGTCTCGATCTCTCCACCGCCGAAACACCGTCTCCACAGGCTTCCAATGTGCACGCCACTCGTGGCGCCGGAGGTGGCAAGGGCTCCCCGTTCCTCATAGCCCTCCTATGCTCCTTTAGCCGTTTCACCATCACGACAAGAGTGACAGAAGCCTTGTAAGCCTCCATACTCTGGCCCTTCAGACTCTCCCAGATCCCGATGCAATGATCCACCGCCCGGAGCATCTCCTCTCTTCTGTCCTCTGCGTACGGCTCAGCCGTTAACGGTGACTCGGCTGGTCCATTCAGACTGCCAGATCGCTGTCGACTTCGTCTGTCTGCTTCAGCGAGGTGGTAGAGGTCTAGACAGACCAACATAGCTGCTAGCAGGAAATCGTGCGTGGTGAGAGAGGAGATGTACCATTTCACACTCCTTAGTCGTCCACCGGGCTGTGACTCGCGGTGGAGGGTGGCTTGGTGGTCCAGAAGTTGCATACTGGCGTCTATGCACGTTCGTCTGGAGTAAGCGTACCTCGGATTTTCACGGCCCCTAGCAATGAATTTCCGGTGCAGCACAAACAATGATCGAAGGTATACCATCTCCAGTCCGAGCCGTTGCATGATGAGATTGGCCGGATCGCGTGCGCTCTCCTGAAACGATCGCATTTGTAGCAGCGGCGGATGTGTCGACCGTAGCTGTCTTAGATCTTGGTCAAATTTCATGGTTTGTTCATAGGACATTGGATCAGTTAGACTCTGTGTCCTCTCCACGATCTGGCCAAAGAGGTGGGTCATGCCGTACTTGGCGATCATATAGCTCATTGGCGTCGCCTCGAACGTCGGTCTCGAAGGCGGTAGAGTCTGCATAGTGTCATACAGCTCGTCGTCGTAGATGTTGCGTGGTAGCTGGGTATCATAGTGATCTGTGCGGATGATAGACGGCAGGCCGAATTGAAAGGAGATGTGAACGTCGCAGGAACGGACAAAGGCCCAGACTCTCCTCCTGACCTCGCCATCGAAGGGCGTGATCTGTGGGTGGGGCCCTGGATCGCGATGGTAGCCCATCCGCATCGCCAGACGCACACACAGACTCGTCAAAAGCAGGACACCTGGCTCGGCATCTCTGCTTCGACCATACTCCGCTTGAACATGCAAGATCAAAGTCTCCAGGATCTGTGCGATTGGCTGCGTGATATCCGCCAGCAACAGACACTGCGCTGTCAGCCTCCTGAAAGTATGTGCCAGCTCCATAGCTCGGTTTCGATACTCTGGGGGCTCGTCTCCAGCCCGGTGATACGACTGCAATGCCAATGTCATCATAGCAAAGCACAACCCAACCCACACCGTCGGCGTCTCATGCGGATTAACCCAATGCTTGTCGTACTGTTTCTGGAACGACGGTCCATGAATAATATGCACCGACGGGTCATAGGCGTTGAAATATCTCGCAATCAAGCGATCCGCATCCGCCTTCTGCGGGAACTGCGCCAGCAATTCCGCCTTGTCCTTCGCCGGTGGTCCAGAAAGCAAGAAAGCAGTCCCAGGACTCTCATCTGCCTTCGCAGCCTGCACCCTCTCCATCTGCTGCCGATAATCCTCCTTGTGATTGACAAAGTACTGTTTCACCTCCGAAATCTCCCCCAAAATAGCATACCAATGCGCATCGGACGCAAACACCGCCCGTCCATTATCCATCTTCATGATCCCAATCTGCTTCGACACCTGCTCGACCTCACTATCGCCTTCCTCCTGAACCTGATCCGGCTCTTCGCGGATCATATCGCTGCCTTCGGGATCCAATCGCAGATCCGAGCCGGTGCTTAAGCTATTACTCCTGCTAGTCTGAATAGCTGCTTGCGCCGCGGCGGCCGATCCTGGTTGCGAGGCTCCATTTGTCATCAAGGATAATACCAAGCCCTCGAGTCGATCGATGCGGTTTTGCATGTCGTCGGGTGTGGCGTTGGCGCTGTTGAGGCTGCTCTTCTTGCGCCCGCCGGGCGTGGCATAGTTGCAGGCTGCTAAGTCCCCGCGCTTGGTGCAGTTGTCGCATGGGTGGCCGCGATTGCATTTTAGCTTGCGATGTCGACATGGCGCGCAGGAGAGGGGGATGCGATTTCGTTTGCGTACGACGCGGAAGTTCTGGGTATCGGGTGATGCGCCATTGGAGGATGTCGAGGAGGGTGGGGTGGTCTGGCTAAGGGAAGGAGCCATGATGGGTGTGATGTGGTCTTGCTCTCCACTCCACTGGAATCGACTAGCTTGAGTCGCTCCTGGTCACAGCGACGCGCACTCTGTGCTCCAAGACGGTGATGTGGGCTTGATGTCGAGTATTCACCGTTGTCGCATGCGCTCCAGTCCAGCTTCGACTAGAATTACGTGGAGAGCGGTCAAGCGGGCAAGATCCAGCAGTGCTCTCGCCTAGAACGCAGACGATCAAATCTGTCGCAAGCTCAGTCTCAGTCCCAGAGAGCCGAATCAACACTTGTATAATGGCCAAAGGTTGTGCAGCAATCGAGTAGAGGAAGTAGTATGTCGTAGCAAGTCGCAAACAGCCAACCAACCAATGATCCCGCACCACAGCTCAGCTGATTAAGAAACCTTAACCGCAATTCAACAAGACGACGTCCGTGTAAAATGCACGAAATAGAGCCTCCCCGCCGCGAGTAGTGCGAGTGAGTCACAAGGCAGCTAATGCAGTGTGCTTACTGCAGCAAATGAGAACGAGGTGCTGGAAAGGTCATTGGGACTAGTTGGTGATGTAGTGATACGGAGTTAGACGTCTTAAAGCCGGAGGGAGGGTGAGTGAATGGTGAGGGCCAGGCAGAAGGCATAACACGCAAGCACCATCGCCGTTCGAGTCGAGTCGGGCCTTTCATTTCTGTGTCTTGGCGATACTGCTCGTCGTCTGGATCAGATGCTGGAGAAAAGAGCCTGTGATTAGCGCCTGGCAATGGAAGTAGCAGGTTACGTTATGATACTGTTACAAGGGCTATGATATGATACCCATGATCGCTCAGGCCTTCTCTCAATCCGCTATACTTACAGGATCCTCCTCCAGCTCACCCAGCCTCCACCACCACCCATATTAAACCAGACCTCCACGCTTCCCAAACATGGCCATCTTGTCCCGTCTCCACAGTACATCTTCCACGCCTAATTATACTGCGCATAAGCCGCCGTAGAATTAAACTTCATCCCACCCCTAATAACCTTCTCCACCGCACTCAAGAAATCCTTCTCACTCGCCACCTTCTTCCTAGCCCGAATAGCGAACATCCCCGCCTCCGTGGCCACAGCCCTCAACTCCGCACCCGTAGAATTAGGACATAATCTTGAAATCAATTCCCATCGAATATCCCTCTCCACAGACATACTCTTCGCATGGATGCGCAAGATATTAGCGCGGCCTTCAGTATCAGGAAGCGAGAACTCAATCTTCCTGTCGATACGGCCCGGACGCATGAGCGCGGGATCGAGGGTCGAGGGGCGGTTAGTGGCGAACATGACTTTGATGTTGCCTCTGCTGTCGAAACCATCCAGCTGGGTAATCAGTTCCAGCATAGTCCTCTGAACCTCGTTGTCTCCTCCCGCTCCGTCGTCGAAACGCGCACCGCCCACTGCGTCGATCTCGTCGAAGAAAATGATACACGCCTTCTTCGTCCGAGCCATTTCGAAGAGCTCGCGGACCATTCGTGCGCCTTCGCCGACATATTTCTGAACGAGTTCGGAGCCGATGACGCGGATGAAGGTTGCGTCTGTTCTGTTCGCTACCGCACGAGCGCAGAGCGTCTTGCCAGTTCCGGGTGGTCCGTACAGCAGAGCGCCCTTGGGAGGATCGATGCCGAGGCTGACGAATCGCTCGGGTGATAAGAGCGGCATCTCGACAACCTCTCGCAATTTCTCAATCTGATCCTTGCAGCCTCCCACATCACCATATGTAACATCAGGCTTATCCTCCACCGTCATCATCGTCACGCTCGGGTCAATCTTTGGCGGTAGAGGGAGCATGATCTGGTACTTGTTCCTATCCACACCCACCCTCATGCCCTCCTCGATATCCGTCGGACTCACGCGCTCACCCAGGTTGACGACGAATTTGGCAATCTGCTTGACGTTGATGACGTATTTGCTCTTCTCGCTGTCCTTTTCGTCTGGGATGATCTTCGTACATCGTGCGACTTGTAGTGGTTGCTCTTCGCTCATGCGCTGTCGGTCGGCTGCTATGTCCCAAAGATGTGGCGGTGCTAGACCAGTGTCTGACTCCTTGACACCGATCTTCTCGTTCACGGCTGTTTGCTTGTCTTTGATGGCTTTTTCGAGGTTCTTGATGGATTCTTGGTAGGGTGCTGAGTTGTAGGTCTTGAGTACTTGGATGTCCCTGATCTATGTCAGCTCAATGCAGCATCCTGTAACGAGTGTTGATCTTCACTCACTCATCGCTCAGAGGTGTGATCTTCTTCTCCTCCACTTCATCATCGGCGAACTTCTTCTGGTACTTCTCCCAGTTCTGCCCTGTAGCGGAAGGCATCGTGGCCGCCTATACCGCGAAGTGTTTATGTTGATCTCGTGCCTCTGGTTGTCGTCGGGCTGCGCTTGAAGGTTGTAGTGGTCAAGAATCCCCAAATGATCTCAAGCTTATGATCAAGAGAAGTTGGTGGTGCCTGTGATAGGTGGAGCGAGATGGTGTTTGTTAATGGCGGATAAGTGAAGGCGATGTCAAGGTACGTAGGCCAGAGCATGTGCCAGCTTATAAGCCGAAGCTTTGCCGAGCTCGACACGCGACTCAGAAAAGTGCAGCGCGTTTGAAGCTAATCAATAATTCGTGATCACCACGAGCCAGCTATACACGATCAGACAACACACAAACCGGCCTCAAAAGCACACAAACATACATCTGATCTATTGGAGAAGTGAGTCTCGGTCAACATGGCGCAAGGCGCTACGAACGCTGGCAACAGTGCCTTCCGGGACAAGGAAAAGCCTACAGCAGTACGGACAGGCAACATTACAGCTGCACGAGCCGTCGCAGATGCCATTCGAACGAGTCTGGGTCCTCGAGGCATGGACAAGATGATCCAGACCGGCAAAGGCGAGACGATCATCACCAATGACGGCAACACTATGCTCAAGGACATGAGCGTTATGCATCCAGCAGCCAAGATGTTGGTAGACTTGGCCAACGCACAAGATATAGAAGCTGGAGATGGCACGACATCTGTGGTTGTGATTGCAGGCAGTCTTCTGGGAGCAGCAGAGCGATTATTGGCCAAAGGCATCCACCCGACAGTGATTGCGGAGTCCTTCCAGCGAGCAGCTGCCAAAGCTGTCACTGTCCTTGAAGAGATCAGCTACCCGATCAACCTCGCCGACCGCCAAACCCTTCTGAAAGCCTCGTCGACCTCGCTCTCCTCCAAGATTGTCAGCCAGGAACCGAAACTCGCACCCATGGCTGTAGACGCCGTCCTCAAAACCATCAACCCCAACAACGCCCAAAACGTCGATCTTCGCAACGTCCGCATTCTGAAGAAGCCAGGAGGAGTCATCGACGACAGCGAAATGATTGACGGTCTCGTGCTCTCCCAACAAGCAGTCAAGAGCGCTGGCGGACCAACAAGAATAGAAAAGGCCAAGATCGGCTTGATACAATTCCAGCTCTCGCCTCCCAAACCAGATATGGAGAACCAGATCGTGGTCAATGACTACCGACAGATGGACAAGATCCTAAAGGAAGAACGTACTTACCTCCTCAACATGGCCAAGAAAATCAAGAAGGCCAAGTGCAACGTCCTGCTCATTCAGAAAAGTATCCTTCGTGATGCTGTGAATGATCTGTCCCTGCATTTCCTATACAAACTGGGTATCCTGGTGATCAAAGACGTCGAGAGGGATGAGGTCGAATTCATTTGCAAATCTACCGGCTGCAAACCCATCGCCGACATCGACTCCTTCACCGAGGACAAACTCGGTTCCGCAGATCTGGTCGAGGAGGTGTCTTCGCTCGGCGCACGATTCACGAAAATCACCGGCGTGAAACACGCCAAGGAGAACGCTCCCCGAACCGTCTCTATCGTCGCACGAGGAGCCAACTCCTTGATTCTAGATGAGGCGGAGAGAAGTCTCCACGATGCTATGTGCGTCATCCGCTGCCTAGTCAAGAAACGTGCCCTCCTACCCGGCGGCGGCGCTCCCGAGATGGCCGTCTCCACCGCCCTCTCCCAAGCAGCGACAACCGCACAATATCCCGACTCGATCTGCTGGAAAGCTTTTGCCGATGCTCTCGAGATCGTCCCCGTCACGCTTGCTGAGAATGCTGGGCTGAATAGCATCAAAGTTGTCACTGAGCTGCGGGCTCGACATGCTAAGGGCGAGAGGAACGTGGGTGTCAGTATTAAGAGAGGTGGAGTGGGTGTTATGGGTGGAGAGGAGAAGAGTGCTAGTGGAAGTGGTGAGGGGGTTATGCAGCCGTTGCTTGTGTCGACCAGCGCGATTGAGTTGGCGAGCGAGACGGTGAAGATGATTTTGAGGATTGATGATATTGCTTTGAGCCGGTAGACGGTTGGACAAGTGAAGACGGGTCGGGCTGGGCGGTAAGCATGTTACGCCGGGCTTAGGCCGGTCAGGTGGATCATATGTATACAGCGTATGTGAAGTACATGATCCTGTGAGCACTCGCAGCAACCATCCGTGGCAGATGCCTGGAGTTCGTAGCCCGTGGCTCATTCGATGTGTCGTTGGCGGACGCCACTGGGATGTCGCATAATCCTGTCATTTGGGGATCGAAGGATCAGGATTTCGGCGGAGGGATAATAATGCCAAACCGCTTTGGTCCTCCGGCTGCCTGACCCTCATCTTTCGTCATGCATCCGTTTGGTGAGCATGACCGACATATATGAATTTCGTGGATGCGGTGATGAGTCTCAACTTTCACGTAATTTACCAGATCATCTTTCCTTGATCAAGGTGAGGACTACGCAGATTATTGTGTATGTTGCTGCCCAAGAAGGAAGGTGCGGTTGGTGAGGCCGTGCTCGGGCATTTGGACTTTCAATTTCTATGGCATTGATCTTCTTTTCTTTCGTTAGATCTCTTTACTTACAGCCCAGGAGTGCAGTTGCAAAGCGACTCAGTTAGCATTCGCGAGACTAGAGGTTCCAAGATCAATCCTGCTGGAAGCTGAGCTTGAGGTCCATCACAGAGAGACATATACCGGTTCGTTCAGGACCACTAGGGTGTAGCGGCCACTACTTTCCCAACATGCCTACCATCGAGGCCAATGGCATCAGCATTAACTACGTCCTAGAAGGTCCCGAATACGGCGACCTGCTCGTCCTAATCAACGGCCTAGCAGACGATCTGGAAACATGGTCAGCACAAGTCCCAGCTTCCCTCGAAGCAGGATATCGCGTACTCCGCTACGATAATCGAGGTATAGGCAAGACATCTCGACCCCCGGGACCGTACACTTCCGACTTACTGGCCGATGACCTGGGAGCACTACTCGAAGCTCTCGATATCAGAGAAGGATTCCACCTCCTAGGCGTGAGCATGGGCGGCATGATCGCGCAAAGCTACGCTCTCAAACACCCGAGTCGTCCTTTGCCAAAGACGAGTGGCGACGCATCGAACGGCACGATTGGACGACATCTCCTCAGCCTCTCCCTCTGCTGTACCTACGCCCAACCCACGCCCTTCTGCACCCGCATGTTCTCCCTCTGGGCCGAAATGGCGCAGGAAATGTCCGTGCAAGATGTTATGCGCGACGTCACACTCTGGGCCTTCACAGTCCCCTTCTTCCGATCTCGGACAAACGAACTACTGGAGGTGGAGCAGGCGATGCGGGGGCTTGACATGGCTGTGCCGGAGTATTTGGCTCAGTTGAACGTGATCCAGACGTTTGATACGACTGCGCAATTGGAAGGGCTGAAGAACGAGGAGAAGGTTCTTGGTGGGTTTGATGCTAATGAGGGTGGGCAGGGGAGGGTGATGGTGTTGGCCGGGAAGACCGATATCTTGATTCCGGTTGTGATGTCCCATGAATTGGCGGAGAGGATAGAAGGGAGCAGGTTTTTGACGTGCAAAGGCGGGCATGGGTGCATGTGGGAGTTTCCTGACGACTTCAACAAGGTGGTGTTGGGGTTCTTGCAGGAGTGTAGAGTGAAGAAGTAGGCGACAGAGCATAGAAGACTCACAAACGTAAGACTACACGGGAGCAAAATTCGGATCCTAGCAGCTTTGCACATTATGAACGTTGCTATCTCACTGCCCTGGACTAACGTTGGTAAACCGTGCGAGTGGTTAAACAGTCAATGTTCCGATCCGTGTCAATCACGGGCAATCTGTACAAACGAAATCCCCAGCCTGCCTCAGAATTGTTTGGTCTCTCTCACTTCCCGTCCTCCTCGTCAACCTCGGTAGGTGTCTCAAGCGGACTGACACTGACACTGCCTCTCCTTCTGCGCCCGACGGTAGTGCCATCCTGCAAGGAACTCGCAGAAGACGACGACCAAGTGACGCTCCTCAAGCTCCTCGCCGAGCTCAGCCCGACCACCGACTCTCTGACAGTCGATCCCAGCTTCTCGAGTGGCGAGTGCCGCAATTTCAACTTCGAAGACGCCTTGTGCACGGTCTTCTAGACCTTGCCGCCCTCATCGTCATCCTCGAAGAACGACAGGATAGCGCGAGCACCGCTGGGACCCAGGCCGTGAGGTGGATAGCAGACTAGGATATCGTTAGCAGAAGGGACATAGCCGCAAACAATACGGTCAGACTTACTGTAGATCGGATCCTCCTGCGCACCCAACTTCTCCCTGAACTCACTCTTGTTCGTCAAGTGTAGCTCGTTCGCAATAGCATGGTAAGCCTTAGACAAGACCTTCACGCGTGTGCCTCGCATGTTGTGTCCGACCTTGAAGGTATTCATCGCACCGCCACCGAATGTCACTGTCGTAGCACCACTGTTCGCGCAAGCCTTGAGGGCGTGCAGAACCAAGTACTCGATCGCACCAGATGGTGCACCAGGGAAGTCGAGGGAGAACTTGACCTGCCAGCCGTGGTCTGGCGAGAGCTGAGCCAGGATAATCAGACCAGCGATCACACCGTCCTTGGTGGTGGAGTAGTGGTATTGTCTGTGAGGCATATCTTGCCACGGATGAACATCCGTAAGATGGACCTGCTTGCCCTTACGGCCATGAAGCCAGTCCTGAACACGCTTGTCGACTTGCTGCTTGATGTCCTCCGGAACAGGTGTGCCGATGGGGATATCATGGAGCTTCACGCCCTCCTTCTCAGCGTGTCTACACTTCCTCTGCAGCTCCGAGTCGTGCTGTGCAGGATTATTACCTGGATCAAGACGCTGCTCAGCGGCAACAGAGAAAGTACGCCAAGCGAGTTTCACACCCAGAACTTCTTGGGCTTCATGACCGCACAGGAGCCACAGAGGCTTGAGACGTTGCTCTTTCTTGATGTAGCGTAGATAGGCGGAGATGACCTTGGCGTATTGGGTCTGGTGGCACAACGGGTCGCCGATTGTGATGGCGAAGCCTTGATGAGGCACAAAACCGACAGCGGCGCCGGTATGAGGTTCGCGGAAGATCTCGAACTTCGGCTCGAGCCAAGATGTGTTGGACGCATCGCCGTAGTTAGCGATGAGCTTCTCGAGCGGCTGCAGATCAATGTGAGCAGCCGCGCGATCCTTGCCAGACCATGGTGGGTGCAAAGTGCTGGCCTCAGGATGTCTGAGCTGCTTGATCGGCGGCTGGAATGGCAGCGAGCGCGGATCTCGGTGGAAGAGCGTGGCATGTCTGATATCGCCGAGCTGCAGCAACAACATGAGGATACGTTCAAGACCAATCCCTCCGCCTCCATGAGGTGGCGCACCCCACTCGAAGCCGGTCATGTACTCCTCCATAGTCTTCGGGTCCATCTTCATCGCCTCCATCTTCTCAACTAGCATTGACGCATCGTGTACACGCTGACCACCGGACAGGATCTCTTGGCCGCGCAAGAAGATGTCGAAGGCATTCGTGACGGTGGGATCGTTCGGATCAGGCATAGTGTAAAAAGGACGTGCGGACGCAGGGAACTTGTCCAGGACGTAGTAATCGGCTCCCAACTTCTCCTTGATCACTCTTCCGAGAGCGATCTCATCACGTGTGCCAAGATCCTCATTCTCAGGTAACTGCTGGCCATCTTCGCTCAGATGTCCAGACTCATTGAGCATACGGATAGCCTGCGCGAATGGAATGACGGGAGTCTCCTCCAACCATACCAGATCTTCATGAGGGAACTGTCGCTTGACATCCTCAATCTCAGGTCGGTAGTTATCGTAGATGTGCTTGAAGATAGCCTTGAACGTGCTGTCGAGAGTACGAAGGACTTCGTGGTAGTGCTCATCGATGGCCATCTCCAGATCCAGACCTGTGAACTCGGTCAAATGTCTATGGGTGTTGCTGTTCTCGGCACGGAACACGGGACCAATTTCAAACACTCTGCGCAGGTCTGATGCAATAGCCATCTGCTTGCCAAGCTGAGGCGATTGCGCAAGGAAAGCTGGCCGGCCAAAGTAGTCGACCTTGAACACACTGGCGCCAGACTCGGACGCAGCACCCCAAAGCTTTGGTGTGTGGATTTCAATAAAGCCGAGTCCGGCAAGGTTCGATCTAAAAGCGTGGCAGATGGCGGACTGTACGCGGAAGATGGCTTGCGAAGTAGTCGTCCTTAGATCAATGATGCGATTGCTCTGGCGTGCACGATCCGAGACATGGTGGCGAGTATCACCCTCTACCTCCGCATCGGCCTGGCTAACTTCCGCCTCGTGGACCGTGAATGGCAATGGCTCGGTCGGCGCAGCTTCCACATGCATTTCGTGGATGTGGATTTCGATGTTGTGGATCGAGACGCTCTTGACTTCACCCTGCTTGGCTTTCGGCTCCTGAATGACGCCCTTGATCTTGACCACGGTCTCAACGTGCAAGTGCTCCGCCCAGTAGAGGAAATGTTCCGAGACGCCGCCGTGCTCGTGTAGAATACCTTGTATGGTGGCCGTCTGCTGTCGAAGCTCAACAAACATTAGATGAGCTGACAGTTTCCGGATGTTGTGCAAGCGAGCTCGGAACACGACGACCTGGCCGACCTGCTCTGCAGTAAGCGTACGAATGTCCTGCTCCCGCTCGAGAGCCTTCTCAATCTTCTCGTCGTAGGCGTAGTTGTTGATAGGTAGGACTCCATATCTCGACCTCTGGTCCTCGGTCTCCTCCAGCTTGGCTTTCGCGGCCATATCCTCCTTCCTCTTCCTGTCAGCCTCCAAACGTTCCCCTGCTTCTTTTTTGTGCTTTTCCTGCGCCGCCTGCTTCTCATGCTTCCGGATCTGGCCACGGCTGGCCGGTTCGCCGTCACGGTTCAGTGGAAGATCCTCAGTCTCTGACCACGAGTCGTCCGGCGATCCAGTCCTCACTTTCCGTCTGAGGAAGCCCATAGGACTATGCAGACTCTTCCTGTGCCCGGCATCTTTCGAAGGCCGGGGTGAGTCGACGCTCTTATGCCCTACACCGCTTCCGTTGGACAGGGCAGAAAATCCCGTGCCAATACGTCCGCTACGTCCACCGTCAGTGCTGTGGCGAGATGGGCTCTCATTGTCGCTGGTATTTGCTGGTGTGTTGCTCCCGCTTTTTGGCTTGTGAAGGCCAGTGAACTGCGAATGCTGTCAGTTACATTGCCTGCTGTTCCGTGACTATATCGCATAGCACTCACGACTTTCTTCAAGCTTTGCGCCATGGCTTCGTCTTTCGATCAATGCAACTTCTCAGTCGAAGTCGCCAAACTGGCGAATCCTCTCCAATCCACACGTCGTCGTCGTAGTAGAAATGCTGGCGAGCAGCCGCCTGGTTCAATGTGCTGTAATTTTCGCTTGAGATAGGCGGATCGATTGGGTGAGGGGCGACGAGCTCAGCAATGCAGCTGCTTATGCAAGGCTGACAGTAGCTCCGAATTATCTCATCAACCTCCGAGGTTGGTAATAAGTGGCTCGTAAAGAGAATGCGAGCTCGTAGTCTTTATCTACTGTTTACTGTGCCGTTGCCGCCAGCGTCATTTTGCAGCAGAAGGAGTTGTGGTGTTGCCGAGGCGTTGAATTGGTTATTATGAAGCCATTCGCGCCTGACTCTGACGCCCGAAATTGTCGCGAATGATGAGATGAGATCTGCTCAAAGGAACCGACCGGATGCCCGCGGGATTCACTGCTGACCTCTGGTGATCAGGCACACGGCTCAAAAGTTTCGCCGAGACGAGGTTAGAAAGAAAGAGCTTGCGGTGCCTCTTAAGGATATAAGCTTCCGCAATGCTTCACCTATGCCAGATTTCGTATACTATACGACCAGACGAAATTAGCACGCTGATGGATGAAACGATACCACGTCACTCGCGACAGATCAACGATTGCCTGTAACCAGTATCTTGGACAATCATCAGCTACGAGCAGGAAATCATCGGTTGTGCACACCCTCAAGCAGGGAATAATAATAATGGCACCGCAATGCATATTACCTTATGCCCAGGGTTTCGGTAGCATCAGAAGCCCGTCATGCCGTCACTGGCCCGTCCGGATGTGATGGTAAGCCGAAACCTTTCGGAATATCGCTGAACACTTTTGAAGACTCGCAGTGCATAAAAAACATCCTTACAGCATGGTGACGAAGTCACCGATGCTGAAGCCGCCCTCCGTTGTACTCGCAAGCCGTGAGCTGCCTCTCACAGCAGTGCAGTTCAGACCGGCATCAGAACAGTGTCGAAGAATATCTATGCCAGCCAGAAAGTGGGTAAAAGATCTTCGTGCGTTTCAGACTGGATGTGTTCCAAGGAAGGTAATCAGTTGGTCTTACAAGATTACCATAACGACAGCAAGGTCCTTTGCTGGCGACGTCAACGGCGACAACAAAATCATCAGGCTCAACCATCCAACTCGAGGCAACGCCTGAGGCTCTATACTCCGACAGCTACTTCTACCTATGGACTTACACTTTTGGTCTCGACACGGCCTCGCTTTCGTGTATGTTGTCAAAACAGAGGGCATGGGAGAAACCGATGGAACGCGCAGCTTTCGTTGCACCACTGGCAAATATCCTAGGCCGGTCAGACCAGCTCATATCTTCAATCATACAGCCGATTCAAGGTAAGAGGAGTCAGAACTCAAATGCCACAGGACTGTGACTGAGAGTAAGATTCGTATCTACAACTTGTTAATACTTTCAATGTTGTGCATTATGTACATATATCGTTCAGTCCTGTACGCCACCGCAATGCAATCAAATATGCTTCATCCCTTCCAAATACCTTACAACTTGCTCTCTTCTGTAGGCTTCTCCCCGATAACATCCATGAAAGCGGTATGCACATGCTCCGTCAAATCGCTGGCTTGCAGAGCTCGTCCATGTTGCTTGAACGCTAGCCTCGAGCACTCCCTCGTGATCGCCGAACCGCCATATGCCACATACGCCAAGAGCTCATCGGGCTTCATATCGTTTTCGTGGTCCCATATTCTGTCCAGGTACGCCTTGCGGTATGCAAGAAGTGTTGCCAAAGATCCGGTCAGAGTATCGCCCTGCCCACCAGACCGCTTGAGACCGCCCTCTCCACTGCTTACAAGCGTCATCTTGCCATTCGAGATATAATCCACCTTCCCCTTCTGAATTATCGTCACGCCGTCAAAAGCCTTTGAAAGCTTCTCGCACACTTTCTCCGGATCCTCGCTCTCAACATCAATCCCCTGCGCCTTTGCCAACCGACCAAACTCCACCACGTTAGGGGTAAGTATGCACTCTTTGTACCCCTTTACTAGCTCCGGCCGCGTCTGGGCCAGGTATAAACCATCGGCATCTAGGACGAAAGCAACTCCGCGCTTCTTCGCCTCTGTGATCACCCGCGCACACGTCTCCTGCATAGCTGGGTCACGGCCGAGACCAGGTCCTATTACTACGACGTGCAGACGGTCAAGCATAGCTACGACTTGCTCCGAGACGCTGTCGATGGTTTCGCCGGATTTGAAGTTCTTTTCTTGTCGCATGTAGGGATGAACCATCAGATTTGGGGAGTAGGATTTTATTACGACGCCGGCGCCTTGTTCGCAGATCACGTGGGACTATAGATCATCTCATCAGCATGGCGAAGTGAGAGAAGATCAAACCAAGGAAGATTGAACTCACCATATCTGCTCCCAGTTTCGCTGATGCCATTGCTGAGAAGTATGGTGCACCTGTGTAGTCCTCGCTGCCGCCGATGACTGCTACACGTCCTAGCTGGCCTGTGACAGGGTGTTAGCATGGAAAGATGCAACATGACATAGGAGTGCCTGATCTCGTGCTCACCTTTGTGGAACTTCTCAAGCATGGGCGGCACCATCTTGTAGACCTTGCCCAGGATCTCTGTTCGTGACATGCTTGCCATAATGTGCGGTTGGGAGATGATTGGTTCAATGAACAGCTCTGGACCTCAATGCCAGTGATGAGGAGAAGCGTTGCTGATATGGCTATTGTATCTACTTTATCTTGCTACATATATGCGGCTCAATGCAAGTTTACTCGCGCTCATACATTATTCTTGTCCCGTCTTATGATGGTCGATGACGTGAGAGGGGCATTTTGCATTTTGGAGGGGTCCGATGGCGCATGGCAGCTACTTTTTGTTGTCGAGGCACGCGGGAAGGATGCAAGATAGACTTCTGATCTCATACAGAAATATCAGATCGTCATAGGAGCAACTACTAAGCAGAGGAGATCATCGACGCATACTTCGTAATACATTGATCAGCAGCATGTCTAGCGACGGTCTCAACCCGAGTGGTCCAGCTCAGCCATCTCTGGATCAAGTATACGAGACGAAAGGCAATGCAGCGTCAAAAGAGCCAGCAGAGGAGAGAACAGCAGAACAGAATGCACACCAGGTATCACAGTCTCGAGCAACGTAAGGACAACCAGCGTCTCACCCCGTTAGTCCACTGATTGACAAGACACTCAGCGACCAACGAGTCCCCCGGACTCAAGCCAACTACGAAGACGCAACAAGCTCCAGCCTAGGCTATGGCATCTCAGGCGCAGGTCCAGGCGAAGAAGCCAAAGGTCTGACGGAAGAGGATGTGGGCCGACACAAGGAGAACGATGGCGATGCCTTAGCAGTCTACGGTGAAGACAAGATCGCAGACGCCAACGATACCAAGTCCGGCGCTAGTGGAGCCCAGCCAGGGTTGGAAAGTGATCTCGATAGGAAGAAGGCCGAGCAGGCACCTGCGAGGGAGAAGGTGCAGGAAGAGGAGAAGAAGGATTTCGATGTTGGTGGTGTGCTTGGGCAGAGAGGTGGACCGGCTAATCCTGTTGATAAAAAGGGTTATCCTAATGCTTCGTCGTGATGATGATGCTGCGATTGTGCTACGGTGTGGCCAAGATTCGAGAGGCGGTAGCATATAGCGTATGGAGAGGTTTAGAGCCGGATTTAGTGTCAAAAGGAACGAACTGCGGCCGAAGTTGTTCGAAATCCTTAGCATATTTTCAGGAAAGCGCTTAGCATGCCCAGGCTCCATCAATAGCGTACGTCGCGCCCGAAACAAATGACGCCTCATCGCTCAGGAGCCAAGCGATCAGGTTGCTACACTCCTCCGCCGTGCCTATACGATTTATGGGAGTTGGTGTGATACCTGTATCCGTGATGCCAGGAAGAGCGTTACGTTTGTCCATCAACGGCGTCTCAATCGACCCGCTAGATACGGTCAGTATCATGCGTAGATCAACAGCGAAGAGCGGTGGAGCAAAAAACTTACGGCGTGACGATGTTGACTCTGATATTCCGCTCGCCGACCTCTTTCGCGGCACTGCGTGCTAGGCCCAGAATCCCATGTTTGCTTGCAGAATAAGCGGCGTGCTGGTATCATATCAGCACAACGCTCAAGTCGCCGCGCAAGTATCAGGAGATCTCACGTTCGCGAAACCCATCGTGCCCTGTACCGAGCTGACGCAAACCACGCTCCCAGGACCCTTTATAGCTTTGAGCTCGGCTCGTAACGAGTACATCATGCCCGTGAGATTGACCGCCATGATGAGATCCCATTGATCGTCCTCTAAATTCTCAACGGCGCGGAGACCATGGTGCTAGGATTTGATCAGTTTAAATATGTCGAGCATGAAAACGGGTAGTCTCACCTTGCCAATGACACCTGCGCAATTCGCTGCGCCGTCTAGTCTGCCAAACTGCTTGACGGTCTTCTCGATCCACGAATCTACGTCTGATCGTTTCGAGACATCGACTTTTGTGGCCATGAATCGGTCCTCTGTGGAAGAGTGCAGTAGGATGGCGGCGTTGTCGAGTGCCTTGTCGTCGATATCGGCAATAGAGACGGTAGCACCTCGTGCGTGTAGTATCTTTGCAGTAGCCAGACCGATGCCACTTGCACCTCCTGTCAAGGCGAAGACCTATAGACGGTGCTTTGTTAGCGCTCCACATCTCATCGTAAGAGCTTGTGGAAGCACACCTTGCCGCTCATATCATTGTTGCGGTCCATGATGGCTCGTTGATCACCTTCCTCCATCTATGTTGAGGACTATGGCTGACACGGCCATCACGAACGGCATCGGCGTATACTCGGTCTCGGTTCTCGTCTGTCCGTGTTGTGAACGGTAGGCCGGGTGCATGGTCTCGTATCGGCAGGTGGAGGTGGAAGTGGAGGTGGAGTGGAGAAGAAGCTCGTCTGGACTTTTTGGAATGCAAGGCTTCAAACTCTCTTCTCGCATTTGACTTCGAAATAAACGACCAGCTCTTCCGTCCTGCTTGACATACGTCACTAATGCAATTGTGAACATGGAAACTACAGCTCTAACTCGCCGCCAGATTGACGCTGTCGCGAACACGGCGCAAATATGTCACTGCCCGGAATATCAGATGAACAGAAAGCAGAAGCTGTCAAGGCCGCACAGGGTGCCCTCGACAGCGCCCAAGAAGCCAAGGACCTGATGGAAAAGGCTGCTGCGACACAAGATCCGGACAGACGAGCAAAGCTGCTAAAAGAAGCCTTCCACAAGCAGCTGGAGGCACGTAGTCAAGGCAAAGCAGCAGCATGGCTACAGAGCGGCAGTATACAAGGCGCCCTTGGTGGCTTCGGTATCGGTGGTGCAGTTGGCACAGGTCTGGGCACATTGACAGGGACTCTGGTCGGCGCGACCGCGACTCTGGCGGTGGGAGGATTGGGCGCACTCGTTGGACTGGGTGTAGGAGCCTTGACGGGTCCATTCATGCAAATCGGACCACCAAAGAAAGCAGCGAAGGACGAGAGGGAAGATGAGACTGTGAAGCATGTAGCCGCTGAGATCGGTAGACAGGCTACACCACCACCCGAGGAGTTGGAGAGGATGGCTGGCATTGAGCCGCGTAGTCCACCACGAAGATCCAGAAACCCGGACAGGAAACCAAAGAAGCTGCAGGTGCGGCAGAAGGCATGAGAGACACGGTTGTCATGTCGCTTTCAAAATTGCAGGTCTCCAGACTGTCTAGACGAATTGCTGCATACTAAGACATGCTGTGGAAAAAGCCAAACTCGAAGTACATTCTAGGGGTATTGTGGTGTGTCCCAGACTCCAAACGCCGACCCGAGTTGACCTACCCAGGTCTCTCATCCACTCGTTGGGGACTCGATCCAGTTAAAGATGACCTACGCTTCACAGCAGCAAGAAAGCAGCAGCGATGCTGAGGATTGAGCCAGCAGTCATGACAGTATTGACCAGAGCACCATTCGTGTGCGATGGCGAAGGGCCGCCAGTAGTGGTCGCATTGCTGCCATTACGCCCAGCAGTCGGCGAGACCTTGGGAACTTCCGTCGTGGCGGCAGACGCAGACGCGGCCGCGGTCATGCTGTCGCTGTTCTGGGCAGAGACCGAGGCAGTGTTCATGCTATAGCTGCTGCCAGTCGATGTGCTCGAGACGGCGGCTACCGTCTGATGATCGATACCTGCGACACTGACACTGCTAGTCGATGCCGCGGATGTAGCATTCTTCGCAGTGGCGCTCGCAGTGGAACTGGTGGGGTTTGGTGTGATGGCGACAGACGCAGCCGATCCGGATGGGCTAGCAGTCGGAGCATTGTCAGAGCCGCACTTGATGCTCTCCCAGCTTCCAGAAGTGTCGCCATATGTGTACGAGTCGGCTGGGTTGTAGTTCTGAATGCCGACGCTCTCGACGTACATCACGTAAGGATCGCCCCCGAACTCGGTCTGGCCACCAGCCCACTGGACGGTGCCCTCGGGCTCGCCAGAGCATCCACCACACCAGTTGCCGAGCTTGAGGCGCATGGGTGTTTGCGGGAAGTTCTGGCCACCCACGGTAGTTGGGTCATCGGACTTCAACGTGCGGACAATAACGCCATCGATCAGCCAATCGATCTTGTCGCTGGTCCAGTCGACGGAGTATGTGTGAAACTGAGTCTGTGGGTTTGTCACGGCGTAGTAGGTCGAACGATCATAGGTCGTGGTATTGCCCTTGCCGAAGAAGTTGGTCTGCACTTGGCTTTACACTTGTCAAATTGTGCAGGAAGATGGAGAAATGGGACGACCTACCCGGTATTCCCGCCCAAAAACTCCCAGTCCACTTCATCGAGGTCATCGGACTCCAGCACGATCGAACTGACGATGCCTACCAACAAGATCAGCAAGGCCCAAGACTCTGAGGCGTGAGAATCACTCACCAGTACCCGGCGCAGCCTTCATCTTAACATCGACACGGCCAAAGAAGAAGTAGAAGTCGGTCTGGATAGTCGGAGCCTCGGTGCCCTTAGAGATGGAGAACTCTGCACCCTGCTTGCCGTAGTTGATCACAGTATAAGCTGCGCCACTCCACGAAGCATTGGCGCTTGATCCTTGAGTGAAGTCGGCATAGTAGGTCTTGGAATTGAGACCTGTGTCTGCTGGACAAGTCTTCTTAGTCGGATCACATGCTGTTGAGGTTTGGGCCTTGGCTGTCGCCGCAACAGAGGCGAGCACGACAGCGGCTTGTGATCGGGAGAAGCGCATGGTGGTAGATATGCTGTAGCTAGGTTGTGTAAGCTTATACAGCAGAATGCCTAGCTCAGATCTTCCAAGAGTCAGAGTTGATGTTTGTGTCTGAGGAGGGAATTGTGCTTGTTCGTCAAGATCGATGCAAGTAAATGAGTGTGTGTTTAGGATAGCAAGAAATCACAAGCTGCGAGGGCAGAAACAGCACATGTTATGAACAGGAATGTAGTCGTCGTCACTGGAGAGACCCTCTAGCTCCATGAAACGAGGCCCTGGGTTATTCAGTATGCGCGTTTAACTGCTCAGCCACAGCCGCTTGGGAGGGCCGAGCCGCTGTCGCAAAATCTGCAGGAACGCACAAATCAGCTTGCGAGTTTTGTTCAAAGTCGAACCTTCAGGCTATGAATGGCTACGCATCACGAGCCCGTGACGTGCCATTGCCACGACGTTCGCACGATTAGATGCGCGTCGGGTGGTCTCCCGTATACCTGTAACCTCGTACAATACGTTTAACGCCACGGGCAAAGAGTGCGGCTCTGGAATTAATATCCTGGAGCGACACGGCAGTCTTGCTGCAAAAGGGAAGCCCTACCAATGTGCGAAACGATGAAGACCAGGGTTCGAGACGGTAACAATCTCGTCAGGATGCGGGAGTTGTAACACAGGTAGGAATAGTCCGATGCAATACGTGACGCTATGTACAAAGACGCAACGCATAATGGGTATCTCAGAAGAATCAAGCCAGCTCGCCTCCTTATGCAAGAACATTCAGATCATATCATCCTGATATACCTCCATAGGCGTCTGCTGCTCTCTACTGCCGCCAAACGCTCTATCGACTGCCCAGATCCATTCTCCCTTCTGTTTCTCGTCCCTGCAGGCGAATAGCCATGCTTTGCTCACGGCGTACACAGCCCATACTTCCATCTTGACACTATCTCGCTGCAAAAGCTTCGCGACTTGCGGTTCTGAGTCGATGCGCGAATCTGTGATGTTCAGAGCGGCGATTTCATCGCCTGTGCTGTCGTAGAGATGCATGTATGGTCTTCGTAGCTCGGCGAATCGACGTATCCATTGTGCATTGTTCGTTGGTGAGGGCGTGAGCAGCCAGCCAGACTTCAGCACTGCGGGTGACTTGGGGATGTGATCGACTGTCGCCGCTAGTCGTTTCGGTTGATGTGTTCCGTCAGTGTAGCTGCTGCTGTCGATATCAGGCGTAGCATTCTGCGATCGCAGCAGCATCAGCTCGCTAGCCGAAGGCGCTGTCTGCCATAGTTCGAGCATCTTGTTCAACAGCTGCAACTGTCGTGCGGAAAATCCCTCGCCTTCCGCAATCGTAGCTCGAACTGGTGGTGATAATGCTTCCAGGCTCAGCCACCCACGCGCAGCCTCAAGCTCACCTATCCGCTGCATCCTCTTCCTGTGTTCCAGAAAGTCTCGAACGAGTGATAGACTTCTTGGTGCCCATCCATCAAGTACTTCTTCACCCGCGACAGGAATGTGCATAGTATCCATCTTCCACAAATCGCCAGCCCGCTTCACCGCACTGGGCTTCAGCGTCACGGCAAAGCTCCCAGCGGTCGAGTGCACGATGCGCTGGTTATGCCATAGTTGAGCTAGTAGCGAGTTCTGCCTGAACCACGTTCTCGGCCGTGTCTGTACCGCGAGGTCGAAGCTGAAGGTCATGGGCTGCGTAGTCCTTAACGAGGTCACCTGCCATGATAGCGAAAGCTGCACGCGATACTTTTCCACGGTCGGTCGATCGAGGAGTAGAGAGCCATGAGCACTCGAGTCCCACTGGCCCACCAGCTTGACCTGCGTGCTGCCGTCGGCAGATGTCCTGGTCTGCGGCGGACTGACTAACGGCAGCGCCACATCGCTCTGCGCGGCATCCGCATCCTGTAGTTTCCCATCTTCACTGACCAATCGCACACTACCGGCTCTCAGCTCACGCACCTCATCCCAAGGCAGCGAATCGGCAGCGGCGTACCCCAGATTCAACACAACCCGTCTCTGCAGCCCCTGATGCAACTGGTAGCTCCCCTGATCAAACGTCGAACTCTGCACAACCTCCACGGGCGCATAAAGCCCCTGCTCATCAATCTCTAAAATCTGCACCCTAGCAAAAACATCATGTCTCTCCTCCATCATGAATGCACTCTCGGGCAACCTCGAGCCAAACCGTCTGATCTTCGGTCGCGCAGATGCACCAGTAGTTGCGAGCGAGACAGAAGAAGCATCCCGGATATCATCCCAACTAAGAAGTTTGTCCATATGCATTGGTGTCACCCTGGCGAAGATCGAAACCCGCAGACTAGCTTCCTTGGGCGCATCGAGAGGCAGGGACATGGAGTGCACACTCCCGAACTTCACGCTCCCCTCTCCAAATCCAGAAATCAACGTCGTAGTGGTCGCTCCACCTTCTTCGCTGATACCAGGAATGAAAAGCTGCGCATGCACATCCGTTCCTTCCCGTTCGGCGAAACCGATAAGGTCATGCATGACAACATTGAACTTGAGTGTCTCTTTCGGTGCTTCCGCACTACTCGGCTCAAGACTCAATCGTATGATACCCACAACGGATTGCGTATAAGGACTGTAAGCATCCAACGTGAAATCCTGGACCCGACACTCAAAGACCGCAGCGAGAGGGATATCCGCATCCCCCACCCGACTGTACTCAGGCATACAGGGATCAGCGAAGGGATCATCAAGACGGAAGTGCTGGAGGTATTCGGGTCGATCCATGTAAGCTGCCATCTGCCTCATGATCTTAACACGTGAGTGCAATCTCTCGATGCTCCAGAGTCTGATGACAGAACGACCAAAATCGATAACGCGAATCCCTAGAGCTGGTTTCCGAGCATCTTCAAGATGACTATCATTGCTTTCTTCGGCACTTACACCATTGATGACGAGATCGTAGGTCGAGCTTACGGTGTGGCCTGTGTCGACGACGGTGTATTGGAAGACGACGTTCTGGCCCATTTGCTGGCTTAAAACTTGTGCTTCTTTGAGCAAACTTGCGTTTCGGAGGACGGTGGCGGCCATACCGATGTAGCGTTGTTGTCTCCAGTGCTCAACGACTTGTTTGGCGAGAAAGACGTCGCGTTCGGTCAGCCCGCCTTTGCCCACCTTGGCACTCGCAGCTGCGCTCTTCCGTCGGGATGCCGGCCGAGGCGAAGATTTCAAGTCCGCGAGTTGTTGCTCGAAGGCAACTTTCTGCTCTCGCAGTTGCTGCTCCATCTGCTCCTTCATCTCAGCCAGCGTGGCCTCCATCTTGACTTTCTCCACTCTCATCTCTTCGATCTCTACATTACCCGCTTCTTCGGCTTGGAGCTGTTGCTGGAACTCCTGCTTCTGCTTGTCGAGCTGTTCTTGCATTTCCTCTTTGACCTTCTGAAGTTCTTCCGTCTGCTGCTCTTTCTGCTCCTTTTGCTCAAAAGGCTGTTGCACCTCACTGCCTTCGTCGCTTGCGAGTTGTGGTGTAGACGGGATCGTGAGCGCGGTGTCTAGACTAAAGTTGTCCAGCGTACCATTTGAGAGATACTTTTCACGAACACCTACAGGATGACTCGCCACACTCTCTGTGTCTGTCACATCGCCACTGGTGAGACCGTTGCTGGCGAAGCTGGAAAAGTCAAGTATCCGACTTTCCGGCCTCGCCTTTCGAGTAGCTCGTACACGCTGCAGATCATCGTACAGCACATCCAGCTCGTCATCAGTGAGGTTTGACATCTTCTGGTCAGAACCTAGAATAGCATTCGCAGCCTCGCGCCTAGCGAACGCCCAATCACTATCTCTGCTGTGTTGTCCTCGCTCGCGCCAAGGTGCAGGCGACTCATTTCCCGGACTACTGATCTCGCCATCGACCTCAGACATCGTACGGCTGACAGAGCTGCCAGTGCGCTCATGACCACGACCAGGACGCTGCTTCACGCTCGGGCTTGGCGTCTCGAGATCATCAGCTGTCATGCTATACTTGAGCAAACTACCCTGCTGTTCCATCGTCGTGCGCTCTTCCCGTGCTTCTTGCGGGTGGTTGAAGCGAAAGATGTGGAAGTCGCCGAGGATGACACGATAGCCTGAGCGGAGTCTTTTCGGTGCTTCGATGCGTACACCATTGACCATGACCGCAGCGCCATCCTTTGGCACGACTGTGACGACGCCATCTACATTCTCGAAGGTGCAATGATCGTGAAGAATCTTTGAGCCGTTCAGTCTGATATCGATCGCAGAGTTGTGCTGCTCCCGGTCATCAGCCACAATGTCGACTGCAGCATGGCCGTTTGTATCCTTAGCGTCGACGTTGCCGACTGTCGTAGTACCAGGCTTGAGATTGTATACGAGACATTCAGCCAAAAGGGGATCGTCACTCAAATTGACCAGATGCGGCATTTTCTTAGGCGTACTCAGTCCAACGAAGCCCTTCTCAATCGAGATACCAAGGTCCTCGAGAGCTTGTTCGCGCTCCTTATGGATCTCCTCGGTCTTCTTCATCTTCTGCTCCCATGTTTGATTGAGATCAGTATATAGCTTCTCACTTTGAGATAGCTGCTCTGCAATCTCGGCTTTGCTCACTTTCTTCACGCTACCATCTGCGCCAGTGATCGATACAAACTGCTTCTCCAAAGGTGTATTCGGATCGTACTGCTCGCCAGGAGCCATACTTGCACCCGCTCTACCACCAGAAAGTTTCGAGCGCAATTGAGCCAGTTCCTCCTTCAGCTCCCGAATCATGCGAGCATTCGGATCCTCGTTGACGACGGCATGGTTCTTGATGCGCTTCGCACTATCTGCATAACGCAAAGTCGACAACGTCTCCTCGAAGTTGATGTCGGCTGGTGAAATCGCGGCGATCATGGCTGTAAGACTGTTTCCGCCCAGACTGTCTTTCAGGAGCCAAGTCAAGACACTGTCTCGGTATGGCACTTGCATGCCTTTTGACTTTGCTTTGCTGTTCGTGGACATATCTGCGAGTGCGGCTATGACACGACCGAGGGTTGATAGTGATCTGTTGATCTCCGCACCCTCTTTCAGGCGCGCACCGGTGGCGCCGGTCGATGTAGCTCGCTCGGAACCTGCAAGATCGACCAGTGAGATCTTTGCGACTTTCTCCGTGTCCATGTTCGTCTCTACATCATGCCGCTTCTGCGTCAACGTCAAGGTGAAGACAGCATGCGATCGCGAAGATGTCTCGTTCATGTTCGTCGCAGCCACGGTACGAGCCTTGTTACCCTCGTCCATGAGATGCTCGATCTCTACAAAGCTCCGTACGACCAACTTGGCAAGATCCTCCACATATGGTCCAGTAGATGGATGCTCTCTAACCTTCAAATTGCCCTTGGTGCTCGGATTGAGCAGATCCCGTACCCGCTCATTGTAGATCTCCAGATATGACACCTCCACCGTGCTCGTCATATTCTTATCCTTCTCCGCCATGCTCTCTATCCGCTCAAACATGTCTCTGCAGATCTTCGGTATCACTCCCTCCTCCTCACCATACCCCATCATGCTGTAACTCTTTCCCGATCCCGTCTGGCCATAGGCAAATATACAATTATTGTACCCTTGGAATGCATTGTCCAGCAATGGTCTACCCAGATCACCGAATAAATCCTCCTGGCCAGCGAAGTTGGAGTCCTTGCGGTCGAAAGACCAGTAACTTTTGTCGAAAGCGAACGTCTTGTTGCCCTCGAGCGATGCTTTGTGGCCTGCCTTGTTCTTGCTATTGGGATCCGGTCCGGGTGGCGTCAAGACAGTCTGGCTGTCTTTCATAGACACAATACATTTTGCGTTGCGATCCTTCTCCCGACTGTTGAAGGGCCGCACACGTACGACAACTTTGATGTTGCCAGCTCCCGGTGCGGCCATGATGGGATGTAATGCTGGGGGTGGTGTTATCGATGCTTGTTACGCATGGCCACCCAAGCAAGCACTCCTACCAATGTCTCCAGCGTTGTGCGTATACAGTAGTCGTCGATATGTCATGCTTGGATTAAAGGTTCGCGTTGGCGCGTCGTAGCACGGGCAAAGCTCGGGCAATATCGCCGAGGCACCGAAATCTCCTTTTCTATGGATGCAGACACATGTCCTCCTTCTCCACCATATGCCTGTGTTGATATACTGTCTCAATAACAATAAGGCCACGCTGAGCTATAGAGTATCCAAGCTGAATGTTAGTGCTCGAAACATGAACATTTAGCAAGGCTAAGGATCAAAATCTGTCCCCTTCTTCCTGCTATCTTGGTCGCTGCCACAGGATCGACGCAAGAGAGGTAGGGTGGTGCAGCCTTCATGGCAGATGACATGTTCCGCGCACCTATCCATCGTGGTATGCGCACGCTTGATCGAAATGCATTCCGCAAGACCGTCCCGCTGAAAGCTGCCAGGATCTTCGACAACAAGAATATCTTCAAAGTACGATCCGAATTAGAGCGGAGCAAAGATGCTTTGCAGCAAGACCGAATGGGTAGTGTCCACCCGGACCCAGACCCGGAGCTCGCGAAGACAGGAAAGAAATGCATCTTGCTTCGAACTGAGATAAGGTCTTCCATCGCCACTTCGACCACCCAAGCCAACAGCCAGAGCGAATCGTGGCCACACTCGTCTACATTAGACGAGCTTGTCACACAGCAGCTTATATCAGTCATACCATTCGAGCTTCAACTGGAGTACAAGTACTGGACATACCACGACATCATTTCATCGATCCTATCCGAGGACGAACAAGGCGAGATCCCATCGGGCTTCAGCCAGGTTGGTCACGTAGCTCATTTGAATCTGCGCGACGAGTATCTGAAGTACAAGAGCCTCATAGCCGAAATCTTGATCGACAAGAATCCAGGAGTCAGCACAGTCATCAACAAGATCGACGATGTAGGCGAGGAGAACGAATACCGTACATTCCGCTACGAAGTCCTGGCCGGACCAGACGATCTCAACGTCACTATCAGCGAGGAGAACTGCACATTCAAGTTCGATTATAGCAAAGTCTATTGGAATAGTAGACTCAACACTGAGCACCGCCGACTAGTGACCATGTTCAATGAAGGCGATGTCGTCTGCGATGTTATGGCAGGCATTGGCCCCTTTGCCGTCCCAGCGGGAAAGAAGGGTGTCTTCGTGTGGGCCAACGACCTCAACCCGGATAGCTTCACCAGTCTCCAGGACGCCGTAACCAGGAATAAAGTCACCGACTACGTACGGCCATTCAACGAGGACGGCAGGAAATTCATCCGTACTGCCACCGCCGAGCTAGCCACAACAGACCATAAAATCGAACTCAGGAGCAAATCCTCGAAGAAAGATCCCACAGCCAAGCCGCAGGTTCTACGGACGATCCATCAGCCGAAAAGTTTCCAGCACTTCGTCCTCAACCTCCCTGCCTCGGCCATTACTTTCCTACCCTCTTTCATCGGCCTCTATCTTCCTTCTGTTCGCGAGCATCTACCAGCGGACTTCGAGCTACCAATCGTGCACGTCTACTGTTTTAGCACCAAAAGCGACGACAATGTCGGGGAAGGCATCAAGATTTGTGAGGAGATCAGTCGACAGATTGGTTTTGAGATGAGGCCGGCGAGGATTGGTGAAGAGAAGGACGGTGGGGTGGAGGTTTGGGATGTTAGAGATGTGGCGCCGAAGAAGAGGATGTTTTGTGCTAGTTTTCGGCTACCTAGGGAGATTGCTTTTCGAGAAGCGTGAATGAGTTGGCAAGGGTACTGAGGTTTCGCTATGAATGACGTAAAGGGCTGCATTGTCAGAAGAAGGAATCGTCCTTGTCGTCTCGAATCCGTGACTGCGCACTGCACCAGGAGAGAACGTTCAGCTTGCCTGAGAATGTACGAGGCCTCGCAATGCCCTGGCGATCAGATCTGCAGTCGAGAGGGTGAGGTTGCGATGTTGGGCAGCCGCATTGGATCGAGGCATTGGTCAATGAATGGTGGGTACGAGGATCAGATCTACGCCAGGCCGCGAGGAGGAGCCGAATGAACGTAGAAGAAGCTACAAGGACCTCGATCCCTGTGGCCGTAGGTTTTTGGTCATGGAATTGTCAGTCTTACTGCTTTAGATCTCGCTCGTGGAAAGGGGATGGCACGCTGACTACATGAAGTTATCGGCGGTCATACACGATCAGCCAAATAACCTAACACTCTACTCCTCTCCCTCTTGTTTCGTTCGATTCTGTTCAGCTCCTCTCTGTGTATTGGCCGTTTTTCGCAGGTGCTGAAGCGAGCCTCGTCGAATCTGGTGCGCGATGACTGATAAATACTTGTGGTGATACAGAAAGTCCACGAAAGATATGATGAGAAGTACATGATAGCCACTTATTTGGTCAATGTCTTGCCATCACAATACCCACTAAAGAGTGATGGTGCAATGCAGTCATCGCGGAAAAGGAGAGATGGGTTCGCTCTTGGCTGAGGTGGCAAAGGGGGTAATGTCCATGTTATTATTGTCGTGCTGTCGACTTATCTGTTACACTTCGCTCTGTAGTAGATCAGCTTCCTGACGTTCCCATCACCTCGACCAAGACACGGGAGCTGCTCCAGCAGAGCATGAGTCCCTTCGCCAATTTTGCTAAAGGAGAAGAAGAAGGAGAAAGTGAAGTTACAATGTCGTCGCTTGCGTGGCTGCACGGACCTCTTGCTTCGATCTACGCCTTCTTTGCTTCAATGCTTGCTACAAACAATGACCATGTCTACCATTGAGACCTGGAACACATCTCAAATGAGCAACATCGCTCGCCAAGGAGGATCGACTACCACTGGTAGTGATACCTGCCTCTGACACTTCTCCTCACATCGCTATGAGACAGCCACTCATACTGAAATCCACAAGTGCAAACGAAGAAACACAGACAGCAATGCCGCCATCGCTCGACACTGAAGATCGGCCACAGTCTGCAACTAGGCATAAGCAAGATCGCCGGCCATCAAACATGCCAGCGAGCAAATCTGAGGGCCGAAAGTCCATGACATCGTCTGAGAAACGCACGGCTTGGGAGCGACAACAAGAGGAAATCAGAAAGCTCTCAGCAATCATTCCGCTCTCAGACGAACGAGAACGCAGCAAACTAGGATCACAGATCGGCCGAGACCATAGCATAGGAATGCTTGAGCTTAGCAAGCGTATCGAGAAGCTCGAGCAAGTCGCCACCCAGTACGAGACGTTGCAGACCAGACTGGTGACCATCGAGGGCCTGCTGAAGCCGTACGCTGCATATGAGCAGCATGCCCTAGGCGCAGTCGAGCAGCTCAAGCAAATCGAGACACGACTACAGACCGAGCGTTTCAGCAAGACTGATACAGCTATCAAGCAACTTGTGGACGAGCACGAAGCAAAGCTACAGGAACATTCTACTCGATTACAACAGCTCCTTGACCAAAACGAGCTCGCAAGAAATCAGCCTCAGTCTACAGCTGATCTCGCCAAGTCGTTAATTTATCGTCTGGCGCATGGAGACCTCGTGGATGAGACGCTGGCCAGAAGTCTTCGCAGCGCTCTAGGTGGCGATTCCATAATTGGTCTCGATGCGCCTCGAGACGCACCACGCCAAGAAATTACACCTGTCACTGACAACCTCGACACTCGCCATGATACAGACGAGTCAGTCGAGACACCGCGACCAACGAAGCGTCCACGTATAGCAAAGTCTACAGCATCGTCACTGTCTCCCACCAAAGACACAGCACGAAGCCAACCCGCTTTTAGATCATCAATGCCCAGCGCGCTTGATAATTTCAAATCGGGTACACTATCGCACGACCGATCCAGCATGGAGAGCGAGCAAGATGAGAGGATGGAGGAGGTGAATCACGAACCGTCATCGAGCCGACCTGTTCGCGCAAAGAAAGCTACACAGCATCCCGACATGGTTCCGTGGAGGACGGCTTATCCGCAGGTGAAGCACATGCGGCGCAGTGGATCTTCGCCCACCAAGCGCTTAGGATAGAAGCAGGGCTCAGCAAGGGAGAAGTTTCCGCGCTTGGTGGCGAAGAAGTGCAGACGATATGAGTTACGACAACAGCTCAATTAACGGATCTCGGACCACGCCTGAAGACCCAGACGAACAAAGCCTCTTCTTACCGGCTTCATGAAAACTGGCAGGAGGAGAGGTGCGATATCACTTTCGTTGTCGAATACGCGAAGGACACTTCTTCATGGTGTGCTGTTGCACTAAGCTTCCGTCATTGGAAATCGTAACACAATGAATGGGACCATCGCAGGATCACACAGCAGAGATACAACTTCAGTAGCTATATCGGCACTGTCAATGGGTTCATTACACTCGCACCACCGTCAACAATCTGCAATGGTATGGTCAGCATTCATTGACGTACGCGTGAAGTGCATGATATCCTTACCATATTTTGGCCGGTGATATAGCTGCTGAATCCACTAGCCAGGAAGCCAGCTACCTTTGCCACTTCCATAGGTACGCCAGATCTCTCGAGTCCAACAATTTCCTGCTGCACTTTCTTCGACTGCAGGCTCGAGGGTGGGAACTGTGCGCTCATGCCTCGCATATCAAAGCCCTTCAGGTCGACACCGATGTCGATCTGTCCAGGCGAGATGGCATTAATACGTACACCCGTGCCCTTCAGCGTCGCTACACCTGCTCGGACCACACCGAGAGAAGCATGAGAAGCCATCGTGAAACCAGGGCCCCAGCACCCACCAGAAGTACTCGCAACGCTCGACACTACAATGATGCTCCCGTAAGCCTGATCCTTTGGTGCAGCATTCGTATAGTTTCCAGCCGGTGTCGTCTTGAGCATGGCAGCAGGCGCGTACTTCAACGCAAAGAAAGGAGCCATACTGTTTGCCTCAAAGAGCTTATACAGATCCGCAGGTGTTGTCTCGTTGATCGAGGCTGGTCCCAGCAGACCAGACGATGTCACATACACGTCTAGTCGTCCCCAAGAATTAAGGACGTCGTCAATGAGTGCCAGTGTATCCTCCTCGTTTGCAAGCTTGAACGGGTATCCGATGACCTTGGTGCTCGGATACTGTTTGTTGACTTCATCGGCTAGACTGGCATAGTCGTCGGTTGTGGAAGAGGAACAAGCGTAGATGCAGGCAGCTCCGTGGGCGGCCAGCTCGTTCACAATCGCTTTGCCAACGGGCTGAGTGGCTCCCGTAACGATACAGATGAAGCCATACTGGATCGAACATTAGCTGCAAGCACTGCATTAAGTGGTCCGTTGTATCAGAGACCTACAAGCTTTCCATCAGGTCGATATGGTGAGAAATGTTCACTCTGTGATTCTTGGCTGTGACCGTAGATGGCGGCCATCGTATTGTTGTTGTCGCTGTAAGAACAGCTCCCTCAACAGCGAGGTGTCCATCTCGAAGATGCCGAGACGTGCTGCACGATCAGTGAGCTTAGCGATTGCTTTATGTGAAGCGCGAAGTCATTGGTTGTCGTGCTCCACGGAGATCGCCAATCCTTCTAGATACCGATAAGGATGCCAAGATAGGAAGCCACAACTCCAGCCACGTGGCGATAGAAGCCAATTTTCGTCTGGATCGTGAAAACGTTCTTGGTGCAGCAATGTAGAGGAGGCGATCTTAACAGTCCAACGTATACGCAGGGGGCTACACAAGACACCATTCGACGACCTATGATCACGCCGCACACAACATAGAGAGTCGATCGGATCTGCACTACAATGCCATTGGACTCGAGACCCAGGAGCTTTCCTGGCGATCGTTCGAGGCTACCAAGGAGAAAACCACTATCGCCTAGTCGTGACAGACAGATTACGGCTACAGCTTGTAGCTTGTCGTAAGGTCGGCATCCCCAATGACGGCAAACTGCAATTTTCGGCGAGAATAGGAGTATGCGTCAAGCTGTCGTTCGCGACCAATAAGCATTCATGACACATATATGTGCTGGCTATCGACAAGGTAGAATCGTTGAGTAAGAGACATAAGACATAAGACATGCATCGGGTCCGACTCCGCATTGGTTGCCACTGAGCTGCTCGGAACCCGGCCAGTCCATAGCAGACGGGAGATAATTTTGTCTCGCAGCAGGGTCGAGTCGAGTCCGTCGCTGACGGCATGGCAATACAATTGGCACATGAGCCTGAACTGGGAATTGTTGAGAAGCGTCTCCTCCTCCTGCCCCGACTCCGAAGGAGACGTCCATTTTCGGTTGTTGACTTCCCAAAGACATGCGCGCGTGTGTGACCAACCTGCATGTCTCGACCAGACAGCGTCGAAGCCACAGTGGGTTTGCGAGGCACATGCTGGTCGGTAGGTACATATTGCACATCTGCGCGACCGCGTTCATCCTGTCTATTTTAGCTGACAGAGTGTTACGACTATACGCAAAGTCGGATGACTTTCGCATTTGGCTGCTGACTCCGAGTAGCACATGTTGAATCTCATATCGACGCTGACCTCCTTACAGCATCACAGTGATAGCCATCGAAGAAACCAAAATCTTGACAGTTGAGAAGCGGGATAACGTTGCAGAGCAGCCAATTAAGCCACTGTACCTGCATTACTAGCGCAATATATGAGACCACTAGCGTGTAACAGCCTGCTCCGGTTCCAAAGCCCCTTAGCCACGCAGTTGTGGTTCAACATTTCTCAAAAGCTGACTTGGTCCTCGAATCGCAAGGCTCTTTTTCTCGCACCCACATTCCATTTTAGCCGCGCCCACGTATTTCAGAGAGCCTTGCTTCGACCACGCCAACCTCCTGCAAGCACTTACAGATAATCTTCAACTTTCCACATCACTCGCTCTAGATATCAAAACCACAACATCAATATGCGTACCACAATCTTTTCTCTCGCAGCCATCGCAGGCACTGTCTTGGCTTCGGACAGCGCCGCCAACTTCAACCGCGATACTGCGCCGTCCGCATACTCCAGTAGCTCTGCTGGAGGCCTCGTCTCTCAGATCAGTGACGGTAAGCCAAAGCTCTTTCATAATTACCGATGGAGAACAATCACTCATGCAAGACTTAGGCCAGATACAAGCCCCAACTGGCTATGGAGGTGCACCTAGCACGACATCAGTCGTTGCGGCCACGACTTCCGTCGTCGCAAGCTCAGCAAGCTCTGTCGCATCCGTGGCATCGTCTCCAGCGGTCAGCCCAGTGAGCTCGGTGAGTGAAACCTCGGTAGTGCTTTGAAGCTTTTGACGTATTGACTAATTTGTACAAAGGCTCCTGCGGTTATCAGCTCGCCCGCCGCCTCCAGCGCTCCAGCTGTCTACTCCTCTGTCTCCGTCAGCAGCGCAGCCGCCCCAAGCACTCCCGCCGCATCCTCGGCTCCAGCTGCATACTCGTCTGCGTCGATCGTTGTGCCCTCCAGTGTCCCAGCTGTCGCTCCTGTCCCAATCGCCAACGGCACATCAGTCGCTCCCATCGCCACCTCTCCCATCGTCCCAGCAGGAAACGCCACCGTCCCGCACTACAGCACCATGACGATTTCCACCTCTGGCGCAGCTGGCTCGTCTGGCGCGACTGCGACAGTCGGCGGGTCTTCCGTAGCAGGTGCCGCTAGTGGTAGCGCAACCTCGTCCCGCGCCGCCGCCACCCAGACTTCCGCCGCCAACGCCGTCGAGCTTACCACTGGTCTCACCCTTGCTGGGTTCGTTCTGGCCCTGTTCGCCTAAGTGTGGTGTCAACAGATGCAAAGAGTCTTCGAGTAGCATCAAAACTATACGCGATTGATCGGCGTTAGGTTGGATCGATGCCGGATAAGCTTGACATAGTACAAGCTATGATGAGTTCGGCGGGTCTGAGCAACAATGTCCAATAGAGTGCGTATGAGAGCAGCACATGAACAAAAGTCATTGCAACATATCCCTTGACATCCATTGCGAGTGCGCCTTGTGGGCACTTTTTCCCAGTGCAGTAATCTTGAAAGGCGTTGTACTGAACATTGGTTCCAGCGCAGCTCGCATATTGTGCCGACGAACACACATACACGTCCTGAGGCCGCTGACGTTAGCTTCCAGTGTAATGCATCTCAATTTCGCCATCATTTCAACCGACCACTCCAGAGGACTATCTTGTCATCAAGTATAAGCCGGGGGCAAAGCACTGGGTGCGATTCCACGCATCTTGGCAAATATGCTTCGATTGAATCCGCCAAAGGAACGCACAGCACCGAGCGGGTGTCCTGATGCAACGTTGGGTGCATTGAAGTATGTGGGAGCGTCCGCAAATATGTTGCCGGATTCCTCTGCTCACGAGACCATATTCCGAGTTCTGTACGCGCATAATATCAGTCGGGCCGAAGGATCGGGGTGTCTTCCTCGCTGGGTGTAGCCGGGCCCATTCTGCTGGAAATCCGAAGTACTTGAGGGCTTGTCTCCGGCCCGAGCATAGAGTGCAATAATATATATGACCCACTGTCATCAAATTTTAAGGGCTTCTTCTCGGAGATGCAAACGCGAGTCAGATATCAAACAGAAGGGTCCGCAAAGGGGTCAAGAGAGTTTCGTCCGGACCCAGCGGGAATGTCACTTCCGCGGGTCTCTTCAGACTTTTCGAGGTGAGCCACCTCCGACAATTCGTTCATCCACGAAGTTTGAGGGATGCTGATGGGGGATGAGTCCACTTATGCCTATATCGAAGCAGTCGGCCATATCCGCCTGGCTCAACGGATCTGTTCTACAGTCTAGAAATTCGTACGGCATAGTTCGGTCAGATTACCTGGAGGAGCTATGGACGCAACGCACGAGCACTTCGTGAAGCGAAGGAAAGTAAGAGCTCACATGGATCCGAGTCGCAGGTGTCCTGATACAGCATGGAACTCGAAGTGTTATGTGGGCGACGCGATAACATGCACCACATTAGCCTTTGGCCTTTGCTATTGTATCCTCCGATTCGCTTTCAGATCCAAAGGGCCCAAGCTACTGCGTCGATAGTTGTTCTAATCCTACACAAGTAAAGAAGACTTATTACCTCCACCGAATCTCTCGGGTAGATACAACACTATTGGTATGGATCTGGCTCCCGGGTCTTGCCCTCGCAGCCGACCATATGCCGGCCGACACACCAGCTTGTGAAACTCGGACTCACTAGAGACCATGGTGATGTTGGTGATGTATCCTGACAGCGTCGTCCTAAAGATACTTTGGGGCATGTGACCAGGCATGAAATACTGACTGCGTGACGTCCTCGGCCACATTGGTAACAAGAAGACCAAGCATTTGTGGCTTTTCGACCGTCAACGTAGGCCAAGCCACTCCCTGATCTAGCTATCATCGCGGCATGTGCTTAGTTGGACGCCAGGGCATTGAATGATATGTGTCCTGCTGAATTGCTGGCTTTCAATCAGCTTCTGAGATCTTCGTGGCCTCATAAGCCGTGAAGAATGATTTCCGCCGACACAAACCGCACAGCCTTTATCACCAGGTCTCGCAGGGAGAAGGCTGAATGAATCTTTCAGTTTGAGTGGCGTCTACACATACGAAACTCGTTGCTCCACATGCATGTGGTAAGCGAAATCCCAGATCCTACACATGCCGAGTGCCCGAGTTGCAGTAGCGGCCGCTTTGCCGGAGACAGCTCTTCACCATTGTGCAGAGAACGTGGGCGATATTCGTCCTCTGATTCGCTGGAATCTGAGCCCTCAACCTCACTTGCTCTTTCGTTGTCGTAACTCTGCAGTTTCATCGCAAATTTCGCTGCATTGCCGCAACATGAGAGGATGTTGCATGGACCCGGAGCTGGGCACGATTGGCTGACCTGCTGCCAAGACCGGCGTCATCGTGCTCCTCGCAAAACCACTACCTCACGGTCGATCGTGAGTGGTCGGGTGTACCTCCAGAGAATAGGATAGGCTGCTGGCAGTGATCGCGCGGCAACGATAAAATATTAGTGTATAACACCGTCAATACGCCGAACGGGACTGTTACGAAGAAGTAGCAACGGCCGCGTGGGTGTGAGTTCAGACCATACTTGTCATCTCGCGTGCAAAGTACTGGCGATTTATATCCGCTCTCCTCCACTTCCCACTTATGGAGTTGTCCTCGTACGAGAAAGTCAAATGTTGTAGAGCTCCAGTTTGAGAACACACACACTGCTGGTCAGACTGGTTTTGCTTTGTTCGCCAACCGGGCAGGCAAATCGTGCATTCAGTACTAAGCTCCTCAAGCATCGCCCAGTCATACGTCAAGCCAACGACCACGGGTAGTGAGTGAGATCCGACCGATCCGTCCAACGTTCGCTTTCATGCCTGAGTTGATAACCTTTTGCCTTTCTACAAGCCCACCTGGACCAGTCAAGGCTTACTTTTCGTCAACGAGCGACTCGCGCACGGCACGTTGCCGTGATCGGCACCCACGATTCTTCTGCTAGCGTTCGCTTGGCGTTAGCTCAGACCCTCCTCGCGGCGCCGCGCTTTTGCTCGTCAAGGGTTTTTATAGCTTGAGCTTGTGTGCTTTCGAGCTGTTCGCACGCTTATCGACACCCGCCGTCAACACCACACCACACGCTCTTTGATTGTTCCACAACAACAGTCATGGGTGACCAGTCTATGCGAGACTATGGCCTTGCGGCGCCGCATGGCCCCAACATGACCGGCCAGCATGTTGCTACTGCCGATATTGTTGATATGAGCCACGGCGAGAGCTCCGTCTTCCGTTCTCTTCTCCTCCCCGACGACAGCTACGATGCCAACGGCACCTACTGGGCTGATATGGGCATTGGACGCCGTATCGGATTCGTCAACAAAGTCAACAACGCAGAAGCTGCTGCCGAGCTCAAGTCGATCGGCCGCATGATCAAGGCCGATCCTTTGAGCCCCTTTAGCTACTATGCACGCAACATGATCATTCCAGGTGCTGGCCTGCTGCTCGAAGGGTACGTCTACCAATATTCGTGGATACAAACAAGTTTGCGAACTAATATAATCACAGATACGTGCTGTTCTCCATCGGTAACATCAAGCCTCTTCTTCAAGCCTCCTTCCCCGGCTGCTGGAACAAGTACACTGTCTGCAATAAGACCTGGACTCAGGCCATCGACTACCTCGAAATCTGCGGTATCATCGTCGGTCAGATTCTGGTCGGTATTCTTGGTGACTGGCTCGGCCGTCGCTGGGGTCTGATTCAAGATTCCGTCATCATGTTCGTCGGTCTTCTCATGCTTACTGCTGCGTGGGGTACGACCCTCAACGGCTGGGTCATCTGCTACGTCTGGTCTCTGTTCTTCTATGGTATCGGTGTTGGTGGCGAGTATCCAATGACCGCTACCTCCGGTATGGAGAACGCTGTCGGCTCCGGCAAGATCTCGACACGCGACGATCGTCTTCACCGTGGTCGCAAGGTCACATCCGCTTTCTTGATGCAGGGCTGGGGTCAATTCCTCAACCAGGTCATCCTGATCATTCTGCTCCTCATCTTCCACTCTGGCAAGTCTGGCCCGCCATATGACAGGCTCGTCGCTCAGTGGACCTACCGAGTATCCTTCGCTATTCCAGCCGTCGGTACTCTCTGGCTCGTCTACTACCGTGTCTACAAAATGCGCTCCGCCTCCAAGCAATTGCAGCTTGCCAAGAAGAAGCAGTCCGTCACTGGGTATGATGTCAAGTCGCTTACGATGACTTTCACCTACTTCGGGGGTCGCGTCTTCGCTACTTCCGCTGCCTGGTATGCCAACGACGTTTTCTTCTACGGCAACAAGCTCTTCCAGGGTGAGTTCATCGCCGCGCTCAACCCAGGCGACAAGTCTGTTGTCACTAACTGGACCTGGAACTTGGTCAACATCGTCATCTCCCTCGTCGGCTACTACCTTGCCTCGTTCCTCATCGACAACAAGCTTTACGGCCGCAAGTGGATGCAGATTGTCGGTTTCCTTGGCGACTTCATCTGCTTCGTCATCCCGGCTTTCAACTACAACTACTACGCCACGGGTCCTGGTGTCCACAAGTTCATGGCCATGTACTTCTTGTCTTCCTTCTTCAACCAGTTCGGACCCAACTCGGTCACCTTCATCGCTGCCGCCGAGGTGTTCCCAACACCCGTCCGTGCCTCCGCTCACGGCTTCTCCGCTGCTTGCGGAAAGCTCGGTGCCCTTACTGCCGCCGTCCTCTACAACTACATCGACATCCCATTGCGTTTCTTGGTCGTCCCATGGTTCGGGCTTGCTGGTGCGATCATCACCTACGTCTTCCTGCCCGATACCACCGGTCTCGATCTCAAGGAGCAGGAGCGCCGCTGGGCTTTCATCCGCGCAGGCCGCGAGCACGAGTACCATGGTGTGGCTGTCCACCCCCAGCACCTGTCTCTCTGGGAGCGTGTATGGGGTGTGGGCAAGTACTACAACGCCGAGGAGGACTACAACCAGCGTGTCGAGGAGATGCGCGCTGATTGGGAAGCTGCCATGGCCCGCCGCAATGCCGAGAAGGAGGCTGGTGAGGTCGAGGATGAGCACGACGACGATTGGTCTTCCGAGGTCAGCACTTTCTTCGAGCGCACTCGTGGCAAGGGCAACGGCAGCACCATGTATCCTTCCAAGGAGCAACAACTCGGTGACGGACACGCTGCTGTCGACAACGAGAAGCCTCGTGACTTGTAGACTTGTGGGCTTCGCTTGGATATTGTAACAAAAGCATACATCTGGGATGAAGGATTGATTTGAGATGATACCACTGTAACTCGATTTAGCTGGCTTGGACTCGCTGAGCTTGAATTTCCTCTTCCCGAGCACCTGAGCTTCATCTCAGGCTCTTTCATGGAGTATGGGCGAGTATAGACTGTGTAATGAAGATATTGATACTACACGAATACTTTCACTTCACACGTGCATTGCCAATTGACTGGGCGACATTCAACCCTGCACCGATCCTTGCCTGGGTGGAAACGATTATCATCTTGTACAAACCTGAGCCAAGCTTCTGGGACACGATGGCCCACCGGCAAGAGGTAGTGTAGTGAGTAGTTGACTCAATCAAAGCCCTTCCTCGCTGCAGCATCACTCACACGGTCTCGCTGGGTTGGTCACCGATATGCAACAGGGTCTCAAGTGGCAATATCTTGCGGGACAAGATCTCAATTGGTACGATATCAGAACAGCAAGACAGCACGATCTCAAGACAGCACGATCTCAAGACAGCAAGATCTCGGGATGGCAAAATCTCAACTGTTAGATCATGTCTGTAACATGCAGATATACCAGGTGAACTTTTTATAGATCCATGAGTATGCAAAATCCGGCCTGAACACAATCGAAGGAATAACTTTCATCCTCAATCTTACTCAACTACACGCCCCCCTTACAACACCATTATGAACAAGAGAAAGCGAAGGGATAGCACTAGCTCCGAGAAGCTTGTGTTCGAGGCTACATCCGTCGACGACAGCTCTGCTACGGCTCATACGAGGAAAGGCACGGGCGGAGCAGCTCAGGAAAAGGGCCCTTCGAGCACGGCCGAGCATTTGTCGAGGTCTCCATTGGATCTCGCAAATCGGAAGAGGCCAAAGCACGGACTAGCCGAGGGAACAATTAATCATGGCGAGCTAGACGCCACGAAACCTGACGATTCGAAGGACGATCGAGAAATTGATGGCCAGAGTATCACAATCAACGACCAACGCGCAGTACCGTCCGGCATACTTCGAAAAGGACCGCGCCGAAAACCCGGCACAGCTGGCAGCAAAAAGGATACGGCTTTGATTATCAGGCCAAAGCGTATACGTCGAATGACCGATCCCCACAGGGTCGCGGAGGTAGAGGAAGATGTTGCGCGGAGAATTGACACTAGTAGCCAGGAAGGACAACAAGCTTACGAAGCTATGGGTCCGGACCGGGAGCGCACACCAGAGGAGGATCGTCAGGCAGGGGAGCCATCTGAGTTCACAGCTCGGATTTCGGCAGGTTGTGTTGGTAGTGAAGCGGAACGTATGAGAACGTCTGAAGAATCTGTCCGGCGTATGGTGATTCTTTAATGATGTATGACACCACCACCACTACCCTTCTCCCACCCATGTATGCTCTCAGCAATGTTCGTCCAATACCTTAATCTTACAGCTTCTGCGGCGGCAGCATGCAGGTCTCCGTTCGCGAATAATGCTTCCAGAGCTCCCACGCTCTCCGCTATTCGTGCATCATTCTCCTCTCGTATGCTCACCAGGTCCTCCTCGGTCTCTACCTCATCCACGGCCTCCCTCGCCTCCATGACTTCCATCAATAATGGTCCACCAGACATCTTCGCCGACTCATCCTCCACATCTATGCCCTGCTGTAGTAGCAAGTACTGTGCGCGTTTCAGCGGGTCCTGTAGGGCTCTGTATGCTTCGTTGACCCGGCTGCTCAGAGCCTCTGCTTGTCTCTTCTGGTTCGCAGGCGCAAGGTCCGGATGCGCCTTGGCCTGTAATTGCAGGAATTCCTTCCGTAATTGCTTCAGATCTGGAGTGAATGGTGATGCAGGCGGTGGACCACCTGGAAACGTTTGTGGAAAGAAGTCGTAGTGAGTCTGCGGCAAGCTGCTGGACGATGCAGCCTCGGGACTTGCTGGCGCTGTGGCTTGTTGCTGCTGGCCTCGACTCGTCGTTAACTGTCGTTGGCCGGTGGCATATGGTATTGTTACAGGTTTGCTGGATAGCTGTCGTCTGCATGCAGGACAGATGAAGGGTTGCGGTGAATTACGTGCACCGGTAGTACCGCTTCGCAGAGCTACAGACGCATCGCGCACACCTCTCGCGATCTGTCGCTTCATGTCTGCTGGCAATCGACAATGAGAAGACTGTGTTGGTCTACCGAGGCAATCTACGTTTCTCCTTCGGAAGGCGAGATCTGAACTTCACTTCACAAGGCTCATGCACAGTGACATCACCAAGCAAGAAAAACACGTGACAGGGTATTGAAGTAAAAGTCTATAGCCTGCCGGATTTGGGGTTCCAATGTCATACATGGTCTCTAGACTGCTCTCTGACCCAGTGTACCGCCATCGTGAACTAGTTCGACAAACCCATCTGCAGCTCCTCTGTCGACAGTAGCTTTTCAGGACCAAAAGACATGGGCAGCAGCTGTTCGAGCGTCATCACTGTCGATTTGCCATGAACATCGTACATAAGGACAGGCATATTGAGCTGCGACACTTTTAGAAAAGTAATATCCTCGGATGTAGGGGCTGCATAATACCTCGCAGAACTCTCTCAGGAATTGTCTACACATCCCGCAAGGGCTTGCCGGAGGACTGATGTCGGTCGCGACGGCTATCGCTCGGATGTCGCCCTTCTTCGCGCCCTGGCATTATGATCAGAACGACGATCAATGTAAGGCGAATAGTCTTAGGGCGTTACCTGAATCACCGCAGTGGCGATGGTCACCCGCTCAGCACATGTTCCGACTGGATACGCCGCATTCTCGACATTGGCTCCTTCGACTATCGTTCCGTTCGTGAGTAGTAACGAGCAACCGACTCGAAAACGTGAGTACGGGCCTTTCCAAGAGTTAGAATGATTGTTGCTTTTGCTTGAAGACAGGGAGATCTTACAATAAGCTTTTGCTTTTGCTTCAATGCATACTTCCGACAATCTCTGGACGTCTGCGGCAGATAAGCCGTGTATCAGCGCAGTATCATGGCGACTGTGACCCTTAGATTGCGATGACATGGCGAGGGAAGACCGAGAGTAGGGAAAGCAGACGAAGTGTTTGCTGTCAACTCTGGTTGTTTGGCTAGGTGTACTTTCCATCACGTGTGCTGAGTCGTACGCACTTCAACATGGTAAGATGGCCTGAACACTTCTCTCGTGTCTTATCATCGACTGGACATCTAGCTCTCGAAGCCGATACCTCGTGGCAGTCTGGCGGAGGTAGTCGCATGTGACTGGCGCAAGGTTGATTGGCGTGTGTGGCGTGATCGGGTGAGTAGGCTGTGCTCGCAAGGTAACACCACCTCAGCCTCGCTGATCATCCTTTCCCAAACTCAAGAGATCACATGTGGTCGGATGACGGCAAAGTAGAAGCGCAACGATCGCTGGTAATATAACAAAGCTTATGCTACTAACATACTAATTGGCCATTGCTCTGCTCATATGACCGCTGCGCCTTGTCCGCACAGCTAACAGAAAATCGTTCTTGCGGGGGACATCATAACAAGAGGACGCTTGCCTATCGGTCTGCTGTCCAGGAACATTTAAAGTCACCAGCCCATCGTCCTACAGCTCGTCTGCAGATCTTGCGCCAAGGACTCAGAGACACTACAAGCACTTTCCAGGCCAGCAAGATACCAAGTCCACGCAAGTGTCTCCGCCACCAGCCAGGGAAGCGGACAGCACCACCGTGCCAAGATGAGCTCCGCCAGCGCCATAGGCAACACCGGCGGGTACAGCTATGCTCAGGGCAACAAATCTAGCGTCATGAACCCCGAGAGGATGCCCAGCGCCGAAGCAGACTATGCACGCACCCGGACTGCCGAGATCATGGATGCGCTGAGAAATGGGAAACCTGGCGAGGCCGACAAAATGCTAGGGAAGGCGCCACCGAAGTATGGTCGTAAACCGCCGAAGTACGAGGAGGGTGGTGTGGAGGCTACTAGTAGTGCCGATGCGTCGGAGAAGGTGGTAGAGGATGAGGGTGGGGATGAGGGTGGGGATGTACTTGTTAGCAATTCTGAGGGAAAGCCTGAGGGCAAGTCCGGAGTGTCTAAGTGGTTTAAGGGCAAGTTTAATGTTAAGGGGAAGTCGGATGATAGTGTTATTCGATGAGCAGGTGTGCTGATGGCGGGAAAGACTCATCATCGTTTGGGATGGACGTGATCAGTCGCGCGGGCTAGACTAATATTCGGTGGATGAATGAATTTATGCATAACGAAACACAGTTACACCTCCGCTCGCTCGCTTCCCTCGTCAACTCGAACAGGTGGTACAGTTCTTGCAGACTATGCTGCGTGGTGGTCGCGATACAAAAGTGGCTCTCACTGATCTACAAGCGAGTGCTGCGGAGAGAGCTCGAGAGATGCTAATCACGAAGCTCTCGCGTCATGTGTACGGCCGGCAGGTGTCTAGCAGGCATCAAAGTAGACGTTCACTACATGTGAAGGAATGTCTGTATATCCCTAACATTCTTATCCCTCTCACACCCTCCGAGTAAGCATGTTCCAATTCCGTCTCCCACAATTCAACTGGTCTCTGCCAACGGGCGGCGGCATCAAACTCCCCAAAGCCGAAGTGCACGATGTAGAAGAGCGACCAGAGAAGCGAGCACGAACGCTCAAACACCTCCTCAAAGCCAACCATATCAATCATAGCGTGATATACAATAATCTACGCTTCCACAACCATCTTCCACACATCCTTGGCTCAGCATACATTCTCGGTGCCGACAGCGATCAGATCAACCATATCTACGAGGCAGAAAGCAGACATCTCGAGCCATGGCACGACAGTCCTGGCGAGATCTCAGAGCATGACTGGCGAGATTACTTGGGGAAAAGAGAGTATCAGAGAGCGTTTGTGGACTTCTTCGAGGATCAACTGGTGAAACATGGCTATGATTGGCAAGAATTACTGCATGAGTTCCTGCTACAGGGCAAAGAGCCGCTCATCAACAACCTGATAGCGGGTCTGGGCCACCCATTGATACATATGGGCTATGCGCAGGAGATTGGATCGAGGACCGTCGCCATCGAGTCACTGGCTCTCGCGGCGTGCTTCTACAATGAATGGCACGTCTATCTGGATGACCCGAGGTATACCAAGCCTGCTTCCAACCCCACGGACTCGCTTTTTACGATCGTAGATCGCATATCACGAGACAACAAATTCGATGGCTTATTCGATCATCAAGGCAGCGACAATATCTCGACTCTACTCGCGAACCCAGAAGCCTCGGCTGCAGCACTCGAATACTGGAACACATGGGAACTGAAACGACCGAAAGAACAATTCGCCGAATCGCAGAAACTAGCAGTAGCTCTACTAGTAGCCGCCCAGACACCCAAGGACGACAGGACAGACCATCCCTACGACTTCTTCGCCGTCCACCTCCTCACATCGTCTCACGCAGTGCGGGTCCTCCTACCACTCCTACCAGCGAGATTCCACCTCCAATTCATCCGACAGTGGTGGCTCTTCACGCTCCTCGTCTACATCGCCCAACTCCGGCCCCACATCAATATCGACACTATCAAGCTCGTTGAACTCGAAGGCCGTGACTGGAAATGGGTTACAAAGAAGGCTCTCAAAGGCAGGTATAGGACTGATGCGCATTTTGTCAAGGCGCTGAGGAGTATGCATGAGGCGAGCAAGACGTGGGGTGATCCTAACCAGTTCTATCTGAAGGCTGCGGTGAAATTTGCGGATGAATTTGGCGGGTGGGGTGGTTTTGGGCCGAGGGCTGAGGCGTTGGAGGTTGAGGAGGGTGATGGCGAGGGGAGGGGTGAGAGGAGGTATAGTGGGCAAGGTGATGGATTGATCGCTGCTTGAGTAAGTGAGCGAGTGAGTGAACGAAGCAATGGGACTGATGAGTGTGACGGATCATGCATGGTATGTACGACTAACGAGCCCCATCGATGCGTGGGATTTGCAGTATCTCAAGGCCTATAGTAGCCGGCACTGGCCTCAGTATTATGAGATATCATGCTCCTTTCTGTTCAGACCATCTGTTGTCCTTCCCACAGTCACACACACGTGCGTTGCTTGTCTGTCACAGCAAGCATCTTCACAATGAAGCATCTGCGTTCACAAGCAAACTCATGCCATGGCCCACTCTGTACTACCAACCAATTGTCAACAGTACAAATACCCGACACGGCATTCAAGGAGGTATCGCGACCAAAGCTCGGAAAGAGACTACTTGCGAGACATCGTCTATCCCGAAATCGATCCTGTGACCAAACCTTGCCTCAACTCGAATAGGAAGGCACGAGCGATACCACCATGGTCCTGCCGTTGGAACGCATGCAGAACCTCCTTGGCGGCCGAGTCGCTATGCCACGCTGGCTGGACATCACCAGAGATCAACCAAAGACCCTGAAAGTAACCTTCTTCCCTCCAAGCCCAGGGCTCCCAGCATTCACTCCCGCATGCAACTGACTCGTGCTCAGGACCTAGTTGCCCTCTCGATCCCCGACACGACGCCTATGCTCTACGTCGGTCCACCAACAGGTCTCGCAGCCATAGCAATCCTACACACCGACCCTATCACGCACAACACGTCCACGACCACGTACGGTACTCTAGCTGCTCCGAGATCCGTGGTGGCGATGGATTGCATGGCTGAGAGGTGCATGATTTGTCGGCCTCCCCAGCCTACGATGGTCGTTGCAACATGATACCGTCAATGGTAAGTTGCCGACTCCCAATCCAATGATGACGAGGGGCGCGAAGAAATTTGCAGTGTGCACCGTGGAGGGCTGTGAACATTGCTCGACCAAGGGCTGAAGGTGATCGAGAGCGGTCTGAGACGAGTCCGGCGATTTCCTGGACTACGCGGGTCGTAGCCGGTGGCAAGATATCTGCGTAAAACACGTCGATTGTCACAGCAGTAGCCGGCCGACCGGAGAGACGGGACTCGCACATCTTACCACAGCTTCCAAATGTGACCCGCGCGTGAAAACTTGTGATCGATGATTTTTAGCTTAACATTACACTTTGTACATAGCGGGCCCTTCTGTCCCACGAGACCGTCGACGCGATGCCTTGAGCACCGTCCGCGAAGCAACAAGCACTAGCGCGTGATCGTGGGCGCATGCAGTCGACAATACACTGCAATTGATACAACCCAGGCTCAAAAGCCAAAAGGGTTCTGCGGAGCTACAAACCAAGTCAGCAAAATCGCCCAAACCCAAGACCAAAACCAGCACCTCAACCCAACAGGCAGGAAAGAAAGGAGAGACTCACTAGCCTTAGCCAAATTCGCCCTCCCAGTAGGCTGCGGCACTAACCCGCCCCTCCCCACCGTCCCGAACCTCACCGGCGGCGTCGGACCCGTCTTCTGCGGCTGCATCGGCGTGAGGGGCTGTGAGGGCCCAAATACACCTCCTGTTTGCTGTGGTGGGAGTTGCGGCATTTGTGGTTGTTGCTGTGGCTGTTGTTGCTGCTGCATGCCTGTGGGCGCGTAGCCGTTCATGCCCGTCGGCTGAGAGATATTGAATGCAGGTTGTTGCTGGCCGAAACCCTGAACTTGTGGCTGCTGTTGTTGCTGCTGCTGGGGCATAGGAGGTGGTGGGGCGAACGATTGTTGCAGGGGTGAGGGTTGGTATGCTCCTCTTGGTGGGTCGGCGAAGGGAGAAGCACCAGTCTGCATACCGTTGATTTGTTGGTAGCCGCTGTAGCCGATAGGTTGAGGTTGCTGAAATCCAGTTTGTTGTGGATATTGTTGTATAGCTTGTTGTTGACCAAATTGACTTTGTGGTTGGAACGCCATGCCCGTAGGTTGAGGTTGTAAGGCAGGGAAGTTCTGTTGCACAGATTGTACGCCATTTATTTGTGGCATTGGCGGTTGCTGTTGCTGCGGTGGGAAACCTTGCTGGAAGCCCGTCTGTTGTGGAAATTGCTGCTGGCCTTGGAACCCTGTCTGCTGAGGGTACATCTGCTGCTGTTGAGGTTGGTAACCCGTGAGCTGAGGCTGGAGAGGAGGTGCACCGAAATGCTGCTGTGGGTTGAAGCCTGGCGCACTTGCTGCTCGTGGAGGAGGAGCCAGACCAGTAACCATCGAGTTCTGCGCTGGAGCTTGAGGCCTTTGTCGTGGTGGCGCCAATGCAGCAATCTTCTCGAAAAGTGCTTGGTCGGCGCCTTGCTGTTGCTGAGCTGCTGATGGTGCCGCGGCCGCTTGCGGCGCAGCTGCGGTTGCTGGCGTCTGAGCCGGAGCAGAGATGGCAGGAGCTGCACCAGTAGCCGTTGGTTGTAATGGCATAGCGAGTAGAGCCAGGTCATCATTCATTTTCGGCTGAGGGGCAGGCGCTGCTTTCAGTGGCTCGGCGACAGGCGCTGAAGCATTCATGACCGCAGCAGCTGCTTGCGTCCGCGCAGGCTTCACATCCCAAGCGTCATCGTCAAATCCACCAGTAGGTTGCCTGGCTGGCGCGCCTGCAAGTGCTGTAGCTCTCCCTTCGCTCGGTACCTCTCTCTTCGCCGAGCCATCAGCTCGCTTGAATGCAGACTCGTCGACCACATCATTAGTCTGAACAGGCGGCGCGGGCCGTCCTTTTCGTGTATTATTCCTCAATGCTCCGCCCGGCCCACTAAGCAGTCCACTTCCGCTACCGTTGACGGGCGCAATAGAGTCGTCCTGCTGCAAACTCGGACTCAAAGGTCCAGCGCCAGCTTTGTGTGCCCGTCCATACTTCGCATCCAAGGACTTCATGACCCGCAAGATATCGCCTTCCTTCAATCCTAGCGTTCGCAGCAATTGCTCATTGACGTCTGGTAAAACCTCAGGACCCATTTGATCCCTGCTGAAAGCACTTGCATATCGCTCACAAATCTGAGGATTGACGCCACAAGACAAGAAGAAATCGAACCAGTCGTATCCACTATCCTTCTGAATTGTCGCGCCAGCTCCTGTTTCATTCGTCCTGCGATCCGCTTCCTTCTTCCTCATCGTACTTTGGCGCTTGATCTCACTAAGGGGCTTGTCCTCGTCGAGAGATTTGCCAGTAGCAGCCTCAACGTACTCCAGATCTTCAACAGCCATTTTGCTGACCGGCACCGCGATCTTGACGCCGTTGTTCTTGTGCAAGTGGATCTTGCCGTCGCGTAGGCCAATGAACTCAGCTTCAACTTTGAAGGTGCCAGATCGATCGGTCCAGGTCCTGATGCGCGCCTGATTGGGTTTGCTCTTCGATGCGCCGGAGTCCTTGGATGGTCGCTTCTGGTCATTGCTCGAGCTCCTGCCATGCCGCCGATTGTTTCCACCAGCAAGCGAAGACTCTCGCTCAGGAATGCCAGCCGAATCACGACTTTGATTATCCTTGGCAGCTTGCCTCGCCAGCCGTTCCTCTTCCGCTCGGTTCTGATCGACCGTACTTCGTGCAGCATTAAGACCAGATATGCTGTCATTCGGTCCAGACAAGGTTCCGGTGATCTCGACGTATGAAGACGGTACTACACCCTCCTTGCCGTTCTTCATGCGCCTCACTTTCCACCACTCTTCGCTCGCTCGGTCATCCAGCACAATGACTTCGTCGTCGACAGCCACCGTCACTTCATCCTCTCCCTGCGCCATGAATTCGTATAACATCTTGCCCTTCTTCTGCCCACTTCCTGCAGTCCCTGAGCTTGCTGCCAGGACTTCGCGTAATCCCTCCTGCCGCACTGCACCCGCCAGATCACCAAGCTGTGCCACAATCTCCTGCGCCGTATCCTTTGCTCCGGCGTGAAAATCTACGCTCTTACTAGGCCTCACGAGCTCCACGAAAACGTGCTTGCCTTCGATACTGTAGTGTGTCAATTTCTCTGCCGACCATTCCTGACTCGGTCCGTCTCTGCTCTTTTCCGGCGAGATCATGATCATGCCGCGTGCAATGTTTATGCCAAGAGTGGTAGGCATCTTCTTGTTCTTGCCCATATGCGAGATCATCTCGTGAACGTTGTAGAGGTGGAAGGCACCAGGCGAGCGCAGGTTGTCGAATTCATCATCGGCAGGTGTAAATCCTGCTGGCGAGTATGAGCCAGTGTGTCGGTTGTATGGTGGCGAAGGCTGCACACCAGGAGGTTCTTGAAAACGCGGCGAAGCGTGCTGGGTGGGTGGAGGTGAAGGTAGAGCTTCTGATCGTGGCCGTTGTGGCATGGGAGGGGCCAGATCTTCCTCACTTTCTTCAGGAGTGTACTGTGGTCGTGAAGGAAGTGGTGGAGAAGCAAGACCGCGATCCATACCGAACGATTGCTGGCCACCGCCTGTCCTTTGCGCGATTATGCCAGCCAATGCTGCCGCTGGGTTGTGACCTGCAGGCTCGGGCGAAGGTGTTGGTGCCATGCCAGGATCTGGACCAGGGTAGTCTGCTTCGCCAGGTAGAGGCTCGTCCATGGCCATTGGTCTGGAAGGCATTGGTGGAGGCGCAGCGAGCTCTCTTTGCACGCGCGGCGGTGATGGCAGTGATGCCGCTGCAGCAGGTACCGCGGATGCTGATGGTGCTGATGCGCCTGCCGTTGCTGCTGTCTTTTCGATATAAATCGCAGGTGCAAAGCCATATTCTCCGTTGCCTCCGACAAGTGTCCAATCCGGATCGCTATCATCAAACACGTCGAGTCTCTCCTCATCTTTGAAGCTCAGCTCTTCGTCCGTCTGGCGGGTATAATCATATAGAGCCTTGGCCTTGTATAATGGCTGTATACTCTCCACGTAGTTGTTGGGCACGAGCCCCTCCGGCTCCTCGTCATCGTCCGAGGCAGCCTTCTTCTTGCACTTCCACCAGTCGTCATCGCTGCTCTTCTCCAGTATGAAGAGTAGGTCGCCCTCCTTGATCTCTAACTCCTCCTCCGACTGCGGCGCATAGTCGTAGACGGCGCGGCAGACATCTACGAAGACCATGGCTGTGGTAGTACCCGAAGCTGTGAGTATTACGCGGCGATAGACATATATACGTGTCTGCCTTCAGTGGTAGACGGCAGAATAGAATGCTTGGCGAGCTCGTGGCAGATTAGTCTGGCGAGGGTGCCACTTGCCAGTGAATAACGTGAGTGCGTGGCGCGTCGCTGACAATGTACCGAGACCAGGGCGTTACTGTCTCACGGAGTAGCAGTAGTCGAAGAGGCTGACAGTAGGGTTAACGGCGAGAGACATAGCATCCCTAATAGTTGACCACTGGAGTTGCTGCGCTCGGGCGTCATCTCCGCAATGACCATCCGCTGCACGTGCTTTCCGCGCGGCAGCCGATCTTCGATGCATGCATGTTATCAGGTAACAGAGGCTTCCTCTCTTCTCATCATTATTATTGTCATGGTACTCGCTCTATCGGCAATACCGCAGAGTTCTGTGACTAACTCATTGACGTGAACATGCAGTCTTGGTAATGCTACACTGGATCGAGTCCGGCATACTGTAAGAAGAAAGCCCGCAGCATAAAGGCGCAATCGAGGCTTGCGCATATGTTGGGTCCAAGTCATCCATTTACTTCCGGTGCAGCTGTGGAACATCCCATACTCAGTGTCACCAGGCACTAAATGCTACTTCACATCTGGTACTGGAGTGTATGCTTTATCTTCATGCTTGCAAGATAATATGCTAGGCCCACTTTAGTGAACAGTCGACCAAGCCTGTGAGTATCGGAGTTGTCCTCTGGTGTTCATATCTCACCATGGTCGTGCTCCTTCAACGATCCTCGACGGAGGTTGTAACGAGTGTCCAAGTAGCATGAGGCCTTCACCTATCCTATTCAATGCTGCAGCGATCTGAGGGACGAGCTGTTTCGGGAAGGTCAGAGGTTCCCAATTCCTGCCGATTGAAGCCAGTGATCGCAAGAATGATGAAGAAATCATTGCATCGTGCTGGGTGGCGATAGGCCGCAATGTGCAGCTCTGGGGGCGCAGCAACATCTTAGTGTAAGAGGCCGAAGACTTTGAGCACGCAGGTACTGATAGAAGAGGGTACAAGAGGTTGGATGCGGGTATTAAGACTGTTGCCCTACATGCTCACGTTTCGAAGCTAAAACAATGTTCCTGAAGTGTGATCGCAGAAGTCCAAAGAACGAGCGGAGCACGCTCCGCGAAACATCTCAAGCGTGGACTTCTGCAACGGAACAGAGAACGATGGAAAGCAGAGATCGGACGTTGGAAGCAAAATGAGCTCGCTTTGTATTGGATGCGGGATCAGCTTGTTGTACAATCATCATGGGTTTGATCCGATGAATGGGTGTAATGGCTCTGTCTCACGTAACGAGTTCCTCGGTCTCGCCCTGCTGGCGTTTTCTTTGGTTCGCCGCTCGGCATCTCATGCTTGGTCTAGCGATAGACGACAGCTCCAAGAGCCCTATCGAGCGGTCCTGCACCCGTGGGCAGTACTGCAGAGCTCCGAACATTTCCTACCACGCACGCTTCCTGCTGATACAGCGCAGATCACTGCCACTCCTCCCAGCGCCACCAGCCCTCTCGTCCATGCCAATCCAATCTATCGCTCATACTAGGCAGCAGCCTTCTTCTTCTTATCCTCCACTTGCTCAATATTGTCCTCCGGGATCTCCTCATGATTCTCCTGCAACCAGTCAAACACATCATCGCTCACATCCCCCTGCACCGTAATCTCCTCCCCTCCCGCCGCCGTCTTGGTCACCGAACTGCCAGTAGCAAATTTCTTCCCAAACTCCTTTGCAATCTTTTTCAGGTCTAGCCCGAACTGCTCGAGCCCAGAGACTTCGGTCACGTATTTCCGTTTGTTGCGCTCGACGCGTTTGATGATGATCTTGGAGGCGGCGCGGCGTTCGGCTTCTCGTGACTCGGCGGCGACGGCTTTGGCGGCTTTCTTCTGGGCGTCCTTTTCTGCACGTTTTTGGGCGTCGACGGAGAGGTTGCTTAGGCCTTCTGCTGCCGCGTCGGTGGAATAGAGTTTGGAGTGCAGGTCGGGATGTTTGCTTTCGAGCCAGTCGGCACATTTCTTGGTTGTGCCGCCGTACTCACAGTACTGTCGTCAAGCATCAAGGTCAGCATATCTGCTTTTCTCTACTCGTAGGACTGTGGGTGTGAGTTGTTGGATTCCGTACCTACTTCTGGTGGAAGCGAGCAGTTGCCGCAGTAGAGCACCTGCTTGGGTGGACGGGGGGTGGCTGTCTCGGCCATCTTTGGCAGAGCTCGAGACTTCAGCAGTTGTATTGTGGTATTTCTATCGAATTACGAAGGATAGTATCAGTATTGTAGGTAGTAGTGTGGAAAGACCATTCATTCCATTCATCTCATGGTGGGGTTTGGCGGGGACATGTGACTCGAGGGTTTGCACGAGTCATGTCGGTATGTCTTGGCGCGCTGACAACGATGGTCGGTCATCACATTAATGTCGATGGCTTACGATCATCATCCGCTCTGCTTGGTACTCTCGTGTGCCACAAGTTGTACCTGCATGATGCCTGAGTTTGTGCCTCAAAGTATACGGTGGTCTGCGTGTTCTGATGGTGGTACACAAGACATCAGGCTGTCGATAGGAGCGAAAGGGTGATTCCATGGCAGATGCGAGCAAGGCATACCTTCTTTCTCCTGTCGCTGTCGACAGTACTCACGAGCATAGAGCACACCAGCCAATTCAGCTAGCATTAGCCATGGAGAACGACGGTCATGGCCGTATTCTGTCGCAGCTTGCAATTTTCGATACAACACCGCCGCGATGCTCCCAGCTTCACTTAACTAGCACTGGTCATCACTCCAAGGTCATATAGCTCTTTGAAGCAATTTGGACTGGTTCTGCCCCTCTACAATAATGACTATTGAGAACCCGAGGTAGAGAGAAGCTATGCAGCTGATGCGGGGTGGACAAGTATATGCTGTGAGAAAGTGCTCATGGGACAGAGAGACAACCAACGCAGATGAATGCCGACAAAGCCAGGAGCGAAGGAAACGAGAGCACAGAGCACCACAATGAGTCCTTCGGCAACCATTCGACAATTGCTGCAGCCTCACATCCGCGATTGCGAAGATCACATCAACCATGACCTGGACTTTCGGGCCTGCTCCAAGAGCGAAAACTGCACCTTCAGCATCGTGTCTTCTGATAATCGCTCCGAGCCAATAATCATCAACATCCAACAAGGTGAAGCCAGTATCCTGACGGACTGCCCACAAGTACCACCCTTCGGACTCTGTGCCAGAGCGGAGCACTGGCACGCTTTCTTCACCCAGCCACTCGTGCGTCCATATCAGTCTTTCTGGGGTATGCTACGAGTGTTGGGCGAGCACGAAGGCGTCAGCGTGACTGGCGATCAAGAAGCTTTTGGTCGTTATGCTCGACTGTGGAGACTCGTGCTCGACCGAATGCGTGACGCTGTCCACGGCAAACCTGTACGAAAACGTCTCGATGAGCCACCAGATGATGAAGTGATCGAAGAGGATGCCGTCGTGGGCAGATATGTCTGGTTGACGACGACAGCGTACGGCAGAGTCAAGGTCTACTATGAAACCGCGGGAAACGGACCCCAAGATATCCTGTTCCTGCATACCGCGGGCTCTGACTCCCGCCAATACCACTCCCTCATGAACAACCTCGGGCTACAGAGCAGATGTAGAATGTACGCCTTCGACCTCCCAGCTCACGGGAAATCCAGTCTCGGCTCGCAGCAGTCAATAGGCGACTACGCACTCACAGAAGAAGCCTACATCGGAATCATCGCCAAGCTAATAAACCACCTCGAGCTCCGCAACGCCATCGTTTGCGGTGCCTCCATGGCCGGCCACATCTGTCTGGCCCTCGCAACCCGAGCCCGTGAACTAGATATCCGCGGCGTGATCCCCTGCGAAGCCTGCGAGCACTTACCTGCCACGGCACCCATCTACGACCTCCGAGGAGCCGATGCCTCGCTCCTCGACCCGGAGCGTGTACTCGGGATGTGCGCCCCTACCTCACCCGAGTACTTCAAGCGACAAATCTGGTGGCAATACAGTACCCAAGGCCACGGAATCTTCGCCGGGGATCTGAAATTCTATTTCAAAGGTTGGGATGGAAGAGGGAGGATGGAAGGGATAGATACACAGTTCTGTCCGGTCTATATGCTTACGGGGGAGTACGATTATAGCTGTACTATTGAGGCTAGTCAGGCGACGGCGGAGAAGATACCTGGGGCCAGGTTTGAGGTTATGGAGGGACTTGGGCATTTCCCGTTGACGGAGGATCCTGGGAGGATGGTGCCGTATTTCATGAGGGCGTTGGAGTATATTCAAGCGCGGCGGGAAGGGTTCGAATGACATACGCCGCGGCAGTCTGCTGGGCGGTGTTTCACGCTCCTCCGTTCATGTGCCAGTCGTGCAAGCCAGTATATAGGCCGGTATAGATACGACAAAGCGAGGACGTTGTACGACGGGACGAGACGAATGCAATGGAGAATCCCATCTTGTGAGAAGCCGCCGGATATCCAAGCGTACTTCTTAATTCACCCAGATAAGACGCCAGTCCTCCGTGCTCAGTGATGTCGAAGGCGCCGTACATCGAGCACTCAACTAAGCTGCACGGAATCCTCACACAGTAGCCATGTTCGTGAAGTCCGCGAGCAAGTACTTGCAAACGTATGTATACCAGCAATCTTGGGAAGGAGACGGACGCCGTGCCTCTTCGAACCCAGATGCGTGCAATAGGGAGGGACGCAGGCGCCAGTGAGAGAGACATGGGGTTCGATAATCGCCGCGATTTGAGTCTATAGATCTACATCCTTGCCACACGCCCCAAGAAACCACAAGCTAGCGAATCCCTCACAAGCTCGTGTGGAGGCTTTCAAAGCAGAGGGCTTCGAAGCGAAGGAAACAAGAGACTAGCAAAAATGGCCAAAAACGATATGTATGCGTTGGGGGGGGGATGTTGATACAAAGCGTTCCCTCTCCTCCAGCTCCCGCCTCCTTCCCACCAACCATCAAAACAATAGGTTGTCTCCCTCAAAATCTCTCGGCAAAAGGTATCCAGGAACAACCGAACCCAGCCAGCCGAATACCGCCCATGCTACACCGGAAAACACCGACACTTCGCCACAAAAGCACCCAGGAGCCCCACAGACATCCCCATCAATCCTCCCTCCTATCCCCCTCCCCCTCCTTCTTCCCATCCTCCTCCTTCCCCTCACCACCCTTCCCCTCCTCCCCAATCCCCACCCCCGACCCCCTGCCCACCTTCTTAGTATACCTCCACTCCATCCACGCATCCTTCCTCCGCTCAAAAAACCCCCGATTCAATTTATAGCTCAACTGCCTATAGGCATACATCTCGCCCCAGCAATCCCTTCCCCACTCACAACCCGCCATGTTCACCAGGAAATCCCTCTCCAACTCCTGATAATGGATCCCCTGCACGCCGCACTCGCGCCGCACATCCTCTTCCAAGTGGCCCGCGGGAGTGGTGAGGGGAAAGGGGCATTTCTTCTTCCCTCCACCGCCCCTTTTAACCTCCGGGACGCCTAGATCGTCCCCGCACGCGCCGTTGGGGAACGCGTTGACGAGGCGTTGCGGGATGAATCCCACGTGCGGTCGGATCCAGGGCTGATTGGTATAGATGTACTCCAGCGCGTCCTGCTCCTTGTGCTCCCACTCCATATGTTTCTGCTCGTAGAACACAGGATCCCACCAGATATCCAGTAGTCGATCCGTCCAGGAACTCCTCCTCACGAAGAAGGATCCGAGGTTAAACCCGCCGCAGTCTTGAGGCACGATCAGATTTATACTGGCTGGGTTGTTGTCGCCGGAGGCGGAGAGGGTGGTGGGGTCGAGGTAATTTGCGTATTTTGGTGCGTTGGGGTCGCCGGAGGTGCCGTTGGGCGGGTGTTGGATGTGTAAAGGGTTGAAGGTATTGATGTCGCGGTAGGTGGTGGTGGCGAGGTGGTTGAAGATGTGGTGTTGGAGGGAGTAAGAGGGCTCCATGATGAAGGTGTTCAAATCCAACCACCAGAACCTGTCGAACAAGAAAATTAGCACACCAATCTCTCTCCCCCCCCCCCACCCGGTCACGCAAGCTGTCATGGGTGTGGTTGTAGTCGATAGGAACTCACCACTCAGCCCCAGGATACTTCCGCATGGCATTCCGTATCACATCCACCTTCTCCCAGCTCTCACGCCACTCATGCGCATACCGCTTCTTCGTACTCATATCCACAATCTCCAACTCATACCCCCACTCAGCGGCATACTTTTTCTTATTTTTGACCGAATCGCGCTCGATCGCCCACTCCCTCGGCCCTTTCCATTCCATCACGCCGCCACCTTGGTTCGCGGCGAGGATGAGCACGAATTTGCTGCCGCCGCCGAGGAAGGAGGTGCGGCGGTAGGCGTATTGGAGGGCTGTAAGCATTAATATCAGAGTCGAGCATACAAAGAGATGATTTTGGGGATGGAGAGACATACGTTTGTGGAACCAGGCCAATACCCCCACGATCGCGAGTAGGATAAGAGCAACCCACTTCCTCCGCCTCGAAAGCAACAACCCAACCCGTCTAGGCAAATCCATCCAAGTCCCACCTACACCTCCACTCCCCCCAAGCCTCCCCCGCCCCAACTTCTCCTTCTCCGCAAACCGATCCTCCTGCCCACCATGCGAGAAATAAGCGGGTAAACTCTCACTCAACTTCCTATAATGCCGTCCAAAGAACCCCTGGTTCTGACTCTGATACGATGGATATCCGTTCACGCGCGCACTGTTGGCTTTGGCGTTGGCCCAGGATACACCACCACCACCGCCTCCTCCTCCTCCTCCTCCTCCTCCTCCCGTTCCGCCACCACCATTGAGATCACCATACCCTTTCCGGGGTTGCAGGTGCAGGGCTGGACTCCGTGCGCGGCCATTCATCCCACTACCGTTACTGCCATCGTGATCGAAAGGGCTGTTTAGACCCGGTGAGCTCCAGCCGCCGCCTCTGCGGGGCGAAGGGGAGCGGTCGAGAGACATGTGTGTAGCTTTCCCGCTGTTTCGTCCGCGATTATGGTCGTAGGCGCTCCATCCACCGACTCCTCCTCCTCCTCCTCCTACTCCTACTCCGTCCTCCTCCTCAATGTACGCCGTCGCACTCCCACTCCCGCTCACGGCGTGCGATGATGATGATGGTGGTGGTGAGGTGCCTCGGTATGGATGGTGATTGTGGTTGGGCGTGTTTTGGGTGGCGTCATGGAGGCCGCGACTCATGCGGCGACGGTGCTGCTGCTGTTGTGAGGTCGCTGCCTCGGCGCCGGAATGTGTGTACGCCACGGTTGATGTGCTGGGTGGTGGTGTTGTGTTTGATGGAAAGCTGTCTGTTCGGATATATTCAGATTTCCAAATCTAATCCTTGCGAAGATCGTGGACGGGTCGTGATTATGACTGGGCAAGAAGATACAGTCCACAGACACGAGTGGATATCGTCCGGGTGGTACAGATACAGAGATCCCGTGACAGTAACACCAGCTCCCTCTCCCTCCCCCCTTCACATGCACAACCCGGCCGGCAGTCCCGCCCAAAAAGAAATGGATATGGAACTAACTCCACTCCCCGAAAGACAATCTCACTCTGTCACTTCCCACGTGGATGGTGTCTCTCTCCCACACCCGCTACTTGGCCCAAACAGACCAAATTAATGATAATCTCCTATGCCTACGCAACAAACCAAGAGAGGGATGGAATTGCGCAGGCCTTATTTATCATGAAGACGATCAATGATTGGATGATTTCATCTTATCTACGGATAGAGGTCATGCCAAGCATCATGTATTATGTGGAATGAAGGGGCTAATAATAATAATAATAACCAAGAGATCTCAACTTCTCACCACCCTCGTCAACTGCATGCATCGACTCTCCCTTCTCACACCCTATGATCCATTGTATAGTGCAGGTGAAGTGGTGGAGGGATAAGATTGTCACGTAAGCTGATGCGTGCTGACCGTCAACAACTCTTGTTCTTGTTCATCCCGCTGAGCGCCACCAACTCCTCTTCCGTTGAACCTCCACCCCGTTGATCGCGATCGTGGCTTGCTGACTGACCGAATGGCGCCATACCCGATTTACCGATTCCGCAGAGCATTATTGTTATTCCAAGAACAGCTCGTGAGACACTTCTCCTTTCGGCTTGGCGCTGACTTCGTATCCTGTACTTCAGCTGCTACTACGGACGGCATCTCATAGCTGTGTCACAGTTCCTGTTAGCTGATGCAATCCGAACGCTTGTTGTGCTTTGGACCGCTGACCGCTCTAAATCTCTGTCTGTCCAGTACTTGTAGACTGCTCGATCGAAAAGTGACAGACTACACTGTGCATGCTTCGGCACGACGAACAGCCTCAAGCATTGCGCTATCTACGAACCCGATAACAAATCATCTCGCGCAACTCTATCGTCCACGACCTGCGTCTCAACCACAACACCGTCACCCCGTCTCGCTACTTCCTCAGGACCCACAACATCCACCTCCTCCCCCTCCTTCCCATCAAAAATCTCTCCCAACCCCACCCTCTCCATCAAATGCGGCACCCTCCCCGCCCTCTCCACCGTCCCCCTCAACTCCACCAACGCATCCCTCAACCCCTCCGCCTCCAACCTCCCCACCACAAAAATCCCCTTAGTAAACTGCGCCACATCCTTCATCACCCTCAGCCCCAACCGCTGACCCCGTAATTCCGCCAGGCAGTCTACACTATGTTCCGCCGAGTCGCCGGTAAGGGAGTGCTTGCACATATCTATTATTGTTGTCTCCTTGGTGTTGTTCAGGTGGTCTTCGAAGGTGAGGAGGGTGGTTTGGAGATGGTTGATTTGTTTGGATGTGGTGGCCAGGAGGGTGATGGTTGAGTAGGCAGTTGCATTGTTGTGGTGGAGGGTTAGGTTGTGGAGGTGGGAGAGGATGCGGCCTTCGAGTGTGGCTGGGGATAGGAGTGGGAAGATGGTTGTGATGGCGTGGATTGTCTTCATGACTGTTGGGCCGAATGCCTTGAAACGTTCCCGGTCCTTTGCCATGGCGCGTTGGAAGTCGTGGGATGAAATCCTGCCGAAGTCCGGATGGTCTAGGGCGAGTTGGACGCCGGGGATTGTGCTGTTGAGGGCGAGCGCGGCATACTTGACTTTGTCCGCACTGTGGCGTAGTTGCACAAGGTCCGAGTATTCTTCTCGATGCAGCCAGTCCGAAGTCTTGCTTGCGTTCGTTGCCACAGAGGCAAAAGTCGTTACGAAGTTTATCTCGAACAGTTCTGGAAAAGCCTTGTGTAGAGGCTCGTGATCTTGAACGGTAGCCATGGCGGGCGAGACGAGATCGAAGGCTGACAGAGTAGTTTGGATTGCGGCTACATTGCATAGTCCGGTCTTGGCGCATATTGTTCGGCTTAACCTGTCGATGACGGCTTGTCGTCCGAACATTGAGGTTTCTTGGTACAGCAGCCAAGCCCACATCGCCAAGGTGGAGAGAAGCAGGAGTAGAGCAGAAAGGGAGGAAAGGATCTGTGCGACCTTTTCAGCGTGTCGATTTACATATGCTAGGTCTTCACACATGATCCGCCATGCATTCTTGGCAGTATTCTTTGCTCCATGGTAGTCGAACTCCACCTGGACTAGGCGAGTGCGCGAGACGCCTCGTGGTCCGGTCTGCTGTGTGACGGTGACTACGCTTTGCGATCGGCTTCGTTTGCGCTGGCGTATCGAAGTCGAAGTTGACGATCGTGACGAGTTTCGTCCGCGCGATAGGCTTCGCTCTCGTGGCGCAGGCATGGCGATGAAGGGATTGTAATGGGGTACAGAGGATTGCAGTGAAGAGTACATTTACTGCTAGAACTCACGACGAGGCATGTAGACCTCCTGCTTTTGCATCTCAAAGGGATGTGCTCGATCTCCGGAGCCGGCACACATACATTCCAGTCCTGGCTTTGTCCATTGTGTGTTCAGTAACGGCCTAAGCCTGACTGCATTGTCATGTCGACAGTGTTTTCATGCCGTCCAGTACGCCGATTAGTAGTACGCGATGGCTTCTTGGTCTACGTGAGATGATGGTCGTCTGCATGGTCTCTACCTTGGCTTTGTTACATTGCAGTTCATCGCCCGGCTTCTTGCATCTAGCGAAAACTGATGCCGTGCTTGAGGCCAACGTTCATGTGCTTTGCATGAACCCTATCAGAGATCTTACCTACAGTGCGTTCGAGCTTGATATGTCTTGGGGATTGTCAGCATCGCGATGCGGTGTATGTCAAAAGAGACGGAGCTATTGAGGAACGCATTCATCTCGTCCAGCAAGATAGCGAGCTAGACCATTCTTGGCTGGTCATCACGTGACGTCATTTGAGACGCGCTTGGACCACGAAACACACACGACGTCTGTCGAGGCACATGCACGATCTATGATCAGCTTCAGCCAATGTGTGGGAGTCTAGGGATGAGCGTGAGGTGTGGCGATGTTTCGGAAGCCGAGAGAAGCAGTAGAAGATCCACGACTGCTCCCATCGATAGGACGGCCTCCAACGCCACCCGACACTCCATACAAGACGCCCTTCAGCCTGGCTGTTCCACCCACTGTCCCGGCGCCAAAGATGGCAGTCAAGACGAGAGCTGCGCCTAGACAGACCCCCGTACCGACTATTGGGCGACAAGGACCATCCAGTAGTGCCAAGAAGACGACAGCAGCGCCCAGAATCAAGCCTAGTGGCAAGCCTAACACAAGCATATTGAGCTTCTTCAAGAAGTCAGATGGGCTATATGAGGAGCCTGCATTGTTTGTCGAGGAGCGGAAGAGGTCATTGCCAGTGGAGGACGTGGAGAATCGCACTCCGTCCCCAGCGAAGCAGGATGTGTGGGAAGATGAGGAGAGGTTCAACGAAAGCGGCGGCTCAATGAAGAGGCAGAGAGTGGAGACCTTCGGTGAGACGGTCGATGAGACTAGAGTCGAGCCGAAAGATAGTCCTATGACAAGCGACAAGACTTCTCGTACGAAATCTGGTCCGTTCATGGAGGAATCAGACAGTGAGCAGGAGGATGAGCAGCCGGCAGTCCTTACACCTGCGGAAGGTGCCGCCGAGCCCATCCATGATGAGACTGCAGCTGCCAGTACGGCGACCTTGGATGGAGCGGTGCAAGATGCAGACGATGATGTTAAGACTTCGTTGGACAGTGCACGACCACCACTCATCAAAGAGGAGACAAGTTATGGTGGCGGCTCGGAGGAGTTCAAGGACTTTGAGGGCATGGACGACTTCGATGAGGATCTGTTTGAGGAGGGTGATGAGTTCATGGAGAGGCGGTATGCGGAGGAGCAGGCTCGACTGGAAGAGGGAGAAGACGAGAAGGACTATGATCCTACACCAGAAGGGCATGGCGATGTTCTTGTCAAGCAAGAAGATCCAGACGAGGCAGCATTACCACTGGTCGGCGGAGCGTCCTGCCCTATCTGTAGTGCCAGCCTTGCTGGAATCAGCGAGCAGGACGCAGGTGTGCATGTCAACAATTGTCTCGACGGCAACCCCACGCCACTGCCAGAGAAGAAGCCGCCAGCTGCTAAGGCAACGTGGTCTATATCTGATAGAGCCATCAAGACAGAGAACACTGCCTCCGCTGCTCAGTACAGAAGACCACAACGAGCGCCCAAACCTGGTCAAGCAGATCCCCTCGATTACGGCCAGACGACTAGCGCAGGCGGTACAGCGTTCAACAAGCTCATGTCTGGTCACGCCGAAGATGCAGCATGGGCCGAAGCAGCAGCATCTGAGCATGCATCTCGCGGCAAACCTGCATACCAGCGGACGTGTCCCTTCTACAAGGTCATGCCTGGACTTTCGATCTGTGTCGATGCCTTCCGCTATGGTGCCGTGCAAGGCTGCCAGGCATACTTCCTCAGTCATTTCCACAGCGATCACTACATTGGTCTGACCAGCTCGTGGAGTCATGGACCTATCTACTGTTCACACGTCACTGCAAATCTGGTCAGACAGCAGTTACGAGTTGACCCGAAGTGGGTGGTAGATCTCGACTTTGACGTGCCTATGGAAGTGCCGGGCACCAAAGGCGTGAAGGTGACGATGATCAACGCGAATCATTGCCCAGGCTCTTCACTCTACCTCTTCGAGAAAGTGGTCGGAAAGAAGACGAACGGGGAGCCACGACTGCAACGTATCCTCCACTGCGGCGACTTCAGAGCTTGCCGAGCACATATACAGCATCCGCTTCTCATGCCAGACGTCCAGGACAAACTTACAGGCAAGACGAAAGAGCAGAAGATCGACGTCTGTTACCTCGACACCACGTATCTGAATCCGAAGTATGCTTTTCCGAGTCAACAGAATGTGATTCAAGCTTGTGCGGACATGTGTGTGAGTCTCAGCAAACACAGCGTAGACGAAAGCGATGGATGGGAGCAGATGAAGCGCCGGCGAGCAGGAGAAGGCATGGTGAAATTCGTACGCAAAGAGTCAAGCTCAGCCATCAAGGAAGAAGACTTGGAGGACGAAGGCGACGACGACGACAAGACCAACATGTCCCTCCTCCGCAACCCGGCTGCAAGCCAACAAGTCTTCACCACATCAACCACACCTGACACCAGCAAGGGCCGAGGACGTCTGCTGGTAGTGGTGGGTACCTACAGCATAGGCAAAGAACGGATCTGCCTTGGGATCGCCCACGCTCTGGGGTCGAAGATCTTTGCTCCTCCATCCAAGATGCGGATAGTGTCTGCACTCGAGGATCCCGAGCTAGATGCTCTCATGACCACCGATCCACGAGCGGCACAAGTCCACATGACGCCGCTGTTTGAGATTAGAGCCGAGACACTGGATGACTACCTGAAAGACTACTTCCCTCACTTCACCCGAGCAGTAGGCTTCCGGCCTTCGGGCTGGAACTACCGCCCTCCAACATCTCGATTCTTAGAATCCCCATCCGTCTCTACAGTCCTCAACGGCGATAATTGGAAAAGCAACTACAGCATGAAAGACCTCGTACCCCAACGTGGCAGCACGAGCCGAGCGAGCTGTTTTGGCGTCCCTTACTCAGAGCATAGCTCTTTCAGAGAATTGACGATGTTCTGTTGTGCGCTCAGGATCGAGAAGATCATTCCGACGGTCAATGTGGGCAGTGCGAAGAGCAGGGATAAGATGAAGAGTTGGTGTGAGAGGTGGTTGATTGAGCGGCAGAAGAAGGGGGTGTGGAAGTTGCCTGAGGATGGGAGTTGGTGATGGTATGTACGTATGAGTGATGTGCATATGTACACCGCTGAAATGATGCCTCGCTTTCCAGCTCGAGTGTTTGTCTCATATTGTGTGCCCAGTGAATTCGTTGTACAACGAGTCGAAGAGGGCACGTGATCATCTCTGCGGCCAGCCGTTCCTTCCCAAAGTGACAAGCTTGAATCACGCTAGCAGGTACTAGCGCGTTTGGCTGACTGCTTGTACATAAAATGAAGCTCGGCCTCATCTTCTCAACCAGAACATAGTCTTAAATCCACGACATCAGCGGGCTCAACACGGCCTCACAAATCGATCAGAATAGATGCTACCTCATGAAGCTGGCACCCGAGCTGCGCTTGAACATCTACGATGCTCTTCTCGAGACGTCGCCAAAGTCGGTGGGCTTGCGCATGTGGGCCGAGGGCACTCTTTGTGCATCCATTACCGAAAGTCATCGTGGCACGGGAGACGATGCAGTTGCTTTAATGAAGTGTTGCACACAAGTCCATTCCGAGATGGCACTTGTGCTAAGGAAGCGGCTCTCCTTCACCGTGCTCCTCTTCAGCGAGCCACAACCCGCCCACAATTTCCTCGACTTCAAGGAAGTCAGCGACGCAGTACTTCGCGTACCCATCAAAAGCGTCAGCATCTCGATCTGCATCCAAGGCAAGGCTGGATGTGAGGCCGCGACTCCCAACATTCGCGCCTTGGCCGCTGTTCTAGTCTCTCCGAAGAATCTCACGATCACCAAGCTCGACGCCAGCGACACCAACATCAGTCGTTCTGCACTCGAGAATCCAGTCGTGGCTACGGCATGCAAAGCTTTTAAGGCGTTCAGAGTGGCGGACAACCTCATGTTCCGCTGTTGGGGCACTGAATCTGAAGTTTTGGGTTCGGGAACACCAGTACTACGGCAGGGAGGAGGTTTTCAAGTGGGAGGAGCTGGTGGCGAAGTTGGCCTGATGACTGAGGTAGGCATTCACGTTGAGCTCAGGGCACAGATGCAGGACGAAAGTTCTGATGTCAGGACGAGAGAGGCGGTAGTGCGTGGGTTACATCGTCCCAATGTCAGCTCCAAAAGTACCTATGCTAGTTCTATCGCGGCCGTCAATGAATTGCGCTTTCAGCTGCTTGTACAATCTCATCATATGCGTCAAGCCGGATAGAAACAAGGGATCCATTTCAACCCCGTCATGGACCGTGCACACCAGGTTCGTGAATAGCAGATGATACAGTCTTCCTATGCTGGCCTCCAGGATCAGATGGTCGACCGTGTCATACTCTGTGATGTCCTGCTCCAGGTCCTCCATCTCCTGTAGATATGCTTCGCACCAGAACCTCTGCTCCTGGAGAGTTGGTGCCGGATAGCCAGTGAGTTGTGTGTCCGGGTCAATGTAGCAGTACATACGCTCGTTGAAGTGACCTCCGATATCGAATCCGCGGTAGCTCCATGAGAACGTTTCGTAGTCGATGAGCATGACTTGACATTCGCTCTCGTAGTTCTTGACCAGGACGCTGAGGTGGTTACTATCGCCGTGTGTCATGGTCTCCTCGCAGTCGTGCTTCTCGAACATTTCAGCCACCCATTCGAGCTCATGGGTCCAGTCAGTCTCGCGGAAGATTGCTGCATATTCTCGGGCTCTCCGATCGGCCACAACAGATAACGCTTGCAAGACTGCCTCGCGCTTCTCACGTATATTCACGATGAATTCTTGTTTGACGACCTGAAAGCTATCGCGCGGGAATGCTAGTCGTAGGGAATGTATTCGTGCATAGCTACGAGCAACATCTCGTGCAATAGCTGGTTGCGTACATTCTGATGCGTTCAACATATGTGCATCGATGTACTCCTCCAAACGCCCACCATCGAAGAAGCCATAGAGCTTCGGACCCCAATCTCGAGGTCCCATCTCCCAAAAGACGATGGATTGATCTGTAGCTGATAAAGTGACGCTATCTCCCTCAGGATCCTCGCAACTCTCGAGTTCGCTGATCTCCTCAGCGTGGCCGAAGTGCCGTATCAGTACAGCGGCTGGCTCTAGGATGGCACTATTGTTCCGCCGCACCAATTGTAGGTTGTTGATCAGCCCGTTGGTGAGGCGGGTGATACTGACATTGTCGATGGATGTATTGGCCCATTCTTCCCGGAACCATCCAGATACGAGGCTGAGAGCATGAGCTGCACTTAGCAAGGGCTCGGTAGTAGTCTGGGCATTCGCCATACTTTCGTCTTCAGACCAGAAAGCTTTGGCAATGCGTCAAGGGGACGTTGACGGTGGCTCGAGGGGTATAAATTCTACAGCCAGTACCCTCGTCGGGAGCAACCTACCTGAAAGGCAATGGCACACCTGCATCCGGACAGTGAGGGCATCCAAGAAGACGCCACAAATTTTCTCGGCAGTGTGAGCTCACGAGCCGTTTTCATTGAGACTTGAAGGATGGCCAGCAATCACAAGATGGTATACCGTTCCGTGCAAATCAATGATAGAAATGCTGGCCATGGCAGCGCGTTTTTATTGCCGCCGCCACGCCCCATCGAGTCACACCATCGAGGATTACTCACCACAATTATCATCATCAAGATGAGTAGTAGTGACGGGTACAGCCCATAAAATGGTGAGCCTTCGAACTTTGATTGCAGTCATGAGAAGGTGCGAGAATGTAGAGGTAGAGGTAGGCACCGTGACATTGCTTCCAGATCTCTTTGGCCTTCCATCAGGACCTTCTAATGCCCTAACGGTGATGTACAAAGTAATACGATATTGACGAGAATCTTCGCCGTCGTCGTCGTCGTCGTCGTCGTCACCGGCTCCCCGGACGCCGATCCCGCCTCCTTCTTTACATCCCCGACGCTGACATTGATATTGTCCGGATTTCCGCCATCAACGTTTTGACGATGTCTATATCAGTGCTCATACGTCTGCTAAAAAGGTGAGACACGGGTCAAGTACTCTCTCCGTTTATCCTAGCCATTCTTGCAGTCTTCCACAACACCATGTCTACCAGATCATTCCTCGACAAATTGACGGGCAAGAAGGAGCAAACTATTACCAAAGAGGATTCAACCAAGCGCCCAACCTACGATCAGCTAGCTACAACGGCCAAGAGCTTCATCCTTGCTACCTCCCCGAAGACAGCAGGAGGCAATGAACCCGATCACGATCGCTTCCTATCTTTCTGCGCCCAGAACTTCACTCACAGTTGGGGCCACAAACACTTCGTCAGCACAGCACCAGGTGTTCAGGGCATCATAGACGGCAATGGCTTCCTGGAACGCATGGGCAAGCTATCTGGAAGAATGAAGACATGGACGATAACGCCTACTGAGACCCTGGTGGACGTGGAAAAGAAGATGGTGGCAGTGAGAGCAGATTTTACTATCGTGATGTCGGGACACGAGCATGAGGCAGTAGTCAACGATATTGTGTGGTATGTGACTATGGATGAGAGTGGTGAGAAGGTCGTGGACAGTAGGGAGTTTATCGATCCGATGGCTGGCAAGGCTATTGCGGAGCAGATGCAGAGCGCTGCTACAGCATCGACCTGAGCTAAGATTGGAGATCATGAGGACGGCGAACCAAGATGCGACGGATCTGAGGTCGACCACGTCAGCGTGAGCGCATGTTGGAAAAGTACAGTCAGGCGAAAATGTTGGTGGAGTCAGTATACACTATAAAGTGGAAATAGAAGCTAGATGAGCACATTTGCATCTGCGCGCACTGTGTGCACACTCGCCTCCTTCAGCAACTCCGATCACGTCGAGCACCCACCGTCTCGAGACTCACACGAGCAAACTCATTGCCACGACTTCTTCCGGCAAACAGGAACCATGCCAGCAAGCGAACAGCAGGGCAAAGTCATGACGACGCCTGCGCCCAGCATTGCCGGGTTCTCAGGCCATCAAGGTGTAACAGGCCAGAATCAGTTCAACAGTCAAGGCTTTCATTCTACAGCGGCCATCTCCTATCCGGCACGAATTCCAACGATCAGTCGATAGTAATTGACGCGGTCACCTCCCTGATCAAAAGGACTGAGTCCATCGATCAAGACCATGCTTGGGTAATTGACAGGGCAGTCGGAAGATGGTCGAGAAGAGATGCAAGCCGTCTTTACGAGTGGTGAGTCACTAAAGGCAAAGCTCAGACTGTCAACAATGAGAATATATTGAGCCATGCTCCCTGGTCAAGACGTGTGCATTGAGCTCTATGGATTTCTTGGTTGTTATAGTGTCATAGCTGGTGGTTGGGTCATTGCTTCAGCTGGGCGGCTGTCCTGTGGTCACTCAAGATGGAACATAGTCTGAATAGCCAAGAAACTTGGACGTGAGGTCTCTCTCCTGGCTTCACTGTGTATTTTCCATTTTAAGTGTAAAGCCGAGGACGTTACGCTCGTGAAATGCCCCGAGGCCCACGACAAGTCTCATCTCTCAAGTTGTGTTCGAGATAATAATGGAGCTCGTATAGAAGTGCCAAGACGCCAATGACAAAGGGCCGGCAAGCTATCCGTAGCGGCGGACAAGGCGGACACTAGAGCCTTCGAATGCGGGGTCTGCGTGAATGTGTATCGGCCAGACTTGTTGGCTCACTTTCTTTGGCGGCGGTCCGAGCAGTATACGAGAGTCAACACCAGCTCTCTGCAGTAGGGAGTCGACAATCAGACGAGGCCACTCACTGAGAAGCAACAAGTGTGCTGGGACGAGGAGAACGAAGGGCTTCAGGCCACGTGAACAGGCCTCGCTTTCACTACCATCCGCTTTATCGTTCACTGTCAGCACCAACAAGGGACGTTTCCATCGGGAGCTCGTGGTCAGCTACTACATTCACATACCCATCCTGATCGACTATCACGATGGGCATGCTTTGCATGAAGTGGTAGGCCGCCCTGGCAGCGTGCCTTCGGGCACTTCTGAGGTGGAAAGTGGACTGCTCACCGCATCGGCACGTGCAATATGGCAGAAGATGATGTTCAAACCCAGGCCGCTCTAGCTATTCCTCCAGTGGTAGCAGCGCTACGGGGGGCAGCTGGTCGTGATGGGGCTGACAGGACGCACATGGAAAGGACGATCAGTATGGATATTAGGGAAGAGAGGGAGGACCTGAAGAGGGCCGCGGAGCAGTCGACTAATGCCATTCTGGAGCTTGGGTTGGATCATAGTGTAAAGTGGGTCAGTCCTTCGTGGCAGGATTTGACTGGTATGCCGGCACAGGATGTGATTGGCAAGCCGATCGCGGAGTTATTGGCTGAGAATACTGGTGTGTTTGCCGATTGCATTGAGGCAATCAGGAAAGACGACTCGAAAAGCAGGATTTTGAGATTTGCTGTGAAGGCTCCTGAATCTCGAGTGAGTGGAGATGCTGCTTCCGCAGATGAGAAGACACCCGTCGAGCCGAAGGAGATGCATTATGGGCCGGATCCAAATACAGCAGAAGCAAGCAGCTTAGGTACTACAAGTCCTACTGAGATGGAGGACGTCACCCAAGCTATGTCCAATGTAGAGATTGGTCCTTCGATCACGCAAGCAGAGGAGTCGGCCGAGAGTCAAGAAGTCATCGAGCTCGAGGCCCAGGGTATCATGGTGTATGACCGGACGACTGGCGAAGAAAGCCACACGATGTGGATGATCAAGCCTGCAGTCTCTCGTGAGATCACCATTGATCTGCCAGATGTGCTTGTTGAGTCGCTCGGCATCGGTGCGGAGATGCTCGCCAACTACCTTACCCTACTCGCGGAGGTGGGTGCTCAAGATCCCGAGAACCATCCGCCTCCACTGCCTGTGCTTTGCCGTATTTGCGAGCGCCAAATCACGCCATGGTGGTTCGAGAAACATACCGAGCTGTGCTCGCAGGAGCACAGAGCTGAGATGGAAGTGCAGCTGGCTCAAGAGTCGTTGCAGGAGCAGCGATCTGCATTGGTCAAGGTGCTCGATGCGCTAGAAGCACATGCCAGACTATCTAAGAGCCCCCCAACAGACTCCGGCTCACCCATACCTGCTCCACGAGCGGAGTACAAGGGCCTGCCGATCGGGCCATCTTCTCTACCAACCTCAAATCCATCATCTGGTCGTTCCTCGCCAGCCATGCCGCCTACTCGATCTCGAGACTCATCATCGAGTGGACTCAGCCATCACCGTGCTCGCTCATTCGCAGTGAGACGTCCTTTGGCACGTATCGTGGAGCTTGTGCTTGATCTCTGTGATACCACTATGGAGATCAGCACGCCATCGATCAAGGACTCGAAATCCTATGCACCTGGCGAGATGCGGACACAGTCGCCGCAATCTGAAGGGCGCATACAGCAAGTCTTGCAATGGCAATCACCGAGTGCTAGTACGCTTGAGAACGAGCAAGGTCTCGCTTTGTTGTGTGATGAGACTTCACAGCTTGCACGCACGAAAGTTGAGGCTGTCTTCCGCCACAGAAGAATATTGGAGTACTCTGAGCGGATCCGTATGGAATATGAGATACTTGTGCAAGAATGCATCGATGCGGCCATGCAGAAGGCTGCACGTATAGCGGCTGGTGATCTCAGCGACGACTCGAGTGAGGACTCGTCCAAGTATGAATCGGCTGATCAGGAGCCGCGTTCAGCTTTGGACGAGCCTGGCAGAGAAGCCGTGGTACAGTCGCAGGTAGAGGAGGTCGTCAGCGTCGCTCCACAACGTGCGACTGGCAGTCCATCGTCAATGGCCATGGCGTTGAGGAAAACGTCTGACTTTTCACTGGATCGTCGGACATCATCTGCTGGGTCCTCTCGCGCAAGCAGTCCAAGGGGCGCCAGAACACCAAAGTCGTATAGTGGGCCAACGGAACCTTTCTTGTTCCACAAGCGAGGCTCGATAGCCTTCGAGAGTGACACTGGTGCAGACAGCGATAGCAGCATGCGCTCCTCAGTACACTCTGCTGCTGGACATGGACGAGCTGATTCGCCAGGTGCGGAGCTGTCCTTGAGTCGCGTGGCCAGCACACGGTCTCGTGAACGTAAGCGTCAGAGTCTTGTCCTCCCTAGCTTGGCCAACTTACCGCGTCATCAATCGCCAGGCAGAGGACCAGCCCCACCGCACTCGCCGTTGCGCATGGCGAAGCCAAGAATCCCGAGTGGTGCGATGGACAGCTTACCATCCCCGATCACATCGCCCGTGCTCTCTACCAGCGAGTTCGCATCTCCAGTGTTGCGAGCACAACACCAGCATCACCACCGTCGCCAGTCTTCTAACGCCTTGGCTGATGCTCTCGGGCGGCCGTCCTCACCTCGACTCAGCGCTGTAGTGAGCAACCCACAGCCGCGTGCAGTACAAACGTCTATCAAAGACTTTGAGATTATCAAGCCGATCAGTAAAGGCGCATTCGGGAGCGTCTACCTCTCCAAGAAGAAGTCGACGGGCGACTACTATGCTATTAAAGTGCTTAAGAAGGCAGACATGATTGCCAAGAATCAGGTCACGAATGTCAAAGCTGAACGAGCCATCATGATGTGGCAAGGCGAAAGCGACTATGTGGCCAAGCTCTACTGGACATTCTCAAGCAAAGACTACCTTTATCTTGTAATGGAGTACTTGAACGGTGGCGACTGCGCGTCTCTTGTCAAGAGTCTTGGTGGACTCCCCGAGGACTGGACAAAAAAGTACGTTGGCGAGATACTGCTGTGCGTTCAGCATCTCCACAGTCGGCAGATTGTGCATCGTGACCTGAAGCCTGATAACCTGCTCATTGATGTCAAGGGTCATTTGAAGCTTACTGACTTTGGTCTATCGCGGATGGGTCTTATTGGACGTCAGAAACGAGCTATCAATGCTAAGCCTGATGATACGCCGCCGGACCTCCTCAAAGCTGGACCTTTTCGCAGACCGCCTTCCGTAGCATCCTCCAGATCAACGTCTTTTGACTTTCAGGGTAACAGCCACTCACCCGCGCAGACTCCTTCTATGACGCCGGCTTATATTGGAGATCTTCAGCAGCCTTCATACTTCAGCTTGAATCGAGAAACATCACGCGAGCCATCGCGACGCACGTCTGGACATCGAAGCAATAGCGGAGACAGTGAAGCGCTCGAGTCAATGTTTCGTAGATTCTCTGTTGCGGATCACAGCCGTACGCCCATTGAAGAAGAGACGGCTAGTGAAGGAGCTGAGTCGCCAGATCCGTATGTTTTACAGCCGGTGCAGAGCAATGGCAGCCAGCCGAAGACAGGTACGCCGCCACAACAGGGCATGATCACTATGCCACCGCCGATCATGTCCCTCTTCGATCCTTCGGACAGCGATAGGCGCTTCGTTGGCACTCCGGACTATCTTGCGCCTGAGACCATAAAGGGCGGTGGCCAGGATGAGTTAAGTGATTGGTGGTCCCTGGGCTGTATTTTGTTCGAGTTTCTGTATGGCTGCCCGCCCTTCAATGCCGACACGCCTGAGGAGGTTTTCCAGAATATTCTGGATCGAAACATTCACTGGCCTGACGATGACGACGACTACTATGCTTCTCCAGACGCCAGAGATCTGATGAACAAGCTCATGTGCACCGACCCTGCTTCACGTCTCGGAGCCAACCAAGATGATAAGTACCCAAATGGTGGCGAAGAGATCAAAGCTCATCCTTGGTTTGTTGACATTAATTGGGATACCCTTCGCGAGGATGATGCATCGTTCGTGCCTGTCAGCGAAAATCCCGAAGACACAGAGTACTTCGATGCTCGTGGAGCTACGATGCAGAATTTCCAGCACGAATTTCTGGACGAGCAGTCGTCGCCTGCACAGACACCGGGCGCAGACTATCCTGATCGACCGCATGATGCACTGTCCCGTGTTAGAAGCCAAGTCAATGCTGTCAAGCGAAACCTCATGCCTCTGCATATACCTCCTCATGTCCGCGATGCACGGTCGCGACGCTTGAGTGAGCCGGTTGTGGCGGACGACTTTGGTAATTTTCAGTTCAAGAACCTACCAGTGCTCGAGAAGGCGAACAAGGACGTCATTCAGAAGCTGAGAGCAGATGCTATGCAGGCTCAGACGAAAAGTGGTATTGCTCAAGGATCGTCCTCTCCCGCCGTCACATCACCGCCTCCAGCGCCATCGTTGGAGGCGAGCCCTGTGCTGCCGATGCCGTTGAAGAGAACACTCTCTGCCAATAGAGGCCATAATCGCTCACAGTCGCCTTCTCTGCTCAGTCACCAAAGCTCATCGCCTAGCCGAGGTTCGCAGCCTTCTTCACCACTCCTAGTCCACTTCAGCGCGCAGAATCATGAAAGACGCAAGACCTCCAGTGGCTCCTCGAGCTTGTCCCAACAGACCAGCAACACGTCTCTACAACCTGGCAACTTCTTCGAGGCTACCCCGCGCTTGTCCTTCAAGGCTCATAGTAATGCGCCTTCGCCGGTCAAGGTCATGAAGCCTGGTTCTGTGTCTCTGCCGTTGCCCAATAGCGAGCTAGTAATCGAGCAAGGACAATCGCAGAGCGCTGTCTCCTCGCCACGTCAGCGATCACATACTGTTGGCTCGCAAGATGGTGATCTTGTGCCAGAGCTCATGCCCGTGCGACACAAGCGACGTAGTGGGATCATGGACATCTCACCATCTTCATCCGATAACGAGGACACTCGGCAGAAAGCGTTGCTTCGAGTGCAGAGAAGGCGTGCAAGCTCGCGAAGGCTTTCGCAAGTCAGTCTCGCGGACGGCCCAAGCTTCCGCACTCTGGACGTCTTGATTTGCGAAGATCATCCCGTGTCCCGACTCGTGATGGAACGGCTACTGGAGAAGCTGCGGTGCCGTGCAATCGTTGTCAATAACGGTACCGAGGCAATGCGGTACGCTATGAGCAATGTCAAGTTTGATATCATCATGATGGAGTACAAGCTGCCGCATCTGAATGGAGCTGACGTCGCACGCATGATCCGTGACACCAAGAATGCCAATTCGCATACCCCGATAGTTTGTGTTACTGGCTATCTAAAGGAGCTACAAGGCACACATCACTTCGATGCCTTGCTCGAGAAGCCACCTACCAAAGAGAAGTTGGAAAATGTCATGAGCCAGCTCTGTCAATGGAAACCTGCTTCGGAAAGCTACAAGGGTACTGCAGAGCCTATCACAGTGCCTTCCAGAGACATCGAGCAGCCACCAGCTGACAATAGCCCAACTACCACTTCCTCTACTGGCATGAGCCATACCAACACGGGCAGCACCTGGCGAAGCATGAGCGTGAACAGTAGAGAAGACTCCGTAAGCTCTCTGGGTGACACAGACAGCCAGACTGGCAGTATGTCAATCATGATAAACAACAGGCAGTCATCATTGTCAGAGGCTTTGGCGCGCAACTTCGACGAGCCCGGTGGGCTTGGCATCACGAAACGTCTCACAAGTCCCGAGATGGACTCTACCAGCCCTCCGCGATCCATGCCGACACTGCAACACGAGACTTCAGCGCCTGCTCGGCTTACGACGCCCGCTGAGCCTAGTCTACGCAAACAGCCTTCTCAGGAAGCTATCCAGGCCAAGCGACGCTCCTTTGAGAAAGGACGACAGGAATCTGCTGCAGAGTCTGGTGATGACGAGGACGAAGAGCTGGGCAACATCACAGTGCAGCGCCAACGCTCACCGAAACGCACTTCTACAAAACGTACTTCCAAGCTCGGCACGGAGATGATGCGCACGAACAGCCAAGGCAGCGTCGTCTCCGTCGAGGATGTCCTAGCCGTGCAGAAAGAATCTAAGAACTTTTCTGACGAGCTGCCCGCCGCTTTCTCAATCGCCGAGGAACCTGCGGCGGAAGTAGAAGCAAGCGGGCGGTTGACACCACCTGAGCTGTTCTCGCCCAAAACCGTCGGACATCACACAGAACTCATTGACATGGATGCTGCCACCCTACCTGGCCCCGCTGAAGTCGACGATCGGGACGTCACACCGAGGCCGAGTGTGCCAAGTCATGCTTCTGAGATCGACCCGGATCCTACGCCTAGGGCTTCCACATCGCCTTTACACCACGACTAGGTTACCTCCACGGCCTGGGTGACGGACACATTTTCCTACCTTTTGTACCAGAAAAGATTGCACATCACGTTCGTTGTATATCAGCGCACCAAATCGAACAAGCGCTTGCCGTCTTTTTTCCATTTGTTGCGATTATGATTTTTATGAGTTTGCGGAGAGCAAGGTGTTGGGGGTGTTACTGCAATGCGAGAGATTCAAATATATTAGCTGACTAGTTACTTTCCATGCTTCCTATGTGTTTTGCTCTTGTTGGGGTCGCTTTTGTGGATTTGGTGCCGCTGTAGGCAGGCCGCAGCTATGGCGACGAGGGCCACGCTGCGTTCTCACTCGATCTGTAACTGGCGAACCTGCGCAGGGCTGGTATGATCATTGTATGTAGAGTAGTGGCTGCGTCGTATGCGAATGCAGGGCGCAATCTACCGAAACATTTACAGTTGATTTTCACACGTCCTTCTCGCACAAGTCCTGCTTTTCGCGGCTATGCTGATGGGACGCGCTTTGAGCACCGGAGGATTTTAGAGATCCATTGTTGATGCAGTGCTTTTTCGTCCATTCTATGCTACAAAGCCATGATCGTTGCGCTATGCAATACAAACAATCACTCCAAAAGCTACTTTACAATGCCAAAGCACCGAGGGCAGCCAAGCCGAGCACACCAGCCATAGCAGTCACTCTTGGCGCCGCACCAGCAGCAGACTGAGTCTGAATGGCCGCGGATGAAGAAGCAGCGGACGCACCGGAAGAGGCGGCGCTGGTTGCAGAGCCAGACGCCTTCATGCTCGACGATCCAGTCATGGATGCAGCGGAGCCGGTGGAAGAGCCAGATGCGGAAGCGGAAGCCTTGCTGCTGGAGATGGCGGCTGCGACGCTCGTGGCGCTGCCTGTTGCGCTGGCGGAGGATAGAGTGGACAAGATAGCGGAGGCAGAAGCGGTGCCGAAACTGACTTGGGACGTGCTGTAGGCGACCGTGTTGTCGCTGTTGAGAACGAAGTATGGCGTATAGTTGACCTGAGTAGGATCGGTGTCGTCGACGATCTCGACAGTGTAGTCAGAGCCGCGGGTCAACATGGTGTCTGGAGTCCAGGTGTAGGAGCCGCTGTTGGCGACGTTTGCTATTACTCGTCAATCAGCTGGTGGCGAAAAGGTGCCTCGGAGTCGCTGATTTACGTACAAGCGATGATAGTGCCAGCAGCGAGATCGTTGCTGGAACCACTCCTCAACACCAAAGAGATGGAGCCAGATGTCGTAGGAGTCCAGTTCAAAGTCAGGGGCTGCCCGGCGGTGGCGACCAAGGTACCATTGGCATTGTTGAAGGCGTTAGGCCCGTCAGCCAGGACCAAAAGAGGCGCGCTCAAGAGAGCGAGGAAGAACGAGCGTGAGAACATGTTGATATTAGTGATATTGATGCTGAAGAGCGTGTGGCGAATAGAAACCGTCTACTGTTTAAATGTCGGAAATGGGAAGATAGAAGCTTGGGGTGGCGAAAGGGCGCGCGCGGACGAGGCAACATCATATACATATCCCTTTTTACCCCCTTTCCGGTGTAGGCGGCATGATTGGCGCAATCTAGTGGTGAATTAGATAATTTGGGCCGTCTAGAAACTGTTAGGTTGCACTTAGTAGCTCGCGCACAGATGCAAGGCTGTAACCTTAATTCTTACCGCGGCTGTAACTTCACTGGCCGCCATTGTGCATGAAGCTGAGTTCGGCCCATGAATAGCTTGCCGTCTTCTCTAGACGACATGTCACGCAAGACTTGCGGCCGTCGAGATGGCGAGGATCGGATGTGCGCGGGGGCTCGTTTGGATGTCCGTATACTTCATATATCCACCGAAGCTCAACCAGACGCTTGTTGTCGATCCTCCATCCTCCACTTCATACTAGCGCCGCCGTTGTAAATTTGCCCTGCCTCGAACGGGACAGCCGGCCCTCGAGTGTGTTTGTGGCGGCTAAGCAACCACGATGATTCTGATCATTATTCTGCTTGGTGTTGTGGAAATCTTGGCGGTAAATCATGAATGAGGTGTGGAGTATTTGGTATTATTTGATGTGAAAACCATAAGTATGAATTTTGCATTAGTGGTATACGATAATGGATATAGATCGCAGATGCACCAGGCTATGCGCCAATCAACAACTAATCAATCAACGATGCGACTACAGGTAGAAGATTGCAGCTGCCGCGCCGAAAACAAGAGAGAGGACGCTGCCCATCTGGATCGCAGATGCACCACTCGTCGAAGAGGATGGCTTGGCAGGAGCAGATGCCGAGCCCGCAGCCGCGCCTGTACTCGTGCCGGAAGCGTGTGTAGAAGCGCTTCCAGTCATGCTGGTCGCAGAACCAGTGCTGGTCAACGAAGCTATGCTCATTGTGGTGTTGCGGGGCATGGAAGTGCCCGTAGCCATGCCAGAGCCAATTGTTCCTACCGGGATCGTTGTGGATGCGGTGCCATTGGCCGAGATGGTGCTGCTGGCGAAAGCACTTGAGCTGGCTGTCGACGAGACGGATGCAGACGAGACGGCAGATGCAGATGCGCCTTGAATGGTGAATGGGCCGAAGTAGTTGAATTGGCTGCCTTGAACGATCTGAAGCGCGTAATCGACGCCGTTGGCGAGGGAGGTGGATGGAGTCCAGATGTATTGGCCGCTGGTCGCGGTGGCTACACTCGTCAGAGGAGGCTCGTACAGTGGATGGGCTATACATACTTGTCAACGTGCTAATCGTCTGGAGGTCGGTCTGAACGCCTTTGCGAAGGATGATAGTCACGGGCTGCAGGGTGTCAGCATTGTGGTATTTGTGTCCAGAAAGCTTGGCCGAAGCTTACGGTAGTGGTATCGTTCGTGGAATACGTGATCGCTTGGGCTTGACCGTCCGTGATGGGGTTGGGCACATGGGTGAAGGTCAAGACGGTAGACTGCGCAGCGACGAGGCTGGCGAAAGCGCTTGCGATGAGAGTCTTGGTGAACATCTTGAATATGTCGTGACGGAGGATCTTAAAACGTAGACTTTTACGAAGTATGGATATGCGGGTAGCGAGTGTGAGTCGTCAATGACGTTGAAAAGAATGAGGAACCGTTTGTTTGTGCTGCAGAAGAAGAGGAATGCTTGGAATCTCAAACAGAAGAGGGAGGTTTGTTCGCCAAGGCGCGTGGTTTATGCAGGCGAGCTGGGGTGCGTGGCCCACTTTGCAACGGCCGAATCTTTCCTTGGGCGACGAGTAATGCAGGTTTCGCTTAGGGTGAAGTCTGTTGGTCTAGGCTGAGCTTCTTTTCTTGTAATAAGAGCTCGCAATGTTATTACAGCCACCCACCAGTCAGATATTATGAGACATCCTATAGCGTCGTTAGAGCAGTCGAAGTACCAGCTCATCTGATGCTGGTAAAGTCGAACGGGACCACGTCTAGATGCTGCAGCCATACCTCCGTGAGCATGATGCCGCCTCATCATGCAAGCCTTGCAGGCTGAGCTGCAACACAACCTCGTCTGCGTATCATTGACCACGACAGTTTGAACCTGCATCACCGGGGAAGGATCTCGTCAGAAGGTGTTGTAATGGCCCAGCGGTATGGCTTACGCATATGAGCCACTCGATTTGACGAAACAAACGATCAGACTGCTGAAGATCTTGCCTAGGACGCACGACGAGGTGATCAGTCTTTTGCTAGAGGTTGTCGACCTTCAGGGTATTCAGGGCGGCTACGACGCAATATCTTACGAATGGGGTCCGGAGAGTAACCAGCAGCTCATATCAGTCAACGGCAAAGATCTGATGATTCGTCACAATATATGGCGTTTCCTCCAACACTGTCGGGACATTGAGTTTGCACATCAGCATCATGAGCGTCTCTGGATCGATGCCATCTGTATCGCTCAGCAAAACGTTCAAGAACGAAACCACCAAGTCATGCAGATGAGCGAAATCTTTCGAGGAGCCCGTCAGGTGATCGCATGGCTCGGCACTGCCAGTATCGAGACGAATGTACCGCCAAATGCCTACGAGTGCATTTATGATCTCCATCACGGCAGGACGATGTCTATGTCAGGGCCGAAACCCAGTCACGAAGCTGAGGCAAGATGGCGTTAGCAACTATGCCAGTCCACGCAGCGTATCATGGACGACGTCCGTCTGCTGTTTTCAAATCGTTACTGGCGGCGCCTGTGGGTCGTTCAAGAGGTGCGATTGGCTAGGAAAGCTGTCTTTGTGACCGGGACATCGTGTGTGGACGTCAAGCTCCTCAGGTACATTGCATCGCTTGTTCAGAACGACCGCTTGACAAGCATGGATGTTGGAAATGACCAGCTCGACCCTCTCAGGTTTGTTTGCTCGCCAACCTCAACAGGTGAACGCCTCGACTCGCTTGTGGCAAGGTGTCGCAACCTTCAATGCCGCGAGCCATTGGACCGTATATACGGATTACTTGGCATGGTCAAGAATGGTCAATCCTTTGTGGTCGACTATGCTTCGGCGACCTCTGAAGTGCTCATGCGAGCAGTTGTATTCACGCAGAGGCAATCCGACAATGTGTTTTGCTGGTTCGACGTGTTCGAGACTTTTGCCACGTACCTTGGATTGGGGCATGTGCCACTCGCGCCACTGGTTACGGAGAGCGCGGAGAATGAGAACCCGAAGTTTCATATAACTCTGACCAGGCCAGAGACTCTTCATGAGGGTTCTGCCTCTTTCTGGACGAATGCGACCTCCACGACGTCTGCTACGGTCCGGCGCGAATCTACTGACCCTCCAATCGAATGGATGAGCTTCGGATTGCGGCAAGGCCGAACAAGGGTGAGCTTCTATGTAAGCCATAGTGGTGTCTGGACCGCAGCCTCTGAAGGGAGCACGCGTAGCAGATCTGAAACGACCCGTCTAGAACGCTTCAGTGAGGTCGTAACATTTGAGCAAGTGCGCATGCAGCAGACATTATTACAGTCGTATGAGGAGGATACCGAGCATCAAGAAAGTACCCCTGGATTGGAAGGTCCGATCGACGCGGAGGTCAAAGCCATGGAACGAGATGACTGGAAGGCACCGTGCTCCTACCTAGCGATGGTCGAAATTCACGACTATCGCATCTGGTTGCGACAGCGTCGGTGAGATCCTCGTTGCGATCCGGTATAGCGGGTGGAAAGTCATGGCCCGGTGGCTCGCCATCATCCTGGCCAGATGACTTGATATTACTGGCTGGATCAGGCAAATGTGTGGTTATAGCACGATGGCTGATTGATATCAAGCAATGAGATAGTGGTCTGCAAGAATCGATGACAAGTATCAAGGTCGAGATGCGGCGTGCCACACAGGTTTCGTCAAACTAGCTGATGGTATCACGGTGTCTTCGGCACGTGCTATCAGCTGAGTTGTCGTGGTGTCGTTTGTTTTGAGAGTGGACGCAAGGCAGGCTATGGCTTCGAGAGCGTTCGTGAGTAGTATGTACTCAAGATCAGACTTGACGTCGCTGCTTCATGGTGGACAGTGCCAGGGATAGGAGGCTATCACGCCTGCGGATTTTAGTAATACCTATAGTTCACTCATACAACCTACGTTACCTCCGAGAAATCGAGTTTTCGCGCCGGACCTCCACCTCGTTCTGTTCCGTCCTTCCATCCTACTCAGATGTTCAAAGGCTTTGCAAACGCCATGTCAGTCCCGTTCACAACACAAAGCAAAAATACGCCAGCGGTCATGCCTGCCTATGCTGCTACACGGTCTGTCGTTCCCGGGATCCAGTTTTGTACCCAGCCATTCCCAGCCTCTATACCTCGCACGTGCCACGATAATAAACCACACAAACACGCACGAGCCCCAATCGCACTTCCATGCTGGTTCCGTGAAAGCGATCAAATAGCCCAACTACCCCTCCTCGCACCAGTACCCCACTGGCTCGCCCTCTGGTCCGTAGGAACCATGTCCTTCTCCTGCCGCGCCCACTCCCTAACATACAGCCTCAACGCCTGCCATCGGACACAACTCTCCTTCTCCACGCCCTCACCGCCTCCACCTTCAAAATCCGGACCAAGCCGGATATACCCCCTTGGCAGACTCTTCGCCTTCCGATCATCCTCCCGCAACTGCTTGATCGGGATCCGGCTGATCTTCGAGAGCTCTTCGTCAAAAGGTCGTGCTAATGAAGGGTAGCCGAGCGAGAGATAATTGTATATCTGGGTGATGAAGGAGTTCGGGTATTCTTTCTCCATAGTGGCGTCTAGAATTTGTTCGGTATTGAGCATACCATCCAGACGGTTCAGGTTCGCACTACTGCCGAACCCTCTCGGTGGCGTCGGAGGCGTCTGGATCCCGAGACCAGGCGATAGTGCAGGCGCGGGGACGGCAAAAGATTGCTCGAAGGGATTGTAGCCGCCTTCGTTTGCCATCGGCGTCAGGAGACCGGTGGGACCAGTGATGGCGGAAGGTGGCGCCAAGCCATTCGGAGTAGCATGTCCGGCAGAGTCATCCTCGATGCAAAAGCCGCCCCAGAGACCTCTCTTAGGATCTTGGGAGCCTTTTGCGCTGCCCGCGGCACTTGTGATCGTGACCTCTCGCTCGGGTGGAGCCGACCATAGTCCTCCTTCATCTCCGTCCTCTGCTTGCGAGTCGGCGTGTTCGGTCAAGTAGCACATCTGGTTGCGAAGAACAGTCGAGCCTTGGGTGACGTCGAAACGTGCAGGCTCTGGTGAAGGACAGCGTGGAAAGACGAGGTCGTTGCCGAGCATAGGGGGTCGGGCTCGATCACGCATTGATCGCATTTCCTCGTCTTGTTTCTCCAGGCCGTAAGTCTGAGCGGGATTCCACCAGGGTGACTGGGTCATCTGTTCTGTTCGTTTCTTTGTCGACTTTGCTGCATTGCGTTCCTGTTCTAGTTGTTCTGCATGTCTTTGCATTTCCATTTGTTCCCAGTTCACCTTGGCTGTGCTTTCGCGCCTTGCTGCCATTTCTAGCAGTAGTTCGTCTTCGAAGTCGTAGGTCACGGGACGGTCTTCTATCTCCATCTCGTCGCTTCCTTCATCGATATCCATGTAATGCTGCACTGGCTCATGGTAGTCCGAGTTTGGGAAAGCGTCAGCTGCGAGCTCGCGCAGAAGTCGTTGCTGCGCCTTCTGTGCTTCGAGCTGCCGCAGATAGTGTGTAAAAGACTCGTCGACCGACTCACGTATGCGTGTAGCATGTTTATGCCCACCTACACCGTTCGTGAAGGAAGAGTCGGAAACAGTGATCGGCGAGCCTTTGTCCGGGCTGGAGGAGAGCGAAGACATGATGCTACCACGCTCACTCTCCGAGCTCTCGATGGTATCTAGTTCCGGACATCGAAATGAGTGGCTGCGCGTGCTCACCACAGATGGACGTCTGGCTGGTGCACTGCCATCCAAAGGAGCCAGCTCTCTTCGCAACTCTTGTGGTATATCGAGACAATGCGGTTCATCCAGCTCCGTACCATCCTCACTTTCGTTTGCTGGAGTCTTGTCGCCACGAATATGCCGTCTGTGCTCTTGAGCATGCAGGTGGTGTCCAGACTCCGTCTTCTCTGATTGATCAAGCCCTGAACCATCGTCTCCCGCACGTCGTGATCTTGATGCGGTATCTATCAAGATAGGTGCGAACTTCCGGACCGTCCTCTGCTTGCCAACGGCCTTGGGTGCGACATCCTCAGCGTCAGTCGGCGACTTTCTTCTCGTACGATAGATGGTCTCCACGGGCTGCGGCAAGAACTTGATATGTGGCTTCCCATGCTCAGTCTTCTCCTCTTTGCTACTCCTTGATGAAGTCTCCTCGACCTGAGGTGCAAAGCGTCTTGGCTTCGACTGTTCAGATGACGCTTTCCGGTCCTTGCTACTCTTGTGCTCCGTTTCCACAGGCTCCACAGCAAAACGGCGTGGCTGTGGCTTACTATCTGACTGACCTCGGTCCTTGCTGCTTTTACGCTCCGTCTCAACGGGCTCGACAGCAAACCGTCTCGGTTCAGACTTCACCGGCTCTGCTTTACGATCCTTGGATGATGTAGCAGAAGTTTCGACAGGCTCGACGGCAAAATGTCTTGCCTTTGTAGTCTCATCCTTCTCAGGCAAAGGCTGACGCCTATCCTTGGAGGATTTGGTGGAGGTCTCAATGGGCTCAGGCGTGAAGCGTGAGGGAGCCATATCGCGAGTCGAAGGGCACAATGCCCGGTCGAACTATGACTACTGCTTGCATACGCCTGTCGTACGTCTGCTAGGGGGGCCGACCAGGCCAGTAGACGAAGATAGGGAGGAGATAGAAGGTGGTGCGTGTGACCCGGGCTTGTTGAGGAGATACAGTGCGACGTTGGCGGCTGAGTGTGTCTTTGTATTTGCCGACGGAGCGTTGGTGGTCTGGTGGGTGATACAGCGTCTCGACTGCTCACGCGACTTTTTCTGGTTGTGGTTGTCTTCAATCGCTCAACGTGCCCACGTCATGCTCCCGCAGCAGCCGAGTTGAGCAGAGTGGAGTTGAGCTTGCTGCTTCTTCTGCTCAGATTAGCCTCACACGACACAGTGATGCTCTACGGCGATCAAGGCAATGATGGCAGCAGAGTACCCAGTCGGTAGTGGAGAAGATGTCTTGGAACCAGGCAAGTAACAATGGGAGCAACAGCAGAACCACGTGCAATATGTGAAGATACCAATCCGGCCCGTGCACCTGTATCAGCATAAGAACGCGCCTCTAGTACAGTAAAAGAATCAGGGTTCATACACCGACATGGGCGGGTGGGCGGAATCGCACAGCCATTCTGCTCTACATCCCACCTTGATTTCGTGACCTTCACGATACTTTTGGCGTTGCTGGCGTGGAGAAGTGGAGCGCAGAGTGCGCTCAACCATCGGAATCGCGCCGATCTCCTGGTGGCGTGGGTCAAACATGCAACATTCGAGACCTTTCACCAAGAGTTTCCGCCAAGAAGGAGATCGACTAGGCCTTTGTTCCTGTGTCTGATCAGTCTGCTCCTGCTTCGCCCGTGTTTGCCCTCTACGACAACAATCCTTTGGTCCGCTACATCAAGCTCGAGGCACTTCACACTACCTACAGACGGAAGACGTGAAGTCATGCACAGCCAAACCTAATCAGACCGCTCGACCAGCAGTGCATACATGACTTGATCAGACACGCCTCTCAAACAGCCCCGAGCTCCATACTCGTGCTTCCCCGATGCAGGCACAGTCTCACAAGCAGTCTTGTCTCAGCCATCACATGAAGGACTGCAGACCGACTACGAGTATTTCCTAAGAATGACCTCAAGACTTTATCTTGCTTTCACAGGACATTGTCCATACCAGATCTTATGCCGTGTCAGTAGTTCACGACATGCATAACAAGAGTTACGAGCTCTTCCGATTAGATCAGTTCTACCTGGAGCTGTCCTGTCAATCGGAGCTAGACGGCCCATTATTGGCAGTCGGCATCATGCTCGAGACTCGAGGTACTTCACACGGAGGTCGGAGGTCAACCACTCAGCACAGCTTCTGGTACACCTCGCCATATGCACTCCGCAAAGGATATCAGCTACCGCCCGTCGGACCGGAGTGGGATGTATGCGAAGTGTACATACGATTGACCTTCATCGAGAGCAAATGCCTAGCGCACCGCATAGCTTCGGGACAAGTCGGGAGCATCAGGCACTGTTGCATTGAACTCCCACTCACGTCACATATACCGCAGTGAGGCATGAGATGAACAATGACCTCTCCAATAAGCTGCTTAGGCTCAGACTGGTAGGTCACCAGCTACGAGAAAGCCAATCGGGATGATGTGAGGTGAAGGAGATCTTATCGTGATCAAGTAGTATGTGATGGTACAGATATATTCGTCCATGGGTATACTCGGCGACAAGCAGCAAATCGACACAAGTAGTGATACAGCCACCCCCCCCAGGCGCTTTCAAGTACCTTCAAAACACCCGAACACCCGCGCTAAACCCCAAACAAAAGACGCTCTTCTCATCTTCTACTCTTCACAGCAACCTTCATCATGGACAAGATCTCCTGATTAGAGCCGCTCTCCGCCGCACCAAGCGGAGTCTCCCACTCATCGTTCTTCCGCAAAGGATCAGCTCCCCATCTCAGGAGCACCTCCACGATCTCGGCTTTCTCAGCTTGGACCGCGCAGTGCAAGACCGTACTCCCATCCGCTTGTGTCTGATCCTTGTCCGCTCCGGCTTCGAGCAGCAATTCCATGATCTCGCCTCGGTTCGGCCAGACAGCCCAGTGGGTCGCACAGGCACCGATGAAGGATCGCTGGTTGAAGTCTGGCTTGTAGCTTAGGATCAAAGAGACCATAGGCGAAGAGCCGTACTTTACTGCGTACATCAGGGGTGTAGTGTTGTAGGCGTTGAAGCTGTTGACGTCCGCTCCTAGTTCTAGTAGATACCGAGTCATGTGCATATCGTCTGCGCGAATGGCCTTGTGGAGCGGTGAGCTGGAGGACTCGTTCACAGTCGGGTTCAGCTTGGCGCCTTGAGCGAGGAGATACTTGACGGCGTCGAGTTGGCCATGCCCTGTTGCGCCGGCTAATGGCGAGAGCGAGCCGGCTTTCGCGGGCTTGAAGGATTCGTAGAGAGCTGGGATGATGGTGCGAGAGTTCACATCAGCGCCCAGTGATAGCAGGAGCTTGATGTGCTCGAGATCACCTGCACAGGAGGCGGCGTAGAGTCGGTCGCCCAGCTTCCGCTTCTCCTTGGGTGGCACGGAGACGAGTGTTGGTGATGGTACTACGCAAGCGGAATCCACGCTTGGTGAGTCTGGAGGTGTTAGTGTAGTCGGTGAAGCCGGTGGACTCCATGATGATGTTGCGTCGCGGAAGAGTGGCGCTGCTGGAAGTTCGACTGGTGATCGTGACTTGGTTGATGGAGTTCTTGATGGAGGTTGGTAATCGTCTCGTGATAATGATCGGCCGGGCGCGCTGTTCCATTCTATGCTCCCAGCCCATATGCCACCTCTGTATGGTGTTAGTCGGTCAGATGTGCGAAGTGATTGTCATGAACTCGTACCTTCGCTGGATATTGTCGTTGAACTGGAAGGCGGCTCGATCGGCAAATGGAGTCTTGTCCCATGCAGACATGGTGTCATAACCCATCTTGCTACTGTATGGCTTCTGCCAGGCTGTGACATCTATTGTGCACGTCATGGAAGGAGATGGCCAACGATCTCGTTATAATGTTAACACACTAGCTATGTAGTGGGGGTCATGGTCGTGTAGATAGTGGGTCGATTCAGCTCGGGGGCGAAACTCTTCAAGGCTGACAGATTCCGAAACACGATCGTCAAAGTGATGAGCCAGTGAAGTGAAGTGGACAGTAGAGGAGCGATGTAGAGCGAGATATAGTATAGCAAGGAGGAGAAGTTCCAGACAACACCGCCAGACGAGAGGTGTGGAACAGCAGAGACATACCTACGAAAGATGCATCCCGCCCAGTTGCTTGCTGAGTACATGCAACTGTGCACTCGCAGGAGACCGGAATGTGGAGCGCCTCTACCATGCGCCACCGCGGTCAAGAGTCACAGTGGAGATGAAATGCTATGGCTCCAGACGATAAGAAGACATCGGTAGGCGTCAAGCCCGCCTTTTGGCTCAGCTGAGGGAAGAGGTTTGGTGTGGGAAGGCGGACGGTGCAGCGGTGTGTAGGATTGCGCTAGCCATGCGGAGTGTTCGTTAGCGTCAGCCTTATTGCTGCGTGGGTTGCAGGGATTGTGGAAGGGTTACATGCGGGAGGTGGTGTACTGTATTATTGAATGGTTCGGTAAGGACTCTGCAGTGGTGATATGTGATGTGGGCTATAGGGTCATGCAACCGTATGACTGCACCATTGTTCATTTGGAGGTCGGTTGATGGACTTTGATATGCTTGGCAGTTATGGTCTGCTGACTGCGCTTCCGGACCTCGCTACCACTCTTCCTCGCTCGTGGTCTAGACTAGAGCATAATTACTTCTAGACGATAAGAAGGAGACCGTTCCACGGTTCTGTTCCCCTTTGACTTTGAACAACTCGGCTCTCGTGATCTGAGGTTAGTCGCCGTTTGTGGATGCTTCGGAAATGCCGCTCGGTAAAGCTTGGCGCTCCTTCACATGCTCGGAAGAACTGACGGTGCATGAGCACAGCCACATCGCTTCACCTCTTGAATCGTAACAAGTCACCGCTTACTCCACTAATGCAGGTTCCGGCATGCTACACATCTGACGTGCAACCCTGCTCCACGGTGTAGCTTCCACGCTGACCGCCGGGCACATCATATCATCTTACGCTTAGCACTTTCTCCACCAGGATGCCGCTGCTCAAACTCAAGACTGGTGGAGCTGGGCAGGCATCGTCACAGCCATCGACGGGCGTACCACAGTCTGCCACATCAGCCGGGCCAAGTGCTACGTCGCCCGCGCCCAGCACAGCGAGCACGATCGGGCGACCGAAGTTGAAGCTCAAGGCATCACAACCACCGACTCCAGCCACCGAGTACCCCCCTTCTACTCTGCCGACAGTTTCCAGGAAGAATGCGGTCGCTGGACTGGCGGGTAAGAAGCGCGGTGCCAACGATGATATCTCACCAGCCACCAAACGCATTGCTAGTGGGCAGCAAGCGGTGCGGAAACCTTCGCTGAAGATCAAAGCACCCGCAGCGAAACCGCCGTATGCCGATCTATCAGCCACGACACCGTACAGTGCAGGTAGTGTCAATAAGCTGAAGCTTTCTGGTCCCAAGAGGAAGAGTACCGCACGTATCAAGGCACTCACGACCCACAATGTGAAGCGCGAGGTTCAGAAGCGAGAGACTGGGGTGGGGTATGATAGTGAGGACAGTGAACGTGAGGAGGATCCCGCTATCCAGCAAGGACTGGTGTTGCGTATGCAGCCGGGCGAGGATGCGGATTTGCTAAGAAATGCGATCGCAAATGGCAAGGTCGGGCTGAGCGAGGAAGGAGGGGTGGGTGTCAGCATCAAGTTTGTCACACCAGATTTACGGCGAGCTGTGGTCAAGGTCAAGGGCAGGATGTATGCTGCTGCGCTGGTGGATCTGCCATGTATTGTGGAGTCGATGAAAAGCTGGGACAAGAAAGGCTGGTGGAAGGTGGCGGACATCTGCCAGATGCTGCTCGTGCTGGGTCCGGTTAAGAGTGAGGCAGAGATCAGAGACTTCCCGCTACCGCGCGAGGTGAACAAGGAGACTATGCAGTATGCGCATGGCTTGACTCCTCCTATGCATCATGTACGGAGACGACGATTCCGCAAGCGTGTCAGTCACAAGCAGCTAGAAAATGTGGAAGAAGAGGTCGAGAGACTGCTGCGTGAAGACGAGGAGTGGGAGAGAGGCCAGGGTATGACTACGCACAATGAGTACAGCCAGGTGGAGTGGGATAGACTACAGAACGAGCCTGAGCAGCCTTACGATGATGATGAGATGGACGCGGATGGCGAGGCGATAGACACGATCGAGGACTATGATGATGGTTATGGACAGACGCCACAGGAGGAAGAGGCTGATGCAGCAGATCTCGAGGCTCAGCTGGCTGGTGCATTCGAGGAAGATGCTTTTGGTGAGACTTTCGCGGAGACCTTGACGAACTCGCCTGTACCTTTGACCGCGGGAGCAGAGACCATTATGACTGACGCTCCCGCCGTGTCAACACCGACAGCCGAAACACCGATTGCGGAAACACCAGCTGAAACACCGAGAGCGGGGACGGACGAGTCCGAAGAGTCCGACGAGGACGAAGACGACTACTCCGATGAAGACTCGCCCGATGTCGTGGACGAGGACGCGGCCGAGAAGGCTGCAGAGCGCGCACAGCAATTGGAGGAAGTTGCTGATCTGGAGAGGGAAATTGCTGCGGTCAGGACGAAGGCGAATGGAATGGGTAATATGTTGCTCAGACGTAGGGAGATGGAGAGGCTGGGGAAATTGGAGGAGGATCTGAAGATGAAGAGGAGTGCTTTTGGCTTGGCTGATGAGGATGATCAGGGCGAGTAGAGGGGAGTAGCTGTTGGAACGTCTCGCTCGTGCAGATGTACGACCACTTGATGCTCTCATTCTAATTCAGTGGGCAAGATCAAAGGACAGTTCACGCCATGATTGCATGTCCGGATGTAGTTCCATCGCGCTTGACATGCATAATCGTGTAATCTTCAAGCCGTGTACCGAAGCGAACTTCTATAGATGTACTGTCGTGTAATGTCTGCGATGACTATGGTGTACCGCATGACCATGGGAAGACGTGGCATGGAGACAAGACGGTATGGGCTTGTCAGCTTGAATACGATCCCCCCGACTTTGAACTGTTTTCAAGCTGCTGGAGACCGCCCCGGCGTTAGATTTGAGTACATCCGCTAGCGCGTCTCATGGCCAGCCAATCACAGCTTCACAAAACATAGGCTGTCACTTCTGTCTTCACTTCGACATTCACTCCCAATCAGCAACAACAAACGCTGCCGGCGCATCCCTCGAATCATGATACCACGATAACACGAGCTTCCACTCATCGCCACAACCATCGTCTATCATCTTGGCCGGCGACAAAGATGTCCCAATCCTCCGACCTCCACCGCGCACTCCTTCGACCATGTATAGCACAAAGTCTCCGTGCCGCCGGCTTCCATAGCACGCGACCAGCGGTTCTCGAGACTCTCACAAATCTAACGGAACGCTATCTCCTACTATTGACGTCGACAACAGCACGATACGCTTCACTCAGCCATAACGATTCCGTGCCGACGGTGACAGATGTCCGCATGGCAATGGCGGAATGTGGCGTCCTCCTCCCAGCCGAGGGAGCAGCGGAGGAAGAATGGAGGGAGATTATGAGGGTGCCTGTAGAAGTCATGGGTACTTCCGTCAAAGAAGGCGGCGAAGCACGAATGCGAGGGGAGAAGCGGAAACGCGAGGAGCAGGATTTGCGGGACGTGGTGGCCTTCACGAAATGGTTTGATGGGTCACAGCATGCGGAGATGAGGCGGGTGGCTGGTTTGGTGCCGGATTCTTCCACGTTGGTTGGCGGTGTGGGTGCTAGCGCGGGGCCGGTTGTGGGTGTGGGAGGTGGTGTTGTGCAAGCGGAGGACTTTTTGAGGGGGTTGAAGAAGAAGGGTGGGAAGGCGGGGGATGATGTGAGGTGGATTGGGACTGTGCTTGGGGAGGAGGGGGAGGGAAGGGAGGTGCTGGTTGAGGGTGGGCTGGTCCAGAGGGTTAGGGATTGGAGGCCCAAGGATGACGATGTTACTGGGCTGGTCAAGGATGCTCCTCAGGATGACACTTTAGCCGCGCCTGAAGTCGTGGCTGGCGATTGAGAATATTTAGGTAGTATGAATCCCACCCGCAGCATTCGCATTGCGTGATGCAACGTCCGAGAGGACGACGTCTACGATAGGCCTCTTCCTTAGCCTATCAGCAGAATTCAAGTCATAGACCAACTTTCGTTGCCGCCACAGCTATGCACGGAGCATGTACAGCTTGCAGCACACGTCACGAGACCATGGCCATACAGCAAGTCATATTGTCGCTTCAAATCGATAAGTCGCAGCCGTGTAGCTTTGATTAACCAATTCATATTTGCTTGGGTAGATTGGTATGGCGCAGATTGACGCTCTTCTTATGTCTGGAACATGATCGAGCGGTTCGCTATATAGTACACTGCAGCCGGTACGCTTTTTGCGCCGCGCTTACGGAGCGAAGTCTGGCGTGCAGCCACGTACCACCGCGATATGAAAGGCTCATACCCTAGCACCATTGCTTATGATACATGCGCAGAGGTTGTCAGACTGCTTTCACTGCATACATAAACAAGAGCTAGCCATTGGGACATCTGGTCATGTCAGATGATCCCTGGTCGTTCCGTCGACTTAATAGAGAGCATTTTGCTGCCGCGGCCCTAGCAGTATCTACGACCACGAGGCAGCAAGGCTCCGCCCAGCCAGCAGATTCTGGAAGTGGCGATGATGAAGAGCTGTCAGATGATGACTCTATCCACCCTAGAGATCTTGTCGCATCGGGTGGGGAGGAGAGATTGCAAAAGAAGTTCCTGAATAGATTGGCCGAGATACTGGCTAGACAGAAGACTCCGCCAGAAAGCAAGACACGAGGATCTTCGACGGATGCAGACCATGCGTCAGCGGCTATGTTGGGCTTTGATGGAGAAGTGCCATGCTTATATACTGGACGATCGAGATCAACGCTCCATTAGAAACGAGGTTTCTGAGCATGCTTATAGAAGGATTGTGCGCCATTCAAGCATGGCTCGAAGACCAACTCCGCCGACCCCCGGGTCGTCGTGGAGTCGCCGTGCCACAATCGACCCCAGCTGTGACATCTAGCGAATCGGTTGTCACCATTGCCAAGATGGGCCATCGGAGGCAGGATCATCAAAAAGAGCTGCTGACAGACAGCGTCAATGCTGCACATCGTGAGGAAATCCAACAAGCTCTCGGGCGTCGACTGAATCAGATATCTGCGATATGTCTGCCAGCTGACGACGAAACATCTCGTATTGTGAGTCTCGATGTTCGTGAGAACCTGGCGGGACCAGAGTGCCTGGGTGCAACCTCAAACGTTCCCGACTTTCGTCCCTTTTGGGGCGAGATACTTCATCTTGAGCAGGGTCACCAATTATGTAGCGTCGAGAATCAGGAGAACAAGGCGAACGAGGGGAACTATATGGTATTCTTCAACACCAGCGAAGATCTCTCTCCAAACAAGTGCATTGCAACGATGCTTCACATAGCCCAGGCGATGGAGACCACAGAAAATCGGCAATTCTGGAAAGGCGACGTCTTTGTCGTACGGTACAACGACACCGCGCCAGGCGGCGGCGCATTCTTGTCCCTTACTCCCGGAGCTGACATGCGAGAGGTCATCGGGAGGTATCTGCAGCACTCATGGGATGATCAAAGCCTAGAGAGGTTGCGTAAGTCGAAGCAAGACATGCTCGAGTCAAGTGAAAGCCACAATAGGAACCGAGAAATGATCCGCGCCCGTTTGTAAGCACGTAGAGCAAGTCGGAAAGCGGTCCACTAAGGTTGCTGACACTCGTAATAGGACTCCGTTGCAGACCGAAATTCTGGAGCATCTGCCGCTCGGACTCGAAGCCAGCCTGGAGAATCTAGCAATCTACGAAGGCGACTATGGAGCAATCACGGATACGTGGATGGAACCTTGCCGCGAGGATCCTTCTATGGTCAGCATTCATGTCTTGAAACGACTCGACGAGCTTGAGAAGGTAGGCTGGAGTGGATTTTCTGCCGAGCACCTCTGATATCCGCCGATTACCGACTCACTTTCTCGATTTATTCTGGAGTTAAAGCTGGACCTCAACAATTTGCTGGCACCACGGCGTTGCTCCCATTATTTGATATCGTATTGAAACTTCTGAGGTCGGTTGGCACGCTCCCTACTACGATATCTTGTATAAGTCACCGTGCCTTCTATTAGCTCAGCGATTCGAGTAAAGGCAGATTACGTACGTGGAAGACAGCGTGTCTACACTATAAATCAGATGTAGGAATCCCGGTCCAAACATATTCCAGTAGTCAAGCCGTCGAGTACTGATGTTGCACATGAATTCAGATGATAGCAAACCACTTCGACTGGATTGGCGATTCCGTGAAGCCGTCTGCCTTCCATTCAGACCAATCGCGCGGTGTAAGCTCGACAAGACCTACACGTCGGACATATTGCCCAACTCGTCTCACGATCATAATCTTGAGCATTCGACCCGATGCTCCCGTTATGATAGCATCGCATGTCTCTTGGAGCATTTTGACGGGTACAGCATGTTTATATTCGGTGGAGTACCTTTCCACCGTCCGAATTGCTTGGACTTCGTCCGCCGCGACTGGCTGCTTCTGCATCCATGGGACGTCGTTGGTGATCCAGCCTGACGTTGAAATGTAGACAGTCGGCGGGTTCCCGGTTATGTCCGTTCGCAGATCAAAAGTGATACCAAACCGAAATAGCATAGAAGCATCGGATTCCTCGTTGACCACACGGCATGGCCGGGACACCGTCCAGAGCCATAGGACGTCGAGCTGAGGGTCAGCTTGGAATGTTCCGGGGGTCGGCGCTTCGCAGTCGATCCAGATCGTCTTGCTGAACGTGCTGAAGGGTGGAGAGGGGGATCCTTTGGAAGCCTCTTGGACACTGCGGAATGAGATCTCGGATGTGATGTCAACCGTACCGCACCAGCCTCGAGTGGCAGGCTCTGGAAATACACGATCGGGAACGCTTGGTGGAATGTGCTCTGTGACATCCTTCATACTGCGAATATCGTATATAGCTGGCACGCCAAGGATGTGTCTTTCATGTTTCATCAAGGCAAAGCGATGTAGGTCTTTAGAGCTGCCGGGGAACAGACCAAATGAGTCTTTGATGTTGCCGTGGCTGAGGCGTGGGAGCCGGACGGATGCCCGACTCCACGAAGGAAAGCCAGGTCGAACGCCACTATGAGCCTTAGCCTCCTCAACGAAGGCGCGCCCCAATTCTGGAGAGAGAGCGAAATTGGATTTCTTGATGATAGGCTGCCAATGTAGAGCAGCGTTGAAGAAGGGTAGAGGAAGGCCGTGATGCAGATGAGATGCGCGCCAAGAATCAGATGCGTCTGTCGAGGCGTTGACGTAGCCTACTAAAGCCGCGACAGTGTCGTCTTCATTGCTAAGCCTTCGTGAACAGTAAGCCTCAAGCGCGTTAGAGTATAGCCTGAAGTCCGTCCTCAGCTTGGGCGAGGACCAGCCATCGACCCGAGCGGTGGTTTCCACGATCTTCGCACGTCCCTGAGACTCTCTCTGATACCAATCTCCAGTGGTAAGAATTACTTCGCGTGGCGTGAAGTAAACCCGAACTCTTGATAGTTGCGCCTCTTGGAAGGTCCAGCCCCTCGTATTCCATGCCGAAGATAAGACTGCTCGAGAGGGTACAGGCAGCTCAATGCCAGCATGGTAGTTCCTGGAATCACCACGAATTGCGACACAAGAGTCCAGCCGCGGAGAGATGCCTGGAAGCCCAGAGTCTGCATGGTCACCCGCAGCAGCCACAATTGTAATCGCAGCGCTTTCGTAAACCACATCCATTTGAGCGATAAGTGCTTGCTTTTGCGTTTGATTGACATGATCAATGCAGAAAGCGTCCGCCCAAAGGTAACGGTAGCCCATGTATTCTGTTGCTTTGAGAGCATCGCGGATCGTTCGGGGTAAGGCCGCCAGTCGGAGCGGCCCATCACTCACAGTATTCGACGACCGAGTGCATTGCGTGCCCCACACATAAGAGAGAGCTGCATACACCGGCGGCTTTGTAGCAGTAAACAAAGAGCACGTCTCTACGTCGACTAGCTTCAGCTGGCCACTTGAGCAGTGTTTTGACAAGCCCAGTGTCGGCGGTAAAGCCGAAGATGTGGAACTCATTGCTGCCCAAGCACCGAGAAGAGCCGGATCAATGACCTTGTCTGTGGTAAATCGAGCAGACGGGAACTGTTGTTCCTGCTCAGATGAATCAAGAGTCGGAATTGAAGCATTGCGCTGCGAAGTGGTGCCATCAGCCTGACATGATCGTCCAGAAGTCGAGACGTGTGGCGTACTAAACCTCTAAAGCCTGAAAAGTGTGAAGTGTCCATGATAAAGGTCCATCTCGAGCGCCAATGCCGTTGGCGTCTCTAGCAGAAGACAAGGCGCGAAGTTGAGAGTCTTCGTAGCAATCTTATCAATCAGCCGGTTGGAATGGTTCTCCCACCACGGTTCCTGCAATCCCATCATGTACCACCGCCGTTCGCTCAATTCTAGAGCCTCTCCAAACAGCAACGGATTGACTATCAAGCAGTCGAACACCAGTCGGCAAAGAGCACAGGTTGTGTAATTCACTTTCGCGTCTTGCGCTTTAGAGCCGCCCTGTGGTGCGGTCTCCGTAGTAAACATGGTGTGCAAGTCAATCGCGGCGCAGCTGGTGCACAACTGCGATGGCGACGGTGCTTCCACTCCGAGAGTCATCAGTGCATCTTCGCATTGACTGGGAGCAGATCCGAAGGATTTCGCAGCGTCAAAGCGAACAGCCATTAGTACGTTTTGCTGAGGTGAAATATCATCTTCCTCGTCATAGTCCACCGCCAACCCTGGCTCGAAAGGTGTCACAACAAGCCTGTATGAGCACCAGGCACGGTGCCATAGGTCTTGGCCAGGCTTTTCATGCTCCATCTGGGCTTGCAAGTCGCCAGACTCTTGTGACTTCGTCCGGACCGTAAGGCTGTAGGGCTCGATCAGCTTGGTCCGTGTTGAGGTCTTGACAGTATTTCCTGACTGTGACCATGCAGATATGAGCAGTACCCAGACCGAGCTCGATGCATAGCTGCACAAGGCCAGGCTGGAAGATGCTGCGAGCGGCCGCGCTTATCGACGAGAGTTGGGCTGTGTAAGAGAGTGCTCATTCGCAGCTTCAAGCATTTGCCATGGACCTCACTGTCTGCAATACAACATAATGCAGCCATTGGGCTCCAAACCATTGCTCCTGTGGCCACGTCGTGCTCAGTACTGCAATCGCGCAAGCGGCTGCTGCGGCTGAACAGGTGCCCGCCTCGCCCCGGACGCATTCCGAGCGGACGGCGCGACCTTGTGTCGGTGGGTGCGGCACCGGGCACTCGAACGAACGGGATCATAGTGCGTTGATGCTGATCATGATGGACCCATGAGAGAAGCACGAATGAGGGCGCCCCACCACTTCCACTCCGCACCGCCACGTGACTATTATCAGGTAAAGCAATCACTTTCTCAGCCTACATGTATTGAACCTCGTGCAAGCCTCACGACTGGATAGTCCTTTCAATGCAGAGGGCGAATGCTCTGCTGGCACCTATGAGCTGGCTTCGTCGTCAATGATCAGCACATATCTCCATCATTCACACACGATAGGTTAAGGAGACGAGTACAGGCCCAAGGCCCTGGGAGCAAAAGTATGCCATTCGTTCGTCTATGATATCGTGTCAACCAATCGCAATAAAGATAAATCTCAACTCCGGCTCGCTCGCTCGAACCTCACGGACAAAATCCAGAACCGCTGACATTGCCTCGCCTGCTCGCAGCAAAAGGGTATCATATGTTGCTAGAAGAAGAAAGAAACAACCGAATCGCATAGTACCGCCAGAAGCAAATCGCTCGCAACGCAGTCAATCAGAATTCAGGCTGTAGATGTCGTGACATCTTAATTCACCGCCTCACCCGTGAACGATCTCAGCAGCACAAAGCGCATCCGAGTCCGTCACGAAGCCCATGTTGGTCGCGACATTGTAATCGCACACCTCCTTCGCCCCAAGCACAGTCGTCATCGTGCCTGCGCAATCGCCGACCAAGATACAGTCCCAGCCCCAACTATATGCATCCGTCAGGGTACCAAGAAGACACTGGTCCGTGTTCACACCAGCGAAAAGCAAAGTCTTCTTCCCACTCTTGCGCAAGTACCGATGAAAAGGCAGTTGAGGTGACCAGAGTCCGGACATCCTCGCTTTGTCGAATCTTCGATCCTGCGGCTCCACGTATGGTTTCAGATCATCGAAGATATCCGCATTCCACGTCTTCTTAAACAAGCACCGCTCACCACCCTGCTCTTTCGGCAGTTCCGCGCCAAGACCGACATGCCAGCCGTGTCCCTTCTCATGGCTCAACGCTTTATTGAAACCTCGCGTCACGGCCGGCGGCATACGATTCAAATCCTGCTGATCGATACCCCAGTTGAGCCAGCATAGCTCTATCCCTTCTTTCCTGCATTTACTGATGACTTTGAGAAGCGGCTGTATCGTCTTGATCCCTTCTGCATGGTCGCGGAAAACGGGGTGCACGAAGAAATTCTGCATGTCGATTATGACGAGTAGTGTCTTTTCGGGATCGATCTCGACGCCTCGGTGGTTTCGGATGCCGTCGTCGGCGTCGACGGCTAGGCGGCGTTGGCTACCGCGGCTGAGGTCGAAGCGCCGGGTCGAGGGGTTGTAGAACCATTGGTCGTCGCCGCCTGGGAAGTGATGTTAGTGAGGTGTGGTGTTGGTGTGAGGGAGGGGCTCGTCAGAGGACTTGGTATGTACCAAAGGCGACATGGTCGTCGGTGTTGTGCTCGACCTCGGGAGTCGAGCCTCTGGAAGTGACGCCGTTGGTGGTGATGGGGTCAGTGGCCGATGGGGCCATCCAGGTGGGTGTGTTTCGGAGTCTCTGGAGCAGGGTAGTCGTCGCTTGGGGTAGCAAGTGTGTTCTCAGAGCACTGGCTATGATGGTCTATTTTGGTGGTGTGCAACAAGGTGGGGTGAGTAGGGTGGACAGAAATAGGACTGTCGCGTGCTGGTTGGGACGAAAGTTTTGGGCGAGGACGGTGAGGTGAGCAACGGCTATGAGTAACGAAACGATATAATGGACAGTGAGAGAGTATGAGTGTAGTATATGATGGGGTGGGAACAGTAAGAAATGGCCTTATCTATGTCTCGTCTCACCGCACTCGACTATTGGCATTCCGGCAAAGGGTCATCCTGATAAGGGCCGATGTGTTTGCTCTTGGGCGTAACACGACGGCTTGGCATGCCAGAACTCTGGGCTACTATCAGGCAGTAGATGTAAATCCTGATGAATTGATGGATGTATGGAAGACGGGAAAGAAGACCAGACGGGACGCATACGCATACATGTATTCTGTACCTGCATCTTGGTCAAGACGCGCCATCGCTCGCGTGCCTTTACCCGAAGCATGTGACGACGCCGGTGTTTCCTCGGCTCGAGCCAAACAAGCGAAGTGTGGCTGATGATGCGCAACCTCGCGCCGTGAACTTGTTGTATGCTTGGCCAAACACATGGGAAGTTGTTTCCTATTGCTTGGAACAATCGCCCACCCTCAGATCGACGACCCTGAAGACCTCGCCACCTCTCACCATACTCCATCGGACTCCCGATACCTCCTTCGGCGACGACCGGGAGTGTTTCGGCCAAGCTCAGGCCCTGAGCTAAGGTCACGTACCTGGAACAACCACGACCATCAACACTACCCGTGGCAATAGCACAAGATGACTGCCCTTGGAGAGAACCTCTTGGGGGTTGTCAATAAGTTACAGGTATAGCAATGCCAACAACGGCGCATAGACGACAAGTTGTAGCTCTAACAACACTCGAAGGACCTCGTCTTCAACACCATCGGCAACGACTCGCTTGATCTCCCACAGATTGTAAGCCTCACAACTACCGAACCCGGTCACATGCCACGTACTGACAGAATCTAGGTCGTCGTGGGCTCGCAGTCCTCCGGCAAATCCAGTGTCCTCGAGAACATAGTTGGCAGAGACTTCCTCCCTCGCGGTAGCGGCATCGTAACGCGACGACCTCTCATCCTCCAACTCATCAATGTACCATCCGAACGATCAGACAAAGACGAAGACCACGAAGTCCATGTGCCACATACTCCTGCCTCCGTAGCAGGCCAAGATGAGTTTGCCGAATTCAACCACATCCCTGGCCGCAGGTTCTACGACTTTGCTGAAGTGCGAAGGGAGATCGAGAATGAGACAACGAGGATAGCGGGAAACAACAAGGGTATCAACAGACAACCTATCAACTTGAAGGTCTACTCGCCGCATGTGCTGAGCTTGACCTTGGTCGATCTGCCTGGACTGACGAAAGTGCCCATTGGAGATCAGCCCACGGATATCGAGAAGCAGACACGAACATTGATCTCGGAGTATATTGCAAAGCCAAACAGCATCATCCTGGCAGTCTCGCCAGCAAATGTGGACATCGTGAACTCGGAAGCGTTGAAACTTGCGAGATGGGTAGACCCGACTGGCAAGCGCACGATCGGCGTGCTCACAAAACTTGATCTAATGGACCATGGCACCAACGCGCTGGACATCTTATCTGGAAGAGTCTACCCGCTCAAGCTTGGCTTCATTGGTGTGGTCAACAGGTCGCAACAGGATATCCAGACCAACAAGCCCATGTCGGAAGCTCTGTCCAACGAGCGGGAATTCTTCAGGATGCACCCAGCATACCGCAACATTGCTTCCAGATGTGGAACACAATTCCTGGCCAAGACACTGAACGTGACACTTATGGGACATATCCGCGAACGGCTACCAGATATTAAGGCGCGCCTGAACACACTCATGGGCCAGACACAGCAGGAGCTCGCATCGTACGGCACAGATGCGTTCACTGGCAAAGAACACCGAGGTTCGCTCATCCTTCAGCTTATGACACGATTTGCCACTTCTTTCATTTCCTCCATCGATGGTACGTCTTCCGAGATCAGCACCAAGGAGCTCTGTGGTGGTGCGCGCATATACTATATCTTCAATTCTGTCTTTGGCAACTCTTTGGAATCTATCGACCCTACGCACAACCTCTCTGTGCTTGATATCCGGACTGCGATTCGCAATTCTACCGGACCACGACCATCTCTCTTCGTACCAGAACTTGCATTTGATCTGCTCGTCAAACCACAAATCAAGCTATTGGAGATGCCCAGCCAGAGATGCGTGGAGCTAGTGTATGAGGAGTTGATCAAGATATGTCATACTTGCGGCTCTACCGAGCTATCACGATACCCACGACTACAAGGAAAACTTATTGAGGTTGTCTCGGATCTGCTGCGCGAACGACTAGGCCCGTCTTCTTCATACGTGGAGAGCTTGATCTCAATCCAACGAGCATACATCAACACTAACCACCCCAACTTTCTTGGCGCCGCAGCAGCTATGAGTAGCGTAATGCAAGACAAGCATGAACGAGACAAAAAGGCCGCAGCTGCTGAGGAGAAGCGGAAACGCGAGACTCGCAGACGGAAGGAGCTAAATGGTGTCAATGGAGTAGATACACCCGACGAAGAGGAAGAAGAATCTCACAACACAGTCTTACCAGTACGAGCAGTGGCCAGACCGGCTGCGGCACGAAGCATGTCCCCCGCCATTGGTCGCGACGGCCAACGATTAGGTCACCACGCTAACAGCATATCCGGCACCAACCCAGCCACAATGGCTGGACGCGACAGCTTCCTGAACTACTTCTTCGGCAAAGAGAATGGCCAACCTGGTCCTCTCCCAGGCCAAATGCCAGGTCAAAGTGCCGCAGGCGGTCTACCGGGTATTTCCAGCCGACACGTGAGCCAGAACATCGAACCCTCGATCGCAGCAAGTTTCAGAAGACCCGATAATCGCTTGTCGGCCTTGCCACCTGTCGACTATAGTAATGAGGACGGTATGGGTGGGATGATGGGAGGAGAAGAGAGTAATGGCCTGGTACGCTCCCCGCACTACGACATGCTCAGTCATCACCGAAATGATTTCACTGACATCAACGGTGTACAGGACGATCCCTCCGGCCCGGCCTTGACCGAACGCGAAGCCCTCGAGACCGAACTCATTCGCCGGTTGATCAGCAATTACTTCAATATCGTGCGAGAGTCCATCGCCGATCAAGTTCCTAAAGCGGTCATGCATTTGTTGGTGAATTTCTCCAAGGATTCCGTGCAGAATCGGCTGGTAAGTAAGTTGTATAAGGAGGGGTTGTTTGATGAACTGCTTTATGAGGATGATGCGGTGAGGGACGAGAGGGAGAAATGCGAGAAACTTCTGAACACTTATAGGGAGGCGGCGAAGATTATTGGGGAGGTGTTGTAGGGTGGGAGGTGGTCTGGGATCCTGGGTTCATGGGACTAGACCATTTCAGCTTGGTTCGAGGAGGTGGTGGGTCTGTGGGATGTGTATATTGTTTGCCTTCTCAGCTTAGAATGTACATCAGCGCTGGCCAGGGTGGTATGGTATGGTGGGTGGGGGATGCGGTGGTGGAGGCGTTTGAGCACTCTGCTAGGCTGCCGCTTCCTGTCCGTCAGCCGGCGCTTCTTCTGCATGTACGAATAGATGCCGCCTTATTCTGGTTATTGCTGTAGACAACCCCTTACCATGTACCATAGATCTTCTTCCATGTCATCGAGCGTGCTTGTCTTGTCTTGGTGTACCTTCCTCGTTTGGCTGCGGGGCAACCATGTTCACTAGCGCGTGCAGGCACCCGAGCTCTTTCTCTCTTTGATGGGCTTGACTTCACTACTACGCAGTCCACCTCAATTCCAATCAAGCGACAACGATGAAGGGATTAGTGCACCTCATGCTTGCTTTGACGGCGGGTTCAGTGGCCGCAAGCCCGTTGCATGATGTGCAGACGCCGCTAGCATTGGCCAGGCACGGAGCGAAGGTCGATCTCATAAACGAGTACGTTCGCTCTGAGTCGGTAGGTTTGTTCGTTTTCTGACTGACTGAGGAATACCGGTACAGACTCAAGAAAGCAGAGATCATACCTCAGATCCTCGACGACTTCGTGCCCGAGCTCACCGTCGCGGCGTTCTGGGATCATGCTACTGCTGAGGTCGGCAATACTGTCAATCCGGAGCTTACACAGAAGAGACCTAATCTGCAACTTATCGACTATATTTCGGATGACTTTGTGGCGACTACCCGATCACTGTTGGAGCCCAGCGTTCAGTTCACGGTTGCTTTGACCGACCCGGATGCTCCGAGTAGAGATGATCCGAAGTGGAGTCAGATGTGCCATTGGATTGCTACGAATGTGTCTTTGACTGAAATGGATTCATTCCGAGATCTCCTATCTACCAGACCTTACCAAGAAGACAACGCTTTAGTCGAGACTCAATTTAGCAAAGGCATGGTCACCATCATGCCATACAAGGCGCCTGGCCCGCCACCGAAGACGGGAAAGCATAGGTACATCTTCGTTGCTCTGGCGCCGAAGAATAGGACAACAGAGACGTTACGTTTGGTGAAGCCAAGCGATAGGCAGTACTGGGGCTATGGAAAGGAGGGTAAAGGGGTCAGAAACTGGGCGGAGGAGATGGGGCTCGTTGTGGTTGGTGAGTGTCTTGTTCGCAGTATCCGTCGTTGTACATCATCTGGATCAGGTGCCCTTGTGGCATTGAGCCCGCGCTGCCCAGCCTTCCTCGACATCGCTAATGCTTTGCAGGTGCCAATTTCGTATATGCGCAGAACAAGAAGCAATGAGACCATGAGGCTGGCACAACGTAAGCAGGTCGACTGCTGGTTTTGCGCACGACATTGCACACCACGCCTGCGGTTGACAACGCGCCCACTAATCGAGTGCCAAAACACTCACAACGTCAGATTGATGAAGCATGCCATCTCGACGCCATCGCCACTGACGTGTCTCACTTGGAACAAAGCTTCGGTCAATTAAGCAAGTGAATGATGCATGGTCACCAGGGAGACGCGCGGTCGTGCTTCTCCAACTTAGTGAGAGGCGGAAGATGGGAGTGTCTGCAGCTTGTTTACCAAGAAGATTACCAGCTATAAGTTCCAAGAGTTGGGCACACCGCAGCCACGCGCAAGTCAGAAGACTTCTGCCTGCCACGTTAGTGTCAGCTTTAGTACAGGCCTGGTAATCTCAACAATTACCTCAATTGTTCGAGCACAGGTTGACGACCAACGCAACATGACCATCGTCAGGGCAGTTCTTCACACCGCCAGAATAATCCGTGACATGTCCACAGGAATCTGCCTTCGGCCCACTCGACGTGACATTGATACTCTGCGGATCAAGAGGCCCACCATTGGAATTCCCAGTCGCCAGATCCCACCACAGAGTCCCATCCACCGTGCTGGTTCCGAAGATGCCTTTCTTGCCGTTCGCGTCCCAGTAGTCGCCTGGCTCTTTGGTGATGCCGACGCTGTTGCCTTTACCGACGATGTCAGTGATGAAAGCAAGACCGGAGTTGAGAGTGAGGGCAGGCTCAGTGGCGGTGGCGTTGGACAGGGTCAGGGAGACATTGTAGGTGCAGTAGTTGTTGATCTCGTAGGATGTGGCGTGAGCAGAGACAGCGAAGGCCAGTAGGCTGGCGGTAGTGGTGCTGGTAGTACGCATTCCGTCTTACTGATGGAAGTTATTGTTTGAAGGCGATGTTGTGGTGGAATAGATGCAGACGACTAGGGTGGGTGATATAGCAACGCCAAGAACAATCTCAGTCAGTAATATGATTCACAATTACATCCTTGCGCAGCATGACCACAGCAGTTGCACAGTACTCGTACTCCGCCACTTGTGCTGGTGCAACTGCGAAGCTTGTATCGCTGCTCTTCGTCGTATCAGCCTGTCATTGCAAAGACCACATACCAACGTGTCAGGTGGGAAATTGTCTTAGGCGAGTGGTACCTTGCAGCCGAGACCTCGTACCTTGCAGCTCATTGTTCAGCAACGAACTCACACAGCACAAGCCCACTGTCATTTCGAAATGTCATGAGCATGAATGTCTTGAAACCGACTAGCACAAGACTTTCCTTTGTCCTCCAGACATGCCAAGGTCCTCGTGTTTCGTGCAGTGATGATTGGGATCGGTGCAGACTTTCGGAGTAACCGTACAGTACTGGCAAAGAAACCAGAACTTGTTGAAGGGCGCTACATACTGTGTTTGTAGCAGTGCAGCCGGGAGGCTGACTTAGCTGCGCGTGGTGCGGTTGTACTTGTCGACCTCAAGCCCTTTGGGCTCGTCACGGCTTCTTTGTGCCGGACGTCGCCTCCCAATCACTTTCAGCGAGCGATCAGGCATACCTCGACCGTTTGGCGTGGCGATTGACGCCTGTGTGGACGGTGATGGAGATCTTCTAACCCTGCTTTGCCTTGGTCGCGGCCTGCGAAGCTTCTGCATGTCACATAAGCAGTCAGCTATTAAATCCCTCAATGTGGAGTCTGTGCCATATCGTACCCCTTCTTGTTGCATCCTCGAGCAGTGGTGTGTCTACTGCAGCAGCTGGCAGGTGCACATAGCGCACAACACTGCCACGAATGAAGACATTTTTGACTGAGCTCTGTAATCCCAATACGTCAGCCAGTATCCTTGTCCTCGTTTGTATCCTGCAATTGCCGATTCATATGTGGTAGCATCCGTGGCTCTCCTGTACAAGTGCTCCACACAGGACAGCAATGAGTCCCTTCGCAACTATCATGTCCACGCCTCCTCGACTGCCACTCCGTCCCCTCGATCTTACTCACCAGATGTGGATATTTCAACTCTTCGACTACCGAGATATCGTCCAGCTTGATGTTCAAGTACTGATCCACGCTCTTCAATGTTCCACGGATTGATATATCATTCTTGAGCTCGACGGTGACTTCGTGGTTGACCAGCGTCTTGAAGAAGCTGAAGAACAGCATATTGACTCCTCGTCTCGTTGGCTGTGTTCTCTATTGATTCAGTGTTGACATGCCGGCAGTGATGTGAAAACAATACTGCTCGTTGTTCGCAAGCTTCACTCGTGATGAGAAAGCACCGTCACGTGCGGGGCCTTCCTTCACACAGCTGTGGACTTTCACACTATTGAACACCGTTACCGCAATAGAGATGACTCTCGGACTGAGAGAAAGATTGATCGAAGCGAACGTAGTTGGGTATCAAGGAAAGTATAAAACATGATTATTATAGAGCATATTCGTCAAAACACATCAACACCATCGCAGCAACAGATAGCAACACACTCTACATCGGCTTCCTCGCCCATCCAACCAAGCACTTCCACCCAGCGTTGCCCTTACCACCCTCCTCAAGTGCCTTGGCAACACCCTCAAGACATCTCCCTTCATGTCGTCCCATCTCACCGTTGAGCTTCACCATCCACTGCTCCCACATCCTCGCTCCAACCAACCCAGTCATGGCGCGGACGTCCTTTGTGCTGCCAGTGACTGGTGGGTCGTAGTAGGTCACGCTACCGTCAGCTGCGATGCAGCGCTCAGCGTTGGGTCCGAAGTAGTCTTCCCGCTTTGCACCGGGAGTAATGGTAGCGCCGCTCGAGCCACTGCTAGGGGTCTTGCCGCTATCGGTCCATCGAGGCAGGACATCGGCTACTGGTAGGATCATCCAGGCTCGCTTGATATCGCCAAAGCCAGCACGTTTGAGACGAGGCAAGAAGTTCTTGCCAGCTGATGGGTCGTAGCCTCGAGTCTTCAGGTTGAAAGCAAACTCTACGCTCAAAGCTTGACTGATTTGCTCAGGATGCACAAGCTCGGCATCAAGAAGGTCGAACTCGACGTAGCCACCACGCTTGAGTACACGGAAGCACTCTCGCAACGTCAGGTCCCACTCATCGGCTGCTTGACCCTTGGGCCACGTAGTCTTCAGGTAGGCATAGAGGTTGCGTGCGCTGATGACATCGAAAGTGTTGTCCTCGAAAGGTAGCTCCCATGGCCTTGGCGCTGCGATGACGAAATGGTTATCAGGTCCGTCGAGCGAAGACTCGGCAACATGTGCTTCGGCGTCAGACGACACAGTAGTGTATACTGAAGCATCCGGATGATCCGCAGCGACACTCCATGCCCAGCCACAGTGCACCTGGCCAGCAATGTCAAGTATCTGGACATCACGGCGAACCTTGAAAGAGGACACTACCGGGCTGGTAAGGAGTCTACCACCATTCACCTCCTTCTGTGCGGACAGTGCCCATGCCGACGATTGCATCTGGTGCAGTGCTTGCCTCTCTCGCTCGACACGCTCGATGACTTCCTTCTTTTCGTCCTCGGTCGTGGCGGGTAGCATCGAAGAGATAGGTCGGGATGGTGCAGGTCGGTCGGTGAAGGTGATCTCATATCTTCCTTGCAGCTGCTGAAGGTGATCCTTAGAGCAGCTGCTTCGACGAACATGATCTGCCTCAGCGCGAGCCTGGCGGTGTTGGAAGACGTCGCGTGCACGTTGAGATCGCTTTGCATGGCGCCATCCCTGCCAGAATGTGCCATCGTGGATTGGCGAGATGCGCTTGCCAGGCTCAGACTTGAGCTTATTAACTGGCGACGTGCCGGCGGCGAAGCGTACGGACTTCTTGCTTGGTGAAATATCTAGAGTCGGCTGTGACTCTTGGTCAGGCGTGACTGGGACTGCGTCTGCGATGTCTCTGAAGCTTGCGTTCATCTCTTCTGTATCTGCTTCGTCTTCACATATCGCCTTCATGTAGTCGGTCTGAGCCGAAAGCCACAGCTGTGTCCGGTCAATGTTGGTTGAAGCAGTTTCTTGCAGCACAGACTCGTAGGTATCATCAATTTCTTCGACTTCGGAGATGATGTCCGTGGGGGAGAACATGATGCGGCGAGCTGTGATGGGTGCATTGTCGCTTTTTGGCGAGGCTACGGCAACGGTCTGCTCGACGGCATTGTCGGGCCTTGATTTCCAAGGAAGATCGTAAAAGGAGGTTGCCATGCTCGTAGGTAGGGGTGGTGCAGCATCTTGTCGGAATGGCACGCCGTAGAACTGCGCGGCGACACCTGTAGTCGGAGCTGGCGAGGCGCCTGACCACGTTCGGCGGACGGAAGAGTCCAGCGACGCAAAGAAACCACCCGGCGATGGTACCGAGAGCGCGGAGAGCTCATCGTCAGCATCGCTTCGATCGCCCATATCCTTCGCGGATGTCTGAGGCTGAAGGTTCTTGGTGTCAATGCCCAATAGTCGGCCGGTAAGTGGCGGTGACTCGATGATTTCTCTCATCTCAGAGATGGCTTCTTGAGGCACCTCAATGACCGTCTCCTGTTGGTCGTTGCTCTGCTCGCCCTCTGGATGGATTTGTTGGAGCAAGAAAAGAGCCATCGGATCGAGCTGCATTGGAGCCTCGTCTTCAATGTCTGCGGCTTGCTGTAGATCTGGCGTTGATGGGCAGCTTGAAATTGCAAGCTCCTCGGACGTCAGGCTGCCATCGAGCGACGGCGCAGAAGACGAACTTGGCACACGTAGTGATCTTTGTTGCAGGTGTGACAGTGCCTTGGGTGATAACACCACATTGACGGGGGGCGACATTGTTGTAGTAGACCTGAGCTTCTCGATTGTTGGCCACTGGCTTGGCGATGGGATGATGAGCGATGGGTATCGCTCTGGCTTTGGCACGTTCATCCTCTTCTTCACAGAGCCAGAGAGCTTGAATGGTAGATCATCGACCTCGCTCTCGCTGACATCGTACAGCTCGTCATATTCGGACTCAGACGAACGCTTGCTCCATAGTGAGTCCTCATCAGATGACTGAGTAGCAGAACTTGCTGGGCTAACCGGAATGTAGGTCGAGTTCCCTCTGGGTGTCGGGAAGTCGTCGCTCATAGGCGAGATGATCTTCGGCCGCTCCATAAGCCGCTGAGGAGGTGCTCGTCGGAGTGATACCTGTGGTGCATCTTCAATTACTGTATTACGTAGATTGTCGCGGCCCGGCGCGGCAGTCTGCTGGGAGTAGCTAGCCATGCTGAGTCAAAGGATTGTTTTTGTCGTTTTCTGTATTCCTTACTGCCTTCTTTCAAATGATGGTATACCCGGCCAGCGGTGTTAGAATGTACAAGCTTCGATCAACGAAGCGTTACCCGAAAGCAGAAGGAAACAAGAAGAGAGTGATGCTGACACAGAGACGTAGAGGTCACGGTATGGGAGAAGGCCAGAAGGTCCGGCAAGCGAGAGTACATGAATCCTTATACCGAACTTACTGGTTCATGCTCACAGGCTAGCGCCCAAGTGGAGCGTCATGCAGCGATGGTTTGCAGGCGTTTAGCAAGATCGCATGTGCTCAGCAGGTGGAAACGTGGTCAAGGCTGGCGCTATTGAAGAGCCTCATCCTGTGGCCCCAACTTCTGGTTGGCTGTTTGTGAGATGGCTGAGTCAAAGCGAGTCAAAGGCCAGCGAACTGGACCGTATTCGGTCGAAGATGGGGCCTGCGGTACCCATGAGCGCGAAGGATGCTGAGGTTTGGATGGGTGGTTGAGAGCAGGCGCTGGTTGTTGATGAACGTCTGAAGTGGGCGCTTAAGCATCGTCCAATCACAGCTGCATATACGCTACACAGCAGTATTGGCCGGCTTAGCCTGTTCTGTCACGGTTGAAGCCGTAGCAGCATGTGTATTGCGCCATGCTCGAGAAGCGCGTAGAAGCCAGAGTAAGACACATTCATATAGCGTGAATGTCACGGACGGGAGGTTAGAAGTGGAAGTCGGGAGACGAGCGCGTGGTTAAAGCTCGGCTGAAGTCCCGGATCGACGGCGGAACCGGCCGCAGCTATGATGCAAGCTTCAACAAATTATTGTATAGCTCATCTGCTCTATCTGGGTAGTGTGCTGGATTCCACATCCACTCAGTCTTGACCGAGTTAGCATCAGGCACACTATTACAGGGCAACCATGGCTCCGTCCGCAATCATTGCCCCCTCGATCCTCAGCGCAGACTTTGGAGCATTGGGCAAGGCATGCTCAGATACGATCGGCCACGGAGCAGACTGGCTCCATGTGGACATCATGGACGGCCACTTCGTCCCCAATATCACATTTGGAGCACCAGTAGTCACCAAGATCCGGTCACATGTTGATCGGCCCAAGAAGGCCCTCGGAAAAGGAACATTCGATTGCCATATGATGATCAGTGAGGTGCCGTAGAATCTTGGTCTCGGGTTACAATGGCGGGCGCTGACAAGCGCAGTAGCCGAAGAAATGGGTGAAAGAGTTTCAAAAGGCTGGATGTGATCTATATTGCTTCCACTACGAAGCTGCCATGGACTCTACGGCGGCCGAGTCTCCTGAGACTGAGACTGATAAGAAGACCAGCCCAAAAGAGCTTATCAGATACATCCATGAGCAGGGCATGCGTGCTGGCGTTGCGATTAAGCCCAAGACGGATGTGAGCGTGCTGTACGACCTCTTCGACGGCGGTGACAAGGAGGAAGTGCCAGATGTATGTAGACCGAATCTTGCGCTAAGATATCTGCTGATCGATCGTAGATGGCTCTAGTCATGACAGTTGAACCAGGTTTCGGCGGCCAGAAATTCATGCCCGACATGATGCCGAAGGTTCAGGCTTTGCGGAAACGCTACCCAGATCTCAACATCGAGGTTGATGGGGGGTTGTCAGAAAAGACCATCGACACAGCTGCAGATGCTGGAGCTAATGTCATTGTTGCTGGAAGCGCAGTGTTCGGTGCACAAGATCCGAGTGATGTGATTCGGAAGCTCAGAGAAGCAGTGGAAGGTCGCCGATGACTACAGGAACACCACAGTCACCTCTGATATGACTTCAGCCCTTGACGTGGGCTCAAGATGCTATTGTCCGCAGATGCGACCGAGTGCGCACCATACATAGACTTTGTTTCAGAATGTGACGGTCCGAGGCCTGAAAGGCGTGCTTTCACCATCTGTTTTCTCTTTCGATGTAGCTCAGTATGTGTTTCAGGTCACCCTTCCACTAAAAGATAGGCCCGGATGCGGCTGTGGTTAGGGTTTTGACACTTCCCGAAAGGCTATCGCTTAGTCATCTTGTCCGTGCATGACACTCCACTACAAGTCGATGCGATGATTTGAACATCATGCTAGTGCTTACCCGAATCAAAAGCAAACTAGGATCCATCCATGAGCTTCATACTGCCGTACCTGAGATGCACAGAGGCCCTCGACTGCCATCTTGCGAGACAGGGGCTGCGACGCCAATGGACACCAGGGGCCAACCTCCGGATCTTACGCGCAGATCGCACGCCTTACCGGTGAAGACTATCTGGCCGGAGCAAACGCTTTTGTGCCATCAACACGATCAGATGGGGCCAAAAGCGTTCGAGCTCTGCCGACTCCGCACGAACGCTTTCCTGATGATGGTCGGTTTCTCCTGAGTTATGCGAGCTTCTTACCAAGCAAACAGACGAACGAACTCGAATGCTTGTAAAGTGACGATTGGGATTGTGCTGCTACAGGCTTGTGAGTAAGCTCATGATGCCTGGCAGCAATCACGTACAGTTAGCGCGAAAGCTATCATTCGTAGAGAAAGGTGTGCGACCTATCCGGAGGTCGTTCAGCCTGTCCGTCTACCCTCATCCTTGTGAACCTGCCGTGCGCTCAGCCTTGTACCTCGATAACATGATCGACGAAATTGGCTAGTGGCAAAGGAGACATGCTTTCTGGTAAGTCTACTACACTTCTATCGGTTTACACCTCTGTTGGTTTCGCGGTTCTGCTTGACACCATAACTTCCTTGACTCGGATATTTCATGCTCTCAGTTCCGTTCGCTACCGTCAATCGTTGGCCGTATGTGCTGACGTCGCCGTCATCGAGCCTGGGTTCTACATCGTCCTACTAGTACCGCTGCAAGGTCTTCGTTCGCTGGCTACACGGAGAGGCTCATTGATGTCAAGTCTGCCGCAGGTCGTGAAAATTGGACTGCTCGGTGATCATTACATGCTTCGAGAGCCTACAAAGGCGGGCTTCAGGCCACCTGCCGCTTGACTGCATCAGCCATATCCACGGCATTTGCTGCATTGACTCTTGCGAACTCGCACCCTTACAACACGCGTCAGTGGGAGCAAAATCTCGAGCGTGGCAAGGCTCGATAATGCCACCACGATTTCTGGAACGAATGGAACGCCAGACGGCTACTATGAACACAGTCTTTGGCGGATCTCAAGCCGACCCCCCACCTTACCCATACTCGAGGACAAGATCTAGTACAGCTATTTCGCAAGGATCGTCACAGTCTCTGTCTACCGGCAAAGCGCTACCAACACCTCCACCGACTTACCGACCGCTTGAGAAAACGCGGGATCTTGAGCGATTCGCTCTACCCAATGGTTCACTAGTGCTGGTCACCGGTGCAAATGGCTGGCATGGAATGCACATCTGCGATCAGCTATTACAGCATGGCTATCGTGTTAGGGGCACCGTCCGAGACGAGCGAAACGCGATGTCTTTGGCGAAGTACTTTGAAAGCAAATATGGCGCTGCTCAATTCCAGCCAGCGATCGTGCCGGACATGGTGGTGCAGGGCGCATATAGTGCTGCTGTACAAGGCTGTACGGGCGTCGTCCACTCAGCTTCGGTGATGACCTTCGACACCGATCCGCATGAAGTCGTCACACCTTCGATCGCTGGAGCACTGCATGCACTTGAGGCTGCAGCGGCAGAGCCTGGAGTACGACGATTTGTGTATTGTAGTGCTACGGCGGCGGCTGTGATGCAAGGTGATGGTAAGCGGAATGAGGTGACTCACGAAAGTTGGAACATGGCAGCATTCAGAACAGCTTGGGGAACGGCCTCGGACGATGAAGCGAGAGGGTTTGCTGTCTTTGCTAGCAGTAAGATGCAGACTGAGCAGGCAGTATGGCGGTGGTATCGAGCTAAGCGGCCACTGTTCACGTTGAACACAGGTGCATAATACTCCTCAAAATGTGAGAGTGATGATGAATGCGTGCTGATACACAAGCAGTCCTTCCTGGCGTACTATGGGGCGCAGTGCTCGATCCATACTGCCAAGCCATGCGAACTTCGGTCGCTCAGCTAGGTCTGATGTTTGAAGGGGATGCAGCAGCAACGGCATGGATACCACCACGTGAGGAGTGTGCTTCGATATGGCAATTGTACAAGCTGACTTTCGATGTCCAGAATACTTTGTCGACGTGCAAGATTCAGCACTCCTACACGTAGCGGCACTCATCCTTCCAGATGTCCGAGGCCAGCGCATATTCGCCGTCGAAAGTCCTTACAATATCAACTCCGTCCTGCAGCTTTTGTGCATGATCTATCCGAACAGAGTGTTCAATGGCGATGTCAGCGATCATGGTATCGATCTGACTGTCTTCAAAGAGGCACCTTATGCTGAAGGCTTGCTGAAACGTATGGGGAAGGAAGGCTGGACCGACCTCGAGACTAGCCTGAGTCGAAACTGTGAAGCGTTTCTTGATGACGGTGATCAGAAGGCGGCTATATGAATATTACGACCGATCGTAAAAAGAGTTTTCTTCGGGGTCGTCTGTTACTTCAGATGGCAGCTATATTGCAGCATATACTTTCTTGTTGCTTCCAGTCGTGCCTTCCTGTTTTGCTTCAAAGTGCAAGAGCAAGCAGCAGGAGCAGCGCATGATGACCCCTTCAACGCAATGATATCTCGGAGCTCGCACGAACAAGGCTGCACAGCCGTGAGATCGTTGATAGTATGAGCACCGAAAGGTGGGTGCTTTCCAGACTGGTCAAGGTGGTCTTCCCATGGTCTGAGCTTTGAGCTGAAACGCCAAATGCGGTTTTCAGTGCTTCTGCTCTGACTCCTCCTCCTCCTTAGACCTCACTCGATCCTCCGCTACGATTACAGCGTTCGCAGATTTCACTGCATCCCTCGACCGTGCAGAGACTCCGGCCACTGATGGACTGAAGGCACTATCGCTCGTGTCGCGTCCTCCACAATGTCTGACTCTCAGGACATCATGTTGGTAGACGAAATCCCCGAAGATGATGCCAATGTTCTCGGCAAGGACCTGGCCAAGCTAGAAATTTCCGTTACTCAAACAGCTAATCCAGATCAAACAAGTGTCTCCAAGATCTTCAGACTCATCCCTCCACAACGCAAGCCGAGAACAGGGAGCAGAAAGAAGCGAATTGAGGCCATCTTCGAACTCTTCGATGCCCGCTATGGTCGCGATGAGCACAATCTCGCCGCATGGAAGATACTGTGCAATGACCTGGACTTTGAAGAAGGCCAGACCATCACACAATGCAAAAACGTACAGACAAGCCCTTCCTGCTTGAATACACATGCGGCCAGCGCCTGACAGCTCCTCAGAACCTCGAGCTGGTGCACGTCAATGTTTACGAGTTCTACTTCTCCCAGATCGACTTCACTCAAGAGTGCAGACGTTTCGGCATTGAGGAAGAGTTACGCGGCTCCTCAAACGAGAATGACCTTTTCTGTCTATTGAGAAGGGCTAAGAACAACCCTTTATTGAAATGGTTGCAGAAATGGATGCTTATCAAGATGTGAAGTGGCAGTGGTTTGCAGGCTTGGTGTTAAGATGAATAGAAGTCGTCTTGATATGCTCGCAGCGCGGTGAATGTTTCCAAGTTGACAGCCTAGGTCGCTGGTGGTCCCTGTTGCTATCACCACTAGCTCGTAATGACGTCCAGACTATGAGACGCCCTCAGATGCGTGCTGAGCATGGATCATAACCTCTCAAGCTCCGGCAGAAAAACCTCCCATATTGCAAGAGTCCAAGCACTCTAATCGGACCACTGAGGTATTGCCGGTTGTGTGTGGTGTCGATGAAAGGCTGCCGGCGCACGTTGGTGAATGATGCCAAGACTAATGCACCGTCGTCACGTGAGCGAAAGTGCCGACCCACTCACAAACGCATATTTCTAGCTGGTCATGCGAACGCTGTCGAACCTTTCCTTTGCACCGTATCGCACATCTCGGCAGCAGATCATCTTCAGACCGTGGCGCAAGCGGCAAACACCCTGGTTTTAGTGCACTTCCACGAATGTGTCGAGTCCCAGCAACTGTGAAATCATCTCACTGCCATGGCGGACGCTACACGAAAGCTTTATCATGCCACGCCCGGTACATATCGATCGCACGCTCGCGGCACGCCTCAATCTCGACCAGGATGCGCTGGCCAAGTACCTCGCGACCTTGAACATCTCTACCACAGCCGGCACGGGAGCTGCAGCCACCGCCAATACCACCAGCGTCTCCCTTCTACCCACGAGCACGACCTCCTCCACGTCCACGCCAGCGCTCACTCCTTCCGAAAACTCGCGCGACAACCGCGGCGGCGCATGCCTCACCCCTCGCGCCACTTCCACTACCGCGTCTACCTCTTCTCGCGCACACGGCGTTCTGCTCACTCCTTCTGCTTCGACCATCACTTTCTCCGCCGCTAGCTCAGCTGGAAGTGACAATGACAGTGCGAGCTCCACTCCCACCATCACCAACACACGCGACGACACTGTCTCTATCAGTGGTGCCTCCTCGACCCCGACGAACGAAGACGTCCTCGCCTTCTTCAATACCCAGTACGGCAAAGGCGGGAGACTCGAGGGGTACCAGAAGCTCTGCGAGCACCTCGACGTCTCACCCATCCCGAGTTCGATCACTCGGTGCAAGAAGGTATGTTCATCCCGCCCAGTTCCACCAGCGTAATGCTCCTTTCCAAGGAAACCACGCTGATCACACCCCATAGGCTCTCGAGGACATCCACATCAACATCCGCGACTTCGTCCAGGCCTACGAGAACGGCGATCCCGTCCCGCGCTTCTCTTCCGTCAGTGGTCTGCGTCAAGATATCAAGGGCGGTCGTCAGTACCCACTCAAAATCGCAAAGGCAAATCCAATCTTGAGCGGTATGCTCGTCACAGTCTACTTCAAGAAGTAGCGGCGAGGCTACTGGAGGTTGTCTTGAAGGCAGCCTTGGGAGTGGCGGTCGGTTCTGACTAGATCATTGGCAATAGCTTGGATCTATGCCTTAGGCCTATGAGACTTGAATGAATGCAGTAATCAAGATGGTCCGAATTTCAGGTCCGCGATCGTAAAGGGCCAGGTGGCTGATGTTCATAGCGGTCTCGTTGCAAAGCCTATCTAATGTCATACCTGATACTATCGTCCAAAGCAGCATCGTATCACCACGGCGGACTGGCAGTACAGCGCTAAGATCAATCGCATGCACAATCGTTACGAAAGTTCCTCAAAACTTCTTCTTCCCAGCCATACTCTTACTCAAAGCAAGCAGCTTCCTCTTCCTCTCCTCCTTCTCCCTCTTCAACCTGCCTTCCTCCTGCAAAGCAACCTGGTCCTCCCGCCTTGCAGCCTTCAACGCTGCATCCTCCTCAGCCTCCAGCTCATCGAAGCCACCTTCCATATCGTCCTCGCTGTCGTCATACCCACCTTCCTCTTCATCCTCGATCTCGTCGTCCTCCGCATCGTCCAGGTCGTCCCAGCTGGCGTAGCCGCCATATTTATCCTGAGCGAGACCCTTCTTGGGAGGCGGTTTGGGAGCAGAGGGGTCGGCTTTGCGCATAGTGCCTTTGTACGACAGGGGTTCCGCGGCGGCTTTCTTCATGGTGCCTTTGTATGATGTCTCCTGAGGTAGAACTTTCTTCGCGCCGTTTAGTCCTGGTATACTGTTCGGCGTCCCACTTCGACTGCGATCTGCGAGCGCACCTTTCCTGCCCGTTTTCTGCAGTTTGGCCTCCTCCATCAACTTCACCCGCTCCTTCCTCGTCAGCTTCTCCACAGGTTTATGCTTGATTCCTCCACCTGATGTAGCTTTCGACGCTGCTTCTGCGACTTTTGCTCGTTCGAGGATGGATGCGAAGCCTTTCTTTGACTTGGTTGGACCATCTGCTGTGCCGGGCGGGGTTGGTGTGCTGCCGACTCCATTCTTGAGAGGTTGTTGGACAGATGGTCTTGCTGAAGTCGCCGAGGCTGATGTTGCTGTGTTCGCTGCCTTGGCTGTGGTGTTCTTCGTGCTTAATTGGAACCGTCCGGAAGATGCTATCGGTCGTCCAGATGTGCTGCCCTGCTCAGTCTTGATCGTCTTCGCTGTCGGCTGCTGGGTGTCCGGATCTTCTGATCGCCTCTTCACACCTGCTACGGCATTGTTGGGGGTGAGCTTGAAGCGGTCTGCTGCTCCGTCTGCTTTCGTAAGTGTTTGAGTAGTCGTTGACCGGCTCGATGCCGGACTTTGTGCAGCCTGTGACTTGTCGCCCAGAGTCGAGAGAAGAGAGCTGAAGGACTACGATTGTTTCAGCTCATTCCATTCATATCATCAATAGAAACAAACAAACAGTCATGATCAGGCTGTCCTATCTCCGGTCATGAATCGCGATGTTGATGCTCATGACAGCGTTTCGATGTTGATTTAGGTCATCAGAAATGGATAGGGCGATGTAAAGTATTCATGCTGTATCAGAAGATGTAAGTTGTATTCAAAGAAGTGAAGTAAAGTGACATCTCGTCTGCCCTCACTGCTACCGCGTCACAGGAACGATCCGGCACTGGTTGAGGCAACTTTAGCGAGGGCGCACGGATTCCATCGCCAAGACTTTCCTGGCGCACGTAGAATAATTCTGGCGGGCTGCAGCTTGACAGACACTTCCACGCAAAACGCATATCGAAAGAACCTGAAGATCTCAGTCCGCACTGCAACAACAGTGCTTAAATCGATTGAGTCTCTTGTTCACTACCACAACACTCACAACGTAAGCGTTACCGCATGCACTTTCGTAGTAGCGACAACGCTGCAGTCACTGATATAGGATTTCGACAGCAACCTCCAAAATGAAGCATTTAGCAGCATACCTCCTCCTCGGCTTGGCCGGCAACACCTCTCCTTCCGGCGATGATATCAAGGAGGTTCTCAGCTCTGTTGGTATTGAGGCCGAGGATGACCGTCTTGCGCTTCTGTTGAAGGAGTTGGAGGGCAAGGACATCAACGAGGTATGTTCACAGCATTACACCTACGACAGATGCGACGATCGCAAAGTATGGCTACTGGAACACCTGCTAATATGTATGTCCTACAGCTCATCAAGGAAGGTACCGAGAAGCTCGCCTCCGTCCCATCTGGTGGTGCTGGTGGCGCTCCCGCCGCTGCCGCTGCCCCTGCTGCTGGTGGTGCCGCTGCTCCTGCTGAGTCTGCTGCTCCTGCTGAGGAGAAGAAGGAGGACAAGGAGGAGTCTGATGAGGACATGGGCTTCGGTCTCTTCGACTAAGCATGTCGCTTTCCATCAACAAATCCCGAACTCGAGCTTGTGGAGGACGGTCGTGGACAGGACTTTGACTGTTGCGCTGGCTGTTACGAAGGCGCATGGCGGAGCCATCATGGAAATGTCGTGCTGGGCTTTGATATGAAGCGATGGCATGACACTTTCGCTGTGTAGCATATACCCAAATCAATGCACTCTCTTCCACAACAATTAAACTTACCATGCAGTTACGACGACTCTCATTATGTCTTGATCTTGACAATCCATATATATCCTCACATCATCGCTGTAATTCACATTTTACCCAGTCATGTCATGCCGCACGTGATCTGCGGCTGTAACCGCCACTGTGGAAAAGTGCGCGCTAACAGCCTTGGCACCAAATTGTCGCATCTCATGCACGACACCACGACTTCGCACCCACCAGCGACACCCATCAATCACCCAACATATCGCAATCATGGCCGACAGCGAGTACAACGCCGAGGAGGCAGCCGGTATGCCATCACCATCACCACCATGAATCACGCATCCGCCCACAAAAGCGCTCCTTCATGGTCGCTAAGGAATAAAACCCTGTGGACAGGCCACTGAAGGGGCGCTTGGGAAGGAGGAAATGAATCTCAGACTGACTTGTGTGTTTTCTGTCCGGTAGAGTTGAAGAAGAAGAGAGCGTTCCGCAAGTTCTCCTACCGCGGTATCGATCTGGATGAGTATGGATGATCCCTCGCATACCCACACGACATATTGAATCAGATGCTGATATGTAATGATGTACAGGCTCCTCGACCTCTCCAGCGAACAACTCCGCGATGTCGTCCACGCCCGTGCCCGCCGCCGGTTCAACCGTGGTCTTAAGCGCAAGCCTATGGGTCTGATCAAGAAGCTGCGCAAGGCCAAGCAAGAGGCTAAGCCCAACGAGAAGCCCGATACCGTCAAGACTCACCTTCGCGACATGATTATCGTGCCAGAGATGATTGGCTCAGTGGTGGGTGTGTACTCTGGCAAGGAATTCAACACGGTCGAGGTCAAGCCTGAGATGGTTGGGCATTATTTGGCGGAGTTCTCTATCTCTTAGTGAGTTTCATTACATTTTTCTGGCGCTGTGGATGGATGCTGATTTACTTTCTAGCCACCCCGTCAAGCACGGTCGTCCCGGTATTGGTGCTACGCACTCTTCCCGTTTCATTCCCCTGAAGTAAATGATGATGGAGAGGAGGGAGGTTGAGGGCGTTGTGGCGAGGTGCCTAGGCTCGATACGCTTATGAGCTGGGTAGGCTTGCATGAGGGTGTGCTGAGTTAGCTATGAATCAAGGCACGTCTCGCACATGTCTACCTACCTCTCATGTCTCATGCTGTCTCGACGTCACTTGACAGATTTTCATATTTGAAGCTTTTAAGACTCGCTGTTGCCTAAGAGTAAGACAAGGCAACAGAACAGGAACGGCGATCTCACTTTCATGACGATTGAGGATGACGAGCTACCTTGGGTGGAGGAGGATTTGTGAGCTGGCTCGGGGAGATGTTCATGGGGTAAGCGGTGGGGCACAGTGCGGAGAATGATACCAGCCCTGCGCTGAGATGCTATGTGAGGGCTGAGAGGAGACGTTGATGAGTGAAGTTTGCAGAGCTGAATGGAGATCTGCAGCTGATGTGCGGACGTTAGTTCACAGCACCATGTACTGCTTAAAAGGCGTTGTAATTCATTGTTCCTCTCATTTCACATGTCATGCCGTGACTACTCTCAAGCAAGGCCAATCGAGGCGATTCACGATCATCCCGCCGGTCGTAGATGCAGCATCAATGAGGAATTTGTGAAGAAGTGCAGAACACACTCTCTCTCTCTCGAACCGCACGCAACCTCTGCACGAAGCATCGCCAACGCAGAAGCCACGAAGTACACCGTATTATCAACTACTTCCTCGCTCCAGGTGGGATTAAAATCGCATGGTCAAGGCTGCCGTCTCCCAAGATAATCTCTTGCTCGAGAGCTACCATGGTGCCTGTCGAGCATCTTTCAAGACCACGATGCCACCGGGTTGCCATGATTGGCATTGATCATTGCACTGGCAACAGCACAGGCAAACCAAGGCATCTCGCGCAGACTGAAGTACCACGGTGACAGCATATCAGTGAGAAGCAAGAGACGCGATAATAGCGTACACTACTGGCTCGTGGGATTTTACACCGCGCGGCTATCTACAACACTACCCAAGAAGCAGGCGTAGCAGGCTACATCATGGATGCAGACTACCACACCCGCATTCATAGCAGATCATGCATCCTACCACTGAAGGTAGCAGGATACATGACCACCCTACCATGATGCATACATCCTACCATTCCGCATGGCAGGATACATACAGTGGCAGGGACTCTGGGACGTGCAGCTATGCTACACATCATTCGCCTGACCAAGCTTGCAACTCCTGCAGCTTAGCCAAGTCATCCCCATGACCGGCACGAGGCACGATCATGGGTCTCTGGCCCTTCGAGATCATGATGCAGACTTCTCCTGCGACAATACACTCGTTGCACGAAATCGAGCCATGTTCGGCATCGTATACAACACCAGTCCTACGAGGATACAAGGCTCGCTGTTTCGCGCACTTGCAACCCCTTTGAATGCCCTTGTCCAGCGTATCATACGCTTTACGTTCGCGAAGACTCATCAGCGAGCCTCCCAAGGTATGCATCAAATCTTGCGGCGCTTCTGTTGCCGGACGCCTGTTGGTGATCTCCACAGTCGGATCGTATATGTCAAGTCTCGACAACACGTCGCGCAGTGATACCGAATGCGAGGGCAGACTGGCTTGGCGGGACTTGCCTCGATTCACGTTGAACAACAGCTCTTCAGCGGCCTCCTGTTCGGCAGCCGCTGGAGCTAGTGGCGTGGATGTCATCTTCTTGAGCGAAGCCGACGAGCCAGACACCGTGCCGATCGACGGCTCTTGATTCCGAGCGGACCCAGCAGCTGGCACATCACTCGGCCTCGCTGGTTCGGGACCGATCTTCTGCGACGCCGGCATCTTGCTCGAGCTGGACGTGTCAAGATCCATGTTATCCGCTCGCGAAAGTCCGCTGAGAGGAGTCATCGTCACCAAATCCGAACTCGATTTGAGGAAGAGATCCTGTGGCTGGAATTGTCCCTCTATCACTCCTGATTCAAGTGGAGGAACTTGAGGGAGGCTTTCATGCTCAGGCGAGTACATACGGCCGGATTTGTTCCATGCCGAAGTCATCGGGCTAGTCGGTGACCGCTTGGCCGCCATGCTTGGGGGCACGGCAGTCTTATGTTGGCGTCTGGTAGGTGAGACTTGAGGTGACCTCGTCGTCAACCCAAGAAACATCTGCCGTATCGACTGTATATCGGCCTTCACATTGACTGTAGTCGCCCCTTCGTAGACGAAAGGAGCCTCAATGCCTCCGCACAGCCTCTGAAGTGCTGATGAGCTAGGTGGAAGAAGATCTTGGGAGCCACCCAGGTCGTGTTGATTCCCCAATCCAGCTTTGAGAACGTCGACCAAACGTTCGCGCTCCTCACCAGAGATCGGTGCAGCGGTCTGAGTTCGTAGTTGCTGGATCGCCTCGACGAGTGATTGCTTCTCATCCTCGAGATCCTTGACAGGATCACAAAGCTCCGTAGTCTGGTCATACCAATACTGCTTTTCTTCGCGGAGCCTCTCCATCTTGTGGCGGAGATCGGCATTCTCCTTCTCCAATCGCTCGATGTCAGCGATTTGGGACGTCGTCTGCTCATGCAAGACCTGCTTTTCGCGCTTCAACCCATCAATACTGGTGAAGAGGTACGAATTGTCGTCTACAAGCCGCTGCATCTCGCGCTTTTGGGACAAGTCTCGCTGCTGATACTGGTGAGCTCGATCTTGACGTCCGCGCTCCTCGGCAGCAGCTTCAGAAGTGACGTTGACAGTCAGATCTCGCAGTTCGTCGGCAAGATTGGCATTGACATTGTACATTCGCAATGTCTTCAAGGCTTCCATCCGATCATCGACGGCCTTCGTCATCATTACCTTGAGCTGGTCCACCATCTCGGACACAGATGTCGTGGAATGCCGCAGTTGCATGATGCCTTCGCCGACAAATTTCACGGCGGTCGCGACGAGGGCGGCAGACTTCTGGATCTCTTTCGCATCTGTCATGCTCGACTTCTCGACTCGGTCTAATACCAAACCGGCTTGCGACAGTGTGACCATTAGCTTCTCTAGCCGCTCCACGACGCTGTCGAGACCTATTTGGAAGTGCTGGCATTCTTCGAGGACCTTCTCATGACCTAAGACGGGCCTGTCTTCTGTGTCTCGTGGCGTCAATCGTCCATTCCGAGGGCTGTCCGGTGCCTCGCTAGGTCGGCCATCCGCTCGCTCGGCAGATCGATCTTGCAGTGAGCCTGATTGTTCATTCAACTCGTCGACACCGCGGCCTCCAAGTTCGGCGCCATGGTGAGAGTCCTGTAGTTGATCTGCGTTGTGACGTGGTTTTTGTACCATCGCCTCGCGAGATCGTTTCTTTCGCTTACGTCTTATCTGTAGTATTGGTGGATCAGCTTGCTCTGGCATGTATCTATCCATTGTTGTATACATCAGATAGTTCATGTAAGGGAAAGGAAAGGAAGTTCGGGGGATGCGAGATGGGGTGAAGTCGAATGAAGTGTCGTCGCACTTCGCACGACACCTCACCTCGCGTTCCAGGCAAGCGCGACGACATCAGCTCACCATGATCGATCGCGGTATGTGATATAGTGTCTGATTGACAAGACAGTATAGCGCACAGTATTGTTGGATATGGTCGTGTAGACTTATATTGTTTCCTCTGCTATGGAACCACATCCCACATATTGCACGTTACTCCATACACACTGTCGTGCACCTCGTTTGGTGTGCACAGTGAGGCGAAGAAGTCGTATCCCGTCGCAATATCATTCCGTCCCGCCACCAGAGAGTAAGTCATGAGGCTGCCGACCACTCGTGGCTATATCCCAAGCGAACCTTCGTGCCATAGATGTCGACCAGCTCACGACCAACGCTCGCGCCACGAATCGCTTTCCACCGCGCTCGATCATATGATCTAAGACATATATTTTATACGCCTATTATCTACAAAAGGTAATAGAGGTATAAGCCGCTCTATATATATCCTTACGGGAAGGATATATATAGGGTTCGTATTAAATCTTGCTAATAGGCGAGGTAGATAGTCTTATTAACCTCGTGCTACGTTTATGCTCTTCTATATCGTCGCTTTGCGTAGGCTGATCCTACTCGCGATCTGTGTCTTGCCCAGCGATACTTCCAGCCCGCGCATCACACCCTAAGTGCAGTAGACGTCGATGCATAGATCAGGCTTCAATACAACTCCAGCGTAATGTCAGATCTCGGACATGACTTTTAGCACCAGTCTTGGAGGGGTTTATAAGATTGTGTGCAGTAGACAAGGAGAAGGTAGTGAGGAAAGCAGGATGAGAGAAGTCAAGATAGGGAAGATCACATGACGGACTTTCCCGTCCGGTCTTCACATCTCGCCAAGGACTATAGACGATGCGTAATGTTGCGATGGCATACACATTATTAGTGATATAGCGAGCGATATGCAGTCTACGACTGTACTACGCTTACGTTGTAGAGTCCGGATTCATGCATGATGCAGCATGGGACTCATTAGCACGACAAGTACAAACCTTGTAACCACACCCTCGAATGTTTCATTTAAGGGTGTTGAAGAAACCGAGATTGGAATGGTCAGAGATCGCCACAGTAGCGGCGGTAAAGAAGAATTGGCTACTAGCACAAGGAGTGTAGCAGAACAGATGTACAAGGAGCGGCCAATATCCATGACTATCGCCTCAAGCCTTTCGGCAGAACCATGCCACTTCTCAACATATCGAAAAGCTTCGCTAAAAGATAGCTACAGCATTGGCATGGCTACCAACACCACCTGCATACAAAGAGTCAGCAACAAGTCGCCCAGGTCGTCTCAACACAGCTTACCGTGAACGTTCGCAGGCGAACTCGTAACAAAGAAAGTATACTGCCCCTTCTCCCGACACATCTCCGCCAACCTCTCCAGATCCCACATCTCGCCAATCGGCGCACCCCATCTCGGCAGCAGATACTGATGCAAAGACAACTGCTGTGGCGGCCAAGCTTCAAAAGCCGGCGCATCGCCGACCACAGCGCTAAAGTAGTTGTCGTGCAGGAAGTCGAGCATTTCTTCCGTCTGCTCCACGCCGACAAAGGTATGTTCGGGAATCTTCAAAGTGCCAAGATGCTTCTTTGCAGCGTCGTCGAGGCTCTCATAGTGGCCTACAAAGCCCGAGCGGACGAACAGGATGTCGCCGGGTTGGAAGGTGATATTCTTTTCCTTGGCTACAGCGAGGATGTCCTTGAGTGATATGCGATGGGTGGCGACAGGGTCGTAGGACTTGTTGGCATGAGCCCAGTAGTCGACGAGGACTCCCCTGCCAGCTATTCATGAATATGAGAATGAGGTCTCGATTGGTTTGGCCAGGTATGCATTGCTCACCTATACCGTGCTTAGCCCATGCCTGCATCCCACATCGATCTGAGTTGTGTATCTCGTCCTTGGTAAGCTAAGGGCAGTCAATCAACCATGAAATCTTGACTGCATGAGAAACATTGTTGATAGAATGCTTACACCGTTATAGAAGACCACGCTATTATTATGTTGCAGACCGACCTTGTTCGTCAGCGTCCAGCATCAGGCCTGGCAGGATGTATACTTACATGACGAAAGCCGTCCCACTACACTCTATATCAGCACCTTCGCCACAACCTCGACTAACGTATAGTTACCTGCGATCCGCTCTGCGTATTCATATCATACAGATCATCGAATCCTGCTTCACCAAGTGGCGAGATGGTATGCTTGAACTTCTGCCTGCTGAAAGCCGGAGGGTTGGGAAGATCTGCTCGCCAGCTGTGGTCCATTTCGTCAGTCTCCTCGATTTTGATCGGCGTCGTTGTATCTCTGGCACACACTCAAGGTTCACGATCTCGCCCGTCTTGATCAAGTCTTTCGCAGCCAGTATCCGCTTGGGCGTCAACAGATTCAGTCGGCCGAGCTAGGGATCGTCAATAATGCTTGGTGTTTATGCAGCGATCAAAAATAGCACTGTACCTCGTCGTCTTTACCCCAGAACCAAGCTGCCCCTGCTGGTGCGCCATCAATGCTAGGCAGCTCGGATCGCTTCGGAAACGAGTCAGACGAGGCGTCAAATAACATGGTCAGATTTCAGCGAACGGTCAAATTTACAGCCAAAAGTATGTTCGAAAGACGATGTGTGGTGGAATGGTCAAGTACTGCTGTGAGTACTGATTTGTGGGGAAGCTGTCTACTCCATATCTCGAGGATCGGCGACCGAGGTAGATGGCGAAACAGGACGACCACTTCAGCGTGGCTCTCCATTCCGGCGTGGGTCGCTGAGTATATGTTGGCACGCCTTACGCTTTTGCGAACGTTTGTCCCGTGTTCGGGTCATGCGCGGCCGAGCTGGCTTGTCGCCGTGGAATCAAATGGGTCAGAATATGCACTCAGTGGCCATGTCGTGCCAAAAAGCTCCCGGACAAAGTAGAGTGGTACATTGATCATCCGAGACGCCGACTCCTGCCTACTCGACGATTGTGAACTCAGTCTCGAGACCATGAATGCACTCCACAGACTTACGAGCCACGTTGTTGCAGCCCCTCGAGATTGGGGAAGTGATCGAATGTACGAAGTCGCCGATACTCGCATCACCTCCAGATTGCAGGAGCTCCATTATTTCTTCAAGAGTCAGTCCAAGAATGACGTGAAAAAAAGGACGTTCTCAAGCAACTCCGGCGTGTCAAGGTATCGGATGCGACTTCGAGGTGGCGTCGAGATCTTGAGACCACGGGGATACTCGAGTGCGTACGACCATCGCCACTGGCCAAACCTATTGTGCTTGTAAAGTATGAGTCCGAGACCAAGCTCTTGATCACATGCTCCCAGGTTCACGTTCACAGCTCATCCATACTAATCGGCTTCGGATCCTCCGTCCTCAACCACTCCCCATTAAAAGCATTAATCAACCAATCCCTCAACTTCTCATAAACCACCCGATTCCCATTATGAAAGTAAATACTATGATCCGAGTCCGGGAACACATGGACATCGTAATTCCTCACATTCGCCAGGTCCAGCTTATCCAGCAGACTGAGCGTGTTCTGGAAGTGCACGTTGTCATCGCTGTAGCCATGCATGACTAGGAAGCGGACGTTATGAGAAAGGGCGGTCATGTTTGAGATCGTGGCGTTAGCGTAGCCGGAGGGGTTGTGTTGCGGCGTGTGCATGTACCGTTCCGTATAAATCGAATCATAGTACGCCCAATCCGTGACAGGCGCCACCGCCATGCCATAGCGAAACGTCTCCCCAGCATCCAGCTCAAGCGTCTTGAGGGTCATAAACCCGCCGTAGCTCCAGCCCCATATGGCCATCTTATCCTCGAGCACGTACTTCTTATTCTGCCACTCCTTGGCGACAGCGATCTGGCTCATACCTTCATGATAACCAATATTGCCGCGGACGATACAGCGGTGCGCTCGTCCCTTCAAACCCGTGCCTAGGCCGTCGACTGTAATGACGATGTAGCCGAGACTACTAGCGACGAAGGATTGGAAGTCCACGCTGAACTTTCTATCCACCTGCTGAAATCCTGGGCCGTTGTACAGGAAGAAGAGGACGGGATACTTCTTCCTTTCGTCAAAGTGAGGAGGTCGACGTTCAACGACGTTGAGTTCGAAGCCGTTGTATTTGATCGTCGAGTAGACTTCAATCGGTAGCTCCGTCTTCTTTGCCAGTGCCTCGAGTTGTGCATTCGTCTCGATAGTGATCTCAAGTGGTGGCTCGGTGAGCAAGGTAGGTGTGGAGACGACTTTCTGCCATGGTATATGCGGGCCTTGATACGAAAGTAACATGAACTTTCCTGCCGGAGAGAAGGAAGGCTCATAATATCCAATCTGCGATGTATCGGTCACAGCTTTGATACTACCCTTCCCATCGCGCAGATTAAGGCTGTAGACATGCCTCTGGGTATCCCCATCTTTCGTGGCGACAAAGTAGACCATATTTCCATCAAAGTCCAGAGCTGATGGGGCCTTCACAACCTCCCAGTCGCCTTCCGTAAGCATATGCATGTCCGGACTCTCCAGTGGTGAGAAATATGCCAGATGGTCGTTGCCGTTGTGGATTACGGTATCAATATACCCATCATGCTCTCTCCCCTCTGCCGGATTGGCCGGAACATAAGTAGTCGTTTCAGAAACCTCAAACCAGCCTCCATCCAATTTCTGCACGTCCCTCTCTCTTACAGTCTTCCCCGTACGCTTCCTCGCATCGATAATGATCGTCTTCAAGATGTCGCTCTCACGGTTCGTGGACCGCACGATCACTTTCCCACTACTACCGGCCCACACAACCTCCGTGATCAACCTATCGTCATCCCGAAAATCGCCTCCGATGGGTACTTCGAACACCTCCCCCTTAGCAACATCATAGAACTGCAGGATCACCACACTCATTGGCGCCCCAGCTTTCGGATACTTGATCTCTCTGGTCTCAGGATAGTTCTCTTCACCCTCACTGGGCTTCGTACCCGAAGGTCTGCTGAAGAAGTACTGCACCGGGAAGCTGGGCACTTTGCTCTCGTCTGTTCGGAAGAAAGCAACGAATTTCCCATCGCCTGACCACCATGTCGCAGAGCCATCAGCTAGGACCTCTTCTTCATAAACCCAGTCAGGGACACCGTAAAAGATCTCTGTGCCGCCGTCGTTGGTGATGTTGGTAACGACGTCGGAGTCAAGATGCCGAATAAACATATTGTTGTCCCGCGTGAACACCACGGCATCAGCAGCCGGACTCCACGAAGCTGTCTGAACGCGTCCATGCAAATTGCCAGGATCTAGAGGCTGTCCAGTCTGCGATTCGATATCAAAGATCCAATATCGTCCCGTATTGCTATGCCGCCACTGACTAGCGTAATCGCTCTGCACCAGCACTTTCTTATGATCTGAGCTCACCCACACTTCATTCGTCCTCACTTCCTCACTGCCTACCGTGAACGTCCCGCTCTTCATCAAAGTCTTACTATGCTCCTTTTGGATGTCGATGGTTTCGCCTCTATACCGCACGTCCTCCACAACTAGATAGTCCCTCCCCTCCGCTCCACCACGTTCAAGCAATAATCCATCCTCCCCATCCGGTCCAGCAATCCACTGAATAGCATGTTGTCTCGCCGCCCACTGTCCCGTCAACACCTGCTCGAGCTCCACTTTCTTCCCATTCCCCACCGTACTTGTGGCGTGCGGATCATGAGGGCGTTGCGCATGCGATACATGTCTGTCTTGGCTCAGGAAGAGGAAGAAGGCTGCTACCCATCCCACTACTCCAATGGCCAGGAGGATGTAGAAGATACGCCGAGTCTTGCTGTCTGATGGTTTCTGTTGTCGTTTCCAGGCTAGTTGGTCTTCTATGTCGAGGGACGACTCTGGCCCGTCTCTGTAGAGGTAGTCCTTCGCTGCTTTGTCTGAGACGTGCTCGAGGACGAGGGAGGTTGTCGAGGCCGAGGAGAGGGAGGGACGTGGGTGAGCATCATCGTCGTCGGCGTTATGTTGTGTGGTTCCCGTGAGCGGCTGCGACTCCTCGCTCTTGTACTCGTCTGCTCTGGCCATAATGTCCTCCTTTCGATGTTGTGCCGCTTCTGGAGCACGTTCAGAACTCCCTCACATGAGTCGAGTGAAGCAAGCGAGTGACTTGTAACTGCACTCAATGCCACATGGTAAGGAGAAGGAAAAAGACTTGCAAAGTACTGTACAGGTCAGATGGCACGTCGCATGTTCCGCCTGAATAATCCAACCAATGTCGAGACGGCTCGACCGCGAACTTCACGCTAGGCACGTGACTTCTTTGTCCAAAGCATTCCTGAAGCCCATTGTCTACTCGGAGCAGTAACATATCAATGTAGTAGAAACACTGATTCTATGCTGCTCTAGCGATGGAGATATCTACTCAACAGGTATCTGCATCTTCTTTGGATCATGCTCGACCGTCCCATTAACAGTCTCGCCCTTCAACACAACCCTCAGCAACTTCTCCAACCTCTGCACCGCCTCCTCCCCAATCTGATAATGCACTACCAACCTCCCACCAAGTAATCTCAATCCCACCTTCTCACCCTCCTTGATGAAATCCTCGGTACTGATCCCGGCCGCTTCTAGATCAAACCACACCATATTCGTCTCCACGGCATTCGTAGTCTTGCCACCACACTTCTCCCACATCGCTGCAATCTCTCGTGCACGCTCATGACTCGCCTTCAGCTTTTCACCTAAGAACGTATCTTCCACTGCTACGCGGGCGGCAGCGGTAACGACGCCTGCTTGTCGCAGTCCACCGCCAATCGATTTCCTCACCCATCTCGCTCGTCTTGCAAACTCATGTGTACCCACAATAATACTACCAATGGGTGCCCCAAGACCTTTCGAAAAGCAAAGGGATATACTGTCAAAACAAGCACAATACTCCTTCAAGCTCCCTGCCCCAGAAGCAACTGCTTCCCACAACCTCGCTCCATCCAAATGCATGATGATATTGTGTTCTTTCGCCCATGCTGCAATCCGCTGACATTCCTCCAGTGGCGTGATCATCCCCGCCAACGTATTCTCCTGACTTATCAATCTCGTAGGACAAGAATGGATATCATGCGGTAGATCTCCACTGGGTATACTAGCCGCTTTCTTCACATCCTCCAGCGTCAGATATCGTCCATTCTTGGGCACCACGCCCTTGACCAGTGCCCCACACAGCGATGCAACACCTCCAGCTTCCCACTCTAGGATGTGTGAACGGTGGTCTGTTATCACACTATGCGGTGGTGCAGCGAGGTGTGTACGGATCGAGACTTGATTCCCCATTGTGCCGCTCAGGACGAGGAGGCTGGCTTCCTTGCCTGTGAGGTCTGCGATGAAGGATTCCAGGTTATTTGTCGTGGGATCATCTTGGAAGACGTCGTCGAGGAGGGAGGTCGAGGTTATTGCGGCGAGCATTCGGGCGGTGGGTGTGGTCACTACATCGCCTGAGCAGTATAGACGTTAGCAGCCTGTCGCTGATGTACCTATCATCGTTTGTGGTCTGAATCTTACTGCGGAAGTCGAAAGCTGCTGGGCCTGGTGCAGACCAACTGTTCACTTTCACGTCGCCATTGGAGAGATGCTGTGCCTCTTTCTCAATCGTATACTGCTCGATCGCGGCCCCTCCATTGGTAGTAGCCATAGTGTGTCTATGTAGTGGTGTTTGCTGTGTTCGTGAACCTCGCTTGTGGCAGCTGTGGGTGAGTATTGAAGAGACGGGGCATGGACGTAGAGAAGACAATGTACTTGACCTGGTCAAGAGTGCTCTGGATAACATAGAGCTTCATACAATGTTCGTACGCGTTTACACGCCCTAGCGATTGTCCTCGACCGGATGAAGAGAACAGCATTGGACCGGACGACAAGCCGGTGGGGACGGCAGCCTAAGCGCAGCAGTGGCTCTATGGGTCTCGCAGCGTCGACGATCTAGACCACATTGGGAAGGTGCAATGCACGAAATATATACAACCAGGAGCAGAACATCTCTCCTATGATTCCAGCCCTAGTACAGATCTGACAACATGCAACAGCGCCCCCTCACAATCCTCCCTCATCCCCATACTCCGCCAACAAACCGTCCTATCTGGCCTAGCAAGCACACACCCATCCTCCTCCACCTCTCTCCGCCTCGACCAATCATTATACACATCCTCCCAATCCTGCATCCAGCCAATACTGTACGCATTAACATCCATACTCAATTTCTTCGACACGGCCTCCGCTGCCTTCTTCCACTTCTCCCCACCCACTCCAGTGACCAGACAGAACGCCCCATGGCCTGCTAGATCGATGGTGCTGATATTTGGCTGATTCGGCGTTCGCAGATTGATCCACGCATGCGGTAATCTCGCACCAGGATAAGTAGAGATCTGATACTGCAGCACTGGATCCGTAGGTGGTGGTCTCCGTGCTTCCTTCTCATCTTTCAGATACACCGCACCACTTTCATACCGTTGGTTCATTTCCACTCCAATCCCGCCGAACTCATGCGAAGTATAATCGATCTGCTCTCGAAGCCTTTGGCGACGTTTCTTGCCTGCTTCCGAAGCTTCCGAGATTTCATCAAACTGCTTCTTTCTGACTGCCACATCTGGATCCATCATACCTAGTGCGTCCCACACACCAGCATGATCTCGTAGCCCCTGATTCGCCCGCCGAATGATGCCCTCGCCTATCGGTTGACGCTCGCCGGAGTAGCTGTCCAGTAGCTTTGGACCCGCGAGACCTCTCTCAACGTACGAAACCTTCCAAGCAAGATTGAAAGCATCCTGCACACAAGTATTACTTCCCAACCCGTTCAACGGCGGATGTCTATGCACCGCGTCGCCCATACAAAAGATGTTTCCATCGGAATATCTCTCCGCCACAATCTCGTTGATATACCATTTCGACGCATCCAGAATCTTGACCTCGAGAGCATCATCGCCTATGAATTCTCGCACCCGTTTCATGTACTCGTCATGAGAAGGACGGATCTTGAAGTCCGAGAAGCCGGGTTCGGCAAAGAAGATGAACATCCATTCGTGCCACGGCTTCACCATTCGATTGATACAGGTCCAGCCCCAGGATGGGTGAGGTTTATCCGGTTGCATGATCCAGTGGAGGTTTCCTGTTCGAAACTTCATGTACTTCTCCAGATCTGCTTCGACAAGAACATTGAAGGCCAGGCCCTGGCCTGGTTCTTTGACGAGGGGAATATCGAGTTGACGAATGATCTGACTGCGTGCTCCATCACAGCCGAAGAGATACTTTGATCGGATTTGATATGTGTATCCAGACAAGTTGTCCGTGATGGTTGAGGTAATCGGTCCGTCAGAAGAGTCACGGTCGAATTTGACAAAAGTAGTATCAAACCGTATCTTCCAGCCCTGGTTGATAGCACGCTTCACCAGAATGGGCTCCATAAGCGTCTGCGGCAGATCGACATGATAACATGGACTAGCAGCCTCATACTCGCCCTTACGTTCGGGTTGATTACCCCATGAATGGATCCTTGCAAACTCTTCTCCAGCCATAGAGTGGCACCAACGGGTATGTTGCATATGGCTTTGTGGCGTGGCGTTGTGGTAGACTTCGTCTTGGAGTCCTATGTCTCGGAGGCACTCAATGGCGGCCGGGTTGGTAATGTGGGCGCGAGGCTCTTTTGCTGTACCTGGGGCCGCGGAGATCATGATACCAGTGTTGCCATAGCTTGCTAGGAAGCTGGCTAGTGCTGATCCCGCTGGTCCTGCGCCGACAAGGAGGTAGGTAGTCTCAATAGGTCCGTCCTTGCTCGCAGCTTGGCCATTGCCGTTGGCTAGATTTGAAGTGCCATTGGTTGTCGCCATGCCAGATCGTGCTCCAGACGCGCTGTGCTGCTCGCCTTAATGTTGAAAGTATGTCCGATGGTGAATGCTACTCAGCGAGAATTGCTATGGAGTCGATTGAACTGTCCAGATAGCAAGTGTGAACAAGTTCGATGACGTGAGGAGTAGACGAAATATATGCGCATACTATACCAAGCTCAAGCCAGACCTAGTCGAGAACCCATCTACAAGCTGAGCTAATCTATGCCCGTGTCTTGGAAATCAGATCAGCCAGATTGACAATGCAAAATCCCTCGCCTGTCTGCCGGAAGTGGGGCGAGATCGTGCAGCGGGGCAGGCGCGAAGGTGTGGAGAAGACATGCAGGCACGCTGGTCGGTCGACGGGATGTATATCTTCTATAGTACATTCTCATGATGGCTTTAATTCTACATCTGCAACTCCTTCATGCTTTATGATCTTTCGATGAAGTCTAGTAGGCCTTCATCGATCCTTCATCGGGCAGCCCTTGTCTACACTGTCTGGCTTCGTCTTCTCGGTGATCAATTCGCATGTTAGCTTCATCAGATCTTCTGAGAGCTCCTCGTTATTGGCGAGATCTGAACCGGGTTCGTAGATCGCTGGTGGGCAGATGTACTATGGTTCTGTCAGTCACACTCTCCTCATTCATATAAATCCACGATGCTCTCACCTTCCCAGACTTGTCCGTCACGGTCGCAGCATATAACGTCGACAAAGCACCCTCAAACTGGTCCTTCTTGAATGGTGTCAGGCCACCGGACATCAGATAGCCTGCAAGTGGGTATGGCTCAAAGATGTCCTCTTCGCTCATCTTAGTCTTCACCACACCGGGATGGATTGCATTGGCCAGCAAATTCGGGTGCTCTTTCGTTACATGTCGGTTCAGGTACTTGCTATACAAGATTGAAGTGAGCTTGGCTCGTCCGTACTGTGCCATCGGGCCCAGGTCTTGGTTCAGATCGTCGATACTCTTGAATTGGCAGTCCTTGGGTACCCCCTCGTGTGCATTGGAAGCTGTGTTGACGACATGCACTTTGCTTCCACTGTCTGCAGTCTTCTTGAGCAGAGGCAGGAGGTGCGAAGTTAGGATGACGTGGCCCATGTGGTTCACAGCAATATGTCTGTCCACACCATAGTCGGTGAGCTGGTAGGTCATGATACCGCGAGCAGCGTTGTTGACGAGAATGTCTAGACGATCGGTTTCTTTTGCAATGTCCATGGCGACCTTGGCCACATGCTTCCAGTCGCTCATGTCACACTGGATCCACTTGATGCGGTCGGCTTTGTCTTGTCCCAACTCTTCTGCTACAGCCTTGCCGGCGCCATCGACTACCTCTTTTGATATACTGAGGATGAAGACCTTTTTGATGTTCTACAATATGTCAGTAGAGTCCATTAGATCTGCTCCAATGTACAGACCGACCTTGCTGAGTAGAGTATGGGAAACACCATATCCAATGCCCTCGCTGCCACCGGTAATGACTGCGACCTTGCCGGTCTGGTCTGGCACCTGGTCGACGGAGAAATGTGTTCCAGTAGGCGCTGCAGCCGTTGCTGCTCCTCCAAAGTTCTCTGACAGTGTGGTCTGGGCGGTCTTGAGTATGGAAGACATATTTGATGCGTTGGCTTTCTGGGTGATGGGAAGTCGATTCTCGAACGCTGATGGTGCTCTTCTTGCCGTACTCGAACAGACAGTGTATACGGAGAACCGAAACATTTGATCCTTTACCTTCGTATGTTTACATTTGCTTGCGGATGCGATGTATGTCACTGCAGGCGAGCGGTCATGGTGACGTGAAAACACCAATCATGATGTCAGGAGAATTGGAGGCGTTGTGGTTGGCCTGCCATGACCCGCTTCGTCGTCTTCGTATGGATGTCTCGACCTACACGTCCGTCTTCGTGGTCCGCTATGTTCGTGATGCATGTTGGCCATATCCATAGATCTGAAGTTGTTGATGGTTGGCAGGCGCAGCGGCCCAACTTCGGCCAAGAAAACTTTGTGGAGACTCCGGCTCTTCTTGGCCATCAAGATAACATGCAAGACCCACTGCCTGACCTGATGGTATCATGTTGGACGACTGATAGGCCATTGTGAGGCACAGAGACTCGAAGGGCGTAAGTACTGCAATCTTGAAGACCGATAGTTCTGCACTTTCACTTTCACCTTTCCATCCACATGGCGACGACAACACTTCCTCCATCTACCCAAAGCGAGGCTCGGCAGGCAGCACAGGACTACTTGAACAAACGTCTGGCAAATGGAGTCAATGGTCAAGCATCTGGAAGACCATTTACCGTCCCCGAAATCAACATATCTTCCTCCTTCTCCTCATCCATCGAAGATCGCAAAGCAGTAGCATCTCAAATCCGCAACGCTTGCACGAACTCCGGCTTTTTCCATATCACAGGCCACGGAATTCCGGAAGAGGCTCGTCAAGCTATCTTAGGACTCGCGAAACGCTTCTTTCGCACTCTACCTCGCGAGAAGAAGGAGGCTCTGCACGTCAAGCACTCCCACTACTTTCGAGGATGGGAACCCGCAGATTTTACTTACGTCAATCCTGGAGATTGGGGTGCTGACGATGCTGCTCCAGAGACGAAGGAAGGATTCAATTGGGGTTACGAAGCTGGACTTGATCCTACAGGTGGCGATGGACAATATCGCGAGCTAGATGGAAAGGATGTTAATGGGAATGTTTGGCCGTCTGAGGAGGACATCCCTGGGTTCTATGATACTGTAAGGCAGTACTATGGACAGATTCTGAAGCTCGCGCGGCACCTTTCCAGGCTGTTCGCGTTGTCGCTCGAGCTGCCAGAGGACTACTTTGATTCTATGATGACACATCCTGGTGGCATTGCTAGGTTGCTATATTATCCTGCCTCCAAGGATCCGCAGCCTCTCGGTCCTAAAGTCAAAGACAAGGAGATTGGTTTGGGAGCGCATTCTGACTATGAATGCTTCACGATCCTGCTCTGCTCAGCCGCTCCTGGGCTTGAGATTCTGTCGCCAGATGACAGATGGGTGCCCGCCCCTGCAGTTGAAGGCAGCTTCATCATCAACGTTGCAGATTTCCTGATGCGTTGGACGAATGGCGTCTACAAGAGTACGGTACATCGTGTCGTCAATCGTACGAGGCAGGAAAGGTACTCTGTGCCATTCTTCTTCAGCATCAACTACGATCAATCTGTTGAGGTGAGTAGAGCTCACAAAACTTCTATGTATATGCCGTTCTTGTCTTACTAACACTCTCATAAGTCTCTGCCTTCCTGCGTCTCGCCCGAGAACCCGTCGAAATACCCGCCCGTCAAGGCTGGCGAGTACATTCTGGAAAGATTGAAGGCGACTGCAAAAGACTCATAATCTGGCTGCTGCAACACATCTTCATAAAAATCTATTCGGCCGTTTTGCGCACGTGCTTTCGCGTCAATTCCGCGTCAAATAAATCGATCTGCTTGGCGAATCCTGCGGGGCCCTTATGGTTTCCATCTCGTCGGTCACCGTTCGGACAGCAGACCTCTTCCATATCTTCCGTTTCATCTACCAAAGCATCATTGAGCATCATGCGATCATTAGTCCTTCTATCCACTACCATGGCCGCAATAGCTAGCACTGCCGTAGCGCAAAACAGCTCTGCAGTCCTCACCATCCCTTTCTACGGCTACGACCAACAATCCATCGTTGGCTCTGTCGTCGCCACGAGCGCTGGAGTGTCAACAATAGCGCTAGCATGTGCTCCAGGTACCGATGGGAATGATTGTGGCCTCTTCCCTTACGAGACCCTCACCATCGGACCATCTACTTACAACATATACATGTCTGACGATCAGTTCACTGGTACTCAGATGTGCGATACAGCTGGCGTATGCACCGAGAGTGCAGCGGGCGCATCGGCGAACTTCCCAGGTGTAAGCACGACTTCCTACGCTGCGAACGAGACTGCGAACATTCCTGTCACGATCACGGCTGGGGCTGCTCTTCTAGCTGGAAGTGCTCCCGCGACAGCGACATCGGGAGGCACAACATCTAGTCTGTCTTCCGGGAGTGGGAGTGGTGCGTTGGCTACTTCTTCGATGACAGCTTCGCAAAGCAGGTCATCCGGTGGCGGCTCGCAGAGTGGAGCGGCTGCCAGCAGTACGCAGAGCACCACAGGAAGCGTTACTGGCAGCGCTGTCGTCCCGAGCGGCACGTCTGGAGCGGAAGCTTTGGCAGTTGGAGTAGTGGGACTTGGTGCAGGCTTGCTTGCGTTCCTGCTATAAAGTTGCAGTGGTGTTGTTTGGGAACGGCTCGGGTCAATGCCCATCACTTCGCTCTCATTAGCAGTCCACATCAAGCGACACGCTCAAACACGAGTACAGTCCACAAGCAGGTCCTCGACACAAGCCTACGCTGCTGCTCACGTACCACGAAGCTATGACAGATCTGCGCACAGCATCTCAAGGCTTCGTGCCGCGGGAGATCAATTGCTCTAGAATATGCAGCGATCGTAAGCTGGTGGCAGAGAAGTGGTCAGGGCGCTCCTTACATGTGTGCGCGTTTATTAAGTTACTGCGAGCTCATCGTGGCTGGGCTGTTGTATACATAGCAGACGGAGAGTCTATACTTCAGCATATTTCATGGCGCCTTCTGCTCAGTAAGCAGCGACCTGCTGCGTAGCCGTGATCTGCGTCACCTGCGTAATCGATAATGCAGACTGGCCCTGCGACTTCTTCGTCCAGACCGTCTCAAGCGCATCTGTGAGCTCAAAGTCCTCGAGTACGGCGCCGAAGCTGATATCCGGTCAGTCTCGAAAGCGGAGGACTAGCATCTTGTAACAACTCACCCATAACATCGCACTTTCGTCCCAAGATCATTCTTCATGCACTCGAAGTCATCCGCAGTCAGCTCCCCGAACCTCGGATGCCTCAGCAATGTTGTCCATGCCATCACCGGCGTGATCTCAGAGTAGTGCTCGAATGGCAACCGATTGCTCAAGTCCAACAGCTTCGACAAGCCTTCTGCGCTCATGCCTTGCGGCATCTGATATGGATACTTCTCATACGGCGTCTCCATGATATGACTGTGTGGAGGCGCCGTGCCCATAAGAGCATGCCCTGACATATGCTCTTGCTCTGCATCGTCCGGATTCTCCATCGGATGGTGGAAAGGCTGCTCTTCGGGGTTGTGTGATCGGACGAGAAGGTATTGCATGTGATCCATGCATGGTCGCTCGAGTCTGAAAGATGTAAGCAGTCAGCCAAATGCTCACGGACTGCACGATAGCATACCATATGAGAGATACGATGTTATCGAAGTGGAGGTGATAGGTATGATGCTCGCTCGCCAGGAAGAATAGGAAGCCCACGGTGGTCGTACGTCAAGACAAAGTCTATACCAATCTGATCATAGTCGAGACGATTGTTCGGCAGCTGTGCAAGGTTTTGCATGGGACCCTGTGCATTTGGTGAAGTTTCGATCTTCGCGGGTGCCGGAGCAATGTGTGCTTGGCCGGGCACTGGTGGCGGGCTGTAGCTGGTGCTCTCGGTACCTGAGCCTGGATTGTAGCTACCAGATATGCTTCCACTCGAGCTTGGGCCATATCCACTGTTCTCTCGCGAGAACTTGACAGGCGAAGTTGCGAAGTCGTAGTGGATACCGTGCGCTTTCAGCAACTCGCGAAGCTTCCGGTTCTCCTCCATGACTGTGTCGCGCTCTCGGGTAGTGTTGGTAAAGATCTCCTTTAGACGTAGGACTTCCTGCTCCAGAGCTTTGATGTACATCTCCTTGCGTTCGCGGTGTGTCCTGTGCAATGTCAGTCCAGGCTCTGCTGCTCACAGCGTGCTCACCTTACCTTTGCGCTTGTCGATTGAGCTCCTGGCGTCGAGTGAGCGCGGGCTTGCTGTCGGGCTTTGGTCCTCGACGTTTGGGAGTTTGGCCATCTACGTCAAGTCAGTGGCCGGTTGCTTCATCTTGCTTTTTGAAGGCGTACCTTTGGTCTGTTTCTTGTTGACATTTTTTAGGAAGTCGAATTGACTGAGAGGACTTCTCTCGCCACTACCCGGACTGTGGTCTGCCTGGAGGTCAGTCTTGCTGTGATGTGGGCAGCCATATACGTCTGTCGCAAGTGCGATGGTTCAACAGCATAGTGATCAGGCTGTTTGGCTCAGGTCGTGTACTTACTATATGGCTCAGACTGCATCATGCCAGGCACCCCAGTACGCTCATCGAAATTGCCTGTTGTGTGGTGCTCGTAGTCACCTGTGGTTCGCTGCGGTGTAAGGTCGAAGCCTGCAGACTGGTGAGGGATGGTCAGAACAGCTTACGAAGAAGACATCGGTCGAATGGGCGACAGTGTCGCACATGTAGATCGATGAAGGAAACCACAACACAGGTCGTTGCCATCATCAAGTACCTGTTCAATGTGGTAGATACCCGCGACGTCGATCCGTGTTACGTCCGGCGGCTAGGGCACGTCCTTCGTACCACCCAAGGCGCAACCATCTTCACCATCGCGGACACGTCGAGACTATGAACTGTCCATGCCATATAGCGGGACGTACCTTGGGATTATGAAGGTTGTCTTCCGTCTAAGTAGCGTCGCTCTGAAGACTGCAGGCCAGGTCACGAGTTGGTGGTGGTCGTCGTTCGTATAAAGGGCTCCAGGTCCACAAAACGAAGATGATGTATTGCTAGCAGGATGTCTCGAGATACAATACAAGAAGAGCGGCACGAGTATCCGGATGGTTCCAAGAATATGCACCACGGTTGGCGCCGCGATTGCTGGGAGTGTGCAGAAGTATAGATCGAAGTGTGGTCGTACGACTTCCAGATCGCCGTGCCGTCAACTATGTTTAAGAGTCAGGGTGCCTCAGCGATGAAAGGTCGGTCTGGCGGTGGCTAGCATTGGCGCTGCTTCGTCAGGTTTTGACGTCCGGAGAATGAGGCTCAGAGATCAGCAGTAATAGCCTGCATCTCCTGCGCAGCGAGTGATTCCAAACCAGACGGAAGCTTGGGTGCTTCAGTGGGGCAGCGGTCTGGCCAGGGCTGACGAAGGTGGAGTGAGAGGGTTGGAGGTGTCACCGTGCTTCCAAACGTCCTCCATCTTCTCTATCATCATTCACCACCAAGCGGGGACGCCGAAACCATCGAATCACTGTGCCCCGGTAAGATAAACTTCGGGGCCATGCTCCCTATATTGCTGAACTGGTGCTTGCAGACAGAATAGTTGTACTTTGCCCAACAGACTTGGAAGCGTATTGGCTCTATCGGGACCACTGAGCCCCACTGAACTATGCCCACTGCAGCTAGGCTCTTGTTCGGATGGACGGCCTGCATGATTTACGCAATCGTACTTTCCAGTCCCTCCACCCGTGCGTGCCACCCAGCTTGTCTGTACAATTGCGTACTTGTGATGCTTTCCTTGTCGCGGCATGTTTCAGGCCAAGAATATGGCGTCCAATGCCGCCACGCCCACCATCATCGAGCCGCGCAGGACACGGCAGTGGCTTCAATTTGTCTACTTACGATGTGCCTTACTTCTTCTCCCATGGCTCGTCCGGCTTTGCATCGCTGATATTATCCTGTCGGCTCTCCTGCCCATCTCCGTCTTCCTACCTGGACTATGCCATGTGATAGCGTCGCGCATAGCAGGCTCGATATGGATTGGAATACAGCACATCTTCACGCATTCGAATCATGCGCGGATAATCGTGTCAGGCGCAGAGCAGCTGAGGACGGGTGAGAGCGCAATTGTCATCTCGAATCATGTCGAGTGGACGGACTTTTATATGGTGCAAGAGCTTGCCCTCAAGGCTGGCATGCTAGGGCAGTGCAGATGGTTTGCCAAGCAGCAGTTGAGGTGGGTGCCATATCTTGGGTGGGGTCTGTGGGCGATGGGTATGCCGTTGGTCAGTAGGCAATGGGCTGGAGACAAGAGGGAAATGGAGAGAGTCTTTCGTGGTCCACTTAGACGAAGCCAGCCGATATGTATGTCTCCTGCACCTCATATATCCATAACTGCTGTGTCTGAACATGTCACCTACAGGGCTCATAGCCTACAGTGAAGCCACTCGCTACACTGCTGTCAAACGTCTCGAAGCAGAAGCATGGTGTCGAGCTCATGGGCAGCGCTTAGGTCGGCATGTACTATATCCAAGGACCAAAGGCTTCATCGCATGCGTGCAGACACTAAGGCAAACCAAGCACATCACGGCGATCCTCGACGTGACTGTCGCCTATGCGAAGGACGGCAAACTGTTCCAGCTTCCACCTTCGTTCGCTGAGACGGTCATGTTGCCAGACTTAGACAATCGGTGGCGATTCTTTGTGCATGTCGACCGTCACGCAATCAGCGAGCTACCTCATACCAGTGAGGGTCTAGCACAGTGGCTCGAAGACCGATGGGTGAAGAAAGGAGAGCGACTGGAAAAGATGCGGCAGCTACTAGCAGATGGCGAGGAATGGACCGCTGACATTTTTGATGCGCCACATGTCCAAAAGAGCCAAGACAATGTACGTTGATACCACAATATTCTACAGGTACTCAATGATGCGCAAGATGTGACCGCAGGCCATAGATCATAGCTGATCTTCAGCATCATCTCCCGACTTGCATTCACATACTAATGTCCACTCCATTCACCTTAGAGCCTAAAACCTAACTCGAAACACGCTAGCGCTATGCGTTTCGTCACTAAAGCGCAAGGACCACATACCATGCATGCACACGATCTACAAAGTCTACCAAACACGGAGTACACCACTGCTAAGATAACTTGAGGTAAATATCGAGACAACCGACCAAGATAGCTGAAAATACTCCTTTCCGCTTACCGACTGCTTTGATGCCCCTGAGAGACTCATAGTCGTACTTCCACTGCTACTTGTCGAGCCTGTCGCGGATGCGATTGCTGAGCTAGTTGTCGCTGGACTTATGCTACCGGTGCATGCACTTGGACCAGAAGTAATGGCAGCAGGTGTACTAGCCGTGATTGGAAGATTCTTTCCTTGAAGGAGATCGGCGCCAGCAGTAAGGACGATAGCGAGAGTCGCAACTTGGTCACCGGAGTAGGTCACCGTGGTCGGATTCGTGGATGTTGCGCCTGCGGCGGAGTAAACCTCAGTGCACACAGCGCTTGCTGTGTCACATGCTTGGGTACTTGTAGAGTCGTTGCCAGATCCATGATGCATGTTGTAGAGCAGAGGGCCGACAGTGAGGGTTTGCTGTGGGAAGAGACTACAATCGACTCTTGTCTTGGCACAGTCCAGTGAGATTGTGGCAGCGTCACTATCAGCTGTGATGACTGAGCCTGAACGGATTTCGGAAGTCAGACCAAGGGCGTGGCTGTAAGCCGGGACTGTCAAGACCGGGAAGGTGTTCGGTGCCGCGCCCACTGCCACCGCGACGGATGCCGCCAAGATCAGGAAGACTGCAAGCATGATGGAGGTATCCGGAAGCTTAGGTTGTTGTGAAGTGTATGTGTCGAAGTTCTGTGCTGTTCATTATGAAGTCTTTGGGGTTGTCAGTCAAGTGAAGCTTTTGTCAGTGTGACTGAAAGCGGCTAGCGCGAGGTCACGAGATCGAAGTTTTCCAAAAGAGAAGGTACGCAGCTGACATAAGCGGACATGGGAGGTGAATTGCTGCGATCTCCAGGATTTCATCGGATTTACATTATGCTCGTACTGACGTCTAGTTCTATCGTCCAGCTAGATTTTACCTCACTTCCAATTCTGCCACTGACACGCACAACCACCCGTTCCCCCATCGACGCCTCCATACTTCCCAGCCCCATCACTGCCACGTTTCTGTACACCCGTCCCATTACTTCCTGGCACCATCGCAGCATTCACCAAGCGCCCATCAAATCCCCTATCCTCACCAATCCAAGTCTTCACACTCTCCACAACTCTCTGCTCTGCATCCAATCCATAGCAGTAGACGCCTTTTTTACTTGCTTGACCTCCATGCCGATCAATCGTTACGGTGACTGGATATGGGAAGGAACCCGGAGCAGTCATATCGTTTGCTGTGCCGTTGGCTGCTGGTAGGCCGTTTAGTGGAATGACGTCGCTGAGCGACGCTACAGTGCCCTTTTTGGTCCAGATCTGGAAGTGTAGACGGGTTTGCGACCAGGTGCAGACTGCTGAGGCGTTTGCGAGAGGTACATCGCTGTTCAGACTGTTACTTAACCCATTGTTGGTGGTTGAAGAAGTGCTCGTGATGTTCGAGATGAGGAGGGAGCGGTCGAAGTAGGTGTAGAAGCCGTAATGCTCGTTGTCTTTGCCGCGATTGTAAAGGCGTAGTGGTTGAGCGCTGGCATACGGATACAATTCGGACTCAGCCGGCTTGCCGTTGGCTTGGAGAGCAGGTTTGGGTATGCTATTCGCTGCATTCGTGGTTGCATTCGATGTACTGTTTGAGTCGACCAGGTTCGGGTACGGATATGGACTGCCTTCGTGTCGTCTTCGCAATCTGCTTCCAAGAAGATCCAGGGCAGCGGGATCAAGAAGTGAGAAGTAGAATGGCGTCTGTTCGCCCTCGTACGGCACAGTGATGTTATCCACGTATTGGCCCATGAATGACTGATCACCTTTCGACGGAGCCGCAGGATCAGCAGTGAATAAAGATCCCGTCAAACCATCTCTACGAGCTAAAGACCCTGCATTCGCTATCACACTCGATCGCCTTGCCAGCTGCGTCTCATTACGCGGCAAAGTACCATTCCTAAACCTGATCTCAAACCTGAAATTCGGTACCTCAGACTCAACTTGCTGACCAGCAGGCACAGCACAACTCCACAAGCTCTCCGGGTTGACGCACCCGCTCGCCTTCTTAGCCAGCGAGGGCTGTATGAACGTGGCGATCCCGGTAGGCAGACTGGGGAAACCAGTAAGGTTCGTCCAGCTCGCTTGCACAGCCATATCATTCTGAGCCTGCGGTATCAACATCACCAGCAGTATGACAAGCATCAGAAGCATAAAAGCTACAATCGAAGCCAAAAGCCAGAAGAAGCGGCGGTGCCATGGTGTCACTGGGCCTGCCTTCTCGGATTTCGTAATAGTAAGCTGGCCAAAGCGATCCGTACCTAGGCGTGGCCGCTCAACGAAAGTCCTCTGCGGTGGATACAGCTCCTTCTCTCCATCCGTGATGCCCAGTCCGAGGGAGCTGGAGGAATCGTTTCGTTCGTGCATCTTGGGTCGCATGAAGCCTTTGGTTGCGGTCGGATCATATCCATGATCTTGTGGTGGGAAATTCACTCCCTCCAGCGAGCGGTCTGTCTGGCGAGGAGATAGCGGACTAGGCATTCGAGCAGGAGTGAGCTGGACTTCACGCAGCTCGCCGTTTGTGGACTGTGGTCCCATGTATGTGGCCATGTGCGCGCTTTCGAGTATGGGCGTTGGTGATAGTGGTGAGAAGTGGGACGCCAATGTCGCATCCGTGGCTCCACGTTGCGCTGTTGGGCGTGCAGAACCTGTCTCGTGCAGCTCTTCTACGGATGGAGTAGAGAAGATGTTACGCTCAGCTCCGGCGGCATGAGCAGGTTCTTTCGGGGTCGCTCCAGTCTCGCTGGTGTATTCAGGGCTCTGCGTGATATCTCCATGCATGCTGAAAGGATGGCTTCTCCCGTCGACGATTTCCAGATCTTTGCTAGCATTGACAAGTCCAGCTGGCTTAGGCTCCATAAGTCTCAGACTCCGCCTATCATCTGGATGCGCAACACTATGCGACGGGCTCCATCCGACCATCGACCCGCGCATAGCCTCAGCAGTGGCACTGTCCACGATCAAACTTGGAAAATGTCGTGTCGGATCGTAGTACGCTGCAGCTAGCCCTTGACTTGGTACGCGATAGATGTTAACAGCCGCCTCACTCCCATCAAGCGCTCCAGGCGCAGTGTCCGATCGTTTCGGCACTATAGGTCGCGATCCGGAAGTCTCTACCGGCAGAGCAGAGCGTACCTCATTGTCATCAAGCCCGCGATTCGTGAAGATGACACCTGCGTGCGGACCGGCCGTGTTCATGTCCGCTGCATTTCGTAACATGGATTGTCGGTCCTCATCATCGTCAAGAGGCGAAGGAGAGCGCCAGAAGCCAGCATGGCTTTTGGAGCCGGCCGAGAAAGGCGAAGTGATCACGTTCCACCAGCCTTTACTTCGTCTTGGTGTTGGAAGATGTGATTGGCTTGTGAATGTCCTCGCCGAGGCTGGCGGACTGTGTAGTTCGTCATCTTCCTCGAATAAGGTGACTGCAGAGATGGCGGTATCTCTTGGCTTGTTACGAGAACTATCTGTAGGAGCAATAGTGAGGCCAGGCCCTCTCCTCGTCTTGCCGACGAACAATGGTAGTGGCGGCACTGGAGGAGTGTCGCGCCGCCTCATACCACCATTCGTATATCTTGAATAAACACTGGAAGCTCGGTAATCTCTTCGAGCCAGGTCGGAGACTTCTGCCATGTCAAAGTCCTCTTTCGCAGGCGTGATGACAATGGTTGGCGTCTGTACCTGCTGGGCCCAATGTGGTTGCAGTGTTGCTTGGGGTGTCTCGTTATGCTCAGACACTGCCTGAGACGGGATTGCGATGCCGATCGTGATGGCTCGATCAGACGGTGAGATGTCGTTGCTGAGATCGAGTGGTGATGGTCTCAGACCTCGAATGCGCTTATGTAGAGGCAGAAGTCTGGACGACGTGGAGTCGTTGCGCACATCACAGCTTTGGTCTGTTGTGGCCCCGGCACGATCGTATGTTGGCCTCGCATGCCCTGGTTGGTGACTCTGTTGAGTGTCGGAAAGCGATCGGTTGGCAGATGGTCGGAAGGGGAGGCGGTTCTCCAGCTCAGCTCGTAGGCTAGACTTCCTGCCACTCTTCTGCAATCTTGCATCCGGGATGCTCACAAACGTGAGTTCTTGTGTCTTCGATTCGTACGGGAAGACCTGCTTCGGCGCCTCTGCTTGGTGCTTCGTGAAACTCGTGTCTACAGCAAGCCCAGGTCTGTTGATACCACCGTGCCTACCGGGCTTGCGTTTGCTTCCTGAACGGGATGGTTTGGGTGACTGCATTTCTGTCGCGATGCTTTTGGTAAGGAAAGATTTCGAATATTAGAGATTTGTAACGAGCGCCAGCGCCGTAAATGCTGAAAGACGAGAAGTCCAAAGAGAGCTGTCAGAGAGGTACAAAAGAAAGAAGGAAACAGTATCAAAGTCAACGAAAGGATGCAGAACTACGTCTCTACACGAAAAGTGCAGCAGAATGCATTTTCATGATCCAGACTGTCGTTGAGCGCGAGGCCGTGCTGACTGTCCTACCTTGAATATATCCTGACATCGTTGGTCGTCCACAGACTGGACAGCACGACAGAAGGACAATGCGGGCGGGAGATGGGACCGGACCTGAGATGTTTGAGGGTGTAGAAGGTGAAGTTGTCTTGCTGGACTCACAGCCAATGAGCACGACGTGAGGCTGAATGGCGAAGCGCCGTGTCTGGATCTTTGCCGCCGACCGGGCATGGACTGCACTGACGCAGCCAGGTCTCTTAAGATGAGAGACGGCTTCGACCGCCGGTGTAGAGACGAGGCCGTTGCTGCGAGGTGGTAAGCAGTACCGCGAACACACCACGATGGACGAGGGAGCCAGGGAGTCGGCGTTCGAAGTCCTCCACGGCCGGCTTGGAGGTGGGATGAGATGAGCCGACGAAGCTCTCTCAAAGTTTACCGATGCCGAGGTCGTTCACATGTCGATGCAGCACATGATCGTGGACATGATGGAAGGCATTGCCATTCACCTCCTCCTCACCAACGATTACACCAGTATCCCAGCACCGTCTTACCTCGTCTCTACCGACCAATGCACACCTTCACCATTTCCACAAGATAACTTCGCCTCGACGGCGTCAACCCCTCCAATACCATCACAATGGACGCCCTCAAACCCTTCCAAGTAACACACTCCTCCCACCACCTCCACCCCCAACCCACCCCAGCTACTAACACCACCTCCCAGGACCAAATAGAAAAGATCCTCCTAAACCCGCAATACCACTCCCCGCTGGTCCTCCTAAAAGCCATTCGCAATGGCCTCGTCTACGGCACCAAAGTCCGCTTCCCCCACGCCTTCGTCATGGTCTTCCTCTTCCGCTCCGGCACACTACGAGAGAAACTCTGGTTGATCTTCAAAGCCACGCGCCAACATGCCTCGAATCTTGCTCGCTTCGCACTGTTCTACAAATCCTCCATGCTAGCCCTCAAGGGCGTGAATGGGGGAAAAGAGGAGAGCTTCCATACTTTCCTCGCGGGCCTGGTGGGAGGATACTGGGTTTTTGGCCACGGGAGGGGAGCGAGTAGTTCCGTGAACCAGCAGATCGTCATCTACGTTTTCGCTCGTGTGGTCCTGGCCGCGGCGAAGTTGGCCGTCCAGCCACCGGGAGATAACAGTCTAGTCGGCGGTAGCTACGGCGGGCACGGCGGCAAAGGACTCCTAGGCCTCACGGGCACACAGTTGGAGATGGTGAGGAGGAATTCCTGGCCGGTGTTTGCCAGTCTGAGTTGGGCGAGCGTGATGTGGTTGTTCCGATTCTACCCGGAGATGCTGCAGCCGAGTTTGAGGAGCAGTATGACTTATATGTATGTACTAATCTCTCTTTCTGTTCTGTTTTTGAGCTCCGCATTGCTGGCGTTTGCTGCTTTGAGCCATTTTCCACTACTGACCCCGGGGCTGACGTTTCCTTTCCTTGTCGTAGATATACGGACTCGGAGAAATGGGATGGAGCGAGGACTTTCTTTTGGCATAACAAATGATCTCAGTTTACTTCGACACTGCATAGCGTGGCCTTCTCTTGGGACGATCGATGTACATAGCCACAGTTTTCTGGACATACGAGTGCAAATGCGATGATTGTACGGTCATATCTGCAAAGCAGCATTCGCTGACTCTTTGCTCCACAGCTTCGAGAGATCAGAGCACTGGCATGATTTGAACAGCTACGTATACACGTATAAGCTGCCTGCTCTACCAGGTATGCCTGCGAAGCTTGATTGATCGGTCTTCATGACACAGGCGTCCTGGAGTCTTTGGCGGCATGGTATACACAATAGACGAGATGAGAGTGACAAGATTTGTTCAGAGTATCGATACAATCACTCTGAGCTAGCAGTGTTGGCGGTACTTAGTCTCTCGTACCTTTCCTCAGCCTAGTGCCCAGCCCACTGAACACACAAAACTGCCGCAATTTGATCGCGTGTGTCCATGACGACCACGACCGCGATATCCAGCTCTCTTTTTTCATTCGCCGCTATCCAGGTCATTCATCTCACATGCTCAGTCTCTCATTCTATGTCCTCCGCCCTCCGGATCTACCACCCAGCAGGCCCACTCGGCACCTTCCCACCCTCCCGATACTTCGCCATGGCATCACTCTCAGCCTCAAACTTATACGGTCCCTTAGCAGCAGGAAGATCTGGATATATTCAGTGAGAGTCATCACTCGTCAAATCCTGACAGACAGCGTTCACCTTCACCATTACCTTTGCCCGCCTGAGCCATGGCATAAGCACGACCGTGCTGAGCCTTGACCAGATCATAAGCCTCCTGCCCCATCAAGCTCCTAGCAGTCGCCTCATGCGACCCCATCGTCGGCGCCAATTTCATCTTCACGAGGTTCTGGTCACTACGGGCGCCAGCGATACCAACCTGCCCATCACCCGTAACGAATGCCTCGTTGCCCTTGAAAGCATGACTGACCAACGAAGCACCCACGCTCTTGCGATCGTCTTCTTTCTTGCTCCCTCCAGTCGTCTTCCGCTTCTCAGCCGCCATCATCCGACTCTCCTCCTCCATCTCGTCTAGATGCTTGAGCGCCTGCTCTTGGGTGAGCCAGGCACCATTTGGCATTTGGACAAGATTCGAGCCTTGTGGAGTCGTCGCATCCCGAGCATTCTGCATGTTGTTGGTCTGTGGCTTGACAGCATCTGCAGGTTGCTCGTTGTGGCCATCCCAGCCCACAACATTAGCTGGAGTCGCATCCCAACCGCCTTGATTGTTGTTGTTGTTCTGCGGAGCGTTGTTCCAGCCCTGAGCGCTCGCAGCCCTCGATTTACCACCTTGCTGACTCTGTGCCCAGCCACCATTGCCACCCCTATTCGATGCGCTGCGCTGAGAGTTCACCCGCGCATCTTGCGCAGATTTGTTGCTTGTTTGCTCTTTCCACCCATCGCCTCTCGTAGATCTGCCTTTGCTGGCCTCGCTCCAGCCGTCACTGCGATGAAGTGGCTTCTCAGAGTTGCGCACTGAAGCAGCTTTGGACTCGCTACTTCCACGAGCTGGGCCATTGTCGGGCTTGCTGCCACCGCTCGTCTTCAATTTCATCATCCTTGCAATCAGCTCGTCTCTTGGTAAACTGCGCAGGTCCGCCTCCTCGAATTTCGCTCTCAGCTTCTTCATGTCGGCAGCGACATCATCTTTGACGAGCTTCATGAGCACGTCAATACTGCGATACTTGAAGCTGAAGACTGCAAATGGGCTGTCCATGGTATCGATGTAAACTGGCCGTGCGGTCTCATGAGAGTACTTGACGCCTTTGCCCGCCTGCACGCCATACTTGACGTCCTTGCTGACCTTGTTCTCCAGCACAGCAGGCATTTTGACTTCAGCATACTGATATGGCGATCTGCCAGTCGGGCGCTTCACTACAGCGGCTGAGCTCGAAGAGTCCAGCGCTGGTGGTGCTTGCTGCCATGACATCCAGTATGGCTTGGGCTGACCGGACGGAGGTGAGCTGGCGGTGAGGCCATCAGATTGCGAGATTTGGCCCTTTGCCTTCGGGGATTTGCGAGGCTTGAACGAGTGATGCTTGTCGTCGGCAGCACCCCAAGCGATGCTGGACTTCTCTTTCCTATCATTGCCATTGTTGTCCCAGCCACCAGCACTCTGACTTTTCTTCTTTCCGTCAGATCGACCCCAGCCACTGGCAGCATCGTTTCCGCCGTTACTACCACTATTCTGGTTTACCCAGGCGTTTGTTGTGGCCCTCCGACTATGCTGAGACGCTGGCTTGGAGTTATTTGCGTCGGCCCAACCACCGTTCTGCGCCTGCTGTACATTATTGCCGTCGACCTTGTTCCATCCATTGGCTGCTGGGGTATCAGGACTCCGCCAAGCACCTGGCATAGCTTGATTGGCGTAGTGGCCTTTCTCGGGGATAGCATTGAGTTGCGGAGCGTAGTCCTTCACTGCACCCCTGACAAGTGGACCGCGGCCTTGTCCCCCACCAACAACACCTTCTCCGACTTGGCGGAAGCCTGGTCTTGGTAATTTAGTGATACCATGAGCAGCCATATACTCCTGAACCTGGAACCAGATCGGTTGAACTCGGTCAAAAACAGCGCGAGCGACCACGGCCTGCTCGTACAGCTGTTGCATCTCGGCCAATGCTTGTACATGTGTCAAGTCACGCAGTATCTTGCGGTCCTTGATGTCAAAGTAACGCTGCTTGAGTTCGGCGATGTGTTCCTTCGTGCTTACCAATGTAGGTAGAACTTGGTATGGTTGCATTGTGAGAGGTGCGCCATCCGGACCTTCGATGATGAACGCCTCGGGAAGTGAGTGGAGACGAGGCAGACCAGACGGATGGTTCGCCTGAGGAGCTGCAGCGCTCTTCGTGGTGTAGACGTTGTTGATGTTTGGACGTTGATCTGCGCCATCGATCTGAGCGTCCTCTGCTGCTGCTTTACCCTCGTGTCCATTCCCGGCAGGGTTCGCGCCTCCTGGACTCGGCTTGGATTTGCTCGCAGCAAGTAGCGCGGGCATCATGTCATCGGGGATCAATATCCCTGCAGCTTGCAGCTCATCAAGATGCTTGACCACCGCGTTCGACCTCGCAACCTCCTGTTCGAGAGGTACGACACCCTTTCGCAGGGCTGCTGGTATACTGATATACTTGCCCGAGACAGGGTCGAGAAGATAGCCAGGTGGGGGTTTCGCGGTGGGCTCAGCACTCTCCCATACATCTACTGGCTCCTTTGGGATGGTGGCTTGTAGAGGCATTGTCGCCTGGGCTGAAGTTAGAAGTTCCTGAAGCCCTGGTATGACGTTTCCTTTGGCGTTTTCTGCATTCAGGTACTCCATAGCCAGCCTGATCCGAAGTAATTGATGTTCGTGGGGGATATCGCCCTGCTTCATTGCTTCTTGTAGAGATATGAACTTGCCTACCACAGGGTCATAAATCTGTCCCGGTGGTGGCTGAGTTTTGGTGCGGCGACTGTGAACAGAGCGTGGAGGCGGCTCGTCACGGGCGCCATCAAGGCTGTAGATGGCTTGAGGCTCAGGATGGTCGCTCTGACCATCAGCACTAGCATCATAGAATGAGAGAAGCTTCGGCTCGTCGAGGCAGTCACGTTCGTCACCAGCACCGTCGAACAGACCAGCCATTCCGCCAAAAAAGCTGCCACCAGCGCTGGCAGGAGCAGATTTCTGGGCGGGTACTGCAGCAACGGACTTCGTCGGCTGCTTGCGTTGGGGTTCGGAGGCTACATTTGATTTTGGTGGCGGAGCCTGGTCTTTGAGGGCGGAGGCGCGCAGAATCACGACTTCGATTGTGCCAACGTTCTTGTAGTATTGAGCATTGACGTGCGCGGCCTTGTCAGCCTTGGCTGAACGAAGGGCGTTAGTAGTGGCAACAGGGCGGCACAAAGGAAGCATTGATATGTACTCACCAATCTTCAAGTCAGCAAAGTGCCACTCGCGGCCAATGAATTGCCCATCATGATCCTTCTCTTCTTTCTGGCGGAAGCGAAACTCAGCGACAGTCTCGGACTTCAGCACCCCATCGCCTGGCACCTTCAATCCCATCTTGTTGCGGTTTGCATAGTAGACGCCATCAACGAAGACAAAAGCGGCGAGGCCGGGGGCGAGGTACTTTTGCTGCTCCACATGAACAGAGAATGCAATCTTCGAGTTCGGTACTGGAACGAAGGTCTCAACGGCGCTATCCGTGTACTTCGTCCCGTACTCCTTGAGCTTGATGTTGTCGGTTCCAAGCTCGATCGAGCATTGGATCTGGTTGAGTGTCGGCATGTCTGTATGCCTGTCAGTGACAGGATCGGGCTAGTTTGTGTATGCGTCAAAGTTTATGGTGTGATGTTGCGTGGCAGCCGGTCGGCAGGTGAGTGTACACAAACGCAGGTCGTCCCACAACACGGGTGTAGTTGCGATACGACGATGCGTTTTGTATGTGGTGGAAGAGAGAAGCTTGACAAGGGCTTGATGTTCTCGAGATCTTGAGCTGGTGGGGCTGTGAGATAAGCTCAACGCTAGTCGTAGTGAGGTGAGATGAGGTGAAGCTGAAATCTGCTTGAGGAAGGAGCGACTGAAGTGCAGCTTCTCGCATAAGCCTGCCGAGAACAGTGTTCCGTGGCGATTTGGCTATGGTTCACAGTGATGTAGATGGTCTAGTTCATCCAAGATATCGGATTTGTTGAGGCAGAGTGGTAGCAAGGTGTAGGGAACCCCCCATTTCGTTTCTGGCTGGACGTCGCATCACCTCTTCACGAGCTCTCATCACTGTATGCTCTGCTCTGCATTCTAGGCCACCGGAACTCGCTGCTCGACCCTACGAGAGTCATCTGAACGCTGAGTCCTCATCCCAGCAGCACATCCAATCTCTCACTTTCGGCCTGCACGAGTAACCATCGGGGCTGGAGTGAGCTTGGTACGGTCCCTCGTCGGTTCGAGAGGCTGCCTTGATGTATCGTGGGCTACCATTATTGCCATTCTGGAACGATGAGGCCCGCTATACACATCTGCCTTCGACAACCTTCACGAGATATAATCGATGCATACGAGGAGGATGATGTTGAGTATCGAAAGGAGAAGGCGCGTTCCTGCGGCTCTGTCGGCCCGGCATCTTCACTTCACGCGTCTGAAATGTATGAACTTCATCTCTTCTCACTCCTCATCATCTCAAGAGTCTGCATACATAACATTCACATCACCAAGGCAGATCAGATGGCCTACAGCAGATACAAAGGGATAGGAAGGATAGTGGAAGGGGATTGAAAAATGCTTTCGATGACATCGGCACATCAACGCTCTTTCCCATTCCACCTCCCCTTCTCCTGTAGCATTACCATGGCATGATGAAGCATCTTCGCTGACCTATAACCAACATGCACGCCTCCAAAGGATGCTGTCAGGACTTCTGGACGACTTTCGTTCGAGATGCTCCTCAGTGAATTACCATCAAATTTGCCACCCACCTCGCGCTCCTTCCTCAGCTTCACGAACCTGAGCACCTGATGACGTTGGATGGTCAAGTGCTCGGACCTTGTTTCGATCAATTGGCGGTAGGTTGAGATTGATATGTGAATTGCGATTCACTCGCACTTCTGCCCAAAATACATCACTCTCCTTTGTCACAAACGCTCATTACTTTTTGGCGCATGGACTCGTAATTCGCATGAACACACACCGTCACTACCACTCTCACAACAGCAATGTCACAATCAAGCCACGACAGCGACCGGTTCGCTGATCTCGACCGCGGATCAGAAGAGTTCCAAGCGGCGTACCGCGATTTCGATGAGGAGTACAAGCGCCTTCATCACGACCATAACGCTGCCGAGCGCGTGCTGCCCAACATCCGTTACAACACTATCTTCACAATGCTACAGGGCCTTGTCTTCGACATCGACCCCACTTCAGCGACCCCTATCGCCCTCCAGATCAGACTCGAGCTTAGTGATGATGAGATCCGCCCGCTGCTTGAGGCCCGTCGCCTTCCCCCTTCAGCAGCAGTCAACAGACTAAGTCTGCGTGCCCGTCCGCATGTTCGGAATGAGAGGCTGCGCGAAGAGATCAGAAAGGCGCGTAGCACGTGGGCTCAGAAGCTCGCAGCGCACGACTTTATCGATGTCGACATCCGCTTTACTGTTGCACAGTACCAAGTAGAGCCATTCAAGAGTATCAAGGAGGAGCTCGCAGGTTTGGTAAGCGCACCGAGATTCACTAGTCTAAGCTTCCAGCTGACTGAATTTCTCAAACAGGGCGCAAAGTGCTACCACTTTTCGCAATTCAGGCAGGATACGACCAGCATGACAGTCAGCATGGTTGTGAAGCCATTTGTACTGGATCATGTACTACCTTTTTCGCGTCAGACCGAGCTCGGCGTCACGATCACTACCAACACTGCGCCAGCATGGTCTGTGTCTTACGTGCCGCTCACAGCTGCGACCGATACGGTATCAGGAATGGTGCTCGCGTCTCCTGCCGCGGACGAGCAAAGCCCGTACGACCTCCCAGATCCCACCAAGAAGCCACCAAACTTCGGCTTAAGGGCAGCACCGATCGTGAAGCGAGATCCGTGCGAGGCTCTCATCCAAGACATCATGGGCCGCCAACGAAGCAATACCCTACAGAAGGTTCGTGTCGTCTCCAAGACCAGAAAACCATGGCATATTTTCTCATCTTCTGCCAGGGCTGAACAGCAACAACCGGCATGGACGCAGGAGAGCAGACCTTTCCGCGGCGATCCAGGAATCTGGGGCGACGATCAGTGGTGGTTGGAAGATCATGCTAAGCGCGAGGCGCTGATCAATAGCTGGAAGAAGGCCACATGGTGCGAGGAGCTAGGTGCTTGGCCTGCTAAGATGCACCGGAATCTCTCCCACACTGGCAACGACCCATCTGTAGCCGTTGCAGATAAGGATTTTGTACTCTTGCCTGGACTCAGCCCGACCTATGTGACCGATCGCAGCAGACAATGGTACGAAGATAACATCGAAGCTGCTAGTCGTGTAGAGCTGCAGCGCGAGTACGTGGCTGCTGAGAAGCTCTCAGAAGTCACGGCAGGTCAAGCCCAGGCGTTCTGGAGGCGCTTCGTCCAAGTGCAGATCAATGCGAAGCTCAACCCTTGGCAGCAACCTACGAGCTTCGAAAATGCCCAGATGAAGCGAACCCAGCAGGAAGTTGCGAAGATGCTGATCAAAGCAGAAGACCATCTGGCTAAGAAGGCTGATGCATGTGAGATCAGGCTCAGTCAATCGAAGTTCAACGTCATGGACCGCCTGCGAATGAAGGCTCTCCGGGAGATCGAGGCGGCTCCTCATGGTGGAGGACAGCCGCAGCCATTGCAGCAAGTGCGTACGATGGCTCCACGGCCAGCTACTGGCTTTATTCCGGGACAAGTCATGCCAGACACGCCTGTTCCTCGACACCTGGCACCGCAAATGGCGAGACAGAAAAGGGCATCTTGCCCTCGTCGTGTGGTGCTGCCAGCAGCGCGAAGACAGGTCCACGTGCCAATCACGAAGGCTAAGCCAGATGCACAGATGGCAGACATGTCCAAGCAGGCTACTACGCCAGCTATTACGGTCCCTCCACGGCCCAAGCGTCAGTCAGACGCAGCAGGATCGGTCGACACGATGCCCTTCCCAACTTACATCGACCCAATGGTACAGCTGACGAAGCAATTCGACAGCGTCTCCAACAGCGTCGCTCGCATGTCTCAAACTCTCCCGCAGAGCTTCGTGGAAAGCGTCCTGAGCACCGTTGTGGACAGCGATACCAACAGCATCAATCGCATCCGAAGTAGCAGTCCCAATTGCGATGCAGAGGATGACGAGAACAGTATCCCGGCCGAAATCCTGAACAGCATCACCAGCGACATTCCCTGCAGCATCTCGAGCGGCATCTCGGAAAGCATTACCAGGTGTTATCTGCCCAGCCTTCCGAACAGCATCTCAAACGATATTCCTAGCAGCATCTCTCACACAATCCCACCCAGCTTGCCGAACAGCTTGTCTTACGGCACTCCACGCAGCATACCACACAGCATCCCGAGTAGCGGAGTGAACAGCATGCCACCGATTCTTTCGAACAGCACTTTAAACGACGTGCCATCCAGTATCGCGAACATCCTACCTCGAAGCATTCTACAGAGCATATCCAGATCCATCGTCTGCCCAAAACCGCCATCTCCGGCGGCAAAAGCTCTAACGGACATCCTTTTGCACGCCAATGATCTCAAACAGCTACGCTTACGGAATTCAGCTGCTCGCATCGACTCTGCGCAAGGAAGTCAGGTGCAGAGGGTGCAATTTGCAGTCACGGAGGGAGTGTACGATCGTTCTATGATGAGTGGTGGCGGGGATGATGCTGGTAAGTCTTCGGTCGCCAATCTCTTCAAAGGACCAACTGATTCGTTCTGCAGATTCTGATGAGGAGACTGTTGTCGATGAGGAGCACAGTGATGGGCAGGAGTTCGACGAGGCGGATGACCTTGTGCATGATATTGTTGCGGTTGGAATCGAAGCTTTCTGATCAAAGGGTAAGATTCTCTCTCCCTTTGCTCACGAGCAAGCGAGCGGCGGAGCAAGGAAGGGCGGGCTATGAGTGAGGTGGCGAACCTGACGATGTTAATGAGAGGTGCTTGGGACGAATAGAGCATGGTGGTCACGAGTAGCATGGCTGTCGCTTTTCCGATGAGGTGCTATGGCAATGAGGCGATGAACTCAGAGCTCAGGTTGGAATGGTGCGTGGAGTTGGGCGTTTGGCAGGGCATGACTATTGGGTGCGCAAGGGGTTTGGGAATTGAGCGATACTGGACCGCAACGCAATGCGTTTTGAGCGAGTAGGTCACCCTCCCAACCACTATCTCAATCTCAATTCAGTGCTGACAACCATCTCACAGGCTTGTAATTCTCCTTCTTTGCTTTCCGCGAGATGATACCCCTAACAGGTGAAAGCGTAATGACGATATGCGCCGTGCTTTCTCACCTTCCATACCACCCCACAGCTCAAAAATACCAAACAATAATGCCGCCTCACCAACCCCCAGCCCCCAGATCCCCACTCAATCAAAAACGACCAAATCATCAAATCATCCCATCCCCCTCAAGAAATTATCCTCCTTGATCTTCTTCCGCCTCATACCCCGCATACTCTGATTCAACCCCCCCCTCGCCTCACCAGCCTGCATAGCTCCCTCTACCGTCCCATCGCCTGCTGGAAGATCGATACTCTGTTCGTAGAGAGGAACTTTCGGGACCAGGGACTCCGGGTGCAGGGCTTGCTGTTTGCGCAGCGCTTTGGCGGCTCGCTGGCGTTGTTTTTTCGATTTGGCTGTTTCACACATCATCCTCACGTCAGCAAAATTTCCCCTCTCTTTATCTCATGCGTTTCGTTCTCATGGACTTGAGACCGGACTATACGGGTGTTTGCTTACCGAATAAATCCCCATCAACATCCCCAGCACTGCTCCCTTCCCCCTCCTTCTTCCCAGCTCCCTCGAGTATCCCCCATAACCAACCCGGATACTCCCCATCCTCCCCCGCCACGGGATCAGGTTTATTCTTCATGAAATTCAACCCTTTGAGTACTGTACCCGCTAGCACAGAGCTCCTTGGTGTTTGTTTCGCTGCTGTCGGTGTCGCTGTCGCTGTCGTTTTCGGGTTCCTCGAGATAGGTAGTTCAGCTGTATTGGGTTTTGGTGTCAAGGGCGTGCTGAAGGGTTGTGCCACAGCCGGGACCGATAGGGCGGCGGGTGCGCCTTTGGATGTTCGGGGGACTGGGTCGGTCGGTGGTGGGGGGGACGGGTCTACGGCGGTTTGTTGGGAGGGGTTTCGGCTGGAATGGGTGAAGGGTCGGGTTGTGCTGATTTTTGTGGTTGTGGTTGTCGAGGAGGTGGATGATGATGAGGGGATGGGTTTGCGGCGCGCAGCGAGGCGCTGGAGACAGCGTTGACAGATCATGTTTATTCGTTCGTAAGGTGGTTGGAGTATTCGTAGTTGTGCTGGTTATCTGGCTACATTCGTGATGTTTCAAGCTCGGAAGTCGTATGCAAGTTCTCGGGAGTCTTCTCCGCAAAGCTCTCCTACCAAGTGTGAGAGTGGTCACGTGCACGGGGTATCTTAGGACGAGACTTGAGTGTTCGATTTACAAGTTCTTCTTGCCATACACACATGTAACTGACAGTCCGCAAGCAAAGAATTAAAACAAGCAGGACCAGCTGCAATGACATTGTAGAAGAGGGGTATCAAAAGAGTGACCAGCCAAAAAACGCCCACTCCCCCATCCATCCATCCATCCATCCATCCATCAGTCTCTCGTCCCTATGCGCAACTCTACCCTCGTACTGAAACCCCTCCTTCAAGTGATCTGCTTGCGCAGCAACAATTCCCATATACCTCTGACAAATCCCAAAAGCAATGACATCCCTTTCCCAGCGCTGCGTTATATCGTAGTGGTGGCTTGCATGTGCTGTTGCTGCCCCGACCCATCAAGTCAAACCCACAAAGGAGATTTGTTTCGATCCCATCAAAATGTACAAGGCACGCCACCCTAACCCTCGTCATCCTCATCCTCCTCATCTTCCTCGCTATGATGAGGCTTGGGCTTCTTGTTCGCCGCACCATTCTTACCCGACGCAGCCTTTCGTTTCGCACTCCCGTTCAGTGACGACTCGGGTAGCTGGCTGAGATCTACCGTTCCGTCGGGACGGATGGCACCCTTCGCCTCCATCTGTGCGACCTCGTCTGCTGTCAAGAACCTGCCACCTGGACCACGAGGTCGGCGCATGGCGTGGTTATGTCTGGACTCGTGCAGATACGGCTTCCGGCCCTTACTCGAAAGTCGTAGGTTCTCCTCCAGTTTCTGGCGTGCCATACGCCTTTTCAGGATGCGATGGAATTGTTTGGCGTTGACGTATAGTGGCGACTCTTCTGCTGTTCCTGCCACTGGAACTTCCGGACTTCGTTGTTGCACTTGTGGAGGTGGCAGAGCTGATTGTGCTGTTGGTGGTCGTGGTGGCGCACTCATCGAAGGCGGCACTTGTTGAGAGGGTACTGCTGGACTAGGAACAGTATGTGACATCCTTCGGGCTTGCTGCATTTGCTGAGCTTGCATCTGTGGTGGCATACTATTCGGCATCGATTGTGCTGGCGGCATCTGCATCGGCGCACCCATGCTATGAGGCACATTCATCGATGCCTGTGCTCGTGGAGACTGTGGATTGGGTCTTTGTATCCCCGACCCGTCAGTCTTCAGCTGCTGCATCCGTGGCGACGTCTGATGCAGCGAGCCTTGCATGGCTGACTCTGGCATGGTATACGCAGGATATCCAGACACTGCTGCTGTCGCCATTGCAGCAGCGTGCGGCACACTCGCAAACTGCTGTGGCATGCCATACGCTGGGTTGTAGCCAGGCTGCATCATCATATGTTGTCCAGCCATCTGCGATTGCTGTTGATGTTGCGCGTAGTTGGGCTGTTGTTGTGTCTGCATGACAGGACTCGCGTGCGTCTGTTGTGATTGTGTATGGGGGTGGGGATATGTCGGAGCTTGTTGTGGATGATACGGCGCGTAGGACTCCATGGCGAGATATGGAGAGTGCCAACGTAATCAAGGTTGCGGTTCGAGGCGCGTGACGGCGATGGATGCTACCGCAGGCAAGATACAGTAGTGATGAGCAGAGGTCGATATAGTGACGAGGGATTGGCTGTGCTGTCAAACGCGTCGACTAGTTAGCCTTAGGTTGCGGCCCAATTAATGAATAGAAGGCATGCACAGTGAAGTATAGGCGCCACCGTCCTACCTTCACGCTTCCTCCCGTCGGTAACGGGCTACCTGCACTGCTTTGACACGCACTCGCGCAGGGACAACCTCGGAGGAAGCCTAGTCTGCCAGCGAGGAGCGTCGCAATGAGTGAGGCGGTGCAGGGCAGTGTAGCATGAAGGCAATGCGGGTGGCCGGCGGCGGGGAGGATGGAGGTGGAGTGAGGCGTACCCAGTCAGATCGCGTGGAGGAGGGCGGTAGAATTGGCGGGCGGGAAGATTACTGGCTTAAGCATCAGCGGACCGTCGACGATATACATGATTGCAATGCGATCGCGCAGCAATTGGATGGACAGCGAGCAGGTGAGGTAGAGAGGACAGGCTTGGTTGCGGGTAGTATGCATATGCCAGCGCATCGCCCTCCAATCGTGCTTAGCCGGGCCAGCGCATCACCGTCCGTCGTAAGCGATCAGAGATCAGAGCGAACACCGCCACAGCTGCCATGTGACAGCAGAGCGGTGATGCGCTGACTGACTGTAGCAGGCGGACGTGCATCTTTCGCATCGTGGTCGCGTTTGGCGGGACGACCTCTGCTCAAGCAAAGCTTTCGTGGCAGCTCCGCCGCGTGCTTTGGGTCGCAATACATGTGCAAGACGAGCGCGGGTTAAGCTTACCTCGTGTGATTTCTTCTTCGCTGCTGCTACTGTTTGGGGGCGAATATATTCTACTATTCATCATTGTTAGCATCGTAACAATATCATTGAACGTCGCGACGTCATGCGCGGCAACCGCCACTGCGCGTGAATGGCGGTGGACTGGCTGAGCGAGGTGAGACCTGAATGTCCCAGCCCATCGTTTCTTCGTCGCATGGCCGTCCCGTCACGTTACTCCTCTACAACGTACCTGAACTGCTGGACTGCTTTGCTTTGCTTTGCCAGATAATCGTGTGGTGCCTGCGCTACCGAGCTTCGAATTGATGGCCTTTCGTGACTGGTCGCGCTCGATCGCGTCGGGGCTATGTGATTGGTGAAGGTGAGCAGGTGGAAGTTGATTGGCGAAGGCTGGAGTTATGGATGCCGACGGCAGCCTCCCGAGGTCGCGGCGGCTAGGTCGAGATCGAAATTCGTCATCGGCCGAAGCGACCGAGTCAGAAGCAGGAGCAAAGAAGTCAACCACAATCGTGAAGAAAATGGTATGATCCTCATCTTAGCCATCGAAAGTGCGCAAAACACAAAACGTATTCACGAGATGAGGTTCCACAGAATATTCGTCTACAGCCTCACCGACAACTACCTCGAAAACCGCCAGGGACGATCTTTCGCAACCTCCGATTTCACGCGGGCGTGTGCCTGACAGTCTGAGCACGCGAGACCCTTGCCGCTCACCTCGAAAGTCTCTTTGCGCTGCGCTTCTCATTCGTCGACGATCAGATTGCACAGAACGTGATCACTTCTTGTGCCTGCCGTTACCGATCGGCATCATCTTCGTCGGGAATGGGATATTACATTCTACCAGAGCTACGGTAAGCCCAGCCTGGAGGTACGGTATCGTATGCTGACGACCTTACGTCAGCCCTTCGTGGTTGAGATGAAGTGGAAGGGATTATGTAGAGAGGCGTGGAATGAAGTCAATGGTCTCCGATCCTACTGAACCGACCGAGAATATACAGACCCGACGACGTGGCTTTCCTACTCTCCTCAGTTCGAAGCCGAGTCCGCCTCTGACAATCTTCCTGTCTACAGCGCCCACCATCCAAGTCGTACAAATCTCCAGCCCTTGTGTTCACCCCATCATGGCGACCTGCAGGCTTTTGGTACGACGTCCCAGCCTCAGCATGCCGAAATGCACATGGATGTGCCGGCGTTCTTCTCGCTGCGTGCACGACATGTGGTCCGCCTCGTTGCAGATCGTGTCGCCTGTGTGCAAAACTGTCTGTACGACTTTCGAGGTCAGGAAGTGAGGCGTCTGGGAAGTGCTTTGGGCATGCGAGAAACGTTAGCAGGGTGCGAGGAGGCAGGATCCGACATTCGATGCTGCTACAAGCTGTTGCACTCGATGTCGTTCGAGTATCGGCCCCTGTCGCTACTGACATGCAAAGGGTATCTCCATCACAGGCCCCTTACGATAGATGTACGAGTGAGATGTTCAACTCTTGACGGACGTTATCTTGGCCCGCACAAGCAGTATATGCAGAGGAGATTGAATCGCATGTTCAGTTTCGACCTGCATATACGTATACCGCCAGCTGGTAAGGTGGGACACAGCTGGCTGGCGTCTGAAAGGAACAAATCAGTGAGACAATGCTCTTCATGCGTAGCAGAAATGCAGTGCCATCAGGAACATCCATCTTTGTTGCTTCTATAGCCTGAGTACCATGGACTCTATTCGATATCTCGAATGTCGTTGTCCTCTCGACCCCGTTCCGGTAGACTTTGACCACCAACGACGCCACCCATAGCTTTTCCGGAGCTTTTCTTGTATGTATTTTGGTCGCTCATGCTGAGAGTCTACAAGTAAACGAGTGAAGGGACCTCTCACCAATCCGTATCGACCCAACTTCTCATCGCACGTGTGATGACTTTGTGCGCAGCGTCGTTGTTGATGTGAAGAGCTTACCCAAATCCTAACCCTAAGACATGACTCAGCACAAGGATCCCGCAATGGACAGACAGACTGACTGGTGAGTTTGAGGACGGTAATCATGCCATGGTCTTGCAGATTGAAAGGAAGGAGAGTCGTACCATTGGCTCGTTTGTCAACAGAGCCTTGCCTCAACGATTTTAGGCCTAATTTCGAAGTGTAGGGCTTCGATGCACGTACGCTGAGTAAGAAAGCGCGATGTCTTGCCAGCAGCCACCGACGTTCGGAAGCGAGTTCGACAATCAATTTGGCTAATTTAGAGGGGGTCAAGATAATTCCGCCGAATTGCGTTGCTCGGGTGCTCTTGTCTCCGCTCACTCGAGGACTCGGCCTGTGGAGTTAAGGGTGTGCGACTACGCAGATGTACGCGCATGGAGGAGATACCACAACTCAAAGTTCATGCTATGGCCGCTGTCGCAGTGAAGTGTTGAGGTGTTTCGTAAGGCCGCGGGTAGAGACTGCTTTTCGAGCACCGAAACCCCGTAGTGGTTAAATGACGATGGTGGCGGTACAGAGAGTTTCGCGAATGCGCAGAAGCACCGACCGTTTGTCAAGAGATAGCTATGTTGCTTGTATAGCTTATACCTACACCGTCCCGCCGGCAGCGCATTCCCTGGTGTAGCATTAGATCGTCGACACTCTCGTGACTCTTGACCTGGGCCGTTCTGCAATACTGGAAATTGGCCTCAGCAAGCAGACCTGGACCGGAATCGTGCGGGTAGCAGGATCTTCTGGCAACCATGTCTTTCACGCGTGAGGACGCAGACATTGCGCACGCATTACATGAAGCTTACCCTGGACGAGCGCAACACTATGGAGGCGATGCAGGACTGGAACGAGAATATAATGCCTTCCGTACGCAGGACGAACAGCGACGACTCCAGCAACAGCAGCAGCAGCAGCAGCAAAGCGAGGCTATAGAAGAAGCAGAGGAGCCCGCCGAGCCTATCGAGCAGATTGAATCTCACCACGATGGCCGACACATGTCCACCGTCACCAGCGGCTCCTCCATCTCGTCCGTCGAGCGAGAAGAAATCGGCGGCCAACCCCGAATGCGAAATCGACGGCTCGACTCCGCTGCAACTATCACCTCTGGCACCTCAACCCAAGTCGAAGATAAGATCATGAACTACCTCGACCGCCATCCTACCGCTATACAACGCATCGGCGACCATCGACTCCAGCACTCCCTCACCGTCGGCACCACTAAGACCGGCACCTCGCAAGCGGCAAAACTGCCCAATTTCGGTGGCGGGAAGCCTTATCCACAACCGCTGCCGGATCGCGAGGAGTATGTTGTCGAGTTCGATGGGCATGACGATCCTATGCACCCCCAGAACTGGCCGCTGAGGCAGAAATTGATTATCGCTGGGATTCTCATCTTGAATGCTTTCGGTGCTACTTTTGCTTCTTCCATTTTCTCTTCGGCATCTACGGCTGTGGCTATGCAGTTTCATGTCGGACGCGAAGTGGCTACGCTGGGGACCTCGCTGTTTGTGCTTGGCTATGCTTTTGGGCCGATCATTTTTGCTCCGATGTCTGAGTTGTATGGGAGGAGGCTGCCGTTGATCATTGCTGCGTTTGGATTCGGTATGCTCAAGCAATTGAATGGAAGCCTGTCCTCTACTGACCGCATCAGGTATCTTCAATATCGCTGTCGCCGTTGCCAAGGACTACCAGACCTTGATGATTTCCCGCTTCTTCGCCGGCACTTTCGGCTCAGCACCACTTACTATCGTTGCGGCTGTCTTCTCCGACATGTTTAGCAATGTAAGCATCTCAGGACTCACCCTGGTGTGTCCACTCCTGCTAACCGTGATCAGGAAGTCCGTGGTATCGCCGTCGCCCTCTTCTGTAAGCATTCCATCACTTCCTAGTATCTTCCCACTTGCTAACCACGATGATTTTCAAGCGGCGACGATTATGGGCGGTCCCTTCATGGGGCCATTCATTGGCGGTTTCATCACCAAATCATACCTTGGTTGGCGCTGGACTGCCTACATTCCAGGTATTATAGGATTGACTGCTTGTGTTCTCGCAGCTTTCTTCCAAAAAGAGACCTATGGTCCGGTGATCCTTGTGGAAAAGGCTTCACAACTCCGCCGTCTCACTAGGAACTGGGGTATCCATGCTAAGCAGGAGGAGGTCGAGGTCGACATTAAGGAATTACTAAGCAAAAATTTGTCTCGTCCTATCAGGATCCTCTTCACCGAGCCGATCATCCTGATCATCACGGTCTACATGTCCTTCATCTATGGCTTGCTCTACCTCAACCTCACCGCCTACGGCATCACGTATGGTCAGATCTACGGCTTCAGTTTGGGAGTTAGCGGGCTGCCATACTTTGCTCTGCTCATCGGCGTGGTTGTTGGTGTGAGCATTGTCGTAGGCATGAACGGTGGCTACGTCAAGAAGCTGAAAGCGAACAACAATATCCCGGTGCCGGAGTGGAGGTTGCCGCTTGCTATGGCGGGTGGTATTGTCTTCGCGATCGGTGGGTCCCATGGGGAAACCTACCTTCGAGCACCTGAACTGACCCAGTCTTTTAGGCCTCTTCTGGTTCGGCTGGGCAGGGTATAACAAGAACGTCAGCCCATGGGCATCGATCGCCGCGGGCCTGTTCATTGGGTTCGGCATCTACACCGTCTTCTTGCAATGTAAGGTCACCTTTGCCACGGACATGGACCAGACGGCTGACTCACTGATATAAGGTCTAAACTACATTATCGATTCTTACCTCATGTTCGCCGCATCTGCCATCGCCGCCAACACCATCATGCGATCCATCTTCGGCGCCGTCTTCCCGCTCTTCGGTAAGTACACTTAAAAAGGCCCCCCCCCCTCGCCCCCCCGGACCAACATCTACTAATCTTCCTTTTTCCCGCCAAACAGCAACATACATGTTCGAAGGCATCGGCATAAACTGGGGCATGACCCTCCTCGGCTTCGTCGCCACGGCCTTCATCCCCGTCCCTTTCATCCTCTACGCCAAGGGTAAAAGTATCCGAGCTAAATCCAAGTTCGCTCCGGCGTTGGATATCCAGCAGGATAAGCGGAGGGATGAGGAGGCTAGGATGGGTGGGGATGTTGGGGGTGAGGGTGAGCAGCAGATGGTGGCTGCAGGTGGGGCTGGTCCACCACAGCAGGAGGAGGAACAGGATGATTCGAGTGGGACGGCTTTTGAGAAGGAGGGTGCTAATGGTAGTAGGGTTAATAGTAAGGATCCGGAGAAGGAGGGGAAGGAGGTTTGAGATTTTTGAGGTAGTTGGGTTTTGATTCACTGGCTTAGCGATTGTTGCGTGTACCTCTCGTAAATACATCAGAGAATGGCGGTTTTTGCAAGGCTTCTACAAACTCGCTGAGCTGCTGCCTGCTGCTAAACCCCGATCACATCGAATCACGCTGATGTGATGTTAGTTTCAACCTGCATCCAACCATCGATATCCTCTTCATCCCTATCAATCGACTGACCCAACCTCTCACTATTCCTCCGCATCCTCTCATACTCCCGGGCGTCCGTAATCGTGTCCTCGTCATCCGCGCCCCAGATCCCAAGCTTCTCTTGGTAATTCTGTTTGGCGAGCTCCTCGCGGATGTCGATGTCGAGGTCCTGGCACCCAGAGCCACTCGTGCTTGAATCTTGTGCGATTGAAGGTGTGCAAGAAGTAAGAGAGGGTTTCTTGGCTTGTGGTGTTGGGGTTGCGAGGAATGAGTGTGAGGGGTTGGGTTGGACAGCAGGTGCAGGGTGGAGAGATGTAGGCGTGTTTGCAGTTGTAGATGTACGCTATACGCCTGCAGACTCCTGGTGTTGTCGTGGTCGTCGGTGTGTCGGTAGATGTGGCGGCTGTCTGTGTGGCTGGGGCGATTGGAGTAGCGTCTACATCCCTCACGTCTGGCATTCCTTCCGAGAAGAGGCGCTGATCAGAGACAAGCTTCGGTCGATCGTCCGTGTCTGTGTTCTTCTGGTCTGTCAGGGTTGATCCGTCTCCTTGAGAAGGGTCATTTCTGTGATCTTTAGAAGTAGAGAGATGCTGGTGTCGCTGCCTATCTTTTGTCACGAATCACAAACGTGATCTACCCTTTGTACTCATGCTCGTCGTTTACAAGCTCACATAGGACGTTACCTGGTGTCTTACGAAGTGATGAGGCAGTTGCAGCAGCAGCAGCAGCAGCAGCAGTGGCGATATGTTCTGGTCTTTGGTTCTTTTTGTAGCGTCCACCTTTTATGCCTGAGGAGGCACGCTGAGCGCGCAAGAGGCTGTAGTGTCTACGCCAAGAGCTACTTGAAAGCCCTGCTGTTTTCACCGTGGGCTAGATGGTGTCAACCATTGAACGGCTGGATAATATTCACGAGCCAAGTAGGCCGATAGAGCGGGCGAAAGGATGTCTACGACGTAACGCAAACGCATTGGATTTGGTCGTCAGTGGGTCTGGGCCTGTTGGGAGCAACTGTGCAGCAATATCTACATCCTGAGTTGTATGTTGGCAAGACAAGCGTACCAGGGAGAGGTCAACACGGGGGCCGATGAAGTCATGTTTTCCGTGTGCGTTGTAGGACCATATCGTCGAAGTCTGGAGACGATGAAGGCACGGGAGCATGGTGGTCTACCATACATACTGCCTGGGAGTAGGTCGCCGACGGCGAATAATCACACCTCTCTAGCGCTCGTCTCAGAGGTTCGTGAAGCCAAGCTAGATGTTCGCGAAGCACACATCGTCCATTGACCAACAGCATGTCGGAAGAGCATTGATTTCTACGAGGTTGATCGACCGAGTAGTATTCGCGAGAAATGCCAAGGCAATCTCAGAGGTTTGTGAATCTCAGACGTCGGCTCTGTGTCGCTCATATCGGACTGAGGAGGAGTCCTATCGGAGTAAGCGGGTGGCGTGCAGCACTTTTGAAACCGTAGCATACTTCGGCAAGCCGTCCACGCCGTCCTGACTGGCCCGATCGTCCGTTGGGGATGCAAGTCTCCTGAAAAGTAAGCTGATGCCGACCGAAAGTGTCACTGAATCTATACAAGGCAAAGCTTCGCGTAAATCACACTTTGATCCGTCTACGAGCGACTGCAGGTGGTGGAGACGGCGTACGCGTCTTCAAACGTGAATCGGAGAATTTCAGCGCTTCTGGGTATTTCCAGGAACAAGCGGAGCCCAGTGACGCATGGCCTGCGAACATTGTGCTATTTTCTATCTTCCCAAAGAGACACGGAAGCGTGGGATGTCACAGCGTGTGTGTGGACGACTCTCTTCCCACGCACGCCGGTCTGACACAGTGGTGGTCGTAGCAGACTTGGCACATTCAACGAACAGACGGACCCTGCTGTGCACTGTTCACCATCGCGATAACGAATCGCGAGGATTTGGGCGATTCTACAGTATTCTCCTTTGCTAGTATCTTATTATATTGCCCTCTACTGTAGTGCTTTCCTACATCTCCTTCCAACAGCTCATCATCCTTGTCTAGTACTACTGTCGCTACATTTTACCTGGAGCATCCAGGAACAAACGAAGAGGTACCGAAACCTTCGTGGAAAGCTTAAAACAGGCTCGTGTGCCTACAAGACATCAAGACGACGTCACAGCCACACATACTTCAACACACAAGCACGACCAAGAGCTGGAAGTCTTGATGTGTCGGTAGAGTTGCAGACATCACGACACTGCTGGCAGGTCACCACTGGGACGTACTATCGCTACGACTGACCGGTATTGGTCCATATCCATCCCACCCGAGCACGATCGATAGCCACCATGTCTACCCCCGTGGATGAACGACCTGAGCCGACTTACATACCACTAACATACACCACAAGCCAAGCACGACCTAGTCAGGATGGCAGAGCAAGCATGGATCGTCCTTCGTTACCGAACTATAACGTGAACAGACTGAACCGCAACAACAGTCAGGACAACAAATCTTCAGATGATGATGGGACGGTGGTTGGAGATGGCGAGCAAGAAAAGGCAAACCTCGAGCACCACAAGGAGAACATCCCGCCACTGCATACAGGACGTGCCAGGGCAGGCAGTCATCTCACCGTCGCCACCGAATATGATCCCGGTGACCCTCTCTCCACCGTCTACAGCCCCTCCGTCAACCGCGAGCAGGCCAAACGATTAGACGATGATCTGGCCATGCTCAAGATCGAACGTCAAGTCTCAAAAGCAGTGGAAAACCAAGACCTCTCCCGCACCAAGAGCGAAGAAGGTGATGGCATGTACCGCTCCCGATCCCGACGTCGAGACGAACACCTAGACGAATTCGATATCGCTACAAACCCGGTGCATGAGAAGACGCAGGTCTATAAGCCCGTGGAACATCCTGCTTCGGCTTTCGCCAAGTTCATCTCACGAGTGCATAAGTCGAATTGGTTGATTCGGTATATGACGTATATCGCTCCGTTGACCTTGATATTGCTCATACCGCTGCTCATCGGCGCACTGGTCAGTCCGGCCAAGAGCGCGTCTGTGGGAGGTGTTTACCTGGTGTGGTTTATGATCTGGCTGGAAATAGTATGGCTGACGCTATGGGCTGGCCGGATCTTGGCAAAGTGTCTACCTTGGCCGATTGGATTGGTCTCCAGCTTGTTTACGAACAACAGCAAAAAGTGGCGGGATATGGGAAAGCAGCTCGAGCTACCCGCCACCCTATTCTTCTGGTTCCTGGCAATCGAGATCTCCTTCCTGCCGACCATGAGTAATCACGTCAAGCCGCCGGCTTCGGGCACACAACACTGGATGATCCCCATGAATAAAGTCATCATCTCGCTTTTCGTCGGCGCCGTACTCAATTTCGTGGAGAAGATCATCATCCAACTCATCGCCATCAGCTTCCATCTCCGCACCTACGCTGACAGGATCGAGATCAACAAGTTCCAGATCGGTAGCCTGACGAAGCTATATCAATTCTCAAAGGAGAAGATTCAGATGGAGGATTCCGAGTTCGAACAGCCGTCCGCTGGGCCAGCATCGGGTGCTCGTACGCCAGGACAGTTGTTGAACGAAGCTGGGAAGACTACGAAGGAAGCTTTCACTCGATTCGGAGATATTGCTGGCAAGGTTGCTGGTGACTTTACTGGAAAGCAAGCGAGCAAGAGCACACATCCCAGTCAGGTCACGCTCGCGCTTATCGGCACGACTCCCGGCGCACAAGTGTTGGCTCGTCGACTTTATCGGACTTTCGCCCGCGAGGAGACGGAGACAGTGTATTCGGAAGATCTGAAGGACGCCTTCGAAAACGATGACGAAGCCGAGGCCGCGTTCAGCATGTTTGACAAGGACATGAATGGGGATATCTCGATGAACGAGCTGGAAGCCGTCTGCGTGGAGATTGGGCGCGAGCGCAAATCCATCACCGCATCGCTCAAGGATCTCGACTCCGTCGTCGCCAAGCTAGACGACGTCTTCATCATCGTCGTCCTGGTCTTCATCTCCCTCATCTCCACCTCGGCCGCCGGCGTCCTCACCTCCCTCGGCTCCTCCGTCCTAGCCCTCTCCTGGCTCTTCTCCGTCACCGCGCAGGAGTTCCTCCAATCCGTCATCTTTGTCTTCGTCAAACATCCTTTTGACGTCGGCGATCGCGTCAGCGTCTACGGTAACACGGGCACCCTCGGCCGAGGAGACGACTACTTCGTCAAAGAAATCAGCCTCCTCTACACCGAATTCAAGAAAATGGAAGGCCACGTCGTTCAAGCTCCCAACAGCTACCTCAATACCCTCTTCATCCTCAACCAGCGCCGCTCCGGCGGTCTGGCGGAAGCAGTCAGCATCACGATCAAATTCGGCACCACCCTCGACCAAATCGAAGGTCTCCGCAACAAACTCCTCGATTTCGTGCGAGCTGAAAAGCGCGAGTACCAGGGCAATATCCTCACCGAACTCCGCGATATCGTCGAAGTCCACAGTATGAACCTCAACGTCGTCTTTTTCTACAAATCCAACTGGCAGAATGAAGGGCTGCGTCTGGCACGGAGGAATAAGTTTATTTGTGCCATGATGGTTAGTATGCAAGAGCTCGGCATCGAAGGACCGAGGATGCGTGATCCGGGGTTGAAACAAAGTTTTCCTATGTATTTGCAGAAGGTGCCGCATTATGCTGTACCCGGGATGGGACAGTCGGGGCATCCGGATCAGCCGGGTGGGTTTGATCCGAGACAGCAGCAGCAGCAGCAGCAGCAACAGCAGGAGGCGGAGGGGGAGGATGGGGAGTATCACGATCCGCCTTTTGTGGCTCCGGTCCCGGGACATGAAAGTCATACTGGCTCCCAGATGCCTTTGCCGCACTCCAGACTCCGCAGCGGTTCCGCACTCAAAGGCGGTCGCCCAAGAGGTGAATCGCTCGCGCAGATGAATAAGCGGGTGGATTTCAGTCTGGGGGCGAATAGTTTTATCGCGGCGGACTTCGCGGGGGATGTCTATGAAGATCGCGATCGGCCGCGTATCCCAGCCGAAATCTTGGAGGCTTCGGAGAGTAGGGAACGGAGACGTGCGTCGCAGGAAGGTAGTAGTGGGAGTCAGGATATCGGCCGGACTTCTTCCCGTGAACACCCGAGGAGTTTTACGCCCGGCAACCTTGCGAGAAGGAGTACGACGGATTCGGGATCGAGATATCCCCCTACTCGTCCCGGCGGCGGCTCCATTCATCGGAACCGGTTTTTCGGCCGCGGAGGGGCTTCGAATCTTCGACCAGGGACTAGTGAGGCGGATTTGATGGAGGGGGGTATGATGGCGGATATTCCTGAGGTTCCTTCGGGTCAGAATACGGCGGGTCAGACACCTCCTCATACCGCTGGGTCGGAGCGCTTGGATCCGAGGACGGGGATGGTGAGTCCCGCTGCTTGGAGGATGGATACTAATGAGAGTAATCTTCATCCGGCGCCCGTTGTTAGTGGCGGTCTGGGGGAGGTGTCGGGAAATGTGCCGGATGGATATCGGGCTGTGGGGAGGAGTCGGACGGAGGATTTCGAGATGAGGCGGTTTAGGTAGTTGACTACACACGCATTCTTCACTCCTCCCCCGAGCTGGGTTTGTAAAGCGGGGGGGGGGATGATGAATGATAGCACACATGTATACAGTATAGAGGATCTGGAGCGGAAGCATAGATCGCCGAGGCGTTTTCATTCTTGGGTGTTGGATACGGGGATAAGGGTACTATAGAGATGAGTTGGACTGAGATCAAAGCGCTTGAGACACGTCCTGGTGCTACTGGGGCTCGGGTCGGCGTTCCTGTTTTTGCTTGGTGGCCATAGCAGTGTTATATGTATCATACGATAAACGCAAAGAGTTCGTGCATGTGTAACCC